CGAGCATGGCAGCACTTGGACGATATTCGAGGTCCTCCCCCCAGTCGTGCAAGTGATCATAGGATCGCTTCCACAGGACCTCTCGCCCGTCGCGAATGCATCATAGTCCTGAACATACAGGCCTCGTCGTCCGAAGCTTGCCAGGTTTCGGCTGAGCATCGACTTGACTTTACCTTGCGGACAGCTTTTGAGGAAGGTGCAACTTTTCCCGGGGGGCTTTATACCCCAAATTCCACGCGCCAGCGGCCGATGTGGGACATGTGGGGGTCAGCGCGGCTTGCAGCTCGCGGCGCTGGCATGCAGCCCTTGCTAGTCGCTGCACTATGCTCTGCGTCACTCCCTGCGCATGTCTGAGCTCTAAGCTGATCAATGTCATGCCTTCGGTCGCATTCTTTCACGAACTGAGACGTGTGCCATGCAATCTCAGCCAAGCCTGAGTACGAGCCGCTTTCACTTCTACTTTATATATTTCGCTCAGTATATTGCTCAAAGTGCATCGTATACACATGTTGCTTCAGGCCAAAGCTAGCGGTGTCTCTTGGTGGCAGTCAGGGAACGTCGGAAGCTCTCGTCTCGCCGAATTAGAGAGAGGCCTGACTCCTCGACTGCGCAGACTTCCTGCTCAGATCCCGTGATCCCGTGATCCCGTGATCCAGTAGCGACTCGCTCACGTACTGCACGGTGATCTACCGCGACGATGGCGGCCATCGCTACGAGTGCCAATGATGTGCTTGTTACGCTACTCTGCATCAAGACAGGGCAACGCGTTATAGTCTCTGGCGACCGCGATCGCCTGCGCCGCCGTTCTTCTCTGATGCACCTGCCACACCTGACTCAATGGCTGTGCTCCACATGATCGTACAGCCTATGTCCGATATACTGCGCTGTCAGTCTTAGCCGAAGTCCTTGTTGCCCACTGTCGAGCGGTCTCGAGCCGGTTGACGGCCGCTGCGCGCCGCAGGCCGTCCGGCGCTACTGAAAATTCGTAACCATCGCTGTCTCTCAGGTAGGGTAAGTAGAAGGTCAGCTAATGCACAGGCGAGGCGCTGTCGGTTCCCTCCGCTGACCCTCATTGTCCTGGCCTGCGACCATCTTACGCTGACAGTCGCGAGCAGGAGTGGTCAATGCCAGGTTGGAGGCATTAGTCGATCGTATGCGTTTACGACTCTGCTGCAATGCCGCACAATCCAGTCACCAATCAGTGGTTGCTATATGACGCAAGGAAGGACAAGTCAGAAGCGCGATGGACCGATGTCTTGGTCTGCTAGATGAACAAACACACGAGCTGCGCGCCGGACGCTCGATCAAGCCTTTCTCCGCCGAGATTTGCGATGCTCACCTCGAACAACGAAGGCTTGTTGGGCAACTGTGGCAGCTGCGGCAGACACGCCTTGCGCGAGGTCATCCGATAGGCGTTCTTTCAGATGCGATGCAGCTGGCTGGCGAGCAGACTGCAGCAAAACCGAGTTTCTCGCCATCGCTGAAAGGCAGTGAACCGAAGGCAGGTCAGCTGCTCTCGCATTTGTACTCGCAACGAGCGCCGCAAGCGCAGTACAGTAGAGTAAATTACAGAACAGCCTCGTCGGGTACAGTCCAGTCCAGTACAGCCTCATCGCTACAAGGATAGAGGTGATGGTGGCCGTCTACGAACGTCGTCGCTACTCGTCAAGACTCGGGGCCCGGCCACTTACATCTGCGCTAAAGTCCTCAGGCTCTCTACAAACCTCACTTTTAGATTCAGCTCGATCTATCTACATATACATACACACACACACACACGCGCGCGCGCGTTACATCGACGATCAAGTGTTACGCCGCTGCACCCTGGTCAGGACCAAGCAGTGTCTCTCTCGGCAGTGCGCATTTGATCACACTGCGATGACAGGCACGACCACGCTGTTTTTCCTGGCGCTGCATAGCAAAGCTCGACGTCGGCTTTGCCGTCGATGCAGATAGACTTGACCAAATTGCGCAACGACGCAAGATCACGGGATGGGTAGCCGCACTATCACAGGCAGCCTGACAGCATCTCCATCTGATGTATGCTGTATTCGGAAGCTCGCGCGAGATCACGACCCGCTGAGTGCTCAATCAGCAGGAGTATGTGCTCAAAGCGCGCAGAAACTCGCCGAGATCGTGCCGAACGCGACATGGTCGTCAAGCGACTGACAGGATACTGTGGAACGTCCTCATTTGCAAATGCTCGGCATTTCAGACAGCCCGTTACTCAAGGAGCATGCAAGTCTCTGAAGACAGCCGGGTCCTTCGAGTATCGTTCTTCTTTCACGACGCCATCAGCCATGCCTAGTCTGGCACAGCACACAACAACCATACTCGAGTCTCGGCATCACTTCAAGTCGCAATGAAGGCATGCCCAACATCTTGGCGCTCTGGAAGCGATGCGGTCCGATCAGCTGGGCAGATAGTGTGTGCGCGCGGCCGATGCGCAGCCGTCCTCCCTCTATACGTCATCGAGTTGATAAGTCTGCTCGTAAGTTATATAGAGGCTGACAGCTCGAGCATCGCTGCCACGCGTCGGCACTGATAGCAGACGACGATGGAGCAGACTCTGAGCACAGGCCACAGCGAAGCACGCTACGGATCGTCAGCGATGGTCTGGAGGCGCTGTGCAAGCTCTAGCCTGAACTGTTGGTCAATCAAAGCGCGCACCGAGGACTGCAAAGGCTGGCTGTAGAATCTGTGTCCGAGCAAGCAGCGTTCCTCAAGCTCTTGTAGAGGACGTCGGACATGCATAATCTCGACATACTATTGACGTAACCGAGCAAACAAGCAGCAAACCAGGTCTGACAAGATCTGAGAAGCTGACGCGTGCCGGCCGGCCGGCCGGCCACCACTACTGATCTGATAAGGCGGCGCGCGGCCTCGAGTACTTGGGACCAGTGAGCTGCCGACTGTCAGCTCGCATACGCAACTCAAGTCAGTGCCGAGGCCAAGCCAATGCAACGTTATACACTCCGATCTCAGACGCAAGACCGACGCAGAGCATGATAATCCTTCAAGACGCGAATATAAGGCTGGTCTGGACACGCGGACAAGGACATGGAAGATACAACAAGACGACGGCATGAGGGTGCGACCGGCACGGGATAGCTTGGAGCACGTGCGATCATGGGCGAGAGGGTAGCACGAGGGCCGTAACAGATATCAACGCGTACGATGACTCGATGGCAAGTTGGGCACGGCAAGCAAGAAAGGTCGCAGCAACATCCCCGTCCAGACGTGCCTCATCGGCCATAGCAGACAAGCACTGCCGCGCTCTGATCAGGTGCTGATCCGACAAACCTGCGACTGTCGACCGAAAGTCGAGCCTGCGAGACGGAACAGATGCCGCGGTTCTCTCGATTGCTTCTAGACCGTACCGGAGGGATCTAAATCGTTAAGGCTACTGCTGCGATCTGGTGCATCCCATCCGAGAATGTGTGCGGCGAGCGACTACAGCGTGCGAGCAGGCACTGTGCAAGTGAAGGCAGTAGAGCCCGAGGGTAGAGAAGCCGACCGGGGTGACGGCCGAGGTGTCAGGGTTTTTGTGGGACGGGGAAGCGGCATGGAATCAGAACAGATCGATGCAAAGATACGGGTCGGTAGAGCAGAGCGGAGAGGATGACGCCGGCGGCTAGACAGCGAAGGCACATGACGCCACCCTGCACTTGGCGCGTCTCTCGAGCCCTCCTTCGGTCGCTCATCCCAGGTTCACACCGACCAACTTGCTCGGCGCGGCACAAAGCGCTCAGTACTTGACCACTCTCCTTTCGAATCAGTCGAGCCCGTCAGATCGCGAGGGTACCGACAGAAGCGCGAGCGAGAAGGCTCGCTGGCCAACATGGCTCGGCCGGGCCTCATGCGATCGCAGGCTGACCCCGACGACACGTTTGCTCACTTGAAAGAACTCAAGGCAAAGCAGACGTCTTCATACACTAAGACTCGTGCGTTCAGCGTAGCAGAAGAGGCTGCCCTGTCCTGTAAGATCTGTCGCTCATGCCTAACGCAGGAGGAGGCAAGCCGGCTGACAGCAAAACATCGACAGCGAGCGAGTCAGCTATTGCTGCTGTACCCAGTGATCAGAGTGCGCGCTCACTCTGCCCCTTTTGTCAAGGATAGCGCGCTGATGCAACGCCTGGAACAGCCGGCAAGCAAAAACCAGGCGAGACAGACGTACCTCATCTGTCGACCACTTCAAAAGCATGTGTCCGTTCTGCCGTCGAGAAGTCAAGACAAGCCGAAGCGCTCAAGAGACGCAAGACGAAGAAAGAGCAGGCAGCTCAGCGCGCTAAGGCTAGCGAGACTAAGTTCCTCGCTCGCATGGCATCGGCTCGATCTCAGGGCGCTGTCGAAGGACCAATCGAGGTCAAGCAAGGGAGACACGCCAACTTGTCCGCAGATTCTCCTGGCCAGGACGATGCGATCATGGAGTCAGCACCAAAGAGAGCACGCGCCACCCGCCAGTCAGGTCGGGCCGATCACCGTCATGTCAAGCAGACCAAGCCAGGCCCAGCTGAAGACCTCAAACGCAAGACTGCGCAGCGTCACATCAAGACAATTGCGACAGGATCAGTCTGCGGCGATACCGAACAGCGTCCAAGTATCGTCCAGCGTCGCGTTAGCCCGCGCACATCAGGCAATTTCGAAACGCTCAGTGACACCAACAAGGAAGCTCTCGTCAAGCAAGCTGTCCTGGAAGCTGTGCCCGTGCTCGAGGCTGTAATCGCTCCTGCGCGACCTGATCATGCGGGCGACAATCTTGCCGAGCACCGATTCGACATCAACATTCCGCTGCCCATATTCAATGAGGCCGTCAACCTTAGCGGCGAGGCAAGCAAAGCCGTCACACTCGGCATCACCCGAATTGTCCATTCTGAGCTCAGCCGACACTGTCTTCGCTTGCTTGAGGAGCACCCAAGACGATTCCGGTCGTATGGCGAGGCCGTTGACTATGTCCATCAGCAGTGCTACGACCGCATGCTGGGCTTTCAGTCCATCAGCCCGGCGTTGTACAGCTACGTCCACAACGAGCCCCAAGACGACCACGTCGACCACGTTACTGACCAGCTCGCCAAAGACATTGTCAGTTTCATCGTCGGCGCTACTTTCGACATGTCCAAGTTCAACGGACTGCGACAAATGCCCGCCTTCGCCCCTCTGCTCAAAGGTCATCCTCGTACTGTCGTGCTCGTATCATGCTGTGGCTGACGATTTCGCCTTCACAGCTACTGATCAGGCACCCTCGGCACAGCTGCTTGCTAAAATCTACGAAGGTTGGCCCTCTTATTGCGGACTGCTCGAGTCTGACCGACTGGCGCAGTCCAAAGTGCACAGATCCTCAAGGCAGTACCGATCTTCCTCGAACAAAAGCAGAACAAGCACCTTACTTTCGACGACTTTCTTCATTGCTGGGCCGGACTGCCCTATGAGCTAGCTCTAGACGTCACACAGTTCGCGAGTTTTATGCTCAAATATCGCCATCCAAAGAAGTCGTAGGACTTCCGGGGCGCTCGGCTTTCGACTTCATGTACAACTCAGCAACGCAGCCGCGGCGAAATTTTATGTTCAGTCACTTCTTCACGCGTGCTCAGTCCATTGTACCCCATAGCAAGTATCGCGAGATTCTTCTACGTGAATGGCCCTTGCTGTGATCTGCATTGAGGCCGCGATGGCAAGCCGCTCGGTAGAATAGACTCATGCAGGCGGCACGTCAGCGGGCCCTATGCCGCCGAGGTTGACGAGATGGTCGAGATGGGAAGGATCGACCTGCTGCCATGCAAAGAACTGATCTTGACCTTGACTCGTTAGGACAGATCTACGAGCCACAGGTCAGTCCCTGCCGTTTCACAGCAGATATGACCGTCACTTACTCGANNAAGTGACTTTCCGATAGGAAGAGATCAAGTGGGTCNTTGCCAACGGTAGTACCTTGACCATTGTTGGCAGAGGCAAAGGCAGAAGGCGTGTGCGTGCCAGATAGGTGACCGCTTCGATTGGTGGGTGCAGTATAGCTATAAGACGAAGTAGGCAGCGGCTGGTTGAGAGGCATCGTTGGTGAAACAGCAGCGGGCGCCAGGGTGACGTCAGAGTGGTCGCTTGCGCCTGTCAAACCAGGCTGATGCGCGGCGTTGATCTCACTGCCAAACTTTGGCAGACTACCTCCAAGCTGACCTGTCTCCATGGCTCGCCAGGATGCCAACAAGACGCGCAACATGATATGGGCAGTACCGGCAGCATGCCGCGCATCGGTCGTCGCATTTTGACAATCTGTGATGGTCTGGACGACCGCTCGGTGTAGATCGTCAGAAACTACCAACTGCGAGAAGCGTGACTTGGAGACTTTGACTTTGATCAAGAATACGGCAGCATAGACGACGATGAGGAAGTTGACGTCAGGACAATGTCGCAGTACGCCAAGGTTGGCATACTTGTGACATATGTCCAGAATCGCTCGCGCGCTGTTGATGGTGATTGACACGCATTCCGGATCGTCAACAGCGTCGCCGTTGCAAAGCATCGTCTGCAGAGGGAAAGTGTTCAAGAACAACTTGCTGTTGTGGTAGTAGAATAGCAAATTATTCGCTATGGGTTCGCCTGGCTTGGGGCACCATCGCATGCGCCATTCGTCCATGCGGGCGTTAAATAGTTTCATCACTACAGGCGAGGGCATCTCGTCATTCGCCGCTGCCAATCCGTAAATACGGTCCCTGAAGGTATCCATCACTTGGCCGACGACAGCTTGAAGCTCTTGATGCGCGATAATGCCTAGGTCAAACGGCAAGCTGAGTGGATGGCTTGGAATGAGAAAAGGGCGAGCGTCCTGTATAAGATATGGCCGGCCCATGACGGCAGCCATGTATCGATCAATGACAAACGCGAGCAGCCAGGTCCTCTCACGATTGAGTGCATCGCGCTGCAGGCCTTCGGGGACGTCCGCAAGGGGCGCCCAAGGATTGGCACCACTCCTCAGCGCGCTGACGCGGAGGTTCAATTTTTTGCTGAACGAGGGCGGCCTGAAGAGACCGATCTCCATGCCGAGTCGTACTGCCATGCCAAAGTAAAGCCAAGCTCGCCTCGGCCGATCCTCTGCGCCCTTTGGCGCGTTCGCCCAGACTGTCAAGATAAGACAGGCCTGTACGCTTTCGATGCTCCGCTCGCCCTCGTCCACGCAAGCAACGAAGCACTTGTGGGCCTCGTCATAGCAGGCGACATGAAGATCAACGTTCGGATGGAAGCGCGACGCGACCGCACAGATGACTGTGAAGAGAAAAGGCGACTTTGCGCAGACTGCAGTTGCAGTGTTCTCTGTCGGATCGAGCAGTGGCAGATGGATGTAGCAATAGTCGAAGAATCTGTGCCAGCATGATCAGCATGTACCAGATGCAGCGCACAGAGAGCGCGTACATCCTGAAGAGCTCTACAGCGGTATTGGCATCGATGATGCCTTTCGTAAGCAAGACGGGCGCCTCCGTATCTTTGAGCGAGCTGAGTCCATTCAGTGTTGGGCTACTCTTGTTGCTTCCACCGCCAGCAGGCACGCCAGTATTCTCCAAAGCCTCTGTCAGACTGGACAGCTTGAAGCTGGGATCCAGACCAGAGATGCCCTTTGTCCCATCTAGCTCGGCTGCCAGTGAAGCGTCTGCGAGTAGACTGAGACCCATGCCCAGTGATGGATCTGACATTGGCCTGGCGGCAGAGGTGGAGGTCTGTAGCTGATTCGTAGCGACTTCTTTGCCTTTTGACGTCGAACGCGCGGCGCCTGCTTTAAGCTTCTTTGGATCGCTGGCGTCTTGATCGCCTGGTGAGCTCTGCGAAGCTGAGCGCTTGTGTCCATTGCCAGCCGAGCGAGTGTCGCCAGGTGAGCCCTGATAGGGTAGCTGGGTACGTAGAGCAGGCGAGGGCGCGAGCTCAGGCTGCTGGTAGTGGCTAGCGGAATAAGCTGATCCGTGCGAGGAAGCTTGTGACTGTGGTCTGCCAGGTGCTATGCTAGCTTGCGAGAGAGCTGCATTGGGCGAGCGATGAAGGTAGGCGGCCTGGTCACTTCCTGCGGGGCCAATGCCATTTGTAGGATTGGCTAGCATGTTGCCAGAAGCTGACGGGTTAGCTCTCGCCCTGCCGTCCAAAGCTAGTTTCGAGCTGTTCTGAGCTGTGCCAGAGGCTGACTGACGTTGACCGTTGGCAGTCTGGAGAGCTCTGGTGACGTTCTTGACTGTCTTCTCTGCCTGGGCTGCCAGATCACCCGCCGGATCTTTCCTGACAGACAGCACGGAGCATGTCAGTATCTGCCCACAGTTCGTCTGTTTCCCCGTCGCACGACAGGCGGCGCAGAATCCGAAAGAAAGAAGAGCTCTCGAATTTCCGATTTGGCCGAACCAATCCGGGGAAATGGCCGAGACGGGTAAGTCGCGTGCGTGGAGATGTCAAACAAAAAAAGAGCGATGCGGATGGGAAAGAGCGTGTATGTATGAAGGACTTACTTAGGCGGACGCCTGCCTCGTTTGGACTCGACGAAGATACATTCGTGACCGCCCGAGCGACAGCGACGGCAAGGCGGATCCTCTGCGCCATCACATCTCGTCTGCAACGTCAACGCCGGTCAGCCATTGACGCGGGGGAGTAGAGATAGAGCGAATGCATACCTTTAGCTTGCGGCAGGCGAGGCATGCGCGTCCGCTACGCTTCTCGGCTGAGGGGTCAAGCTTGGCGTGGGGCGTGCCGACGCTGCTGGTACTGCCAGCAAGATGATTACCCTCTACAGAGTCGAGCAGGGATTCCTGGTCAGAGGCATTGCTGTCTGCATAAGTGCGGTCCTCAAAGTGAGCCGCAGAGGTCGTGGGAGACTGATCGAGCTGGTGCTGGACCATGTGGGGTGGCAGAGTGCTGTAGGTCATGCCTGTGCTCGTATAGGTGGGCTTGCCGTTGGCTGACGAGCTAGGAGATGAGGTGGAGGCCATGCTGGCCAGATGCTGTGTGCGTTGAGTGTGAGTCTGCCTTAGTGAGCGTTTGCCTGCGTGTAGCTCCCGAGCGGGAGACTGAGGGCGCCAGTGACTTGCTTGTTGACGCTTCGACTTGGCTCCGCGGGCGAAGCAGATAGTCAAGAGAATAGCAGTGATCGTGTTGCAGCTATGCGTTCAGTGTTGATCACTGGCCGCACTTTACGGATGGGAGCCACGGATGGCTGTGCCAATGGTCAACCTCTAGTGGGCGCTGTCTGTGTGCCTGAGGCGGGTGTACCGGCAAGTAGGCTGGGTGAAGAATCTGCAGCTGTCAGACAGACTGCTCAGAGTGATGAGTGGGTGAGGCTGATTGGCTGATAGGCAGGGCAAGAGGGGAAAGTCAAGAGTCCTCCCGGTGTGCGGTGCCTGCCGAGTGCTCTTTTCTACGTGAAGATGCGTCGTGGTCGCCCACACAGAGCCCACGCTGGCTGTCGTAGCCCCGATACCGATGATCTGTGTCGCTTGCGAGGGATTCAGTCAGGTCAGAGCGTGCGCAAAGGCTTTCTTTCTCTGGGGGAGGGTTGATGACGATGTCCTGCCTGGAAAAGCGGTCTGTGAGGATGACCGTGCCCTGGCGAGCTGTCCGGCCGGATGACGTCGGGATATGATCACGCTGGTCCGTCTTGATGTCTAGCAAGCCTCGTTCGGCTCGACAGTAGGCACACACTCGCTCGCTCGCCCGCTCTCTCTCTCTGTCTTGCTCGCTGTCCTCGCGCTGGCCGCCTGACGAAATGACGACAGTGCGACGACGGACTGCAGGCCAGAGAAGCAAGGTGACCGACTCGGACGGTGATGATGAGCCTATCGAGCCTCTGGACGAGCAAGAACAGCAACAAGTCCTCACCGATCTCAACGATGCCTTTGAACGAGCTCGCACGTTTGCACGGTCGGCTACAGCGCTCCTCGTCCTCCTCACCAGCTTAGTGTCTGTCTCCGCCCACAAGTCCGTCCGAGGAGAGACTGATGTGTGTGCTCCTGCTCTCCCAGCTGGCTTGCCTATCCGCTTCTACTCGACCCGGCAAAGGAACGGACCTACACTTCGCCTGCTCAGCTCGCAATTGCTCTGCCGCTCGCTCTGCTCTCCATCACTCTCTGCGCAGTCGATCAGCCGGACAGTCAGCGACGAGTCCAAGCGGCTCAGATGATCAGCGCTTCTTTGGGCTTTGGTGCACTGATCTACGTCTATTCGACGCAAGGCCAAGTCCAAGCGCTCCGATGGCTCGGCCTTGTTCTCACTTCAGGCCTGGCCACGCTCGTCTCATTCGAATTCCGATCATCAGCAGCTCAGATCGAAGAACTCGACAAGCTCAAGTGAGTCACAGTCAGTGGCTCTCATTGGCTGTACAAAGATGAACAAGTGCAATCAGATATGGCTACAAAGGCGCCTGAGCAGAGCAGATGGACGGTAGACTATGCCTCTTCCGGGCTGTCTTCTACACGAGCATGCTTATCCGCGACCTCGACAAAGTCGTCTTCCTCTTCCTGCGTGCTCTTGCCGGCGCTCTCTTGCGGCTCTGCAGTCGTGCTCGCCTCGTCAGTCATGGCAACGTCCTCGATTGCAATCGGCGCAGGCTCGGCTGCTCTCGGCACAAGTGGGAACTCGAGCTTGAGTACGCCATTGGCCATGCTCGCCTTGATATCAGAAGCAGTCGTCAGACGGTGTACCCGGATACCCTTCTTGAAGTTGCCAAAAGGTCGCTCGCTCAATTTGACAGACTGCGAATTGTAATGGGCAGGACGGGGTAGCTGACCAGACACGACGACGACATCGCCTCGCAACTCGAGCTTGACGGCTTCTTTTGGGATACCGGGCAGATTGATGTATGCTGTCTGGGTGCTCTGTCGAATCCGCGACTCGTCAGCCAGTGGCGAATCCCTAGCATCGCAATGACTGACCTCTGTCTGGACAAGATCGACCTGAGGCGTAAAGTGTGCTTCAGTCGACCGCTTGTCAGGTCGACGACACTCTCGCTCCACGCCGGCATGGACTTGGTTCAGGATCGAACCGATGAAGTCCTCGAAAGGATCAACGGCGGCGACTGGTGCAGTGAAGAAGACCATCTCTTGACTCTTTGCTTGCTTATCAGATATATAGGCGCGAAGGAAGTAGTGCGTGATTCGGAGGACAGAAGAGCCAGCTCTTTATACTCTGGGGATGAGTCAGCGGAAGCCGCACGAACATTCTCGAGGCGACGCGCAATTCATGAGCGCGAAGCTTCCAGCGTGATCTCGACCGATGACCGAGATTGGCTCTTGCCCACTGTTCAACAACACCCCAAGCGCAATGCAAACGTTCCATTCGTGTGATGCAATTGGAAACAATGCTTTCGATGTCTGACGCCGACCAGCTGAGCTCACGCTCATTGGGACTTTTTCTTTCCTGTGTATTCTTCGGCCGAAAAGGTGAACTTGCCCGTCTTTTGCAACCTGTCAACGAGCACATTGCCGAAAGCAGTACTGGGCGTCAATGGACCTCCTTCGTGAGCGAGACTGGGCAGATCTGCGTAGTCATGGATGATACACAACGCGCACTCTGACAACATCAGAGCAGTCAGTGCGTAACCGGGATCGCCCTTGCCCGAGATGACAGCCTCGGTGACCGTCTTGCCGTCTGCAGAATGAGCAAACGTATGTGTCTTGAACCAGCCGTCTGTGTTCTGCTTCTCTGATGGCCCAGAACCGGACTGTGGACCGACTTTCTGTGCGAGCAAGCGAAAGGGTGGGAACATGACGATCAAGCTGAATAGCATGAAGAACAAGCTGAACAGGGTCGCACTGACAGGGTCCCACCATGTCATGTATTCGTCGTAGGTCATGTCTCTACCGTAACTGAAGGCGTCCACATTGGTCGCACGAGTGGCTTCGAGAATGCCCCATGTGCGTCGGACGAGGGCAGTGTTGTAGGGTCCCATGAACCAAAAGGATCCGAACTGACCGCTCTCTCTGGTGACCACCTTGGGTCCTCGTAGCTTTTGCTTGCCCATCTCTGCGTTGCCACGTCAGTGTGACATACACCAATTCCACAGTTTGAAGACTGACTGGGAGACAAGGCGTAGGCATTGCCGGCTAAGCCTCTGTAAAGCTCTCTTGGAGAAGCAAGGAGATCCATCGCCGTCGCAAAAGTGCCACCAGAGATAGACCCTTTGACCTTGAAGCCAGTCCGTACGCGACCGGCAGATGTGGCGGGACCTCTGATCCGTTTGAGCAGTTGAACAGCGAGCAGGGTGCCCAGATCAGACGGCACAGAGTCAAAACCGCAAGAATGTACGATGATGGCACGGTTGACCATGGATGACTTGTGATGCTGCTGAATCTTCTGGGCAACCCATGTCGCTTCGGCGGTCAGGTCGAGGTAGTGTGTCCCCGCTTCTGCACATACCCTGCCAGTAGCATCTCAGTCAGCACGAGCAAACTCACCATGACGAAGAGACGAGTGACTTGATGAGCTTGTTGCCGTAGCGAGCGTAAGGTCCCACAAGGGTGATGACGACCTTGACATCCTTGACCATCTTTAGCAGAGCCGCTTCGTCGTCAGAATCGGCGATATAGATCTTTGCATCTTTGAGCCCAGATTCTTGCGCTACCGACTCTAGCTTTGCCTTCGAGCGACCGCCCAGAGCGATCTTGGCTCCGTCTGCATGCTCGGCGAGATATTTTGCGGTGAGCTTGCCGGTGTAGCCCGTTGCGCCGTAGATGCAGATGTCACTGCAAGTCGTTGAGCTGATGCGCTCTCAAGGATGGATCGACCTACATCTTGCGCTTCAGCTGCGGCGACGACATTGCTGCTGAGAGCGGCAAATCAGCCAGGCGAACGCGTCTTCTCCACTCGTCTTGCCTTACGTCATAGCAAGCTTGACACAGAGCTCATAGGATCCATGCCAGGCAGAGTGCATGGAGGTGCAACGCGAATGACTACTTGGCGGGCATAGCTTCACTTGCAGGACAGATTGTCTGATCACTTCTTGGCTTCCTTCTTCACTTCTCTCGCGCCCTCCTTGGAGAGCGAGCCAAGGTCGAGCACGGCGTCGCCTGCCTCTTTGCGCACGTCATCAAACAGACCACGGGCCTCCTTGATCCTGCAAGGTCTTGTGATCAGCAAGAGAGATCTCGTTGTGGAATGAGAGACACGACTGACCAGCTCTTGTCGCCAGAATCGTACTTTGACTTGATCTTGTCTGCACGGATCTTGAAGTCGCCGTTGATGTGACGAGCATGTTCGAGCAAGGCGTGCACGATGTTACGGATCTGCGTTCTGAGCTCCTTGCCTGTTTCGGAGCCCTTGTCGGTGAAGTTCTCGCTGGCGTTGATGATCTTCTCGAAGAAAGCCGATGCCTGGTCGCCTCCGAGGTCCTTCAGGTTGAGCTTTGACAGATTGAGATCCTTCATTTGGTTGATGTCGAGCTTCCTATGGGCCGCAAAAGAGGATCAGTGACGGCTAGAAAGAGGCCAGAGAGGGAGACTTGCTCAAACTTTTGAACGAGTCCTTTGACATCGAGTCCCTTCATCTCGTCAGGTACTGGGATACCTACCGCCTCGAGTGCGCCAATACTCTTTTTGTAGGCCTTTTGAGCTTGTGCAGGGGCATTGTTGTAGCTCTGCAAGGGAGCACAGGCTGGATGAGCACTGCACGATGATGCATGAATTCAATGAGCCTACAGAGTAGACGTAGGCACCAATGCCGAGGACAGCGAGGATGCCGGCATAAGTCGTCAGGTTGGAGCCTTTCTTGGCTGCGCCAGTCGAATGCTCGCCTTGCGGTCCAGGAGGCAAATGCGTGCTGGAAGCATATCTCGGTCGGAAAGCAGCGAGGGGCACGGCAGTGCCTCTCCGCGAGACTGTGGCTGCTCTCGTGCTTCTTGCTGCTGCCGTTCGGATCATTCTTGGTCTGGTAGATGCTGAGTTGGCTCAGAGGTTGACAGAAGAGCTCGTCGAACGTGATGACCTCATGGCGAAATCATTGATAAAGTTTCGCGTGGAGCTTGCGTCGATCGCGTAGACCGAAGAAGACATTCTGGGCGAGCGCGAACAGGGCAGAGGTCGCCCAGCAGAGTGTGATGGCCTACGACACAGAATCAGCAATGCAAGCTCCATGCTGGAGATAGAGCTTACTGCCGGGGCTTGCGCGGCAATGTAGATGACTGCCAGACTGACGACACTGAGGATATTCGTGGTCAGGCGCTCTCGCTTGCTCGTCTCGATTTGCAGCTCTTCTGTTCTCGCTATACGCGCATCGGGAGCGGTGTTTGATTGCTGTGAGCGCCGAGCTGAAGCCGATCTGCCTGTTGCTGGTGCTGGTGTTGGACTTGGCGCACTCTTACTGGTGACGAGCCTCTGCATAGCTCTCATGGTGCGGTTGTTCATGCCAGAGAACTGAACGTTTGCGAGTGACAGCAGACCGACACAGAGAGGCAGGAGCATAGTAGGATCCACTTCGACGAGGGAAGGGCACGAGAGAAATGACTCTGTCGCCAGGGGTGATGGCGATGAGGATGCGGTAATTATTGGCAGTAGCTCTGTCATTCCGCTCGTCGCACTCTCCTGCCCATGAGGATGAGCTATCAGACACGCTTGACGCAACATAGCACTGTTGCCAAGCAAGACTGGCAGATTGACAGCCAGGGGCCCCAATAATGTCGGCCAACGACGACATTGGTGCTTCTTGGTCAATTCGCGAAACTTCTTGCGCATGTGGGACTGAGCAACGGCTGTATATCGAGCATGGTTGTAGCCTTTGCGCCTGCATTCGGCCACGAGATCTGTCATGGCATATCGTCTGGCAAGCTCCATGGCAGGTACGACGTGCTCGGTCAGCCTCGCGATTCTTTTCCTTTGCCAGAACAGCATGGGCAGACCGGTGGATGCTCGCAGGCCGAGCGTGACTGCGATGATGAGAGCAGCATAGCTTGGGTGTGCGGGCAAGGCATCAGGCAGGAGCAGAAACTGATTTGCTAAGCGTGTGACGGGCTCGAGCCAGCCTGCATCGATGATTGTTTGCGGTACTTGGACCGTCGTGGAGAAGTGTCGTGCGCATGTTGGAGGAGCAATGCGGGGTCGGCAAGCTCGCTGGATCAGCATGTCGCGGGTAGGTGGAAGTCGTCGCGAGCGTGGCAAAAGCAAAAGCTGCGAGGCAAGGCAGCCAACCAAGACTTGGCCGGCTTGCGATGTCGGCAGCGCTCGCCAGGAGCAGCGTCAAGATCCAGCGTGATCCTTTCGATGACTGGGAGACCGAGGAAGATCTAGCCCAGCAAGCGAATGAAGTCCAAGCCAGCAACCGGCCGGCAATGGGATCAACACATCTCGACGCAGCAGAGGTGACAGATCAAGCCAATGCCCAGCTATGGAATGCACCGTCAGTCGCTCATATGATCATCACCTGTCGATGGTGCTGATGAGCCGATCGACCAGTCAATTTGAGATCCTGTCTGCGTCCACTCAGGCGAGAGCTGCACCGGCTCAGCAAGCTACGCAGATCAAGCTTGCCTCTCGCCATACCAGGAGTGCGGCCCAAGCTACGCCTCTGAGTGCTACTCCGTCAATCAACGCAGGCATGCTTGCAGCCAATCAGCCGAGAGGCATGCAGATCTTGCGACGTCCGACTGCCCAAAGACAACAGGAGCTGCTGCAAGAAGCTCAGGAGCGACAGCGTAGAGCAGAAGCGACGGGCAAATCGCTCGAAGAGCGCGAGAAGGAGTACCAGAAAGCAAAGGAGCGCATCTTTGGAGCTTCCTCTGCCAAATTGTCACTGCCAGAGGACGCCGCGCCGGGTCAGCTGAGCCGGCCAAAGTCAAAGGAGCCCCAGAAGCGTTCCCCGCGAGCATCCCCGGGCCGATCGGGCTCACCTGTTGTCGCCGCAGTAGAGCCTAGCAGCGCCAAAGCGACGCTCTACGATGGAGCTAGCGAACCGTCGGGGTACGTCAGCAAGATGAATCCATCGAGGGATGGTGCGCCTGCACAGTTGATCGCGCGAGCCACGCGATCACCCAGGCCGCCGGCAGACTCGAGCATCGGCTTTGCATCTCTCTCACTCCAGCAAGACGACCTCCCCCCGCCTGTTGCTGCCCCACAGGGCGAAGTCTTTGTCAAAGTCAAATCTCAGCGCGGTCGCTCGAGGGCGAGGTGACGATCGGAAGGCGTCGCCGACAGACGCAGTCTGTCTAACATCATCGTTTGTGCGTGTGCTTGCTCTCATTGAGTAGATACCATGGAGGAGATGTCCGTCGATGAGTGTCCTTGGCCCTTGCCAGGCTCAACCTCTCTGCACGAGCCAACGATGACGAAGGAATCCCCTCTCGATCGTTTGGCGTATCTCGACCGCTGCTCTGCTTATGGCGGCTATGACTCGTCTGTACCGAGCGAGACGGCCAGCCTACTAGCAGATCATTCGACGTCTCCTTCCGATTCGTCTGTCTTTGCCCAGCCATCAGATTCGTCCAATGTCTCCTTCCTGCTGCCTTATCGGAGCGCCTCTGACCCGTCAGCCACATCGATCGAGTACAGAGGCTCCCCTCGTCCTCATCTCCTGCGGGACTCGCCTCGTATCTCCGCTTACGATAGGCTCACGATGCCCTCGGAGGTCAGCAGACGGGACTCGATCCTGCTTGATCCGCCGAGACCGTCAGTCCACACTGGTACTTGCAGTGAGGCAACGAAAGATGTCGATAGCGAGACAGAGGACGACGATCGATTGCCTCTCCTCTTTGCCGCTTGCACGCCTGAACATCAACGCCAGGAGAGCAGCCGCTCAAGACAAACGACGGCCACGTCGCCCTATGCACACTCGTCAGACACTACAACCCGACGGCAGGCGACAGATTGGATGATTCTCCATCTCGAGCCCAACATGTGCACCCCATCCTGCGCGCCAGATATGGCAGAGACATGCCGTACAGGTACTCTGTCGGGTGATGATGAGCCAAAGCAACATTCATCCGGTGATGAGACATCTGCCCATGCGCGTCAATGGAAGGTTGCTGGCCTGCAGTGGAACGCAAAGGAGACTCAACTCAAGATCACACGAAAAGGAACGATCGAAGCCAGAGCTATCAAGCCTCACGAGTGTGTTGTGGTACTCTTGCCTCACACAGGAAGCTGATCAAGCCTCAAAGGAGCACGCTCGCTGCCTCCACAGCTCGCAGTGCGTCACGTCCCGCGCATGGCCGAGCAAAATCTGCGCAGGACCCCAGATGCTCGCTATCGTCCTCTGTCATGATCGAACATTTGCCAGAATTGGGCTACCATCAGCTCATCTCCGGCAGACTCGAACGTCAGACTACCCGTGACACCGCCGATCGGGCTACCTCTTTCGACTTAGAATCTGGACAGCTCATGCCATTCCCAGCAGAACAGTGTAATTGGTCGCCTTGGAGCTCCAATGGAGCTCTGCACAATATGCACGAGGAAGAGATCGACCTAATCAGTCCCACTCAGTCGACGTCGAACAGTGTAAACAAGCTGAGACGTCTGTGGTCACTTGGTCGGCTCAAAAATGTCCAGCAGAGTACACCCGCCTCGCGCCGGGCAAACTCTGACGCATCGAGTCTGACGCTCGTCTCCGATTTGTCCGGTCGCTCTCAGCCGATCTCATTGAGTAAATCCTGGCGGCCAGTTGCCTCGTCGTCTGGCTCTACGTTGCCCACGCCACCGCTCGCTATCCCCACTCGCGACGAGGATGATATCCTGGCGTACTATCTCTCGGCGGCCACCATTTCGCCAAGCGCGCCAGGAGCCGCCAGACGATCGAGCGAGATCCCTGCGCCAGGCTCTCCGTACAGCATATCGCCCACCTCTGCCACTTGTCATGACATGATGGAGCTGCTGCACGACTCGCCATCTCCTATGCCTCGGAAGAAAAAGAGTATCGCCGCTCGATTGGGCCACAAGCTGGGCCAGTGGACATCTCCCAAGCAAAAGAATGCTGTCAAGTCATCTCTGCAGTATTCAGCCACTTATGCTCCGCTAGTGATGCAGCCTGCTCCGCCTCGCGTCGCTGTAAAGCCCTTGCGAGCTTGTCAGTCCGACTCGAATCTCTTCTTTCGCTCCCAAGACGAGCGAATCCGCAGATCACCTACATTTAAGCCAATTCCAGACGGACACTGTCCCGAGACAGAGGACGCGGCCTCGTTCGTGTCGTGGACCGCAGGGGTGCGCATTGCGCAAGTCGCTGAATGCCACACTTCTGACACTACTTCGCGTAATAGCCTTGCTGGGGATGACATTCCATTGGCGCGCCTGACGCAAGCCTATCGAGCAGCCTCGTCTCGGATGCAAACTCGTGCAACTTGCACAGATCAACAACAGTCGCGAACGATAGACTTGTCAAGGGCAGGAGCCGATCAGTCGTGCAATATGCGCAGCGGCGACAGACTCGAAGTTATGCAGCCACGGCTTGCTCAGGGCCGCTCGCGCCGCGTGCTTGCTCGGGAAGACGATGTCCCGTTGGCGATGGTAGCTCAATGTCGCAACCATTTGCTGGCATGGAAACATCAAGGTGTTTGAATGCAAGGCTGCTGCAGCGCTCAGTGTCGTGCGTTTGTGAGACTGAGAACTGGATTCGCAACTTCGCCCGGCAAAGGCAAGGTGCCATCGTCTGTTGTGTCTGGTATGCGCATCTTGTCGATGATTTTGAGAAGCAGCGGGTTACCTCCTAGCCGTTCTATCTCTTCGCGTGCTTGTACGTCGAGCCGCGAGAGAACGTCGCGGCAATAGGCAAACGAGCCGGTCTCTTGCATGTAGGCCACCGCCCAGGCCTTGAGTGATGGATCGCTGGAATGTTGCCGCAGCACATCTAGCGCTCAATGCTCAGTCCGCGGCGTCGTCAGAGAGGAGTGACGACCCACTGATGAGGCGCGAATTACTCGAATCTGCTCTGATGGAATGAACGATTGGAAAAGAGAATTTGCCTTCTGTCAGATCTTCGCAGTATCCTTTATGGTCGGCATACTGCATCTGGACTCAGCGGGTCCGCATGCATATGCGAGAAAGGTGACCTGCCTGGGAAGACTGCAGGTTCATATAATCGTCGCGGATTTGAAAGAGAACACCGATGAGGTTGACGAGCGGCTCGTAGGCTCTACGAGAACGCCTGACTTAGTCGCAGAGTACTATCAGAAGGTAAGTACCCACTCGACGTTGCTATCTGGGCGTGTAGAGCAAGCTTGCATCAATTTGGTGGCTATACGAAAGAGGCCGCCCGTCTCTGCATTTGCCGATCAGTCAGTCTATCTGCGTATACGGCTGGCGTATTTTTACTGACTGAAATTGACCATCTCGATGTAGTCTTGCTCAGTGGGACAAGTGAGCGTGTCGCGCCAGTATAGGTCCATGCCCTGGCCTCGGTGGAGGTTGAGCAATTCCTCTGCCACGGTCGTTTCAGCATTAAGAACCAAGTATGAGGTGAGGCTTGCCATTGACAAGACTCTGGATGTTGACGCCTCTGTGAGAGCGCAAGCTTGCTAGGTCCTGTAGTGCAAGAAAGTAGACGTAATTGGCTGAATTGATCGTCTGGGGCACGCCAAAGACCTTGTGGGCGACTGAATGAAGTGTCATTCGCCACGGCGGGACGGTCTGCAATCAGCGCTTACCGGGAATACCGCGGCGCAAGACGGAATCATCTTCTACGTCGTCCATGCTAGTCGAGTGTCAATGCTGTGAGCGAGATCCACCGAAGGAAGGGCGCGGGGACGGACAGGAGACTCGCGACGTGCAGCATCTTGACGATCCGCTTGACTATCTCGAGCGCGTCCGGAGAGACCTGCATCCATACATTGAATGCATCGATGAGCTGCGAGCGGATCTCCTTGCCGCCTGACGAGTCAATGTAGTGGAAGGGTTCGAGGAGGATCTAGAGTGCTTGGGGAGATGAGCTCGAGTGTTATCAGTCGATGGCAAGGCGCCGCTTGCCTGCTCTCGTTCACTGGGCCATGGTCGGCTCTGTCGGTGCCGAGCTATAAAGTCGTCGAAGCTGTCCCGCTGACTTGACATCGGGCGCACGACTTGCCCACACCTTTGGACGTCGTCGTGACTTCAAGCTTTGGCTTGACGCGTCTCGCTCGACTACGCAGTCGGTCGGGTCCTCACTCACCACAGGCGAGGCAGCGAGAGCGAGGCGCGATGCGTGCGAGGTAGCAGCGGTGCCGAGTGATAGCCACGAGAGCTTGAGATGGCAAGCAACGGCGTCGCCGCGTTCGAGTCGGCCTACGCAGCTCGTCAGGCTCCTCGAGGGTACGCTGCCCCCGTCAAGGTGCAGCACTCGGCCTCCTCGAGCATGTCCTCGACGGCAGAGACGATAGACACGCCCATCGACTATCAAGCGCTGCAACGTACGTCGCAATCTCTAGCTCGACCACCGCGAGTGTGCTCAACGACTCATCTTGGACCGTTGCAGCCCCTTCAGAGTACGGTCTGACGATCAAGCAGACTGATGAGCAGGCCCAGTACCTAGATGACACGCACAGACAGCTCGACAGCGGCGCGAACACGCCTCAAGCATATCCAACTCGGCCCTATGGCGGCGACAGCGAGCGCACTTTCGCGTACCCTCGCCCACAAGCATCAGACAACACTCTCCTCATCGCCGGCAGGGCCCGCAATCTCAGCTTGAACGATGGCGATCAGACTCCCACCATGGTCGGGTCAGGCCCCGCAGCATCTCTGCAGGCTCTCCAGCGTCAGGCAATCGGTCTTATCAACGAGAGCGAGTCTGAAGCGCCGCCCACAACGGCTTCCGCCCTGCTCGCGCATGTACTGTCACTGCGCAAGCCTGCTGCTCAGCCGATGACGCCCCAGATGGGAAGGTCGCACTCTGCTGGCGTCGCCGTCAACGGCGCTTCCAAAGAGACGGTCAATGACCTCGCGCCACGGTCGCTCGCCATGGGTTCATCTATGGAACAGGCTTCTCATTCTCGCAACATATCTGCAATCTCGGGGACATCGGCTCAGTCGATTGACGAAGACAATGAACGCCGAGCGCGGCCTGCTTTACCACGCGACCGCGCCAAACCCGTCACGGGGCTCGAGACAGTCGATCTTAGTCATTCGAGAATAGCAGAGGTGCCGGCAGAAGTCATCGACGTGCTCGAGGGAACAGTACAGCGACTCGCGCTTGGCTACAACTACCTGACCGCGCTACCGGCTTGCTTTGTCTCGCTCGGCACGAGCTTGCGATATCTCAATGTCAGAGTCAACATGCTCTCCGTGTTTCCTGCGGTGGTGAGTCACACTATCCCTTGCACTATCTGAGAATCGCTGACGAGTATGAGATTAGCTGTGCGAGATGCCTTCGCTCGAGATCCTGGACGTGAGCCGCAACAGGATACGGAAACTGCCGAGCAACTGCGGCTCGCTGAGACACCTCAAAGTGTTTTCAATCTCAAAGAACAAGATCAAGCGACTTCCTGCCTACTTTGCAGAGATGAGCCAATTGCGCGTGCTCAAATGCGACCACAACCCGATCGAATGGCCGCCTGCAGAGATCACAGAGATACCCAATACTTCGTCGAATAGCGATGCCAGCAGACCCACGACGAGTGAAGCCGTCAAGCTGGACGAAGCAGAGACGATGCAAAAGTGGTTGGCAGCATTGCAGTCTTGGATCCGTGATCATGCCTTCGAAGCGCGCCCTTTGAGCGCATCAGGCATGGCCAATCCTTACGGCCACAGTCGAAGCGATTCAAGCCTGTCGGGTCAAATGCTGCCACCCTCGAGCTATCATACGCGCAACACCTCCCCCAGGCGACCGGGTCATCAGGCCAGTGGATCTGTTGGCTATCCAGCACCACCGCACAGCGCCCGATCTACAGATAACGCATCGGCAGATCACGCTCGGTTCAGTCACGGTCGCAACGCCTCGCAGTCGATTGCAGACGCACATGAGCGCGGTAGACCTAGCTTGCAGTCTAAAAAGAGTCTGCCGGATCTGCGTCAAGATCACGCGCAAATCATTGACGATCGAAGCATGGGAAAGCTCAACGGCTCTGCTCACGACTATGAACGCGAGCGACGCAACGGTCATCCGCCGGATCTCGCGTCAATGCTCCGTGAGGATCCTCATGCGCGAGCCGGTGAGCCTTCTACCCAGAGAAAAGTCCGCCACGATAGAGATGGCAACGATCACCTGGCTGGCGATCGCAGTAGTGGGATCTACTTCCGCAGACTGTCCATGCTTCCGCCGTCGAGCATCTCGAAGGAGGTTTCGCCTGCTTTGCTGGCAGCAATGGACTCGGTCCGCGGTTTGCTCTTTGCGCTTTCGCAGGTCTATTCCGCCATTCGGCAGTTCATCGTCTTTGCTGCTCATGACAAGATGCCGGGCGCAATGTCGAAGATCATGGCCACGGCGGACAGCTCCATGAGCAGTCTTATCAATGCGCTCGATCGCTTTGACTCTGCTTCTCGGCGAGCTCCACCGGGCGTGCTGCTGCTCATTGAAGTCTTTCAGGCCTGTCAAGCCAATGTCACCGCGTTCAGGACACTCGTCAGTGCGCTTGCGGTGCAGTCGAAGGTGCTGACATCCGCTGCCGATGTGCGCTACACTCGCACGTTACTGCTGATGCTTTACGGCGCGACTGGCGAAGTATCTCAGTCTTGGCAAGCCTTGACGCCCTTTGCAAGGCAGATTAATGTCCAATTGCAGCAGACGGCTCGACCGCCGAACATACGCAAGGGCTCGACCGGCCATCACGAAATCGACGAGCTGGGCGAGCAGGCGACTCGTCCCGCCTTGCGCAACAGGCGCCATGCTGGCTCCTTCAATGTCGGTGACGTACGTCAAGGCGGTACACTGCCGATGTCTTCGGCCATGCCGCCTGGTACAACCTTGAGCGGACTGCCCAGCTCAGCAATCGCAGAGGATCCCGCCGAGGCCGTCATCGGACATTCGCGCGGGCAACCTCTGGCAACACCATCAACTTCGAGTGGTGCTCTCCGCGACATTTTTTCACATCTGAATGACATGCCGCCAACGCCCGTGACATCGCATCCCCCTCAGACCTACTTTCAGTCGCCAAGCTCATTCGGACCGCCTCCTCGCGGAATGAGCAGTCGAAGCGGCAGTCAGCATGAGCTCAATACGCCCGAGTCAAAGTCTGCGGCTATGCGAGCACCACAGTCTGGCGGGCCTATGAGTATTGACGAGGACTTCTTGAACATGGTCGATGCGACGACTGCCATTGCGCATACGGTCTGCGATATGCTACTGCGCACTCTTGGCGAGGAAGAGTCTCAGCGGCCGCAACGCCGTGTTACTGAGCTGATGACAATGTGCAAGAGTGGTCACGAGGCTACGCGACGCCTTCGCGCAAGTCTTGACGTCGTCCGCAATCCTGACGATGGCTATGCCAGCAGCAAATGGCGGTTCGTCGTAATCAGTGCTGGCTCGTCAGAATCGATCAAGATTTGGGAGGACTGCAACGTCTTTGTCAAGACGGTCATCTCGATTGCATCACTGGCGCGTACAACATCGCAAGAGCAGCCGTTCCCTCGTAATGTTCGCGAGGGGCTCGGTCAGCTAGCCAAGGTGAGACTGCTCGTGTCTGCTTGAGCTCGAGCTGATGATGGAGCCGCAGACGACAAGCGAGCTTGCTACGCTGCTGCATGTGAGCAGCTTCAAGGAGCGGCGGCAAGAGATGCGCAGTCCTCATGCAGTCCGACAAGATTCATGAAGGCTCGATGTGCAAGCAAGGCGGTCTACATCGGATCTAGTTGTACAATCGAGAACAAGTGCAAATTATTGTCGCCTGCGTGTCATGCGCATAAAGAGTGCAAAAACGGTCGCTGCGCCGACTGCGCCGCCAAAGACGGACGAACTGAGCACGCCTGCCAAGCCGGTTGACTGATGGACTGCAGCATTGGATGGCATGATGCGCTGTAGCCAGCCAGACTGTTCATTCTTCGTGCCGCTCTCGAGTGATGATAGCCGGGAGGTGACCGTCCGGAGCTGCACCACAAGCTCTCTGAGTGAGCGGGCTTCAGAGGCAGGCATGTTTGCAAGCTCCTCGTCATCGTCATCCTCTTCTTCCTCTTCCCCCTCCTCGCCTTCGCTGTCATCTGCCTCGATCTCTCCCGCATCTGCCCCTTGTGCCTCTTTCGCAAGCGCGGGATCATCCCATGATCCAAGCAAAGGCGGAAGCCAATCATCGCCTTGCAGGGCTGCACGCTCCTTCTTTGGCTCGTACGTCTCGGCGAGCTTGCCCACCTTGGCAAGACTTTTGGGTATAATGTTCTGCGCAAACATTAGCTCGTGTCCTCTCGCGCTCAAAGGAGCTGATACACCTTTGTGACGAGTTGGATGATCTTGTCCGGTACCCAGCTGCCGAGACCGCTGAGGTCTGTGATCTGAATGAGTCGCGAGCCACCATGGCCATCCTCCTCTGCGACGAAGCCAGAGATGGCAAGTTTCATGCGGTTGTAGCCAGATTGCTCTGGGCGGTCCTTGTGCTCGACCGAGGTAGTTGCGCACATTAAGCGTAGTATAGGCTTGTCAGAAGAGTCTGGCACGGTCGAGGCTGTCGGCGGTAAGCGGGTGATGATGGAGAGCAGGCACATGTCCTTTGCTTTGACGGGAAACATGCCCTTCATGGCGAGATAGGCGATGCTGCCCTGACGTTTGCCGTCTGCTTTGACACCGCGCGGTCCAAGCTCCTCTACGGTCTCTGCCTTTTCGCAGAGGCCATCCCAAGTGACTCTATTGCCGGCATCGATGAGGACTTCCCAGAGCTTCCTGACCTCGAGCTCTGGGAAAGTAGACGAGATCGCATAGAGCTGAGGCATGGAAGGATGCTTCATCACTTTTGTGCGTTCCGAGTCGTGCACGAGCGCCCATTGATCGAGTGGTATGGGCGCAGGCGTGTCGTCTTTCGGCTCCTTGAGCTCGCCTAGCGGCTTGGGGTCGACAATAGCAAGCTGTGCGCATGTTCAGCATGATGACTGGCTGCAGAGAAAGCGAGCACTTGCCATGCTGTACAAGCACTTGTCGATCACGGCGTCGGTATACACGGGATGCTCTCCCTTTGACTTGGCCGATTTCCTCGATTTGGGCTTCCGCTTGAGCCGTCGTGCTTTGGGTACGACAGAGGAGCGGTCATACTCATCCTGATCGGCTTGGCTGACGACACCGGCCACCGATTCTGCTCGCCTGACCGCGTTGACCGGGTTGAGGTTGATCACGAAGCGGAGCACGAGCAGTAAGACGACTTCGACAAGGCCAAGATGGAGATTGTCCAGTGACAGTCGCTCTGCCAGACGGGCATCAGTCATCGTGTGAGCAGAGGACAGGCTTGACTGACGCTTCAAGGTGATGAGGAAGTAAAGCGGCGCAACAGAGGAGACCAGAGCGAATGCCGTCCTCGAAGAGGCATCGTCACTGACGCTACTTCTGCTGTCAGCCTAGGCCTTGTTCGTGTTGCGCTTGACTCACATGTGCCTCTTGCTTATAGGCCCTTCTGCTGCCGCCATTGCTTCAGTCACTCGAGCCCGGCAAAGTCGCCGTGACGTGCACCGGCCATTCCATTTTGTCAATGACGCGGTCGCCGTCGATCACTGCCCTGCCTTGCCCTGCCTTTGTCCTCCTCTAAAGTAACGCATAAGCCTCCTTGTGCGACCCTGACCTCTCGAGTCCGCATCATGCGACATCTCACTCGCATCGTCCCATCACCGTTTGCCATCATCTAGTCAATATGTCCCTCCTCATGGTCACATGCCTCACAACGGCCTTGCTGAGCTCGGTCACAGCCGAACAGCAGCTATGGTCTGTCTGTACGTCGATAGTCGATGGTCGCAAGCATGCTCGCTCAACGTCAGCATGATAGGGTTGTCAAACAGGTACGAACGAGGCGCATACGTCTTTCAGTGCGGCGATAGCTCGTACGGGCTCTTTGACATCTACGCCGAAATCGATGACTTGATCTACGACTTTGCAGTCAATCATGCAATCCTGCCACAGTACGTGCTTGCCCTCTTGTCGCGGAAGTAGTCTGAGCACGTCGTAGCTACGCTTGCTCTGCTGATCTCAATCAGGTCGTTTTCGCCAACACGCTCAACGATCAGCCTGTGGTCAGCGGCCAGTCCGTCTTCGCGTGCAGCCCTTCAACGGAAGCCAAGCCTGCTGCTCCATCGTGTCATGTATGGCCAAGGCGAGGCTAGCAGACGACGGTGCACCCTGCAGCGCTGGCGCGGAGGAGACTCTGTAATGCATTCTTTATACGCTGTTTTCCTAGGCCTTTGTGTGCTTGTTAGGTCCGTCTGTCTTGGCTTCTCCCGCGGGTCCATCCTGGAAAGATCGCTTCTTGCCTTGCGACTCGTTGAGTGCTCCCTTGGGCTTCGTCCGATTCTCGAAAGCAGCTCGGCGCGCTTCGCCTGCAGCGACAATGGCGGGTGAGGCGAGATTGGTCTGCGATCGATACCAGGTCCAGTCAGTCCCCCATCATGCCAGGACAGCGATAATATGTACCTTATGCAGAGCAGAGAGCGTATTGTGACGCTTGAGGTCGTCGAGAAGCTTGAATTGACGTTGGCAAAGAAGACAATGCATCTTTTCGGTGTCTGCGAAAGCCATCGTCGGATCTGTGAGATCTACAGCGGGGGAAGGTGCAGTCGTGACAGCGACGGTCGGAACCGGTGTAGCGCTGGCTTGTACTGGCGTCTGTACTGATGTCTTCTTGAGTTCCTGCGGCTGGCTTGGCTCGACCGGCCCAGCGTGGCCATTTGCAGTGACTACAGCTGCTGGAGAGGGTTCTGCGACGGAGCTGATCGCCACGTTTGCGGCAGTTTGGGACGCGAGCAGACGTGTAGCGTCAGTAGGTGTCAAAGAAGGAACCTTGGCAGTCCCTGACGTAGCATCATTGAATGGGGCAGAAACCTCGGCTACTTTTGCGACAGAAGGAGCAGAGACAGCTGGTGCGGAGGTCTTGCTTGGTGGTATAGTGGCCGCAGAAGTCACTACGGACAATTTCTGAGGGGGTCGCTCGCCTCGCAGTGCAGCGATAGCTGCCGTCTTTGCAGTCTCGCTCGCTTTGACTGCCGCGGCGACTCTTGCCGCTTCATCTTCTGAGAGAGGTCGATCAGCACTTGCTTGCTCGCTTGCAGTAAGTCCAGGCGAATCGTTGCGAGCTGCTGCGCTTGCATCACTTTGCACGGCAGTCACTGCTGCCGCTGTTCCAGGCGCGCCGGGCAATCCATTGGCAATGAGTGCGACGCGAGCCGCGCGCTCTTCAGCTCGACGGCGCTTGACCTCTTCGGGCTCCCAATCGCTGCAGAAGGCATTCTCGTCCCAGTACAGCTTCAATGCTCCTCCGCTTGGTCCACGGAATGTATACTGGCTTCGCATGGGTGTCGGATGGAAGGACTGTTGATGAGCAAAGGTCACACCGATAGGCTTGCCAGAGATAACGAATCCTTCGGAGTAGCGTACAGGGTCGAGCATGGTCGTGATTGCCCGTGACGCAGAAGCCACGCTGATATATTCAACAAACGCAAAGCCCCAGCTGAGTTTCGTCCGACGATCTCGCACCATCATTATCTTGCGCACTCCATTGTCGCCCTTGAAATCGCCATCATCACCCATACCGTCGAGGATCTCGGTCAGCGCAGTTTCGGTAACGGTCGTGTCGAGATTTCGTATGAGAAGCACGGAAGAAGGCAGCGTGCCGATGTCGCGCACACCGTCATTACTAGACCGTTTGCGAGCACTGTCTGCAAGCACTGGCGATTCTGATGCGTGTGAGCATCAGCTTTCGCAAGCCATCCTTGCTGAACGAACTCACTCTCGTCTCCCTTTAGTCCGCTGGCAATCAGCTCACTTGCGGCACGGATCGGCAGGCCTTTTGCGGCTGCTGCTTGCGCTGCTGCTTGATCTTGCATGAAGCTGCGGACGACAACGTGTGCGCGTTTCTGACCAGGTTCGGTTCGTTCGGTTTGAGAGTAGTCAACTTTGATTTGGTAGGGAGGCGATGCTATGACACCATACTCATCTCGCCACATCACGAAAGGATGGTGCGTCTCGACGAAAGTGCGGGCGTCATCGATGGACACGAACTTCGCGAAACCATAACGCTTGCTCAATCCTGTGGATTTGTCCTTGATGACCGACGTGCTTTCAGGTCTTGCACCGAGTTGCTCGAGGAAGCGCTTCAACATCACATCGTCACAATCAGGCGGCAGACCCATGAAAATGGCGGACTGTGCTGTTCCCGAGAGGCCAGCGTTGGGTGCGACCGACGCGGGTGTATCGCTTCTAATGTTAGGATGCGGCGATGCGGAGGTGGCTGCTGCGGCTGATCCGGGTTGCGCTGTCTTGACCACCGCGGAGCCCATAGGTGCCGATGCGGACGCTGTGCTCGGCGGTGCGCGCGACGATGTCGAATTCGAAAGGACAGCATCCGAAGGGGCAGCGGTATCACGCGCGCTTACATTCGAGTTCGGGGGACGAGCTGCGAGAGTAGCGACGCTGGGTGAGACAGCGCTGCGTATCCTAGAAGAAGAAGCAGTACCTTTCTGTTGATCACGATCGCGATCGTTGCGCTCAGACCGCTCGCCGCGATCACTGCGGGTAACTGGCGCTAGCTTAGGCGAAGCGCTGCGGCGGCCGCGCACGTCTGGCGGTCCATATGACGGCATCGTACCTCTGCTGCCGGCGCTGTAGGGCTGACGGCCGTCACGACTGTCATAACCTGCGCTGCTGAGTGGCTGATCATAGTAAGGATCGTATCTTGAATCCGGTAGATGCGGCGGCATGGAACGGTCCTCGCGCCTGAAGTCGGGCGAATAGCGCGGATCGCGCGCGTCAAAAGGGACTCCTCTCGGGTCAAAGGGCGGTCCTCGAGAGTCGTAGGGTGCGCGTGGATCGAAAGAAGGGGCGCGAGGGTCGAAGGGAGAGGCACGCGGATCTCTGCTATCGAAGGGGATCCCTCTTGAGTCATACGGTGCACCGCGCGGCAAGTCTCTGAAATCTCTCGGATCGAAAGGCCTTTGATCACGAGGATCAAAGCTAGGACCTCGCTGGTCGTACAGGGGAAGGCGAGGGTCCATTGGCAGACTTCTCGAGTCGATTGGCCCGCGCATATCAACCGGCGGACCACGGAAGTCGTCACCTCTGTGATCAGGCGGGCCGCGCATGTCGAGTGGTGGGCCTCTTGCATCGCCGAAAGGCCCCCTTAAGTCGCTAGGCGGGCCTCGGGGGTCCCTCGGATCACTAGAAAGACCTCGGGAATCACGTAGATCGTTTGGCGGACCTCGTGGATCACGTGCGTCGAGCGGCGGTCCTCTTGGTGGACGTGATCCAGGCAAGAGCGCTCTGGCGTCTCGAGCGTCGCTTGGCGCTTCCCGTCCATCTAGTGTAGGCCCTCTTGCATCGCGCGTGTCCATAGGTGGTCCTCTAGCGTCTCTCGTGTCCCCCGGAGGTGGAACCCTGCCCTCACGAGTGTCAAGGGCCGTTCCTCGGGGGTCGCGTGCATCTGCAGGCGGACCCCTTGCATCACGAGGATCGGCAGCAGGGCGAGGCGCATCGCGGGAATCGAGTGGCGGGGCTCTCGGTTCACGTGCAGCGGTGGGCGCACCTCTGATTGCGCCAGGCGGGCCGCGCGACTCAGAGGGAGGGCCGCGCAAGTCGACTGAGTTGCGTGAGTCAGGCGGACCTCTTGACTCGAGCGAAGGCCCCCTCGAATGAACAGGTGGACCACGAGACTCGCCGGGCGTTCCTCTTGACTCAACAGGCGGTCCTCTTGACTCGAGGGGCGGTCCTCTTGCATCCATCAGGGGTGGCCGAGTATCGAGCGGCGGGCCTCTCGGGCCTCTCGAGTCCATTTGACCTCGTGTGTCGAGGGGAGGTCCTCGCGGGTCGAAGGGCGGTCCACGCGATTCCAAAGGCGGGCCGCGTGCATCAAGGGGAACGTCGCGAGGGTCGAGAGGTGGTCCCCGAGGAGGATAAGGTCGCTGTTCGTCACGATAAGCCGAGCCGGGCGAGTCGCGATAATAGTAGTCACGAGGCGGTGGCGAACGACCGCCGGGACCAGCAGAGCTATAGTATGGATCGCCCGAAAGTGTTGCAGAGAGAGGTCCACGACGATCATCGTAAGCATCATAGGCACTGCTATAGGAGCTCATCGGCGGCGGCGGTCCCCGTCCGGGGTGAGGGTAAGGCTGTCCTGGGCCATACGAGGGCGGCAGAGGAGCTGAACCGAGATCGTTGGGGTAGGTCTGTGAAGCAAAACGCAAAGCATCGAAAAAGTCAGACCCGTTCAAGTCCACAAAGCACAGATTGAGCTGCTGATCTTGCGGGAAGAGCAGAGCGGCAGAGGAGAATGACGGGAGGAGCGCTCACGTCATATGGATCCCTGGAAAGGTGAAGTGCACCAGGCCGAGATGGGGTGATGACAGGGCCATGTGGACCGCGGGGTGGCAGGTCACGATAGTCAGATTGATAGCCGTTGCTGCTAAGCCCAAGCGGGGGGCGGGAAGCCATGGATTGAGGCGTGGGGGGACCTCTCGGATCATCGTAGGGCATCCTGTCGTCGTATGGCATCGGTGGGCCTCTTCCGTAGTCCGGGTAGCCCCCACTGCCGGGTCCCCGAGGACCGGGCAAAGCAGGAGGAGCAGGTCGGCCTTCAGATCTGTAAGGATCGTTCGATGAGGGACCTCTCGAGGGCGGTCGACCTGGCGTCGGAGGCGGACCATAGCCTGGACCGTTTGAAGACCTCAGCGGCGGTGGACCAGATCCTGGGCCAGCGGCGTGAGAAGGACCGTTTCTCAGGCCAGGCGTGACCGGCGGATATCGGTCATCCCTGTAGGCCATCCGTGCTGATACACCTGATCAGTGATATAAAAGCCAGTTCCTCGGCCGGTGCCGTTGTGTACGCAATCGCTGCCCTACTTGTCAGGCTCTGCCCTCTTTTTTTCCTGCTTGGGCGTTCCTGGAGCTAGGCAAAGTCTCTTGATTTCGTCTGGAGCGCAGATTCTCTCGAGTCGGATCAGACTGTTTGCATAGGTGTGTGGGTAGGGCGCAGACCGCAGAGCGTCTACAGATGCGCCCGCCTTTCGACCAGGCACGGGCTGCGCGCTCAGCTGCAATGCAACGGCGCACGCTGGCTTTTCTCTCACGGTACAACATTGTCACCGCTTTGAAATTGGCGTTGGCGCGCGGTTTGAGGACACTCGTGGTGCTTCGCTCTGGGGGTAGATCTGTTCGATGGGCGCACGGAAGCAGAGAAACTGCAGAGCCGAAGCTCGCTTGCATGCCACCAAGCTGTTGGCGCTGTTCAGCACTGCGACGAGAGGTGATCAGGGGCAGACTTGCATGTCCTTCATGCGCGATAACTGTGCACTCGAAGCACGAGGGCCTTGATAGATTTCCGATACGGCTGTGTAGGCTTGCTGGAAGGTCGCCCTCACGCGATCAGAGATGTAAGTCTCGAGTACTTGCTGGCTGAATTCGGCTTCTAGTGTCGCCTGAAGCATGCCACCTGTACCGAATGATTTTACTTTGCTGAACGAATTGAGATACTCGGCCGCCAATCTCTCAACGAGAGCGTTCATCACTCGAGGGAGAAGCGTCTTTGTGATCCGGCCCACTTGCGCATGCGTAAGCACGAGCATGATGAGCGATTCGTAGACGTAGGAGTGGATCTCTGCAATGCCATGTCAGCTCGTCCGTCGCAGACAGGCGTCATATTGACCAGCTGGGCCTTGGAAGGATTGCCAGGGGACCTGTGAGATGCCTTTCCTCACAGTGCCTGTCATGCGATCAGCTTGCCGGGTGACGAAGTCGTCAAACAATGCCCTGTCGAGCTCTTTGATGAGTTTCTCCACACTCTGCAACTTCTTATGTGAGTAGGAGCTCCATGGACGTCAAGAGACGCACAGATCTTGGCTCAGACACATCGCTGGCCAAGGCAAGCCTGAGTTGGTCGAACATTCGCGGTAAGGAGTCGCGCTGAAAGTCAGCAAGGCTCGAGATCGTGAGCAAGATGCGGTCATCTTCATCTAGCATGACAGTCTGTAGAGCGTCTCGCGATCGCTCATCTCTTGCGTTGCCGATGACTGCAAACGCTGTTTTCGCGATCGTGCCTAGCAAGCTGAGCAGAGCCTGTGTGTATTCCGTTTGTATCCTACGAGCAAAGTCTGTAGCGATGGGCTCCTCATTGCTTCGCCCATCGAAAGGTCTAGTCGAATTGAGAGCAAACAGTTGGGTCGCTCTCTCCTCGCTCGCGCCCGAGATGCGGTAGACGATCCGAGTCGTAGCCGTGTGGAAAGTGACCAGAGACCGCATGAGCAGCATCGTGTCTGGTCGGATAGGATCCCTCTGCCAGCCTTCCAGATGGGCAAAAAGGGCAGCGTCCGCTTGCCATAGCGTCGAGACTGTATTCTGAAAGCGCAGACGGGTGGCAGAAACGAGTTCGCGTAGACTGCTCGCTGATTCTGGCGCAAGCCCGATCGAACCGAGCTCGTTGGTGGTCTCGACGAGTTCGGCAAGCGTCTTGAGCATGAAGTGGCCCGATACTAGAGTGCTCGCATTCGGTGGCACAAATGAAGGAAGTGGCCTTTGCTGCTGGGAGTCCGATGTGGTCGATGAGAGGGACAGGAAAGACGACAGCGATGATGTATACTGGATGATGAGCTCTGTCGTCATCGTGCGAGCTTGCGCAGGACTTCGTCGGGCGGGCGCGTTCCTTGTGCTCTACAAATCTCTTACATGTCAATCGGGTGCGGTCCAAGGATCCACAGGACCTACACGACTGTATTGGCCGTCTGCGCAACCCTTGGCAATTTTCCAGAAGCCAGGCAAATAACGCAAGAGGACCTCTGAGAGCGACTTGACGAGCTCGAAAACCGTCTTCCAGACCTGGGCGCTTGCCGCTTGCTCTGTCTCGAGGCGTGAGCCGCCACCGGTGCACTAGTGCATATGGCTCACCTAGCGCTGTGTCGGACGTCTTTGCTTCTATGATCTTGATCGAGCTTTGCAGCTCTGCTGCCAGGGCTTTCTCGGGGGAAGCCTGCTTGGAAGCATCGGCCAATGCGTCTGTGGCCTGATCAGAAAACACTGACAGAAAGCCGACGAGCTCACCGTCGAAGTTGCCGGAGCAGTCATCGAAAGAAGCTTGTAGAGCTCTGTTGATATGACGATAATGACCGTCCAGGAAGATCCACACAGGGTCATCTTCTGGATTGAGCTCGAGCAACATCCTGCCCGGCATGTCAGATGCTTCTGACTCATTATGCTGAAAGGTACGGAGCGCACTCAATAGTACGGCCAATCTCCTCTGTGCTTCGCTTCGGATCCCGCAAGCGGGCGGTCAATGTCTCGCGTAAGTCGGTGATGATGCGCTCCACTTGTCGCCACACCTATCTCCAAGTCAGCCATTCGGTCCAGCGGGGTCGTGCGGTGAGGAGTGTCATGCCTTGTCGAAAACACGTCGGCTTTGAGCCTGTTGCTGCTGCGTGAGCTCCTGACCCGCTAAAGGCGCGAGGAGCTGATTGGCGGCAGTCTGCCGTAATCCCAGACCTTTTCTGTAAGCCAACAACGCGGTGTCGTAGCGACCCTGTCGTTATGCTGAGCCTGGCGCTACTTGCGAATAGAACAGCTTCTACCTTGTCAATGGCCTCCAGCAAAGAGCCGGGCAAGTTGAAGAAGAATTTGCTGCGTTCGAGCACCCCAACGGTCGAGCGCAAGCGATCTGCGCGGAGCTGGGCGTCGAGTATGGGCATGAAGACCTGATCAGCCTTTGATGTTGCCGCTGCGAGATCGTTAGCCCGGCTCGGAACATAGTACTGTCGCGCGCTTGCCTCGCAAGGTCTCTTTGATGTCGCGAATGCCATATTCTCGGTCGTCTACGAGTAGTCCAGCGCGCATGTCGTCATAGACAGCTGGTAGCATCTATACACATCAGCTTGACAGGTTGCCTTCGCTGACGCGCGTACCGGCTGTGCTGCCTTTAATACTCACGAAACGATCGAATTCTTCCTCGACGAGAATGCGAAGCGCTTCTGATCTCTGCTCGAGCGTGCCTGACGATGAAGTTGAGCGAGATGAGATGATTGCAAGGGCAGTGAGGTACCCTTGAGGCGCTCTCGACCCTCCTTGAGGTCTTGAAAGGCTGCATTTGGATGCACGGTCGCGAGAAAAGTCTTTGGGTCAAAAGCTTTCGAGGAGATGAGAACGGTCGCCTTGACGTTGGCTGGCGCATCGGGCACCGTGCTGAGGCCCTCTCGCTCAGCCTTGACCCAGCCGGCGCGGTCTGCCAAAGCGCGCACCTGAGCAAGCTGCCTCGACGCAAGCCTAGCGGATCAGGCTCGTCCGCACGACTGCTGGAGCCTGCAGTGCCAGCTACGACATCTGGGCCTGCAGCTTCTGATGAGATGCTGTCCTGCCAACTGCTCGGCTGCGCTGTCTTGAGCCCATAGACCTTGAGCAGTGTATCATTGTCGAGCTCGAGTGCGGCCTCATCTCTTGCTCGCCTTGACATCCTCTAGGCGGACAGAGCTATCAGCAAGTGCCATCGGGCGGCTGCTCCTCTGACGTGCGCTCGCTGGCCATGCCGCTTCAGGAGAGCGTGACGTGTCACGTGCTGAGGCCTCGACCGCTCCCCTCGACAGCTCGTCGTGGACAGCGGGCGTGACTCGGCGGCGACAGACCCAGGCCCAGAGACGATCATGGTCGACAGCGATCGATGAGCAGGCTCGGTCTGTGCAGATAAAGCGGACCGGTCGGAGATCATATCCTGTCTGTGCCCTCCCTGACGGCACGCCTGGCTTCTGGCTCCAGACGTGGCCCGTGCATCTCGAGCTCCGACCTCACAAGCTCTCAATAGCTCCCTCACAACATGACGGGCTCGTCGTCCCAGCAAGGATTCGTCAGCCTGCCCGACCGAGTCAATAGGTCGCCTGGCCGCACGAGGACGAGCGTGGCGTTGCCTGATAGCTCGACTATGTCGGCAGCTGCTTCTCAGGAGAGCAAGCTAGAGAGCTCCGGCACTCCATCGCAGGACGGCAGACTCGAGGAGCTCTCTGAAGCCAACTTGCGCACGCTCGGCAATCTCACCGGTCGAGTTGATAGCCTCTCACAAGCCGCTGGCGGCGGCGGCGGCGGCGGCGGGACTGGCAGTGCGAACATGACTGCCGTCGCCCACAGCTCGGCAGAGGCGAAGCTTCTACAGGCCGCTTTTGAACATCTCCCCCAGCCTGTGCTCATCTTTGAGCCTAGCTCGAGGCTCAACTTCATCAATGCCTCCGCCAGGCACTTCTTTGGACTCAAAGCGCTCCAAGGTCCGCTCGCCATGGGCTATTCCGTCAGCGATTTCTTCGGCGACGGCTTCACCTTTGAGGCTTCGCAGCAACGGGCGGCCTCTGTCGTGAGTCAGCTTCCGCCCAGCGCCTCATTCGAAGGCGACGACGATCCCCTCGGTAGGTTGCTCACAGTGGGCGCATGGGGCGAGGAGCAGCGTATCATCGACGCTCACGTGATCGATCGACAGCCTGAGAAAGTCATCGCTACCGTGCAGGCATGGCAAGGCCCATCAGATCATTTCGCTACCTCTGCGCGTCCCTCGCGACAGGCTTCGAATGCTACATTACAGTCAGCCAGCTCAGGCGGAGCTCAGCCCCTCATCTGGCATACTATTACCCTTCTTGACACCCTCGTCGCCCCCTATGGCTTAGCAGACCGACGTGGCTCGAGCAGCAGCATCGAGAGCGTCCTCGCCAATTCGCCTACCATCGGCTCTGGTGCGAGCGCGTTCGGCACCAGCAAGAGGCGAACGAAGCGTGCCGTAGATCGGATGCTATACTCGCAGCAGCAAAGATCACAACAGCCGGTCTCGGGCTCGTTCTTTCCGCCTGTCCCCTCGCCCACAGGCCCCGGCTCGTCAGTGTCTGGCCGCGCTCAAAAGTCAAACCTGTCAGAGCGTGGCTCGTTGAGCTCAGGCTCGACGAACAGCGTCTCGCCCGCGGTATCAGACCAGCCTAGGACCGACCTGTCTGCTGCGACGACTGTTTCGTCGAGCGGCAGCGCACAATATCCCTCTGTTGCGTCTAACATGCCAACCGTACTCGAGAATGCGTCTGCCGAAGTCGATGCAGCCGCTTTTGAGCACGGCATCCGCGCCAATGAGAAGACTTTACCACCCGTGCCGCTACAGAATGTCGCGATCAGTCCGGTAAGGGTCGACCGGGGATATGCACCGTAGCTCTAGCTGATGCTTACTCGCCTATAGGGAACGCAAATTCATGACGCTCAGTCACCTACATACGACACTACTACCACCAATCTCAGCGCACTGTCGTCAGCGATGCGACTCCAAGACTCGTTCCAGAGCTATAGCCTCTCAACCAACCCGTCAGTGCAGTCCAACGCCGCGATCGCTGGCGCCGCTACAAGACCGCAGCAAAGACCTCCGCTCGAAACCATGCCAACTTCAACAACAATTCAGGCTCAGCACAGTCGCAGGCGTGCCTCTTCGGGCTTCAACAGTCCAATGCCGGAAGCGCGTAAAGCGCCTGTTGCGTCTGTGCCGGATCCACCTTCCTTGCTTGCCCGGGCCGCACTCAGTCATCTGCCCCAGACTGGTATCATCACCGCTGCTCACGATCTATCTGGTGGCTTTGTCAATAATAAAGCGCGAGAGCTGCTGCTCGGAATCAAAGCGCCGCCCGAGGACGAGAACGGCGACTTCGATTCTGCTTGGTGGGAAGAGGGCTTGTGGATTGCAGACCAAGGCACATCTGGCACGTGGAAATGGGACGGCATCGAGTTCAAAGCTTCGCTCGCTAAGGATTATCGCAGAAGCGAAGCGGCGAGTACTGCGCATGCGAGTACTGCCAGTAGCGAGCACGGAAGCAATGAGACATCCACCGGCACGACTGTGGATGATCAAGATGCGGTCATTGGTCCAGATGGCGAACTCACGATCGGACTTCCAACAAATGCTTTCAAGATGACCGTCACCGCCATTCTACGCAAGAGCGTCTCCTTACAGCAAGCCAGACAACGGCAGCGGGCTAAGAAAGCGCGAAAAGCTCAGAGGCGAGAGGCAGCCATGCAGGCAAATGAAGCAATGGCTGCCGAAGAAGCTGGTGCAGACGGTCCCGAGGGATCTGATGGCGAGGACGACAGCAGTCAACCCCCCGTGCCTGATCCGGATTGGAAAATGGTCATACCGGAGGAGCCGATTCAGACGGCTTTGCGAAACAGGCAGACATCGTCCCCTCCCACGATGGAGCATAACTTGAGTAGCTCTATGCCATCACAGATTCCCGGAGCGACTGATTACCAACCTCATCCGGCGCCGCCTAAGATACCAGACCAGCAGCGACCTCCGCATAGCATGGCGAGCAAGCCCTACAAGGTCTACGATGCTTCATTCGGACAGAGAATTCTGGATCCTTTCGAGACGATTCTCGAGCTCGTAGCGAGAAAGGGCGAACATCCCTCCTCCATCCTTGGCAATTCCCCAAATGGTCTGTTGGTAGGCGTGGAGGTCGAGATCGCGCTGGACGATAGTCCGCCGGACGAAGACGCGTTTGATGTTGCAATCTCAAACGATGATGCTGCGCCTGCGACTGCGAGTCTCTATGCGACTCAGCAAGCATTACCAGCACCAGTACGCAGAAAACGCTTCCGCCGGCGAATCCTCGAAGTCTCGGGCGCTCCCATCTTCCAGCCGACGCACGTCGGTAAGACGCATATGGGCGGTATGCTCGTCATCCGGGATGTGACTGCCGAAAAGAAGCTTGCTCGCCGGGAGAATCGGCAGAGTCAGCGGGACGGCAGCGATGCCGACAACTACTACAAGCAGGTGAGATGCTCTTACTCTCTGTCTGTCTTGCAGTCGCTGACACAACATGTTAGATTCTGGACAACATGCCTCAAATTGTCTGGACAACCACGCCACTGGTCGGAGCTCTCAACACATGCCGTTGAGCCTTCGCTGATGCATCTGGCAGGGCTCACACAATTACTTCAATTCGCAATGGTACGCCTACACCGGACTTGAGCCCGAGCAAAGTCTCGGTCTCGGCTGGCAGAACCCGTTCCATGAAGATGGCAAGTGCTCGCAACTGCCCACGGAGATCTTGGCTGATTCCTCGATGACAGACATGCCTCACACGATCAAAGCATGGGCGCACTCACTCGCCACCGGCGAGCCTTACTCCGTCGGTCCCTTCTCGCCTCTTCGTCGCGCACAGGCTGATACTGCGCGCAGACTGAGTATCGCTGTCGCCGACACGACGGTGTTTGGCGATGGATGATTGGCCGCGCGCTGCCCGTCCGTGACTCTTCAGGCGCTATCATTCGGTGGGCAGGATCGTGTACAGGTACGTCCTGCGCATCGCTGGGGACGCACACTCATCGTTGTGCGGCGTACAGATGCAAACGAGGCGATCAGCGTACGCACGACTCTCGCAAAGACACAAGATCAATTCACTTACGTCATCAATTCGGCCGACTGCACACTCATTTGTGTTGACCCGGATCGCAAGATAACCTTTTTGGAAGGATCCGGTGCCGCCCGACTTAACGCTCAAGGACGCGAGGTGACTGGCATCGATGGCACGAAGTCCCGCACGAGGGTCGGTGAACACTTTAACGACGTTTTCCCGCCCAACGAGGAAGTCTATCACGCAATCGGTTCTATTCTCGATGGATCTTCGCATTCTGCTCGTGTTGAAGTCCGAGCGGATGATGGCACCTGGTTCAGGTTATCGGTGCGTGCCGAGTTACACTATCTCGCAAAGGTAGCTGACGCGTTTGAGCAGCTTACCGCCCTCTTTGATGATCTGCGCGATGCAGACGGCCAAGGGCGTATCATCGGGGTCATCATCGTTGCCACTGATATCACAGACGCCAAGGAAGCCGAAGCCGCTCTGCAGCAATCCTTTGAGGAGCGCAGCAAGCTCCTGGCATCAGAGACTGCAGCCAAAGAAGCTTCTCGCCTCAAGAGTGAGTTCGTCAGCAATCTCAATCACGAGATTCGTAGTCCAATCGCTGGCATGATTGGCATCTCTGAGCTGCTGCTCGATGATCCGACACTCAAGCCAGAGCATGTAGAAGCGGTCCAGAAGATCATGCGCTCCGGCGATATCCTGCTTGAGCTCGTCGGGATGGTGCTCGATATGGGCAAGGTCGAAGCGGGCAAGCTCGAGCTCGAATATCGACCGTTCTTGCTTCGGGATGTAGTTGCGGATGCTCGCCTGTTCGCTATGGCTGCCAAGAAGAAAGGACTCGAATACCTGGAGGGCGCCAGTGGATTCTACTCGGGCGAGGTCATGGGTGATATGGCTCGCTTGCGTCAAGTGTATGTCCCCGTGCCACGACAGAACTGGACCTGACTTTCATCGTGGCTGCAGCATAAGCAATCTGCTGTCGAACGCCATCAAATTCACGAGCAAGGGCTCTGTCAAATTCTCGCTCGAGCAGGTCGACGAGTCCGATGAGACAGTGGTCATTCGATTCACAGTCAAAGATACAGGCATTGGCATCAAAGCAGATGCACAACGATTGCTTTTTCAGCCTTTCCACCAGGCGGATGCTTCTCACTCACGTCGCTTTGGAGGCACCGGCCTGGGCTTGTCGATCAGTCGCAATTTCGCGAAGCTTATGGGCGGTACCATCGAGCTCGAGTCCGTATTCGGACAGGGCACGACGATGACGGCGCAGATACCTTTCCCTAAGGCGCCTGCAGGACTCAAGGAACCGGATTCGCCCGTGACCAGTTTCCATGCGAACAACAGTACACCGTCGGCCTCTCGCGGTCTCGTGCAGGCGCCGGAAGCAGCCAACGTGCACGTGCTGCTCGTCGAGGACAATGACATCAATAGAGAGATCGTCAGCAAATTGCTGCAGCGAATGAAATTCCAGGTTACGACAGCGCGAGACGGCCACGAGGTGCTCGAGCTTCTCGAACAGCAGAACTTCGATGTCTGCTTGATGGACGAGCAGATGCCAGGGATGGATGGTCTAGAGGCGACAAGGCGGATAAGGCAGCTCTCGGACCCGGTCAAGAGGAGGTTACGCATCATCGCACTCACGGCCTCTGCCATCTCTGGCGACCGAGAACGATGTATGCAAGCTGGCATGGAGTGAGTCTCCTTCTGTGACGGTATTGCAAGAGTGCTCAGCTGACATGCACCCGGGCAGTGACTACCTCGCAAAGCCAGTGCGAGCCGCGCTCTTGCAGCAGACCATTCTGAGACAACTCCACAATTAGAGAGATTCTTGCAGTCTTGCACCTCATTCACTGTTTTTGTATCCACTCGTGCTGCCATGCGCAGCCATCACTCATAACCTTGCATGCTCGTACATTGACGCCATCGCTGTCAGCTTGTACCGTCGCGAAAGCGCGATTGCCTCTTGCAGCAGATTTGCAGCAGCAGAGACGCGCCTCGGCCTCAGCGCCTTCCCCAGCCTGGAAGTTGCGCAAAGGGCAGCCAGTCTGCAAGGGATGCTGTCTCGGGCGCACTGAACTCGCGTGCGATAGTATGATGGCTCTGCCGCCCACCGGCGCTGGTCTCGCCAGCTCTGGGCTTGGGTCTGGCGTGCCTCTGCGCACGAACTCATCACAGAACTGGTTGCTGTCTGGCGACGAGCTGTCGGGGTTCGGCGACTTCCTCGACGCTGTAGAGACAGACCGTTCGCCTGCTCCAGTCCTGCAGCCCTCCTCGTCCTCTTCGGGAACGCACAATCCTACCGGGCCTTCACTTCCTGGTCAGCCCGCTTCGGCTTACCCCGCCATACCCTCGTCGGGCGCAGACAGAGCGAGACTCATCAACAGCATCTATGCTTCCAATTCGCACAACCTTGCTGCTCTCGACGGCTCGAACGGCTTCCATGATCTTGCTGAGCTCGGCCAGCAAGTGCCACTTGCCGCTGCCGCACAGAGACAGCAACAAATCTTTCCAGAGTCCGCAGCCTATGGTCGCTCACGACACGTCGAACGGTCACAGCTGCCTATGGTACCTCCTCCGCGAGATGCAGAGACGAGAGACAGGATGGAAGCCCAGGCGAGGGAATTGACGCACTGGCTAGCAGCGAGAGGCATCGACTCGTCTGCCTCTTCTGCCAGCAATAGTCCCGTCAGAGGTCACAGACCGCAACAGCCTATCGCTTCGACGAGCATGACGCCGCACTATGCTCAGCCTGTCGCGCCTAAACCGACGAGGATGTCGGACGCGACTGTCTCTACCTTTGAGGCTGGCGCGCACCAGCTTGCTCAACCGGACACCTCTGATCGATCCTCGAGCGGCTCACCTGAGCCTGCTGCGGCTCTACAAGAGCGCCGGCGTGATCAGAGACCTTCTGCCAGTCACAATGCGTCGAAAGGCAAGGCACGCGAAATCAACACACAGGATACTCAAGCTGCCCATCCCAAAGCTACCCTTTCGCGATCTGCGCCCGCCGGTACTGGCGGATCTCGCATGCCCTTGCTCAGCGAGGAGCAGAAGAGAGCCAACCACATCGCGTCTGAGCAAAAGAGGCGAGCTGCCATCAGAGCAGCTTACGACTCGCTCGCTGCTGTCGTGCCCTCGCTCAACGATGCGCCTCCGTCCGGGCCTGCAGATCACAGGCGATCAATGTCACACGAGGACGACGAAGGGGACGAGCGAGATGGGGGCGAGACGATCGGACGAGGCAAGCGGAAGCGGAAGCCTGTTCCCGAATCTCAAAGCAGCAAGCCAGAGGCTCGACCAGGCGCAAAGAGCGAAGCTGTCGTTCTCAGCAAAAGTGAGGCTCTTGCCTGCGTTCGTCACGCATGTGCTGATCACGAGCCACAGCTGTCGAATATCTCAGGGAGCTACACGATCAAAGGGAGGCGCTACTGGACAGACTGGAGCGTGCACAGGCTCTTCTGGCGCAACGTGGCCAGCCTTGTGGCTCGAGGTCACCCGTCTGGAATCTAGCCTGGCAGGACGACGCAAGTGAGGGTGGAGAAGGGTCGGACAGCGAAAGCTGAGGAAAACGATGTTGTATCAAGTATGTATGGCACAGCGAACAGACTCTGCAATGATCCTAGACTGATCGCACCCTCTTTTTGGTCGTCTCGTTAAGTTCGTCTCGTTTCTGAGTCTATGCTCTTGCAATTGCGCAACTCGTTCGTCAAGACTCGATTAGGTACGCGCTCAGCGTACAGTGGTGATGATGATGGGGTTGGGACAAGGCTGGCTGCCAGGCTGTCATGCCGGGAGCCTGCACGACAGGGATCTTGCTCAGACTCGAACTTTTTGCAATTAGGACCATTTGGGCGGTCGACGAGGATCTCGCGAGGATCACAGAGGGAGGAAGAGCGAGAGAGCCAGGAGGGATCAGACTAACTCGAACTTTTGTCCGTGCAGGACTTTGTTGTAGTATATCCATGCAAAGTCTGAGAAGACCGCGGTCTGGACGATGCCCGAGATGACGGCTATCGGGTCAAAGGTCTCTTCCATGACATATCTGCACATGCGTGAGGTGAGCCAAGGATGTACGAGCAGATCGCGTGACGCACCTGTAGATCCAGTTGGGGATATAGAGCGCGCGATAGGCCGCTAACGCGGCGAGGTAATGGGTCGTTATCGTCTCCGCCTCTCCGGTTCGCTGTAACATAAAGAGCTGTGGCAGGACGGCGACGGCTTCCAAGAAGATCGAGAAGGACCAGAGGATCTCCATGGGCGTGCTGCAAGGCAGGTAGAGAAATGAGCACGGCCAACGCCCGCTCGACAAACAGATCGCGACTAACAATTTGTAGTTGAAGATGAGGGCGAGAACGGCGCATGGGCCCAAGAGGTATTCTAGTCTGAGGGTATCGATGGCCGGGTCATGGGTCGGCCTGTTCGCGGACGTGAGCTCTCGGGGGACGAGGGACAGAGCAGAGGGCGCGTGCCTGTAGCGGAACTTCATGAGGTAGAGGATGTAGGCGCTCGAGGCGATGAAGAAGACCTTCATGGCGGTGTTGTAGAGCGAGATGAAATGGAACAGGTCGAGATAGCGAGTCACAAAGACGACGAGGTAGAGGAGCTGATGGTCAGCCCGCGCGCGCGAGTCAGCGACACGTCGTCAAGCCAGGGCTGAGTAGCGGTGCTGCCTACCTGCGTCTTGAAGCTGATGCCGCGACATGACCGCTTGCTCTGCATGGCATGCAGCAGGATGACTGTTTGCATCACGAGCGACAGCGCCGTGAGCTCTACAAGCCATTGCTTTGTTGGCAAGGACTGAGCGTACAGATGGATGCCAAATGCGAGATATCGCCTAGCAAGCGGAAGATGTTCATCTTGCTCGCAAAGAGCTCACAGTCTTCTGCGGTCGTCTCGACGGGCTGCTCGTTGATCTACCGACTCGCTTGACAGCTATACATCAGGCTCTTTGACTGTCCCACTCGCTCCTCCGCTTGTCCAGCCTTGTTGGCTTTTGTACGCGCGCGCCTTCTCTCCCCTTGCAAAGACCCAACAGTTGCGCTACGCTTGGCGACTCGATGGCTTGTGAACACCGCGCGACTTGACTCACGCCTTGACCACCCAGCAGAGCTGATCAGGATGGGCACGTCAGAAGGGTCGATCCGTGAGAGAAAATCAGTCGCGTCACCGAGTCGCGTCGTCGGGTCGCCCATTCCTCCAAAGAAGGCCAAAGCCGGCTTCCCTCGACGTTCCTGTCTTACGTCAGTCGTTCGCCACGGATCGTATATAGTCACTCGCCACATTCACTCATCCCATTCTGCCGACACCTTCTTGCTGTGCGAGAAGAACAACGGCTTTACATACCCCTCTATAAGGCGAGTCAGCATTATTGCCGAATAAGGACTCGTGCGCGAGTACCGATCAAAGCTGACACGCGCACTCTTGTCTGCAGACACTCTTTCATAGCTCCAGGCGAGCCGTGACAAGGTCAAAAAAACAGAAAGACACGTCAAATTTCAGTCGCAGGAGCTGACGATACATTCGCCTTTCACTGAACGCACGCTACCTTTCAGCAGTCTTTTAGCTGGACCTTCACGCTCATTCACAAACACATATCTATAATGAGGTTCGGATCGTTACTTGCGCCCGCCGCCGTTCTCGCGGTCGCGATCGCGCTCTCCTCGCCTTTGTCCGTCGATGCCAAGACCTGCACGAAGAAGGCGGTCGAGAAGCACCACCACCACCACCACCACAAGTCGCACCACAAAGCCACCGGCAGTGTGCTGATGGCCGCAAAGTCTCACAAGAAGCACAAGAAGCATCACAAGAAGCACACTAAAAAGACCGGTCTCGTCAAGAAGTGCAAGAAGGTCACCCATAAGAAGCACCATCATCATGCTTCTGCTGCGTCGGCTAGCACAGCCAAAGCGAGCACTTCTACTGCTGCCACCACTGATGGCTCCTCGCTGCAAAACCTGACAAGCACGAGCGGCAAGAGCACGAGCAAAGGCAAGGCAGTCTCGACGCCTTTCAAGCTTACCCAATCCTCAGAGGGCTCCAATTTCTTTGATAGCTATGACTGTAAGCTCGCACTGGTAGTTTCCGCGTGCGCTGCTGACCCGCCAGACAGTCTTTACCGCCGCTGACCCCACGCATGGGCAAGTCCAGTTTGTTGACGCCGCGACTGCGACTTCAGCAAAGCTCGCCTACGTCAATTCTGACGGTCAGGCGATCATCAAGATGGACGATACCTCCAATCTAGCTTCCGGCCAGGCTCGTAAGAGCGTCCGCCTGACCAGCAAGAACAGCTTTACTCAAGGCCTGCTCATCATGGACGCCGCAAAGATGCCCTATGGGTGCGGCACTTGGCCCGCCTTCTGGACCGTCGGTCCCAATTGGCCAAATGGCGGCGAGATCGACATTGTCGAAGGTGTCAATAAGGTCGCGACCAATCAGATGACTCTACACTCAAGTGAGCATCTTTGCCTCTGTGCCAAGTACCCTGCTGATGGTATGATCTCTGCAGGCAACGGGTGCAACCTTCAGCAACCCATGGCCGGCACGGGCACCGTGCTCGGCACAAATTGCTATGCCTATGCGAATGGCAACGCTGGCTGTGGCGTCAAGGACCCCTCGACGGCTTCATATGGCGCGGGCTTCAACGCAGCAGGCGGCGGCGCTTTCGCAACGCTGATCGATACCACTGGCGTCTCTATTTGGTTCTGGAGCCGCAACGATATCCCTAGTGACGTCTTGGCAGGCACGCCGTTGCCATCGTCTTGGTCTCAACCAAAGGCGCACTGGGCTTCCTCAGGTTGCTCGCTCAGCTTCATAGGGCCGCAGTCTGTGGTGTGGGATATCACCGCCAACGGAGACTGGGACCGCGCAGTCTTCTCGTCAGACGGCTGCCCTGGATCTCCTCAGGAGTTCATGATGACCGGCAGCAATTATGCCAATGCCGAGTTTGCGGTCAATTATGTCAAATGGTTCGAGCAATAGGCCACTCATTCGCGCTGTGAGCAGCCAGGTGCAATGCTCCCAGCCGGTGCCCAAGCTTGTTGTATGCCTATTGTTGCCTTTGCTTGTGCCTCACACTCAGTAGGCGCTCGCAAAGTTACCGGCGTGAGGGCTAGTGAGGGGCTCGCGTGGCATAGACGTGCGCGTGAGGATGCATTGTTTAGCCCTTAGCGAGCTTTTTACTGGACTTGCGTTGTTCGCGCTTTCGCCTGATCTCGTCTAATCTCTTTTGCTCGGCGGGCGAAAGCTTGGAAAGCTTAGCCTCTGCTTCGCTGCGTTTCTTCTCCCGCAAGGCATCGGCCGCAAGATCTCTGGCTTCTTTGCGACTCGCGACGAGCAGCTCATCTAGCGTGGCCTTGCGATTCTTTTTCTGCGCACTCATCAATGTCAGACTTGGCCCGTCATGAAGATAGCGGAGCGCACGAGCTTCGCAACAGTGTCTGCAGGAGCGACTGGCTTGCTGAGCACATCGACAAAATTGAAGCCAAGTACGAGCAAAGGCAGAGTTTCGCTCGCTTTTGCGGTCGGGGGAAGGGCGAGAGTCATGACGAGACGCCTATCCTTGATCTCCGAAAGCTTCTCGAGAATACTGAGGCAAAAAGATGAGCATAGTAGTGACTATATTGCAGTAGCACTGACGGATCGTCCGGCCGTTCGATGCCGGTCGTGCCGAGATCGGTGACCACGATGCTTTCGAGGTAAGCGAGACAAGGCTCTTCTTGCTTGAAGAGTGTGACGAGGCCGATCTTGGGATGCGTGAGAAGGGTCTGGGTGATGACAGTGCTTTCTGACATTGTCGCCCATGCTGGCGGTAGCGCGCTGCTCTCGGTCACGCTCGTGAAGGCGCCCTGCTCGGATGTCAGACAAGGCCTGCGCCCGAATGGCCGAGCGAGAGTGACGCACGAGATCCCAGCGATCCTGTCGTAGTGTGTTGAGATTTGTCTTTTGAGAGAGTGCAAAGATGAAGTCCTCATTGGATGATGACAATGCGAATTCGAGCTTGATTCTGTCGGCATCGCTCTGCCAGGTAAAGTCGAGGATCTGCCTTATGAACTCGTAGGCCATAATGGAAATATCATGACGGGCCCTCGTCTTGACCTGCACCGTCAGAGCCCGCAGGCCGCGTCGGCCAGATGCATAGGTCATGAAGTCAGTCGGCGAGGATTTCTTGATGATGCCGTTTGCAGAGGCACCAACGTGCGAAAACTGAGACTCGAGGAGAGGTACGTGGGCATCCATCCAAGCCTCTGCACGACGAGCGTTGGCTTTGCGACCTCTAAAGGTGGCAACGATGAAGAGCAGGCCAAAGGCAAGCATGATGGCCTCATTGTAGAATGTGGCCGGTCGGAAGACGAGTCTCTTGAAGCGATACTCGAGTCCATCGTAGGGATCTATGGCCAGCACGGGCGCCTTCTTGGGTGCAAAGAGGGTCCCGAATCCGCTGGGCGTGGGTATATCGGCTGTCGAGGCCGGCTCACTCAACGTGTCGCCTGCTACAGGCTGACTGGCCTGCTCAGGCGCAGCGGGAGAGGTCAGTATGACGCCACTACTGCTCGCAGAGGGTGCCACTGCCGGCTCGGGCGCTGCTGCTGCGACATCCTGCTGTTGTTGGCCTGACGTAGAAAGAGCCATTTGAGCCTTTGCTGGGCGAGACAGGTCTGGCAGAGACTGACCCTTTGCAAAGTCAGGAAGCTTGATCGTCCATGCACGAGCCGTCGAGCAGAGCAGCAAGCCTAACAGGACCGTTGACCGCATCCTCCTGACTTCTCTCTCCACGCCCACGGCGGCCACAGCAGACCGCGTCGTGTCGATCACTGCCAGCGACCTGGCTACAAAGCTAGCCAGCGGCAAAGTCCAGTGATCACTTGACCATCATGATAGGACGACTGGTCCACTACGGCGCAGATGCTGTCCTCATCTCCTGCGTCCTCGCCGGCGTCAAACGGACAACTGGCTTCACGTCAGTCTCAGTGCAACCGGCCGTCCTTGCTCTTGTGCTGATCATGCTTCTCCTCTCAAACGCAAATGCTCCTTCTCCGACCTCAAACGACATCGTCATCTATGTATGCGCGCCTTTGGACCCGTCTCAGACTATCACCCTCAGCCTGTGGTATCCCAGAGGGCACGGCGACCGGGCTCGTCAATTCCTATCTTGGCGTAGGCGAAGGCCTCTTTGATTATGCATGCGCTACAAGCTATAGGAACGGCTTTTTTGTACGTTCCCCTCGTCTTCGCCATCCGCTCTCCCTCTGTCAGGCCAGCAGCAACGAATGCAGGCGCTCGCGACACGGCGTTACGCGTCGAGATGAGCAGCATTCACTTGCTGGCGCATTTCTTCTCGCATCGTACTCTTCACCCTTTAGCGAGCTCGGAGCCATAATGCGCAGCAAGTGACTGTCGCTGATTCATGAGCTTGCCTCGGTCAAACAGGTCAGAGAGCCAAAGTCTTCCACCAAGTCATGACTTTTCTGTCAAGATGTTGTCACTCGTGTTGCACACAGCTGTGTACCTATCTACATGAGGTGCACCAGCGGCTCTCCTCTTTCGAGCTTGACTCATCTGACCGTCGACCCTACTGCCGGCAGATCATCACAACTATCTCGCTCGAAGCTGCTCGCGTGAGAAATCGGATCATCGCCCGGCATTTCCCGAACATATAAACTCGCGCACACGCGCCCTCTCCGATATCGAACAAACGAACTATCATGATCACATATCAAGCAAGATCAGCCCTCAGACGAAATACAAGCAACCATTGCTCGAAGCATGTCAGCTTTTGCGCACCCACTAAGCGGACCTTGACGCTCGCCACACGCTCGCGCTCCGACTCTCTCGCGAATGGCAAGCCGCTTACGACAATCTTGGTCACTCCACAAGGCCTGCGACGTTCAATCTCGACCGTACAGGACTCGCTTCACCCTCGCTCGCAGACAGCAGCCAGCGCAAGTCAGCTCGCCAGCGTTCCGAGCAGTGAAGTCTCGGAGGACAACAGAAAGATCGTCGAGGATTGGCTGCTCTTTCATCCCACTTACACTAAAGACGAAGTCGAAGCTGTCAAGGTCGTCCATCGGGCCAATCTGACGCTCAGCGATCGAGTGGCCGACTGGGCCATCGGCGCCATCAGGTGGACTTTTGATGCTGCCACGGGCTACGCACACTTTGACGCCAAGAAAGCTGACGAGCTCGCTAAGAAGCGCGGCGCGACGCTCAGCCTACAAGAACTGCGCGAGGCTGGTCTGGCGATGAGTCCCAAGCTCTGGATGCGCCGGTTCATCGTACGCCTTTTCGGAAACATCAGCCGACCCTTCAACTAACAACAGAGTTCGCTTCAGTTCCTCGAGACGATAGCAGGCGTGCCTGGTTCGGCAGCTGCGATACTACGTCATCTCAAGAGTCTCCGCACCATGGAGAGGGACGGCGGCTGGATTCACACACTCTTGCAAGAGGCAAGTCTCGTGTCGATTGTGCGACTCGAAACAATACTGATGCTGCGAATGCAGAGCGAGAACGAGCGGATACATCTCTTTAGTTTCCTCGAGATTACCAAGCCAGGTCGCTTCATGCGCCTCATGACTATGGCTGCCCAAGGTGTCTTTACTAGCGCTTTTGCACTAGCGTACGCTCTTACATTCTCCTCTCACGACCACGCGTTGACTATCCTTTGCAGATATGTCATAAGCCCGCGTATCTGTCACAGATTCGTGGGCAAGCTTGAGGAGCAAGCCGTGTTGACATACACTCTCGCTATTGACGAGATCAAGGCTGGTCGATTGCCCGAATTCGACAGAAAGGCGCCAGAGATTGCGATCAATTACTGGCGAATGCAGCCAGCTGCCACTTTTCTTGATATGCTCTACCAGATCCGCGCAGATGAAGCCACGCATCGTTCGTCCCTTGCGCTGACAGGTCAGACTTGAGTTGATGGCCAATGACAGGATTCATCAATCACTCTCTCGCCGATCTCAAGTCTACCGATATGAATCCTTTCGCGATGCGCGAGCCATCGGCGAGTATACGCGGCACTGAGCCTGGATACGATCGCGAGAAGTCACTCGCGTTCAGCGAGACGGTCAAGGAGGATCTACTCAAGCGGCACAGAGAAAGCGGCAAGGCTGCCTGGTAGTTTTGATCGACGACATCACGAGCATTGATTTTTGAGGGTTTCTTGACAATGTTGTGTAATAATACAACTCCACTCGATGTCATAGCGCGTGCAGCTCGATTCCATTGGCTTCGTGCGAAGTTTTGCGATCGCTGTCCTCGAAGACGTGGCTCTGTTCATGCAAGGATTTGTTGTCGGGCGAATGATCTCGATAAATGTCTGGATGTGTGGGTATCGATGAGGATGGCAGATCGTCTGTGGGTATTGGCGCGTATGACGCCTCTGTGCTCTTCGAGCAGACGATGGAGCTTGCGATGATGAGCAGCAAGAGACCGCAAACGGCGAAGGCTACTGCGTATGTGATGTATAAGTATTTGCGTTCGAATCGGATCAGAGGTCCCTTGCAGCCTTGCATCTGAGCTCGCGGGTAACATAGCGCAGTCAGTGCGGCCTCTGTGAAGGGGCTGTCTGAATAGTGAGCTCAGATTGTGAGAAGTACCAGCTGAGCTTACTCATTGAGTCCGCAGCACGACAGGCGGTTTTGGACTGTGCGTCGGCCTGGGAGGCCGATGCTTCGCCAATAGAGTAGCATCTTGGCGTCTAAGCGGAATGTACGCTTCTTGTAGCTGATGTAGCCTACTGCGGCGCTCTGTCTGAGGATGTCAATACTTCTCGCAAAGGTGTCGAGCAGCACGAACGAGAGCGAGGCAAGGCCACAGCAGCAGATTGAAGACGGACAAGAGGGCCAGCGATGCCGGTGTGCTCGCAAAGGCGGCGTGACCGACCGATGCAGATAGGAGCATCAGGGCAGCCGCTGCTGTTGCTAGTCTGAGTGTCACTGCGTCTGTCGTTTGTAGGACGATAGCGTTGCCCCAGGCATTGAACCAAGTCATGAGAGCGAGCGTCATCGCCGTCAAGCCCATGGCGGTGAGCTATAACCAGCTATGAGCTCGGGATAGCTCCAGAGAAGTGTCAGACTGACAAGCCAATTGGCGAGATAGACGAGCCACTTCTGCAGTAGCCACCGTTGATGACTGCGTGGTCCGAGAATACGCCTGCGATGCCGCTTCTGGCCCGATAGAAAGGCCAGCAAATCTTCGACGAAGGTCGTATCATGTTCCCGCTCCTCGTACTGTGCGGCCTTTGCTTTGCCTTTGTCGCGCGAGCGTGATAGATGGGCGAGTGCGACGTGACCGAGCCTGCGCCTTGATCGAGGCGGATCTGCCCAGGTGGGCAAGGCGGGTAAGGCGGGCAGGCTTCCGTCTGTGCACTCTTTCTGCAGCAGATTGCGTGAACTTGCCGCTCTCGAGCTTGGCGATGTAGGCACTCTCGTGCTGGGCGAAGAAAGGGAGCCGCCGGTCTGGGGTGTGGCAAGCTGTGACAAAGACGCAGAGGCGGATGGCGACCATGTCTCGCTTGCGCTGTCATACTGCCAGCCAGATGATGAAGGCAGAGGGAGCCTGTCCATCTGGACAGCCGAGTCGTGCGGGCTCGGCAGGTCGGGCAAGCCAGGTGTGTCGACGAATGACGAGGACATGTCAAAGTCGGAGAAGTCAACGGTCTGGATTGCGTCATCGTCCGCGAGCTCGGTGTACTCCAGCGAGGGACGTGCGGTCACATCTGACCATGCCGACCGGTATGATGCGCTGGCCGAGTCGCTCGACAGGCCTGCCTCTGAGGCGCCTGTGGGCTCCTCGTGGTCATCGTCGTAGCTTCGTCGGATGATGGGCGGCGCAGGCGCTGATTGGATCGTGTCAGCCGAGTCCCGGCGTCTGGCAGGCAGCTCATCGCTGGCCATGACTGCCAACTGCCTTGATGGCCAGCTAGCCGGACAGCCGCTCGCCGGTCGTCGTAGAACCTGGTAGGGCAGCGGGGCAGCGGGGCAGCGCGCCTGTCGCCTATCGATCAGCAGCAAGCGCCAGGTCGAGCTCGTCAAGGGTCCGTCTCACTGAGCGCTGAGCACGCCGAGTGATCTGCGCATGACGCAGTCGCAGGCAAGAGGGCCGCCCCTCCTGCTCACCTCGCTCGGCGATGCGGATACCGCGGAGAGCATCTTGGCCGTCGTTGCAGACGAGCGACACATCTATGCCGGCTCGCAGGACTGCTCAATCCACGCGAGTGTCCCCCTGCGGACTCAAGCTCGACACTCCGCTGATCTGCGACGAACGGTACGCAGGTCTGGGATGCTCAGACGCTCGATCGGCAGCAGAGCTTGGTTGGCCATGCCCGAGCCGTGCTTTGCCTCGAATTGTCGGGCTCACCACTCGACCGCCTCTTCTCATCCTCGGGCGATAATACCGTCCGGGTCTGGGATACCCGCACGCTCACGAACGTCATGATCGTCGAGCCGCCCCACGATAACGTTGGCGACATTTTCTCGCTCGTCTGGCTTCGACAGACCTCGACACTCTTTATGGGCTGCCAATGTGCCGCAATCCAGTGGCTCAACGTCACCGAGCACGTCCGTGAGCCGTCGACGCCGCTTCCGATAAGGTACAATAAATTCTTCGACTCTCTCTCCCTACCTGAGCGGGCAAGAGCGAGCCAATCACCTGCCAGCTCAAGGCCCTTATCGCCCACTCTGAGCGCAAACGCCGCCGGTCTTGTCACGCCCAACCTTCAGACATCGACGCCTCATCATCAGATCGAAGCAGGGCACGTTAGAAACTATGCGCATAATGGCTACATCTATTCGCTCGCCGTCACGCATTGTCGAGTCGGTCAACAAGCCCCTGCAGCCATCCTTGCATCCGGCTCGGGAGACTCGCTCGTCAAGCTGTGGGAATGCCAGACAGATGATATCTCTCACATTGCCACCCTACGGCCAGATGCCGGCGCGGTGCTAGCGCTCGCTGTCGCAGAGAGCACGCTCTATTCGGGTCACCAGGCCGGCGCCCTCAAGATCTGGGACCTCGAGACTTTGACTTGCATCAGAACGCTCAAGACATCAGATGCGGACGTCCTTGCACTCTCTCTGCTCGGAGGTCATCTGTTCTGCGGACGCGATGACGGCATGCTCGTGCAGTACAGCAAGGCCTTTGAGGCTCTCAATGCTTGGCAAGCTCATTCCGGCATTTTGCTCGCAACAACTGCATTGCACGACCATTCCGGAGCAGCCCATGTTATCATCAGCGGCGGAAGCGATAATGTACTCAAGCTGTGGGATGTCACACAAGACATAGACAGCGATGGCCTCCCCTTCCGGGCTCTATCGCGAGGCCAAATGCTTCAGATCTTGCGCGGATTCGTATCGTTCCCGTCCATCAGTTCCAAGGACCACCGTGAAGACTGCAGGCAGAGCGCCTTGTATCTGAGAGATGCGCTCGAAAACTTAGGCGCGAACGCGAGGCTGCTGGCTGGCGATGCCGGCAAGAACCCTCTCGTCCTTGCTACGTTCAAAGCGGTCAAGCCGACATCGGGCCGTCTGAGGAAGCGTGTCCTGTTCTACGGTCACTATGACGTCGTCGAAGAGGGAAGGCCGGCAGATTGGCACAGCCCAGCCTTTGAGCTGACTGGCCGAGACGGGTACCTCTATGGACGCGGCGTGAGCGATAACAAGGGTCCGATCGTTGCCTGCGCCTCTGCTGTTTCGAGCTTGCGTGAGCAGCAAGAGCTCGATGTCGATTTCGTCATGCTTATCGAGGGAGAGGAAGAGTCCGGTAGCACTGGGTTCGCAGGGGCCGTCAAAGCCAACAGCGACTTGATAGGCTCTATCGACGTCATCCTCATCAGCAACTCCTACTGGATCGGCGAGAACATACCGTGCATGACATTCGGCCTTCGCGGCGTCATCCGAGCCACTCTCGAAATTGCTTCCTCGCAGCCAGACCTACATGCAGGCATGCAAGGTGGCGCTGTACATGAGCCACTGATCGATCTGATCAAGGTACTTGCCACATTGCTGAGCAAGAATGAGCATGTCAATATCGCGCACTTTTATGATGCCGTGCGAGATCTCGAGGCGGACGAATTGGCGCTCTACCATGCAGTTGTCGATCGTACAAGTAGCGGCACCCAAGATACCCAGAGCACTGCTCTGCAATACCTACTCACGCGGTGGCGACAGCCTAGTCTGTCCATCCATGACATTGCTGTTGGCGGCTCACGCCATTCGACTGTCATCCCGCATCAGGCGAGCGCATCCCTGTCGGTCCGCATCGTGCCCGATCAGCAGCTAGGCGTCATCCAATCAGCCATTCGTGCGCATCTACAGGCTGAATTCGAGAAGCTTGCATCGCCTAACGAAATCCATATCCGTTTTGATCACACCGCCGACTGGTGGCTTGGCAGTGTCACAGACAAGTTTTCGCGCGCCTTTGTTCAGGCACTTGATGACGTATACCAGATCGAGCCGCTATGGATTCGCGAGGGTGGTTCAATGTATGTCCATCTACAGGCCCTCCTCCAATGCTGAGACAAAGCGTGCAGTCCTGCTTTACCCTTCTTGACAAAGCACTTTGGTGTCTCGGCGGTGCATTTTCCGATGGGCGCCTCCAGCGATTCTGCTCATCTGCCCAATGAGCGCATCAAGCTAGCCCAGCTGGAAGTCAGTACGACATTGCGTACAAAGGTCTGAGCTGACACGCATGGATCAGCATGGGCATACTGTCATCGAGCGCTGGCTCCGGTTGCTCTCAGAGCTATAGGCCGGTACTCAGCAAGACCCTGCAGTATCTCTTGACATGGCAGCAAGCCTACAATGGTACATAGACACACCGTGCCCGCGCGCACACCCGCCGGTGTCAAAGGAGCTCATACCGGTCGCATCATGCGTTCCGAGTGTGAACGAATGCATAGCGCGAGTGATCTCTTTGGGCCATACACACACGGCAAGTAATACAAATGCTTGTCGAGAATGAGTGTCCGTTCGCAAATCACGAACGATTTCAGTCGACATCGAGATGCAAGCGATACGTCGCATCCGCAGCGACTTGCTGACTGGCGGTGTTGCCGTCCACACCTTGTGGCTCTCGGGGAGCCGAGACGACGCGGTCGCTCAGGCCACCGGTGCCGCCAGTGGCCATCGTGCGGATAGACGCAGATCGCTGTACGACGCCTCCGCCGACGCCAAGCGGCTGGTTCGACAGTATCGGCGCAGACCATTTTGATGCCATGCTAGCATCCGACACTCGTCGGCTGGGTGCGAGGGCTCTGATAGAGGCATCTTCGTCGTGTTGCTGATGCCTTGCGGAGACAGCCGCACTGCTTGAGGCGAGGGTGAGGACAGACGCATTGTCGAGTGCGGGAGCTGCTGGATGTGGGTTATTCCTTGGATGCGGATTCGTTCTGTGCGGGTAGCCGAGTGCGCCAGGCGGCAAGAATGGCTGAGACGCGTGCCGATCGCTGTCCGCGCCGGGCAAGATGCTATTGGACACAGGCGAGGGCTCGGTGCTCTCGCTAGCAAGCATCTCAGATGTGCTCGCAGCCAGCGGAGTCGAGGGCGTCGCCATCTCACTGTCGACAGAAATCTGAGAGCCTCGCCGTCTGTCTGGCGAATCAGGCACAGCGACAGCGATACGGTTAGCGCCGTTTGTGCTCTCGCTGAATATCGTCGTCGGCTTGGTCGATGCGCTGGTCAGAACAGACATGCGACTCCGTGCTAAGCTGCCTGACCGTCCCGTACCTGCTTCGGACGGAGAGGTCGCGAAGGACTCGTTGCCGCTACCCGCGATGGAATGAGGCGTGATAGGCCTGATAGACGCGTCGGGCGAGGCCCCATCTGGATCTGGCGAATCAAGGCTTCTGTGGCCGCCGGTCAGCGAATCTGCGGCTGATGAGGCTGTCGCTGTTCGTGGGAAGTCGGATGAGACAGCATCTCGCGCCCGGGCCTGCGCGGGGGACGCGTTGGCCATGTCGAGTACGATAGGTGCCGCACTTCCATTGCTCGTAGGGCCAGACGGTACATTCTTATTGACCGTCCTGGGCCCAGTTTGGCTGCTGCTCGCAGTCTTGGCCTGTTGTTGTTGGTGAGTTTGTTGCTGCTGGCGCTGCTGCGGAGGCGGCGCATCTAGCGCGGTACGCCTCGTCGTCAGTCGAGACAGGAGCGACTTGAGCGACTTGCGAGACCTCGTGCCTCGCGATGCGGAGCCCGAGTTGGCATAGACTGCGCTCTGTTGGCGCCTCTCCCCATGACTCGTAGACACAGGCTGCGTTGCGGCTGTCGATGTCTGCTGATGTGGCGCTTGCGATAGCACTGTCGTCTGCATCTGGCAGGACGGCTCGCTCTGCCCGAGCTGGGTCGTTCGTGAGTTGGGCGTGTGCGTGCTTGAGCGAGTCGGCAAGCGGCGCGCGTGCTGTCGTCGTGCTGCTGCTGCGTGCCTGAGCCGAGGCGCGATCCGGTTATCTCACTGACGATGCAGGTCGAGGGCGTGACTGCAGAGGGAGAAGTTGCAGCGTTCGCATCTCGCAAGAGACCCATCCTGACTGGTCACGTCAGGAAGCTCGGTATCCAAAAGGCAAGTGATGCCAATTTGCGACCGTCGAGCAACTTGCGTGGCAGTCGCATCAATCATGGCCTAGGCACGGGCGCATTTCAGTCTGGCTCTGCAGGCCGTGCAAATGTCTCTGCGACCCTCGAGGAAGCCAAGACGAGGACGCTCAAGATCACGCGGAAGAGCTCGTTTGCATTCTATTTGCGCAAAGGTGTTACGAGCTTCAGAGACGAGGGCGTCGTCGTCGTGCAGCTGCATGCCTTGGGCGCCGCGATACCTATGGCGCTCTCTCTCGCGCTCGCCATTCCCGACGCGCTTCCCTGCGGCTCTGCGGGCCTCGAGACGCAGATCAAGACAGGTTCGATCGAATTGCAGGACGAGATCATCCCGCCAGATGACAGAGAGGTGAGCTCGTATGGTTGCACTAGCATTGGTCGAGTCCTGATACCGAGCGAGCCTGTCGCTAGGATCTTGACATCCAGACGCAAACGCGAACAAAGTCGACCGTCGAAGTCACGATGCGACTGAAGCATATTGCCGCCCAAGCTGTTCTCGACAGTGCACACCGCGCAAGAGGCCATCAAGGCATCTCGCGCAGCAGGTCGGGCCGAGGTAGGGGCGCAGCTCGGTAGCGATCTTGTTGGCAGTCCGTCATCGAAAATTGAGCTTGACAAGGAAGAGGAGAATGTCCGACATGACATGCACCGACGTCCACACAAGACAGATCGTCAGCTCTGGAAACTCCCGCAGGCAGTTGAGTCCCATGTTGGTGATATCGACCGCGTAGATCCATCGACAGATCTGTCTAGCCGCAAAAGACGACGCTAGCTCTGTAGCCCAGATTAGCAATGTAGCGATTGCGGTCAGGCTGTAGGTGTAATGGAAGGGATCGTTATCAGACGAGTCGAACTTAAAGAATGGATACACGTCCGAATTGGGACCAAAGTGCAGGATCGTCAGCCAGCCTAAGAAGCCGAGCGCTGTCACATTCTCAGCCAAGTTGCGAAGGTAGAGCGCTGAGAGTAGTCTGTCAGCCTGTGCGCGGTGTCCACCACATGCACTGTGAGCTTACAGTGTCCCATGATCTCCTGATGCTCTTCATATGAGCGTTCGTAGCCTACCAGCCATTGCAGCGAACGGTAAGCTGGCTTGGAAAGTGCAATCGGATAGAATGTGATGATCCAGATCGACGACAGTAGCTGAATGAGCGCATACTGGTCTGGCGAGCGCAGGCGAGCGAATAACGTCCTGTAGAAGACGTAGTAGACCAGAAGAAAGTAGTATCGGAAGACGAAAAGCAGTGCTCTGCTTCTGACCTGATACTCTAGGATGTAGCCAACCGCACTCGAAAGGATCTGGACAGTTATAATCCACGTCCAGACATAGGCTGCGCCGTCTAGGGACTGGTGGGGCAGCGTATTGAGGAATACTGTCGCATAGCCTTGTCCGAGAATGAGCGAGACGAGGGCGACGATGAGCGACAGGCAAAACCAGAGGAAGCGTATGTAAGACTTTGGGATCCGTCTCGTCAGCTGTCTCTCGAGGAACCTGCGTAGCGACATGAGCTGTGTATCTCGCCAATACTCAGCGCAGTCTTACGTGCGCTGCATGTCCGTCAGACTGTGACGATACGACATACGTCGGTCTGATCTGAGTTTGATGAAGCAGGCTAGTGCGGGCATTGACATTGTCAAAAAGGCGAGCGAGACCCAGAGCGTCTTCCTTCCCCAGTCTGGATCCTCTGTGGGATTGTGATGTCCCTTTTTCGGTCTCTGCTCGTCCTGGCGGCGCCTGATACCGAAAGCGTCGAGATGATGGAGCAACAAGCCAACGGCGAGCGCGCTCATCCACATGAACGCATATGAAATCTTGCCGCCCAGTCTCTGAGGCCACCAGTTGAGCCGGTACAGTCCGAATAGCGACGTGATCCACACGAGTGCGCCAGCCTGATAGAGGCCAAAGTAGATTAGGAGGAAGAAGTAAAAGTTGACGTCGACCGGTAAATCGTCCTCGTCTTGAGCTGCCTGCTGGTCATTGACCTTGCTTGTGCCGTAGGGATCCGAGACCGGAAAGGGCAGTGCACACCATATCCAGATCTGCAGTTGTGATCAGTGCTGCCGTGCTGACAAGTCCATTCTGAGGCTCACAATCAGGCAAGGCACAAGTACGAGGATAGCCCATCGTCTCCACCAGGCATTGAGCCATCTATGGACTTGTTGAGGTCCTGGACGGAGGCCCACGAGCAGCCATGTCCTTTCATCGTCCTCCGGAACATCCTCGGGGGCAACGTGTGAGAGACGCCGAGATACGCTGCCCAGGCGACGACGTGATTGTGAAGTGAGCGGCGAGGCTGGCAAGGCGTGCGCTCGGTACCTGCCCGCTACGTAGTAGTTGGAAGGCGACTGCACATCTTGCGAGACTATTCTATCCTTGCCAGCCTCAAATGCACTGAACATGCGTTCATCCGCCTGGCAGCTCGGCACTTCTGCCTTTCAATTTCGAGCGCGACTGTTCTCAACATTTGCCACGCGCGCGCGGTGCTCACTCAGTCAGGGCCACAGACTCCGTGCAAAGATCACGCGTGACAAGCATCAATGACCGTCTGGTCCTTGCCTTGTCTCGTTGCGCTCGAGTGGGTGAGCGACAGCGCCGAGCCTAGCGCTCACAGGATGGTGATCAGAATTCGGCAGCTTGGATCACCCGCGTGCCAGGCGGAACGGATCTCGCTGATTCGCCAATGTGCGTCTCGGCGAGATACTGCCGCCTTGAAGCTGTTGAACACGTTCAAGCTGCCGCTTGATCTGAATGTAATCCGCTTTCGCTAGTCGAGGCTGCCGCTATGCGATCGGCTGCGCTAGCAGCGGACGGCGCTCTTTCCAATGTGAACGCAGCGGTCTCGAATATTGTCGAAAGTCAGAAATCATGCGGACTGTCTAACTGAGCCCTGTTGACCTGGCGTAAGGCTATTGCAGCGCTTCGCTGATGCAATGGGCACCCAAGCAGCGGTGCCCAACTGACACGTCGTTCTTGCCTCTTTTGATATGACATATAGAGTATGCATGTTTCGATCCACGGGACTTGTAGCGATTACAAGCCCGTGACCGGAAAGATTGACAGCATGAGGCATGGGTTTGCAGGCCGGTCCTCCCATATGTTGTCATGAATGCACAACCCTCGGCTTGCGGGGGCGATCGTCTACGACGGGGATGCTGGGATCGACGGCGTCGACTCGGAAGGGCACCCTCGACCTCTGTCTTCGAGGCTCATTTGGCATCGAGGTTAGCGTTCATCATGTGACACGTCCGCAAATCTGTCATCACGTGATTAAATTCATTTGACGGCAGGCTGAGGTCACCAAAGTCACAAACGTTTCGCAGACATGCTTGTTATCAGTGCAAACATCTGGCAGTAGCTTTTGAAACAATATTGCACAAAGACTTGCTCAGTGCTGTCGCATAGCATATCAAGCCCGTACACAGGTTTTCAAATTTTCGATCAGAATCAGTGCCATAATGCGCTAGTGTACTCTAGATGTGGTCTACTGCCCGACGGAAAAGACTCAGAGCAATCGGTGAGACAGAATATTGCTTGATGACGTGGTCACTACTGCATCACGTGCTCCTCAAACCTTTGCGGGGACTTGCGCAGGGTCTCTGCGGGGCATGCGTCAATCGCCGGCCTGTGGGGCGCACGGCAGGCGTGGCGGCCTGTGGGGGCAAGTAGCAATCAGGCGTGTGCTCAAGCGGGGCACGAAGTTGTCACACTGATCGTCACCCTCAACACGCCGGACTCTTCATGACATCAGACCTGAACGCTTCCAATTAGACGCCCGAAAGTCAACATGCTGCTCGACAACACTGCTGGATCAAGGTGCAGATCCATTCGACATGCCAGGCAATGTAGACTTGGCAACCCAGGCTTCACTGCTAGAATCCTGATCATTTGATTGCCCACCGACAACGCAGCCACATGTCGCTGCTCGTCTGCCGGCTGTGATACTCGCTGTCGTGGTCATAGCGCAATGATATGTGGTCTTAGACTCATGCGAGTGAATGCGAGTGTGTAATGCATTGCGATAAGCTATCGTTCAATCCACAGTTGGTGTCGTCAAACAAGGTGGCAACGTGTGCTGATCTGACGATGTCGGGCGAAATGATTTCAGAAGGAGCGCATATTCATTCAGGATACTCCAGGCCTCTGCAGGCTGAACAGCCGCAAGCATTTGGTTATTCTGTAGTCAATGAGCTCGGCTCGGTGACGGTCGGCTTGATGAGCTAGCGTCGGTGAGGATCATAGGCAGTCTCGACGCAAAATTAAGTCGGATATCTCCTCTGATCTGCGCCGTCGAGCGATGTCGACCTGCTGGCCCAAGTAATATGCCAGGAGACTTTGAGCATCAGGGCTTCTGTCAAGGTTGAGAGGCGATGAAGTGCTGTGAGGGAGCGCAAAGCAGTTCGGCTGTAACGCAGTAGATCGGCAATCTCCTTGCAAGCGTGTCGCGGCGTTTCAGAGCTACACTGGCCGCGGCCGTGGGTGGCATGCGCGCCCGGCACCGGCAGAGCATCGCGACTGTGCAAAATTTTGTTCAAAGTCGAAAGAAGCAGCAAGCGGCCACTCGAGCGAGCTCCTCCCTTGGCTTCATCTTTTTATGTAAGCTCTTGCATGGCGCCCGTCGAAGCAATGGTCTCGGATATGCAGCTAGGCACGTCAGCCGAGCTGCTGTCGCGACACTTCTGTTCAAACCCCTACGCTGATTGCCAAAGGACGCTCTCTGACGGGTTGCTTCCTCTTTCTGCAGGTTCGACGAGCGTACGTCGCAAGACTACCTGGCAGATCATCTTTGGCGAGCATCACAACATCCCTCTCTCGCTTGGCAAGACTAGACGAGCTCTGCAGGCCCACCATGGCAACTCTCAGACTAGCTCGCCAAGGCCTCAGCCGCAGCGCTAGGACATCCTCGTCTCCTCCTCTCGTTGCGCGCGCGACAGCCGTGCACAGCACTCCATGCCTCACTCGCAGGTCGTATGTCACGCCCACAAGCCAGCGACAGGCCGAGGTCGTGGAGCAGCCTGTACTCAACTCACCTTCTGAGCTCGCTCGCAAGATCTCTGCCAGCGTTTTGCCCAAATTGCAGAAGCCCAACGTTCGCAAGGTACTGGTCGTCGGCTCCGGCGGTCTGAGTATCGGTCAGGCTGGCGAATTCGACTATTCGGGTTCTCAGGCCATCAAGGCTCTGCGCGAAAGCAATGTCGAAGCCATTGGTGAGCTTTTGCTGCCATACTATCGCATCTGAGCTCAATCAGGCGTTTCAGTCATCAATGCCAACATCGCTACTATGCAGACTTCGCATGCTATCGCCTCGGAAGTCTACTTTCTCCCCATCAGCGCCGAATATGTATCTTACGTCCTCGAGAAAGAGCGACCCGACGGCATCTTGCTCACTTTCGGAGGCCAGTCAGCACTCAATGTCGGTATTCAGCTCGAGAAGATGGGCGTACTGGAACGACTGGGCGTCCAAGTGCTCGGCACGCCCATCCGCACGCTTGAGGTGTCCGAGGACCGTGATCTATTCGTCAAGGCACTCAACGAGATTGATATCCCAGCAGCACACTCGACAGCTGTCTCTACCGTAGATGACGCTCTTGCTGCGGCTGAGCAGATTGGCTATCCCGTCATCTTGCGCTCAGCCTTCTCGCTCGGCGGCCTGGGCTCTGGCTTTGCGCATGATGCCGATGAGCTCAGAGATCTGTCCGCTCGCAGTCTGACTCTCAGTCCACAAGTCTTAATCGAAAAGTCGCTCAAGGGATGGAAAGAGCTCGAGTACGAAGTTCTGCGCGACGCAGCTGATGTGAGGCTAGTTTGAGACCCCGCAATGCCGACTAACGTGACTGGGCAGAATTGCATCACCGTATGCAACATGGAAAACTTTGATCCTCTCGGAACGCACACCGGCGATTCCATCGTCATCGCTCCTTCTCAGACGCTCAGCGACGATGAGTATCGTGGGTCCTCAATCAGCTCTTGACGAGCCAAGGGTTGACAACTGTATCCTGTAGACATGCTTCGCACGGCTGCTATCAAGATTGTGCGTCATGTCGGCGTAGTAGGAGAGTGCAATGTGCAATACGCACTCCACCCTACCAAGCGCGAGTACATGGTCATCGAGATGAACGCTCGCCTGTCTCGCTCATCCGCGCTCGCATCAAAAGCGACTGGATACCCTCTTGCATACACAGCGGCCAAGATTGCGCTCGGTCACACATTGCCCGAGCTGCCAAACGCAGTGACGAAGACGACGACGGCTTGCTTCGAGCCTTCGCTTGATTATATTGTCACCAAGATTCCTAAATGGGATCTCGCCAAGTTTCAATATGTCAATCGGGAGGTAGGATCGTCGATGAAGTCCGTTGGCGAAGTTATGGCGATTGGTCGGACATTTGAGGAATCGTTGCAAAAAGCAGTCAGACAGGTCGATCCTCGCTTTTCCGGTTTCCAGGCAGCATGGGAGCCGGAAGATCTCGAGCACGCTCTTTCGGTGCCTACGGATCGTCGCCTGTTTGCCATCGCTCACGCAATGATCAACAAGCATTGGTCTGTCGAACGTGTCCATCAGCTCACGAAGATAGATAGGTGGTTCCTTCACAAGCTTGACAATATCGTGCAAGTCCACAATGCTTTCCTCGAGATGGGCGACATCACAAAGGCAGACTTTGACGTGATAAAGCACGCCAAGAAGATGGGTTTCTCTGACAAGCAGATCGCAGGCCTCGTCGGCTCGACAGAGCTCGAGGTGCGCGCGCATCGCAAATCGCTTGGCGTCACTCCGTTCGTGAAGCGTATCGACACATTAGCGGCAGAGTATCCCGCCAATACAAACTATCTCTACACCACCTACAACGCCTCTCAGCACGATGTCGAATTCAATGAGCACGGGACTATGGTCCTAGGTAGCGGGGTTTATCGTATCGGTAGCTCTGTCGAATTTGACTGGTGCGCCGTCACCTGTGCGCGAAAGATCAGAGATCTCGGCAGAAAGACGGTGATGATCAATTACAACCCAGAGACGGTCTCGACAGACTTCGACGAAGCAGATCGACTGTACTTCGAAGAGCTTGGCTTTGAACGTGTTATGGATATCTACGAGCTCGAAGCTGCTGACGGTGTTGTCGTCAGCGTCGGTGGTCAATTGCCACAGAACATTGCGCTTCGACTCAAGGACGCCGGCCTCAATGTTCTCGGTACAGATCCGAAACAGATTGATAATGCAGAGGACCGACACAAATTCTCTGCCATTCTCGACGCAAATGGAATCGATCAGCCAGACTGGATCGAAGCGACAGATCTCGAATCTGCCACAACCTTTTCAGACAAGGTTGGCTTCCCCGTATTGATCAGACCGTCCTACGTTCTCTCGGGCGCGGCAATGAACGTTGTGTACGAGCGAGATGCGCTCGTTCACGCACTATCGGCAGCTGCAGAGGTGTCTGCAGAATATCCGGCAGTTATCACAAAGTTCATAGACGGCGCACAAGAGATTGATGTGGATGCTGTCGCTCACAATGGCAAGCTGCTCATTCATGCGGTTTCCGAACATGTCGAGAACGCTGGTGTCCACTCTGGCGATGCTACGCTTGTCCTCCCGCCTTTCTCACTTCATGAAGGCGACCTCGCCCGTCTTAAGACGATTGCTGAAAAGGTGGCTTCCGCCTTTGACATCAGCGGTCCTTTCAACATGCAGATCATTCGCAAGGAAGGCGATTCTCCCTGGGAGCCAACGACGCTCAAAGTGATCGAGTGCAATCTGCGAGCGTCAAGATCATTTCCCTTTGTCTCTAAAGTACTCGGCACCAACTTTATCGACGTCGCCACGGCAGCTATTCTCAATCAGCAGGTACCTGCGCCGTATGATCCCATGAAGGAAAAGCGAGACTATGTGGCCATCAAGGTGCCACAGTTCTCCTGGACTCGTCTTGCCGGCGCAGATCCCTTCCTCGGTGTCGAAATGGCGAGCACGGGCGAGGTGGCGGCATTTGGTCAAAACATTCACGAGGCCTATTGGGCATCCCTTTTGTCCACAACGGGCTTCAAGGTTCCTCCACCTGGCAGTGGTATTCTGATTGGAGGCGACATCACCAAGCCAGAGATGCGCACTGTCGCCAAAGGCTTTTCTGACCTTGGCTATAAGCTCTACTGCTCGAGCCACGAGATCGAAGACTTCATCGCGGACCTGCCTTATGTGCGCAAGGCGAAGCGAATCTTCTTCCCCAAGACGGACAAGCGCAAGCTGCGTGAGGTTTTCGAAGAGTTTGACATCACCTGCGTCGTCAATCTAGCCAAGTCGCGCGGTCGTGACACCTTTGACGAAGACTATGTTGCTCGTCGCAACGGAGTCGATTTCGGACTGCCTTTGCTCAATAATGCCCGTTGCGCCCAGCTCTTTGTCGAGTCTCTTGCCAGTGCGTCTCATGTCTTGTCATATTGTTACAGGAGCTGACACGAGCGAGCAGAGCAAAAGGCGATCAATGGACTGGCAGGCTATCGCGAGAATCGCGTGCCGAGTGAAGTCAAATCTTGGGCAGACTTTGTCGGCTCTCATGTATAGTATGCTGCATGCTTAGACGCCCGTTCCTAGAATGTATTGCAAACTTGACTGCCCCTGCGCGCCTGCCATGGTGCCTAGAAGCTCGCTGCCCGGCGCCACGCTGTAGCTACGCAGGCAATCTCTCTCGCTAAGCGCGTCTGCCAAGACGAATCGCAGCTCGGCCTACCACTGGCTGCTGCGGTTACATCCCTGCAAACCGACACCATGAAGCGCTCAGTAGACTCAAAGCCGATCGCCTCGACCTCCAGCTTCCGTGCTGTCAATGCAGGATCAGGCAGCACGGTGCTCAAGGAGGGTGACGCCGCAGATGAGATGGAGGTCATCATGCTAGGAGCCGGGCAAGAAGTGGGCAGGTCATGCTGTGTGATCAAGTACAAGGGCGTGACGCTGGTCTGTGATGCGGGCGTCCATCCAGCCTACTCGGGCATGCCTGCGCTACCGTTCATCGACGAGCTCGACTGGGACACCGTCGACGCTATCCTCGTCACTCACTTCCATCTCGACCATGCAGCCGGACTTCCCTACATCATGGAGAAGACCAACTTCAAGGACGGCGGAGGCAGGGTCTACATGACTCATGCTACCAAGGATGTGTACGAGCTCCTTATGCAAGACTTTGTCCGTATCAGGTGCCTCTCTCTTTCCTTCCTTAGCCGTCTGAGCCTGTCTTGATGTCTCTGCTGTCTCTGCTGCAGCATCATCGAAGGTACCGACACGAGTCAGCGCATCATGGACGCCGAGAACCTTGAGGCCTCTCTGGAGACGATTCAAGGCATACGGTTCTATGAAGAAGTGACGATACCCATCTCGAGCAAGCGTTCGACGACTTCAGTCAGGTTCACTTCCTATCCAGCCGGTCATGTCCTGGGCGCCTCTATGTTTCTCATAGAGATCGGGGGCGCCCGTGTACTCTACACGGGCGATTACTCGACAGAGGCCGATATGCACCTCATACCGGCCTCTGTGCCCACCTGGGGAGGCAAGCGACCGGATGTGATGATCTGCGAGTCAACTTTCGGCGTCCAGTCATTCGAGCCAAAGGCAATCAGAGAGGCGCAATTCACCAATAAAATCAAAACGATCCTGAAGCGTGGCGGCAAGGTCCTTCTGCCAGCCTTCTCTTCTGGGGTGTCGCAGGAGCTTCTCCTCGTGCTTGACGACTTTTGGGAGAAGAATCCGGACCTTCACGAGTTTCCGATCTACTACGTCACATCACTCGCATCGCGCGTGCTCAAGGTCTACCGGCAGCACATCTCCTCTCAATCTCAGAAGATCCAACAGCGCGCTGCGAGTGGAGACAATCCTTACGATTTTGGAAAAGGCAGGTTTGTCAAAGAGTTGCGGTCTATTAGGCGTGGGGTGGCCGACAAGAGCCCCTGTGTCGTTGTCGCCACACCCGGCATGCTTCAGCCCGGCACGAGCAGAGAGCTGCTTGAGCGGTGGGCGGGCGACCGTCGCAATGGTCTCATCCTCTGCGGCTACTCCGTCGAGGGCTCGCTCGCGAGGGTAATCTCGCTGCGGCTTCTTCTGACTGCGCTCACCGCATTCGCAGGACTTACAAGCCGAGCCCGACGAGTTCATGAGTGTAGAGGGACGCCGGATCCCTCGTCGTATCAGCGTGGACGTCATCAGCTTCGCCCAACATGTCGATTTCAGCCAGAACGCATCGTTTATAGACGCCGTGAGGCCGGCCAATCTTGTGAGCTATGCGCAGTCTCGAGTCTTTCATTTGCCTGACGCACCTCGAGATCCTCGTACACGGCGAAGCACGCAATGTGACGACCTTACAGGCAGCTCTACAGAAGATCTATGCAGACAAGAAGGATGAGATGAAAGTCTATGCCCCGCGCAACTTGCAGCCGATCAAGATCAGGATAGCGCGCAACCAGGTCGCTCGGGTATGTTGACCACAGCTTGAGAAAGCAGCCAACTGACGATACATCCAGGCTGTCGGGGGCCTAGCAAAGGAGCATCTGCCAGATGGTGCGCCCGTCGGCGGGTTGCTGTTCGTCAAAGACGCGCAATACACGCTGCTCGATCCTAAGGATCTCAAGGAGTTCACCGGACTTTCGACAAGCACTATCGCACAGAAGCAACGAATACAACTTGACGTCGGCTGGGATCTCATCCACTGGCATCTCGAGGGCATGTACGGCAGCGTTGAGACTGGTGTCGATCCAGACGGGCTCGCCACTTTCAGAGTCAGTCCTTGCGATCCCATCTGATCATATGCTGACCGGCAGACAGGTCATGAAATCCGTCGACTTGAAGCATGTGCAGAAGAACGAGTACTGTCTTGAATGGGGCAGCGGCGTAACGAACGATATGGTGGCAGATTCTCTACTGGCGCTTTTGCTGGGCATCAGTAAAAGTCCGGCCTCAGTCAAAGTCAGCCACAAAGAGCATCGGCATGAACACGCAGAAGCGGATCCAAGCAGTCTTGACGAGCAAGGCTTGCCGCCCCGACTAGCCAGACTGATAGCGTTCCTCGATACGCATTTTGGCGGCATCGAGTTGCTTACTGCCTCGCAGGCAGCAGAAGCACACCGAGCGAAACTGGAAGCTCAGCAAACGAAGCTCGATGCTCTCTCGGTCGGTGATGTCAAGCCAGACCTGACAGCACAAGCACGAATGCACGCGGATTCGAGAGCGATAGATCAGCCGGCGATCAAGGTCGAGACTGACGCAGGCTCAACGGCCGATGTCACCTCAGCACACCCAGTACGTGACGAGCTCGACGAAGAGCCTGATGCGCCCGTGTTGAGAGTGCGCCTCGATGACCATATCGCCGACGTAAACCTGCTCACAATGCGAGTCGACTGCGACTATCCGGCATTTCAGAAACGAGTCGAGAATGTCGTGTCTCTCGCGGTACAGCTTGTGACTCCACTCAGCGAGGCTAGATCGGTCAGGAAGAATGTTCTGGGGGGTCACACTCGCCTAGACAAGTTATCGAGGCCATCGTAGTCAGCATGCATAATTCTTGACGCGCCGTCTGAGTGTCGTCCTTGCCGCCGACTGCCCGCAGCCCTATGTGCCTCTTTGGGCGAGCAATGTGACATGTCGTCAGTCAGCATAGTCTCGGAGACTGCGCTGCCTACGGGTACCACGACGGCGAGCGGTGTAGCTCAGTCTAACCCGCTACTGGGTACGCAGGCTGAGCTCTATCGCGCTAGTAAGCCCAGGCTAACTATGCCTGCCTGTCTGCAGCCTTTGAGCCGCCATTTGTGTATTCACTGCCGATCCAGCTGCTCGTGGCAGGATGCACGCTCACGCTGCTCACGGTGCTGATGTGCCATCTCTTGTTCACTGTGAGATACCATCTGCCTCTCAATCGGCTCAACTATGCGCTGCAACTACAAGCCACTGCGATCTCCATCATCGCCAACTCTGTGTACATCGGCCTCGTCATGGGCGAGCTCAGGGGCCGCAGCAGGCAGTGGCCGTACATGTTTGAATATGTCGAGATCTTTGTACCCGATGTGCACTGGTCGAACGCCAGAAAGGCGGCGTGGCAGGCCCTCGTCGCTATCACGACACTGTCTGCGCATGCGACCCACATCCAGTTCCTCACGCTTCTCTTCCCCTCACGCCTCGAGTTCAAGCTCATCGTCCTCTTTCTCGGACCGCTCGCGCTTGCAGCAGCAGGACTTGCTTTCACCATGCTCATCTCGAGCGATCAGTATTCCGACCTCGGCGAGGCCATGCAGGCGGTCTGCAACTCCACTCTCACTCTCCTCTATACGATCGCCCTCCTCATCTGGGGCCTCTTCATCAATCGCAAACGCGCTTGGCGTACCGAAGGTGGAACAGCCGGCTTCGGCGCAGTCTCTGTCACTCTGGCCCTCATCGGCACGGCTGTCAACTTTGTCGAGGTGAAGGAAGACGCGCTACTTTGGCTGCCCCAAGTTGTCGTCTGCATCTTGCTTTGGCAGTCCTGGGTATCCTTCTGGTGGTGGGTAGGAGCAGGCATGTACGCTGGCGAAGTAGCGGACAGAGAGCAGCGCAAGCAACGCCGGGAGCGTCGGAAAGCGCGACGCGAGCAAAAGCTGCATGACAGGGACGAGAGCACACCTCTCACTACGAGGCTCGGCAGAGCCATTTCTGCACAGACCGACCATGCCACCTCACGGTTACGTTTGCGCCGCTTTCGCACTGCTGATTCGATGCGGCCTGCTACTATCGTCGCCGAGCCTGGGCCGTCCATCGAGCTGCAGGATCTTGCACAGCCTGGTCTGCCAGACGAGTCAGGCGAATCGTCTGGCAGCAACCCATCGACGAGCGTTCACCCCGTCGTTGCCTTCATCACCAGGCCCAAGATCATCGCAAGCACGCTCAACAGGCTACGATCTGCTCACGAGACAGCAGCGAAAGACCGCGCTCTGCAGACCACGCCACACCAATCCGTCGGCCTTCGCGGCGTCATCACTCGTGGTCTAGCGGACATGCATGGCACTCGAGTCGATACTCATCAGTCCACTGGTCAGGATACCCTGCAGGACTTTCCGACCGCAACAACGAGCGCCATCCGCCAGGAGGAGCTGGCCGCCGTCATGAGTCTCACGCCAGACGACACGAACGGCAATCAGAGCGACTGGGAAGACCTGCAGCCCACTTCCCCGCTCAATGCAGAGATCGGCCGAGTAGATCGGCGTGCCGACCCGCACTATGTCGTCCATCGTCCGTCGGCCGATGTCACCACTGGCTGGGCTTGGCTGGGCCCTTTGCGGTCTTGGCGGCTCAAGGACAGAACAGTCTACTCTTGACAGATATGACATGTTGTACAAGTCTCGTGTTGATGTAATGCTCTGCCAAGATTAGAATGAGAACATCATGATCGCGATGTCAGTCAGAGTCGTCTGCTTGCGTTTGTCCTTGTGCTTCGCGACGACCTTTGTTCTTTGCACGCTTCGCATCGTCGGCCTTGTCGATGACTTTGCCGAGGAATTCATTCTCGTTGACAGCGTTCCAGAGGGCGATAGGATGCAGTCGTGATTTGCGTTGCGTGTCGAGTGCCTGCGCTAATGCGAGCGCTTCTTTAGTGTCCTTTCGTGCAGCGATTGAGCTCGGCGGCGGTCGCTGCTCGCGCATATCCCAGCTGCCGATCAGCTGACCGCGATCGTTCGCTTTCTGTTCAGGCGTATCGTGTCGTCGAACAAGCGACATCACGCCATCATCGCCCGTTTTCTCTATCTCTGCTCGTCTTCCGGCCAGTCTTCGCTCTTCGGCCTTGATCGCCTTGCGCAAGTTGTGCTCCCTGCGGCGCTCGACGCGCTCGTACGTTCGCTTGAACCGCTTGGACCACTTCTGCTTGCCTTCCATCCACCGCTCAAGTGGGCCTTCGCCAAAGACGCCAAGCTGCTCAGGCTTGATCTGAAGGGCTGGCAGCTCTTCTTCTGGCTCTAGATCACGAACTGTACCATCGATCGCGACGCGCTCTCTGATCATATAATCTTTGTATTCGGGTCTCTGCAGTGCTACGGGTCAGTGAAGCATTTGGCGAATACACGGATGCCCACATTGAAGGGCTGCACTGCAGAATAGATACTCGTCTTCATCTCTGCTTGTTGCTTCTTCCACCGTCGAGCTTGCTTGCCGAAGAGATCACTGCTACCTGTGCGTGACCTGTCGCTGGGTTGTGATCCGCGACTGACAGACGAAGAGATTTTCCGCTCGAGGGTGGGATGGATATCGTCTAGGGGTGCGTTGCTTGATGTGCTCATGCTATTTGTCGAATCGTCGATGCCGGGTATTTCCATGCCTGTTGCAGACACTGGCGAAAGTACATTCGCCGGCAGCGTTGCGAACTTCATGAATGAGGCCATACTAAACAGCACATCTCAGCGCCGGCTCAACAGATAGTTTTTCACCTTACGCTCTGAAAGCGAACTTGGCAGGCGTTGTCCATGAGTATAGTGGCAAGACGTGCGGCGCGTCATCGTACACCTCTTCGCTACAATCAGCTCAATACTGACTGAGAGCAGGAAGACTCACGTAAATGCACGCGCGTTGGCAAGTAATTGTTCAACTTGGCCGCCCGCTCGGGATTGGCAGCAAGCAGCTCTTGTCGTAGCGGGTACTTGTGTGGCCGAGCTGCGCGATGAGCGAGATAGATTATTTCGTCTCTCAAGACTTCTTTCTCGCCCGCAAGAATGTAGAGATCGGGCAGGCCGCCCAACGTTGGCGCTAGTGCAGGCGAGACGTATGGATGCGCAAGCTGGTCATTGGTCGCGTAGAGCTGGACCTGTTCGTTGATGACGAGCTTCTTATCACCGATAGGAGCAGCCACGACGCCAGGCGGCTCGAAGACTTGCGCGCCGTCTTCGAAGGCGGGCAGCTGAGGCTTGAATTTAGAACGCGCAAGATGCTGCTTAGCCACGTCGGAATCCTTTGGGCACCTGATGGCATCCTTCGTCGGCCCGGGTGGCTGCTTGTGAAAGTCTGTCGTCGGCTTGGAGGGCTGCTGAGTGGCAACCATCTTGAGCGTTGCCTGTCGCTTTGCCTGCTTCTCGTCGTTTTGCTGATCGTCAGGCGGTGGCCAGAGCGTCGAAGGTTTGTTCATGAACCCAAAGGACGGCAAGATGTCCGTTGCTGTATTCTGGATGATCGACGGGAAGGAGTGGCAGAGATCGACCCAGGGACTGATCAACAGTCCTCCGCCAGGCATGGGCAGATTCATGTCACGGAGGAGACAGAGCAGTGCAAGTGTCATGCCACCGCCGGCCGAATCACCACCAATGATGATTTTGCTCGGATCGACCGGCTTGTGCTTTGCGCCTTGCGGAGGTCTGATCAGATAGAGATAGGCGGCCAAACAGTCTTGCAGGCCGCATGGAAATGGAAATTGGGGTGCGAGACGGTAGGTGACTGCAAAGGCGCGCCCACCGATTTTGCGTGCCATGCGCCAGATCAAGTACTTGTGGGTGTCCACACTGCATAGAAAGTATGCTCCTCTACGATCCGACCGTCAGCCATGTCAAGCGGTCACGGGAAGGACAGCCGCACCCGTGAAGGTAGAGCAGGGTCGGCTGATCGTCGAGATCAGACGTGTACTCGCCCTCGTCCTCGCCCTTGACGCTCTCATTGCTGCCGTTGGCTTCTTTGGTCGAAGGCTCCTCCAGAGTGGGGTTGGCTGAAGGTGCGGTTGATGCGAGTGAGGCAACGTCGTCATCCTTGCCGTCGCCGTCGGGTCGATCAAGGGCCGAGCGACGACCAGACTCGATATCTTGCTGTTCCCTGAGATCTTTGGCCAGCTTGGCCTCGCTGGTGCGCCTCTCTTCAGCCTGCTTGAGCTGATGCTGGTAGAGCTTTGCGGCCTTGCGAGTCGACAGCACTTCGTCGTTTGTCCTCTCATCCTCTGCGAGAGAGAAATCTCGCTTCATAGCGATCCATTCAGAGACGATGCCACCGTCAACTCTGTCTCGACGCTGCCACCATTCCTTGCCGCCAATGACATACTCGCATTCTTCCTGGCCAAAGGCATCGACGAGTATCTTTGCGGCCGACGAGCAAGTCGCGGGCGGGATGACGACGGCGATCCGTCGGACCCATGCAGGCGTGGGTACGAAGAGACAGGTCAGCTTCTGAGCCTCCTCGACGGTATGCAGCGTGCTCTCCTCAATGACGTCCCGCAAGAATTGAAAGGCGCCGTCAAAGGTATAATCATTGCGCAAAGGTACGCCTGCTGTGCGCTTGCTCCTCTGAAAGTAGTGCTGGAACGTCGTCGACGTGATCGAGCTTGCGCTCGTCAGGGCCACTGCGACCAATGCCGGCAAGCCCATTGCAGCTGTCGTGTGCCGCTATCTAGCTGTTGTGTTGTGAGGCCGGAGCGGGGCGGCGGTCTGGGAAGCCGGAGCAGCAGTCGTGAGGATTGACTGCTACCGAGCAGCTGCTGGCCCGCACTGCTGCCGGGACCTTGCTGGGGTCGGGGTGCCGGTACGCCGGACTGTCGACGTGGCAAACAAAGCCGGCGGACGCGCGTGAGCCGAGACGAGCCACCAGGCAAGGCGGAGGTGAAGGCGAAGGAGCACGCTAGGCAAGGACGTTGTTACTCTTGCTCAAGCGTAGTTCCACACCGCCCTCGCTCCTGTTGACTCTCCACTGATCAGCCGGCTCGACACAAGCGACCAATCAAAGACAAACAGGTGAGCGCCAACGAGTTTGTCGCTCGAATCAACACACCAGACTGAGACCTCGTTCCCCGACATCAGACGATGAGAGAGGTCATCTCCATCCACGTCGGACAGGCAGGCTGTCAGCTCGGCAACGCATGCTGGGAGCTCTACTGCGAGGAACATCACCTCTCTGTGCGTGCCTGGCTGGTCTCCCAACTTCGCGTGTAGCTTGACTGACGTGGCCGTCTTTCAGCCTGACGGCCGCCTCAAGGAGACCTCAACCAAGTCTGACGAAGGCTTCTCCACCTTTTTCTCAGAGACTGGCAACGGCAAATATGTCCCTCGCGCGGTCTATGTCGATCTCGAGCCCAACGTGATCGATGAAGGTCAGTCATTCCGCGCAAGTCTCGATCGAAGCAGGAGGTGCTGACGCTTCCTGCAGTCCGAAACGGCGCCTACAAGGGCCTCTTCCACCCAGAGACCCTCGTCAACGGCAAGGAGGATGCCGCGAACAACTACGCGCGCGGCCACTACACCGTCGGCAAGGAACTGATCGACACCGTCCTCGACCGTCTCCGCAAGCTCGCCGATGCCTGCTCCGGTCTCCAGGGATTCTTCGTCTTCCATTCGTTCGGAGGTGGCACGGGCTCAGGCTTCGGCGCCCTCTTGCTCGAGAAGCTCTCGACAGACTATGGCAAGAAGTCCAAGCTCGAATTCGCCATCTACCCTTCCCCTCGCATGTCGTCGAGCGTCGTCGAGCCTTACAACACCGTCCTGACGACCCACACGACGCTCGAGCACGTCGACTGCTCCTTCATGGTCGACAATGAGGCCATCTATGACATCGCCCGCTCAAAGCTCGGCGTCGTCTCGCCCGGTCACACCAACCTCAACCGCCTGATTGCCCAGGTTGTCAGCTCGATCACTGCCTCCCTTCGCTTCGATGGCTCCCTCAACGTCGATCTCAATGAATTTCAGACCAACTTGGTGCCCTTCCCCCGCATCCACTTTCCCCTGGCAACCTACTCGCCCATCATCGGCGCCTCCAAGGCCATGCACGAGCAGAACTCGACAGCGGAGATGGTCAACTCGTGTTTCGATCCCAACAACCAGATGGTCAAGTGCGATCCTCGCAACGGCAAGTACATGGCCTGCGCCCTACTCTTCCGAGGCGATGTCGTTCCCAAGGACGTCAATGCCGCTGTCGCGTCCATCAAGACCAAGCGAACCATCTCCTTTGTCGACTGGTGCCCCACCGGCTTCAAGCTGGGCATCTGCAACGAGCCTCCCTGCCAAGTCCCCGGCGGTGATCTCGCCAAGGTCTCACGCTCGCTCTGCATGCTGTCCAACACGACCGCTATCGCCTCGGCCTGGTCCAACATCACCAAGAAGTTCGATCTGCTTTACTCGAAGCGTGCCTTTGTGCACTGGTACGTTGGTGAAGGCATGGAGGAAGGCGAGTTCAGTGAAGCTCGCGAAGATCTCGCCGCTCTCGAACGTAGGTGTCGCGTAACCATGCCCCGACAAGAGCTCACTCGCAAGATGTACAGGTGATTACCAGGAGGTCGTGGCTGACGACGAGGTGCCTGAAGGCGAATACTAGAGTTGCGCCACTTGGGGAAGAAAGGCAACGCAAAGCTTGTATGAGATTCAGTGCAATGCACAATGTCTAATGAATGTCTATGCCAGTCTGTAGTCTCTGCCAGCATGCTTGCCATCCCTTCTCGAAATTGGCTTCTGAGAATGTGTCGATTGCATGCTGTCTGGCTCGTCTGCGCATCGCCAGTCGATCCTTGTCGCTCATGCTGAGGATGATGTACATCTTTGCCGCAAAGTCATGCGCGGATTCTGCATGCCAGCCTGCCATGAAGCGTCAGACTGAATCAGAGCATCTCCAAGAAGATCACTTGCCAGTAGCTTTGTTCTCGACGGGCACGACGATATCCATAAAGGGACCGGCGGATGCATGCACGAGTGGTATCAGACCTGCTGCCTACTCACATGCATGTCAGCGTTGCAGTCGGCAGTCAGCCACGAGCATACCATGTATTCGACGACACTGATACCGAAATGTTCGTCTACCATGCTGTTGACGCCGACGCTAGCACGTGCGTATAGTTTGACGATCTCAGGGTAAGGCGCATTGACGACGAGCTCGACGGAATCTTGCACGCCAAGAGACTTTGCGAGCGACCTGAGTGCATCTACTCGGGCTCTGTCCTCGTCGTTGCGCACTGATCCGGCCATGATGAGCTTCACTGCATGTTGGCCCGACCTGAATTGCGGCTGATTGTCGAACAGAATCTTAAGAGCGACGATCTGAGTTCTGTGCATCTTCTCCGGTCGAAACTGCGCAACGCTGAGCAGAATGACCTCGCGGTCAGTCAGCGGCAAATTGGCGAGCGCCTTCGTATCGCACGGCGGATAGACGAGCGTAGCTTTAGACTTCGGACTGTGCTCGACTGGTTCATTGGGCGACGCAGTGCTTGCTTCTGCCGCTGTGTATAGGGTGGTATGCGATTTCCGATGACGCAGACTTGGCGCGTCCAGCTTCAGAGGGTCACGAGATTGCTCGTCACCAGAAGGAGGAGCCATTTTTGCTTCGGCACGCTCAAAGTCGTCATTGAGCCTTCGCTCGGCCAGTCGGACATGCTCGTCGTCGTCGTCGTCATCGCGCTGCATGAACGGCCGCAAGAGGCGTTCGACATGCGAGCGGGTCCAGGAGGAGTTGACCATGAGCTCGTCTGCTTGTCGAAGTGCAAGACTGTACGCTTCCATGACGAAGAGGTAATAGACATGCTTGACGTGGGCCAACATCGCTCTCAGCCAGCCGCGGTCGTGTGGCGCATCGGCACGTATCCGCTCGACCATGACGCTAGAGATGGTCGGATAATGAACATAGGCGCCCACCGGTACTTTGCCAGCAGTCAGTGCCTTGACGAGCGGGAATGTGAACGCATATCCCATCGTGTCTGTCTCGACACTGTCAGCGACGATACGGCACGGTCGCGCTTCACTGACCGATGAAGACGTCTGGCACAAGCTTTGAGAGTGCCTCATGACCGAGTACGATGCTCCCGAGACTCTGTCCGAGCAGTGTGATCCGCTTCCAGGTCGCGTCTTCCACCCAGACACGCTTGGAGAGACTGACGAGGATGATGCGCATTGGGTCGAGTGAGATTCCAAAGCGTGCTCTGACCTGGCTGACGATGACGGCTTTGCTGACGCCATCACCGGAGTAGACTGCAATGATAGCTCGTGGATCACTCGACTGATGGTAGGCGATGGCGGTCCACAAGACGCGCTCGCCGCCTCCGCCTGCATTGCAGTAGGGATGGAAGAAGCCGACGATCAGTCGTCTGCCTTGCTCGCCTTCTTCTCGTATGCCGAGCTCTGAGAGTGCGATCCGCCGTCTGACCTTGTCGCTAGCGAGCAACCTTGTCCTGTAGGCTCGAACAAAGGCGCGGGCAAGGTAGTAGCTTATCGCAGCCACTTGTAGGAAGATCACAACAACGATGAGGCTGAGCATAGCAGGACCCATGAGGGTCATCTTGGTCTGGCCGCAGGTGCTTGTCAGCCAGCATGTGAGCGTGTGCATCATGAGCAGGTCAGCTCGTTCGTCGGCTGCACCAGCGCGCGCGTGTTGCTGGCAGGCCGTTGCCGGACTCGCTCACGCCGCCATCATGAGACCGTCCGCGCCCAGCTTCATCAAGCTACTGGTTCCCGTCAAGCGGTCAGTGGGCAAGTCTCGTCAGTGCTCGTCAGGCTGACGCTTGCTCGCACAGGACGATCGACTATGCAGTGTGCGTTTGCAATTTCAGGCACCGATGGAGCCGTACAGCCACGGCAGTCGCTCACACAATGACTGACCTGCAGGAAAATCCGAGTCAATTCTGCCCAGACGGGCGTCGAGACCGATGGCGTGAAGCATTCCATGGTACGCATGCCTCGCTAGGCCGCTTACACGCCAAGCTGAACACTTCAATGGCGCCGTCATGACAGAACCCATTCGATGAGATAGGTCAGTCAAGTAGATCAGATCACCTCGACAGCTGCTCACATAGCCTGCTGCAGCGGTCGAGGAAGCAGTGCGCCTCCGCGAAAAGCTAAAGGCAGACATCGAGTCCATCCGCGTCGTCACCGTCGGCGGTCCAAAGGCGACAGATGTGCTCCGTACCGCACTCGCTATGGGTGCAGATACCGGCATACACGTCGAGACGGCCGACAAGGAGATCATCGAGCCCTTATCAGTCGCAAAGACGCTCAAAGCCATCGTAGACAAGGAGAAACCGGATCTCGTCATCCTAGGCAAGCAGGCCATCGACGATGATTCGTCTCAAGTGGGCGGCATGCTCGCCGGTCTACTGAACTGGCCACAGGCCAACTTTGCGAGCAAGCTAGACTACGACAAGGGTGCAAACGAGATTCACGTCTCGCGAGAGATCGATGGCGGCCTAGAGACGCTCAAAATGAAATTGCCAGCGATCGTTACCACCGATCTCAGATTGAACGAGCCCCGCTATGCGTCCTTACCGAACATTATGAAGGCCAAAAAGAAGAAGATTGACAAGTTCACGCCCGCCGATCTCGGCGTCGACATTGCACCGAGGCTTGAAACGATCAAGGTCGTACCACCGCCAGCCCGCAAAGGCGGCGCCAAAGTAGACTCTGTCGAAGCTGTAAGCCTCCATTGTTCCGGCAACACCTTCCGTACTAATTGTTTGCCAACAGCTGGTCAGCAAGCTCAAGGAAGCAGGCGCAATCTAGATGTGGCAGACGTGACTGCTTAGCCGTTTTCCAAGTCTATGCAAAGCGTGAGTGTGACACAACAGGAAGCTCAATGATTAAACGACAAATGTCCGTGAAGGATGATGAATGTCCATATGCGATGTGAAGGGGTCTCAATACGTGAATTCCTGGAAGAGCAACTTCAGCCAAGATCATCCTTCATCAGAGGGATACTGACCTCGCAAACGTGTACAATCTGGCCAGATTGGTCGCCTTGCCAGATCTTGCGCGGACTGATGCGATCTGCGACCAGTCGGCGGACCTGAGCGTTGAGTGCCGTCGGTCCACAAGCTGCACAGGGATCATCAGTCTTGTGTGCCGCAGCGGACACAGAAAAACCCTACAAGCAACGACGATCTTCCCGCTGGCCCGTCTGACTTCTTGATCCGCAATCTGCTCGAGTCGCGGCTTGCCAGACCGAGCTAGCTCGGCGATGATATCGAGATCTTCCTTGTCCGCTGCTCCTACGTCGAGATAGATGTCTTCGTGTTCATCACGGAACGGTGAGAGATGCTGCATGCTGCCCAGGATGTTCTGTGTGCTCGAGGCATACAAGGAGCGATCGTAAAAGTCAGACTTCTCGAAGCTCGAATCTTGCTCGACAGCCGCGGACATCATCGAAACGTTGCCAGAACTCGGTCTCCGCGACTCAGCGTTGTACGAGGGCGCGAGACTGCTCTGCGACGCGGATGGCGCATGCTTATAAGACGACTTGCGCGCTGGTGGATGGGTCAAGGGTGCGAGTGCTTCTGATCTGCCAGGCGCGAGACCGCGCGAGATGCGAGATCGTGCCCGACGCAGTCGTCCTTCCTTACGTACTGTCGCAGATACCTTTGCTTCGCCTGTTGTACGCACATCTTCCTCTCCTTCGAAGAGTACAAATTCTGTTGCGTCTTCGTCTTCTTGATACATGTCATAGATACCGCCAGCTTCTGCATCGTAGCTAGCTTGCGTCGCACTCGTCTCGACAGAGACGAGCGAAGGCCTGCCGTCTGGGTTGAGAGATGGCGGCGGTCGCAGCTGCTCAGGCTGCGTAGAGGCTGTCACACTCTTGACAGCATCACGCGTGACGAAGAGATCGACTTGAAGTTGGGACGGCGGACACATGTCGAGACATTTTCGCAGTTGGGGCGCGATCCATGACAAGTGAGCATACTCGCGCAAGATCCACACGAATCTGACACGTTCGAGCTTGAAGTTCGTCGATGCACCGCGACGAGCAGCAGCGTCACGCAACGCCATCTGTTGACAGAGATGCTCGAGAACTGACAAGCCAAAGCTGACGCCCGACCCGCCACAATAGATGATCGCAGAGCTGTAGTCCGCCCAACGTGCTCGTGAAGCTGAGCCGAGCGCGTTACTGACTTGTGCACGTATCATCACGCCCTGCGTGAGGTCGTAGGTGCCCGGCTGAGCTTCCTTCTGTCGTCGTTTGGCCACGATAGAATTCCACAGATCTTTCGTAAAGCCTTGGCGCGTCCTGATCAAGAAGATGAGATCTGTCTGATCTGCATTCTGGCTCGAGATTGCATTGGCCATCGTGTACGGATGCGACTGCCAGAAGGCAATACTCGGCACCGTCAGAAGGCAGTTCTGGCCGGGCGCCCAAGACACCTTGCGAGGTGTGCGAAGGGTCAGCCTGATCGTGCGACCCGGCAAGAGCTGAGCGTAAGCATATCCGGGAGGAGGACGGATAGGTCCGGGCCGAACAGGCAACAGACTCGAATCTGTCGAGGATTGCAGAGTATGGCCCAAATTGAATGTCGAGTGCGAGACGCTGTGCATGGGGGTGAGGCCTGGCCTTGCGCCATTTGGCGTTGATGGCATGTTCGCACCACCATAGGCATAGACAGAGTCCAGATTCTTTTGTGCATAAGGGGCAGGGACGTCTGCGTGCTCGTTGAGTGCATAGTGAGATTGCTGCATATCATGACGTTGATAAGGCGAGCGGCCTTGCTTCTCGACAGAGTGTACTGTGAAGTCGCTGTCTTTGCGTGCCGGCGACCACGTCTGCTCCTTGCTTGATCGCTTGCCCAGTCCATTGATCCAGCACCAGATGGCACCGCGAGTTGCGCGCTCGCCGCCCCAGAGGGCCAGTGCAGCGATGGCCCAATATTCTACCGCTCAACATCAGTAAAGTGCTCGTCAGTGATAGACATCAGGACGTACGAAGTGTCTCAAAGTGTACGAGGCAGCCGACGAGAAAAGCAATAGATAGTGCGACGTGTGAATAGTAGAAGAGCTCGTAGAAACGGCTCCTGAGTGGGTTGAATGATAAGACGACCATGGCACAGAGAGCGACGTAGGCGACGACGCCGGCAATGAAACGATAGTAGATCCATACGTCATAGAAGACAGCGTTGCCGTAGGGATCAATATCGAGCAAGAGCTGCTTCGTCCACAGACCGACGTGGACCGTCGAGAGCGCAAAGATGAGCCTGCCAACCCAGCGATGGAAGAAAGCCGTCTTGTCGAAGCCGTAATTGGTCAAGAAAGGAATGGCAAAGATGTTGAAGGGCCAGAGCTTGACAGCAAGGGTGATGACGAGTGGGAGGAGCGCATAGGCAATCATGCCAACTCGAGAGGAAGAAGTCCAATAATTCTTTGCGATGCGGTAATTAGCAGTGGTCAACAAGGGGTCATTAAAAGGCGCCCAGCCATTGGGGTTGAGACTCGTGTCGACGGCCTTGCGTTTTTCGAGCAAGGAGCGCTTCTGGGGCGCAATCGTTGACTTGGGCGGGCCTGAAGATATGGCAGGCTTGCAGACCCCTGCGCTGAGGACACAGTCTGTCGGAGCTAGGTAGTCGTCGCCGAAATAAGATACGCTGAAGAGGACGACGGTGATGATGACGAGTGTGACGATCTGGCTGAGCGTAGGGCAGAGGAACCTTCTTGGCTTGATACCTCTGCTCTTGCCGGCCGGAGCGCCTACTTGACTGTACCGGACAGGTGCGGGCGGATAGTGGTCAGGCGAGTCAAAGTGGGCCTGAGTGGTCACGATGGGACTGGTGGGGCTGTTGAGCGTCGACTTGCGGTCGTTGCTCGCTTGTGCCAGGTGATGAGCCAAGGGCTGAACATGGTGCCGGGACTTTCCGATGCCGACATCGAGTCTTCTGATCGTGTAGGAGCGCACGAAGGCGCCTATGACGCCGCCATCGCCATGGCCGAACTGATGGAGCAAGGACCAGATGAGGAGCACTGCGCCGATGACGAACCAGAGTACGTAGCTGTTTGCATACGCTCGATCAGCAGGAGCTTGGCTGGACATTGGACGGTCAGACTGACGCATATCTGAAGCTGGGCCAAGAGAGCTCGTGGGCGAAGAAGTAGGGAATGAGGAAATAAGTCTTAAAGGTGTTGTTGTTGAGCGGGTTGGAGGAACTCCAGACGACAGAGGCTGCAGATGTCGTGCTGGCTGCAACGCTCGCAGTCTGGGTCGCACCGCCCAAGCCGGAGGAGGCCACTGCGGCGAAGGAGATACTCGTCGGCATTGATCGTCAAGGGTGCTCTTTGAGGCGCCACGACCTGGCCAGACTGGGCAGCTGCTCGCCCACGTCTGATCTAAATAGCCTCCGTCAGTGTCGCACGGACCTCTGGCAGACTGCTGCGCGATCGTTCAGTCTGTGCGCTCCCTCTTCGCTTGGCCGAGTGCGTTGCTCAAAAATGACTGCGCGCGCAGTCACCGAGCGGGTCACCTGCGGGACAATAACAGACGGGCGGGCGGGCGAGATCTCAAGGAAGGCAGATCTACACACGACAGGCCATGACAGCGTCGAGAGATGCACGAATGCATTGGTTCAAGTGAGAGGAGGAGCAGTCTAGAGTGATGATGTCGTTCGTGAATCAATAAACAGGCGTGGATCAGACTGGCCCTTATGGCTCATTGAGCTTCTGCTGAGCCTTGCCCTTGGCTTCTTGCGCTTGACCACTGAATCCACGCATGTCAGTTCCAGCAACTTCTCACTGCCAATCGTGCTTACGAGGTCTGCTTGGCATCGTCACCCGTCACGGCGCCGACGACGTTGTCGATCTTGCCACCAACACGGTCAGAGACACCCTCGGCGTAGCCTTGAGCCTGTAGCAGTGATGCGTCAGCTCCAGTGCGTCTTTGTGTAAGTCGCAACCCACCTGAGCCGCCTTGTACTCAGCTTCGCTGTCAAAGTAGAGTGAACACGTCAGCCTGGTCTGACCGGTTGAGGTAACTTCGACTGACCCCTTGGCGTGCTGCTCCTTGCCGGACTGTGCGAGGTCTGTCATGCCGGTCGCATTGCCGACCATCTCGGTGGCGGTGCCGACGAGCGAGTTGTAGTTGGCATTGAGCTGTCAAAACGGTGCTGTGTCAGGCACCGTAATGGCCACGTTGACATTTCCAACATACCTTTGAGGGTTCTGCAGAGTTGTTCGACATTTTATCTATGCTTTGTGGTCTGGTACTAAAAATGCGGATGAGCTGAGCACGAGTATGTGGTCGGACTAGCTCACTGTTAATGCGCAAAGATGAAGCGTGCAGTAAAGGCAAAAGGAAAGTTCGCGTGATTGCGCGCGTATGACATCATGCATCATCGTCGTCGCTCAGTTGACCTTCCAGGCCTGCGCAACAACATGAGACGATCCATCGAGCGAAAAGTCGACTTCGATGCTGAGCTCTCGAGAATTGCTGTCACTCGGTCTGCAACGGAAGCGACCTTCGAGCACCGTTCCTGCCTAGCTGTTAGCCCGAGTCTGTGAGCATGCCGGCAGACTGACCTGCTTGAACGTCGATGGGCTTATCGAGCACAAAGAGCGTCTGCTTCCAGTGTGTGTCCACCGCTCTCGGTCCGGTGGAGAAGCCAGTCTCGCCTTTACGTCGAGCCTCTGCAGCAAGAGGCAAAGAGAGTCCTTCTTCCAATCGTCCGTCGAGCGTGAAAATCGTATCGAACCAGCCTAGCAGGCCGTGCAGCGTACCGGACGTCTTCACCGTCAGCTTGACATTGCTTCCGAACGCGAGCTCAGCCACAGTGGTTGTAGTTGTATGGACATCCTGTCACTCGACGAGCGATGAGCGCAGCTCTGTACAGCCTGACCAGACTTGCCTTGACGGAGCATGTGTCAGTGAGGACCAAGGTTGACTTGAAGTAATCGACGAGCGCCGAGCCTGTGTAGTTGTCACGCATGGCGGACATCTTGAAACCTGCAGAGCATATGAATGATGAGCAAGCAGCAGCTTCTCGGGCTCGGCAACGCACCATAGACGTCATTCCAGAAGTCCAGATGAGCTCCGAGATACTCCTTGGCTTGCACGCCAGCGATGTGGATCGAGCATTGGGAGGGCGCCATGAGTCCGCCTGGCTTGAGGTAGCGATCCCGCGCAAAGAGCACAGAATCGAGCATCGACTCGTAGCTTCACGTCGCTTATCAGATATGATGCTTCTGGTAATGCACAGGACTCACAGCAAGAAGTAGCCCATCCATTCGGAGATGATGATGTCGACATGCTCGACTGGCAGGACGATCTTCTCTATCTTACCGCAGATGACACTGTTGAGTAAAATCAGCCAGAAGCAGAGTGTGATGCGCTTGCAAAGGTACGTGATCACGTCATCGAGACCGTTCTCCTTGATGTTACGCTCGGCTTTGTGGGCGATGCTGCTCGCATCGACTGCAAAGACGTGCTTTGCGCCTGCTTTGGCCGCAAACATGGACAAGATGCCTGCTGGGCTGCTGAGCACGACAGTCAAATCCGGCCGTATGAGCATACCTGTGCCACAGCCGACGTCGAGCACGATGGCGTCCTTGAACAGAGCAGGATTGGTGAGCATGAAGTCGCGGTACGTTCGGGTGCGCATGACATCTGTCTATGCTTGTCAGCCTGAACTCAGCCAGTGCCCGGGTGACATGCCTTTGATCATGATCTCGTGAATGTCTGAAAGTATCTGTCAGCACAGGAATGGTAAATCGAAGAAGCGCAGATTCACCTGTTGCAGGACATCAGCTCGGGTGCCACCTCGGTCAGATACCGCCAACTCACCGTTGTGGCCATAGCTCTCAAAGTAATGCGTATCGTCATCCCGCGTTCCTGCTGCTTCGAGTTGCGCAGGCGAGACGTCATCCCCAAGCGAGCGAGTGTCGCCTAACACAGCAGTACGATACCGTTCGCGCAGGTCATCGAAGCCCTGACGTAGCAGGGTGAGCTGGCTCTGGGCCTCTGCTAAGGCTCGCTTGGTGCTCGTGAGCTCGTCGCTAGAAGCATGCGTATCATCCTCAAGCAGCTCGTCAAAGTCGAGTTCTGTACCGCGACGTTAGGGGGGAATATAAGCCACAGGCCGTCTGACGGACGCAACAGCGGGTCATTTTCGATGACTGGACGGAAGAGGCTCTCATCTTTCGTGAGGTCATCCGGAACGGCTTTGCTGGCCGCTATGGGGTCGCTCTGTAACAAGACAAGCGTAAGAAAAAGAGCTTTATTCTTTGGTGAGTTGCGGATTGACGGACTGCTCGACGAAGGTAGTTGATGAGCATGATCGGGCCATACTCTGACAAGCCGAGTCGTTTGCAATCCAACAAGAGGTCGTAGCCATGCCGTCGCTTGTCGTAGTCTAACGCTGCTCTTGCCGTTGCGTGGGTCGTGTCATCGAACAGGCTCCTGCAGGCTTGCTTGTCCTGCAGATCTTCGTTGCTCAAGTCGTCCCATGTCTCTTGCTCGTCCCCGTCATCATCGCTGCTGACAGGCTCATTCATCTACGAGCAAGCAGGGCAGCAGCCGCCGTTGCACAGATTGATGATTCTTCTACTTGAAACATACCCGACTGGTACAGGCTCTGTGCCGAGCTGCTCGCCAAATTTTACGACATCCTTCCATGCTCTCATGGAGCGACTTCGATGCGGCGCAGTCTGCCAAGGCGCTACTTGAGGAGACAGGCATCCTATTTAGCGAGAAGAAAGCCACGCAGAAGCCTGATGCAGAGCTGCAAAGGCCAAGATCGCAGAAAAGTCGGCTCGTCATTGCCGCCCGAGATATCGCACCGCTGCAAGCTTGGGCTTCCCTCGTCGATGCCGCCGACATTGCAGATGATGCAATTTCTGAGCCGAGATACTCGGGGCACGCCCTCTTGGACTGCCTTGCAAGGCTCAGTCTCGAGCCTGCCTTGACGCTCTCCATCGCAAGACGCTTTGAGCCCGTGTTGATCGACATCGCAGCACGCCTGGTCTCTGATAGTGTACCCGATTCACCTGCGCCCGCTTCTACAGCTAGTCGGAGACATGCTCTGCTCGCATTTATCGCGCTTGCTCGCTTTACCACCATCACCGACAATGTCAATCTGTGCGCTCTTTCAGGCTACAAGCTTGTGGCGTAGTCTGACTTGCTTTCAGACTATTCTTACGGCTTCTCACGCACCCTGCGCTTGCGGTGGACCCTTTTGGTCTCCTCGAGGCGCAAGACAGCGCGATATGGCTCGAACCCCTTTTGCTTGCGCTGCATAGGTTGCTCGTCGCTTTGCCTACCCTGGTCATGTTGCCTACCGTCGTGCCTCAATGGTCACCGGCCTGTCCGCCGCCAGCCCTTCTCGAAGTCGCGCAGCATCATCCGCGCCGCTCTTTGCGTTTGCTTGCTTGGCGTGTCATCAGACAATGGACAGGCTGGCAGGCTGCACGGGCAGAGCAGCTCAAACGCGAATGGGTCATTCGTACAGATGACATCGCCGACCTGAACATTACACTCGTGCCTGCCGCCAGTGACGATCACGAAGATGACTGGATTAACTGGGAAGCATGCACGATAGGTCAGGCCAAGCTAGAGGAGTCGAGCGGAAATTTCAGCATCGCTATCGAGCATCAGTTCGCCGACGTCTGGGTCCTGCCAGCCCTCGAGACCTCTCTTGCGCGACCACACGAATCGTTGCATGCCGAGCGCAGATCTCATTGCCTCGAGATAGACGATCTCTCATCCGTCACAGTCGACGTATGCGGACATCTCGATGTAGCTCACGATTGGCTCATGTCCTCGTCGTCTTCACCAATCGCAAGCACGAGCGCGCTGACGATCGATCATTTTGTGCATTCAGAAGCAACGGACAGGTCTCTGCGGTCGAGTGCCGCATGTCTTTCACGATCGACTCCCTTGCTGCTCTGTTCGCTACCGTCTGCTGGCAAGATGACGATGCTGCGTCATCTGCGAGCCACTTTGCGGCCTCGTCTGCTCAACGATGATTTGCTAGTCATCAATCTGGCTGACAAGACCCTTGACGCCAAATCTCTCCTTGGCTCCCTCTCATCCTCGCCTACCCAACCAGGTTCGTTCGTGTTCGTCGAGGGTTCCCTGCCGAAAGCCATGAGATTGGGCCGTTGGCTCGTCCTCGATGGTATTCAGCATGCTTCCGAGGACGTACTCAGCGTCATCTCTGAAGTCGCAGAGCAATGCCGAGAAGCTGCACTCAATGGATGCACTTGCCGGCCCAAGCTCGGGCTAGCAGCTTGCGCAAGCCTTCATACCGGTCGAGCGCGCGTCACGGCTCGGCCGGACTTTCGCCTGATCGCACTGCATCCAGCAACAGATGCGAATCCTACCTTTCTGGGCGCTCAGTATTGGAGCCGCGTAGATCTTGCTTCGCCCAGTGATGATCATTTGAGAGCAATACTGGCTTCCAGCCATCCCAAGCTTGCCTCAACCGAGCTTTTCAACAAAGTCTTGGCCGCTTATGCCAGCCTTCAAGGATTGGATCACTCTCGCAACAAGCCCGCTACCCTCCGCGATCTCACAAAGTAAGCCGCAACTGCATCTAATGACTCTGCTGATCCCTATTTGAAGATGGTGTGCTCGCATAGAACAATCCTTGGCCGCCTTCTCGCTCGATCATGTTCAGGCAGCCGCATTGACGAATCCCGGCCTCTCGAGCGATGTCTTACTCGACGCCTGCGACCTCTTCCTTGCGTCGAGTAGCTCTCGTGACCTGGCACGAGCGACGATCCTTCAGCTTGCGCTTGCTGTCGAGCTCGAGGGCATTGAGGCAGCTTTAGATCGACGCGTGCCCGCATTTCATACGCCAAAGAGACCTGCAAGTGACAGCTCGACCACAGGACAGGCGTTACACGTCGGTCGCGCAAGGATACCGTTGACAGCCTGGCCGGATCAGAGCCTGTCCCAGCGTCCATTTGCGCTGACCCGTCCCGCTTTGGTTCTGCTCGAGCGTATAGCTCGGTGTATATCGACCGCAGAACCTGTCCTCCTCGTAGGCGAGACAGGCACAGGCAAGACTGCTGCGTGTACCTTCCTAGCGGCTTCAGTTGGACATCCACTCATCTCGCTCAATCTATCCAATCAGTCGGAGACATCTGATCTCATCGGCGGCTTCAAGCCCGTTGACCGTGAGGCCGAGGCGAAACGTGAGATATCTCGTGCCCATCTTCAAGCTTGATCTGATCACTACATCGCGCAGATGCTGCGCTCACGCTGGTCAACATATTCGTTGAGCTGTTTGGATCCTTGTTCTCGCTCTCACGCAATGCACAGTATATCAAAGCTGTGCAAGGTGCATATGACAAAGCAAGATGGCAGCGCCTCGTCGGACTCTTCACTGAGGCCAACGCTCGCGCTCGCAAGCTCTTCGAAGCGAAGCCGATGGCTAGCAATAGGCTCGATCCTGCGAATTCGCCACCTCGCAAGACCAGTCGATTAGATGACGACAACAGACGGCGACAGGGCAAGAAATGGCACAGCTTCCTTTCCCAAGTGCAAAGTTTTGAGGCTCAGTATTGTTCGGGTCCGGCAAAAGGTAGCAAGGTCGCATTCCGCTTCGTCGAAGGACCCTTAGTAAGAGCAATCCGTGAGGGTCACTGGATCTTGCTGGACGAGATCAATCTGGCTTCCGCGGAGACCTTGCAAGCGCTGGCCGCACTTCTTTCGAGCGCAACGAGCTCACTCACGTTGACCGAGAAAGGCGATCTCGAGCCTGTCCAGCGACACCCGAACTTTCGTTTATTGGCCTGTATGAATCCGGCGACCGATGTCGGCAAGCGCGACCTACCACATTCGCTTCGACTTCGCTTCACCGAAATCTTCGTGGACGCACCTGACAAAGATGCTGCAGCACTGCGTTTGATCGTCAGCGACTACATTCAGACCGTTTGCATGAGCGACAAGGCTGTCATTGCAGATGTTGCAGAGACGTACACAGATCTACGTGCAATGTGCGAAGCAGGTTTGCTCGCAGACGGCCAGAATCAGCCGCCGGTCTATTCAATGCGAACGCTGGCACGATCGCTTTCGTTTGCGCTGGCCACGCACAGCTTTCTGCGCATTAGGCAGGCTCTCTGCGAGGGAATCATTCTCGCATTTGGCATGCATCTCGATAGCGCGAGTCGGCAGAAGCTTTTGTCATTACTTAACCGCAAGCTCTTGCTTGGCCGACAGAGCCGCGCGCCAGCAGCAACCTTTCCCAAAGGCATCGGAGCTGTCCAAATTGGCAACTATTTCGTCGAGCGCGGACCCGAGCCAGAGATTACAGCAGATCATCCTTACGTCCTCACGCGATCCGTACAAGAGAAGCTCGGCGATCTTGCACGTGCAGTTTTTCTGCGACATGTGCCTGTCCTGATTCAAGGTCCGACGTCAAGCGGCAAGACAAGCATCATCGAGCATCTTGCTCAGCAAACCGGCCACAAATTCGTGCGCATCAATAATCATGAGCATACTGATATACAAGAATACATCGGCACCTATGTGTCCGATGCGACTACTGGCAAGCTCGTCTTCAGAGAAGGCCTCCTCGTCAATGCCCTCAGACTGGGACATTGGATTGTGCTCGACGAGCTCAATCTTGCACCGTCGGACGTTCTCGAGGCACTCAATCGCTTGCTTGATGACAATCGGGAACTGATAATCCCTGAGACTCAGGTGTGTCGGACACTGCCCCGTCCAGCGTGGCTGATGCTGTATAATTCTCGCAGGAGGTTGTGCGACCACATCCGCACTTTATGCTCTTCGCGACGCAGAATCCGCCCGGCGCGTATGGCGGCCGCAAAGTTCTCTCGAGAGCGTTTCGCAATCGCTTCCTCGAATTCCACTTCGATGACGTGCCGTCGGATGAGCTGCAGCAGATCCTGTATCAACGTTGTCGCATGGCGCCCTCTTGGGCGACGAAGATCATCGACGTTTTCGCGGAGCTGCAGAGACAAAGGCAAGCAATGCGTATCTTCGAGCAGAAATATGCTTTCGCAACCCTGCGGGATCTCTTTCGGTGGGGCGATCGTAGCCTGGCTTTTACCAGCTACGAAGAACTTGCGATGGCTGGCTTCGAGCTCATCGGTGAGCGCGCTCGTTCGCCTACCGATCGCGATCTCGTTCGATCTGTCATCGAGAGCGTCTTCAAGGTAACTCTGAATCCAACTGCCAGTTATGACCGGGCGATTGAGCAGGCTGCTCGAGGACTGGACAAAACCTCGCTAGTCTGGACGTCGGCTATGAAGAGACTCTTCGCTCTGGTGGAGGCCGCACTACGCAATCATGAGCCGATCCTGCTCATCGGTGAGACTGGCTCCGGCAAAACGTCTGTCTGTCAGGCACTTGCGCAACGATTTGGCCAACAACTGTTCACGGTGAATCTGCATCAGAACACAGAGACGTCGGATCTTCTCGGCGCGCAACGGCCTGTACGCTGTAGAGCTGCGAATCATGCTGCGCTTGTCGACGATCTTTGTGTGCTCATGCCGGATATACGCCTTGACAGCAGCCCTGAAGATGTCGCTCGGGCGCTCGAAGCGGCAGCGGAAGCACAACTGCTACCGCTGCAAGAGATCGAGCAGTTGCGTATTCGCAATGCGCAAGCCGATGCGCTGTTTGAGTGGCATGACGGTCCGTTAGTGCAGGCCATGAAGCAGGGCGCTCTCCTTCTGCTCGACGAAATCTCGCTCGCCGACGACTCAGTCCTGGAGCGACTCAACAGCATGCTCGAGCCGGCTCGTACGCTTCTGCTGGCTGAGAAAGTAGAATATGGTGCGGACCTCAATATAGTCACCGCTTCACCGGCGTTCAACATTATCGCCACGATGAATCCTGGTGGTGACTTCGGCAAGAAAGAGCTCTCGCCAGCCCTGCGCAATCGATTCACCGAGATCTGGGTACCCTCAGTCACAGACCACGCTGATTTGAAAGCCATCGTCGATACCCGATGGAGAGATGGCAGTCTGCGTACCCTGACCGATGCGATTCTCTCCTTCTCAGCCTGGTTCTCTGTCAGCCCAGGTGGATTTGCCGTCACTCTGCGCGATACTCTCGCCTGGGCGGATTTTGTGAACGCAACTACGCCCCGGCTGGAGGTGTCAATCGCCGCCGTACATGGCGGCTTGATGACTCTTGTGGATGGAGTTGGCGCACACTCATCCACTGCGGGTGCATCTCATGCCTATATCGCTCAGTCTCGTATTGAGGCTCTCAAGCGGCTTCTCCAGACTTTTCAAGTTAGCTCAGAGCACGTCAGCGAGGACGGAATCATCGTAAAGCTCGAGACCGCCACTCTCAGCGTAGGCAGCTTTGCTTTGTCACGCAGCGACGCGCAGGTTGCAACAATTACACACAACCTACTCGCGCCAACGACATTGAAAAGTGCCCACAGGGTTCTGCGAGCGCTACAACTGCCCAAGTCTTTGCTGCTCGAAGGTAGTCCCGGCGTTGGCAAGACAAGTCTGATCCAATCGTTGGCCGCAATCGCCGGCAAACCGCTGTGCAGAATCAATCTTTCGGATCAGACTGATCTTGCGGACCTCTTCGGTAGCGATTTACCGTCAAGCAATGGTAAAGCTGGCGGCCCCGCCTTCGCGTGGTGCACGGCACCCTTCCTGCATGCCATGGAGCACGGTCATTGGGCATTGCTAGACGAGATGAATCTCGCATCTCAGTCGGTCCTGGAAGGGCTCAATTCTTGTCTGGATCATCGAGGCACCGTCTTTGTGCCAGAACTTGATCGCACTTTTGTTCGGCACCCAGACTTTCGCATCTTCGCCGCTCAAAATCCGGTTGGCCAGGGCGGCTCCCGAAAAGGCCTGCCGAAGTCATTTGTCGACCGGTTCACACGGGTTTATATGGACGATCTGACAACACAGGATCACTTGACAGTTGCTATGCAAGCTAGACCGACTTTCGGAACGACCGAGGTCGAGCGCATCGTCCATGCTGTCGAGCAGCTTCAGCGTGCTACAGCGACTGGCCATATCGGCCGCCAAGGCGGCCCATGGGACCTCAATCTGCGCGACGTGATTCGTTGGTTCGATCTGCGTGCCCAGCATACGTTCTGCTCATCCTCTCACCTCGCATCCGCCTTGCTCGTACAGCGATTCCGCACAGCGCGAGACCGGGACCAGGCTCGTCAGATAATACAAGCTTGTGGCTTGATCACGTGCAAGACCGAGCCACATCGTCTGACCCGCGTTGGCAATTCATATGTAAGGCCTGGCCAGGCGCCATTTGATCGTCAAGACGCGACAACCGACCGAGCAATGCTCCATCGATGTCAGCGATCAGATTTTGCACACGAAGAGGCTTTTGAGGCCTTATCTCTGACGCTCTCGCAGCAATGGCTATGTGTTCTTGTCGGCTCAAGTGCCAGTGGTAAGAGCAGTCTTGCTCGCCGCTACGTCTCGCTCACCGGTCAATCTGCGTTGTGGTGCTGGGCAAGCCCTCAGATGGATACATCGGATCTTCTTGGCAGCTTTCAGCAAGACAGTGCATCAGGCCAGAAGGAGCGTCAGCTTGTCGACGTACGCGATCATCTCTCGTGTATTGCCAACGCCCCGTTGACTCCTTCAACATCGCTCAAATTGTCCGCCAAATGTGAGCACTTCCTAAGGCTTTTGTCTCGAGCGCCCGAACACGATAGCATTCCCGGAATTGAGCGGGTATACGGCGAAATCAAGTTACTGTCAGACTCGGCAACGAACTGGGCAAAATTGGACTCTGCCGTCCGACGTTTATGCATGCCTCCACGCTCGACCTCTGGCTTTGTCTGGACCGACGGGCCTCTCATTCAAGCAATGCGCAACGGCGATCTCTGCATTCTGGAAAACGCCAATCTTTGCAATGCATCGGTACTCGACCGATTAAACTCACTCTTTGAGCCTAACGGTTTTGTCGTTCTTGCTGAGCGTGGTACCTCAGCCGAGGGCCCACAGCGCATCATTCCCCATTCTAACTTTCGCGTAATCATGACTATCGACCCCAAATACGGCGAGCTATCGAGAGCTATGCGCAATCGCGGCGTCGAAATATTCTGTACACCTGTCGAGCCGTGCCACGGACTAGATATCTGCACGGCAATAGACGGCAGCTTATCGCGCGTCATGTCCACCCGCGCCTTCGATCCATCTGCATCTCCCCCAAGTCGCACGTATCAGGCTATAGCTGCCACTCCGCCTTCTGACCAGGCATTGCTTCTGCGCTGCATGACTGCATTCACCGCAGCCTCGCAAATTGTCGTTCAAGAGACACTAGCTCATTCGTTCGTACGAGCCTACGGACAAGCTGCAAGGGAGACACATCAGGTGCTTACCGCGACCGAGATACACTGTAGATCCAAACTTACTGATGCGTGCAGGCGCTCGATCTCTACATCGATCAGCCTGTGGAAAGCGTGATACACGCCGCCACACAAAGTGATGCGCTCCTCGCGCTGGTCGGAATCTTCAACAGCAATACGCGCCGGCTGCAACTCGGAGGAAGTTTGCACAATGCTTGCATATTAGCACGCTCTTTCGAAGGAGGGAAGCAGCTTGGCGAGCAAAGTGACCCGCTCCTTGCAGGACTCTTCCCTTTCCTCTCTGCCCTATTCGACTACCTCAGTGTCGCTATCGCGTCGTGGCAAGATACCCTTGCGGACCCCTCTCTCCGTCCAATGCGACGACAGCTCCAACCAATACTTGACTATGCACTCGAAATCGAGAGGCTCTGCCTTTCAGATACAGCGGATACCTCCTCATTACGTATCATAATCGAGTGGATCGAACAAAACTTTCGACAAACCGTCATCACGCCGATCCTTGAGGTAGCCTTTGCACGACTCCGAGGGTCAATGACGCTGCGTACAGGCCTACGTATGGGTACCATTTGGTCTTGTTTCCTGCCACCGCGGGTAGCTATCGGCGAGCAACATTTCAACATATTTGAAAGGGTATGGCAAGCGGCCGGCAAAGGTAGCTTGTGGACGCTGCATCAGGTCCGTGCTGACCTAATTTGAGCAGCTCGCAAACGAACGCTTTTGGAGCTGCATCGCATCGGCAAGACTAGCGAGCTCACCGTTGGCGAACAGCGACAGATCTCGACGCTCGCGGACGAAGTGGGTTAGTTTGTATTCAAAAGCGATGGCTGACGTTCTGCCAGCTCAAGGCTGATGCGACGCATTCCATTAGGCGAAGCGGCTCTCACCCCGCTGTGCTCAGCGCTTGGAACGCAGCAGAAGGCATCACAGCAGCGACGCTGCTGCTCAAATCCACAAGTGCTGCGCTGACCTCTCATCGTGGCAAGGTTCGCGCGCTTCTTGTTCATTTGATAAAGCTCATCAAGTCCTAGGCATCTGACCTCGTAGAGCTGGCCATTCAAAATCTCCGCATGCCACTCGCATTGCTATCGCCGTTCGCCGGCCACGTGATCTCGCGAGACGCCGCGAATACGATGGGTTCGTAAAGCACACCAGCACGTCGCTTCGCTAACGGGTTCACTAGCAGATATCGACGGACGTTACACTCGGCAGGAGATGCAGATCAACGCGCTCGAATGCCTCAGCGGGCGCGCAGTCGTCGAGGAAGGCGATCGTGTGAGTGTGAGGCTTACGCCAGGCTTGTGATGCTGAACATCGAGCGCAGTCGTACACCGCTCTCACTTGTGCAACCTTCAACATCGTTCCTGCCTTCCTCCGAGCGACTGAGCACGAAACCGTCATTAACTTGTGCGACGTGTCGGCATGGAAGGGGCAATTGCATAGTATGGCAAGGCTCTTGCTGGCAACTGTCGACCACACGACGACAGCTGATGCGCTATCGAGTTTGGCGTGCAGCTTGATTGAGGAGGTAGCTCGCTGTCAAGCATCATAGAGCATGAGCTTATGCTGCTGTGCCTTAGATCATCCGAGCTGCAGGAATGACATCAGAAGCGCTTGATTCAGAGTCATCCAACGCGCTCGATGAGGACGACGCAAAGGTCCGAACTATCTTGCAGCATCACCTACACGACATCTTGCACCACGTGCCTGATTCATCAGATCTCTGGCATATCGCAAAAAGGTTCTTCGCCGCGGCCCAGTCCCTTTGGGAGCTCTACGTCCCCGATTTTGATTTGGATCCCTTAGTGCAGACTTGGACTCGTCGACGCTTCCTTCAGCAACGTCTCGATAGTCACTGTGACATGCAGGATGCGCTGCTTCTCAGCGACAGCTTCGGGTACACAGACTCGGGCCGGAGGATTGATGACTTCAACGGCGAAATCGAGCGCGACCGAGACGAGATACTTGCTCTGCCAGCTCCACCTCTAGATCGCGAGCCTGATGCAGCGTCATTGGCGCTCTTCTTCCGCGATGTGAGAAGTATACAAAGCTTGGTGCTGAGCACCTCCTTATCTGATCTTTTCGAATCATCCAAGCAAGGGACCATCATCGACGCCCAGAAGCGGATCGATACGATGACGGACTCGCTTGCGGCAGCACATTCCCGCATAGCTCGTTCGCATCGATTCCAGCCAGATCTTGGGCGTCCGATACTTTTGGCTCTGTCTGCGCTACAAGTGGCGCTCTTCACGCTGAAATCACACATAGTGCTCGAGAGACCGACAGATGGTGAGCACGCAGCCGCCCAAAAGCTTCTCAAGCTGGTATATAGGCTTCCCATGTCAATAACATCGTCCGTAGATCTGCCAACATTGCCTCGGATCAGTCAGCGCAATAGCGCTGTTTGGCAGATATGTCGAGTTGGGTTCCTGGCTCACTTTCAGATCATTAGCATCCCAGATGCAGCCGATGCAATTGCTGCCAGCTATGCAAAGCTGCTGGCGATACGAAACGCCGACGAGTCGCGCGCGGAACAAGCTGAAGCTGACAAGACATCGCTGTATCGCTATAAAGACACTGCGTCAGGTCTTAGTGAAGCGGACGAACTTGAAGCCGAACTTGCACAGCTCTTTCCGACCTACGAAGCAACGGACGTGCTCAATGAGATTCGCACACAAGAATTGTCAAGCGAAGCGAGCTTTGCTGCGGCGGATGTAGATCTCATCCATAAGATTCACCTACGACTGTTCGGTCTCGATCCTGAAAATGTCGCACTCCTTGACAGCCTGACTACGCTTCGCGAGCGAGACGACAGGATTATGCGAGTTCTGGTCAATGATCTTGCCGGCGCAAGTTCGTCAGACTTTGAGGCGCCCAGTCTTGCCAGCGGTCTGTCTTTTCTCAGCTTGGCACTTCGCAACGCCGGGTCAGTCGATGCAGATTTCTATCGTGGCTCGAATGCAGCCGAGCTGTCCAGGCTTGTACCCGTCATCAAGCCCCTGCAAGGCCGTCTGGCGGAACTTATCAGAGACTGGCCGGATCAAGTCATCCTTCAGACGATCCAAGAGCGCTGTGACGGCTTGCTCAATCTCGCATATGCCTGTCCCGTGGCGCGCGCACTGTCCTATCTGGAGCAGATGCTGCCCTTACTCGACGACTGGGCCGGCTATGCGAGTAAGGCGGTCAGCTTGGCAGAACATCAGGCAGCGATCAGTCAACTCATCATCGACTGGAGGCGGCAAGAGCTATCAGCGTGGACGAGACTTGTCGAGCGAGAGATTGCGGCATGCGAGTCTGCTGTCGCGCCTTGGTGGTTCAAGCTACTAGCTGTGATTACAAGCGTGCCAAGTGGACTGCCGGAGCAGCATGCACATCTCCGCGAGCTGATCAAACTTATCGACATATTTCTAGGGCAGGCCCCCGTTGGTCAATTCGAAGCCCGTTTGCGACTTGTCGATTCGTTCGCGCGATACGCCGAAAAGACGCGTGACGAACGTGTCACACGCATCTTGCGCAATCTCTCCCACTTCTATGCGCACAGCCTCGGTAAGACCACCCAAGTCGTACAGCAGGCGCGATCGAGCGTAACAGCCGAGATCAATAGCATTATCAAGCTTGCCAGCTGGAAAGACACGAATACGCACGCGTTGCGCACGAGCGCTCAAAAGAGTCACAGGCAGCTTCACAAGTTGGTGCGCAAGCTACGTGCTCGACTCAACGAATCAGTCGGCCCTCTGCTTAGCAGACCAGGCATCCCGGAGCTGAGTTCCACGAGCATCTCTGTATTCAGGCAACGGGAGCGCTCTTTCGAGCTCTTGTTTGTCATACAACCGCCCGCAAGCCTCCCACCTCATGTCTTTTCACTCGAGCAGACATTGCACCGTTTCGACAAGCAGACCGACTCGTTGTCATCATCGCCGTTGTATCAGCTCGATGGTCTATGCGACCTTGTTCAGCAAATCCGCCAAGAGTCTAAGAGCTTGAGGGAGACACAGCTCATCGGCGGCAAAGAAGAGCACGCTCAGATGGCAAAGAACCTGATTCGTCTCAAGCGCCGGGCCTGGGCTGCCTTGCTGAAGGAGCTGCGCCGCTCTGGGCTGGCGCAGAGCGTTAGCGAAGCTGCAGCATTGGCTGTCAGTGATTCGGTCAACATTCACTCTACAGGCACGCTGCAAACCGAAAGCGCCTACCTTTCAGTTGATCACACTGTCATCGAAAAAGCCGATCGAGCTTTTCATGAGCTCGTGTCATCCTTGCCATCGCTGCGCGGCCTTCCAGGCGAGCACCACGAAGACATAAGCTCGCGAGATCTCTCGCGCGCGATTGGCAGCGTTGATACTGCTTTCGCGATGATCTTACGCGATCGCGATGCGCTGTCAGCGGTCATCAGGCCAACAGAGATCATCGAAACAGCTATCTCCATTCTTCCTAGCTTTGCTGCTGCAGCGCCTGGGGCAAGTTGCCAGCTAAGCATCGGGGACGTGTGCAAACAAACGAGCGTCATACTCGGCGAATTGCTCGATGCCAGACGCATCGCTCAAGATCACACCACGCTCGAGCTGCAGAATCAAGCCCTACTTTCCAGTCTAGCGGTCGACCTCTCGCGTCTAATCAATGACTGCCTGAGACATCGCGACCGGTTGACCGGCCTGCGAGACGACTATGCGCGACTCAGTTTATCAGTGATTGCTGACTCGCATACCTTGCTCATGATCGAAGCAGTAGAGTATCTACATGTCACTCGGACGACGGTGCAAGGATGGCTCTCGGCTCTGCCGACGTGTGCGTATGTCTTGCGCAATTTGTCAGAGAGCCTTCGAGCTATAGACCAATGTTCGTCCACTCCCGCTCCGATTCGACCGTCGGTTGCAGATGTCTGGTCGGCGCATGTCCTCCTCACCAACAGCGTACTCGTCGTTTCGCAGAATTTGACAGCAAAGAGGCATCTGGCTGGCGACGAATCCCAAAATCTCACTATCGTGACTCACGACACGGCGCTCCGCACCTCTGTCGCGGAACTGCGTCTCAGCGAGATCGCGGCTGCAGTTTCTCGACTTTGCGAGAGCGCCTCAGCGGCTGCGCGAGTGTCTTCGAGCACCGTCAAGTCTATTCTTGCTCGTTCTCTGCCTATATTGCAGGCCTATCGAGATTTGGCAGACGTCGTGATCGCTCAACATGTCAAATATCATCTCGCTCTACTCGATCTGGTCTTGCTCGTTGGCGTGATCACACGCGAGCTCGCTCAGCGCGGCTATTGCAAGCCGAGCGAAGATGACGCAGAGCAGGACGCAGGTGCCCAAGAGCAGCAATCAGATGGCACTGGCATGGGCGACGGTACCGGCGCGACGAATGTCGGCGATCAGATCGAGAATGAAGAACAGATTGAGGGGCTGCAGGACGAGGAGCCGCAGGACAATGACGACGAGGTCGACCAAGATAAAGGCGGTGCGCTCGAAACCGAAGCTGGTGCAGACGGTCGAGAGATGTCGATATCCGACGAGTCTGACCAAGAAAGTGGCTCTGGTGACGACGAAGAAGAAGACCGAGCTGAGGCAGCTGACGAAGAAGGGGACGTGGACCCGCTTGACCCGGATGCCGTCGACGAGAAGATGTGGGGCGACGATGAGGACACCGATAAGGACGGAGAAGAAGCGCCGGCACAAGCCGGACAGGAAGACGGTCCCTCTGACGATGTCGGCGCAAAGAACGATACGAAGGAGCAGAAGTCTCAGGACAACAATGGAGAGACATCAGAGCCGGACGATCAAAACGAGCGTGAGCAAGATGACGTGGCCGCAGAGCAGCCAGAACCTGAGCTACCCATCGATCAAGGCGAGACGCTCGACCTGCCCGACGATGTCAACCTAGAGGCTGCAATGCAAGACGACAATATCTCGCTGTCGAGCGGCGAAGATGCTGCGGAAGACAAGCCGGATGATACAGCGGCGCAGGCCTCGGATGCAGAGATGGACGCGAACGACTTGCCTGGTTAGTTGCCCGCTCTGAGGATCACTGCCCTGCTAATCAGGCTAGCTACTAGACGCAGATGCGGAGGCAGGCTCGCCCACATTGGACGACGCATCCGATACGCAAGTACACGATGAGTGTGATGCGACGAACGAAGCTCAGGAGGAGAGCAAAGATGCAGAACAAGAGACGACTGGCAAGCTTTGCGCCTCCATCTGCGCTTCGCGTACTAACGTCCCTATGCAGTGCCAGATATCGATGCACCCGAACAAAATGACGAGGAAGTAGTCGACCAAGAGCAAACAGCTGACGAGCTGGCGCCTGCCCATGCGCCGGCCTCGGCAGATCTGGAGGGCGCAAAGCAAGCCCAGGACAGCGCGGCGAGTGGCGGTCATGACGGCGCAGATGCTGATGCAAGTGCTCAAGTACCTTCCGGGGAATCAACAAGCATCAACGAGACCGCTGCCGACCCTACCACAAACGACAGCATGGTCACGCAATCCGAGGCTGCAGCTGAGCGCCAAGGAGGCTCCCGCACAGCGGAACAGCAGCAAGACGACATGGCCAGTCAGGACGAAGATGACGCAACTGAGCAAACGCGATCTACGCCCCATCGCAGCTTGGGCGATGCGCTCAGAGCATGGCGAAGACAGCTCAATATGCCTGCACAAGCCTCCGACGGCCTAGACGAGGGTCTGGAGCATCCGCCAAAGGCAGTCGCCGACGAAGACGATGTAGACATGGAGTATCTTGACGAGCAAGATCGAGATCATTCACAGGCTCTGGCGCCCGCGAGCGAGCAGCAAGCGCTTGGCACAGGACCAGTCGCCGCGAGTACAAAATCAGCTTTGACGGGCCAGATGGACTTTGACGAGGAGCCAGAAGAGGCTACGGCTGACGTTCAGGACGAAGCTTCCACGCGGATAGCTCCTGAGCGGCCCGAGGCTGGCTCAGCAGGAATCGACGCAGCAGAGTCGAAGAGAGACACAGCTGACGATGCACAAGCATCAGTCAATGGCACAGCACAAGCTGAGATCGAAAGCGACGATAGCGAGCATAGTATCAGGTACGATAACGATGCAGTAGTGACATCGCTGGAAGCAGGCTTGTCGGGCGAAGAGCAATGGCAAGAGTTCAACAGGGAAACGCGGGATCTGTGCTTCAGCCTCACCGAGCAGCTTCGCCTCGTCCTGGCTCCCACGCTCGCCACGCGTTTGCAAGGTGATTACAGGACTGGCAAACGACTTAATATGCGCAAGATCATCCCTTACGTCGCTTCCGATTTTGCAAAGGACAAGATCTGGCTTCGACGGACCAAGCCAAGCGCGCGAGACTATCAAATATTGCTCGCCCTAGACGACTCGCGCAGCATGTCAGAATCAAATTCTGTCCGGCTCGCTTTCGACGCTCTTGCGCTCATCACGGGCGCCTTGACGCGTTTGGAAGCGGGCGACGTCGCGATCTGTCGATTTGGCAAAGATTTCGAGCTTCTGCGAGACTTTGACTCTGGACCTCTTACCGACTCAGCCGGCGGAAAGCTCGTGGACGCCTTCACTTTCCAGCAGGAGTCTACGGATGTTCGTCAGCTACTGAACAAGAGTCTGGAAGTCTTCAGTGCAGCACGCGAGAGACAGCAATCGAAGAGATCGGTCGGATCATCTGCGAGCGTCTGGCAGCTTCAGATCATCATTTCGGACGGTCTCTGCCAGGACTTGGACGCGATCTCAGCCTTGCTACGCAAAGCGAACTCCGAGCGCATCATGGTAGTCTTTGTCATCATCGACTCTCTTCGATTGAGACCCAGCGCGGATGGCACGCCCTCTGCCAACTCTATCAGGAACACCTCATCGGTCTCATACAGCGCCGGCCCAAGTGGCGCACTCGAGCTCAAGATGACCCGCTATCTCGATTTGTTCCCCTTTGAGTGCTACATCATCTTGCAAGACGTCCTAGAGCTACCCGAGGTGCTGAGCCAGACAGTCTGTCAATTCTTCGAGCGCGTATGTTTGCAAACTCAGGGTCTCCTGATTCCTACTGACGTAGACCTCTCAGGTCAATGCTGAATGACGCACCCGAAGCTGTCAAGAGTTTGCGCGCAATGTAATGCAATCTTGTATGCTGTCTAGAGATGCCGTGTCTGTTGTACAAGCTCGTAGGTCTGCAAAGCATCATTGGCCTCAAAGCCTTGCCAATCCTCAAAAGAGATGCCGCATTCGGATCCTTTGCGAACTTCGTCCACGTCTTTTTTGCCTTGCTTGAGCGTGCTCAGCTTACCGCTGTAGACTTCGACGCCGTCACGGAGGACCTTGCAGAGAGCTGAGCGTGCAAGGCTGCCATTGCCGACTTTGCAGCCGGCGACCTTGCTGGTCTCTCTTCCCTTTGTCGTGATGTCGAATACCTGCGCAATAGTGGCCTCTCCGGTGACCTTAGAGTCATAGACTTTCGGCATCAGGCCGATGACGCGCTGCTTGACCTCGTCGATCAGCCGATAGATGACAGTATCGAGATGTATCGCGACACCGGCTTGTGCTGCCGCGCTCTGTATGGGTTTCGGCGCTTTGATGTTGAAGCCGAGAATGACTGCTTCTGCCGTACGTGCCATGTCGATATCAGAATTGCTCACATCGCCTACTCCGGTCAACACGATCTTGACCTTGGCCTCTTTATTGCCGATATCTGCAACTGCGCCAGCAACAGCCTCGACCGTTCCGCTAAAGTCGGCCTTGATGACCAGCCTGAGCTCTTTCGTTTCTGGGAGTGCGTTGGCCAGAAGCGCTTCGCCGTCCTCGAGATCACCGAGCACAGAATTGGCCTTCTTGAGCTTGGCCTCTTGGATCGCTTCCAGACGTTCTGCCTCCTCTGCAGCGACTCGGCGCTTCTCATTGATAGCTTCTACGTCGGCAAGCAGCGCTAGAGCTTCCTGACGCTTCTTACGATTCTCGATAGCACTTCGAGCTTCTTTCTCCGTCTTTGCTTCGAGACATTCATCGCCCGCACTGGGCAGTTGTGTCCAGCCAGTGACTTCGACGGGCTGTCCAGGTACTGCTTCCTTTACAGCCTGGCCGCCCGGTCGATAGAGCTGTCGAACTTTACACATGACGCTGCCTGCAACGATATGCTGCGAGACAGACAATGTACCGCGCATGACGAGCAGCGTTGCGACATTGCTGTGCAAACGTATGCGTCAGCTGGAATTGCGACAGCAATACAATGGGCTCACCCTCGACCCTTGTCGACCTTGCTCTCGATGACCCGCGCCTCGACTCGAACGCCCTGTCGCTCGACACGGAGCTCTTTCTGCTCTGATACTGCCAGTATGGTCTCCACTAACGTGTCGAGTCCGATATTAGCGACTGCCGAGACCTGCACGCAAGGTACGTCGCCGCCATACTCTTCGATCTCTAGTCCTGCAGCGAGCAATCCATTCTTTGCCTTTTCGATATCTACGCCAGGCCTGTCGATCTTCGTTATGGCAACGACGGGCGAGACGTTAGGCTCTTGCTTGAGGACCGAGATGACCTCTCTCGTTTGAGGCATGACGCCATCATCGGCCGAGACGACGATGACGGCAATATCTGTGATGTTGGCACCGCGAGACCGCATGGCACCGAAAGCTGCGTGGCCGGGCGTATCGAGAAAGGTGACCGTGCCCGCAGAGTCAGATGCGTTGGCATCAAGGAGCTTCATGGGCACTTCGAAAGCACCGATATGTTGAGTTATCCCGCCAGCTTCGCCCTGGGCGACTGACGTCGATCGGAGCGTGTCGAGCAGTGTCGTCTTGCCGTGATCGACATGTCCCATGATGCAAACAATGGGCGGTCGAGGCGATAGTGCGGACAGATCGCTCGCAGGTGGACTGTTCTTCACTGTCAGCTCAAAGTCACGAGTTGATACTAGGGGAGGACTCACTCTGGATAGATATCGAATGAGTTGAGATCGTCTACGACTGGCTCGAAGCCTAGCTCGAGTGCGATGAGTGAAGCGTCATCGGCAGACAGTATACGATCAGGCCGTGCATCGTCAAAGCCGATGGCATTGAGCCGCCGTTGCAGGCGGGCAAGCTTGTAGCCCAGCAAGCGTGATAGATTGGCAATACTCGTCACCGAAGGGATGGCGATGTTGATCCTGACACGGCGAGCTGATAGCCTAGCTCGAGGGCGCGGTGGCGGCCGAATCGGTTTGCCGGCCACCTGTCGAGACTGTCGCTCCCGAGCTGCTTCTGCCCAGGTGTCACGTATCGAGAGTCTATTGACTGTATGCTTGCGAGGTTCGGATGCCCTCGATCTGTGCGGCCTGTTCGAGCGATCGTCACTTGGCTCGTACTGCTCCGTGGGCTCATTCGGCAGCCGCGGCGCTGTCTGAGCAGGTGGCCGAAGGTCAAGAGGCGTGTCAGACCGTCGAGGAGGAGCTCTGCTATCTATCGGAGGTCTGTTGGGCTGCAAGTAAGGCTGACGACTCGGCTGTGCTCGCTGACGATAGTCGGGTTGACGTGCCTGATGAGGGTATCTTTGTGCGTTATTGGCCGGAGGGGGCACGGCTGATCCGTAGCCAGACCGGTGAGCGCTCGCATAGGCTTGCTGTCGGGCATGACTGGCCTGACTGGGACGTGGGCCCTGTCGCTCGAGAGGCTGTCGACGAATTTGCTGGCTGGCATAGTCCAAGCCTGCTTGACGGTCTGGCCGTGCTCGATCGCCGTCTGTGCTCTGTCCTGCTGACGGAGAGGTATGCAGACTGGCTCTCTGCTGAGCGAGGCATCTGCAGGTACACTGCACGAGCGACTGTCTCATCCAAGAGGGTGGACCCGGTCAGTGAACGAACGACTTCGCGTGCTGGACGACTCGACTCGACTCGGCTGGCCGCTCAGTCGACAGTCATCAGTCTCGTCTCGATCGATGCCGACACTCGTCAGACCCCAGCCAAGGACGGCAGTCGTCGACCTGCAAGCTCCCTCCCGTCCTCTCTCCCCCCTCCTGCAGAGCCTGACACGTACAGCCGGACAGGACGCCGAACAATATCGGCATGCTCAAAAAGATCAACGCCGTCGTCTTCCCTGTACGTCCCTCGCTGCCAAGTCTCAAGCGCATGCTCAAGCAACCCTGGCGAGACAGCATATGACCTACTCTGACAATTTCTACGCGGATGCGCTCGCGCCAGAGTTGGAGCCTTACAACAAGCTGATCTACTACAACGACATCTGCGTCGGCGGTCTCTGTGCCCGTCTAGAGACCCTCAATACCCCGCCAGCTAAAGCAGATCAAGCGAGACTCTACGTCATGACCCTCGTCAGCACGCTCCTCGCTTGTCAGGGTATCGACAGCTTACACATTGAACACGCCACAGGCCATTCTTGCGCCTTACAGACGGCAAGGCTTAGCCGCCAAGCTCATCGCATCCACGCTCAGAGAAGCGCAACGATCGAACGAGCCACCGACAGAAGCATCAGGCAAATCAGACCTGAAGCAGACGACCAAGAGAGTCGCGAGCATCTACACGCACTGCCATACCGCCGCAGACGAAGCTCGCGACTTCTGGCAAACGCAGGGCTTCCAGCTCACCCAGACAGTGGAAGACTACTACAATACGATAGAGCCCAAGTCAGCCTTTGTATTCGAGAAAGATGTTGTTGTAAGCATAGCATAACACGTGCAAACATTTACAACGACAGCAGGATTAGCTTACATACACTCTCGGCCCGTCCAGGCCGTCAGACGATTACCACTCTGACTGCGGCTCTTGCTACGCGCTGAACGTGCAATACGGCCTGACTGGCTGCTCTCTCTCTCCCTCCTGCCCCGTGAGCGACTCCGACTGCTCGAGTCCGAGTCGGCCAGGCGACGCCGACTGATCCGACCCGAGAGCTCATCGATATCACCCAAGGGCTCGTCTTGCAGCCAAGTGCTTTCGAGGATCTCCTGAATCGTCCAGCGTGACTCTGCTAGGGTGGACAAGCACCCCTTGAGGAGCTCCTCACAAGCCGATCGCGTTGGCTCGTCAATCTCATCTGTTGCCCGCAGGAGTACATCCGGCAACTTGAAATCGCCCTTGACAATCTTTGCGCGCAGCCTCGGCTCGAAGTCATCCTCGAATGGGAGATGACCGGCTAGCATGGCATACAGAATACAGCCGAGAGCCCAGATGTCGACAGCTTGGCTGACTTCCGGAGCGCCCGTGCCCGCACGTTCCGTCTCGCTAATCGATCGCAGAAGCTCGGGCGCGCAATAGTTGAGCGAGCCGGCAGGCAGATCCTTGTTGTCCGTCACGTATTCTGCCGGCACACCACTGGTCGGACCGGCTGAGCGTGGCATCGTATTGCTCCGACTTGCCGCCCGCGTCAGTTTGTCAGACAGCTGACTTTCGAATTCTGACATCGAGCGCGTAGCCCATGCAGCGTCACTGATCTGAGGCACTCTATCTCTCGATTGCGAGCGCGACCGGTTGCGAGAGGTCATACCGCGCCGCTCGGTCTCGACGGCCCAATCTGCCAAGCCAAAGTCTGCTATGCGCAGCTGGCCATCCGAATCGATGAGGATATTCTCCAGCTTGAGGTCCTTGTGTGCAACCCTGCACGTCACATGCAGATGATGCAGACCGAGCACAATCTGTTTAAATAGCATCCGTGCTCGGGAAAGATCCAGTCCAGCAGGTATAGGCGAAGCAGATCTGCCGATCGAAAGACGGCCATAACGTCTTCTACTGCCTTTGCTCTCATCATTGCGCTGTCGACCGCGCCGAGTATGCTCTGCAATCAGTTGGAGCAAGTTGCCTTGTTCGCAAAGCGGCGTAAAGATGTACGTGACGTGCATCGTCGAGACGACATCCAGCAGCGGAAGAACATGAGGATGCGGCGAGAGATGAGACCAGATCGAAACTTCCTTGCTGATGAAAGCACGTATGGATGCTTCGACTTCGACAGTATTCTCCACGAGGCCGCTTCTAGACTTGTCTGATGCATTTGAGCCGTTTGTGCCCGGGATTTCGAGCGGCTGAACAGCCGACTGTTCTGCTTCGGCCTTGATGTCCATCATCATCGAGTCTGATAGCGTAGTCGCATTGTCAGCCTGTAAGGGGCTAGCGTGGTTGACGATCTTGACAGCGACCTTGTCGAGCACAGTCTCGCCGTCGGGAGACATCTTCTCGGCCATTTTGACGACACTGAAGCCGCCTCTTCCAATCGTCTTGCCGATCCGATAGCCGGGTACTATGTCTGGCTGCACGTAATCAGACGAAGTGGCCGAGAAGAGTGAGGCAAGCGAGTCTGTCATCGGCTGTGTCCCCGGCGCTGGATTGGAAGCGCCGAGAGACGACAAAAAGGCGGCAGCAGGTGACCAGGGTACTTCCTGATAGGACGATGATGCAACACTAGCAGATCTTTGACCGGTATAGCTCACAGATGAAAAGGAGCGATACAGATTGTTGCTTTGTACGCTCAATGAGCTGTCTTGCCGTCTTCGACCGGCCGAACCTACCGGTGAGCTTGGTGTTCGATCAGTCACCTCGCGAGGCCCAGAGGACCTCGACATCCCCAGAGGCGATGTCGAAAGAGCAGGCAAGTCAAGCTTGGACGCCTGATCGAGTCCAAAAGGCGATGTACTGCGTTCTCGATCGCGTGCGGCGTCAAAGGGTTGTCTGACGGGATATCTCGACACGAGGGGTGATTCTGATGGACTGCGGTACATGCCATAGAGATTGGAGCCAACCCTAGCAGGTGAAGCAGACGAAGGCGCGCTTTCGTTCTGTGACAGAGCAGCAGTATAAGCTCTTGACCTGGCTCTAGGCTGGGCCTCACGTACATCTAGCTGCATGGCGGGCATGGGCGTTGTGTCCCTCGTTGTTGGCGGCGGGTCACCGCCCAGCAAGTCAGGTTCATCTGTTCCAAGAGCTTGATTGCGTGATACGCTCGAGCCAGAAGTGGCGACTGGTCTGCGCAGTGGCCTGTTGGCTCTGATCGAGGCACTCGTAGATCGCAAAAGAGGTGAAGTGAGCGACGGAGAGTTTGACGAGCCTGACGACGTGATTGAAGATGATCTGAACAATCCTCGAGGGTCATAGAGAGGGAAATCGCCCTGTCCAGCCCCGCTGGCGACAGCTTGAGCGCTTTGTGAGCCATCACGTCCGTTCGTTACACTGTCACTCATGTGTTGCACGCTGTCTCGACGGTTCTCCGCCTGCCGCTCGCCCTTCTGCAGCGAATCTGACGCTGTCTGACAAGCGAGTCAGCCCAAGTCATCAGCGGCGTCGGAATGACAAGGTGCGCCTAGCTGCGTCGGCCTCAGGACAAGGTCACGCCGCGGCAAGGCACGCGGCACGCGCTTTATCAGGGCTAATCAGGCGCCACTGTGAGGACACATGGCCAATTCTCATGCAGGGTAGGGCGCGGGCCAGACATGCACATGCAGTGTTAAGTACAATCACGTACGATAGCTCGAGATTGGCATTGGCGTTCTGCCCGTCATTGGCGTACGACCAGGGATCTGACCGCTGCTCGCCTGGCCTAGCCTTTGACGGTTCTCGGTGTCGGTGATGATGAAAGGCAGGCCAGGAGTTGCGCCACCGGCCATGTAGGGCGTACGCAGAGGCGGTGCTGCTGGCGTACGCGCGAGATTGGCATTGCCAGCTAGTAAGACAGCCTGTCGAACCTTGAAGGCATTGCAGAGCGCAGCAACGTTCGCAAGCGGCTCACGAGCGGCGTCGTCGTTGCCCACGCGGAGCTGGAAAGCCCCGGGAATGACTCTGACAGGCCAGTATTTGACTGCAGTGTTCTTGTTGAAGACGAAGCCGAGCAGGAACCAACCCGGCTTCTCCTTGTCAATCGCGAAGCCATATGCCGCCTTGTCAGGTCGAGCGAGAACGTAATTCTTGAGATAGTATTCGAGTGCTTCTTTGCTTCCCTTGAACTTCTCATGTGCTAACATCTCCTCCACCTTGCGATGCGTTGCTCTGATGTGGTGCACGATCAGATCGTCAATATCAGCATATTCGAGATTCTCGATCTTGAGCTTCCGGCCGATGGCGAACTCGCTTGGCTTGTCGAGCTCGATGATAGCTGATAATAGTCGCTCAATCAGCTCGAGCCTGTCTTGAAAGACAAGAAGCTTACCGAGATGCTGGTAGATACGGTCATCGACTTTCCAGGTGACTGCAAGGTGATCTGTGCCGCGCGATGAGGGACGCACGACGCAACTACCTCTTGGCTTGTTGCTGAGATATTCTTCGGCTTGACCAGAGTTGAAATCGCGATAGCTGTCATGGTTGATGTTTCTGTTAATCCGTGCTTGCCTGCGCTTTTGTCTGCCTGCGCGATCTAGACGGTCCTGATGAGACGCAACGGTATCGAAGTCGGGATCCTCGAAAGATCCTTTAGCGGCTTGTTGGGCCTGCAAGACATCTGATTGCCTAGCCGACAGGCTTACTTGGAAGTTTTCTGCGTCGATCTCCTGCACGACACAAAGAATTGTCGTGCCGACCTGAGCATGCTCACGACGCAACGCTTGATTGCTGTCATGTTGTCTATCGGGCGCGATTACGCCGCTGACGCCGCAATCCAGTCTGACGATGATCTCGTCGCGCGTGGTATGCGTAATAATCCGAGTTGGCAGTACCATATTCAGACGGAGCGTCTTCGTCGTCACATGCGCCAACGCGCCGAATATATCTGATACCGTCGGCACCGGGAAAGGAGGACGTCGCTCCATGTAGGGTGCCTTGAGCTCATCGTGCACCAACCCCAGAGCGAGACGTTTGGGCGTGGAGAACATTCTCTCCAGTTCGGTTGCAAAGTCGTCGAGCGAAAGCTCTTCGATTCGGTGTGCCTGATTGCTCTGTATGAGATCCGCGACCGGCTGAGATGGATGGAGATCGACGAGGTCTTCCTCATCCTTGTCAAGCGCATCGGCTGCCATCTTGCGAGCAATCGAGTAATTGTCAAAGTCGATACGAGTGCTGTCCAGTATGTCCGCCTTGCTCGGATCATCGTGCTCGAATGACTTTGTTGCCGCTGCAGCTTCCGAATAATTGATGCGCATGAAAGCGTGGCAGTTCCGCCAAACATTCTGACCAAAGATGCCCCGTGACCTCAGCATCGCCCGATTATAGAGCATGCCTCCCTGTAGCATTCGAATTGAGCCAAGTCATGCGGCAGTGCAAGGAAATTACCTTTTGAAGAACGCGCTCGACGAGATAGCGAGCCTTACGAGGGCCTAGACCACAGACGTATGGCAGCAGTGAAGCATAGTAAGGCTCTCTGAAGGTCCGATTTATATCGACACCGGCAACAGCGACTTGATCAACGATGGCACGTTCTAGCTGTATCAAAAGCTTGTTGCGTGGGACCATCGACTGATCTGGCGTCAGCTTCGCGCTGATGAGGTCACTGCGCATCGCGGCGTATTCGAGCAGCGGACTTTGAGCGTATCGTGCAAGCGCGATGCAGTAGCGAGCGACAGGTTCCGTGAGCTTGGGAAACTCGTGCTGAGCTCGCTCCGACGTCATGTAATGCTGCGCGGGCCCATCATGAATGAACGTGACGTCGAAAGCGTATGCGGCAGCGAAGTGTTCGTTCGACGAGTAATACTGCTGCGCTTCTCGATTGTCGGCCAAGAGTCTCTCTGTAGCCACTTGAGCAACCTTTTGCACCTCCTTGAAGAGTCGATGGGCACTAGGCGTGAAGCCACCAACGACGATGACATCTGGCTTATGCGCGAGCAAGAATTTGACGAGGTCTTCTTGGTTTTGAGTCAGACTTGTTTTATCTCGTTCGCGCGACTCGCGCAGATCTGTCAGAGTCTCGCTATTGACAATGTGACCCAATCGATCGAGATGGTAGATCCGCACACTATCACGTTTGGGGTCGCCAGTGCCATGGGAGATAGCAGTGACCGAAGGCGCCTGGCCTCTGACGAGCGGCGGCGGACTGATCTCGTGTTCGGCAGGGATTAAGCTACTGGCATATTTGAGAGGCAGATAGGGTTGACAATTGATGCGCTCGGTAAGTCTGTCGGCGGCTTCACGTGCAATGGCATCTTCCGCTGTCCGGATGATGTGCTCACGCAGCCAGGCAGCCATCTTGAGCATAACGCTGCTTTTCGTCACTTGCTGTCGAACAACGCGAGTCTCTTGCTTGCCATTGATCTCTGTAAGCTCTTCAACCAGCTTGAAGGTTCCTTCGGTCAAGAGCTCGATAATCTCGCGACGAAGATTGTTCCAGTCCTCGGCGAGCGTGCTTGTCAGATCCGTCAGATAGACCTTTTGTAGGCGTCTTTGCAGATCCAGAATGGCATAGGCAGGCAGCTCGATCGTAATTTTCAGGAAGCCCTTGGCTTCTGCCGCAATGAGATGTAAGAATTTGGGACCGTCCGCCGCCAAGAACTGCGCGACTGGCTTGGCTTTCAAGTATCGCATCGAGTAGATCTCCGTCAGATCTGGCTTGCCCTCCATCTCTTCTTGACCTCTCTCGGTAAGCCTGACGTTGACGACGCCGTTCTCGAGGAAGCTCTTGCGAAGGATTCTCTTGAAGATGGGGTTGCAGCTGAATTGCCTTACAACGATCGCCTTTGCAGCCTCGAGAACCTGTTCTTTCCGATTGAAGAAGGGACTTTGCGCGTCGACGAAACCCTCGGCATAGTCGTCCGGCGCTTCATCCGGGTCTTCGGCGAAATGAGCTCTGATGCTTCCTTCGAAATCTTGCATGAGGAGGTCGGGATCTGTCCCCGAAGCAGCGGCAAGATTATCAATCTTTGTCTGCTTCGCGCGTTCGTATAATGTATCACTATGAGGTGTTTGCCACTTTCTGATCGACCGGACAGCTTCGCCTTCGGTAGCAATGGCAGCATCCTGCTCGATCGCCTCGAGCTCTTTGCTGTACCTGACCGAAAGCCATTCCCGGAAATCTGCAAGCTCTTCTAGTGCTGAGATGCGTGTGTAGGCATCTCGCAAGTAGGCACCTGTAAAGTCCGGTTGTGCTTCGATGGCGGCAATGTGTTCTTCTAGGGCACGCTTGTCTTCGATGAACTGCTTGAATTGGACGGAGAGATCATAGATGCGCCAGATGTCTTCGGGCGCGATGAAGGGAAATGGCGTCAGCTCATTTGTTGCGGGATCATGTCGCCAGTAGACGAGCAGATCCGTTCTTCTTGTGACAACGAAGGAAGGCTCGTAGCAATTGATGCAGAGCTCGACGAGGACTTTCTTGAGGGCACCAATTGATCCTTCTCTGAGTGGGATGTCTTCCTTCAGTCTTTTCTTTTCTTCTTTCGATTTTGAGTGACTCAGTTGAGTCCAGATCCAGTCGACCGCTTCGTCAAGATCAGACTGAACGAGTAGTGCGTCTCGTCTCGAACGATTGTCGATCTCGACGAGCGAAGATACGTTGAGCTGCATCCGTTCCGGTATGTCGCGATCTCGGACGGCCTGGTCAAGAGGGCCCATGAGGGATTTGGCGAGTTGTTTCGGTTCAAAGATGTCGCCCCACGTCTGAGGCTTGTCTTCATCTTCGTCGAGTTGCATGGCCCATTCGTACTCTGTACCATTGCCGAAGACCTCTTGGAGATCCTGGAAATCTTCCGGACGGAGGTGAGAGCGAGCGCCCTCGAAGCCTTTTCCCTTTTGACGACGCTCCTTGCGTTTGAGCTTGTCCCTCGCCCTTTCTTCACGTTCGCCCTCGCTCATGTCCTCCTCGTCCTCTTCGATGAAGCCTTCCATCTCGTCAACATCGTCGTCGTCATCCTCTTCGTCGCCTTCGAGCATGTTGCCTGCCATGCGAGCGACGCCGGGCGCGAGATTAGCTGCCTGCTCATCTCCGAAGAGATCGACGATAGGCGCTCGCAGGTCTTCTGCTTCTGGCTCGGGCTCATCTTCTTCCATTGCATCGTCTGCTTGCTCCTCATCGTCGAGTGGGCGTCGCTTGAGTCGCTTGGGCTGATCTATCGAGTCAGCACGAGTCAACAGAGCACAAGAAGGCCACTGACAGCCGCTCTTGCAAGACGGCGCCCGGTATTCGCTTCGACGAGGTCGAGATCATCATCGTCCAAGTCTCCAAGCGCCTCATCGCTCGCCTCACGACTCTTGCGTCTGCGCTTGTGGCTCCGCTTCTTGGACTTGCGTGACCCATCTCGGTCGTCGTCCTCAATGAAGCCTGCTTGCACTTGCGCGAGCTGTTCCAGATCATCCTCTGAATCCTCCTCTGACGAATCCTCGTCTAGTCGCTCGCCTTCGCCTTCAGACGAGGTCGCAGCTTCGTCATCGTTTTGTCGTGCCCGTGACTTGCCGTTGCTCGCTGGCTGCCTGGTCTGTGCTTCCGGTGAGCTCGCAGAAGCGCTCCTGCCGGCGACGGGCGAGCTCATGGCCAGCTGATGGGCCTGCCCTCTTCGCCGTGCGCGAGAAATTCCAAGTCGAGCGGAGGATATGTTTCATCTAAATTATTCATGTAGACACGTACGCGCTCAAGCTGCGCCGCCGCACTGATCAGCTCGAGCTCGAGCTCAAGACGAAGGCGGATGCAGTACGAGTCGCCAGGCAAGTGCGACTATGGATCTCAGTCATACTTTCCTGATCTGGGCCGCTTGCAGTGCCTGTCTTCGCGCTAGGCTTCTCGACGCCGGCAGCTCGAAAGGAGAACGCTGGCGGTTACAAGGCCTCTGTGAGCCATGGTGACGCTGCGAGCACGAGTCCCGCGTTCCCTTCGGATCTCCGGCTCGGCATTGGATCCTACGTCGAAGGATACTCAGACAACAGCATCACAATCTTAGGAGCAGACCCGTCGCGACAAGCTGGCCAACCTGGCTCGTTCGTTCCGCTGGCAAGAGCGAGCCATCCGTATCCTTGTACTGCCTTGCAATTCTCTCCGGCCGCTCTGGCGCCGACGCTGCAGGCTTCTATGGGTCATGGCTCGCCCGAGACGAGGGAGATGGTCGCGACGAGCTCGGAATGCTTGCGCTTGTGGGATCTCAGAGGGGATGGCAGTACACATTCGACCTCGTCCTTTGTGGGCAGAGACCGGCGACAGACTGGATGGGCCCTCTCTCAACGTGCAGTACTCGCCAACGTAAGCTCAGCAATTCCAGACGCGCGGGGTTCACTGACCATACTCGGAGCAGTCAAAAGCGGAATACTCTGCCCCGCTCACGTCCTTCTCCTGGAACGACTTTGAGCCGTCCTACATCGTCACATCATCCATCGACACGACCTGCACGATCTGGGACATCTCAACTTCTTCCGCCGTCACCCAACTCATCGCACACGATCGCGAGGTTTTCGACGTTTCCTGGCGACCGTCTACACGCGACGTTTTCGCTTCAGTAGGCGCAGACGGTAGCGTACGCATGTTCGACTTGCGCAGCTTGGAGCATTCTACTATCTTGTACGAAGCGAGCACGAGTCCGAGCACGAGCGCCAATGGCAAATCTGCTTCGGACAAGAGCTCGCCCTCCCAGCAGACTGCCCCGAGCTCGACGCCGAGTCCACTGCTCAGGCTTGCATTCAATCCGAAGGAGTCACATTCGCTTGCCATCCTGCATGCAGACGCGAAAGAGGTCCTCATTCTCGACGTCCGCCATCCCGGCGTGCCTGTTGCCGAACTGAGCGCACATCAGGCAATCATCAACGATCTCTGCTGGAGCTCAGATGGAAAGTATATCAGCACCTGCAGTCAGTCTCCTCGCTTCTCCCCTCTCACGCGACCTGTGCTGACAATCCGGGGCGCAGGCGACGACCACCAGGTACTCGTGTGGGATCCCAAGCGAGATCCTTCGCATCAACACACAAGAAGCTCGTCTCACGAGCGCAAGTCATCTGTATCGCGGCGAACAGGTGCAAGTCCGACAGCGACGATTAAACAACCTCTGCTCGCTTATACTGCCGAAAGGGAAGTCAACTCGATGGCCATGGGCGGTCTCGGCAAGCAAGCGAATCCGTCGAGCAATGCTGTCGAATGGATGGCAATCAGTATGGGCAAGACCGTCAAGTGTCTGGCATGCTGAGCTTCGAACCACCCTGGGACGCTCGGAATCGCAATTCGGGCCAAGGCCGGTCAAATCCGATAGCACTTGAAAAAGAAGTCCCGTGTTAATCAGGCGCTTAGCGGGCCACACCAGACCGCGTAAATGAGCAGCTGATAGTCGAGAAGAATTTGCGCATCCTTCTCGGCCATCGGCGGGAGGATAGGGCTTCTCTCTTCCGAGTCCGACGACCAGTCACATGTCACATCATGCAAAAGGATCGCCCTGGGCCACGCCAAGCACTAGTTTCACCCTGGCTGCACAAAGAGAATGCTCGGTCGTTTTCACGCCGTCTTTTGTCTGCAGCAAGGAATGATGCATGATGATGCACGATAACAACGAATAGCGCCGCGCTACACTGCTGCGCTGTCCCTGTTTTGCTGAGCTCTGAAAGTTTGCGATCTCGCGCAGATCACAAAACTTCAAGCACGGCTTCAGCCGGTCAGCGCAAAGTGGAGAAATCAGAGACAAGGCGGCGATCTGTCAAGGCTTTTGCCAGTCTCAACCGGGTGTGACGCTTCTCTGTACGTTGTACCGGTCCTCGCTCGCGAGATAGTGCAAGTTTGTCCGCTCGGATTGAGGCTGACGATCTAGGCGTCGAGTCCACTGTTCGCCTGCCCAGTCGGATCTCCCACTGGCCTGGGACCCCACGGCCTGAATCGAGGAATTTAATACGCGCGGGCGGTGAGATTTGCCATCTTGAGACTCCGATCGCCGGGCTTTTCTTGCAGATCGCGGTATGCCTGAAATTCACGAGGCTGAATGTGTCGTAACCCTAAGGGCCCTTCCGCATGCAAAGCCGCCTTGGAGTCTCAGGCTAGGGATGAATAGAAACGCGGCGGAGGCGGCAAACAAGCAAGCCTGCTGACGTCGGAACGTAGTACCAAGGGCGAAACGAGAGACTGCGCCTGCGCTAGTCTTGTCTGGCACAGGAATCGCGTATAAGAGAAGGCAACGGTCTTGGCCGGTCCCATCCTTGCATATACCACTCCGGACGAACGGATCTGTCAGTATCGATAGAGGCTCGAGCGACTAAGAGCATCGACGGGGCTCAGAACCACATCAGTCTTGAGGGTGAGTCATACTTTCTATGCACGTCCACCTCGCACCATCGTCCTTGCCGAGATCGGCTCGGATATGTTCAGGAAAGAGCACAATCAGTGTCCGTGCACACGGGCGTGATTGCGACTCGGAACTGTATCTCGTATCGTGCTTGCACACCGTGTCGCATCCGGTCGGGCATACATCCTCTGCACCAAGATCATCGGACTAGCGTGACGAGAGCATCAGGCTGACGAAGAAAGGCGTTTTCGTTGTTGCAGATTGTCTCGAGAGCAGACCATTTTCGGATCAGAAGAGGATCACATCCCGACTCGAGGCCCTTGCACAGAGCTGCCGACCGAGGAGTCACGTCTTGCCAGCCGACGACCGTCCAGACGCTCCGAAGCCGAGACGAGATCGACTTGACCGCCGACCTCGGCCATTTTTTCACGCCCTCCCGAGAGCTGCCGTGGCGGATACGCTCCTGCACATAGAGCCGGATCGTCAGTCGTCTGTCCACGCAGATCGCAACGACAACAGGCCTACTAGATCTATAGAACTCTGATCCGACCCAACTTGACATATCACTCGCCATGACATCACCCCATCATGCCTGCGCCGGCCAGTCAGCCGAGCACACCTCGGTCAACGTGTTCCCACCCCAAAAGGCGAGCCGCAAGTCTGGCCGCTCGTCAGGTTCGGACAAATACCATGGCCAGAGAGGTTCGTGACCACCTGACTTGTCTCGATAGCCGAGCTAACCGGATCGACTGGGACAGAGATGGCCGAGCTATGCGAGCGAGTGATCACCACTCTCTTTGCTCCTGCAGCACCCGCGCCCGCACCTGAGCCAAACTACCTGCGCGAGAATATAGACACTCCACCGGCCTCGCCAAAATGTGAGGACGAGGTGACGAAAGAGCCACCTCCGCTCGTCCTCTTTATCGCCTATGCGCTCTACCGCACAAGACTACCCGACTGCATCATCTTGCAGTCTCTGCTCCTGCTCGACAGACTCAAAGCGCGATACCCCTCCGCTCGAGGCACTTCTTCATCACCTCACCGACTGTTCCTCTCGTCGCTCATGCTATCGAGCAAGATCACCATGGACGACACTTACTCGAACAAGTCGTGGGCCATCGTCGGTGGCGACTTCTTCGCCCTGCGCGAGGTCAATCAGATGGAACGCGAGCTGTTCGCTTTCCTGGGCTGGAACGTCGTCGTCACGCGAGAGGAGCTAGAAGCCTTCGTCCAACGTCTGCCATCCTTCATCGCTTCCACTGCACCCGTTCAGCCTTTCTCGTCGAGCGAGGCAGTCCTATCGGGCGCCTACACGATCCGAGCATCCAACAAGCGAGCGAGGTCAGATACCCGAAGCAGTCTTGACGATTTCAATGCAGCCGATGCGCAAAGGCACAAGCGTGCTGCTGATGCTGCACACGCTCTCCTGCAACCCCGTCCTGCGACTGCACCTGCTATCATTCCCGCGCCGCATGCGCCGAGGCGGACGCAAGAGGCTCGCCATGTCGAAGAGGCCATGCGATCGCCAGAGCTATCAGATTGCTCTGCTGTATCCAGCACTGGCTCATACGATTCACCGGACTCGTATCGATCCGGTTCATCTCATCACAGGCGGCACTCGAGCGCATCCTCTTGCATGTCTGCTACCTCGAGCTCGAGCCACCTGGCCATGTTACGCAAGGCGCACTATGCCGCAGCGAGCACGGCAGATTCCTCTGCTATGCCTTCAGCTACTCACTCGCCCATGTCGAGCCCGGCCTACGAATCTACCGGTCCCATGACGCCGAGCGAAACTTCACCGTATCACGTGTACGCGAAGAACTGGGCAGCATTCAGATCGGCTTCGAGCGCTACGTTCGCTCACTATCCTCATCTCGAAGCGTCAGACTACGCTCAACAGGCCTCTGCCAAGTCGAGCTGGTGATGCAGCCAGTCAGCAGACAGTCGTTTCGTACGCTTCGATCGCATCTATGTACGCAAAAAGATATATGCGAGCTCACTCGCTGTATGCCCTGTTGTTCCTATGACACTCAAATGAATCCAAAGTTGCACATCACATGCTGTCTCTAGTCGTGTGTATGCCATGCCAGGCCCGTGCCTACTCGTGTGATCGATCAAGTCTTGATCATGACGGCCTATCATGTCAATCGCAGAGAATCATAAATAGCCGGCTTCACGTGCCGACTCCACACGCAAGTGACGATGGACCGTCTGCGCTTACTCGTCGTACAAGGTCAGTCAGGTCCACCTCGTACTCTATGCTTGTGTACAGTGTGCTCAATCGATCGACAGACGATGCGAGCGTCTACTATCTCTCCTTCTTTGCGCTCGTCGGCATACTCGTCACAACCTCGTTGCTCTACGACTGGACTCGACTCTGGCTTGGCTACATCTTCGGTGGACCCTCCGTATGCTCGTCCAGCTTAACGGACTATGCATGACTCACGGACAGAGTCACAGATCACGAAGTATGGAGCCAATACAGGCGCATGGGCAGGCACGTCTTTGCGACTTGGCCTCAATAAGCTGTCACTCACACTATCGTGCAACAGTCGTCACGGGAAGCACAGCAGGCATCGGCTATGAGTTTGCCATGCAGCTCGGCAAGGCAGGCTTCAACGTCGTGCTCATCTCGCGCAGTCAAGACAAACTCGACAAGGTCGCCAAAGAGCTCGGTCGGTCCTCAGCTCATGTCAGCAGCATACTGCTTTGATTCTGACTCGAATGAGAACCGGTGCAGCTGAAAAATGTCCCCACATCGAATCTGTGACGCATGCTATTGACTTTGCTCAGGCTAGCCCGGCGCAGTACGAGAAGCTCTCCTACGCGCTCAAGGGACTCAACATTGGCGTGCTCGGTAAGTGATGCATTTCGACCCGTCCGACCCGTCTGATCATCGACGCGCTCCAGTCAATAACGTCGGTCAAAGCCACGACTACCCAGAGTACTACCACGAACTCGACTCTGACGAGAACGAGCGGATCGTCGAGATCAACGTCTTGTCTGTCCTGCGAATCACAAAGCTCGTCTTGCCAGGCATGGTCGAACGGTCAGTGACCACACACGCCCGAGCTTTCCCCTTTGCTGAGGCATCGCGACGCTCAACAGTCGACGAGGACTGATATTGAACGTCGGTTCATTCGCCGCATTGATACCAACGCCGCTGCTATCGGTCTACTCGGGTTCCAAAGCTTTCCTCTACACTTGGAGCAATGCCCTCGGAAGCGAGATGCAAGACTTCGGCATCACCGTCTCGCTCCTCAATACTTACTTTGTCGTGCGTGCGCATGCACTGACAACTCATGCCTCTCTTTGAAACCGTGTCTCGCAGGTCTCTAAGCTGAGCAAGATCAGGAAACCCAACTTCCTCACGCCGATGCCGCAAGCCTACGTCAGTACGTCATTCTTCTTCGAGCATGCTCTGCATGTGCTCACTGCGAATTCGTGCAGAATCGGCGCTTGCACATGTTGGAGTGCAAGTGGGTGCAGTCTCTGCGGCGCCTTTTACTTCGACACCCCATCTCGGTCACGCGATCGTTCAGTTCATCATAGATCATCTGGGGACATGGACCATGTGGATCGCCTACAACAAGCGTTCGTTCCTCTTTGACTTTCCCCAGCAGCAGCAGTTGTTGAACCAAGCCTGCGGACAGGATTGCACAAGGATATCAAAGCACGCGCATTGAGGAAGAAAGCCCGGGATAGCAAAGCGAACTAGTCGGAGCACGCTCTGTAGCGATACCAAACAATGTAACACTATCATGGCAGTGACCTTGCATTGGCTCCATCGACATTGAAAGCAACCAAGAAGCGAGAGACCATATTGTAAGATGCGATCGTTGCCATGATCTCTACGCACTCTCTCTCATCAAAGTGCGATTTGAGCTCATCAAAGGTCTCTTGTGGTACTTTGACATGACGAGTTGACGCATCCGCAATGGCCAAGGCTGCCCAGTAGGCCGGCTCAAAAGTATCATCACGCTTGAGCTCAATCTGGCGGACTTTGTGAAGCTGATCAGAGGTAATACCGGCCTTGTGAGCATCTTGCAAGTGTGCTTCCCATTCGAAAGTGGCTTCATTGAGTACGGCCACGCGTAGGATGAGTACTTCGATGAGCAAGGGTGGCATTGTCGTGCCGCGTCTGATTTGACCCATCAGAGCATTCCATCCTGCGCAGATGGGCTTCAGGAAGCCAGCGTGAGGACAATCGACTAGCTTGAATGAGTCGAACTGACTTCACTATGGAGTAAGATGCCTGAGAATACGTATGACTCGTAAGGACATTGTCGACGACAGAGAGGATGGGCTGACCGTCTAGAGGAAGCAGGCCGTGTTCGCCTTGGCGCTGTCGACGTTCACGCGTCTCGTCGGCGACTTGGGACGAGCCCGGAGAAGGGTAGCGGTAGGATATTCGTGCAGGGCGAGGGTCGTCCTTGCTTGCGCTCATCTCGGCTCGTCCGACGCGACTCACGCAGGAAGTCGATGTCAAGGCTCCTCACAGGCTTACGTTAAGACTGGCTCACGCGATTCGAGCTCATCCCGTATATACAGCAGCGGCGACGTGTATGGCCAGTCGAGTTCGTCGTGATCAAAATCGTCGAGCATTGTAAGAAGTGATGAGACGCGATCAAGGCGTCCCTTGAGTCATGAGCAGGCCAGCGATTGCTGGAGGGCATCATTGATCGGACTGCGTGAATGCGATGCGTCGGATGAGCCAAGCGAGGGACAATACAAGTCATGCAATCGCAGATGAGACGAATCTATTGCGCATAGCTGAAGACGCCCTTGACGACTGTGGCGGCACGACTTGCAGGATCAGCCAGACAGCCACGCAGCTGATGTCAGGAGTGACTGACTGCCATCACGTTGAGCCAATCGGTTGACAGACTCGTCGGACTCGCCGTATTGTCTGACGCTGCCACAGAGGGCATAAGAGTGTACCTGGCCGGGAATCATTCTTCCCTCCTCGTCAACATCTGCAATGTTGATCTGGACCGATGCGTGATCCTTTGCGGTCAGGAGCTGGTTCGTAGCAGCGCATCTGTCAAGCATCAAGGCTCAGGCACAAGCTATGCGTGCAGTGAGCCCCAACTGACTTTCTCGGCACGTAGAGATCTACCACCTGTCCTGCGTCGTTCTCCATGCTGGTTGTCTGCCCAATCGTACTCCTTCAGCCATCTGGACAGTGAGCAAGCCAGCGTCAGACTGACCTTTGTAGCTGCACAAAACCTGGCGGGCGACTTTCTTCCGGTCAGAGGCTTGTGTCGCGACCGTGAGAGATTTGACCAGCCACGGCGTCCGCGCAGGAAATCGACAGCAGTCCAAAGGTCAAGCTCGCCTCACTCCAAGGTCAGCCGGCTTGGATCTCTCGCCGGACAGGCAAGCTGAAGTATCGGGTATGATGACAGATGGGCCGCAAATACGCACAAGAGCACCTCGTAGGTGGCAGCAAGCTCAAAGTTGGCCGTGCAAAAGGCTCGGCCGTCAGAGTCCACTACAAGAACACCAGGTGGGTCACGACGGTGGCATTCAGTCCGACCTGGACTGATGATCGCATGTGACCGATAGAGAGACAGCAGCTGTCCTTCAGGGTCTCTCCCTCGCAAAGGCTTACACCTACATTGATGATGTCCTCGAGTGAGCAAACCGCAAGAGCTACCCTCGTGAACGTGTTCTGACGCTGGAACGTGTCCAGACACAAGCAATGCGTTCCCTTCCGCCGACACAATGGCGGTGTAGGCCGTACAGCCCAGGCAAAACAGTTCGGTGCAACTCAGGGTCGATGGCCCGTCAAGTCTGCTCGCTATATCAAGGCCCTCCTCAAGAACGCCGAATCCAATGCAGCCGTCAACGAGCTCGAAGTCGAAGATCTGTACATCCGATCCATCCAGGTCCAAGAAGCACCCAAGACTCGCAGGAGAACTTTCCGCGCTCACGGTCGTATCAACCCTTACCAAGGTCACCCTTGCCACATGTTCGTCCCCTTTTTCCTCTTCCTCCCCTCTCCAAGGAGACTCATCCTCACGTTCGTCACAGTGAAATCATGCTGGCAGAGAAGAAGGAGACCGTCGAACGAGAAAAGGGTACCGTCGCTGCTGCACCACCCAAGACGACCGCCAGGCGCCGCATCGCTGCCGCCTAGATGTCCCACTTGGATTTTCCTTCCGTGTGCTCAGCCGGCAGCTTTGTACTATCCTCATCTCAACGAGCGAGGGCTGCAACATGCATACTTTTGCATCTGCGCACCCATGTTACCTATGGCACGGTCATGCATGAGCTACGCCAATCAGCAACGCAGACTGAGCTCGGAGCTACAACGTATAGCTGCAAGCGTCAGCTGTATCGTGAGCAGCTCGCCCTCTGGCTGGGATGGGCTCAAGCAAGCCAATTGAGACCGCTGTGAAGCCGGCTTGAGGACACGTGGGCATCTTTTCGGTGCTCTCGTCGGAGCGATCTCACGCAATCAGACTGGTAGGAAAGCCTCGGTATGTCGTGATCAGGCGGCCGTCCTCAGCGATCTCGTCGACTGCGAGGACCGATATGATGCTAAGCGCGGCTGTCAAGCAAAAGTCGTGCAACGTACCTCTTCGAGTGCGAGCGCTTCTTCCCAGGCAGCCCAATCAAAGTCGATGACTTCCTTTGTAAACATAGCGCGAAGGACGAAGCCTGGCTGTACTGTCGGTGTGCCTACATGCAATTGTGAGCCACTTTCGCGCTGGAGAGAGGCTTGGGCGTACCTCTAAGCGGTCGCTGCCATTCTGCATCGCTGAGCTCGATATAGGCCATGATCATGAGCGTTTGCTTGAGATCGGGTAGAAAAGTAGACGACGCCTCACTGCCTGTGCACAGTGATCAGTGGGGTCTGCTACTCCCAGACGACTGCTGTCTGACGGACCATCGAAGTTGCCGACCAGTATATCGGATAGATCTACCTGGACGGCATGCGTGCCATGTTGTAGGACGACGATGGCAGAAGCGGGATCTACTGCGGCGACTCTACAGGAGCATAAGTCGCGTTGCAGCGTGACCGAGGAAGGAGGAGCGGACCTGCCGACGATGCGAATCTTTTTACCTGCTAGTTTGCGAGAGAGTGAGCCGATGAGGTAGAGCTCGGCACTCTTGGGTAGCACCGGCGCTGACATGGACGCAATCTCATCCACACGCGAGGCGAACTTCGATTCATTATGACGACGGCACGTGGCATCTGTGTACTATCGCCACCGCCAAAGATGGAGAAGGTGCGGTACCGCGTTAATTAATGACCGAGCGAGCACCGCACTCCACACGAATTTGTTCGGTCTATCATACAAGTCATGCAACGACATCGAAGGCCAATGCTGGCACCCATACAGGTCAATGACCTCAACTACATGCCAGTCCTTTCGCCCACGCATCCAGCCAAGCCAGTCCAACGACCAGCGCCCGTCAAACCGACTCGAGCGGTGCCTGCCATCCCCTCACGCCAAGGCTCGACTTCCCGGAATCCGAGACCGTTCTTTCTTCGATGGAAGCGCAAATCGAGCTCCGAGGTCCCACTCGAGCTCGAATCACAAGCTCGCTCACGGGGCAAACTCACGAAGTCCAAGAAGAAGTACGGCTCTTTATCTCTGGATGCTGTCATGCGTCACTTTTCTGACGTAAACGGACAACACAGCTCGATCAGCGCACGAGACGACTGCACGCTGCTGCCGTGTTCTTCGCTGACGTTGACGCTGCCGAAGAGCAACAGCCTCGGATTGCTTAGCCTGACGGATCTGAGTGGACCGCCATCCGTGGGCAGGAGATCTCCTTCGCTCGCTATGACCGAATGGGAGGATGAACTCTTTGCACTGTACATCTACGAACCTGTCGATGCTACTGAGCCAGTCTTGGCCGATGACGAAGAGGAAGAGACACCTTCAGAGACTGCGCCCTCACTCCGATCATCTCACACTGCTTCTGCCAGCCCGACTTCATCCTTCTCGCTCTCATCAGAGGATGTATCCCGCTCACTCTACTTCTCGCCCATGACGATCTATACGCCCGAAGAGCACGAGCACAAGACCTCGCATGACGTTCAATCGGTCATTGCTTCGTTGGACGAGGTCGTCTATCAGCAACGCATTAGCGAACTCGATCTAGGTGCCTCTCCCGTCTACGAGCTACTCGATCCCACCGGCGCACAGCCAGGTAGGCTGTTACACCCAAGTAGCGACGACAAGCTGATCTTGACCCGATGGACAGAAACAGTGCTAAGCCGTCCGAGCTCCTTGCGACGCCCATTGCCGCCCACACCTGCTGTCGTCACAACGACGGAGGCGGAGAAGCAAGAAGACAAGGCGGAGGCTCTGCCAGAGCCCGTCTCGCTCTGGACGATCTATCGACCACTTCCCGCTATGCCTGCCGTCATCGCCCCACCTGCTGTATCTGCGCCGCCTGCTGTGAGCACGCCAGAAGCAATCACCAAGACCGAAGCAACTGGCACGCTTTCCCCACTCACAGGCGCCGCAGAGCTCTTTGTCGTCAATCCGGACAGACCCGCTTCACCTGTCGACAGTGTAGCAGCAGAAGAGAAGCGTGTCAAACGCGCTAGCGATCTGTTCACCGCTGCAATCTACGAAGACCATCCTATCGAAGTCTTTCATCCAGCTCTCGCTGCTCAAGTCTGTCGGACGCCCACACCCCGCTTTGCTCCCGTGACGATCTGGCCGGAAGAGGTCATTGTCGAAGAAGGCGAAGTCGAGCCACGTCATTTCGAGAGATCGACAATGCGCAGACGGTTCCGTCGCAAGCGTCACTTCGTACCCAGCCTGCTGCCCATCCGAGAACCAGTCATTCGTCCCATGTCGAGCATGACCTGCCGAACCGCAGACACGACGCTGGTCGATCTTCGCGAGACTGCCGCACGTGAGTTACGTTCGAACGGTATGCCGTCGGATGCCGTTCTGGTGGCTATCGAGTCAAATCTGGCCTCGCGTCGCTCATCTGCTTCTTCTGTCGGTGCGGAGGCTGACGAGGGCGATGTGACGCCTACTCAGACCAGATCGAGATCGTCCTCTGCTCCTCCTCAAATGCGCGCACCGCTCGATGCGATCGCAATCTATTCGCCCGCTTCGTCCGATTCCACCCATTCGACGACGGGCTCAGATCCTCAAGAGAACCAAGCCAGAGAGCGACAACTCGCCGCCATCGCCGCTCGGTTTCGTTCGAGAGGCCCATCGAGCTCGGCAGACGTCTACGAAGCGTTTGACCGTCTGACGAGCCCGGGATACCCCAATGCAATCTAAGTAACGACCGCTCACGAAGTTGTCTGTTGATGTCCAATACAATCATACACGGGGTAAACCAATCTGTTGTTCATCAGCACATCTATGCAATACACGCAGCCTGCTGTACCTAGCTACCATCGTTCTGCCACGTCATGCATGAGGCGAGTCGCGTAAAGCCAAAGTCAAAAAACGGTCGTTCCCTTGCGCATCGGATGCATGCTCACGAGCGCACCCCTGGCCATCAGGAGTGCAGCAGCGAGCTTTGCTGCCTTCTCGACTGCTCTGCCTCGCTCCTTGACTGCACAGCGAGAAGCTGTAGCTGCCAAGCTCGGCATCACACGAGCTCTGTCGACTTGCTCTTTGCGCTCTGACATCGATGACGATGGCCGCTTCATGTCTCGATCGCCTGCTCGTGTGGGCACTCGCACGAGTCTGCATGTACGAGAAAGGCGTATGGCATCCTTATACAGTCACTATGGCTTTGTGCGCCAAGGCAAGCTCGACGACTCTACGCTCCAGCTTGGAGCTCAATCTTGGTAGCCTGCAGGGAAAGGCAAATCCAGGTTGGATGTCGAGTCGCAGCGACTGGCTTCCAGCGCTGCATCGAGAACAGAGCCCTATCTGGGCGAGCTCGCTCCGTCCCAGATCTCGCGGACTTGGGTACGCTATGGCAACCTTGCGCCGACTCACTCCTGTCGTCCTATAGCAGAGGCGGTGACTACAGCGCTCTCGGACAACGGAGACGCTTCACTAGATCGTTTGGGTCCCCTGATGCTCCTCGGCGCCGTTCTGGCCACCGAATTATCGATTGGACATCAAATCCAACTCGATCTCGATGCATCTCGTGCGCTTGTCGACGCGATAGCCAGCATACTGGACAAGCACGATCCTGAAGCTCTACTCGGAGCAAGGCAGGATGTCCAGCTCAGCTTGCTGCATCTATCTACACTTCGGCCAGATCTGACATCCCATCCGGCGTACTCGTCTCTGCTAGATGCTGTCTTTTGCGCATCAGCTGCCGTCAGCCGTAAGCTCATCATCGGCCCGCTCGTCCTCTTTGCTCGTCTACTGGCTCATTGGCAGGACGCCTTCAGCCTGCTAGATTCGAACAGTCGCGCGCTCCAGCTAGTCGCCGCACATCTTGATTACTTTGAGCCTGCACTGCACCAGCAAGCTCATCCTTCCTTGTTTGAGCGACAGTCTGCTCACGTACTCGAAGATATCTCTGCTGGTGATATAATCGCTGCCAGTGAGCCCGAAGCACAGCGTTATCTGGCGAGAGCGATCTTGCTCTCGGTGCGGCACGACCAAACCGCTCTCGATGCTGCCTTCAACAGCATCTCGGATGTGGTCCCCAGTGCTATCGAGTCGGACCCTAATGACATCGACACCGCTGCCGCCGCGCCTTTACAACCCGACTCGGTACCAGATGAGCGGGCGAACGAGCAAGCAAGGGACATACCGGCATCAAATGTCTCGCCTTTCGGGTCGATTCCAGCCATCGAAGAGAGCCTACCGCTTACCCAAGTCCGTTCAAGCGCTGCGAGAGGTCGTGTGACAGCATACGGCCGATTGCTTACGCAGCTCTCGGCTTTCCCGATTGCCTTTGCTCTCGTCGCGCTACAGCAGGGCCGCATGGAGACTTGGGTCTTGCAGCTCACACTCGACATTGCCCTTTGTCATGCCATTGCGAACGAGCAGTCCGAGTCTGCCTATGAGATGGCAAGGCAGCAGGATCTCATCCCCCTTTCTCGACCGACTTTTATCGCTTATCTGCGCTACTATTCAGGTCGGGCCGATGTTGAGCGTTTCGAATCTGTCTGGCAAGACTTTGTACAGAGCAATCATCGACCAGATGTTATCGCATACACCCTTTACGTCAGTCTTTATGCCCGAAGACGAGACCCTGTTGCCGCCGCGCAAGTCATCGAGACTATGCGCAAGGGAGGCATAAGGCCGGATCGTTTCGTCTGGACAGCCCTCATGGACGCACACATCGCCGCAAATAATCTCAAGGAGGCAGACAACGTGTTCAACATCATGCGTCGGAGTACAGACGAAGCCGCACAGCCGGACGCAACCTCTTACAACTGTTTGCTGAAGGGCTACGTTGCCATGGCCGTTCCTTATGGCGTCGTCAGCAAGCATTTCTATGCTATGCTTGATGCAGGCTTGCCCCTCAATGAGTTCACGTATCTCCACCTCCTCACGTCGGCTTGCGATGCTGGCTACGTGCAAGAGGCAATCAGAGTCTTCAATACCATGTCGGTTCCGCGCGATCCTAGGATGCGCTCCATCCGACCAAACGGGTACCACTACTCCATGCTGATCAATTGCTTGCTACGTGCCAATAGACTCGACCTTGCACAAGACTATCTGGCGAGAATGCGCGCCGATGGCGTACTGCCGACAAGAGCGCAAAAAGCCATTTTTGTCAGTTACTTCTCGCGCGAGATGACGCCAGAAGGTCTCGAAGCGGCCTCACAGCTTACGCAGCAGATTGCCAAGACTGACGCGCTGAATGCCAGACCATATAGCGGTCGAAACGAAGCTCGTGATTGGCACGTTCTCGTTACACCGCAGCTCAAGACGATGGGTCAGCTCGGCAAGACAGAGGCGGCAGAAGAGCTCTATCGTTTCGTTCAGCGTGCGGGGGTCGAGCCTTCTTTGCAGATTGCGACAGCTATGCTTGATGTCTACCGTCGCGCGGGCAACCTCGATGCCACGCTGGCATTCTGGCCAGAAGTGATTGATACAGCAGTTAGATCGTTCCCAGAAGTGCGATCGGACTCGCTCGCTCCACGCGTGGCGGACGCGCAGCGAAGTGATGTGTGCATCTGTCTGTCGATCATCATTCGTGCGCTCGGTCAAGCGGGCGAGATGCAGACTCTCGTCGAGATCTGTCTCAACTATCGTGATCTTGGCTTCGGTCTCGATCCTAGCAACTTCAACGATCTCTGTGTCGCACTATCGCTAGCAGGCTGGCATGTCAGAGCTTTCTTCGTTGCCGAAGAATTGCTCTCGGTCGCCGGTACACGCGCTGCCAAGCTGTTCACCTCGGAGCGAAAGAAGCAGCGCTCCTTAGCAATCAGTGACCGCAGAGCCGCTCGCTACGACATGCGCAGACAACGTGCGATGGCCTTGACGCCCGACAAACCGGACAATGACGCTCTCACAGCAGGTGCAGCGCTCGACGATTTTGACGCAGATCTCGCAGTCGATCGTCCTTCACGTCTGTCAAAGCGCGAAGGCGCTTTGTCTCAAGACAAGTCAGCATCAACATACGCCCTACAGGAAGGCCATATTGGCCTCAAGGACTTTACAGCCGACTTTCGAACGATGGCCAGCCTGAGCGAGCGTCGCGACGCGCGCGAATGGCGACTGTTCGACTACTCTCGCATTTTGCTCACTCAAAGCTTAGAAGCAATCGACGAGGACACATTCCAGCTCATCCTGCGAACGTGTCCGACGGTTCTGGCAGATCTGAGTAAACGCTCGCCAGATGAAGCCAACCCATGATACTCATTGCATGCTATTGCTTACAACATTTCATGACATCGTTTGCTAAAAGCTTTCACATGCGATTTGCGTGTGGATATGCAAATTGTTGATGATCGGGCAAGCGAATTGGCTGCTGTCTATGCGCCTCGTCTGCTCGTCGGGTTTCGTCTGTTTGCGATCTTGAGGCCCTGTCTGCTAAAGGCCAGAGAAAGTGCGGTGGGCGGCAGCATACCCCCGAACTTCTTCGCCGAGAGCACGCTGAAAGGTCTTGTGTACGCCTGTACCAGCAACGGCTGCGGATACTCGTGCCGTCGCCCCTGCAGTCCGATCCGCATGAAGACGAGCCGGATCGTGAACTTTCCTTCTGTGCGGACGCTCAGGTCGCTAAAAATGAAGTAGATGCCGAGCCGGCCGTGTTCATTTCGCAGCAGGCTAGCGTTTGCGTGCAGCGAACCCGTCAGATTGCGCACTGATACGATTTCGTTGGACTCGCGAACGAGCGGGCTGAACTCGACCGGGCAAAAAGCTTGTCGGTCGCCTGCCGTTTGGGGCCGCGATCTAGGTAGCGCCTCTGATGTAGACAGCGGCGGATGAGGATAAAGATCTCGACTTGTGACCGGTCTTGGTGGTGCTGGCCGTGTATCAGCCTGGTAAGGAGCCGCGGACCAACCTGACCAGATCGGTAGTGGCGCCCTATGATCTGGCAACTCCATGTGCTGCCATACTGGCGATGGCTCTGCATGCATGACCATGCCTCTAGGTATCTGCCGATTAGGTGCTTCCTCGTAGGGTGACGCGCTTGTGCTCGCTTGCGGCTGCCACTGTGCTTCTGGCAAGGGCATTGCAGGGCGAGGGAGTGGACTTGCTTCGCGTACGACAAGCGTCGGACTGAAGGACGGATGCAGCACGAGATTTTCGTCGTGTTGGCCATCAGCCGACCAGAGATCTGCTGCGACAATGAAGAATGACAAGTCGACCGAGCTGCAATACCGCGCTTCAGCAGAGACAGTAAAACCCGTGATTGCTCACTGACGCTGGATCCAGAACCCTTTGAGTGCGACTGTCGCGCACAGTCAGCTCGGCAACAAGCGGCGGGGTGAGAGGTCGACGATCCTGGGGTATCTGTATCAGTCTGGCGTTCTGCATGCGTAAATGTAGTGCATCGACTGACCCGATCTCCAAAGCCTGCCATACGAGCTCTGACCGGGTTCTGCACGACGTCGAGCTCGTATGAGCTGCATGGCCTGTCAGTTTACAGGCCTACTGTAGAACGTAGACACGGACTGAAACTCATCCGGCACATCCTCGTCATCGGTCGCTAGCGGCGCTTGACCTCTTCTTGGGAATGCAGAATCGTTGTTCGCTTCCTCGTGTGCGATCGGCAGCATACCGACAGTTTGGACGACAGTGCCTCTTAATGAAGCACGCAAGCTATGTTCGGTGCGATAGCCTTCATGCCGTAAGCTTTGCTAAGAAGCTTGCCAAGTCTGTGTCCGACTCTTCGGATTGCACGCGCGGCTCGCTGGTCCGTCTTCGTGTTTGCGTACGCTGACGATCAAAATCTGCAGCCGGCCCAACGAGTCTGATTCTGGTGGGGGCAACGCGCGGACAGCGTCTGCCACTGGTCTGCAGAGAACGCGCAAAAGTGGCAAGCATCGCCTAGCGCCTGAATCTGGTCAGGTCTATTGGATTTGCGGTCAGCTCTGATGCCGAAGACTCAGTGTGGCGGACGATGCAAAATGTCGATGCAATCCAAAGGCACGGTCAATCGGGATTTATGCCGGGCGCGTTGTATCTGTCGCGAAACCTTGTTCGGTGTCTGGACGCGGGAGCGACCGTGCCGAAATTTGCTTACGCAATGCCCCCAAAGATACGCCCGCAAATTCGTATTGCAGACTTCAGAGATCCTGACCGGCTGCCAGATGACGTTCCAGTCCTTCCGGTCGCCAACGCCTGATGTGCGAGTCGAGCTCCGCGCGCTGCGATTGCAAATGCGCCGGCTGAGTCTGATAGACGTCTTCGAACATCAAGCCTAAGCGAGGCTTGAGCTCCTTCTCGGCATCTCCCAGGGCCTTGAGAACATCTTGTTTCAATTGGTCACGTCTGCTCGGCTGGGCCTCCCGGGCTAGCCAACCACGTGAACGAAGGTAGGCTTGAAACCTATCGATGGGAGATTGTTTCTTGATGCTCTCCACGTCCTCGCGGTTACGATAGGCCGAACTGTCATCACTCGTACTATGATGACCCACTGTATCGGACATTTCAGTCCGGGGTAAGCCGAGACGCCGATCAAGGGGAATATGCACCTCTGTACGTAAGAATTTCGACTAGTGTTGGACGGCTAGTAGAGACCGATCGCCGGCCTGCCAAGACTTCGCGGTCAGGCGCGCTACCATGCGAGTCTTGACGAAGAACAACTGACGGGCTTCACGAGCGCAAAGATAGACGGCGAGTGGATCATTGCCATCGCAGCGGATTGACTCGATGCCGAGTGCAGGTCCTCGAGCTGCTATGCCGTCGCCAGCGAACTGACTACTTGTTGGCGTTGAGATGGCAAAGCCTGTCGGACAAGGCTTCAGTTCGAGGCCTCTCAGCAGCATGAGCAAACGGATGCTGACCGTTCTGTCGGACCACAAAGACACTAGGCCCGCCGAGTACGGCTGCCATACTGATCGACCAGATCGTGGGTCAGCGTGATTATGCGTGATGATGATGATGATGATATGGCTCACCTCAGTCCTGCCCAAGCATCGCCTTCTGATGCGGCCCCTTCGCCGAGGTAGCAGATCACACAAACCTCTCCGGCTGCTTCGCCGCGCTGGGCCATCCTACGAATAGCATAGGCAGCACCAGCAGCTTGGGGAATCTGCGTAGCGAGGGGCGAGGAGATGGTGATGAAGTGATGCTCTGCCGAGCCAAGATGGACACCCATCTGACGACCTTTGGTCGCCTTGTCGAGTCTGTTGGCGAAGTTCTGGTTCATAAGACGGTCAAGTCCAAAGCCGCGATAGAGCAACACGCCCGATTCGCGATACTGCGCAAAGACGGGGTCGGTTGGCGCCCAAGCTGCTGCACTGCAGACGACCGCTGCCTCTTCGCCATACGATGTCCTGCGCACTCCGGTCATTCGAGTGGCACGCCTTCAGAGCTCGACTTGCATGTAAAAGCTCAGGCGACCTTGTCGTTGCGCATTGTAAAGAATGTTGTCCATGATGGGCAGCAGGAGCATGGTGTCATACATCTTCAGTGCTTGCTCTCTGGGGATCTGCGGAGCCGCATGAGGTCACTTCTTCGAGGATGGCGAGTGGCAGACGAACGGCTTCGATGTCCTTGACGACCTCGTCGGACAGACCCTCGACGAGGGAACCTGCGCTATCGAGGACTTGAAAGGTAGGTATGAGCGTCTCCTTTGCCTGTTCGGATGCGGGCCCGCCTTGCCACTGCATCAAGGGCGAAGGATTGGGCAAAGAGAAGCCTGAGGAGTGTCGCCGTTGCCGACTGCCGAGCGTAGGCCGCGCCAGCGATGGCGCTCGAGCTGATCTGACCTGGATGCGAACAGAAGCGCAGTGAGCGAGAGTGTTGCGTGCGCTGCATGTCGTCTTGTACATCGCTGAAAGGCCACCCCGCGTTATTCAGAGAGAGAGCGCGCGCGCCTGCTGTCGCGCTGTCGATCGGTCAATGTGTTCGCGCTATAGCATGCGTTCATATGGTGCGAGCACAGACGGGGCACATCTGACATTGCCAAAGATCACACCAGAGAGCGCAACATTTCAGAGTAGGCACACTTCGGCCTCACTTCGGCCCAACCGGCTATGTGCGCGTGGCAAGTCAGAGAGATAAAGATCGTCCCGCCGATATTTTGCCTGATTATCTATCTAAACGAGAATGCAAACAGACGCAAGCAGCCACACAGTCTGTGAGTGTGTGAGGCCGACCCAATATCGGCTCCGCTGATGTGCATGATCTCGAATTGATATCCGATTCAGAAATTGAGCAGGAGCGAGCCTTCTTCTGCCTGCTACTACGCGCCCTGCTGACGCCGCATGTCTAGCTCTGAACAGCGCATCTTGCGGTGACAGCTGAGACTCTGACGGGCTAGCGTCGGTGTTAGCACTGACGCCGGAAGCCACCATTTGAGCATCAGGCGGCTACCGGCTGCCTACATTCGGATGCTTGAGCGACAGCATTCGTCAAGTGATAGCGCGAATGTTACTTGGATCTGATCGCACGGGAATCAGATCTTGCCTGGCAGATGACAACAACAGCATTTCTGGCTCTTGCTTCTGACAGGGGTGACGAATTTGCTGCTCTTGCTTTGAAACAGGGCTGAGTCGTCGCTAATCCAGCAAGATGGGCTTGGCCTCTGTCTTGATCATCTTAGTCGGAGCAGGCAACAGAGTGAGCTCGTCCGATTCAATCTTGGCCATGTCTCGCTTCCTCGGAGGCTCGTCATCCTCAATGACGATGACCTTGCCCGTCGGTCTCACTTTGCTGCGAACCGGCTTCGCGTCTGGCTCTTGCTCAGGTTCAGGCATGTCGACGAGGCCTTCGACTGTCATAGTCCAATGAGCGGATCACACTCCACGCACGAAGGGGCAGGCATACGTTCGAGGGCTTCACGCGAGACGTAGCGAAAGGTAAGCGACACAAAGGGCGCTTCATCCGTATCGTAGGTTTGCGTCATCGTCCACGTTTCGCACGCCTTTCTGGGCGAGAGGTCGGCACCAGCCTTGGTCTGGTGTAGCAGCTGACCCTTTTTCATCTTCTCGTCAATGACGGGAGCGACTCTATCGGTCTCGTAGACTTGGTTTTGCTGAACAGCGCTTTTCTGAGAAACACCTCGCTTGCCGGTGATGACCAGTTTGCCCAGCCCTTCGAGGAGCGTGTGATCTTGCATGGTCTCGACCGGATCGTCAGATGTCTCAATGCGCGCAAACGTAAAGGCCTTTGTCGTCGTCCTGTCGACATCGTACCCTTTCCAACCACACTCGCGCGGAGCACGGCCCAACCTGAGATGGAGTCGGTGTTTGAGCGGCGAGCCATCGATAGAGAGCTGGTAGGTCGTCGCAAAGCGAGTCGCGTCGGATCCTGCCCTAGCCAGGAAGTGGACCGAGAAGCGTGAGCCTGGCTTGCTTTCGATGATGCATTCCATCTTGCTGCCTTGTTGCTCGACTGCATACTCTTCTGCTCGCTGACCGTCGACGAGTAGCCATGCCTCTACCCCTGCTGGGTGCAACATGCTGGCCGCTCTCGCCGCGGCCCCTTCTTCGGCTGAGTTGCGTCGTCGCGGCCTCGCGCCCGTCTCTCGCTATCGGGACATGGCGCAGCTCGCGTTCGGCTTGGAATTCAGAGAGAGAGTGTGCAGGATCATACGATAACATGAGTACAGTAGCTCGACCCTACGCGCGAGATGTCACTCTCAGCCTCTTCAGGCGTTGCGGGCAGTTGAATTTCCTCATCGACTCCACAAGGTCAACACGTCCAGACACGCCCACGCTTCTTGTCGACGCGTCGCGGTGACGACCCTCTTGGGACCTGCGACCTCCCTGTCTGTGATTTTGGTGTCATTCTGAGCTTCGGTCTTTGCACAAAGCTTCATGAGGAGGCAAAGCGCAGAGCGATGCACTGCTGAAGTAGCGGAGCCCGTCCTTGTCACAGTGAACGGGTAGGAGCGTTACAAGTCTGTAGCATGACTTGTACCGGATGAAACGTGTCTCGAATGACTGTCGTCATGCATTGGTGACCACTATATGACCGGAAGGTATACGAGGAAGCAAGCTGCTGAGGGTTGTACGATGTCAAGGTCTCATCTTTTCTTTCGTCGATCCTGCCATCGCTTCTCGTTCGCGAGCGTGATGAGCTTCAGGACCGACGAGTGCTGAGACGACGCGATGGTCGGTCAGCGTGGCGCCACAGTGCTGAGATGGAGCTTCAGGCACGCACGACTTTCGGGGCGCTGTTGGATTCGTGAAGGCGAGTGAAGTCGAATGTCAAGCGAATAATATTGCCGGTCGGCACTGCTGCCTGTCCTGGGCTCATGATGGTCAGATACGCATGCCCTGCCCGGCATCGACTCAGTGGGCACACAAACGTGAGCGGCATCTGTCGCATGCTTGCAGACAGACGCGCTCGCCATTCAGACTGGCCATGATCGCGCTCGAAAAAGCAAGCACCGATGGTCATGCGGGCCAGATCGGATTGTTGCGATCAATGCTGCGATGATCTGCCCACGGCGTCTGCTCCTGGACAGCTGATCGCGCTCTTCGATTGCCATTGAGAACAGAGTTCAATTCTCATCCATGTTTAGATCGACTGTCTTGATGTACAAGCCGCCCCTGTCCTTGGGAGCGATCTGGGTCGAGTCGGGCAGTATGCTCTGGAAGGAGTGGGGACGGAAGCTTTGCGCCAGTCTGCAACGACAAGCAGTGGTGAGACAGCCGTGTATCAATCGCTGCCATATCCCGAAACGTGTCGCTTGCAGGCCAGGTCAGACGAGTAGACTCGCCTCAATGGGTTCGAAGCATCTTGTCCGAGGCTCGACCAGATGGCTCTGCCAACGCAGTCTGGCTCGATGTCTGGGGATGGCGACCTCGCCGACTGTTCTCGCTGGCAGTGGTGAGTCCCAAAGTCATCAAAAAATAGCTTATGTGGCCAAGTGCCCGAGCGCCCACGCTGTGACCCGAGCAGACCTGACCTTATAGCTTGTCTACAGATCACACCTGTACGTCCTGACCCCCGTTCACCTCCAATGCTCTGTTCAGGAATCTGTCATCATCCTGATCATGAACGCAAAACCGCATGCAGACCGGCACCCAACAGAGGGCGGAATGCGCACTGCCGACCTTGCAGTAGACCCTGCGCTAGCTAGGCCGTCCTGAAAGCCGAGACGAGCGACGTCAGTGACCGACTTTGGGCGATCTGTGCATATCGCGCCCAGATTGTAACGGTTCCACGTGGGTCGCAGGCAGGCCTCTAGGACCGTGCACGTAAGGACCAGAACGGGCTTATCGAGCATGTGCGACATCCGACTGTGTGCTATCAGACCATCACTTTGCGCAGTGCTGCACTGCATGCACGTCTCTACATGCTGCCACCTATGCCACAATAGCTGCGATGGCCACGATCACTAGCTAGGCCTTTCCCGCCGGCGGTCTCGTCAGAGACGATCTGGTCTACGAATCTTCCTTCTGAACAAAGACCGTGACTTCTGCGAGAACAGGTCTCACGACTACACGGCCGATGCGATCGGCAGCGAGATGAAGCCGTCGCGAAAGCTGCTGTGCCGCGCACCTGAGTATTACTCGTTTGCAAGGCCCACCTGGAACATACCTACACGGTCTATCATCGAGAAGACAGAACTGTGTGCGCAAGCATCTAAGAACGGGCTGAATCGTCCTCCGCCGCGTCGAGCTATGTGATGGCGCTGCACCGCGTCGGCATCAAGATCAACGAACACTGTCCTATGTTGGCTCGTACCCTATCGCCATTCACTCCGTCCCAGAATTGGCCGTCTTGTTCGAGCTGCAGCTTTGCAGTCACCAAACGGCCGGTCGTCGCGTCAAAGTAGCTCACAAGTGCGAATAGCCAACTTCAGATAATCTTGCAATCTTGCAGCCGCGGCCGTCTGACCAGCTAGGGCCAGCGACCACGGACAGTATGTCGCTGCTGAGATGATCATCGAGCGCGCGTGCGAGCAACGGACATGGCCGCATCAATCCTTGCTTCAATTTCCGAAACTCGCTGGAAAAAGTTTCGGCAATCCGCGATGTCTGCTGGGCCCGAACGAATCCGTGCGCTTGTCCATATATTCGATGCGCTGCTCGTCGCTGGCGAGACACAGCGGCGAGGACAGCGTGCCAGGCGGTGTCTAATGAGAAGCGTTGTGGCGACTTGGCTTTTGCAATCAGTGTCCGAGCGATAATGACTGGGTTCAACGCAGTCGCGTCAGGTTCGCCAACAAGGCAGACCCGTCAGAGAAGCCCGAAGCTGCAATGTCTACCGGCTCTGTCTACAAGCAATATCGCTACAGCCTTGTGCTCATTTGCAAACAAGACGTCAGTTCTTGCCTTCGGCAAACCGGCCGACCCTCGAGCTTATTCTAGAACTGTGCGTCCCGAGATCGAGGGTGTCTCGATCAGCAGAGCAGACCTATCATGCGGGGAGTCACTTGTCTGCGATAATCACAGCTCGCAACAGGCATTACTGGCACTGCGGGTCTCGCCATGACCCTCATGGATCAAGTGTATACTGCGCCTTCTGCAGCTGATCGGCTCTGCGCTCGCGAGACTGCGAGCCCAGCCTTATAGTTTCATGTGATTTCTGACGATCTCTTTGGAAAGTCGGTGGAACCGAGTTTGCCACGTGCCTCGTCATCTAAATGCTAAGGTTCAAGCAATGATTCCTCACAACCCAGCAGATGCATGTGGATGGCCGCAAGCAAGGTCACAAACGATGTCCCGACTGGACACACACACAAGGGCGCCACGACGTCCGCGAGACCGCTGAGCTAGATCGACCTCTTCGGATGTGCGCTAGCTCATCTCTCGCAAGGGTCCGATTGTGCCGGCAGATAATCATTCTGCCTGGAACTGGGTCCTCGCAAGGGCTCAATTTCAAAGCTTATATCTCCGCTGGGCGCGAAGACACGCGATGATCGTGCCGTTGAGCTGTCAGCTTCGGTGCTCGTGTGCCATGTATTGCCCAGATCATAGCTGCTCTGGTCGAACTGCAAGAACGCCTCGGCCACATCCGCAACCTCCAGAGGCTTCCCACAGGCCTCTGTCAGTCAGGAAAGCGCCTTCTCTGCATCCAAGCAAGCGGCAGTAGCCTCGCCCACGTGATGGTCCCTATCGCAAAGCAGCATCTTCTTCCGCCAATGCCCGGTGCCGAACGCCTGACTAGCTCAAATGGGCATGTATCAGAGGTTTTTCAGTGCGTCCTACAAACCTCAATGTGATTGATCTGACTGATGGCACACTCAGCTCATACGAATTGCGCGTCGTTCAGCATCCTATAAGAGCTCGCATGGCGGGCTTCGGACATCGGGTCAGTGTCTAGCAAGCTCCTGTGAGATGCTCTGACTAGATCGATTGGGAGATTTAGGACCGAAGATCACTTACACCACCGCTCATTGCTCGCCTGTTCATCCGCGATAGGCGCACGCACGAACTCATCGATCCTGCGTAGGCCTCGCGGAAACCTGCACGATACCTTGCTAAGACCAAAGGTGCAGGACAATCGATCTATCGTTCTTCATTTTAGCTGCAGATTTATGGTCAGCCGATGGGCAACGCGATGCAAATTTAGTCTTGCATCCGTCCTTCAGCCCAACGCTGGTGGCACCCGAGCCTCTGCCGTCGCCAGACGCCATCTTGCCGCACCTTAACTTCGGCAGCCAGCTCAATCTCCGCGACAATTCAGAATCAGGCAACATTATGCCACTTTTGTCGAACAGCCAGCATACGCTTCTTGGCATCACGTCAGCCCAGCAAACTCTGCCGGAGCAGCAGAACGCTCTGTCAGCGGAATTATCCGGCTGGCGACCGGTCCTGACGTCGAACGGCTTGCCTGTACATGCCAATGGTCACGTTGGTGAAGACGGACCGGTAAGACCGGCGGGCCGCGCTCGCCTCGACAACAGCGCATCGCATTTCATTAAGCCGGTAGACTTCACTGCACTCACGCGCGAGACCGACGAGATCATCTCGGTTCGAAACTTGCTGGGCTCGCTCCATGCGAACGCACAACTCCTGCGAGACGTGAGCGAACAGCAAGGCATATATTTCATCCTGTCAGATCTTTCTGTTCGAGCGGAAGGCACATACAAGATCCGCCTCGTGCTCACGAAGCTAGGAGCCTCGGAGCAGCGATTCGAGTTTCCTCAGCCATTACTCGCTCAAGCGAGCACCGACCCTTTCGAGGTTCTGTCGGTCAAGAGGTTCCCCGGCAATCTCGCTCCGACCGAGCTTTCCCTAGCATTCAGCAAGCAAGGTATCAAGATACCGAATCGCGGCAGTCGCAACGAGTAAAGAGCAAAGCATAGTAGGATATATAAACGCAGGATTCGCATTCAATCGGTAGATTAAGCTTCCCCTAGCAGATCTCAGTCTCAGTCGGTTCAGCACATTTGCAGTCTCTCTGTCGCATGTAGAAAGCACAAAGCAGTCGTAGAACCCAATCTCGTTTTGCGTCGTTCGAAGCAGTGATCAGTCCCATTGTTGCTTACGCCAGGCCAGTTGGCCATGTTCCAACTGTAGTCTATTGTAAGATGTATGATAGCATGACTGGGCCCGGCACGCTGCATCAATGAATGCATCAAACAAGAGCGCGAATCGTGTCCGTTCCGAGCGCATGATTCGATCATGGGCGCGATAGATCAATTGCCTACCGAGGCAAGCTGCTAGCAGCGCCCCAATCCCTCGCTGATGCATGTCGCAGCTCCTCATTGAGATCATCAAGCGTCTCGGTAACGGTACAAACCAGTATACGCATTATGATCGTCAGCGAGAGCTCGTTCGCCTATCGCAAGTCTCCCGACTCTGGGCTGCCGTCATCCAACCGCTTCTTCTCTCCGACGTACTCGTCAGGAATTTCGGCCGAGCGCAGGCACTCTTGCGGACTCTACGAGCAAATGATCATCTGCAGCCGCTTTTCACGGGCCTAGCATGGCCAGGACAGCTGAGTGCAGGTCCAGCCCCGCCTGAGGCTCCGCGAATCTACGGCGAGTTGCTGGCGCTCACGTCTGACCATCTACGCACGCTGAGAATATCGAGCTTCTTGTTCGACTTGGACGCTTCGACCATCTTCTCGGCCAGTCAGATATGCCTCGGCACTTTGCGCACACTTCACATCGAAATCGTCGTCTTGTATGGCGATGAGGATCTCTTGTTCTTGACCTTCCTGAGCAATCTCACCTGCCTGGAAGATCTGAGCATCAAGGAAGTCGACCGTATACTCCATCCGATAGGAATGCTGCCGAAGCCACGCTATACACTCAGGCGCTTTCGACATTCCAGTCGCTTTGCTCGCGAGCGCGACCCTGAATTCCGAATGCACTACTTCACTGCCGATCTCTTGCTTTGGTATCTTGGCGCAAGTACTGAGGCGGGCTCGCTGCAAAGTCTTTCGCTCGTCAATTATGACGGCTACGACATCCTGCCCCCTCTGCCTCAGCACCCGACACCCTTTGCCAGCCTTGATGAGCTTCATATTCACATCCGCTGTGACGACCCGGTCGTGCTCACCTCATGGATACTGTCGGTACCCAACGTACGTCACCTGGTCGTCAGTGTCGATGTCTGGACGAATGGCGGTGGCGGAGTAAGGCTGACGCCATGGCCGAGTTTGTATGGCCAAGCGGCGGCGATCGAGATCAGCCGACTGCACCACTTGCAGGAGCTTACACTTATCGAAAGCTCGACGATCGATGCTCTGTGCAAGCAGCCTGAGTGGTTGACTCAAGGATGCAGCTCGCTAAAGTCAGTCACGTTTCATACACACAAGGCGACTCTCGAGTCAGTGACAGGCATTGCTTCTGCCTTCAAGCGTGAAGGTGTCCGTGTCAACATCCGACCATCGTGGTCTGATCACTTGCGGTGACGCTATGCAATCGGCAGATCAGCATACAACGCGACATTTTTGGCATGTTTCAGCTTGAGCCATCTTCCCAAACGATGCTCCTGACCGAGCGAAGCTGCCAGACTGATCTTGCGAGCGACTTCTTCCGATTCATGAAGTACGAGCTGTATCGAATTGACAAACCCAACCGCGGGTATTTCAAACATGGCTGCGAATGATTTGACCGAGCTATGTACGGACCACAGTCGTATACTGCCATCCCATGAGCCTGTAATGCTGGTCAGCAGCTGCCGTTGAGCGCCGTAAAGACACGTACCAGATGCAAAGACATCGCCGTATGGCAAGCAACCCAGGGCGGTAATCCATCGAGGCGAAGTGATCTTGCCCTCACTGGCAGACTCGTGCTCGTGCAGACCATGCGCGAGAGCGTGCGAGAAGATGGGCTTCTTCTTTGTTGTATTCCACAAACATATCGTGCCAGAATCGCCTCCGCTGAGAAAAGTAGTGTCATCGATCATGGCGACGCAGTCTGTGCTTCCTTCGAGGTATTGAGCCTTGTCGCGCTTTCGCTTGAGTGCTAACTCCTCTTCCTCCGCTTCGTCTGCCGCTACACCTTCAATGACGCTTCGAAGCTTGTTGGCCACGCCTGCACGAAAGACAAGCTGAGATTCGTCTGCTATCTTCCAGTACCGCACTGTCTTGTCTCTTCCTCCCGAAGTGACAGCTAACTCCGACCTGAGCGCAGCAAGCGAATGTATCTTGTCTTGGTGACCAAAGAGCGTCTCGACGTAAGAGAGTGTCGAGATCTCGTGCAGCTTGACCGTTCGATCATAAGAAGAAGTGAGCAGGATAGTCGTGCCTCTCCTGAACGATGCGTCCGATATAGCATCCTTGTGTCCTTTCAAGCCAGCTCGCCACTTGCTACCTTCGGCGCTCGTATCCCATACGCCAATCATGCGATCCTTGCCAACGGTCACGAGATACTTTCCATTACTGCTCAATGCCATGGCGTACAGCTCGCCAGTATGCCCTTGTATACTTGCAGGAGAGTCACTCGCTTTCGCTTTGCCTTTGGCCTTTGCACTCTTTGCGCCACCAGAAAATGTCGACTCGAGCGCAAGTTTGCTTTCCGGTTCATTCGTGTTAGTAGACCATTGAAGCACGCGACCGTCGGTGCTAGCAGTGTAGAGATGTTGGCCGTCTTCTGAGATGGTCGCGCCGACGACACTGAGCCGATGGGCCTTGCGTGGCGTGGTGAGTATTCGTGAAGGCGCCGACTTTGTGCGTGATGCAAGGTGGTGATGCATGCGGCCAGATTCAGCCATCTGCTCAAAAGCATAGGTCAGACTGTGTCCGACATCGTAAAGTGCTCGACTTACGACGTCCTTTTGCAAGCGATCTGCGATGGTATCGCGATCCATGACTGCAGCGTCGAATGCATCTGGTGCCACTATCCTCTCAATTTTGTCAGCGCGCGAGCACGTAGAGCCAATCGGGCCTACGTTCTCGTTCACGGTCCTCCTCCAATCGAGCCAGATACTCCCGCGCCAGCCTGAGTCGTTTCGCCGCCGCACTCTCTCTCGCCTCATCCTGCCTTTCTTCCTCTTCCGCCACTTCATCAATCTTTGCATCATCGTCCGAAGCCACGTCTGAGTCATACAAGGCTCCAGGCCCATCATCCTCGCTCCCCCCGTCCGCTTCTTCATCGTCCTCTTCAACTTTGCGCGTCCTTGCTCGCTTCACGCCATTGGTATTACCATTGGAGGCAGATCGAACATCGCCATTAGTCTGTCTGGCAGCACCTCTGCCTCTGTTTCCCCTTGTACTCCGAGATGGAGCTGTGCCTCTGCCCCGTGAGCCGGCAGGAGAACGATCATCTGAGCCGAAGCTTGAGCCATGACTACGCTTGAGTGTCCCGCCCCTGCTGCTGCTGCTGCTGCTGCTGTTCGCGCCTCGTCCTCTGCCGCGAGATGCTCCTCGTCCTCGCGCAGAGCCACGAGAGCTCGGAGCCTGGAAGAAAGGATCGTTGACCATGGCGTCGTGCCGGAGTCCGACACTGCGAAAAAGTTACGAGTCGAGCTGGAGCGTGGGGCACTTGCGCTGCGATGTCGTGGCATCCTCGCAAGCCAGAAAGTCTGCTCGTTGCCGATGGGCGTGCTACAAGATGGTACGACGCTTGCTTATCTGCGCTGCACGAGCTGATGCTCCCTATCCGCAGTCATCGACTCGGTCTTTACGCCCGGAACAAATCACGGCCTCGAAAAGGTGGGCCTCATCGCTCTTTTGGCAATACGTACTGAGGATGCACGCGCAGGCCATGAACTATTCTTTCTACGGTCGGCAAGCTCAGGCATCGTGCTGAAAATGGCTCACGCTTCGATCAGGCCTCTTCCTCACCTTATTCGGCCTAGGTTTCCTCACAGATTGGAACATACACGTCATTGCCCTCTCTTTCATCGCTGTCATGCTCTTCGTCTCTACAAGATGGTCCGTACCACGAGGAGCACATCCAACCTCGACCGTCTGATGCTTGTTTGCAGGTTCATCGGGGAGTTGGGTAGACAGAAAGAGGCAGAACGCGCGAGAACGGACGACGAGACCGCGAGCGCCAGAACATCAGCGACCTCTCATTTTCCGTTACCCTCGGATTCAGAACTACGCAAACGCTGAACCATGCACGATTGCATTGCACAAAGCTAGACAGGATCGAGACCGAGCTCGGTTCGCACTTGCAAAACCGCAACGATCTCTTTGACGAACTCGGACAGAATGACAAGATTGTCCAGCAGGACCGACAATTGGATTTTGCTCTCTTTCGCTATCGTTCCGTTGACGAGCGAGCTTGACGGTGTTGTTGGATAGTGCAATATGACAGGATCGACAGATCCAGAGTCGTTCGTCTCGTTCGAGAACCAAGCCCGAGTCAGACTGGGTCGTGATTTGTGTCGTTTAGCAGTGCTCAGTGTCGAAAAGTGGCGAGATCCAAGAGCATCTGTGATCATATCAGCAGATAGAAGCGCTGCTCTGCGTGCTGCCAGATGGGTTGCAAGGCCTTCGCATTGCTTCTCGAACGATGGCAAGTGAGCGGCCAACGCGTGAAGCATGCTGATGATGATACCGTCTGTCGTCCCCGATGACGGCCACAGCCAACCCTGCAGTGACATAGTAGGCAGATAAGCTATCGCCAAGATGGCTCGTGTCAGTGCCAAGTTGACAGCAACGTCATTGGCGTGGAAGCGAGCAAGCATGGTCAACAGCGGCGTCGCTGCCGCTTCCGTCACCGTCACGCTACAATTGGGCTGCATGCTCTCGATGATGTGCGGTCTGATGGCGCTCTGTGCTTGCACTAAATATGCGCCGATATCCGTCGATCTTAGCAGCTCTGACTGGCCATTCGTCGATGCCTGGAGCTCCAGGCGACTGCCGAGAGCCAAGAGGGCTTGAAGCGCATCATCACGCGCAGCCAGTCGGTCGCCGTAGCTATCGTTGTCATCTTGCGCCGGTGGATCACAGTTCTCGCTGGCAAAGAAGGACAGCATGCACGACGGATGATGCTGGACAAGAGCCGCAAGAAGACTGAGCGAGGTTGCAGACAGATCGGGCGTTTGCAGATGATCGAGCACGAGACATGCGAGGAAGTTGCTTTGTTGTTCCAGCCCGAACAGCCGCCGGAAGGATGCACTGAGGGCGCTGACGGGTTCGAGCTCCTCGAATATGATTGTGAGGTATGTCATGACGGCTAGCGCACTGCCGTCTTCGCTCGAACAGCTCTGCAGCGTGGGTAGCAAGACTGCAGACTGGAAATGAGTCTCGATCGACGCTAGCACTGCAGCCTGTAGTCTTGCGCGTAGTCGCGTGGTCGCTTGCCAGTGTTCGTCTGCCTCTGAGGTTCGCGCAGGCGAGGCCCGACCAAAGACGTCTTGCGCGAAACGCACAGCAACGCGCAAAGCCTCTAAGCTTCTCGATATGTCTTCATCCGATTCGCTTGTCAATCGTGGCCGATCACTTCCCAGCTTGACAGTATGCCGCCGCAGCTTACGAGGCAGAGCAGCATAGACGGCTGTCAGACTCGCCGCGACGCTGTCGGGCAGATACGAGGCGAGCAGATACTCCGCCAGTGCGACGGTCGGGGCCGAGCACGCATCAAGAGAGGGCCGAATACCCAGATCGACAAGTTCCAGTAGGGCCTCCCTTGCACGAGCATCACTGTGCATCTGCTGCAGCAAGATCTGAAAGGCCGGAAAGTCGACTGTCGCTTTTGTGTGCGCTTTGCCATTGGAAGGTCTCTGCTGTTCCTTGATTGGCAAAGCGTTGTTGAGGAAGATAGGCAGGAGACCGGCATGTTGCGCTAAGGTGTGCGCTATGCGGCAAGCAAGGTCAAGGACGAGTGTGCGCAGCTGTTCGTCCGGTGAACGTAAGGACGCGTCTTGCCATCTGAGCAGCTCGAGCAGCGGTCTATGTATCTTTCGATGTACCAGTACATCCGGTTCGAGTTTGTCCAGCATGAGAAGATAGCCTTGAGCGAGCTGGCTGGGCCGCTGAAGCAATACGGCCAGCAGATTATTGTTGAGCGCGCACTCGAGACAGTCTGACGGCCCTGGATCCTCTCGCTCTGCCGCTTCGTCCTCGACGAGCAGTACGAAAGCAGCATGGATGTGCTCTTCGATCTGCCCTTCTGTGATTCTGTCCTTCTTCCTCTCTGCGACGGCAAGCAGGCTCTATATTTCTTGAATCAGGTTCGTGCACGGCAAGTGAACGAGACTGCGCACTTGTATCGCTTTCCAGTGCTCGATGAAGCGCACGATCGGTCTCGTAGTATCATCGTGGGATGCAGTCCTTGCTAAGCCAAGACGGCTCAGCAAGCTCATTCGAGGTGAGGGATGCTCTGTTGTGCCGCGTCGAGATACGCGACGAGTCCATCAGGACGAGAATGGACAGCCAAGAGGTACGTAGAGCGCATCAGATTCGGCAAAGAGAGTGCGACAGGATCAATGCTACTCACATGCAGAAGTGGATCGCTGAAAGGAGTGAGCATGCAATTGAGGCATAATAATACAAGGGTAATGATGTGTACTGCATGGTTCCCACACTTCAGGCACCTGCACGCCTCGACTGGCCAGCATCATCATTGCGCGGTTCAAACAGAGGTCGCTTTGGCCAGACTCAGGCTACACTCTGAAACGCGCAAGTTGGCAAAGCGCGGCAGTCCTTCGCCGTTGCAACTGCATCGTTCGCTGGCGTATCATCACCGAAATGTCAGTTGCTACACACCGGCTGACTATGCGAACTCGACCAGCATGCTGCCAGTCGTCCTCACTAGATTAAGCTGGTCGCGAGATTCAGTATCCGCAATCGCTTTCACTGTGGTAACAGGAAATTGCTAAACGCCAGCGTGAGATCGAGCGAGGATCCGTGCTAGTCGTATCCGATGACCCGGTCGGATGTCAGCGCAGCGATTTCGTATGACGCTAGAGGAATGGGTCGAATCGGCGACGGGCCGATTCATCAGAGAGAATTGCGTTGCGTGCCATGCCGCGTGTTGACGAATTTGCTCGTGTACGTTTGATGATCAACAGACCTCGTATTGAGCAGGGCCGAGCTGTCCAGATAACATGTCGACAAAGGCGCCATCCTGATATTAGAACGGCTGTTAATTGAAGCAAGTATGGACCAGCCTCTTTGATCGCGGCGATGGGGAGAGCAAGCTAAATACGTAGAGTACCTCGTAGTATAACTTCGCAGAGAGGCTCATGCTCAGGCGGCTTAATGCGTCTCTCTTCAACTGAGGAGCGCCCGGGTTCCTTTGGGAGGTTGTTGCCCTGGCAGTCTGACTTGACAGGCGTGCTCAAAACGAACGAACACTCGCTAGCGCCGTGAGCTCGCAGAACAGGCGATAGTTTCTTGTGCTCGGTTCCAGAGTATGTCACGCAAAAGAGCCTGCAAGCGAGGTTTGGCCCGCAATGTCGTCATCAGATGGGACGTCCTCCGAGTATGGTCGTCGAGGCCGACCCTGCCAGCAGCTACGCCTATAGGACGTATGAGGAGCGCTTGTTGATCAATGGCAGCCTCTGTCTGTCCATCCTGGGAGTGAATTAGCCATATAGCGAGAGTAGCTCTTCAGCGATTGGCGCTACAAGCTGCGTTTCCTAGGTCTAAGCTTGCGCGGGTCACAGTTTGCGAGAGGCGATTTCTGTGAGCAGCGCATCTGGGGCCATTCTGCGAGGCAGCTGCGAGACGTTTGCGACCGTGATCAGAAGCCAGGGAATGGCCAAGCAGAGTGCCAGGCCGGCTAGGCGCGTGGAAAAGCGAGCGCCACCTTTTGTTCGCTAGCTGCTTTTACTGCCTTGAAGCCTCTGACGACACTTACCGTCACGGATGGCCGAAGAGAACGTCGCGGTCGGCTATGCAGGCGTGCCGACAGACCCGAGCCTGCTCCCCATCCAAGCTGTCATCGACCAGACTGCTCACTTTGCACAGGGAGGCATCGACCATCCCTTGCAGTCTACCTCGCGCAACCCTTACCGACCAAGAGACGATCAGCTAGACGACCCGTCCCAAGAGCGTGTCAAGCTCACGTTCAGCCCGGACGACTTCAGGCAATGGTTTGAAGAGCAGAGAGAGATCACTGGCTGGTCGCGGAATCACCGTGTTGATCATCTCAAGGGTACCCCTCGACGAGGATTGTCAACGCAAGAGGGTGCGTCAGACCTGATGGCATCGACATGCAAAGCTGATCCAACCCGTCCAGACGAACCAATCAGTCTCGACACGAGCGAATGGAATCAGCAACTTGTCCAGGCACTCACGCAATCGAATCCAGATGTGCTCAGACCGTCGATGCCCGAACGTCAGAACTCTGGCTGGGAATTGACAGAGTACTACAAGTGTGATCATGCGACCAGCAAGCGCGCACTTTCTGAAGATGATGAGAAGCGCAAACGAAAGCGACGCAAGAAATTGGCCGCGGTAGGCTGCAACGCCAAGCTTGTCATTCGCAAGTCGCCAAATGTCATAGAGGTCGATTGGCATTTCGTCCACACTGGTCATGATCCAGCTCGAGAAGGTGCTGCTACCCGTCGTCGACTCTCTGCCGCAGCGACAAGCTACCTGGAGGATCTCATCAGAGCCGACAAAGACTGGAAGGAGATCTCAGAGATCGTCCGTGCATCCAGAGAGGGCATACCCGATGCCGTGACCGGCGAGATTGACAGAGTGCCAGAGTCAATGCCCGAAATCACCTGGCAGCTCATCTACAATCTCAAGCGCAAGCTCAACAAAGCTCCGGACCCCATCCGAGCTGCAAAACGCGAGCAGAAACTACCACTGATGACCCCGGACACAATTGTCGATCCCGACATTGATCCTTCGCTTGCTGCGCTTAGCGAAGCCTTCAAGGCCGAGCACTAACCGACTAGGGCGCCCGCCTAACCGACGGTGACATGTTGCTGTCGCGTGTCAGTCGCAGCGCTGCTTCTGTCTGCACGCGAGAGATCTGCCACCATCAAACGTCACAGCCAGACTAAAGCGCTCATTTGATCAGACGGAACCGATAGCCTTTGGCCGTTCGCGACTTAATTGTCAGCCAAAACGTGGAACTCTGTCGATCTGATGGTAACGAGATTACGAGATTCCCTCGAGATCAGAGCGAAGAATCTCTTTGTAATGTTGTCTCTGAGAGCCACGCGTCGGTGTGACCTTTGCGGCTGCATGTGCCATGTCAAATACATTTTTGAGATTGACGGGAAAGCCAGAAGGCGAAATCGATCGCTACCCCAGAGTCGCTCCTCGCAGCCGCCAAACGCAGCGTTTGCCTCTTCCTCTCGTCTCCCAAGAGAAGACCCTGACCTCTCGGGCGTGCCGTGTAGTGGAATAAGCATCCATAGAAGGAGGACCCTTGCTCAGACGGACGGGACTAGATCGCTCGCGTGAAGGCAGAGTTCCAAAGGCAAGCTAGCTAGACTGCTGCGCTTACAGGCGTACTGCACCTGCAAGCCATGCGCTGACATCATGTCCTCGACAGTGCTCACTTTCTCGACTCTCACCTCCTAAGGTCGACAAACAGCTCGAACGACGGTCAGTCTACCTCACTCAGGCCAGGTCGAAGCAAAGGCGGTCAAGGTAGATCGTCAGAGACAACCTGAAGATCTTCCCTGCCTAGGCAGCGGCGACTTTCTGAAGAGGCCTGTCACTCGTCAGACTGTTCTGCTCGCTTGCTATTCGCACCTCTCTGCGTCACTCTGAAGATATTCTGACTTGCTGGCAAGGTCAGAATGCTCACGAGAGGCGGCGAAGAGGCGTACGGCTACCCGTCTACGCCAAGCTCATATGGTACTCAGCTAGAACTTGATCACGAGTCGCCAGATCAAACGTCAAGCGAGATGCACCAGACCATGGAAGCCCAGCATGACCAATTCGTCAACACTGGCGCAATGGATGAGGATCCACTCAAGGATCGTCTACGAGGTCGTAGATCCACTCGCCAACGCGACCCCTCCGACCCTTCCAGCGGCTTGCCCATGTCTCCACCGCTCTCGGCGAGTCATGTCATCGACGAGCACTTCACTGCTGCCCGACATGCTGGTCTTGTCGACTCCGCGGACTCTGCGAGCCACCCGCAATACACTTCTGGTCGCGAGCGCGATGAAAACTATGACCGCTTCAGACCACTGCCAGCTCGAACGCCTGTCCAGATGAGCGCTTCATTGCCCGCTTCATTCGGCTCGCTCAGGCACACCGCCGTCAGTCCCAAACTTCCGCATGGCTCGCTCAACACTGCCACAGCTGGCAAACCAAAAAGCTCTGCCAGCAAGAAGCGCAACATCAGCAAAGATCGTCCTGCAGGTGCACAAGACAAGCCGCTCTCGCAATGCTCTTACTGCCCAATGGTAGGCACTCGCTACCCAGTGTCACTTCCCCTGACATGTTGCTTGTAGGCTTTCAAAAAGCTCGAGCATGCACAGCGTCACGAGCGCACTCATACGCTTGATCGGCCTTATATGTGCTCGTTCCAAGGCTGCGAGAAGACCTTTGCCAGACAGTGAGTCACAGGCCGAGCGTATCGAGCCGCCTGCTCACATTGTCACAGAGACACGCTCAATCGACATGCCCGTTTGCACACTCGCACCGAGAGCCACCCCATCGGCAAGGGCCGAGCTGCTCGTCGGCGCGTCAAATCGACAGCCGATCTCGAGAGCTCTCGTCTCAGATCGCTGTCAAGCCACAGCGCAAGCTCGAGCTATCAAGAGCAATCCGCCAAGTCCGCTATGGCTCACCGTCGTACTCAGTCCGAGGCCAGACGAGACACGAAGCGTCGACCTGCTTCGCTCAACATTCCCTGGTCGGGACATGCGTCTGTCCATGCTTACCAGCAACAGATGCCAGGCAACAACGGCCGAGCAACTTCACCACATCCCTACTGGGCCTCACGCTCGCCCGCTGCCGTGGTCATCTCTCACCACGAAGACGTCAGCTCGGTGCCACTCAGCGCGACCTGGTCAAACTACTCGTCAGAGTCTCCTGTCGCTGAGAGACAGCCGCAACTTGCTCGGTCCATCGAAGCCTTCAAGCTGCCGTCTGCCCATTCTGCTCTCGATCACGAAGTTGCTCGCGTGAGAGGCTTTGACTCTGGCGATATCATCAAGTCTCCTTCGACTGCAATGGGCGATCTCACGCTCACTGATCTCATGCGTACTCATCATGATCACTCGCCCACGCTCGTTGGCAGTTTCGATTCATCTTTCTCCGCCTTCAGACCGGGCGGACTAGAACAAACCCAGAATCTCGACCTACTCGCCACTTTTGGTCCTCAGCCGCCTGTCGACTTTACCCATGGCTTTGAGCCCGCGGATCTAGCTCACCCTTACGCATTGCCGGTCGATGCGCAAGGGCGTGTGTCCGAAAATGAGCTGGGCGGATCTGACCGGATATCGAACGAAGTTAGCTCTGGCAGCTGGTACGGATCGCCGTCTGCTACAGAGCAGTCTGTCGCTTCATCTGTTACGAGCGAAGACTCTCAGCCTGGACAACAAGAAGTCAAGCCGGCAGAGACCCAGCCGGACTTTCTGAAGCTCCTGGCTGCCGCAGAGATACCTGTTCATGAGCTCATGGAACCGTCTGCGGATGTTATGAGCTGGCGAGAAGCTCGGCTTCAGGAGATGCTGGCTAGAGAGGCTCAGACGGCCTCTGTACGACACCCTGGAACGTTCCAGATTCCGTACGATGCCAACAATAACGGGTTGGGCCTCAAGTTCAATCGGTTCGGCGTCGACTCTACGCTGGCACACTCGACGCCGGCACTGTACATACAGCGTCATGATGACACACAGCTTGTCAGCAACACAGCACAAGGCTTGTCTCGCAGCGCTTACCATGAGCCTGCACATCTGTTTGACGATCACTTCTACCACGCTCCCGAACCACCTACGGAGCCAGGCAGCTACCTCTGCGCATGATCCACACTTCACAGTATCACCAAAGACTGGCACACACCGAGCAGCAGTATACCACGATACCGGGAAGTCCGAACCGCGCATTTTCTCCCTCATCTCTTGCATCCAAACCAAAAACGACCAGGCGCTCCGGCGTCAAGAGTGACGTTCGCAACTGACGATGCAAGTTTGTGTCCACTTTCACGCATGATGTTGTACAGCGGCCGCACATGCGCATGCTCCGGCGAGAGCTCAGTTCCATTGTAAGAAGCTATGCAAGTTCAGTGATGGGCAGCCCGTTCAATTTGACAACAATGTCCTTGCTGCGTCTGCTATCTGCTTGGGAGTTGCTCGTTCGCTCAAGCGTGTCAGTGCGGTCTTGATGAGCTGTCCGGACGACTTTGCCGTCTTCTCGAGGCCGAGCTCTTTGAGCAAATCGGTCAAGACACTGACGAGTTCCTCGGGCGCTATGGACGCGCTCTGCTCTGATGACTTGCCAATAAACTCGCCAAGCACTTCGACCTCACGCTGGTACTGTTCAGCGAGAGCTTGTGCGTCTTTGCTACCGTTGCTACGGAACTCGAGAATAGCAGCTTCACGCTGTTGTATCGCCTTGAACAATGTCTTTATCGGCGCAGGCGGCGAGGCGAGATGTTGCGAGTTCTGAATGGCTGCCAATGCCGACTGTCGTACAATCAGGTCAATATGCACAGTCATCAGAGCGGGCAAGGCAAACGATCGACCTTGAGGACGCTCGTTCGTTCGGCGTTGCGTGCACGCATAGACTCTTTCATCGCTTCACGCAGCCGACTGGGCAGATCGCTTGCATTGATGCGTGAGGTCGATGCAAAGGTGCGTACGCTGCACTGACAGCATATCGCCCGGCGACTGGTCAAAGCGAGCATCGCTCCAAAGTCAAGTCGGCAAGTTTTGTGAAGCACGCGCCGCCGAGCCGAGCGCTTGCGATCTCCCAGCCTGCTCGAAGGGCGATGACGCCGAGCAGAGGGCTCTCGAGGGCTGCATCGAGTGCAGCCAGCCTCAACTCGCGGCGGCAAGCGCTGGTAGCGAGCATCGCAAGGCCAACACGAGCAAGGGAGCTCTTCGTCGGCTCAACTGCAGCCCTTGTGTCATCATCGGATGCTGCACGTCCACGGCGGCCAGTGCCATGGCCAGCCAGTGCTCGAGCAGACAGGCGTGCCATCTCATGGTCTGCTTCCACAGCGAGACCGTGGGCGATGGGCAAGAAAGCATGTCCAGCTTGTCGGGCTCTTTCTAGCCCATCGAGCCTCTTGCGCTACCAATCGACCGTAGCCGCATCCGCCCCACAGACAGCATCAGCGGACAGACCTCACGACCAATCTCAGGAGGTCAAGCAGCCTGCCAAGGTCGAGAACGGCGAGGAAGGATTGATACCGCGACTGGATCGACGACGGTCGGCCGGCGAATTGAAGCGCTTGTGGAGGCTCGTCTTGCCCGAGAAGAAGACGATCAGTATTGCGACAGCACTGCTCGTCGTCTCTTCGACGGTCTCGCTCAGTGTGCCATACACACTCGGGCGCATCATCGACCTCTTCAGTGGGAACAATGCCAGCGAGCTACCCATTTCCCTACCTGCTGCCGCTGGCTTCCTTGCCGGCTTCTTTCTCGTCGGCGCAGCAGCCAACACAGGCCGATCCATCCTCATGAGGATCGCTGGCCAACGTATCGTCAATACACTCCGCGTCAACGCGTACACATCCGTCATGCGACAGGGTAATGCTCTCTTTCCTTCTGTTTGCAGTCTTCGGCGCTGACAGTACGTGACCATGCAGACATGTCTTGGTATGATCTACAAGGCCAGCCTGGCAAGGCTATAGAAGCCCCCAAAGATACCCCCACTCAAGATGCGTCGAACGCTGTCAAGAGCACCGGCGATCTCATCAGTCGACTCAGCAGCGATACTAGCGTCGTCGGAGATAGTCTCACCCGAGAGCTCAGCGAAGCTCTCAGATCACTTGTGACTGCCATAGCAGGCGTCAGCATGATGTTCTACATCTCCGCCAAGCTCACATTTGTCATGCTCGCCATCGTTCCACCCGTCGCCATCGGTGCCGTCTTCTACGGACGTTTTCTCAAGCAGCTCTCCCGCAAAGTACAAAAAGCGACAGCAGACATGGTTGCGACGACAGAAGAACGTATCGGCGGCATAAGGACGGTGCACGCCTTCAATGCTGTCCAACCAATAGAAACAAAGCGCTTTCAGCTAAGAGTGGATGAGATCTTCAACCTCGCAAAGCTTGACGCAGTCTGGACTGGCGTCTTCTACGGCTCTGCAGGCTTCTCGGGCAATATCGTCCTGCTCGCCCTGCTGTCCTATGGCGGCACACTTGTATCACGTGGCGAGATATCCGTCGGCGACCTGTCCAGCTTGATACTCTATACAGCCTATGTTGGCGGAAGTATGACCTCAACAGTCAGCTTCTATGCGGTCATCATGAAAGGGCTAGGAGCAGCAGGTAGAGTGTTCGAGCTGCTCGACGCTCAGCCGGCCTCTGTTGTGCTCGATCAAGGGGCGATCCTACCTTCCAACGAACCCCCGAGACCGCTCAGCTTCCGCGACGTCAAATTTGCTTATCCTTCTCGACCTGGTACCGAAGTCCTCAAGGGCATCGATCTTACCATCGAGCCAGGCACATCCGTTGCCATCGCAGGTGGTTCAGGTACGTGCATTCGGATCATCCGCGCGCTTGCGCTGACGACTCGATGTATCGCGCAGGCTCAGGCAAAAGCACGCTCGGTAACTTGCTGCTCCGATTCTACGACCCCCTCTCTGGTATCATCACATATGGCAAAGACGACGTGCGATCCTTGACGCCCCAATCTTGGCGTTCGGTCATTTCTATCGTACCGCAAGATCCCTACTTGTTCTCCGATACGATCGCCAACAATATCGCATATGGCTGTCCCTCTGCTACGCTCAACGAGATCAAAGCAGCTGCCGAGCTCGCCAACTGCGATTTTATCGAGACTCTACCGCAAGGATTCAAAACGCAAGTCGGTGCGAGGGCCGCTCAGCTGTCTGGAGGACAACGTCAACGGCTGGCAATCGCACGCGCGCTCGTACGAAAACCCAAGATCCTCATCTTGGACGAGGCAACGAGCGCTCTCGATGCATCGAGTGAAACGCTCGTTAACGATGCTATTGCTCGCATAACGGCCGATCTTGGCCTGACAACAATACTGATAGCTCACCGTCTGAGCACACTGCGGACGGCAGACAAGTAGGCTCTCACGTTTCGCACAATGACATGGCTGATCAAAGGGCTTGACAGAGTTGTTCTGATGGCGGATGGCAGAATAGCAGAAGCCGGAACTTTCGAGGAGCTTTCCAGACGAGGCACGAGATTCCAGCAACTTGTGTCAAGTCAGATGCTCACACAGCAATAGCAAGCAAGGTGTCACACGAGCATCGCAACTGTAGTACATTTAAAAGGCACAAGACTAATGCGATTGCTGTATGTATGTATGTGGTGACTGATTTACAAATGAGGCTTGACTGATTGCGACGAATTTCCTGCGCTATCGTGGCCAGAATGTATGAGTGAACATATGAACCGGATCGTACTTCTCCTTGAGCTTGACCAGCCTGTCCCAATTGGTTCCAAACATCTTGCTGACCCCCTTTGCACTCTGATCGACTTCGCAGAAGGACGGTATCGGTCCGCCTGGCGATGCCGGACAGATGACATTGGTGATCCACTCGGTACCTGCCGATCCGCTACCGTCGCAATCGGGATCATCCCATTGAGCAATCGCGGCAGCCAAGAAAGGCGCGCTTCGATGTCGAGTTGGGAAACAAGACTTGGACTCGTCAATCTTGGCAATTTGACCGCCTGTGAGCTCGAGCATCCATGCAGTCGTCTCTGCGCTATCGTCGAACCTCTGAACGGTCTTGTCAATCACGTCGTCAGACAGGGTCTCGATGAGCTCGGCGTGAATCGTCCAGCGCGTGTTTTCGGACAGATCGAGCACCTGTGCCACAGACTCCTGCTGCTGCACAAAGCTGACCATCCCTGCGAGAGCGTACAGCAATCAGCGAATGCAGCAGAACTGAGTGGGTGTCACGTACCACTGTCCTGCAACAAGCAGATCTCGCCATCCCATGCGTTCATGGCTTGCACATAAGGCTCGCCGGCAGACTGAGAGCCGAGGTAACAGTATTGCACGACAATGACGTGCGTGCCCTTTGAAGGTCCGGAGCTGAGGATCAGATTGGAATAGACTTGCTCAGGCACAGTCTTGACGCAGTCTCGCCAGTGTTTGATGAGCGATGGCGCCGTTGCAGCGCTGAAGGGGTAGATCGTGTTGCTCGAGTAGACCTGGCCGATCCGGTAGGCCTTGGCAGTGAGTCGCGTCATGACGCCAAAGGCTGATCCTGCTCCTCTAACTGCCCACCAGAGATCGCGCTGTTCTTGTACTTCCTCGTCGGTCAGATTTGCATCTTCCAGCGTAGATTCGTTCCGCAATTGAACGATGCGGCCATCGGCCAGGACGAATTCGGCACAGACGACGTTGTCAGTCGACAGGCCGTGACATCGACTGGCAAAGCCGAAACCGCCAGAAAGAAAGAGCGCACTTCCAACGGGATAGGAGGATAGCGGGATATGATAGCCATAGCGACTTGTCGCTCTATCAATGTCACGCGTCATGAGGCCAGCTCCCAAAGTGACAAGAGCGTGGTTTTCGTCTCTCGGCGCAGTGCCTTGATCAGAAAAGGGCGAAGTGGTGAATGAATTGCTCGAATGCAACGTCGGATCGGGTCGATATCGGGGGCGGGTGAAAGAGTCCGGATTGCCTGTAATCGCATACGATCCCGAGGAGGTCATCTGCTTCTCGTGGTCGAGCATCGCATTAGCAGGCGTTGCGCTCGTCCGTGTGATGGCGGGCAATTGGGAAGATGCAGGCGAGGCGCGCTGTTCAGCTACCCAAAACTGCGTCTCACTCTGCTGTATAGCGCTACTGGTCTGCGAATGACTGTCGGCCTTGGTCTGGACATTGCTCGAAGTGAGACGATTGGCACCGGACGATCCGCCCGATGGAGCGGCAGAGGGTTTCGGGCCAGCAGGTTTGCTCGGTCGAGAACTGCTGTTGCGAGCAGAAGGGGTCGTGACTGAGGTGGAGCCAGAGGCGCCAGAGCCGCTACCTGATTCGTCAGCCGGGGAGAGCACATCTTTCTCCGGTCCGGCGTCGTCAGCAGCACGAGGGCTGGCGCTCCTGCTCTTGGTGTAGAGCGAGGAGCCTGAAGAGCTGTCTGAATTGGAGCGCTCTTGTGTGATTATGAGCTGCTTCGACGGGCCGGAAGGTGCGCTGGACAGGCCGAAAGCATCCTCGGCTGACCGTTTGCTATCCTGTTTCTCCTTTCCCTTCCTGCTCGAATTATTGAGCGTCGTTCCGCTAATTTCCTGAGTGGTGTTTGCGCTGCCGTCGGCGCTGGATCCGATACTGACACCGTTGGTCATAAATGCAGAGTGTGACTGAGTGTGTTGGAGCGAGGGCGAGTCAGTAGGCAAGGTGATGGAGATCTTTCTAATCGCCACGAGATCGATGATGATATCGCCTCTGACAGCCCAGCCTGCCGCACCGTACCCGCCTGCCTTGATGGAGATCTCGAGCTGGTACTTTCGAGCGAACAGGATGACCCTGCAAGCTCGTGTCAGCTTTATCCGACGGTAGCGACGGACAAGCACAAACTTTGAGACATCTTGGGCATGCAAGACTTGCACGACGATAGCATTATCCGAGACTCTCTTTGCGAGTGACTGGCTCGGTATACAGTCCTTGTCGGGCTGGGAGGGTGCGAAGCCGAGTCCGGGCGGGTTGGCCATTGGTCGAGCGGGGTCGCCAGTCTTGGTGGGCGGATGGTGAGAGACGACTCTGATGGCGACCTTCCATGCCTCGATATCTTGTTCGGGCATGATGACCTTGCCTTCGACTTGACCGCGCAGCTCTGCTGCTTGCTCTTCGGACAGCTTCATCCTCTTTCGCCGACGGGGTTTGATTGGACAGTGACCAGAGTGACTGTGCTCTCAGAACATTGGTTGGCTCGTAGACGATCTCAAGAAGGGCTGCAGGCTGCTCTGTGAGGTCTACTTGGTCGGGAAGCAGTCGGTCTTTGGATTGACGGTGTAGTGCCACTGTCCCGCTCTTTGCAGTAAGGCTCACTCGAGCCAAATTCGCCAGGAGGTGTTCAGCTGAGACTGAGGGCGTCGAGGCGGGCCGTCCTTGGAGCTGGCACGGGCTGAGCAAGCGAGAGCAGCCTTGACCTGTGTCGTCCTGCCGATCAGCCGTGCTTGTTGAGGATTCGTTCGGCAAAATGCAGCTCTGCCAGCAAGGCGACGCCACTTTCAAGGGGCGAATGCGGAAGTTGGCGGAGATCTCGACTCGTCAGCTGCGACTTTCACGATTCCACGAGATCGCTCTTGATCAAGATCGATTATCAAATTCATTCATTCCAAATGCTGAGCTGTAGAGCCGCGATGGACTGCCGAGGACGATCCTCCTGCCTTCTTGCCTTCGCCTGCTCCTCGACAACTCGTAGCTAGCTTATCCTCGTCCAATTCTTGTCTCAGCAACTCATGATAGACTACATCCACAACTCGAAGCAGCGCAGACGATCCAGCTCATCGCTCGGTCCAGAGCTCGCTCTTGTCCCCCTGATCGCTCTCTTGCCCGTCAACTGTGAAGATGTCAGACCGATCTTGCTCCCCTTGCGTCAGACGTACGAGCTCATGCTTGACGCCATCGTCAACGAGCTTCATACCGCGCCAGCACGAGTAACGCACCAAGTCACGCTGGAGTGGCGTAAGGCTACACTCCCACGCCTGCTGACCTCACTGACGAGCCACAGTGAGCGAGGAGTATGGCAGGTTGCGCGTGACAAGTAGCAGCTGGCCCGCACTATCGTGTCATCTCATGGAAACGCTCGCACAGCGTCAACAAAAGCAGCGAATGCAATACCCCTTCCTTCGCATGGTCGGCAAGTTGCCCATTCGCGTCCTCGCGAGTAATCTTGACATTTCGAATGACACAGACACACTTGCTGCCCTATTCTACGTACAGCTGGTGGCTCTTCCGCTGCAGCCCGCGACACCCAAGTCAATCGATTCGCCACCCATCAAGCATGAGCCAGGCAAGACAAAAGAGGCAGCACACGATGGCGCTGCAGCTCTCTCACGACCGATCAGTGCAGCCGTCAGTGAGCCTACCATCATACTTTTCCAGCAAAACGGAGCCAACACATCTACTCCCCGTCGTGGGCTCTACCCTCGCATCGTCATCCATCCAGCCTCGGGCGAAGCTTCAGTCGTATCAGACACTAGCTCAGACACAAGCTCGGAGCAGTGTCCCAATACGCCCGCAAAGAGCACCTTCAGCCTCGACGATTCGGAAACAGAGTCTACTGCTAGTCTTTCTTCGAGGGACTCCGATCCGTTCGGTCAGCCTGTCATTTTGCCTTGGCACAGACGCAATGTAGGCACACAGTAGCAGAGTGTTGGATTGATACAGTGGATACAACATCGGGTGCAATGACGTCGGGTGTACGATGCGGATCTCTAAGCTCCTCCACCCATGCCTTTCATCATGTTTTGCAACCTGGTCTGTGTGTAAGTCTACCTCTTGCAAAGTGCCAGGATGGACATACCCCGCCATGCCGCCCATCTGCTTCATCATCGCTTCCGGTCCACCCATTGCACGTACTTGCTCTGCCATACCAGCCGGTAGCATTCTCGAGAGCTGGTCCATCGATGGCATCCTTCCTTGCGGTAGAGCGCCTCCGCCCTGCTGCATCTGCTTTGCCTTTTGCATCCTGGCCAAGCAAAACGTTGAGTTCTGTAGGGCTTTTCACGTAGACTGGAGAACGCACCAGCCACCTTTTCCGCCTGCTTTCTTTGCCATCTCTGCAAACATGCGATGCTGGGCCAGCAAGCCTTCACATTCCTGTACGCTCGTCCCGCTCCCTCTCGCTATTCTCAGTACCCTCTTGTTGGGCTCCCGCAATTGACCTTCCCTATATTCGGTGTTCGTCGGGGAGGTGTGAAAGAGCTTGCCATCGGATTCTAGCTCTTCTGCCGTCATGGCGTCAAAGATGTACATCATCCTCTTTATCGTATGCGAAGCAGCTTCGCTATTCTCTCCACCCAGCATATCTCCCATTCCAGGTATCATCTGAGCAATCTTTGAGAGCGGACCCATGGACATGATATTGCTCATTTGATCCTTGAGATCCCGAACGGTGAAAACGCCAGCCTCGAGTTTCTTGAGCATCTCTGCCCGTTGGTTGGGATTATTCTGATGGACTTCCTGTACTGTCTCCATGAGACCTTGCATATCTCCCATGCCTAGCATTTTCGAGATGAAAGGCTCGGGAGAGAATTTTTCGAGATCGTGCAGATGCTCGCCTGTGCCGATGAAGATGATGGGCGTCTTGGTTGCCGCGACGCTATTCTCAAATCGTCAGTTGGGCAGACAAGAAAGCAGGCAGGCAGCTTACGCAGAGATAGCGCCACCGCCTTTGGCGTGACCGTCCATCTTTGTGACGATGATAGCACCAAAGTCGGCAGCCTCTTTGAATGCACGACTCTGAGACTCTGCCGCTTGACCTGTGGCATCCCATTTCGCTCAATGGCTTGTATGGAGCTAGAACAGCTCTGGCATACCTATAGCACCATCGAGGACCATGATCGTCTGATCCGGCTTGACCTGTCGACTGATCTGCATCATCTCTTCAAACAATTCAGTCTCTTGCCGATGTCGTCCGCTCGTATCGACGATGATGATATCGAAACGCTCTTCTCTGAACTTGTGCACGCCTTGGGCGGAGATGACGACGGGATCGGTCTCTGTGTAAGAGCCATAGAATGGTATCTTTGCTTTCGTTGCGTTTTGCTTGAGCTGATCGAATGCGCCTGCTCTGAAGGTATCTGCACAGACCAGACATGTTTTGTAGCCTCTCCGCTTGTAGTGTATCGCAAGCTGTCATTCTCAAGAACCTCAGCATTTCGCCCGACGCGTGCAGAGGTGACTGATGAAGTGACCTTGGTACAGCTCGTCGTCTTGCCTGCACCTTGCAGACCGACAAACATGATGACGTTGCTCTGTCCCTTCTTGGGCGTGAAAGGTGCAGCCGCTTCGGGACCAGGATCGACGAGTTGTACGAGTTCATCAAACACGGCTCTCTGAATGACCGACTTCTTGTTGCCCGAGCTGCCCAAGGCGGGCGCGACTTTCGTCTTGACCTTGTTGCGCAGGTTGGCAACAAGCTTGACGTTGACGTCTGCTTCGAAGAGTGCCGTCGCGATCTCCTTGAGGATGCTATCGAGGACCTGTGGGATCAATGTGAGGTCTTATCATTGTTGCGGCGAACGGGGAAAGGTCTCGCCTGTTCGTCGATGACGGAAGCAGCAGACAGCTGACTGAGTGCGCCATTGATGCGCTTCCCCAAGTCTGCCAACACCATGACTGCCCGCTACTGCCTTTGACCTTGTTGGCCGACTGTCGGCTGACGGCGTTGGAATTCTTTACGCGAACCTCAGCCAAGAGCAACGCTTCAGCTGAAGGGGTGCCTCACTGGCATGGGCAGCTCGAGCGCAGGCTCAGCAGTGGGCTATGCAGACCCCAACGTGTCACCCTCCCTCACGGCCGTCGGAAGAAAGACGCCGCCGAGCTCGCTCGAGCGTTCCAACGGCACGACAGGCATCAGATCAATCTCATCTGCCAGCCAATTCCTCTCCCAATCTGCCTCCGTCAACGGTCTGCCCAACCAGGATCGCTCAGGTGCAACATCTCCCTCTCACAACCGAGCGTCTACGGTCGAGTTGTCAGAGTACAACAGGCTCAAAGAGGCACACAAGAGATTGAGAGGCAGAGTTGCAGCTCTGGAGAAAGAGAACGAAGCGCTCAAGGCGAGCGTGTACGAGCTCTCGATACGCTATGGCTCGCTCCTTGCCAAACCGAAGCCGCTCGTGCTCGGCAGCGCGTCAGGCACAGACGATCGGACAGATCCCAAACCGCTCAAATGGGGTGAACAGACTCGTGCGGCGACGCCCGTCAGCTCGTCACTGACACAATCGCTCGCTGCCACATCGCTCGCTTCTTCTGTGGCCAGTGACGACGTCCTCGGTCAGAGCGCTACGCGATTGGCGCTCTCTGACACACAGGCAACGCGTGTACCGCATTCGGATGCAGAGACAACGCCCACAATGGCATCTGATCATTCCACACTGGGCGGCAGCTCGAGTCTCTCTTCTACCCAAAGCTCGTCTCCCTCTGGCGGCATTCTATCTTCAGACGAAAACAGTGCATCTAGTACAGCAGCAGCTCTCCTGCCATCTCTACCGAAAGATACCCGGTTACCTCGCTCGCCCATTCCCGCTCAAAAGCTACAAGACTGGTCTACGTTCGCGGGCGTGCAGGATACAGAGGGTGCAAAAGAGGTCATGCGGTACCGGGAGAAAGAGCAAGAACGAGCAAAGGAGGAACAAGCGAACAAGCACAAGGGCGGCTATCAGTGGGGATTCGGTTACAACCTCTCTGCTCACAAGGGCGCAATCTATGCTCTCCAGTTCTCTCCTGATGCCAGATTGCTCGCTTCTGCCGGATTTGATGGTATCAGGATCTGGGCACCTGATCTGGCAGTCAATCCTGCCCAAGCCGACGCAACCTCAAAGCAAACAGAAACAGCCCAACGTCAAAGTCGAGCTTCAGATCAAGATACACTGGCTTTCGATGCAGAAGTTGAGGACGACAGCTTGGAGCTGGTCTCGCCATGGGACAGAGGTCAAGTGGGAGAAATAGCACATTGTCGCTACCACACCGCTCCCGTATCCGATCTCTGCTTCTCGCCTTCATCGGAACGACTCGTTTCGAGCGGGTACGATTCGACGGTACAGTGTATCGATACGCATCGGGGCGTTGCATTCATCAGGCGGCGGACTGCAACGAGCGACAGTGACCTGGCAGATACGGCTACTCTGACGAGTACTTCTTATGCTCATGCCACTACGGGCCTTGCACAATGTGTTGCTTGGGCGAGGTGAGCCCGCTTGTTCAAATCAGCTGACCATGCTGACCCATGGATGGGTTCGCAGGAATCCTGATCTGATCAATAATGTCTTCTTCTTCGGCACGAGTAGAAAGACGCTCAGCGTGGTCGACATCAGAACGCCAGACCAGCTCGCAGCAACGATCACGAACGATGCCATGGTCAACTCGATCCAAGCATGCATCAAATCATCGCACCTGCTCATAGGCGATGGCAATGGAGCCATCAAGACGATCGATCTCCGTACGAACCAGTTCATCGATCCTTTCAATAGCCCTACTACGACGCCTCGAGCAAAAGAAGCAGTGATCAGTCACTTGAGTTTCAGTCCGGGTATGCATAATTCGGAACCTCGTTGGATGGCCGTTACCTCTTTTGACAACATCATCAAGGCATACGATAGAGGTTCAGATCATACTAAGTTAAGGTACCGACAGACTTTCACACTCAAGGGAAAGAATCGTACTTGGCCCATACGCGCTGCATGGTTCCAAGGCGCAGATTGTGGGTCACCATGGCTTCCTGCTTAATCCGAGCTGATGACAGCAAATCGGACAGATACGGACATGCTTCCCTCCACAAGAAGGAGCTCCATTTCACAGCCTTTGCCGCCCCAGTTGATCGATAGTCCAGGCAGATCAAGACCGGCAGGCTACGGCGGCAGTGACCGGGCAGAGGAAGACACTCTCTCCTCTCCTCCGGCACACAGCAAGCGCAATCAGGCAGAGAGTTCTGTAGCACGCAGCGGTACACTACCGCTCTCTTCGAGTTTGCTGCTCGCTGCAGGCTCTTCGGATCCCAAAGTGCTCCTCTTCGATCTGAGCCATCCTCCCGGATCGTCGTCTGCATCGCCTCAGCTCATACCTGCTCTATCTCCCGTGCAAGTTCTAGAGGGCCACACAGAAGCAGTGTACACTGTCAGCTTCTTGCGTCAGAGGGGAGAATACTCAGGCGAGGGCTTATTGGCTAGCGGAGGCGGAGATGGGGTGGTGAAGGTTTGGACGCCTCATGCACGGGAGGACGAAGAAGTCTGATGGAGAGGTTGTATGCCCTTTACGATGTTGTTGACACTCATGCATGCAAGTTCTACTCTTTCTCGGCGGCCTCCTTGTAGTACTTTGTCGTATCCACGCCATGATAAGGGTGACTGCCTCCTGCATCAGCCACAGTACTCTTCATCGACGATAGGAGAGGCTTACTTGACAAAGTTGAACCAGGGTATCGCTTGGAATTTGAGCTGTGACCATTGGGAGTTGCGAAACGCAACGCCCTGGATGTAGTCCGGCTGACTGCTCTCACCGTAGAGCGGTAAGCCTGCTTTGGCTCGTGCAGACAGTTCCTTGTAGTCTCTATCGACTTCTTGCGCCTGTCGCACCCGTCAACGATCAGCACACGGACCAATGACAAGGTCGCGCGGCACTGACATTCTCTGTCCAGCCCCAGAAGCGGACTGCAAAGACCTCATCAGCGCGTGTACTACCGCGCGGAGAGAGAGAGGAAGCACGGACATGTGCTACGCTGGTAAGCCAGCAGGAAGCCACCCACAAAACCCAAGAAGCCGCCTATCTTGAGAGCTGTCCCCATATGTTTAGGCATTGCACCCAATGGGCTTTGCGTTTCTGTCATGCATCAGACCTGTTCAGCGCGCACGTCGTATATATGTACTGAAGCCGGACTGACGTTTGAGGTACTGTAGCGCTGGAAAGGTAGCAGTAGCACTTGCCCAGACGGCATAGTCTGATGGTCTCATGTAGCTCATCACGCGCTTGGCGTGAGGATCCGAATCGATGAGCGCAAAAGGTCGCTCTACCGGCTTGACTGCCTGTTCTGCTTTGGTCGACATTGAGCCGGGGAAGCGTGCCTTGACGCAAGAGAGGCAGCAGGCGGGTTGGCCGGGCCGTCGTCGCGCTTTCTCTGCTACTCTTGAAAAAAATGGGCGAGTGACGGCCACGTCGGCTTAGCAATTCGCATCGCCATGACCTCCACCGGCTGGCCACCCGCGCTCAAGGCGTTTGTCAACGATGCCTTTTCACGATGCACCGATCAGAACAAGGCCAAAGTGGAAGCCGAGCTCAAAGCAGTCATCCATTCGGCGTTCTCATCACAAAAGCTGTGGTCTACCGACTGGTCCTCTGTCCGCCTAGCCAGGTCAGCCACTCGTCCCGCTCGGGTCGACTTGCTCCGACGTCGTGCAAGTCGCGTGAGACGTATGCTGACATCAGGTCACGCAATGTACAGTCTGGACACGCCGCCGCCGCCGCCGTCGTCGTCTGATGTGACGCCTTTGGTCGGTTCTGGTCTCAAACGGAAGAAGGAGATCAAGTGAGGAGATCAGTACGCTGTGGCCACGCTGTAGCTAAAGTGTTGCTGTCTCGTCAGGATGCCCAAAGGCAAACTGGCGAGCGCGACGCCCGACATGCCAGAGGATATCGACCGGAGAGAGAAACGGTCGAGACGGTTCAATAACGACCAGGCAATACCTTCCAATGTGGGAGCCTCTACTTCGACTCACTATGCTCATTCGAATGGCTACAATTCGCCAATGGGATCTCGTTCCATCGAAGCAGACGCGGTGCGCACATTCGCCTCACCTGGCCTTTTCTTGCCGGCTGATCGGGATGCTCAAGCACAGAACGTGATAGACTGGGACAGGGAGACCATCGTGGGCACTTCTACCCAGCTCGAGAAACCTTACTTGCGTCTGACGACGGTTCCCAATCCTGCGACGATTCGACCGCTACCTGTCCTACGTCGAACGCTGGAAATGCTAAAGACGAAATGGCGCTCTGAACAGAATTACAACTATGTCTGCGATCAGTTCAAGAGCTTGCGGCAAGATCTCACAGTCAGCTCTCGAGCTCACAGAATTCGATAGATCTGATCTGATGAAAGAGTGTAGGTGCAACGAATCAAGAATGACTTTACAGTGACGGTATATGAAATCCACGCTCGCATAGCATTAGAAAAGGCTCGTGTGTCTTGCTGCTTCAGCTTTGCTTCGCTGACAGCCAGTCGTCGAGCAGGGCGATCTAGGCGAATACAATCAGTGTCAATCACAGCTACGCGAGCTCTACAAGCATGGTCTGGTAGGACATCAGCTCGAATTCGTCGCTTACCGCCTCCTCTACCTCCTCCACACTCGCAATCGTAGCGGTCCGTAGCGCTTGGCCATTCAGAGCTGCTTGATGCTGATCGTGTGCGCGGATTTAAACAGAATTGACGAGCGTGCTTGCGGATCTGTCAGAGGTCGAACGAGCAGATGAAGGCATAAGGCATGCTCTCCAAGTCAGATCGGCTCTGGCTACGTCAAACTATTGCTCCTTCTTCAAGCTCTACCTCGTGGCACCCAAGATGGGAGGCTACATGATGGATCACTTTGCACCTCGCGAACGCCTACAAGCCCTCCTCACAATGACCAAAGCGTTCGTCACTCTGACTCGGGTCAGCAGAGTACCAGCTGACGAGGCCAAGGGACGGACAGATACAAGAGTGTTCCACTGACGTTTTTGGTTTCACAGCTTGCGTTCGATACAGAATCAGAAACGGTACAGTTCCTCAATTCCCACCAAGCCGCTCACTTTTCTCCAGCTCCCACCGCGGCAAGCACAAACGGAAACGGTCATCAGAAGATCGAGAGGGCACTGGTCTGCAAGGACGCTTATCCTGCTCTTCTGACCGCCATGAGCAAGTTCACCAAGGTCGACATCAAGGGACAGATCTGAGTTTGCTCTCCTAGTCTTTTCTTGGTTGGCGATCACTTCAATGCATCGGATCACTAGCGTGATCCCTCACGTACTATGAGTGACAGATATTCGATGTCATTCAGTGCAAATTGCCTGAATCATCAGCTGATCGATGACGAGATCCGATAGCTTTTCAATTCTGGAGTTGTTCCACGAGCGCGACGAACGTTGTCCTTCAGATTTATTGAGAGCCTTCAAAGATGGTGCATGCAAAGATAAGCGATAAGATCAGGTCAGCACTGACGCATCTAGCGCTCACTGACCGTCGCTGAAGCTCGGGTGTTGTCAGGGCGGCCCACAATGAAGGGCGCAACTGGTGGTCATTCGAGTACGTTGCTTGCCACTGCACATCGACCTTGCGACTGTCTCACTGACTCGATGCCTGCGCAGATACTTCCCTCCCCGAGTCAGTCGTCTCATCGTTCCAGACTAGCAAGCCTGAGACACGAGCTGCCTTGACAGACCGAGCAGGGACTCATCAATCTCTACGATCGCATCGGCAGAATGGCAGCGTACGAGGAGTCTGCACGCAGTCAGCCACGTGCTCACTGGCCTCGGCTCTCTGCACAGACTGGGACCTATCTTCATCGATATCACTTGGGGTGCAGGCGGCACGACATCAGATGCGACGACCCAATTCGTCAAGACGGCTCACGAACAATTCGGCCTCGAGACCAATATGCATCTCACCTGTACCAACATGGAGGTAGGCATGGTCGAGCGTGCTCTCAAGGTTCGTCAGAGGGCTATTGCAGCCATCTTGCGGTATCTCATCTTGCCCCCCGCCGTACAGGAAGCGTACGACTCTGGCTGTCGAAACATTCTCGCGCTTCGGGGAGATCCACCTCGGGGACAGGAGGAATGGAAAGCGACAGAAGGTGGCTTCAACCATGCCATCGATCTCATCAAGTACATCCGCAAGAACTATGACGATTACTTTGATATCGCCGTCGCCGGTTTCCCAGAGGGCCATCCCCAAGCTTCGTCACGCGCAGAGGAGATCGAGCATCTCAAAGCCAAGATAGACGCCGGTGCTTCGATCATCATCACCCAGATGTTCTACGATATCGACACTTTCATCAACTGGGCTCACGACGTCAGAAAGGCCGGCATCAACGCCCTCATCGTGCCCGGCATCATGCCCATCCAAGGCTGGCAATCGTTCCAGAAATGTATCTCGTTCAGCAAGACGATCGTTCCTCAACATTTCTTTGACGTTCTCGAACCGATCAAAGACGACGATGCAGCTGTGAGGGAGGCAGGCACCAAGCTCGTTGCAGACATGTGCAGGCAGATCCTCGACTCGCCCTTTGATATCCACGGTCTCCACTTTTACACGATGAACCTCGAGAAAGCAACTTCGATGCTTCTCGAAGAACTCAACTTTACCGCCTCGGTCGAGATCACCAACCCGCTACCGTGGAAGCCTTCGCTCACGACCAAGCGAAGGAGTGAGAGCATCAGACCGATTTTCTGGGCCAATCGTGCAGGATCGTATCGCGCCCGCACAGAGTCATGGGGTCGGTGCTTTCCAGATAGACGCACTCTCTGCTCATATCCAGTGTGTCATCAGATGAATTTCCTAATGGCCGATGGGGCGATTCTCGCAGTCCAGCCTTTGGCAAATTCGAAGGCTACGGTATCACCCTCAAACCAGAACGAGGGGAATGTCTGTCCATGTGGGGCAGCCCGACGACCTTTGCAGATATCGCGAGCTTGTTCGCTCGGTTCTGTCGGGGAGAGATTGCTGCTCTGCCGTGGTCGGACGAACCTGCTGCAAAGGAAACTTCGATCATCGGAGAAGCGCTTGCAAAGATGAACCTGGCAGGCTATCTGACCATCAACTCTCAGCCTGTCGTCGATGGAGCTCCTTCGAGTGATCCTGTACATGGCTGGGGACCTCGAGGCGGTTACGTCTATCAGAAGGCATGTCTTCAACGTCGTTCCTGCCTTCTCTGCTAATAATTTGTCACTTTGCAGGCCTACTTGGAGTTCTTCTGCAAAGCCGAGCAAGCGACGGCACTCTTCAAGCGCTTCGAAGCAGAGCCTAGCATCACATACTACGCAGTCAATAAGCAAGGCGATCTAAGGACAAACACAGCGACAGAGGGTCCGAATGCAGTCACGTGAGGTCCCCAGATCTCAGCATCTGACAAAGAGCTGAGTTTTACTATCTCGCAGATGGGGCGTCTTTCCCTGCCGCGAAATCGCGCAGCCTACCATCGTCGAGCAAACGAGCTTCATGGCATGGAAGGTGCATCGCTTTCCCCATCAGCTGAAAGCTCAAGCTCATTGTGAGGCAATGTACAGGATGAAGCATTCGAGCTAGGATCTCAATGGGCGAAACTCTACCCCGCCGAGTCAGCGTCACGCGAACTGATCAGCTCCTTCTTTGACAACTGCTACTTGATCAACATTGTCGATAACGATTACCGCAACTCGAGCAAGACGGCCATCTTCCGATTCTTCGACGAACAAAAGCTCTCAACGAGCAGGACTGCAAGCACGAACGGCACCGCAACAAACGGTGTTCATTAAGAAAAATCATACGTCAGTAGCATCAGAAAGGAACCCTCTCAACAGGTGTTGTGTCTGCTCGAAGTAGTCTCGATGTACCTCAACAAGTAGACGACGCAATGTATTGCAAACCAATGTAGAACAAGCTTTGCACCTCTACAACACGAGTCACTGACAATAGAAATATTGTGCACACAAGCAGTCCTCTTCACGAAAACGAAACAAAATTTGAAGGAAGGACCTATTCACTGAGTATTGACATATTCGGGGCGTCGATACGCATCTTCTAGCGAGGCAAGGTGAGGTTGAAGTGATTGTGGCACATAGTGAGAATACACATTGGGTGCCAAGTAGGTAGTCTGAACGGCCGAGATAGCGTCGCTGCTACTTTTTTGTCTAAGAGCGCAATGTGCACATTCTACCGGGGAATTGGAGATGCACGTCGGCTGCTCGGCAGGCGTTGTGAGTGCAGAGCTTTGTCCAGAGATATCGCCACTCGACATGGCACGATGATGTGAGGATGAAGCTGTTGATTCGTCATGGGAAGGGGCATAGTGATGTGGTGTGATGGAATGAGAGGACAGATTCGTCTGGATAGGATATGGCAATGAAGGTCGAAGTGGATGGAGTGGAGCGGACAAGTCTTCTTGCCCATAGCTCAGTCCGTGACGCATGAGCGCGTCGAGATGCGGCTGAGTGGGATGTATAGCTTCTTGCGGCAAAGTCATCGGGTGATTCAATTCGGGCGACAAGTAGTAGCCTCTCGGTACGAGTGACTGATGGGCATGCTGTCCCGCTTCTTGATGGTGCCAGCCATAATTGGGCGAGATGAGCGGGGCAAGAGGCATGGGCGGATAGGAGATGGTCATGCCATTCGTTGCCGTCAGAGGTTCGGGCGAGTCTGGCTGATTTCGCTTGCCATGTTTCGCGGCGACGCGCTTGCCGTTGGGGTCTAAGCGTGATGTCTTTGAGCGCGGCGAGCTGCTCTCGAGATCTCTCTTTGCCTTTGCACGCAGCTTTCGCGCTCTCGCTGCCTCATTCTGCTCTCTGTAGCTTGCCGCGTCAGACAACGCAGACCAGGATTGAGCAGCAGACTGACTGAGTGACTCTCACGTGCTCACAGGGAGCACGGGCAACCCGACAGTGCTGGCAGATGTCGGCACCATCACATCTGCTTCTCCATTCAGTGTCCGCGCTGAACGGGATTCCATGGGACCACTCACTTGATCTTACGCTGACGGCACCGCAAGCAAGCTGACGGAGTGGGATCATCAGTGCTGAGCGGGAAGAAGGGATAGCGCTGAGCTTACCCAGTGAGATGCGCGTTCGCTTCTTGTCGACGTTTCCTCCGGTCTTCATTGGATCAAGCTTCTCTGATCATGACACGCTTTCTGGCTGGCTTCTTGCTACCCAAGGCAGCGGTCCTTTGAGTCGAATTTGGGAGCAGTCGGCGACTCGAAGTCGCCATTCATTTCAGAGAGGGGCTGGCGGCGTTGAAGAAGTGCTCGACGATCTCGGTCGGTCAAAGCTCGTGAGCATTACAGAGTGTTCCATCTGTCTCTCAGGGCAGGTAAGGACGCACTCAGTCGTCCTCGTCCTGATAGCTTATACGGGACCGCTTTGACGGCTTTCCGAATTAATCTAGGGCTCCAGAGATAGGCGAGCTCGGGGACTATTGCGGGAGCCGATCACAGTCTCAGAAACGTGGCGCCTGTAGCTACGTGTCACTATGAAAGTCGGGTTGCCATGGACCATATGATAGCGTGCTACCAGACGAGCGTAGATACTGTACGGTTCGCCGTCGACATGACTCCGCTATCATTGTCGGATTGAATCGAATTTTGACGCCTTCTTCGCCTCGTGACTTCGGCGGACTTGTGATGCCCACGACTCGAACCCCATGACGTCTTGCCTATTCTGTCGAGCCGCGGTTGGTCGAGTGTGTGCCTGTCTTGGGATGCGACAGGTGCAGCGATGCAATCACTTCCCTAGCGACTGGCAGGTATCTGTAGCCATCGGCACAGCCAGACGCAAAGACAAAGATCGAGTTCCCTGTCCTCAGAGAGCAATGTGCGCCCACGATGGTTTCGTGCGAAAGACAGCAGTAGCAGATAGAATGCTCGAATGCATGCCCGCTTGCGTTCTGCTTCGATGGTGCTGAGCAGTGCGGATGTGAGCGCGTCAAAACGGCGGATGGCTCTTTTCGTCTCCCGCAGATCTCGACCACGCTTCATCATCGTCAAGGCGCATCAACGTACATGTGACGAGCACGCCGGCCTCGCAAAATGACTCCTGAGGACAGCGGACCAGGAAAATGATCGATACTGGTCACAAACGGCTGAGCGATCATCTTTTTTTGGTTGGTGGCGATCTGCGACCGTCGTTGCAGATGCCAAAGGAAGAACAGATTGCTCAATGCTTGCGCTGACGACGGCGACGGATCCTTCACAGGCTCGTCTTGGTTGAGCATGTTGCGACTCGAATCATTTCTCGACCAAGCAGCGCTCTGACGGGGACTTTCTGCTATCTCGTGACACGCAGCGAACTTGCAATCGACGTCGAAAGCGCTTCTGTAGGTTCTGGGCGCCATACAGACGGCATGTAGAGGCCTTGCTGCACGTCAGATGACAGTGCACCGATTGGGTGAGTTTGTGTGGAGACACGCGCGATTCGCTGAAGCCTATCCGCGCCACCGCCAAGCCGATTCTGGTCTGGTCTGGACAGCACCACGTCGACTGGCGAGAGAGCAGTGCAGCAAGCAAGAGAGAGATAGGCTCGTCTGAAGCGAGTTGGCCCTGATTAGGACAGATTTATACCGACAAAGCGCAGCAATCTATGGTCAAAGATAGCGACGGGCTTGATCCTGATCACGAGTCGATGCAGAGCCAACACCTCCCGGTGTGGCGACGCTGACAGCTTGCGATGTGACACTTGCTAATCAGACCAATGCAATGCATCATATATGACCTCTAATGAGTATAGCTACTGAACTTCAGAAAGCACTGCCTACTCTCGCTACCGGCATCGGTACAAGACAACACTCTGATTGTACTAACACACTGCAGACAGCCCAGCTAGATGCCGAACAGAGGCTCCTGTGGTTCAACAGCGTCGAGAACGTCGACGTCGACCAGAGCAGGATCGATGTTGTCATCGTCAGCCTGACCAGCTCGACCGTGGAGCTGCAATAGCGCATTGGCAGCCTCGAGATCGCCATGGGGTCCCACAATCTTTCGTTTGCGGTACGACTGTCCGGGCAGTGCAGCAGGTTCTCCGCGAGGTCGTTTGTTGCCTCTTGTGAGCATTCTGACAGCGGGACCAGTGGCCGGCGCGCTGGTGGCACTGGACGAAACCCTGACGAGCACGGGGTCATCGTCGTTGTTGAGCTCTGTGAAGTTGATCTCTGGCCTTGCTGATGTGAGCTGATGCGACTCGAAGGGCACGGCGCTCGTGCTAGGCAGTGACTGAGCAGAGACAAGCTCATCCGACGCGATCCTGCCTGGCCAGACAATCTTGTTGTGCGCGACTTTCTTCCTCGGCTTGTTCTCTAGCTCCTCCAGCGTCGGACAGTCAAACAGTCTGTCGGGCCAGTCTACTGGCTGAGGAGACGGCATGAGACCCTTGGCTTGTAACATTGTTATCCTCCGACGAGTGCGTTTGTTGGCGGGGACGTGATTGGCTTTCTTGCAGCGCAGTCGAGTTGCTGTCGAGTCATACATAGCATGGCACACGCCGGCTTCACAGATGTACAATCGTCTCTGCCTGTCGTTGAACGTGACATCGAAGTGATCGGGCATCTTTGTGCCTCGGTACACCCATCGTCCCGTCTCATGCTCTTCGCGATATTTGGCAGGCAGGACGAGCCTGAAGTCGGTCAGGCCGTCACTCGAGACCTCTTCGCCATTCTGTGGGACAGGCACGTCCATCGCGTCTCGACTGTCCGTTCGCTAGCTTTGACACGCTCGAGCAACAGAAGCCGAGACGTCAATGTCGTCAAAACTTTTGCTACGAAATCAGTCACGAGCTCGCGCGCTAGGCAAGGTCTGAACGATCTGAACGCTCATGAGAGCATGTGCAAGACCGATCGTGCGTCGTTTGACGTGCACGCGATGTCTTGCGACTCGAGCCGGCGATAGTCGACAAGCAGACCCGAGACAGAACCGGAGAGTCTACAAAAGTCCAGATGGACCTCGCTACCAATTCAATCCCAATCCTTTCGATCCAGCCTCCTCAGACACCAACGATCAGCCCTTACAGAGCCTCCCGCTTGTATCTCTCCCCGAGCTGGCCAAATGTCGTCAGCCACCACGGGGTGTGAGGATGCTCGCACGTGATTTCATCGACGATTCGCTGTACAATCCGAATTACGGCTACTTTCCAACTCAGGCAGAGATATTCGACCCTGACTCATTGCATTCGGAAGATGTAGCATCCGTAGAAAGTGGTCAGAGAGGCTTTGACTTTGGTAGCTTGCGCCGTGGATCAGACTTTGCCGACGAGCTCGCGCGGCGGTATGGCGAGAGTGAAGCTGGAGCGCGTCGTCAAGTATGGCATACACCCACAGAGCTCTTCAAGGTGATCCCTCCTGCATACTTCACGCTGATTCTGAGCTGACGTTCGTCGTATCCAGCCATGGTATGCAAGAGCCATTGCGCGGTTCCTGAGCTCAGAGTACCGTCTATCGCTCTATCCTTATGCCGATCTGACGATTGTCGAAATTGGCGCCGGCAACGGCACGTTGATGCGAGGCATTCTCGACTATCTCGCACAGCAAGATCCAGAAGTCTACGATCGCACACGGTACCGAATCGTCGAGATTTCACCAAGACTAGCAGCCCAGCAGAAACGGCAAATTGGGCCGGAGCATGCTACCAAAGTACAAATACATCAGAGCAGTATATTTGACTGGCAGGAGACAGTGACCGAGCCTTGCTTTATCGTCGCATTGGAAGTGCTCGACAATCTCGCTCATGATGTCGTTCGATACACTCTCGAAACACACCAGCCCTTGCAATGTGTGGTCGCAGTAGATCAGACTGGCGACTTTCATGAGCTCTACGAGCCCGTCAGTGATCCTGATCTCAAGCGTTTCCTTGCCCTAAGGCAAGCGACGCCGACTTCCTCTCGCTCGCCTGCTCTCAATCGATTCTTGTCAGCATCTCCTGCATTGCGCAAGCTCAGAGCAAGTATGCCCTTTGCACCCAATCTGACCCTGCCAGAATTTGCGCCCACTCGAGCTGTCGCTCTGCTCGACGTCTTGCGCGAGAAATTTCCTCTGCATCGACTGCTCATGTCCGACTTTGACGCACTGACAGATACCGTTCCTGGCTTCAATGCGCCCGTCGTACAAACGCGCTACGACGGACAGTCAGTCGCATGCTCTACCTACCTCGTCTCGCAAGGCTTCTTCGATATCTTCTTCCCGACGAACTTCAAGTTGCTCAAAGAACTCTACGCTCTGGTCATGCAAGATCACAGAACCGATCCGACTGCGGGCGCATCGAACGACTTTTTCTCGCCCACAAGGCGTCGAGCGCTTTCTCCCGCCGGCGGCCTGTTTTCAGGGTTTGCCTCGCAGAAGCTCAAGATCTACGGGCATGCCGAGTTCTTGACGCGCTACGGCGAACTGGAGAAGACTCAGCTAAAAGATGGCAGCAACCCGATGCTCGAGTACTATCAGAACACCAAAGTAGGCTATGTCCATGCTTTTGATCGATGTGTTGACTGGCTTGCGATTCTTTACAACAGTTCATTTGCTAGTGCGAAGCATAGCTACGCAAATAATGCCTCATCTTGGTGGATCACTGCTGTAGCTACCGCTCGCTCGAGACTCTGCTTAGCATCGGCAGTCGTCGCATCGAAAGGAGCAGCCATTGAGCTGTCACCTCCATCAAAGTCACTGGCAAAGTCGACGAGTGTCATCGTCCCTCGCGCACGCTTTTGGGCTTGCTCGATCGTCGGTTTGGGCGCGCTCAATGACTCGCTGATCGTGGCAGGCTCGGCCGGTTCGGCAGCGACGGCAGGCTTCGCAGCCGCGGGCGCCGAGAAGACGAAGGGCGCAGCTGGCGTCTTCTTGCCGACATCAAAGTTGAAGCTAGGGATTGCAGTCGCTACTGGTTTTGCTGCGCTGAACGTGAAGGCGCCCGTAGGCGCAGACTGAGTGCTTGTCGCAGCAACAGACTTGGTCAATATTGGCGCGTCCGGCGTACTCCTAGATGCACTCGGTGTGGTCGAGCCGTTAAGCGCAGGCGTGGCAGCGACGGGGGCACGTGGCGTCGGCGCATCTGATGGTACTTCGCTGGTCGTATTGCTCTGAGGAACAGGTAGACCGTTCGGCTTGGCTTTGACAGGCTCCAGCACTTTTCGGTATTCCTGCGAGAAGCTATGAGCGCCGTCACTATGAGAGACCTAGGACGCACGGGTGGCATGGACAGTCTGAGCTGCTCCTCGATCGTGAGCTGAGGTTTCGGCACAGCAGGCGACCTCTTTCGCATCATCTTTGGCTTCCTCCTTTCTGCTCGAGCTCGCGTTGCCCTCAAAGCTGCCGTACTGGTTTCATATGGATTGACCACGTCATCTTGGGATCGTTCCTGTCCGCCCCTCGCCGGCAATCAGCTATGAGCAAGCTGAGACGATCGTGCGGGTGACCTTTGATGCAGCAGTCTCATTGTCTTTGATAATATCGAGCATGAGCGCCGCAGCCGTAGTGACGTGTGTAGGAGATATCTGCACTGGCTTCTTTGCAGGCGGGGAAGGCGTAGCTGCTGCATGAAACACAGATTCAGACACTGTACAGTAGGTGAGGTCTGTGCGGCATACCCTGTAGTGCTAAGTTCCTGAGAGGTGATGGACGTGCTTGCGACTTGAGACGAGCCATCTGTTTTGGCGGCAGGACAGACGGCATAAATCTTTGCGGCTGGGGAGATGCGATCGGTTCTGGCGAAGCCGGAGCGGGCTCGGGTGATTCTCTTCTCTGTCGCTTTGCAGGAGTACTCAGATCGGTATAATGATCGAGCTCTGGGCGACTGTAGACAGGTGCAGCCCGCTTGTTGCCCGGTTCCGCAGACTCTCTCGCTTCGGCTTCGGCCAGGTAAGTATCAGGTAAGGACCTGAACGAGTCGAGATTGGCGTAGAGCTTGTTGCCTTTTGAGCGGTACGGTCGAAGGAGCTGTGATGTATTCATCATCGATTTGCCCGGACCTCGGTAGACGAGAGGACGATGTGCTGGTAGTCTGCCCTGACCATTCATGGACCACGCTCGATTCGGTCGACCGGACTGAGACGGCTGCGCTCGCGCTGCTGTCGATGCTAGAGCATCAAGCAGCGAGCCAGTACGAGGCATAAAATCTCGTGACGGTGAAGAGGGACCGGACAAGCTCGAAGTGGTCGATTCGCCCTGTTCTGCGCGTCCGTTCGACAAGGCAGCGATGGCTGTGTCGAACATCTGTATATCTTCTCTGCTCGTCTGTTCGGAGAGAGAAGTATCTCTGTACGTTCTCAAGACCTCCGCAGGCGTCTTGGGCGCAGGTCTACGCTGCGATGGACCGGCATGCGCAGGAGTGGACTGATACATTGCACGGTCGGGCGACCAGAGTGTGCTGGGCTTTTCGCGTGGTAGCTCAGCTTGGAGATGCAGGGCACTCGATCGAGAGGGCCGAGAGGGTGTGAAGGGCTGCCTATAAGGGGAGGAGTGGCCGTTCTGCTTAGAGGTACTCGCGCGTTGGGATGATGCATTGGCCGGTCGTGGTGACAGTGGCCTCGCTCGAGGTGTCGCTTGCTGTGCATGAGATGGCACTGGCTCAGGTAGATCGGGATATAGCTGCAAGTTGTGCTGGATGAGCGGGGAACATCCATAGAACCACAAGACTGACCTTGTCCTCAGGCGCTTCATCGGTGTCCTCTGCCCGACCTGCTTCTAGGTCGACGTCATCGTCGTCCTTGTCCATGTTTGCATCATCCTCATGATCTGAAATGACGATGGGCTCTTCGCTCTGCCGACTGTCGGCTTGGCTATGAGATGCTGAGGACGGCTTGCGCCAAAAAGTGCTGATCGAGCTCAGGAGGCCGCCAACCTGTCCCACAGCTCGTTGCTCAGCGTGATCTACGCAGACACGAGAGCGGGGCGGACCATGGAAGTGCTCCTAGGCAGCGAGGCCTTGTTGTCGCTCATCGTCAAGTCAGTCCAACGCCCTCCTCGAGCTTTGTCAAGGTCGCTCTCGCAATTCGCGCTCGTTCGTGCGTCACTCCGCTGCCAAGCTTCAGACCGTCATGGACAGGGACAGCGACCACATCGACTCATCCGGGGGTAGCAGTCCTTCATCAGGACACTCCACGTCGCCACACTCGCCAAGCTCGCCTTCTGCAGTCAGAGAGCAGCAACGCAATGACACCCAGATGAACGACGATGTTGCATGGAATGACGAGACTCAGCGAGCCTTGTTGGCGTCGAGGAGGACGTCCAGCGGAGAACAGTCACCCTCTGCCACTAAGCACGATGACCGCATGTCCTGGGAGGACAACGCCAGGTTCGCGCGTCAACCCGTCAGCGCAAGGGGCAAATCCAAACGGAGCGCTCCTGCTCATCCTGCTTCCAGCGCTGCCGCTTTCGGAGGTGCGCGCAAGCCTCTAGCTTGTCGATGCTCAGCGTCTGATCCTACCCGTGCAGCCGACAAGCTACTCGATCAAGACTATGCAAAGGACTTTCCTGACCCATTCGTTTTCGATCCTGCGCGAGCACCGACGACGCTATTCGACCGCTTGCCCGCAGAAGACCCGAGCAAAATCAAGAACCCAAAGCAAGGCTAGCTCGAACCGCGCAAGCCAGACATCGTACCGGCTGCAGCTCGTCTCTGTGCGCCCTGGCCACAAGCAGAACACGATGTCGCGCCCTTGCAGTATCGCCATGTTGTTGTCGAGATGCACACTACGCAAACGTTCCGGCCGTCTGCATCGTGCGCAATTGGTTCGGTGAGCTTGTGCCGCTTGGATGGGACTACTTGCCGCTCGCACAGACCTCTCGGCGACTAATGTTGGAATATACGCTCTCGATATGATCCTCTCATTGCACGGCGTCGAATCGAAACTCACCAGATGCTGCAGTCCCCAACAAAATGCCCGAAGTGTATTTGACACCATCCTTGGCAGCAAGAAGTACGAGTCCCAACGCTTCACTGCGCCATGGGCCCCCAGCTCGCCTGTCTGACGATCTACTGCAACGATTCGGATTCGCAGCACTCAGATCCTCACGGGGCAAAATGGCAGTGCTGGCTGTGTATGTACTTGCCAGCATCGCCCTAGGACTCATTGCAACGAGCCGGATCAATGACTACGGTAGCCCGAATGTCGTACCCTGGGCCACGCCAATCTCTCTGCTGCTGATAACAGCCCTGCATCGCCTTTGGCCACAGCACAGAGATCAGCAATTCGAGACTACATCAACCAACAGGCTCAATTCGCTGGCAGGAGCCGCGTTCGGGATATGCTCGACGCTCGCTGTCTTCGGTCTATCAGAACAAGGGTCCATTGCGAGCCAAGCCATCGACGTCGCACTGCTCGTGCCTGCTCTCTCCATCATCGCTCTGGTACACGGAAGCACGAGAGACGAATGGAGCTGGGCGAGGTTGACAATCGCGTCTTTGTTCGTCAGCTGGCCCAGAAGCAGCTACAGCACCGACTGGCTAAATCTGACCAGCCACACTCTGTTCAAGCTAGGCAGTCTATCTTCGATTGTGCTACTCGATCAGGCTCTCATGCACAATTTCCTCAGCATCGCTACCCTAGCCTCTTTCGCAATGGCTATACCATTTGCTGCAAGATCGAGCACTGCTGTTGACCGTGTTTCTCTATTGCCTGCACTCATGGCAACGTCCCTCGCAACTATACAATTAGGCTGTACACTCATCATGACGATAACACTGCGCGATCTGTTCGATCTGCAGCTGGCGAGCTATGCTGTCCTGTTCGGAACGCTTCTGTTCTCGAATCTGCGCGATGGCGCTACGCTTATCATGCTTGCTTGCACTGCAATCGGTACATTCATTAGTCTATGGCCGCGCTACCTGCCGCGCGCAACACAGAGCGAGCACCATTTGACCGAAGCATCACTTAGCTTGCTCCCGATGGCTGCACACTACATCGATCCGCCAAGCGACTTGAGCCATTCTCGCGTCCACTCCAGTGACACATTGACGGCAATAGATGACTCGACCTATCTAGAAGATCTTAAAGTACCTCAAATATCCCCACGACTGTCGATTCAGCCATCTTTGCTGCTGATGATCTGTCTCGTGCTGATGTCGTTGTGGCCGCTGACGGGCTGGGTAGCACATGACACTAGCAAATGCGAGACCAGTCCCTGCCATTCATATTCGCTCGGACACCACTGGCACGCGCAATTGACTCCGCACAAGCATATGCCTGATCACGCCACGACAAAAGGTTCACTCGATATCGTCATCGCGTTCTACGAAGAGAATCCGGCAGACCTGCTCGACGAGCTGGACGTGATCAGGACGACGGTGCATCCTCTGGGACTGACCTTGCGCACCTTCATCTATGTCAAATCTGATCGAATCGATCTCACAGAGCTTAAGCATATCAGCAGAGCAGACCATGTACAAGTCTTGGCCAATCGCGGCAGAGAAGGCGGTACATTTCTGCAGCACATCATCAGACGACACACAGCAGACGGTCGCAACTTTGCAGATCATACACTGTTCTCCCAGGCACATCTCACGAGTCACGAGATTGCCCTGCCTCGGCTCGCTGCCTTTTCACCTCACGATACAGGATAGTCAGTCGCGTCTGCCATGCACGCGAATGCTCGCTGATCTATGAGCAGTCTGCATCTAGCACCCTATGTCGCGTCTTCCTGTGGCTTCGATCATGTCATCAACACGACCTTTCCACGTCTGCGCGAGACGTTCAATATGCTCAGCGGGGACGCATACTGTCACGGCCAGCAGCTGACAGCATGGAAAGCCCAATTCATTGTGAGCCGGCGAAGGATTGCGTCTCGCCCTCTACGGCATTACAAGCAGCTCGAGGAGCTCGTCAATGCACCGCATTCGCATCCCTTCATATTTGACGACCCACCGCCGCCAGATTGGAGCTATTGGGGCGGACCCATATCGCCTTCGAATCCACTTTTTGGTCACGCACTAGAACGATCCTGGCCTGCCATATTCAATTGCTCCGATGCGACCATTGCCTCGCAATGCAACGATAAGAGCGCTGATCCTGAGTTATGTCAATGTCACGATCGGCGCTCAATCACATCGTTTGCACCTCCCCCAGCAAGGCCGTTGTAATGCAATGCATAGACGATGCGTATGGTCCTCTACCGATAGCAACAAGCACTATACTGACGTATTCAAACACTGACACTGCAAGGGATCAGCAGATTCGTCCGGACATTCGTCGGCTATCCGAACGTCATCACAGCCAAAGATGACAGGCCAAGCTCGTTCCAAGCTGTGACCAAAGTAATTGTTGCCCGGATTGTTGCCTTGTCCGCCCCAATCCCAGCCTTCGGGCACATGGTCTGCGTATCTGTGAGAGCTTCAATAAGCCCAGTGCTCCACAGCGAGGGGCAGACGGACATCCAATGCGCTTCTGGAGCGCCGATCATCGTGTTGATAGTCTGATACTGCTCTACCGTTCGCGCCATTATCTTTCGTCGGCTGACGATAAATTGTGCCGCCCAACTCGCAAGCTGCCTGCCATGACAGAACGAGTTTGGCGCCGCATTGAAGTAATTGACGATCTCTCGTAGTCTCGGCAGCATGAACCAGACCTGCGCAATCTGCATCAGGCCACTCGTTTGCGCCACGCAAGCAGCCGAGACCTACGCGTTGGTCAAGTCCGCATTCCGAGGGTACGTAGGGCGCTAGATGTAGGCTAAGCGAGCCCGTCAGCTCTGTAAAACGCATGTAGCGCTCGGCTTACTAATCTGTCGACGAGCGCAGGGCTCCCAGCCGGCGTTCGGCTATCTCGCGGTATGAGAGATGTGCTTGCGTAAAGAGAGTGTGATCAGCGAAATCTTGGCGATCGTAATGCGAGATGATATGGTCTAGATATGTGCCTCCTTCGCGGCCGACGTTAGGCAAGTAAGCAACATGATCTGCACCCAGTGTGTCGCGCAGCTCTTCGAGACTGGCGGTGGCTGACTTGGAATAGACGTATGTTGTCAGATTTGCAGCCGGGAGCAGTGACCGTATGAAAGTCAGCTCAGTGAGGACATCGCTGGGCGACTCGTCGTAGAAGGACACTACAAGATCAATACTGCCGAGAGTCTCGGTATTTGCGTGTAGTGATGCTTTGCGTTTCGATGCCGCTGGCGCTGAAGGGGAGACGTGCGCCACGCGAGCAGGCGGTCGCCACCACCGACCGAGCGAGATCTGTTCGCACTGAAACGGCTTACAACTCGCGTCTTTATGCACCGACCACGTCGTCAATGGCCATATTGACAAGATAGCCAAGCAGAGCAGCAGTAATTTGCTCGACATTGAAGTCTCCAGAGTCACGGTCGATTTTGGGTGCTCGTCCTGGTCGACGGCTGGCAACAGCGGATTGTCGTCCATACTATCTGGAATCCTATGATCAGATCGTTGCTCCATGCGGCAGAAGACATAGATGCCGAGGCATCCTGCTGTCAAGGCTGCCAAGCTCAGAGAAATGACTGGAACAAGAAACAGGGGCTTTGACATTGCGATCGTCAGCAGCAGCTCGAAAGGGACGATAAGCTGCAGTATCAGAGGCGAATCGAGATACTTGACCGCGTCGACGGTGAGGAAGAGCAAGATTGTCTGACACGCGCATAGAGGTATGATCTTGGCGCTGACTAGGCTCGACCTGCCGCCATCGAGCGCGAACAGGATCATGCAGGCACACAGCGACCCAAAGGCAGCAGAGAGCATCATCGTCTTTCGACTGCTGCTGGTCTTTGCGCGCCAGAGGGAGGTCATTGTAGTGTACTGGCTGATGTGGCAGACCCAATGCAACGCTGGGATGAGTCGCGCTGTCTGAAGCTGCGGCCTTGCCCATGCGACGAGAATGCTCGCGACTGTCAGAGCAAGTGCTTCGACATCGCTGGGGCTTTTGTGCAGGACGAGACTGGTCGCTAAAAGAGCTGGCGCATGAGTGGCTGAGTGTACGATCTGGGTCGCAATTGAGCCTGCGCCATTAAATTGCAGCACGACTATCGTTCCTCCTAAGACGAAGCCGGCACAAACACTCTCGATCTCGCTGATCAGGTCCGACAATCCGTCTTGCAATGGCTCGTCACGCTTTGCTACGAGCAAGAACGCTGTCACGCTTGCTAGACCGCTCGTGACAGGCGACAAGGGAGCCGCGACGACAGCATTTTCCCCAGCAATGCCAGCAACGCGGTGCAAAGCAGCGGCAGCAGAGGTCTCTGGACCAGCGCCTCGCGCCATTGCTTCACATCGCTTTCGTTTGGTTGGTGCATCTCCAAATGAACATGCCAGGCGTGGTTGTAGATACGCAAACACGAGCAAGGCGTATGCAATGGAGCTTCCCATCTTTCAAGTGGGTTGATCGGGGACTCGATGTGTTAGAAAGCTAAGCAAATGCAGACGGGGTTGAACGTTGAAGCTTACGCGAAGCGGGCAGAGCGAGTCAAGCGGGAGCGACGACGGGAGCAAATATCAGATCGCGCTAAGCTAGCAACGCCTCCTTGTGGCAGCCTCACTCGGTGTCTATGCATGGCCAGGAGCAACGACCCAGTCATGTATGTCTTCCTACAGCTCTGCAAACTCAGAATGCATGATCTTTCTCTGAGCAGAGATGTCTACGCCCTCCGGGAATAGTGACATTTCGAGCAGACGAGCTTTGAGGAGCGCGTAGATCCACCACATCTCCTGCAGATGTACTTGCCTAGCCTCGATTGGCTGAGCTCGCTCTGGTACATCGACATCTCATCTGCCGGGGTCTGCGGGCCCAGCACCGGCTGATAAGCGACGTACTGTCCGTACTGCTGAGTCTGTGGCATGATGTAGCTGACTTGGGGCTGTCCGTCCGAGGGGTAAGGTGGCTGTGCGACCGCATACATAGGCTGAGGCGTCTGCCCGGATTCGACAAACTGCTGATATTGAGGCTGAGACTGAGGCTGAGGCTGGTATTGAGGCTGAGGTTGTTGCATTACGTAGACGATCTGCTGTCCATTCGCTAGCTGCTGTGTCGGTGCGAGCGTAGTGTTGCCATCTGTCTGGGTCTGGGCCGGTTGCACTTGCTGCTGGCCCGAAGGCTGCTGATCAGCTTGAGGCACCGCGAATGTTACATGCTGCCGGCCCTGCGTCATCAGCTGCGGCTGTACTGCAACCATCTCTGGCGCTTGACCAGTCTGAACGTATTGTTGAGCTTGCGGCATGAAGTAGCTTGTTTGCGGCTGCGTTTGGCTGGTTTGCTGCAGCTGGGTCTGACCAGTTTGATGTGCTTGTACCTGATCGTTCTGTAGTGGCTGCATTTGATCAGTATACTGTTGCTGCACTTGCCCGAATTGCTGAGACTGAGCTTGCCCATTTTGCAGTGGTGGCGCTTGACCATTCTGCTGCGGTTGAGCAGAGCCAACAGGGGACTGTGGTATGGCTGGCGATTGCGGTACAGACTGAGCTGTGTTTGCCACGTAGCTTGCTTGCTCGATACCTTGGGCGATCTGTTCAAGCGGTCAGGAGATACCAATGCGCAGAGCAGCGTACACACCTGGCCATTAGCAACAGGCGAGTAGGCAGGAGACGGTAGAGCACCATCGAAGCCCGCGGGAGTCGGGGCCTGACCAGGCATCACTGACTCTGACTGGGTTGGCGGCGAGGGCTGCATTTCGGGCTGAATGGTGGCCACTTTCTGGTTTCGTCCTGAACCATCCTTCTCGAGTCGACGTCGGGCGCAGCATGTTGAGCAAACCAGTCTAGACGAGCGTGTGGCATTGCCGCACTTGCGGCATGTATATTGGCCCGATCTAGCCGTCGGCGCCATCTCGTCAGCCGGAGTCTGTGGCTGGCTCATCATATAAACTGGCTGTTGGTAGTAAACTTGCTGCGCAGGCATCTCGACGTAGCTTTGCTGAAATGGCGCGCTAGTATAAGCAGTGTCTGGCTCTCGATTGTCAGGAGTCTAGCTTATACTGCACACGATCCACTGACTTTGCATCGTGACGCTACTAGTCGGTCGGATTAGAGTGGGCTGCTCAAAGGGCTGGATGAAGGAAGTGGTGTCTTGAGAAATGCGCTGCGACGCTGTTCCTCGCCTTCGTGCTCGGCCGGCGAGGTGGACCGATTGCGGGATCCGCCATCCATGTATCCGCCCTCACGGTGGCTGGTTGCATGCACTCGATCAGCCTTGCTTGCGAGCATATGATATCGCATGTTTCTGGTGCGTCCCGTGCAACGAAGATCACTGTGGCTCGACCAGAAGCGGGTACGAAGTCTCAAAGGGACGAGAAGAGTCTTTCGGGATCGTTGCGGGCGCGCTACGGCAACGAAGTTCAACGCGAACGTTTATTAGCCTGCTCCCGTTGAGGTGCATCTCAGCCATGCGTCCTGCACATCCTCTAGCATATCCACGGTCGCCCTCGTCTGCTGGTCTTGTCATTCTCGCCAAGGCTCGCAGAACGATCAATCTCGACGACCGCCCGAGCATCTTCTAGATCGGCAGGCGTAATTCATGCAGCAAGCTACCTACAATCAAGGCATCTCGGTCGCTCACTTATCTCCACAATCGCTGTCATCGTCTCCAGCGCAAGCACAGATTCAGCCTGGCCAGATGCAAATGCAGCAGCAGCCTCAGGTGCAATACATTCAGATTCCTCCCGGGCAGCTGCCTCCCGGGGTTCAATACATACAGCAACCTCAGCCTGCACAAGGCCAGCCCATCCAGCATGCCCAGGCTCAAGCTCCGGTTCAGCTACAGCCAGCACCGCAGCCGCAAATGAAGCAGATGCCACAGCCTGTCTACGTTACTCCAGGCCTTCCCAGCTACAATCAGCATCAGGTTATGCAGCAGATGGTGAGCACTTCAGCATTGCCACGCGATCTGCCTGACAGTGTTTGCTTCTTAGCCTATCACGCAGCAACCAGTACGCATCGTGTCCTCGTATCTAATTGCTGGCTTTGACACACGCGCCCCGCAGACTGTCGTTCACGGCATGCAGCTTGCAACATCTGCGATGCAGCCCTACCCGACGGATCAGACGCCACGTGCTAAAAGGCCATGGTCATTCGATCTGTGTTCCAGCCAGGTAATCAGTGGTTGCTTCCTACCCTGGTGCTGTCTGTCATGGTCATTTGCGCAAATGTATCGTACTGATCTGATATCACAGGTCCATGTATCACTTATGGCCAGAACGAGCAGCGTATAGCAGCTCTCAAAGCTGGCAAAGGTATGTCTAATCTGAGTTCGCCCAGTCAGAGCTGACTTTTTGCATCAGCCGGTGCATCGACTTCAGCTTGCAATTTGCCTTGCGTAACATTTTGCGTTGCGGTCTGGTGCATTGCGAACTTTGCAAGCATGATCATGGTTCCGCTGCAGCGCAGCGCACTGGCGAACGACCACGACATCGACATGTCGTGTGTTTCGGACATTGTGTGCAGCTGTGTCTGCGTTGGCTGCGTGCTATCGCAAACCAGCGAAGAGCTGACGGTCCTGGAACGTCAAGCGCGCGGCTACTAAGCGACGGAGCCTTCTCGACGCCTCACCAAGGCCCGAGAGACAAGTACGTAACGCGCAATGCGCGGTGTCCTGCCTGTACGCTGCCGTACCACTGTGTAATTGATTCCTGTGCTCGCGATCATGAGCACATTTTGTACCATATGATTGCAGCAGCTCTCGCTCGACACCGATCAGGCGCAGACTCAAAACACGACAGCATCCGAGACTCATGCATCTGCGTACATCTCGAATGTGCCCGAATGCGAATCGGCATCCTCGATTGAGCGAAGCCGACTCGACGCGGTAAGACAGAGACACGCGATGGAAAGGGGATGCATATGGGAGTTCCCGCCTTCCCTTGACATGCCTCAATGACGCTTCGAAGATTCCGTGACTCCGTAGACTGGCCCGTCATAACCGATCTCCCTAGCCCGCAAGTCACTTCGGAACGGAGCAAGCAGCATGGCACCGGATGCGGACCATCCTCGGAGAGCGCATAAGTAGCTGGACTCTTCTGCTACCCAATAGGATTTCTTTCGCCTCGGCGCATTGTTCAAAATTTATCACGCCAAGCCCGCAACACAGCCAGCTCGACAATGCAGACAAACTACTCGACCACACCAATGATGAGTCCGCAGCCCCAGCCGACATATGTGCAATACGCGCAGGCGCCGATGCGAAACCCAGATCTCGAGAAAGGCAACGGAGCTTTGCAGCAACCTTCAAATGCTTCCCACACGCAGATCATGAACGCTTTGGATCTTCAGAAGAAGCTCATTGTGGCTTCGACTGCCATCTTGACGATTGTCATCATCATCGTCGTTGCTGTTTCAGGTGGGTATATTCTGTCTAGATCAGACATTGCTAACGTGCATCGACCAGTCTCTGTGTCTAAGAACAACCTAGAGAGCGATTACAGAAACGCTACGCAGGCATCTGGATCCGACTATAATTCTTGATGACGATTGCACAAGCGCGCGGCGTTCAATCGTCGTCATCTCCGGTTCAATAAGTTCATTGCTGGAGCTGTAGATGGTTCAGATATAGGTTCATGGGGCTGTCACTATTGTACGCTGACATGCACTGGGGTATGCTTAGCGATAAGCATGTTGCTCAAGGCTTTACTGCAGCGGTATCCGAGATAGAGTCAGTATCGCTGGCCGTGTACAATGAGAGCGCGACTGAATCTAGAGATCTGAGGCTCCCGCGGCGCTGACATGATGCTGAGTACGACGCTGCCAGCATCCCTCGAGGGAGAATGTCGACGACCTGCGGGCGGACGTTGTCATGTCCACGTCAATAATGTCATATTGCATGACATGCCCATGGATCGGATGCAGATCTGTAGATCTCGGCGTAATGTGCGCAGCTCCTGATTTATGCCATTGTGAAAAATGATGCTTTCAGTACAACACGAGTACTTATTCGTGCACGCTGTGGAAGAACCTAGACCTATTATTGATGATGGGGAGCGAAATCGGGGCGATAAATGTGTTCTAGCGAGGTGAGCTGCGCATGCGATGAGGCCGGTAGATATTCCTGAAACGAGGTCGCAGCATATTCAGACTCTGATCTGTGTGATGAAGATGTGCTAGCTGGCGCAGGCGAGACGGCAACGCCGGCGCCGCGGGAACCGAATTGGCAGGTGCAATAGCTAGTGGGCGAGACTGGAATGCTCTGAGAGGTATCGGCAGGCGTCGTAGCAACGGTTGCAGGAATCGAGCTCGTCAAAGGAGCGCGATGGTGTGAAGCTGACGAAGACGAGGGCTGTGCACGGGTATATTGCGGTATGACAGACTGTGCGGCTTGATTGGTTGGAATCGGATAAGGCAACTGCGCATGCGACCTGACGAGATGTGCAGATATGCGATGTGAGTCCTGCTCGCAAGCAAGACCGTGGCGTATCAGTGCATCCAGATGCGATTGAGTCGGATGCACGGTCTCTGCGGGCAATGGTAATTGCTGCTGTGGTAGATCAGGCGACAAATGGTAGCCGCGCGGAATAATGATAGCCGGCAGAGCTGGGAGCATGTGACGAGGCAGTCCTCCCGGTTGAGCGGGCCAAGTTGGAGAGACGAAGGATTCGACCGGCGAATGTAGATATGGCATAGGCAAGCCACTGGTGGCTGGCAGCGAATGCATGTCGCGACCAGGAGAGAGCGACTGCGCCCGCTCCAAGACGCTTGGACGGGCTCTAGTTGGCGCATCAGTCGTTAGAGCCCTTTCTAGCTTAGGTCGATTGTTCTGCTCCTCAAGCTCTTTCTTAGACCTTGCTCGTTGCTTGCGCGCTCTTGCCGCCTCATTCTCTTCTCTGCGACGAGTACTGAGCCTTTCACAGCCCACCAGAGGGTATCAGACTGACTGTGAGACTGGGACGTGCTCGCAAGTCACGCCGGCAACTTGACAGTGTTGGCAAACATCAGCACCGTCGCATCTGCTTCCTCGACGTTCAGTAGCAGTCAAAGCAGAGAACGCGAGATGCCGCACTTTATCTTGCGCTGCCGACATCTTGAGCAGGCTGTGGCGATAGCTCGCGTCAGAAAGGCGTGGGATTCTCGTATAGAGGCACCCACCTAACGTTATGCGCGTTCGCTTTTTCTCGACGACTGCGTCATCTTCCATCGCTGATGCGAGCTCTGTCGTCCGCATCGAGAGTGTGCTATCAAGTGAGCATCATGCATGCACTCTGTGGCCTTGCTCGAGCGAGCGCGTGCCGTCTCTTCTAAATCGGCAACCGGCTTCACCTCAGGCGGTAAGAATCCTCACGGAATGAAATAGCGTGTGATCATAGCCTCGTAGACTTGCGAACGATCGCAGATTGTCTCGTGTGGATCTCGTGCAGGAAGATGGCTAGTAGGCATGGGACGGTCGACGGGATCGACGAGACGGGACTATCTATGGCTTGGACGGGAATCGCGTTCTGCTAGCTGCTCTACATTACCGGAAATTCGGCCATGTCAGCAACCCTGTTGTCTTGCCAAAATATGGAAACCGTGATCCACGAGCCTCCGCTGTGCCGAATCATGTCGGGCCCTGTTATCGTCACAGAATGTCTGCAGTCTCGAAGCTGGCCACAGCGGTGATTAACAATAGCTCCTCGCCCGCTTTAGGTCTATAAGGAGAGGTCTTCATCCTTGCAGTCATGCCGCTATAAGCCGGCTGGCACGATGTACAGAGCTATGATTACCTTGGGACTGAGACTTGGGCCAGATGATGATGTCTCGCGCTGGGCGCTGTCGAGATTCTCAACGCTGGAGAGATCCTCTCGCGATCGCTTCATCATAATCAGGACCGATGTACCATCTGACTCACGGTCGTGCTGAGTCTTCATGCAGCATATAGCTTGCGAGAGGAGAGACTCGATGCATAGCGCACATCGTCAAGCACGTGCAATCTACAAGTGCGAATCCATGCGTCTGAAGACACGGCCTAAACCAAAATATAGCCTGTGGATCGTCGTCATGAATTCACTGCCTTTCGTGACAAGCATGAGCGTACCAAAGATAGCAAGCGCATATACTGCGCTATCGATACCAGAACGCTTCGCTGCATTGGTGTGTATGGGGTTACTTGCGCTGCTTGTTGAGCTTCCTCTGCTTGGTATCGTGGCCATGGAGCGTTGTGCTGTCGCGGTTGCAGTTACTGTGAGAGGTGCTGGAGTATTGGTGGTTGTAACCGCAATTGTAGCTGCCGCCAGTGTGCCAGTGAAGTCGGCAGTCGTGACGGGGACTGCAGAAAGTGAAATGTCGGCAGCTGATGAGGATGCAGAGGAGTCACTATCGCTGTTGTCTAGGACCGCATCACAAGTGGTTACGAGGTCGGAGGCTGCACTCTGTCATGAAATCAGTCGACTGGTAGCCTTGCGATTTGACGATACACTCACTGATACGAGCTCGGTCGTTGCGAGATCGAGAGAGGGATCACCTACGAGACATTCTGCACAGCTGCTGAGTCCTTGATCGACTGCATCACTGTTGCAGTAGCAAATTGCGTCGACGTCATCGCCACTCGAGTTGAGGCATGCCTCAACATCCTGCCTTTAAGCTGAACAGCCTGCTCGATGATATTCAAAAGCGCGCATTACCTGCGTGAATGCCGAGCAAGCCGATGCACAGTCTTCGGAGATGAGTGAACCGACGATGCCGATGTCGGAGCCAATGTCCGCACTCTGTCTAGTCTGCAGCCTGAAGAGTGGTTTCGCGATGCCCAGCGCAGCGAGAGAGACGACAATGATGGACTTGAGTAGCATCTTTGTCACTTCCTAGCAAGCTTCGCTATAAATTTGCTGGGTGACCGGTCTTATGTAGGGTGCGGAGAGGGGCACGACCATGCCCTTATCTAGCAGATCGCTAGGTAGGGACCATGTGACTGAAGAGACATGAACGGAAACGGGATGTACTACCCCGGTGAGTGACCTGGGAGAGACCAGAGGCCGTAGTATGCGGGTCGAGGAGGCTTGAGGGAGCAGGTCAAGGTACATAGACGGCTGAGCGCTGAGCGCGGGACGATCCCGTCGCGCCTGCAGCGCTACAGAAGATCCAGAACTTCCTCCACATTGGCCCGCTTGCCTTCTGCCTGTATCAATTCATGGACCAGATCCCGAATCCCCACGATCATCTGGCACGAGCGCGTGATTGAGCTGATCAGTCAAAGGACTCCTCGGACACGTCCAACCCGTCTTCACCGAAGCTGTGAAGTCTCCAAAGACGCTCCTCCCGGTGATTCACATCCCGCTGTCGATCCTCCGTACCAGAGCTCAGATCCAGATCGTCGCCACGAACCTCGCGGCCCGTGTGCTGGTCGCTGACATTCTTTTTCTGCCGCTCTGGCTTGCTCGCCTCTGCATTTTGTTTATGGGCGATGTCTGAGAGGGACGTCCCAGAGCTCTCATGATAGCTCAGATGGCTGCTCAGCCGATGCAGCCAAAGATTCCTACAGATTGACTGGCACAAGCCAATTCAGCTCACGAGCTGGTGTCGCATACATCGATTGCAAAGGAAACTACCAATCGCAACCCGTTAATCACTTCATCAGCTGTCAGTACTGGCCAAGAGCTTGACGCTCGAGTACCGTGAGTTCCAGATCAGTTTGTGACAGGAGGCAAGGCAAGAAACACAGGCTGTTGAAGCCGTCTGAGCTGTCCTCATTGATGTTGTACCGAGTGGTAATTCTTCTGCGCTGGCTGGGCACAAATACGGCACCGGCGCAGCCAATTAGCGCCATGACGCCGCAGAAAGTCATGCAAGCCCCGTTGACGGACGAAGTGGCCGTGCCAGCTGCATTGCAGATCAGACCCATTCCCGCACGATGGCGTCGGAACGTACGCTTGCCTGCTTCAAGAGCGTTGATACGCTCCTCGTTCTGGCCGTATGCGATGCAAGGGCCTGCATATGATCCTCATCAGCAAGACTCAAGGTCGGTAAATGGGGTGCATACAGCACCAGGGCAGGAGTATCCCACTCTTCACTTCGCTGGAGAAGGTAGGATAAGTCCAATCTCGCTTCGCCGAGTGGCCAAATGAAGGAGCGCCAGCATTCGTCTGGGACGTTGCGACGACCATTGAACTGGCAGCTGTCTGCACCCACATTAAGCGTCATAGTCAGTCGTCTATGGAACACGTACCGGCTGTTGCATGACGGGCTGAGACTGCAGGTGGAATCAGCTCCGCCGGTCATACTAGCGAGACGAGCGCACTGTTTGTTGCTGATAGGTCGGACGTCCAGGTTGTGCATAGACTGGCTGCTGGACCTGTCTCATTTGCGGGTGCGGTACTGACTGTCCCTGCATTGGATGCTGACCCGGAACATATCGAACAGGCTGGCCTTGTGCAGGCTGAGGCTGCTGTACGTATTGAAACCCGGGAGGCAGCTGTCCGGCAGGAACTTGGATGTATTGCACCTGGGGCTGTCCTTGCATTTGCATCTGATTAGGCTGCATCTGCACTTGGACTGGATACGCTCCGGGAGGCGATTGAAAGTTCTGGTTGGCCGGAACATATGTGACTTGCTGCATGGCGCTGCTGCAATATCGAGTCAGTCGTCTGCCTGCCTCGAGCTGTTCACCGGCTTCACACGAAGCGGCTGAACGGAAGGAAAGATGCGGGACGTAGAAGGTTCTCGACGGGATGCTTGCATTGGAGCCTGCGAGTAAAGGGGAGCCTCCGAAACAGCGGTTGATCCGGGTTGATCCCGCGCGCGCGAAGTCGAATAGACTAGATCGCGCGTCCCGTTGCACCTACGGTTCCGAGAACTGCCCCGCCGCTATGCTGGGCAAGAGCGATACGGCGATCTCTCAGCATGTATGTACTTGAGCTCTGCACGCTAATCTAGACAGTTCGCAAAGTCCGGGGTGAACACCCTCGTCGTCTCTCACACGCCGCACGGGAGGTCGCCAAATCTAAGATCGCTCATAGCATCTCAGGTAGCCCACAAGCGTCAGCTATGGCCGAGCCATCGACTGACATGCTCGAAGATGCTGAAAATCATCGAGGACAAATGTATGGTCAAGCATATCATGAATTGCTCTGCACGAAGACTGGAAAGTAGTAAAGGGGGTAAACAATGAAAGCGAGACTAGGGTGTTGTCCGACAGCATGGCCTGCGTCTGAAGTACTGGATGCTCTGACTACAGAGCATAGATCGCGCTCAAAGCAGCCACGGCGAGTAAGAGGCCACTGATGCCGAGTTGAGATGCTCCGTCGATCAGTGGAGAAAGTGAGGTGTCAGAGGAATCGCAGTCCGAGAGAACATTTTCATAGGCCGACTGTTCAGACAGTCAGTGACGCATTGCGATATTCAGCATGCAGCTAACATTTGCTCTGTCTTGGTCGTCGCTGTTTAGGCTACTGGAGTCCGCGACGCAAGAATAGCAGTCCTGCAACGAGCCGTCATTAGGGCAGAAGCAGGTCGGGTCGAGCAGGTTGCCGTTCGAGCAGCTGTTGACAGCCTGCAGGCTTCATTTGAGATTTGCGAAAGACAAGGTAGCAGCGACTAACGTCATAGAGGGCCGCGCAGTCACTGTCGCAGTCTTGTGGGACGAAGCTCCCAAAAGTGGTGAGATCGCTGCCCAGGCCGCTGTCACGGGCGTGCAAGCGTTGGGCGGGCTTCGCAAGGCAGAAAACGAGGAGCCAAGCCGATGTGATCAAATGAAGAAGCATGGCGACGTCTTGACGTTGCGGTAGCTAGGCGCAATGAGCTCTGTGCGACGCTTTCTTCGTCCAGCAATCAGCGGAGGAGCGACTTCTCGAGGCCGAACGAAGTGCAAGGCTTGGCGAATAGCCGCTAACGGGTCGCAAAACGTGAGCAGAGAAGCAATGGCCGATCTGCGGGCATGCCAGCGCCGTGAGACAGGCGACGGGAGATCCCGCCCCGCCTGTGCATACTTGATTCTGCATGCACTCGCTCGGTCCGAAGTATCCTCATGTCGCGGGAGCACGGTCCCATGGTGCACGAACGAGTCAGTAAGAATGTATGCGGGGGCCCTTTCATCGGATCAAGCTGAGAATGGTTAATCGTGGATGTACCAACGTTCGCGTTGTAACGCGACTGCTTTTTTTCTGGATGTACAGCTGCTCGAATTTATTGATGCTGCAACGTATGTGAGCATGTGTAATCCACCAATCTCTGAAGCTAAGCTAGGTTGTCTATCGGGCGCAACGTCAAAGTACTCTTGAGGACCAGAATCGGCCTGATCATCAGGTCATCTCTCAGGCTCAACGAGCAACGGGTCTGGGCAGTCTAGTCGCGTTGCATCAGAGAGTTTCCAGACGATGTTCACAGGTAGCTCGGTCCTAGAGAAAGACGCAAACTGTCGACGGAGAAATTTGTAAGCTACGCAGGATTTTTGTTCGGCAACGAAGCGTACCAAGGATGACAGCAACGCTGAGCGTGACACTGCTCACGCGAACAGTTGCAGCATTACCCCCGATGGTGATGGGAGTCGGATCAGGCGATTTGCAATCCGGATCACCGATATCGATGGCAGCAGCCTGATCGCTGGCATTGATAAGCATGTCAATGCAGTGTGGGATTATACCCACCTCGGCAGTATTGGTGTCCTCGATCGATACGCTGCTAGATCCCTCGATACATTTCTCACAGTGACTCACTCCTGCACTTGCGGAAATTGCATTGCAGAGGCAGACCGGATAGAGCAAGTTGCCGCTCGTACAGTTGGCGATATTCTGCTTACCCCCTCGGTCAGTCAGACGCAGATGTATGAAGACGTGATACCGACTGTGTAGAGCTTGCTGCAAGTCATGTCACAATCCGGTGGAATGTATGATAGAAATGCATCGAGATCGTTAGCCAGACCTCTACTAGTGCTCTGTCGCGCGTAAAGGCGTTGTACAGAATTGGCTGACGAGATGCCGAACAGCCAGGCGAGACACACAGCCCTGCACAGCATGACGATGTATGGCTCGTAACGCAAGAAAGGTGGGCGGCCAGCCGCAATTTGTAGCCTGATCCTTTATGGTAGGCGGCACGAGCTTAATGCCAAGCTCTGTTGCGGGCCGTTTGGCCCATATGTGCTCGCGATTGCGAGCGGGATCTGCACGGGACGTCAGATACCGAACTATCGTGCAGTCCGTTCTAGGTCAGCCGGAATGACCAGCGCTTCAGAGACAGCGGGACATCCCGTAGCCGTCTCGTCTTTGTTCGTGGACAGCCGCTGAAGTGCTGCAAGATGACACCTTCTAGGGTGCGATTGGAAGGACGAGCTAGAGCAGGCGCGATCTTGCGCTGTAGTCAGCATTTAGATACGATCAGCGGATGTGCGCATGATCATTATATACATATCACATGACCGATGGCTCTCAACGCGCAGGCGCCGGTGCCTCGGCATCTCAGGAGCTCGGCGCGCTAGTAGGCCAGCAATCGTTGTGTATCCTGAAAGTGACATAATCCTACAACCGTCCAATATACCACAAGATGTAAAGCAGGCAAGAGCCAGGTGGGGGGGGGGGCAGCTTGCAGGGTCCCAGCACGTCCCAACTAGTCATCGTCTGAGCCGTCCAAGGCTCCACTGGGGCCAACCGAATTTGGTCCGAGCGAGCCGGCGCAAGTGCCATCCGGCAGACAATTTTCATCGCCACCAGAAGAATCGGAGGAGCTACTGTCGCTGCTGTCAGCGCTGCTGGATGAAGCGTTACTGCTGCCCGAGCTCGTCTTCGATACACTACTGTGCTTCTTGTGTTGGCTCACTGGAAATGAACAACGCATTAAGACATGTCAAGCATAGCCGCTATCGCGATCTTACCTCCGACACCAGCGCCAATAGCGATGGCGAGTATGACAACGACGGCAACAATTATGATGATGAGCAGGTTGCGACGTCGATTGTCGCGTCTCTGGACAGGCTGGCCGGCCGTTTCGAGCACAAAGGGATAGCCAGCGGGAGACATGTCCTTTTCGAGGTACGATGGTTGAGCATGCGATACAGGACGGGTCATCATGGGCGAGGCAATTGGTGTAGCGATCGGCGAAGTCATATAGACCGGCTGAAATTGGTTCATGGGCTGCTGGATCTGCTGACCGGCCATGTAGGCTGGGTTCTGCACCATGACCGGCTGTGCAGGCTTCGAGTGCCGCCTGCTCTGCCCATGCGAGTGCGAGTGATGTCGGTCGGCGTGCGGACGCGATGTTCTGTTGTCCGAGTGACCATGAGAATGATGCGACGGCCTGATCGGAGGCAATGCTCAACGCTCGCGACTGACGAAGGACCGGCGACCTACATTCTGAACTAAGGCAAAGGCTTATCTGGGAATTGGCAAGAATCTGAAGGGCAGTCTACTTATGCGGGTCGAACGCGCTGGTCTATAATTGTCGTCCGGTCGAGACCATCGCTACCGTACCCATACTTCGCGAGACATGAGGCGTAGCGTGGTATCATCTTGAGGGATCTGCAGCGGGATGGAAGATGCGTAGGGCTGGACCTCGTGCCAAAGTCAAAGTCAGGCAAGGCGAACTGGAAGTGTATGCGATCAAACAGTTCGGCTGATTGGTTGATCAGATCATCCGAGCCCCTATCAGAATCATCGCGGAGACGCGGGATGATGGACATACTAAAGCCGAGGAGTGATCAGCGACAATGCGCATGATCCGTCAGCTCGGTCGCGACGGGTTAGCGCCGCGTGCGGGACCACGGAATCGTCGGGAACCGTTGATACCGTCTGCGTGCATTCGCTGCTCCCTGTCTGCCTTCTGACCCGCTTTCGCAACGTCTTCTAGTATATTCCATCCTGCTCGTCGGTACTGTATCCCGCCAATGTCTCTATGGCCAGATGGCCGGCCGCACTGGATTCAGTCAGATGAAGGCTTGTTCGCGTTCGCAGACCTCTCCACCTCTCAGACCACGAGACAAGACAGCTCGACATCGCTCAAGACTGACAAGCATGCTTTTCAAGTCTATCATTGTTGCATCTCTCGCCGCGACATGCATCGCTAAGCCGCTCTTCAGACTGCAGCCCCGGCAAAGCGGTGACATTTTATCGGATCTCAACACCATTGCCAATGCAGTCACCCCCTTCTGTGACATCTGTAGCGTTCTCGCTAGCGTACGTTGACCTTACATAATGAGCACCATGCTCAGACGCGGCAGTACAGGAGGCCACCAATTGCGCTAGCTCGGACGGGTCAAGTATCGATATCGATTGCTTTTGTAATGCCGATTATACGAATCTCGGTCTAGATCAATGCTACACTTGCATCGATGTAGACACATCAGTATCTGCTAGTGACGTCGACGCATCCGATGTAAGCATCGAAAGCCTCATGTCCGCGTGGTGGTTGACCGTTGTCCAGAACGCGGCCACCGATATTAAGACGATTTGCTATAATGCGCTTGGTCATGATGAGGACGCTCAGACGACTTCTTCTGGCGATGTCAGCAGCTCGACCAGCAGCACACCAAACAGAGGTGGTGCGTGTGAGCTGAAAAGGCTTTGGGCTCGCTGACAGAGGCATCGCAGGTAATCCGACCTCAACCGCTCGGCCGTCTACCTCCTCACTTGCGCAGCAGAAGAGCGGTGCCGGTCAAGTCAGTATAAGCTGTCTGTCCCTCGCGCTGGCTGGTATAGGTATGTATCCATTTTCGAAATGATGCGCACTGCTCATCAGAGATCCTGCGGTCAGTCGGTCTGCTCTGAGTGAAACGGTATTTCTATAACATCCTTCTGCTCATTCATCTCGGCATTGTAAAATGCCAGCATCTGGCTCAGTATGCAAAGTCTGCTTTCCGGTTTGAGCACTACTTGAAATGAAACAGCGAGAGCGATGCAAGCTGACAACAGTATCTTTTGAGCCCCGGGGACCAAGCGAGGCAGATTAAGGCACGACCTCTGCGCCTACGGGTCAGCTGCTTGATGGTTCGATGAGCGAAAGGCCTTACAGTTCTTTACGCGACGACGTAGACTCTGACCTCGTTATCCTGCGCGTGCCTCATCGTCAGCTCAAACACTGACGTAAGTAGCAGAAGACAGACTGTGTAACCAGCAAAGAGAGTCTGACCGTCTGGCGACCAGGCCAAGCTCGTGCACTCTGGCTGACGAGCATTGCCAGAGACAGACACAAAGTCCGGTCGGAGCTCATCGACGATCGACTTTGATTCGAGATCGAAGATCTTGATGCAGCTTGCCGTGGCAGCGCAGAGCCAGTAGCGGTTGGGCGAGAAGACGAGAGCGTTGACGATATCCTTTGCGTCTAGCGAGTAGAGATGCTTATCTTCGTTGAGATCCCACAGCATGGTGATGCCGTCCTTGCCACCTGAAGCGCAGAGCGATCCGTCGGGTGAGACGGTGACGGTTGACACGTAGCCAGTGTGGCCGGAGTGGGTCGAGCGCAGCTTGCAGTTGGACAGCTCGAACACCTGTTGCTCGACTGTCAGCACTGCGCTTTGGGGTGCAGGTTGCGAGGTAGGAGTCAGAGATCTTGGTGGATGATAGATTGTCTCATTGGAGGCGCGTAAACGCCAGCTCTGAAGTAGCAAATATACACAAGGTTGTACTCATCTTGCTTGGCGAAGGAGAGAGAACCAGAAGAGCGAACGAATCGACTCACTTTGACGACCTTGTCCCAACCAGCCGAGACGATGACGGGGTTCATCGCGTTGGGCGAGAATCTGACGCAAGACACCCAGTCGGAGTGACCTTCAGCCTTGATCTCAAACTTGAGCTCGCCGAGGGTGTTCCAGAGCTTGATCGTGCGATCTCTGGAGCCAGAGACGATGTGACGGTTGTCGGCCGAGAAGGAAACGCTGAGGACGTCCTTGTCGTGGCCGACGAAGCGAACTTTCGTCATGCCGGTGTTGAGATCCCAGAGGCGGAGGGTCTTGTCCCATGAGGAAGAGAGGGCGAATTGGCCGTCGAAGGAGATGACGATGTCAGAGACAAAGTGGTTGTGGCCTTTGAGGATCTTCTTGGGGTAGCCGTACGAGCCATCCTCGCGAGTGAGCTGCCAGACGATGATCGTCTTGTCGCGCGATGCCGTCAAGATCATGTCCGGGTTCTCGGGCGTCGTTGCGATGGCAGTGACCCAATTGCCATGACCGCTGAGCGTGCCCTACGAGAGAGCCCATGGACGTCAGTCTTTGCAACTCAATCAGCAAAGCTATGCGTACCTTGAAGATGAGCTGTTCTGTCATCTTGCTAACGAGCGTTCCTTGTGGTCAGCAGAGCAGGTACTGGCTTCCAAACTTGCTCACCTGTGCGTCCAAAAAGCTTCAACAAGCCCGACAATCCAAAATTCTGAGAGAAGCCAATTTTGAGCGTGAGAGAAAGTTCAGTGGCTGCTCGCGAATTTCGGCGCATCAAAGCTAGCCGTCTCAGCCTTGCTGGTACGTCAAGCCAGCGATACTGCCATTCGGACTGGCTAACACTCTGGTACAGCATATTGACAAGGCACAGCCTCAAACTCGCCCACCATGCCGCCCAAAATGGACCCCAACGAGATCAAAGCAAGTCATCTTGCACCTTGCCCGCCTGCGCCAGCTAATCCATGCCCAATAGATCATCTACCTGAGAGCAACAGGTGGTGAAGTCGGTGCCTCATCTGCACTGGCGCCCAAGATCGGTCCCCTCGGTCTGGCACCCAAGAAAGTCGGTGAAGATATCGCGAAAGCGACGGGCGACTGGAAAGGACTGCGAGTGACCGTTCAGCTCACCATTCAGAATCGTCAAGCGGCCGTCTCTGTCGTTCCGTCTGCTTCTTCTCTCGTCATCCGAGCTCTCAAGGGTTAGCTGCTGTCAGCTTGACGGTGGCCAGTGCTGACAAGTCTGCCTACAGAGCCACCTCGTGACCGCAAGAAGGAAAAGAACATCAAGCACAGCGGTAACATTGCATTCGAGGAGATCGTAGAGATTGCAAGGAAGATGCGCCACAAGTCTCTCGGCAACAACTTGGCCTCAACAGTCAAGGAGATCCTCGGTACTGCTCAATCTGTCGGCTGCACCATCGACGGCAAACCACCGCATGATGTGATTGACGAGGTCAACTCGGGAGAGAGGGAAGTACCGGACGAGTGATGTCGCTCTCTGCATTGCATGTTGCATTTCTCGCGGAAGACACTACAGCAGGAAGCCACGGATGACCAGCATGGGATCTAGAGCCTGAGCCGGCATGGCTGATTTTGACGACTTCTCCATACCGTCGTGTCCTTCGAAATCCGAATCAGAGTCAGAATCGAGCGCAGGCATGCGTAAGCCTGTCGCCACCCGCTGGATCCTCGGATTCTGCACTGTGCTCTGCTTTTGCTCGAGAGCAGCGTCGTCGGTGTGCTCAGGCGAGGCTATCGTCGCTTTGTCCATGAGCGCTCTGCCTGCTTCACTGATGGCGTTTGTCGTCGCAGAGCATAGCGGTAGGTCGAAGAGCTCGAGGATGTACCGCCTGATGGGCAAACGGTAGTGATAATGCTCCAGCATCGATAATGCTCGCCAGTAGATCTCTGGCGATCTGAGCGCGGCGGAGCGACGAGACTTGAGACCTGCAAGTTGCTTCGAAGCGGTGTTCGTCATGAGGTAGTTACTCAGATTGGAGATTGATGACACGACTGAGCGCTCATCCTTGTCGATCGGCTGAGCGCAGCTGGGTGGCCCTTGACCCGCAATGCGCAATTGCCATGCTTCGACCTGTGCATACCCGGTCACAGTCAGTATGACCCTTGGCTGAAAGGGCAGGACGCACAGTGAGGAGGCTATCGAGCTTGCGCGGGAGGCAGATGCCTAGCGGCTGACCTAGCGGCGATCTGGTCGTCTCCCAGCCATACTCAGCCAGAGTTGCCGCACCTGCCGCCGTGCTCGAAACGAGGCCAAGCACGAAGAAGCACGTTCTGCTCAGGTATTAGCAGACACTCCAGCTCGATCCTAGGAGACCCCACCCTCGAACAGTCAAGCAGGGTGATCGTTCGGCAACCTCGATTAGATCCGGTATGAGCAGCTCATCTTCGACAAGCTGAAAGCCAACTTCAGACGCCGCAATATTGCCCTGCATCATGATCAGCACCGGTGCCATCGATGCACGTAGACGTACTACTGCCCACAGGACACTCTTCAGCTTTGACAGTGCCGCTAGATCAGAGCCTTCGAGACCGCAGTCGCGTATGTATTGTGCGAAATCGGCAAAGTGTCCGCTGGCTTCGAGCATCGCGCAGCCATCCTCCGTCTTGGCCAGCTCGCCATAGAAATGCACCGGCAGAGCATCGTCCCATTCCCCCATTTCTTCGGGCGATCGCTCTGCTTGACCGAACAATGACGCTAGTGCGAGCTCGACTTTGACGGCGTAGTAAAAGTTGCGATAGTGGAACCAGTCTTGTAGCTCCCTCTCGATGTAGCCGATATCGAACAAGTATCGAGTACCGATGGTTGTGGACATGAATCGCGTCAAGAGGGGTATGCCTACTTCGCCCAGATGGTCCAGAGAAGGCTCCAGCTCGACAATCGTCTCGAGGATCTCTGGAGAGTCGCATGCAGGGTAGAGTATATCGACGACGAGCTCTCTGACCTCGTTGGAAGAGTCGTACAGCTGCAGTAGCAAACACCGAATGATCCACTCCGTAGGCGCATGCGAATCTTTGATCAGTTCGCCGAGGTGCCGCGTTGCAAAGAGTCTCATTTGCTTGTAGCTCGATGTCAACGTTTTGTTGAGTATGATACGTGTATGGCCTTCGAGGTCATAACTGAGATTCTTGACAATCTGCTGAGAAAGATCTTCCCGACTGCGTAGATCACTCAGGTGGTAAAAGAGTGTGAAGAGATGCGCTTCGCTCATGAGCTTGACGCCTTCTCTGTGTCTGCTGTAGACGCCAATGATATTGAAGTAGCCTGTCGAAACAGTCTCCTCCAACTGCTGGCGGGAAAAGACACTTGCTGGCCCGGCAGGGGTGGCGAGCGGATCAAGTTCGCTCAAGCAGTCAGAGATTTCGCGAAGCAAGCCGTCCTCTCGCAAATACTGACTGCCCTCTCTCGTCGCGAGTAGCGTGGTCAGAAGCACAGTGGCGAGATTTGTCCATTTGGCATGGTCTGGTGTGTTCTTGAGGTCGCTGTACCTGCGTGCGTGTGGGTGATAGAAAGCAAGGAGCCTGTGCATGAATTTTGAGCCACGGATCGCCTCTTCCAATCGCTTCTCATTCCGCAATGGGCCCTCTGCCAATTGCAAAAGGGTATCATAGTTCCATTTGGTATGATCTTTGCTGCTGAGTACTTGTGACTCGATGAGGAGGTTGCGAAATGCGACGTCATCGACTTGCATGCCCATCTGTACTCGCGCACTCTCGACTGCCTTCTGACCGCGCTTCAAAGGATCGTCAGACGAGTCTGTACGCTCCATATCTTGCGAGGTTTGTTGACGGGCTCGATCGCTCCGCCGCCTCGATCGAGTGAGCGAGTCGACAGAGAGGAGGATGTTGCTCGCCGCTAGCTTAGCCACGACGCCATGACGACCCGCTCTGTCCGCAAAGAGGTGAGGCAAGGCTTGCAGTTTTGCTGCATGTGAGGCAGGCAAGACGCGTTTGGATAGCTGCATGAGCTCTGCAAGCAACAGTGCCGACTTTCGTTTCAGTATAGCTGTGGTCTCTGTTGTCGTTAGCGACACCAATGCCTGCTTGTTATCAGCTTGCACGCCGACACTTCCAGCTAGATGCTTACTTCTATTCCGCCTGCTTCGGTCCATATGAGAAGAAAGAGCGCGCGAAAGTGGTCATTGAGTCTGCTGACGCCAGGTCGATTGGAGTGTTTCGCCGCATCGGCTTGCCTTCTGCTCCTCGCCAGAGGCGCAGCAGTGAGTCGGTGCTGCCTGTACACTATGCCAATCTTCCAGTCGTCCGATCCAACAGAGAGACAAGAGAAGCTTACGAGATAACCGACGGCCTTCGAGATAGCTGACGTACCATGATGGCGTAGCGATGTCAAAGACCTGAAAGAGCGTGTCAAGGGCAGTTTCCTGCACGAAAGTATCCTCAGACTAGCGCATGGCTGAATTGGAGACGGTCATACCCTTCCGGCGAGTGAAGCAGTGGCAAGATTACCGACAAGCGATCGAATCGCCTGCTTGTTCTGCAAACACGAGAAGAATAACCCTGCAAGAAGAGGTTGAGTGTCGCCACATGCGTATGTAGCGTGAGCTGCTTACCGCTCCATGACCGGAGGAGCGAGATCGTCAGTTGCGCAAGTGGCAGCAGACGATCGTCGTTCTGCGTCGACCGAGCGACAGCTTCCGTTCCCACTCCCAAGCTGCTCTGCAGATCTATGCCCGGGCGAAAGTAGGATCGCGAAGCAGGCAAATCGAGCAGGTGGGCAAAGACACCGGCTAGCATTGGCGACAGTGCCGAAGGTCCCTCATTGACAGATTGCAAGAGCCGCTTGAGACCGCCCGAGCGAGCAAGCAGGTCGATATCGATGAGTGCCAGTTCTGCTAGCGTTTCGAGCGCTATCCAGCGGAGCTTGTCTTCTGTATGCTCTGCCACGGCTACGACGGCTCGAATGACACCAACAGAGGTGAATGGGTGATCGACGTCGTCTTGTGTGGGTTGTATACATGCTCGAACAAAGAGAAGCACTTGCTGACGCTCTGCATGGGATTTGGCATCTTTGGATAATGCTCTGCTTTCGGTATCAGCGCAAATCTGAGCAATGAGAGTCTCGGCTGACTTGATGATGTAGATGTGTATGGCGCTCTGGCTATGCAGAAGAGCAGTAAGGCGAGCAAAGTCGGTGACGAGCAAACGTAGCAACCGCCAAGTCATCGTACGGAGCGACTTTGACTGCGAGTCGTCCAGGCAAGGCATGATGCTTTGTTGAATATCTACTAGATCAAGCTGATACTTTGCCTTGGGGAATCTTCTGATGAGCTGACTGATGGAAGACATGCACGAGATCATGGCATTCTCATCCGGACGTGTCGCTTTTGCAAGCGTAGATAATCGTGTGAGCAGATCATGAAGGCGATCGGCAGGCGTTGCTCTGCCCGAGAAGCCTTCGAAGGAGACCTGATGATGCGCTTCGCCAGATGCACGACCGGAAGCAAACAGATCACCCTCCTCCTCGTCGCTCGAATAAAGCTGGTCACTCATCCAAGGTTTCGCGTTCATGACGCCGTTCGACGGAGACATCGAGCCAGGCTCGCTCGGCTGAGTGGGCTGTCTGATCCTCAAGGCTGGCGTAGCTGAAGAAGAGGAGGAGTAGCCAGAGGGCGGGAAATATCCTTTCGTTTTCGAAGCGCTCAGATAATCGATCGCGCCTGCAGTTGTCCTGCTTCGCGGTCGATTGACAGGCCAGTGGAACATATAACTCGAGCGAGATGCACTCTTGGGCTCCGGTGAATACTCCGAACCAGAGGCAGCACGAGACTTGGCCTTGTTGTCCGTCTGAGCAGCTACCGTTGCTGCTCTCCGTCTTGACGCTTTCGTCTCATTTCGAGGTGACGAAGCAGCCGAAGCTCGCTGCAACGAGTCTGCCTTCTTGCCGAGCTCAACCTGAAGAGTGTCTATCCTCGCTTGTGCACGCTCGAGCTCAGCTTGGACTTGATCTCTCAGTGCAGTCTGTTCGCTTGGCGAAGTAGGCGATGTCTGGCCCAATCCGGACGATGCGAGCAGATTGAGTGCACCGTCCTTGACGCGTATGAGTGTCTGGAGCTCCTCGTACAGCTCCTGCCATTCTTGCAGCTCGCTAGCCTCCAGTACGACCTCTCGTAGCTTGCTACTTTGCGCTGGTGAACCCTCTGTCGATGGCCGTGTCCGAGCTCTAGAAGGCAGGTCCGTTGTGACCGGGGGAGGTAGCTCGTCCACCTGCGTGCGAGGCGACGGCGGCGTCGACATGGTCAGGCCTTGGCCCGCAGCTGAGCTGCCAAGCACTTTCGGCACGGTCGACTCGTCGCGTCGCGCCTAGATTGACGCAACGATCTGACCTGCCTCTCGACTTGCTGCCACAATGGCAGACTCGATTCCGACTGCCGATGAAGTATCGTCCTTTCGCACAGTCGAAGAAGCACCAGAAGCCGTTTTACCAGAAGAAAAGCCCTCAGTGACGGCCGAGACGGCTTCAGAGGCACCCGTGAATATTGAAGCACTCATTCAGCTGGGCGACAAGCAATCTGCCTTGACCAAGTACAGAGATGCAGCCGAGACCTACTCTACAGCAGCAGAAGCATTGTACGTAGCCCCGGCGGGCCGCAATCTGCCATCTGCAGCTGAAAATGCGAGGACAGACGAGAAAAGCATGGAGACTTGCATATGGCTTCTGTGCCTGTACTCATTCGCTACGGTCGCGCCCTACTCAGAGGAGCAATACAAGCTTCTGGCGTACTGGGCTCTTCTGCTCCTGCTACTGCTCCCGCCGAACCTGCTCAGGCGAAACAGGCCAAGCCTGTTGGCAAATTGATCGAATTGTCGGATGATGAAGATGACGAGCCGGAAGAGGAAGCGCAAGAAGAAGCAGCGCCTGCCAACGGCGAAGACGAAGATGATCTCTCCATGGCATGGAATGTACTCGACACAGTCAGAGTCACGCTACTACGCGCTATTGACGCCTCGAGTTCAGCAGACGAAAAGCGACTGCATCAGCATACCCTCGTGCGCGTTCACGAACTGCTAGCGGAAGTAGCGACAGAGGAAGAACGGTTCGAAGAGGCGGCGCAGGAATATGTTGCCGCTACTGAGATCCAAACGATTATTCTACCTGATCACTCTAGGAACATGGCAAGTACGCACTACCTTGCTGCGCTCACCTTCGAGCAAGTCATCTCAAACCCTGCACAAGCGAGAGATGCCGCTGTGAAGCATGCTGCAATGGCAAAGACGATCCTCGAGAAGAGGCTGGCTTTGTTAGACGGTCGTGCAGCAACAGCAGCCGAAAGAGAGAAAGCGGAAGATGAAGCGGAATCCGATGACATTCGACCTTTGCTGTCCGAGATTGACGAAAAGGTGAGGGCTACTTTTGCTACTGATTCCTGCAAAGCTAATGACGGTTCAGATCAACGATCTGAAGACAATGGAAATAGGCGCAGGGACAGCAGCAGATGCAATCTTGCGCGATGCTCTCGCTGTCACAGGTCAAGCTGATCTCTCAAAAGCTACTCAGCCCACCGGCCCTGTGAACAGCCTTCAAGTAAAGAAGAAGCCAAAAGCAGCACAAGCGACGACGGCCAAGCGGAAAGCTTCTCCTGCTCTCGAAGAAGACAGCAAGAAGCAAAAGACCGGCGTGGAGGATAAGCAGGCCAAGGTGGAAGATGCTCGCGACGACGAAGCGTGATGTGCTGATTGTTGTACAATCCCATCTTTCGACAACATTTTGATTCAGTAGGGTCTATGTTGAGACAGAGGCGTATGCAAGTAAGGCTTGAGGCCTTCGCCAACGCCATAGTCCAGCGTCGCATAGCCGGTCTGCCCTTCCCCCTTGATTTGGTATTTGTAGCTGCTCTGGTCATGAGCTCTAGGTTGATAGATCGAGGAAGGAGGACTGACATGATGAGTCCGTCCAGACCCACAGGACCTCTAGCATGCGTCTTGCCTGTACTCACGCCTACTTCCGTTCCAAAGCCATACCGGAATCCATCTGCGAACCTCGTTGAAGCATTGACAAAGACGCCAGCGCTGTCTACCCCTCTGCAGAATAACCGTGCATCTTGTTCTGACTCGGTGATGATTGCATCGGTATGATGACTCGAATGCTCGTTGATATGCTTTATCGCTTCTTGTGTACTTTCGACCGATCTGACTGCCAGTTTGAGTTCGAGAAATTCGGTGTCAAAGTCTTCTGGCGTCGCTTGTAGGATGAGATTGCTTTGCGGTAGAGCGTGCAAAGCGGCCCTGCATTCTGGTGCAAGGCGTAGCTCGATATTAGATGCAAGGAGCGCTTTTGCTACTTCTGGCCATAGCGTATCGAGTAAGCTCTTATGGACGAGTAGCGTCTCTACCGCGTTGCAAGCGGCAGGGTACGAGATCTGCCCATCTCTTCAGCGCAAATTCTTACCGGTCTGGGATCTGCTCACCTTTGCATCGATGACGACTTTGATGGCTTTGGCGAGCTGAGCAGACTGATCGAGATAGATAGAGCACAACCCATCCGCATGACCCATCACCGCCATCCTGCTCTCTTGTTGTATGTACTTCACCAGCGAATTTGACCCTCTGGGCATGACCAGATCGATGTATTTGTCCTGATGTAACAAGGCTGCTATGTCTTCCCTCGTGCTGACGGTCTGGATGAAGTTGCGTGGCAGAGCAGTCTTGGCCAACGCGTCAGACATGATCCGCGTCAGACATTCTTGAGTCTCTAGTGATTCCTTGCCGCCTTTGAGTATGGCTGCATTGCCTGCATACAGTCCAGCCCTATGAACACCTGTCGATATTGCACAAAGTGACACGTGCCTGACTTGATGGCGAGTGCAGCGATGTTGATCATGACTTCGGGTCGCGCTTCGAAAATAACGAGCAGGACGCCGATGGGGCAGCTGATCCGATACAGCTCCAAGTCTTCATCCATCTTTGTAGCATACGTCACTTTCCCCAGCGGATCGGGCAAAGAAGCCACATCGCTTATTCCCTGCAGTACTTCGTCGAATTTCGTAGGCGACGAGCGTAAATTGAGTCTTTTGACAAGTGAGCCGCTCAATTTGCCAGCTGCTACCCCGTCATTGGCGGTCTGGAGGTGAAGTATGAGACAAATCGAGTGACCACCGAGGGGGCACTTGAAGGGCACGGACCTGCATGTCTCTTGCATTTGCAGCGAGAATCTCATCGCGAGCTGATGCTAGTGCCGCTCTGAGGGCCGACAATGCTTCGATTCGCTGATCAGATGTGAGTAGTTGAGCAGTCTCGAAGGCCCGCCGTGCATCTTGGGCGACTTGTTCCGCCATGGCCGTTGCCAAGCTGTCCGAAGCTTTGTCGACAAGGTGAGTCAGGGAAGCCACGTGACTGTTCGCGTGCCTTTGCTCGGACCGTGTTGTGGGTTGATCTACCGGTGAAGTGCCAGTCAGCGATGGATGCCGCCACTACTGACCCGTCGGCGATGTAGTGATCTGTGACGACCGGCACGACCAGGCCCCTGACACCTTGCGACGAAACTTGTAAGGCACCAAGCTAAAACAATGCAGCATCAGGCCTCGACAAATTGCCAGCGCCATTCTCGGCCGAGCAGCACCGTCGCTGCCGAGCAGAGAGACAGCCTTGTCAGCTTATGGCGAGCAGATCCGACTGCTGAGATTGTACAGCCAGAGAGTTTAGCTCAGTGCTGCTCTGTCGTCACTCGCTCGCCTTCACGAGTTTCAAAGAGTCCATCAGGCTCGTCTCGTCAGTCTCTCACACCTCAGCCTTTATGCGTGCGGGCTCAGCTGCTAGGCTTGACAGGACGAAGGAGACACAAGAGGGTCAGCAGTGATCTCATGTCAGGCTTTGCCCACGCAGACCGGCTCGCGCATGAACAGCAGCAGCATCGTCTAGCAACGCCGTCTCGACCCTCGCGCGTGTATGGGCCTTTGTCTCCGGACGGATCACCCTCTTCGCCTATCGGAACGAGTAAGAGAGCTGCCAAAGCAATACATCGAAAGCCAATCGTCTATCCTGACGACATACCACCCCAGCCAGGCTCGCCACGACCGAGAGAAAGCACCGCAGAGCAAGAAGTCTTGGCATGGTCTGCCTCGCTCAAATCTGATCTTACTGCGTATTTGCGGGCGGGCGAGCTGATCTCGGCCAAGAATTGGGACGACTTGCCATCCTTGTCGATATCACCAGGCCAAATAGACAAAGCTGGCTCACCAGCACAGCCGTCGACAGTCAAGCAACGCAGAACAAAGGAGCGACCGCGCAAAATCAAGATTGGCAATCCCCAGCCGGAGAGTATCAAAACGCCAGGCCTCATCTATGCGCCTACGCCAGCTTTGAAGGACGAGCTCCCGCTGTTGACGCCTATCAAGTCAGCTACTTCCTCGCAGGGAAAGCTCCATATCGAGCCGAAGCGGAACAGTCGCGCATCGCCGGGCAGCGAGCTGGAAGGAAGTCCAGTCATGATCGATTTCGAAGAAGCGCGCTGTCTGCCTACATTGGCCAACTCGCCCACCTCTGCCACGACGAAGAAGTCAAGGAACCCGTTCCGCTCAAGGACTTCGTCGCGCACAACGACCAAACCAGACAATCTCGTTGCTCTGCTGCCGGTCAGAATAAACGCCAAACGATCGAACTCGACCTTATCACAGGCATCGAGCAATGCTTCTCAATCTGCCAGTATGACCATCTCCAGCACAGTGACGAGTATGAGGATGAAGCCAAAGATGTTGACCAAGGCGCTGCTGGCAATCGACCGCCCTCTCCAGCCCCAGCTACCAGGTGCGAGTCCTATTGCTCCGCATTCGCCACATTTCAGCAAGACGCCCACAAGTCCGAGGCGGTACAGTGAGCCGCCGGATGTGATCATCAACCCGCCTGCAGGACCCGACGTCCCTCCTCGCAAAAGCAGCCGGTCTCGTGTTCAACGGCACTCATCGCCCACAAATGCCCAGGACGATCCCCCTGTCGAGAAAGTTACCACGGGTCAGAAGCATCGCAGGCTCAACTCCTTTGCGTCCCAACGCGCTCGAGCAGAGTCGCTCAATCCCATAGACGAGAGAAAGGCGAAGGAAGTTGCGTTTGCGCAGCCGCTGCCCTTTCCTGGTCGAGCACCTACGCCCTTGGGCGAACGTGATTCGAACAGAGCCCTCATCCAGCTCACTGAGTTCCTCGGACTGGACGTTGTGCCCACTGCGACGAAACCTCCGCCAGTACAGAAGAGCTTCTCAATCAACCCCTTCAGACATCACAAGGAAAGTCAACTGGGGCAAGCAGATTCTACCTCCCTCAACCGCAAAGCGTCCACTCGGTCTGTTAGATCATTCACAACAAAGTCGGACGTTCAGCGGCCTTCTCGACCATCGAGTAGAGCGGACGATGCGCGTCCTATGAGCATCTACTCAGATGCCAGTGGGAGCAGAGACAGACGGAGATCCGTCACGCCTTTGGCTGGCGTGTCGATCCCCGCTAGCCAGTCGCGAGATCGGCTCAATGCTGCTCTTGACGGTCCTGCAACGACTGCGCCTACTGACGATACTACCATACGGGCTGCTGCTACTTGGGCATCTTTGGTCGAAGATGAAGATCTGCTCAACAACATCAGCTCGACAGAGAGGATGCGACAAGAGATCATTACAGAGATCGTGCAAACCGAACAGCGATATCTAGGAGACCTTATGGTGGGTGTTGCAGTATTCTCAGGCGTGAGATCGTCTGATAACGATGCCACTCGTGCAGAGTATCCAAACCATCTATATTGAGCCTCTTTTGCCGCATCTCCGTTATATTGCGCCAGATGCGGAGGCCACGACTGCGCCACAAAGGCAATCCCAAGCAGAATCAGACTCCGGCAATGCGTTGTGGCCTCAGAATCTCGCAGAGTTCTACCCAAGCACGGCCGACTCCAACGGTCGCGACTCTGCAGTGGGCGAGCTACCTATTGCATCACTGTACTCTCGACGATCGAGCTCGAGTCTCAGCTATCAACAGCAAGCGTACAAGATCAATATGGTCGATCAGATTCGCTCGTCGCTAGATATGCCAGAGATCGAAAGCGAGCATTCGTCCCCCAAGCCAGATTCACTCAGCGGTCGCGCATCCGATAACCTGCCCGCAATGAAGGGTCCTGCAGCGGCTAGCGAACGCTCAAGAGCGGTCACCAATCCTCCGAAAAAGCTTCAGCGAACGCGCAAGATGCAGCAAGCAACACCGATCATCGCAGTGCCATCCAATCTCGAGCAGATATTGACTGTCCTCAGTAACGAGCTACTACCGCGACATGTCAAGATTGCGGGTCTTCTCAAAGATCGATACTGTCAGCAGTTTCCTTTGGTCAGGTCTCTCAGCGAGATTTACGCCCAGAACGTCGGTGCTTAGATATACTCTCTGCATCGTGCTGATGCCAGCAATCTCGACAGAATGATATTTACGAGCACTATGCGACGTTTACAGTTTCTTTAACAGAAGCGCTGCACGACGTTGAGGCAGCGCTGGCCTCTTTGCAGAAGACGAAATCGCCTCTTCGTGCATTCGGGCAACGCATGCAAGAGCTCGAAGCAGAAGCAAATCGTCAAGGCGAGAGCGCGTTGCGAATTGCGCTGGCTAAGCCATTTCAGCGCATGCTCAAGATGCCAATGCTATTCAAGGTCAGTAATCACTGTGCCGTCAGCATAGACAGCTGACAGAGCAAGGGTCATTGCCAGAATCTTCTGGCGCATACAGACGAAGCGCTGCCCGAACATGAGCATCTATCGACACTCTGCAACCAGATCGACGCCGTGCTCAAATCGATACAAGAAGAGAAGCTCAACGCTGAAGAAGGTCTCAAGGTCTCCGATGTGCTCGCACGCATTGCTGGCATCAATGACAAAGTCAGCTAAGATCCGCAGCTACTTGTTCAGGCTGATGAGTTGCGCAGAATCTGCTTGCGCCTTCGCCAGCGCGTGTGCTGCTTGCAGAGATGCCTGTCGTCCCGCCCGTCGCTGTTCCCGAGTCTTTCCCCAACATCCTGCAATCGGCACTCTTCCGCACAGCTGACGATGATCGGGCTGCGCCTACGCGGCGAATGTCTGGTCCGAAGAGTCAACAGGCTTCAGGCAAAGACAGTTGGCTTGTCGTCTTCAACGACGTCGTCATCCGTTGCAGACGCACAGGCAGCACTCAGACTCGAATCGGGCATTACCAACAGAGCGGATCTGCTTACGAAGGCCCGAAGCGTCATACTTACCGCTTCGAGGCTGTCGAAAGCTGGACTGCCACAACGAGGCCCCAACGCGCAGTATCGTCTTACTATGCTCAGCAACGCAACTCTTTGCTCAGTCCTGTGCCTTCGATGATACCGTGTGATCCACCTGAAGAGAATGACGAGGTAGACGACATGGCTGGCGAATTAGTCATGCCCACCCCTAAGCGCTCCTTCACCGGCCTTACGGCTACGAACCGATCAGCAAGCGCGCCGCCAAACTCATACGGTGTCTCATTTCCGCAAGGCCAAAAGAGTGGCGACGACCGTTTCGAGCGTGTCAATGCGCGCACGCATTCAGAGCCTATACCGAAGCCATCGATACAAACCGGACGACTCAAGCTGGCAACCTCGTCGCCTTATGGCTCACCTCGTCGGCCAGTCTCTTCGCCGCAGTGGTCTGAAGAGGAGAAAAGCGCGACGCCATCTCATCCAGGCGCTATGCTCGCCAACGCTTTCTACGGAAACTGAAATCTGCAATCAATCTAGCAATTCTGTAGCATGTTGTCGTATAAACGATGTTCATATCCGCAACGGCTCTTCCCTAGACGTTGCCACTACCGATCACATGTCACCGCAGGCTGTGCTGAGCTCCCCATCGAGAGATCAATGTGTGACGCAGTGACCGCCTGCAGGGTACTGGAGGAACCAGACGCAGCCCATCTATAATCTCATCGGATTGTTGTCGCTGATTGTTCAGGGAGGGGCTCACCGAAGCTGAGCAGGTTTCTGAGGTCTTGTTGTCCTCACAATGAGCAGCATGGACGACCTGACTTTGTTTGGTGGTAAGACACAGTCAGATGATGGCAGTCAGCATGCTTACCATAATCTGAGCGAGCACAAGGGAAGCAAGGACACTGCAGTCGACAAATCTCATCTTGAGCGAGTAGGCGTGACCGATTCGTTGAGGCAGTCGTCAACGAAAAGAAAGATGAGCGCGTCGAGGCGATCAAACAGAACTCTACATCGAAACGTGCGCAAAGAGTAGGACTGCGTACGAGGTTCGGGCCTTCCTTATTCAGGACGCGGTCTTGCAGACCCGAAAGCGCTGCTGCAGCCAGTCTGCCAAGTGGGTCTTGCAGATCGCAGGCAGTCTCGGTCGTCGTGTGCATTGAGGGGTGAGGATGTGAACGATGAAGTGGATACTCGGCGGAAGGTTTAGCAGGGTTGTGTTCAAGCGCAAGGTGCAGGCTCGACACGATCTATCTTATCCTGCGCGCAAACGCGAAGGTAACAGTTTACGACGTTTACTGGATCCCCCTCAGCCGCAACTCCCAGCAAAGGCTTGAGCTGAAGCACGAGCAATGGCAAAGTCAAAGAACGCATCTCGGTCAGCTGCGTGCTGTTCAGTCCTACACACGAACTGATCTTGCCGCAAATGACAGTCACAACCAGAGCAAGAAGGCTCACCGAAATGGCATCAAAAAGCCAAAGACGAACAAATATCCTGTGGGTTGCCTGCTTGTCTCAACAGAGCTCGAGCTGACTGGACCCCGATAGTCAATGAGAGGCGTACGCATCTAGACTGAAGCTCAATCACACCTCCTGACGGGTTGGGTTAACAGGTTGATGCCAAGTTCAGACGGAATGCCCGCTACGCTGCCAACGGCACAGAGAAGGCGCTGAGAGAGACTCGCAAGGCTGGCAAGGAGCAGTTGTAGATTTGCTTTTTTGCAAGGCGTGTTTCTCATACGGCAGAACAAGCATGCAACAGTCAAGGCACAGTGACAACAAGGAGAGAGATTCTTCAGAGAGCTTGCATTCTCGCGCCAGTGTTTCGCCTCGTCTGGCGGAGGAACGCATGAGTCGGATATTGCTTGCCGTTCGAATTGAGTCTAATCGGCCCTCGCGTCGACCAGGCTAAGATCGATAGGCATCGACATTGTCGGTACTTGCTCATCCGATTTGGGTTGGATCTGCCCTTCCTCATCAGATCCGTCATTGCGCAAGACAGGAAGACGCACCTTTGCAGTACCCAGACGAGGTCTTTTGGGTTTGTGCTCGAGATTGGGCATGGAGAGCGTCTCTGTCGTCTTGGCCGAGCGAATGAGAGAATCCAGACAGACTTGCCAAGCCTGATCGTCGATGTTTTCCTTGAGGAGTAGCGAGCGAGTACGTAGCCTGATCATGATCCGGATCACTTCGAGAAAGCCTTCTTTCCACCACCCGTCTGTGAACTGCGCTTCCGAGTGTTAGCTCGTCGGTGGGCATGTAAAGGAAAGGACAAACGTCGAATTGCGTGCGAACGTAGGCTTGGTTCATGATGTGAGGCTTGATGATGGGATCGATAACATCGATGAGCTGGTAACTTGCAGCACCCTTGTTGCTCAATACTTCGCCATCAAACAGATGCGTTCGTCTGCGAGTGCAAATCTTTGAGATCAGTAAGCAGGCTGACAGGGTAAACTGCCGTACCTCGCGCTGATGATGGCTTTGATCTCTCGAGGTTCCATCTGCTTGTTCATTGCCCGCAGAGTCTCGTTGTCGCGGATCTGAACTTGCTGATAACTACAGAACGGATATATCCTCAGCTACAACCGGCATAGCTTGCAGGCATTCCACTTGCAAGCGACTCTCGACATCTGCACGCGGGTCGTAGCCAAATTGGATGATCGAGTCTCGAAAGGGACCATGAGCAAATGTGTAGCCTACACCCGCCAAACACTTTCGCGCGCTGTTCATTTTCTCGTCAGCGAGGCTGGCGAGTGAAGCGAGGGAACTGACTTTGTGATGGCGCGAGCTGTTTCTGGTGGGAGGTGATTGTAGAGAGCCGGTCGAGTCCATATCTTGCGCGTGCCGTACATCTACGCACTCCATTGTCAAAGCATCTCTGATGATCTACGAGGGACGCACTGTTCTTGCAAGGTGGGCGAGCTCAGCATCGCTGGCAGTACACAGTCGACTCCATTCTGGCGGTTCTTGACTCGGCACACTTTCAACGGAATGTAAGACTTCCGTCAAGGCGATGCCAGACCAACTGGCAAGATTGTAAAGTCGTTGGTATTCTTCTCCCTGACGTACTACCGGCTTGATATGCAAGCCTTTGGCCTGATCAAAATTGTATATCGAGGGAACGTTGACTCGGCTGAAGAGGGGCGGAGGGAGCCACGTTGACGAGCTGAGGGTGAAATCTTCAGAGGGCGGTGGCATGCGGAACTTCATGATACCTTGCACCGATAGCTCTCTCATTGCCTGTGCAGCGAGCAGAGTAGGATCTGATGTTGTGGGAGGATAGGCAAATTGATGATCTGCTAGTCCACGAAAGCGGATGTTGCGCGAGACTCTGCCAACGGGCTCGATGGTGAAGATGCCATGTTCCTGTTCGACGTTGACTTGATCCCAGAGCCATTCTGCCGAAGCAGATCCTTCTTTTCTCTTGCCTTTGGTGTCATGGGGGGACAGTGTAGGATCAAGAGGAACGTTGGCTTTCTTCCTCACCCTTCTGCGCCGGATCACGCGGAATAGCAGCCCGGCCTGAGGATGGATCTCGCCCTGGATGGGATGATGACTCGGCGCATCATAGATAGACTGTGTCCTCATCTCAATCACGCTCGCAGGCTTCTTGCTCGTACTCTTCTGATCGGCCAATGCTTGTCTGATCGCTTCTATTCCGCCCAGCAGGTGAAGGGCTTTATCGACCGGCGAAGGATTCAGGCCTCCATTTTCTGGTTGTTGCGCCGGTCCGGTGAGATAGGCAGAGGGACCCGTTCGGATGGCCGAGTAGGGTGAAGGTAGCATGGATGTCGATACGCCCGAGCCAGGGTACTGTGATATGCCGACCCTACCGGGCCATTCTATGCCAAGATGCCGGGGTAAGTGGTTGTAGCGAAAGGGAGGTGCGACGCTGCTCGCTGATCGAGGAGCAGGCCTCGCTGGTCCAGTCTGACGCTCATCGATCTCGTCATCACTGCTGATGACGTACTCGACAGGGACAGCTTCCTTGTTGCTGCTCGTCGCTAAACGTCTGCCGTCATAGACTCGCGCGTCATCTCGACTCGGCGCTGCTTCGAGCGCTGCCGAGCTGGGGCCAGGCTTTGCATGTCCGTTCATAGGACCCGGCTACGTTCAGCGGATGATCATCTCACGCTGACAGGTCAGACCACCGGCAACTTGTTCGTGTCATGAACAGCGACGGACAGAGAGAGAGAGAGATCGATGGTGACGCGACAGCTGCAACTCAGCCGGGTGGTCACTCTCTGATGATGCTAGGGGCAGTGCTGGCAGTGCTTGGCTTGCTGCCAATAGCACGAGAAGCTCAGCATGAAGCAGGTCGATGCTCGATGTACGATTCCTGCGGCCGCAAAGGAGGTATATTCGGCCAAGCGCTGCCCTGCGCCGACAACGATCTCGCCCGTCCAGTCAGCTCTCACCTCCCCACATTCATCCTTCTCCGAGCTCACACGAGATGGGACAGATCAACTCGAGCTCCTTCAGGGCCGATCTAGAGCGCGTCTGTGGTCCTGCAAGCGATATCGTCTCTGGATCGCCATCGTGGGACACGGCATGCTGTACTCCCGACCAACTGTCCACGCTATCAGACTCGCTACAGCAAGCAGAGAGTCTCATTGCACTCTGCCCTGCTTGCAAGACCAACTTCAGGCGGTTCTACTGCGCCTTTACCTGTTCGCCCGATCAGTCACTCTTTGTCTCTATTGCTCAGACACAGAACCTATCTGCTCATCAAGCCGCCTTCCCGCCAACCTGGAACCTCAATGATGACCTTGAGACTGCAGGCAGTGGCCTTGCAGTCAAGACGGTCGACTTTCACGTGGACGAGCGGTTCGGTGCAGGATTCTTCGATAGCTGCAAGAATGTCAAGTTTGGTGCTACGAACGGACTCGCAATGGACTTCCTAGGAGGAGGCGCGCGTAACTGGCTCGCTTTCTTACGCTACATGGGCACCGAACGGCCAGGCTTGGGATCACCCTTTCAGATCGACTTTCCTCAGGACGACGTAGCGCCATCGATCGATCCGCTCAATTTGGCACCGCTCAATTGCTCCTCGGCAGACCTCGATGCAAGATGCGCATGCGCAGATTGTCCGGACAATTGCCTCGCTTTACCGGACCGGCCGTCTCCGGAGGAAGAGAGACAGCAGAGATGTCATGTCGGAGCAATCTCTTGCTTGTCTTTCGCAGTCATCATCCTCTACTCGCTCATCCTGGTCGGACTCTGCCTGGGCATCGGCATCAATACCCTCTGGGACAACCGAGCAAATCTCTTGGCCCAACTGCGGCATCCTACCGTTTCGAATCCCTTCACACTGCAGCGGAACACCAGCGATTCTGACTATGATCGCGTGCCCCTCAACGAGGGCATGAACGAAGATAGCCCGCGATCAAAAAACACAGCATTGAACAGTGGCCCACCTTCTGCAAGCTCGTCTGTTCGCTCACGTACGCAACCGCCCAGCAGCTCGAGCTCGGGCAACAAGTCTTCTCGACCGCCATCAGGCTCATCCGGCGTAGCCTCGTCTCCCGAGTTCTCCTTGCGTCGAGGCGGTCTGGGTCGAGGAGCAGCTGTGCTGACACAAGACCCTCTATCAGCCTACCAGCCTCGAACATACTGGCTCAACGAGATCATCTCGCAGACCTTTTACAAGATCGGACTGGTGTGCGCTTCGTATCCGCATCTGACGATCGCCATCGGTCTAGCTATTGCAGGTCTGTTGAACGCTGGCTGGGCGAACTTCCAGATCGAGAGAGATCCGGTCAAGCTATGGGTTGCTAAGAATTCGGCAACAGCCATCGAGAAGGATCTCTTCGAGCGAGACTTCGGACCGTTTTACAAGACCGAACAGATCTTTCTGACGGACAAGAACGAAAATGTACCTGTGCTCACTTGGGACAGACTGCAATGGTGGTCTACTGTCGAAGAGAGGATACGAGCCGTCAAAACAGAGCCCAATGGTTCTCTTGCCACACTGTGCTTTGCTCCCACGGCGACCGACCCAGCGCACCAGAACGCAGATGACTGCGTCATCCAGAGCTTCACGGGCTATCTGCCTCCGAAACAGCGCGGGCTTGACGAATCGAACTGGGCAGACAGACTTGACGAATGCGCTACTAGTCCAGCGAGCTGTCTGCCCCCGAGTGGACAGCCACTCAACCCTCGTCTGCTCTTTGGCGGCATACCTGGCTACAGTGGCGAACGAGGTGCAGACAGGGACGAAAACGAAGATGTGCCTGCGCATGAAGCGCGCGCACTCGTCATCACGTACGTCATGCAGAATTCGCTAGATAAGCAGAGGCTCTACGATATCGAAGTATGGGAATGGTTCCTGCAGCACTTGCTAGCCGACGTCGCGAAAGAGGCGGACGAGAAGGGGCTGAAGATGTCTTATTCGACTGGCATATCCCTCGAAGCCGAGCTCAACAAGTCCACAAACACAGACATACCCATTGTCGTGCTCTCTTACCTGCTCATGTTCCTCTACGTCTCTCTGAACTTGGGCGGGAGCAGCATACGTCTTTTCTTTCAACTCGTCGCGCGATCCTTCAAGAAGGACTTCGCTCACGTTCAAGCACGCATATCTGCGCGCCGTGGGCCTATAGCGCTGCCAGCAGAAGAATCGCAAGCAGACGAAAAAGATCTGCAATGGCAGGATATCTTCGTCGAATCAAAGTTCCTGCTAGGCTTGTTCGGTATCGCTATCGTTCTGCTCTCGGTCTCCACATCCGTCGGTGTCTTCTCGGCGATGGGCGTCAAAGTCACGCTCATCATAGCAGAAGTGATACCCTTTCTCGTCCTGGCAGTCGGCGTTGACAATGTCTTTATTCTCTCGCACGAAGTGAGCAAACAGAATGCGAAGGCGGCAGATCGCATCGGTTTGGCAACCAATGAAGACGGAGAAGGGGCTTTCGAATCGCTTGCGCCCGCTGAAGAGCGGGTTGCAAAGGCACTTTCGCGTATGGGACCCTCGATACTGCTCAGTGCATCGTGCGAGGTCGTCGCATTCGCGCTTGGCAGTCTCGTCGGCATGCCAGCCGTGCGCAACTTCGCCATCTACGCAGCGGGCGCGGTCGCCATCAATGCTCTGCTGCAGATCACGGTCTTTGTTGCAGCTATCGCTATTGATTTGAAACGAACTGAGGTGCGTTCAAATTTTGCTCGAAGCTTGCTCGGAGCTGACAGCTGGCTCGATCATAGGCAAACAGAGTCGACTGCGTGCCCTTTTTGCAAGCCGGGAACGTCAAGCCTGCGCAAAGATATCGAGACACACATCGAAGCGGATTGACTCAGCTCGTGCACGAATATGCAGAAGCGCTGCTCAAGCCAGCAGTCAAAGCAGGCGTGCTCGTCCTCTTCTCCGCTCTCTTCATAGCATCGTACGTTACCTCGCAAAACGTTCAGCTCGGCCTCGATCAACGACTTGCACTGCCATCCGACTCTTACCTCGTTGATTATTTCAACGCGCTTGATAATTGGCTGGACGTAGGCCCGCCTGTCTACTTCGTCGCGCAAGATCTTCCCATCCAGTTCCGCGAGCAGCAGGAAAGCGTTTGTGGACGCTTCTCGGCGTGTCACGATCGGTCGCTCGCAAATCTGCTCGAAGCCGAACGCAAGCGATCGAAATCATCTTTTCTGTCCGAGCCACCTGCTGTCTGGCTGGACGATTTCTTCCAATGGCTTAATCCGGCACTTGAGGACTGCTGCAGAGTCAGATCTAGAGACAAGACACAGTTCTGCAGTCCTAGCGACTCAGATCTCGACTGCGAGCCTTGCTTCGCCAGCAGGGAGGATGAATGGAATATCACAATGCAAGGCTTGCCACAAGGCGAAGAGTTTCACCAGTATCTGGAGCAATGGCTCAAATCGCCAACAGACGAGTCGTGTCCCTTGGGCGGCAAGGCGCCATATAGCACAGCTGTGGCTCTTGACGACACTGGCGTGACAGCTTCCCACTTTAGAACATACCACACACCACTCAAGACCCAGAACGATTTCATCGACGCATTAGCTGCAGCTCGCAGGATCTCACGCGAACTCACAGAAGCTACAGGGGCTTACGTATATGCCTACTCGCTGCCTTATGTCTTCTTCGACCAGTACGAGGGCATTCATATCACGACACGACAAGTCATCTTCGTCAGCTTAGTTGCCATCATGCTCATTGCTAGTCTCCTGCTCGGCTCTTGGCGCACTGGCGCAGTCTTGACCGGCGTTGTCTTCATGTCGACAGTCAATGTCATGGGCGTCATGGCAATCTGGGGCGTCAGCCTCAATGCGCTCAGTCTCGTCAATCTCGTGATCTCAATGGGCATCTCTGTGGAATTCTCCGCCCATATCGCTCGTGCATTCATGGGCGCAAATGGCGGCGGTCTGCCGCACGGTCATCCTGCAGGTGCCAAAGAGCGCGACGAGCGCGTATGGACTGCACTCACTGACGTTGGTCCATCGGTATGTCTGTCATGCTGTCTGTGCAATATCTGCTGATTTGCACACTAGGTTTTCTCTGGTATCACGCTCACAAAGCTCATCGGCATCATCGTAATGGCCTTTACACGGTCAAAGCTGCTTCGCGTGAGTGTCTCTCTCCTCCATTCCTGTCCATGCTGACATATAGTGCCAGATCTACTATTTCAGGATGTGGCTCGCGCTCATCATTTCTGGCGCACTGCATGGCCTCGTCTTCCTGCCAGTCGCGCTCAGCCTGTACGGCGGACATGGCTACGTGCTTGACCGCGACGATGACCTCTTCGGAGAGATCAATGAACGATATGAAGAGGCAAACCCACTCATTCGAGACGACGACTCGCAAGCATCTGTTTAGCATTACCCCTTTGCAGCCGATTAGGCTCACTGTGATCATGTTGTATACCGCCTGCATTAAGTTTCGTGTACTTCGTGAATAGCGGCAATGGGCATGGGACGAGGGACTCGATCGATCTGCGCCTCCAGCAAGGCTTCTTTGAGCGCATCGCCGGACATATCCTTAGCGTCCTCGTCCTCCTCATCGATATGGGCAGCGCCGAGCTGCGACATTCAATCAGCAGCCGAAAAAATACGCAACTTGGATGCTTACAGCTTCCGCGCGTCGAAATATTTCGCCCTCTTCGAGCGTAAAGATCCTGCTTTGGCTTTCCATAGGCGAGCGAGGGCACTCTTCCGGCTGCGGATCGTGTACGAGCTCTAGGTCGCTCGGTCTCGTGCCCTTGCGAGAGGACGTAGACGCCTCGCTCGGCCAGAAGCGTTCGGCACGTGCAATGAGATCTGATAGCCTGTCGTGCGCAGATTGCAGCTGTGATCGCTGCGCCATCGGAGGCGGCCTGGACAACGCCGCGGCAACCTGACCTGAGGCCTCACGAGCCGAGGCAAGTATATCAATAGCGACACGGTTCTGGTCTTCCGTGGCTGTCTGAGTTTCTGCAGCGCTGATGATCTCCTCGAGCACGTCGCAGCAGTCGAGACCAGATGTTGCGAGATCGACCAGCTCCTGACGCGCAGCCTGCTCAGCGGGCGTCTCGATAGGATCCTTGACGCCGCCTTGCTGCAAAAGCTGCAGATCCCGAGCAACCGCTGACTTTGAGATCAGGTTGACGGGCGCTTTAACGCCACGAGCGCGAGAGTCGGCTTCAGCCAGCTCGGTATTGCGAATGCAGCTTTGCAAGATGTCTTGTGATAGACGAGCGTAATCCGCATCATTGGCGGGTATATTGAGATCGAGACAGCGCACAGTCCGATTCATCTTGAGCGCCGCGGCCAGCGCCATGACGCCAGCGATGCCAACCTGAGCCCACAATCAGTCAGCCCTAACCGGTCAGAGCAAAGACAGACATCGTGATTCTCTGTGAGGTCCAGGTGGAGAAGATGCTTGACGTCTGGTAGCCGCTCAGCGAGATTTATAGCGGCCTCGGAAGTCATGTCAGTCGAGTTGAGGAAGATTCGGACCAGCCGGCTGTCGTACGTCAAAGCGGCCCGCAGCGCAGCAACCTGAGCGAATGTCAGCGCGCAAAGAGTAGAGTGCTTATGTACGCACGCCAGTAGTCGAAGGGCCACAGCACGGGTTCTTGCTGAGATCGAGCGTCTCTAGCGTCGAATTGAATTTCTAGGCGTACAATGAGCCAAAGTTTGACTAGTGCAGTGTGCTTACCAGCGCCTCTGCTAGAGTCGCAAGACCTTGCGCATCGATCTTGTTCTCGCTGAGATTGAGTACGCGAAGGGTTCGATTGCGCTTGAGAACTTGTGCTATATAGAATATGCCGCCCTTGATATCATTATTCTTGACGTCCAGCGTCAAGAGAGAGCCAGTGCGAGGCAGGGTCTCTAGCTGCTTCTGCAGCCTGAGACGGACAGAGGACGATTGCCAGGCCTCGCGATCGTTGCTAATTCCATCTCGCAACGGCGAGCCGTTCATATTGATCGTGCGAGTCTGGATGGGTATAGTCTCTTGACGAGCAGTAACGGTATTGCCGAGCTCCGCGTCGCTGTTGGCGAAGAGATAGCGATCGTCTTTGCCTTCCTTCGGGTCAACGTGGCCTATAGTGCCCGGCACGAGAGGGTAGTCCCTGATCATGATGGCCAGAGCGACCGCGCCCAGATTGTTGATGCGATTACGCCTGAGGGAGATATGCTGGAGTGTAGACTCGCGCACCGATTGAGCTAGTGCTTCCAGCGCTTGTGACTTGAGGCCGCAATTCTCTAAACGGATGGATGTGACAGACGATGGCTCATGACCTCCGTCTTTCAGGTTTGGCGCACCAGGCCATAGCGGCCCGCTGTCCTCATCGTCACTGCCTTTTGGGGAAGAAGGTTGGCTTGCGCTGGATGCTGTGGAAGGAGTGTGGAGTGCAGAGGCGAAAGCTTCTATGGCTCTTCGGTCCAGCGTGTTGTCCGAAACGTCAAGATACTTGACCGAGCGCGTCTGCATTTCGCATAAGCAGAGTGAGCAGCGTACATCAGGACTGCGGATGAGCTTACGCGAGCTATGAAGACGGAGAGCAGTCGCCAGCCTCGTGACCGTATCCGCTTATTATTAGCCAAGCTCAGAGTTGGCAGCTGCCCGGATACGAGCAGCGCGTGTAGTAATGGTTTCAGGCTCTGTCAGCGTGAAGATCAGCTGAATCTTGCTCTGTAATGGACGACTGACATCGTCGTCGAGACCGCAGTCGTCCAGAACGAGCTTGGTCAAGCCAAAGTCAACCGACAGGACATCACCCAAAGCAGCTACAGCGCCATGCGTGAGTAACTGATTCGACAAGTCAATGACGCGTGGCGGAGATGTTGGATTATCCTTCAGCAATCGCCGAAGGGTCGTCAGGCCTGGTTCCTCTCTCGTCCTGCAACACTCTTCGTACAGTCGTCCCAGCTCTTCGCCTGACCACATTTTCCTCTGGGCCATATCGAGCCGTCGCTGGGTATTCACGCGCTGGCGAGTGACGGATTCTGCTTCTGGCGCTTCTGCCGCGTTCAGTGGGTATACAACGGTGAGAGATGACATTGTGAATCTAACAGACTTCAGGTTAGACACTGATAATTGACTGCTTGATGATGGCGAGCTTGGTATTGGTTTCTGAGGCTGTGGATCACTCTGCTCGCTTTCTTGGACGGGTATAGCACGCGACTGCGCTGCGTTTGAGCGTTGCTGCTCTGCGGCCTGACTCGCGGCTGCAGCCGCAGCACTGATTCTTCCGATGGCATTGCGAAAGAGGCCCGAAGGCGCCGCGCTGGAGGTGACTGTTGCGCTGGTGCCAGAGTCAACAGATCTGGACGTGTCACTCGAGGCATTGCCGTTCGCGTGCTGACTTGGCGCTTGTCCTGATGCTAGGCCTGCAGCGGCGGCGTAGAAGGACCCATAGCTCAGCTTGACATTGTTTAAGGGTTGTATGATGTCTCGCTTGAATGAGAAAGCTTTCTGAGCAGGAGCAGGAGGAGCCTTAAGAATTGATCGCTTCGGCGCCTTATTCAGCCTCGCGGGCCGCTTGGGTGCTGCGGGTGTAGCTGGAAGCGGCGTGTCATCTCTGAGAGCTCCCGGATGCCTCGCTACTCCTCGACTGCCGGGGTCCAGTGAGGAGGCGCGAGGATTCGCCAACGCTACTGCAGACGGCCCACTAGCTACTGTCGCCGTCGCCTCCTGCAGTGCCTGACCTGCTCTCGGCAGATGAGGGTGTGCGAACGGTTTTGATCTGTTGAGGGGCACAGCTCGCGTCAAGCTTGGCGGGCTGTCATCAAGCGATTCAAGCGCTGCAACGAGATTTGGCTGATCCGTCGCGCCTTGCTGCGCGGCCGCTTGCGTGCCAAGGGATGGACTCTCATTCGTCGGACCGGCTGGCGGCGCTGGCGAGGGGAAGTCCATGCCAAAGGCAAGGGCAGCTGTGGCACACGACGTCGCCGACGCTCAGCAACGGCGACGCGGAGAACACGTCACGTTCAGTTGAAAGTATCAACTGAATATACGCTGAGCGCTCCTGTACGCGTCTTCTTCGACCGGATTTGGTTCGCGGGAAAATTTGAAGGCGTCGCTGCCTTGCCACTAGTGCACGCGGACCCCACAACAAGTCTATCTCTGACCCGGTCCTCTGGAGTGATCTCTCGGTGCCACGGTACCACGACATTTCCGGTATTCTTCGGTCACTTGTTTGCCAAGTCACAGGATTCCGGTCACAGTCTACCTCGGCAGACCGGCGTCGAGACGGATCTTCAGTGCCTGGATGACCCAGAAACTCGTCTCTGCATTGTTGAAGTTCACAAACGCATCGAGTGACGCCATGTGCTGTGCGAGATGGCAAAGAGTAGACGTTTCATCGGGCGCATTCATTAAGCCTTCCCTCTTCCTCGACTACTGGTCATTCAGTTGCGAGCAAGATGGTCGCCATTGCGAGCGCAGACTATGCGACACAAGCTCATGCCGACAAGGTGCTCGGTCCAGAGATTGCCGGCTGGGCTCTGTCGTCAGTAACGATGCACACGTACCGGCGTCGATGTACTGACCCTGCGGAGGAGCACAGTCTGATGGCATTGTCATATTCGCACGCTCGTACCTATGATTACTTCCGAACGTTCAGGCAAGACCGCCGGCTCGTCATTGCGCTCGTCGTCGCCATCACTCTTTGCACGACAGCCGTCGGTATTCTCAATTTCTACGTGCGTCATTCCGAGGAGGTCAAGTGATGGGGCTGATAGTAGCACCAGTGTTTGTACTTTCATTCTGTCTCGCAACTGCGTACGGATATGTACATCTCCCGCGTCATCAGACCAAGCGCAATCACATCCTCAATTGCCAGCATCGTGGCTTTCCTTACTCAAGTCTACTTTGCAGAAAGATGCTATCGTGTAAGTCGATCGCTCGGATAGAGACGAATATGCTCACGGCTTTTGCAGATGATTGGGAAGCGAGGACCGGTACTGCTTCTCGTCGTCTTGCCATTCATGCTGGCAGGCGCTGCAGGAGGCTTTGGGGTCTCTTACGTCCAGTTCAAGTATCAGGGTTGGGCAGCGTCTTACGGCCCACTCTACATCTGGATGCAACTCTGGCTCTGGGGCAACGCGGTGAGCGACATCATCATCACTTCAGCCTTGTGCGTTGCCCTCTTGAGATCTCGCACGGAGTCACACGCTCCAGCGACCAACGCCCTCGTCTTCCGAGTCGTCACCGTGTCACTCGAGAGCGCAGGCTTAACGACACTGACCGCTATTGCGGCTATCGTGTCGTATCTGCCTTCGTACGCTTCGAACAACGCTTCGATGGTCTTCACGTCTGTTCTGCCGATGATGTACGCCATCTCGCTGCTCTACGCTCTCAATTCTCGCAGCGCATTGCGAGCGCAAGCCGAGCAATCCTCTCTCATTGCAGCATCAGAAGGATCACGTACGCGCTCGTTCGATCGAAGACCCAGCTATGCAGCTTCTCGAAAGGCTTCAGTCGGGCAGATGCGAAAGCACAGCCTTGCGCCGAGCTATAGCTCACCCGTCCAGCGAGATTTCCCGGGCGTCGGCGAGCAGACAGGCTTCGGGGCAAATCATACTGCAAGACCAGAGACACTGCGAATCGAGCTGGGGGGTGCAACAGTCTTACCCTATCTGGTCTCGCCTCGCTCGGAAGGTCCTTGTCCCGCCTACCCATCTCGGTCTCCTGCCGCTATTGCTTTTGCCGATCCGTTCAAGTCGCAAAACGAGCCAGCAGCTCAGCCGACGCGCAGACCGTCGCTTGCGTACCCTCGTCCTTCTGTCGGCGACATCAGAGAGGAAGTGTCAACGATCACCCGAGCAGGGAGTCTGAGCAGCCGACCTTCGTTCAGTGAGGTTGCTCGGCCATTGTTCGGTGCTCAGTCTGCTATTGACGGAAGACGACCGTCTTTGGCTCCCGTGGGACGCCCGCTGTATCCTGCGGAACCCATGCCCGGTCGATCTGTCAGTATCTCAGTCGGACCTCAAGTGATCGTTCCTGCGCCATTCGGTTCTGCCACAAGACTATCTGCCGTAGAGAGTGTCGTCTTTGTGGGCGATCTAGCAAGGGACAGCGTCATGTTTACCACCGTCACCACTACTGAGAGCGACAAGAGCTGATTGCATCTGTAGCTCCACCTGTCGACATCATCCCCAAGCGTCTAAACATCTGTGATTGTATCTGAACCACAAGGGCTGTGCGAATGCAAGACTAGAAGTACAACATGAAGCAGTGATGTCTGTCGTTAGTACTTTTGATCTTCCCCTAGCTCAGCGGAGAAGCCTCGCTGGTCGAGTAAGATCTTGTCTCGCTTCTCTTTGAGCGTTTGCCGCCTGTTCGCTTCTTCCTTGACCACGGGTAGCAGCGTATGAATTGGCGCTTGGTTCAGTCGTCGCGGCGGCTCGTCCTCTAGCTCGAGATCCTGCGAATCGTCTTGAGCGGGGCGTACACGGTACTGAGGAGGAGCAGCTTACGATCTCACCCAAGAGAGCGACGTTCTCCCCTCTGACGAGGTAGACGCCTACTTGTCGTTCTGCAATCGTCTGGCTCTCTGGGTGATAGATCTGTTCGATCGTGTCGCAGAGCACGAAATTGGCTGCCTGATCGGTCAGCACGGTCAGCAGACGACCGAGTACGATGATGCGGACCATATTGATCGTATGATCTGAACATGCCCATGAGTTTCCTCCCATCTCGCAAGACGACGAGCACTTTCTCTGAAAAATGAAGCGACTCGGTGTCTAGCTCGCGGGCAAGCGGAGTGAGCATGAAGAGAGCTGACTGTCTACTGTGTCTACCAGTGCGCCCGATGTCGTAAAGGCGACATTGCTGAGCGCCTCTACCGAGTTCATGGCTCGGCTCTCTTGGGTTTCGCTTTGGCGCGACTGCTTTGGCCACTTCGGCCTAGCAAGAACGCCGGCCGTGCTCAAGCTCACACCTCGCTACACTCCAGATGGAAGGCGACGGACGTCCTGCTGGACGAGGACGAGAGGGCGTACAACCTCCCTCACCGGAGAAGGTGGCAGTAGCAGCAGCATTCGCCAAGAAAGTGACGATCGTCACTTGCTGTCTCACGCTCGGACTGGGACTGTCCAACCGGTATCGGTACCGAGTCATGCGCAATGTCACCCGAGGTGTCGGCTTCACTCCCGAACGAGCCGACCTGTTCACGCCGCTGCTCCAGATGGATTTGCTCCGTAAAGGCCACGTCACGTCGAGCGAGCTACAAGGAGCTTGGAAGGAGTTCATGAGCAAAGCATCGAGTCTGCCGGAGAAGGAACAACAGAAGCTCTACGAGGCCGGTCAGGCGATGCTCAAGGATGTGATGAGGACGAGGAGTAGTCAGACTGGCGAACGGAGGGCCTTTGTCAGAGGATTGGTCTATGGCAGTCTGGCCTCACTGATCTACGTTCAGCTCGCCTCTAGCGGCTTCAAACGACGCATCGAAGCAGTAGATGCCAGTGCGCCCAGACGCGAGCGATACATACCGCCAGATCAGCGAGCGGGTAGATCGACAGAGGAGATCGAACTGCAAGATGCCGAGGATACTCGCTTGGCAGCTTACTTTGAACGCGACACGAACGCTACCGAGCAATCTGGCGGGCAAGAGAATGTGCCTGTACAGGCTATGTCTGATTCTGCTCGATCGAAATGGGAAGAACTACGAAAGGGTAAAGACGCACAGCAATCTACTTGGGCAAAGATCCGAGACGAGGCCGGCAGGAAACGACAAGAGCAAATGACAGCCAGTCCATCTTCTTCTGCAAGAGGTCTGACGAGCGATGAGAGCTCGAGAGACAGGAATGATCGCTTGCAGTTCAACGAGGATCAAGACGATGCAGCGAGGGAAGCGAGGAAAGAGGCGGAGCGACAACGATTCGCAAAGCTCATGGAGGCCGAGCGGAAGGGAGGAGAAGCGGCAGATCGTATACAGATCAGCTGATTGTATGCTACCTGCTCGTTCGTCTGCATCGCTTCCCACTGTTATAACAACATCATGACATTTTCGCATTTGAGAAGTCCATCTCCGGATGCGCATCCTGAAACTTGCGTAGCATCTGGCTCTCTTGCTCAGTGATATGTACCGTGCATTCAGTGAGAACGTACCTCGTGCTTCTTTTGCTCGTCAGACGTAGGTTTGCCCATTTGCTACGTCGCAAGCGATGCTCAGCCATCCGACATGCCAGACTCGGGTGTCCTACCTTTTGCTGATTGTCAAACTGCAAGCAGACCTTCAGTCCACGCTTGTCTGAGAAACTACAAGACAGACCATCATCTTCTCGACCATGGCGCGCGTCTCGCCATCAAGTTCGGATAGTTTTGAGTTCTCGGGATTGATCTTGGTTGTATCGATTGTGGGACCGCCCTTGATGACACAGTCCCACCACCCCATCTGTGATACCTTTTCTAGATGAAGACCAATTTCCTTCTGATCATCTGCCGACCTTGCTCACTTGAGCTCGCTGCATTCGAGCCTGAGGAGGCATGCAAACCTAGTGACCAAGTCGAATCGTCCAACTTGATCTCCTTGCACAATTCTCCGTCGATGATGGGCTCCTTGCCTGTGATCGTGCTCACTTGAGCTGCGCTTCTCAGGTGTGTACGCTAAAGACACACCCTTGAGACCGACTTTGAGGCGCGTTTTCTTGATGTCGACCGTCAGATCTCTCGCTCGTGTCCCCACAGGCACGGGTATGATCAAATCGACCTCTCCAAGCGTCTGCCGCCAAGTGTACGGCAATGATGCTTGTCCTTCGTCTTCCAACCTCTTTCGTTCTGCAAGGCTTGCTCAGAGCGTGTAGCGTGCAATGAGAGACCGGAGCGTACCTGCATCGTGCGCCTTCTGCTCCTCTGGTGATAGTGCGTCGTACTCTGCGACTGATAGCTTCTTGATGGCCGACATGAGGTTGTCCGAAGCGCTGAGGTAGCCGGCAGCTGATGGCGCGAAAGCGCGAAGTCGAATGATCGAACGGAGCAAAGTTTCTGAGGAAGCACTGTCGCCCTGTCCACACCCCTCCCTTTCACCCTCCCCCTCTGCCTCGTCAGGCCTCGAGAAACAGACGGGAGCAGTCGACAACACGATTCGCGATGCCTTTTGACGGCTTGCGTGTACGAGTCGGCGTGCAACGAGGACGTCGAGAGTGATGTCTATCCTGCGACACGACCCGTAGACGAACCGCACACTGCGCTATCTGCTCCGCGTGACAACAGCGTCTGCGAGCATTCGCGCTTCGAGCGGATTGAATCTATCGAGTCTGCCTTTGCCGGGTAGAAGGCAGACGACAAGTCAGCCAGCCGAATTGCAGATGTAGCGCCAATGATCAAGGCATAACGCATCGAGCCATGAATACAATGTAGACTACCAACGCAGACTCCATGCAGCCTTGCGATCGCTTCAATTTGGCGTCTCGTTCCGATGAGGTCATCCAGCCTGCCTCGATCGACGACAGCGACCTCGGCGCGTGCACGCAGAGCCGAGCCTGAGGAGACGAGCCTACCCAACCAGACTGCAGCTCGCTCCGCACCATACCGAACGATCTCCCAACGCCACAGCCGACAGCCAGACGTCAAGAGCTCATCGTGTTCGAACATCGCGCACCTTCGCAAGGCCTCTGCACCCGTGCCCTCCATCCCGCCGAGGTACGCTCGTCGGCTTACCCATACCCTATCAAATTGGCTTGGCCTAACAAGTGGCTCGAGCCCGCACGCTCTGCTCTTGAGTCCGCCAATCTGCCTGCTCAAGCCGGCCACACCATCACTTGGGTCGGCCGAAGAGCTGCACACGCGCGGCGAGGCTACCTGACAGACGGAACTTCGATCGCACCGAGACCAGACTGATGGGACTGTGATGTCCACTGGCCTCTTGCTCCGCCGATATCGCCACGCGTGGTCGGTCCCTCAGCGATAGTCTGCCCGGCCAGCTATTAGACCGACAATCGCTACTTGAGCCTGGCGACTCTTGCAGCAGGCTATCGTACTCTGGCTTGACGGTCGTTGACTCATCTCTGATTGTCTATCTACTATGAGACATGCCTGAGCGGTTGCACTGATTCAATCGCGATGCCGACCAAACCGAAGAGCCATCATTGAGAACGAAGATGACCTGGGCGGAGGAGGCGGTCTGTCGAAACTCCACCAATGACGCGTGAGTCGTGCAGCTAGTGGCGGACGACGTAGAGGTGGTGCAGGACACCTCGAGTTGCGCAGCTCGGAGCTGACAAAGAGCCCCAAGAGCTTCTGCGATCAAGCTTGCGATAGGATCGTCAGGACGATAAAGCGACTGCATCATGCGCTCGATGTCTTTCTGAGCGCAATCGGATGCACTGCTCTATGTGTCGGCGCTCATTAGCGATGAACTCGTGACAGGAACGGGACGCCCTGCTTGCGCTCGCAAAAAGGCACTTCTCGTCTCTGAGGCGAGAAAGCGGGGTGTACGGATGGAGAGCATCGACCGCTGGTGAATCAGGCGTGTTACCTCGACCACTCGAGCGCTCTCATCGCTTTCTGCGAGCTGTTCATCAGCGCGGCTGTAGGATGAAAGTGTGCATCAGACTGAGAGCTCGATGTATAGGCAGGCGCTAGAACAGATCCTGACTTGCCTTGCACGCGACTGATATCTGATCTGATCAGCTGATCATCGCCTCGCCGCCTGCCGTCCAAGAGTTTCCAGGAATGGCAGCCATGAGCGTCTCGCCGGCGCTGGCTCGACATGGATAGCATCTGCCTGCGAGATCCGTCGCGAAGCTAGCATGGACGTGCAACAGCAGCAGAATGCCCGAGGCAACTTTGGTGCGTCATCATCGCTTGAAGCCACAGTATGGCTCAGATCTAGCGATGATTGCAGGCTATGTGCTCGTCATCATACTCATCTTCTGGCTCATGTCCAACTCGCAAGATGCGGCACAGGAAGAATACCTCAGGACGGCCATCGGTCGACGAACGCACGAGCGTGACGCCTTGATCGGTTGGATCTATGGCAATGCGACGAGCTATCAAGCCAGAGAGGACGCGCTGCTTCATGACAACTCGACCGGGCCACTCGTAGATGAGCCGGCCGACGCAGAAGTCGAAGGACGAAAGGCGTACAACTATACGCTCGCCATGCCAAACTTTCTGTTTGCCGCGCCAGAGCTCACCGCGCTCACGGATGCACTACAGCTGCCCGCGCCGGCGTCCACGCTGTACTATCACAACGTCACAGGGTTCCTGAAGGGTTCCTGGAGACCTATCAATGTCTCCTTGCCTCTGCTATACGAAAGCAAGCTAGTCGACGACACGCTCAACGAGACCGTCTCTGTACCCAAGCCACCACCGGCATTCCGCTTCAACAGGACGCTCAGCCCTCCTGCTGAACCAGAAACCATGAACATAAGCAAAGCAGAAGCAGCCAGGGGAGCTATCGTCAGGACGCGCGGTTACTTTCCCTGGAACGCTACAGAGGGAGGAAGGATCTCTATCAATGTCCGCCAGAACTTGCCCTGGCTTGCACATGCCGACTTGGCCTCTCATCCTCGACTGCTCAAGCAGGAGGTTGCAAGGACGGATGTCGGCGGCATGGAAGATCTCTCGATTTTGCGCGGCTCGTTCCAGCTCGACAACGGCGAGCGCGGAATTGAACTAGACATCGAAGGCGTTCACAAGATCTCAAACGGATCGTTCTACTTTATTGCCGCACCCTCCTTTATGGGTCTCGATCCCCGCATGCTGCCTGCACTCGCCAAGACGTCGACGATGCGCAACCTGACGGCCAAACTCATAGTATCTGAGCTCGATGATCGGATCAGACGCGCTCAAGCATCTCTAGATGAACAGAACTATCCATCGAGCGGAGGTAGTCCAACACAGGACGGCGTCTACGCTCAAACGCCCACTTGTACTTTCATAGGCTACGGCCAGCTCGGTCAGGTCGTTGCCGCCAACGCTGCACGACTTGACGAATTCGAGTCAGAGATGAGCGATCCGACGGGTGTCAGTACGGTGCCGATCAAAGCGCGCAAATCTCGAGTGATCATGTACAGCGAAACTTGTCAGCTCGTCATAGAGATTGATGACCTCTCTCTGTTGCACATGGAGACGTTTTGGGCAAAAGCGAAGAACTACGCCGCTTTCGTTGGACTCGTAGCCGTCATCCAGACATACTTGCTCATTCATCAGATGGAAAGCACCTCCACGCCGACCAGCGTGGCCAAAGTAGCCTATGGCACGATCACTATGCAAGTAGGCATGGATGTCTACTTCTTTATCGCCCACCTCACCTTGGGCGTCGTGACCGACAACGATGCCTCACTTGCACTCATCGTGCCTGCTTTTCTTGCTTGCTGCTCCGGACTGCTCTTTGGTCTCCGATACGCTGCTATCATCAAAGTAGCAACGACGCCTGCAAGTCGTACTGCTCCTGTGGCTGCCACGCCTGTCGTGATTCCGCAGCCTGCCATCAGTGCCGACGGTCAGCCACCATCGGCTACTGCTGCTCAGTCTACGATTGAGGACGTGAACGAAGATTCGGCGGAGAGCGCGCCCTTGCTGCCTGTAGGAACGCCTGCGGCCCCTGTCTCTGCCACTCTGCCGCCTGCTCCACGCATCGCCCGTCCCTGGTATCTCGACGAAGACTCCGCGATGTGTATGTCTGTCGATTCAGCCATTGCTGATCATATTGAGTCTCCGCGCAGGGTTTATACTGTTCGCTGGCAGCGTGACGGCCGTCCTCATCGCAGTGCTCTTCTTCGGCTGGGTACCCATCCTTATTGCCGCACTGTATTCCTATTGGTGTAAGTCTGCTACGATCTGAAACGAGGTTGTCTGAAGATGATCAGCAGGCCCGCAAATCCTGCGCAATGCCGAGAAGGGTCAAAGCAGACGCACGCTGAAGAAACGATATATCTATGGCACAATGATCTGTCGGCTCTCACTGCCGCTGTACGCGTGGGGCTGTCCAGACAATGTCCTGTTCACAGAGACAAGTCGTGCGTGCCCTGCTTTTATGACTTGGCGCGAACTGATACGCTAGCTAGCATGGGTCATTCTGTTGACGCTCTGGCAGCTCACGCAAGTCGCTACCATGCTGCTGCAAGACATACTTGGCGCCCGTTTCTTTCTGCCGAAAGATTGGTATCCCGAACAAAACAAATGGGACTATCATCCTGCGCTTCCGCCAGTGGACGCAGAGAACGCTCAAGGCTCGATTGACTGCGTCATATGTTTGGAGAAGATCGACTTCTATAGCACAAATGGCATGCGCGATGACGAAAAGGGAGTCGATGCGTTGGCGACAGTTGGGCGAGCTTTCAACCGGTTCAACTATATGGTTCCGCCGTGCCACCACATCGCTCATACTCACTGTCTGGAAAGCTGGCTTGCCATCAAATTTGAATGGTCAGTCATGCAATCTGTATGATACGCAGGCTGACACTTCTCGCAGCCCGGTCTGTCGACGTCCATTGCCTGCAACATAGAATGTCTAGACGACAGGACCGCAAATGCAGACGGCCCCTGCTTGTCTTGCGCACCAGATAGAGCTAGACGGCCTGTCAGGCCATACGCTGGCGATCAAGCCATCCCCTAGCGAAAGCGACCCGCGTGGTCGAAACTGACGCGTAGATTGACATTAGCAATGTCAAAGAACAACAGCGACGCGTCTTGTTGTCCTCGATGCAGATCTTGGTTCACTCGACTCGCAAAAGACGCAAAGTCCGCACCCCAGCACTTCACAGGCCTCAACACATCATGAGAACATCACGCAACACCATCTCAGCTGGTCTGATCTTGGGCGCCATCGCTCAGGCAGCCGCTCAGGCAACTACCGAGCAGCTTGCCCTTGTCCAGGCACAATACGAGGCATGCCAAGCCTTCCGTACCATGAGGTCCTTGCTGATATATTCGTGCAGGCATCTGGCTTCGTCACTCCCATCGGCAATTCACTCAGCTTCGGTATCGACTTTACCCCAGAGGCTTTGCTCACTGTCGTTTACCCTCAAGGCGCCGTTGTCAACGGACATCCTTACACTGCCACTGGTTCGTGCTCACTCGTACGTCGGATGCGCTGCTTATCCTGCAAGTACAGAGGTCGCCGAACTTCCTTCGTTCACTTTGTTGCCAGCTAGCGGTCAGGCCTCGACATTGACAGGCTCAGATGCACGCTACACTCTTATGCTGGCGGACGCGGCCGCTATCGGCGATCCTGACCCTCAAGGCGACTACCGTCACTTCCTCGTCAATTACTTGACACTCAACGGTACGGCAGCTGCCGACGGAAGCATTGCCTTCAACCCCTCTGCAGGCAATGTCGTCAGTACGTCTCTTGCTCTCGCTCATTCACGAGCAAGGCTGACTTTGCCCCATAGCCAACTATGCTGGTCCTGGTCCGAATGCCGGCGAAGGCGCTCACAGATACGCTTGGCTTATGGTAAGTTTGCCACTCCTTTGGTATATGTCAGCGCGCTCACATCTCACGCAGTTCTCGCAACCCTCTGCCTTTGCTGCGCCTACCAATCTGACCACGCCCAACTCAGGTCCAGGCCACTGGTACGTGCAGAGCTACGTGCAATCAACAGGTCTTGGCAGCCTCATCGCGGCATCTTTCTTCACCGTTCAGAATGGCGTAGCAACTTTCACCGCTGCGGCAACGAGCTCGATCAACACCGCCACACTCGCGGGTGCCTCTGCAAGTGCGACAGGTAGCGCTTCGTCTACTTCGGGAGCTGCAACGGCTTCGAACACGTCTTCTTCGAAAGCCTCCACCAATGGCGCGAGTGGCTTGCAAGCTGGCTCAGCATCGGCTTCGCTCGTTCTGCTAGCTTTGGGAGCATACCTCTGTGCATAGAGACTTGTACACATACAAATGGACATTTTACGATCTCTCGGATTGACTGCAGTGATGTTACAACAATAGTATGATTGAGTCAGATACCCAGGTCGAGTGCATCGATCATTTGAGAGATAGGCATCGTCCGTTCGTCATCTTCCTGAGCGTCGTCGTCACCATTCGGCTCGTAAAGCAGCTGTCGACTGAGTACAGCGTTTGTAGATAGGTTTGCTATCGCAGCAGATCGTTTTTGGTCACGGTCATCCTTCGTAGACACTGAGGCCTGTGTGGAAGCGCCAGCTGATGCAAAGATGCGATCCTCCTCATATGGTGGTATGCGACTATTTGCGCGAGGCGTGCTCGCTTCTTGAGGGAGCGAGTCGGCCTCCGAGCTGATTTGACGGCCCCTTGACCGCACCACGTCAGGGTTCGCAAGATCAGGATAGTGAGCTGCTATAGGTGTCCTGACTTCGCTCGCTTCACCAATGAAATGTGTGAGCGGTGTCGGCTGGGGCGCAGACTGATCGCTGGATGTACCCGAATGGGTTGTGGTCGATCCGCTCGGTCGCTTCAGAGGCGGAGTGGGCGTAGCGTCTCGCTGATCGGTCTCTTTTGTCTTGTCAGAGACAGTAGCGGCTGCTGTCAGATACTGTGCTGGGGTCGCATAGCCTCCCCAGAGCCAGGCGGGTCTATACGCGCGTTCGGGTACCATCAAGGGACCGCCATCTTTGCTCGTCTTGGTCTTTGTACTGAGAGCAGATTTGCTGTCTACGTCTTGTACGGCGACAGTAGAGCCAGATCGCGACACTGGATCTGCTTTGATCGTCAGAGGTGTAGCTGACTCGCTTGGTCCTCGCAATACGAGATGGAGCTGCGGTACGTTGGTAGCCGACTTGCCTAGCGATGCAGGTGGTGACGCGAGGAAGTCAGAGACGAATTGTCTGGATTGCGTCGTGGGTGGCAAGCGCAGGAAGCGCGTCATCTCACTGTACACCGAATCGAGGTTCCACATCATGACCTTGCGTAGGCAGGCAATGACGATGGACGTCACATCGACGCCGTCCAGACAGTGCAGATAGACTGGATGGTTACGCTTGTCTAGCATCAACTGCTTCCTTCATGAGACACTCGCTGCAGACATTCATCCCGGTTGAGCGGTCCTCACCTCACAAGCTTCTCGCACGTGGCTTCTGTTGACAGTGACAATCTCTGTCTTCATCCTGTCCGTCTTGTACCACCGTCTGTGGGCAACCGGCGCAACATGCTCGCCCTCTGATCGTGCCTCTTGCTCTCCAAGCCATGACTTGACGCGGCGATCTACTTTGGACTCGCTGAGTAGGACGGGATCGTCGGGCGTAAAGCTGAGGACGGTGCGTATGCGGAGAGTCGCGAGGAACGGCAAGTTCTTGAGCTTGGGATGAGAGCCTCTGTAGACTTGCGGTGCTACCTGCTCAAACCGCAGTGGCGGCACATAGTACCTCGCACTATGATCCGACAGGACGCTGCTGCTACCTGATGCTGCATCAGCCAGCATGCGCACTCTAGCGATTCGGGGCTGGGCTCTGTGCCGCCGAAAGCGTGAGAGATTCTAGGGCGCGTGCCTTTTATGCGCGCGTGCTCGCTGTTTGACTTTGTGGGCTTCGAATTCCTGGGCCGGCTAGACTGCGCACGCATCACACAAAGGCCTCGCTTGGCTGGCCTGAGCAAGCAGAGTCACACACTCGCTGGTCGATCACGCACTGCACATCATCGCTCGCTGGTGGTCACAAGGAAAGTAAGTCAGCCGAGCAACACTGAGCGCGTGCCTTGTCGTGTGCGCTATGGTCGGCGAGACACTAACACCTGGCAACAAGCACGATGGACTGCACCCCGGACAACTGTCTCCACTAGGATCAGCCTTTGGCACTGGCTCTGCGAGTCCATTCCTCTCACAGCAAGAACATCTCTCTGTTCCTTTGTTGGCCACGCCCAGCTCGGCAGGCCTGACAAAGAAGAGACCGAGGTCGATACTCGCCTCACTTTTCACACTCTATCTGTTCGCTGCACTGACACACACGTTCTATGCTACAATCATCCAGCCTGTCATATCGCCAGAGACGCCCACACCAACGACGACAGACGACTTGCTCGTCAATAGAACGTCAAACAGGACGCTCCTGCCGCTCAAGAAGCCAACGAGGAAACCGAGCAGTCGACATGCTACACACGCTCATGCTGCACATTCTGTCAAGAAGCCTATCGGCTCCACTCCCCAGCCGACAATAGAGCGATCTGTCGCTTACCACCCTGTCGAGGGTGTGGAGTGGGGCAAGGCGTCAATAGACTGGTATCCGAACGATCACGAGCGATCACATCGCAACCTCAGCGCAGACTCGCCAGAGTCTGTACGCTCGCAGGATGAACTCGCGAGCGAGAGAGAGCTCTTCCAGATGACAAAGGAGCAAACGACCATGTCGGAGGATTTCTTCCTGTCCAAAGCATTCGGTGAAGCACTACAACCCAGCAAGATCATACCCTATTATTATAGAGCACAGAGAGATCTCGGAGCAGAGGACAACAAGCGAGACATCACCATCACTACACTCGTCACTGCGAACCGTTTCAAAGTTCTTACCGATCTCGTCGAAAAGTACCAAGGTTTGTTCGTTGCATCTTTGCCGGGTGGCGGGCTGACACAGGAAGTAGGACCGGTGAGCGTGTGTATCCACGTCGTCAATATCCCCGCCGAACGCGAAGAGCTGCTCACCTCGCTAAGAGACATCTACGAGAGCCACGAAGCGATGAAAAATTGGGTCGATGTCCATCTGGTCATTGACAACTTTGACCGTCAATTCAACATGTGGCGCAACGTTGCCAAATACTTTGCCAGAACCGGCTCGTTCTTCTCTTGACCATTGCGTCGCAGGAGCTGATGTCTGTATGATTGGCAGATTATGTGATGATGCTGGATGTCGACTTTTGGATCTGTACCGACTTTCGTCATCGGATACTCGCATCTCCAGACATCATCGACAAGCTCTCTGCGGGTACAGCAGCCTTTGTCGTGCCTGCTTTCGAATTCACAAAACAAGTCGACGGACTCGATTCCAAAACGTTCCCGACCGAGAAGAAGGTGCGATCCTCTCGAATCATCAGCCTTGCACAATGACCAAGAGAGCCTGTTGCGCAGGATCTGCTCGAGCTGGTCGAAGGAGGCAAGATCGGGATGTTCCACAAGTCCTGGGCACCCGGACACGGATCGACAAACTACACACGGTTTTACGAATCTAAAGAGGGCGAGATCTATCGCGTTCATGGCTACACGCATTCATACGAACCCTACATCATCTACAAGCGAGAAGGAACGCCATAGTACGCGCTTGCTCTGAAGCGCTGCACTGGAGCTGATGGAGGGTACAGCTGCGATGAACGTTTCATCGGCTATGGCGGCAATAAAGTAAGCCCAAGAGACCGTCTAGTCCGTTCCTGAGCTGATCAGGGAACAGGCTGCATGTCTGTACGAGCTCTTCCTCTCCGGCGTCTCCTTCTGGGTCCTCCCGGACGACTTTCTCATCCATCAAAGCCACGCCTACGCAGAAAAAGCGCGAAAGCACGAGGTCAGCCGGGCACGCTCTGAACAGTCGAGACGCTGACCCGAACGGACCATGCTGACAGCGACGGTACAATCGCAAGCTGTTCATCGATTATCGCGAATCACTCTGCTTCAGATTACTCACCCAATTCGTCGATTCGGGTGACATCGCAACAGACAAGTCGAAGAATCTCATGCAGGAATGCAAAAAGATCAAAGGCTTCAGCGCGGCTGCACAACGACTCATCACTGCATCGACCTGATCGAACCACTCGATTCACCTCACATCTGTACGATCTTTATTCTCGAGCACATTTGCGCAGGCTCGCAGGACCACTGTATGTATGCATTGCATGTACGATCTTCACGCTGGCCTTGCTTCAGCATCTCCCGGCAGGACTTCGATGTTGTCTTGCTCTGCTAGTTCGGCAAAAGACAGATGAGCGGGAGCCAGTCGGTCGGCTAGCTCTTCTACGGCTTCGAAATCGAGCACAACGCGGCCTGCACGCAAGAGAGCGTAGACGTCTAAATCGTCAATGCCTCGAAGGTCGACAGTGGGCAAATTCTCCGACGCCCTGCGGAACTTTGCCGCCAGTCTGTCATTGGCGTCCGAATCAAAGAAGGAGCGACCGAATATGAACAGGATGTCTTCGCCAAAAGGTCGAGTTCCCATCTCTGTGAGGGCAGTATGGGGTTCTGTAGGCTCGATATTGCCCGAGAGGGTCACGAGATCGGTTGCTGGCTGAGATCCCAAGGAGAGCATGCTGGCGAGCTCTCTCGTCTTGCCCGTGATACCCGAGCCGACGCTCTCGATGACGCTGAGCTCTCCACTCCTCCAACGAGTGCTCAGAGCCGTCCTGATCCCCAACTCGACGACTTTTCGCTGGATGCCAATACTCCAATCTCTCGGCTTGACGGCAAAAGCTGCACCGCCGCCTCGGAAGTGAGGCGCACCTCGGTCTCCCTTTCGAGCGTTTCCTGTGCCTTTTTGCGGGGTGAGTTTCCTGCCGGAGTAGGCCACTTCGGATCTCGTCTTTTGAGAGTGGGTGCCCTGTCGTTTGGAGGCGAGATAGTGAACGACACATCGATGGAGGATGTCCTTGCGGCTGGGCGCATTGAACAGGTGAGCAGGTAGAGCGACGAGATGAGGTTCCGGCGGGGATGAGGCTGCGGTGAGCGGCAAAGGTGGAAAGTAGGATAATGGCAGATGAACGACTTCGAGTCGTTGGACGGGCTCAGGCAGAGTCACTGACACGACCAGAGTGGCTTCAGCATGACATTTATGCGAGGAACAGCTGGGGAGGGCACCTTCTGGCCGTGCGCGATGCTTGGCAGACACTTTTGTGGCTCTCTGAGGTGTCGTCGCCTGAGGCGCATTGGGGCTCTGACCGGGCAGAGCAGGCGAGGCGTGAGTGGCCAGTCCACGCAGACTGTGCTGCACTCTGCTGCAAGCACATCGTGGCAGCCTTGCCGCACTGGTAGAGGCCACCGTCATCTTTCTCGTCTGCTCGCCTGCCTGCAAGCAAGCTGGTCGGGTCGATCGCGTCAATTCAAAGATTCAAGCGCGGGCGGGCGAGGCAGGATCTCAGGGCCAGCATCGTTGGAGAGTACAATCACGATGCAATGACGGCAGCAAGCGTGCCAACAGAGCAATGACCGCGCAAGGTGAGCATGCAGACGATCATCGGTACGACTTTTGGTATCTCGCACGAGCACCGGGTCCACCAAACTTCTTTGGCTCTGTGCGTCTCTGCGCATGGACAAAGACTCGTCATCAGTGATCATACACCCATGGCGATACTCAACACGCACGGGATCGGCAACGAGCAGGGTACGGTCGTAAGCGATGAGGGTCTTTTTGAGTTCTAGCGAGGTGGCAGCGTCTTGGTACTTGGCAGTGTAAGCCACGACCGCCTTTGCCAGAGCTTGACGGACGGCGTAGACTTGGGAAGTGTGACCTCCTCCCGTCACTCGTACGCGGATGTCGACCGACTCGAACGGGTTGGCGCCGCTCGAGGTGGCCTTGTTGTAGAGCACTAGCACTGGCTCGTAGACCTTGAAGCGCAGCAGTTGTGGCTCGATCAGGTGGATCGGTGTGCCATTCACTCTGATCAATCCCTTTCCGGCCTATCCATCCCGTCCCCATACGCCAGCAGCACAGTCAATTGACAGAAGTCGAAGGGGACGTCGTGTCGGGTGAGCATCGATCCATCGCAGCAGAACACAAACAGTACAGAGCAGGACAAAGGTGAACGTTGGGATTGCAGTGATTGGGGAGAGGAGGCAGATCCAGTCAGCATGGCCTACGTCTGGCGGGACAGACTCGAACTGACCTTGCAGAGAGCGACGGCAGTGGCCGTCTTCTTCTTGCCGAACGTCTGCACAGAATCGACTTTGCTGCTCATGATCTGCGAGCCAGATGCAACAGATGAGCTCAGTCGCTCGTCCGCCAGGTCAGACTCACGGAATTGTTGCCTCACTGCGAGCACGCTTGGCCGACAGTGGCTTCACCGTACGACATTTACTATCGCGTGGCGTTCACGCGCCCTCGGGCTTTACTTTGCATCCTGGCACGACATTCGCCGTCGTTCGTGGCATGCATGCATAATCATACAAGCACACAGTTCATACTTCTGCTCTCTTTTCAGAGTGGACTTCCTCGATCTTGCCTGCTTCTTCTGCTTCACCCGGCACCAACTCGACATCCCTCAAAAACTCGTTAGCGACGAGGAAATCGATGGCCTGACTGAGATCGCTGAGCGAATGCTCAATGTCTCGTTCCAGTAGCTGTCCTCTTGCATGAGCCACGCGCGCGGCGACCACGTCTCGGAGTGAAGCGTACCTTGCTGAGCAGACCTTCTTGCTTGAACGGATTGTGAGGGGTCAAGGCAGTCGCCGGACCAGCCTTGCGTTTTTTCGTCTGCTTGTTCGGTGGTGGTACTCGCGTAGGTTTCGATACCTCTTGGTCGCCCGTTCGTCGCACAGGTTCAGCTTCAGGTGCATCGTCGCTTTCTAGCTTCGTGCTGCCGTCTTCGGTCGGTGCTTCCGATGCGGCCTTGTCGTCATTCGCTTGCTTCTTCCGCCTGTTTTTCTTCTTCCTCTTCTTGGCAGGTGACGCTGTCTCGCTCACTGCTTCTGTTGCGGCGATGACTGGCTCGTCCTGTGCCTTTGTTTCCGCTTCTTGCTCTGGCTCTCTAGGCATAACCTCTTCGGCGGACACAGGCTCCGCAACAGGTCCCTGATCGTCCACGGCCTCGTCTGCTCTGCTGACTTTCTGCAGTGGTCGAGCTGCAGCGGGATTTCGTAGCGGCTCCCTCCGTGGTGTGCGCGTAGCAGCTGAATGATGAGAGGCGCTCTCGATGGCAGCAACAGGTTTAGCTGGCAGCCCGTGCAGGAGCGGCGTGGGCACAGACGGCTCTGCAGGCTCGAGGGAAGCCGATAATCTCTGACGCTTCGAAGCAGGCGGGCCATCTTCTCGATGGTCCAGCTCATCGTGCAGATGACCATTGCGATCGCCAAAAGCACCCTCTCGCCCTCTGAAGGACCCTCTGCCCCGGCCACGATCAGATCGACCTCTCTGCGTATGACTTGTCTTGAACGCGGGATGAAGGGGTGATCTAGCAGCTTCTTCCGCCGCTTCACGTTGCTGTGCCTGCTTCTGAGCCGCACGTTGCTGACTCGGCCACCTGCTCTTGCGCTCCTCCACCCATCGCGAGATCTTGTCCTCCGTATCGAGCGCAACATTGATGCCCATGATTCGTGATCCCGCCGGTCCATCCGGTCTGCTGCGAGTAGCTTGCTCCCTTGCAGCCCAACGAGACCCGGGTCGAAAGATCAGATGTCGATCTGCTTCGTGTATCTCTACTTCGCTGTCCGGACCTGCGTAGAAGCACGATGGCTGACTGCATCGCACAAAGCCTGCGGGTAGCCCGCGCGAGCTCTTGTCGCTGTAGTTGCCTGCCTGCGAAGCGAGATGCGGCGCGACGGGTAGTCCATGCGTCATTGCAGGCGTCGTACTAGGAAATGGAGGCACTGAAGGCGGCAGAGGCAGATTGACGGGCTTGGATGCCCATGCTGGTAGCGAGTCTGGTCGTCCTAGGTGTAACGGCTTGGGCGGCAGTGAAGCTAGTCCGCCGGCAGCAGGGGCTGATTGGACTAAATGAGGCGGCAGAGGCAACTTATGCTGCGCTTGGGCATAAGATGGCGAGACATAAGACTGCTGTGGTGGCCGTGGATTCTGCCAGGCAATTGGTACTCGTGCATTAGACAAGGGCGGAGTCTGAGCAGGCGCTTGAGGCGGCACAGGCTGACTTGGCAGCGAATAGGCCATCTGCTGCATATGAGCCGCCTGAGCTGCCCAGATCTGCTGCTGCACTGCCATGTGCTGATTGTATGCTCCAGGGTGGCCATACTGATTATACGCAGGCTGAACAGGCGCAGCATAAGCCGGGCTCGCAACTGGCTGCTGATGCGTCGATGGAGCCGACACAGTCTGTTGGCCTGCCTTTGCAATAGCAGGGTTGTGCCAAGTGAGGTTGGCGCTCGCAGTATAGCCGCCGGGCGGCGCTACACCTGGCGGGGGCAAAGGTGCCACTGGGCCACTGCCAGGCGGTAATGGAGGCTGGTACGCTGGCAACTTGCGAGTCGGTTTTCCCGTCGGCTGAAAGCCGTAGGGCCCAATGAATGGGTTGCCCGACGCCATCGCGTACTCAGGCCTACCAAGAATCAAGCTGAGGCTGGAGATACTGGCGAAAGTGCATTGTCATGCTCAGATTTGTCAAGGTCCTACTCATCGACGCCGTAGGCCATTCAAGTTTAATTCATGTCAGGGTGCACGCACCAGGGATGATCATGATGTCTCACGCTGGGCCTTCCTACACGTCAGCAAGATGTCTCGCGTCTCCGCGACATTTCTCGATCGCCAGCCCAGCGTCATACAGCTCTGTGGCAGTGGCGTACACTTGACCTGCATTCGGGAGAGTCGGCTTCGTGCAGATGGGCCACTGAACTTGCGATCTCGCCCATGTGCACGTCTCGTCACGCAAGCCACATTTCGTCTCTTTGGCAGCGCTAAGACTGTATTGCCTCGAAGAACTCGACGCCTCTATTGACTTGCCACGAGGGCGTGTAGATCTCCCGCGCTGGGCGAGGCGCATTCTGTTCCGATGACGACGTCGAACAAAGTGAGGCTTGACGGCGCACAGCTCTCTGGCCAAATGAAAGAAGCTCTTCACGATAGCGATACCGTCAGCGAGAGCAGATCTGCAATGTCGGGCGATCCTACAGTAGTACTGCCCTTTGGCAAAGGACGCAACACTCGGACTTCGAGCAAAGAAGCTCCAATGAATCTCAGCAGTAAACCGCGTATGTGCCTTGGCATGTCCGCTGAGATGCGCGCTGACATGCAGATCGCCAGGCTCAACATCCTCCTCATCTTCCTCCTCTCCAAGCGAGCTTGTCGACTTTGAGAGACCAAGAGCGGCCTTCATGCTCTCTGAGCAGTCTGGCACGGAGAGTCGTCGGATCTGCAGGAGGCGACTCTCTCAAGAGTCCATCGAGTCTGCTGGCTCTACAGCCGCTGCTTCCCTCTCTGGCACGCTCTCCAATAATGCAGGCGCAAGCTCTAATAGCTTCGGTTCTCGTCGCTCCTCTATGCTGTCAAACTTCTCGAGCACGTCGTCATTGGCATCTACTGCGCATTCTACCGCGCCAAGCCTCGGGGCTAGCGCATCGCAATCGCCAAAGCTGAGCACACTTGCAGAGAGGATAAGGAAGGACTCTGGTGCTAGCAGCTTCGTGACGACTACAACGAGCGTTTCGCCACTGCTTTCGGCTCGACCCAGTCCGCCCGGTCTCGCGGGCATCTCGATTGATCATAGCGCGATAGCAGAAGACGAAGATGAAGACGAACAGGAACAGGAGCGTGAGCGAGCAGCGTTTGCATCAGCACTTGCACTTTTTGGACCGCCACCACCCTATCCGAGCGGATTTTTCCAGCCCAATCGGACTCTATATACCATCAAGTCGCCCTCACAGATTTCTCTGAGCAGCCGACCACCGCTCCAGAAGCGGCCACCTCACAACAGTCACACATCGAGTCTAAAGGCACTATCAGTCTCTACTGTCCGGGCATCCAGCCAGGATGGCTCATCAGACGATCATCTCGGCTCACCCATGGAACAGCAACACAGCAATGGCGCACTCAGGCGCAACATCACCGAACCGATACCCTTGCACGCATGCTGGTCTACAGCGGCAGATGAATACGACGAAGAGGACGAGCCCAATGCGTCTGCGCCGAGCACACCTGACTCGGTTCGATCAAACAGCGACGACGACATACTGGCAGAAGCAATCAGTCTGACGCACATGGCACTTCTACAGCCTCAATTGATACCAGCTGCCAGTCCTTCTGTACAGTCAAACCAGTCTTTCACGCCCTATACACCTCCACAAAAGCCACGCGCACCGGAGAGCATCATGTCGCACACAAGCACCCTGTCGCGTTTCGGACTGAAGCGGTTTGGCGATAGGGAGCGCAAGCGACCCAGTCCTATCGAAAGGGGCATCTCATCCAGTTCGATCAATTCCCGCAAGATCTGGCTAGAGAAGCCGTCACAATCCATGCACGTCATCGTGCCGGACTCGCCGACAGAAATGTATAGCCCGGCAAAGAGTCAGGAACTCACCCGGCTGGCAGATATGTACCGTTCACATTCTACAGACGAGCGCGCACTCCTGGCAGAGATTGCTCAGAGTCGCAACAAGGTGTAATGTAGAAGATCAGTACCATTCCGTTTTCGTATGGACACTCTTTGCGAAGTTCTCTGTCGTTGTAGATTGCATAACCATCCCCTCAAGCTGACTCGAGTCTGCTTGCCACTATGCGCGCCAAGCCGACAAAAGCATCTTTGACTATGCTTGCTGAAGTGCTTAGAACGGTAGGATGACCAGCATCGCCATCTGAGCTTGTCTTTGCCTCAATGGGTATCTTGGCAAGGACTTGCATACCGATCTTCTTGCTTACTGTTTGGAAGCGCTCATCTGTGCCAAAGATATAGTGCGGCTCATCCGGCGAGCCGGGGCAGACAAAGTGAGACATATTGAGCACCCCGCCGAGTATCTGCTCTCGCAGTCGTGAGCAACGTCGATCGGGCAAGAGTACGAGCAAAGACGTACAGGAACGCCGACCTTGCGAAACATGGCAACGCCCTTGCGAGCGTCGACGATAGCTACATCTTGTGGCGTCGAAACAATGATTGCACCATCAATGTAGACGAGCTGGGAGAGCGAGAGATGGACGTCGCCCGTTCCGGGCGGAGTATCGATGACGAGCAAGTCGAGGTCATCATTTTGCATTCGCCAGTCGACATCGAAGAGAAGCTGCTGGACTGCTTTCATGACCATCATGCCTCGCCAGACGATCGGTGTATCGCTATTGTCGTCCGAGCCAGCCGGTATTGGTAGTAGGAAGCCCATGGACATGCAAGGTATGCCATGGTTGATCAGGGGTATCAGCGCGCCCTCTGTGCCCTCTCAGCTCCTCGAACAGAGAATGATAGCGCAAGACGCACGAGGTGTTGTGTGTGGAGCACCGACACGCTCCAGTGCCATGAGCTTAGGTACGCTCGGACCGAAAATATCGAGGTCGAGTAATCCTACCCTCTTTGGCTTGTTCCCCTCTGAGGTTCGTGACAGAGCCAGCGCCAGGTTCACTGTCACCTGAGCTTAGCATGAGGACACTGAAACGATGAAATCCTGAGCTTGCCGGCTACGGTGCTCTTGCCTACGCCTCCCTTGCCACTAGCGACGACAATGACTTGGCGAACATGTGGTATCTTTCGTTTTGCAGGCAGACCGCGTTGCATCATCGGTACAGAACCTGTCCGAGGTAGGCCCTGCACGCTTGTTGAGCAGATTCAGGGGCCTGTGAGAGGACGAGCTTGCAAGTGGATTCTCATGGCCTGCCGATCGGCGTGCATTGGAAGTAATTCGCCGTGAGCTCATTCGAGAAAGCGGGTTCCATCTTGCGCTTGGTAGTCCGCTGACATGCGATGATGCTATACTCGCGAAGTTCGATGCTGGGCGACAGCTGCATATGCAGCGACAGAGAGATGTCATTGATGTTGGAGAAGCCGATGCTGATGATATCGAACGCGTCGCGATGTCAGTGGACTTGCCGGGGCCAGCAGAGCCAGGCATGAGCAAGTATAACGACTTGCCGGACATTGTGCGTATCTGGTCTCTTGATATCGTAGCACGCTCATACGTCGGGGCGCAGGACAACGCTCCCGAGGTGTACGAGACTGCCGAACCAGCAACAGTAGTCGCCAGAGATGTACGCTCAGCATCCCTTTCCGAGCCCTGCACGCTCATGTACGACGGACTAGAATGACTCTGACGACGAGACCGAAGCTGCGCCGGAACCTCAGCCTGGTCTGGAGACGACTCGACTGGACGTGACAAGCGCACGAACTAAATTTCATTCAGCTCGCCTGAACGGCTCTGCTCGTCAGTCTGCACTCGTGCGTATGATTGTTTGCTGACCAGATGTACAGCTGTGCGCGGCTTGAAGGGTACGAGACGAGTTCTGCCGGATTCTGAGCAGTACGAGATCAGATTGCCCAATCATGGCTCAGACGAAGCGAGTACCTCAGAGACACCCCTACAGCGCTTGAGGAGGTTGCGCATGGAAGTAGCCGAACTGGAAGATGATCTTGCTGCTACAACAAAGAAGGATGTGAAAGGCAAAGGACCTGAAATCACGCCGGCGCTGATGCTCAGCCAACTCAAATTACTCAAGAGCGATCTCACTCAGATTGCCGGTACGGCGGAGCAAACAGAAGCTGCACCTGTGGCGAATGGCACGCAACTTATGATTGATACGATTGGATCGTCCTTGCCTGTAGCGAGCGCGTCCATCGTCGCACCCAGAGCGAGTGCGCAGCTTTCTGACGATGAGCTCGCTGCCCATCTGGACGAAAGACTCAACAAGCTCGAACGTGTCATCGGAGCGCAGCAAGTCAATCTCGACAATGTGAGCCCTGAACAGAACTTGTCTGCGCCGCTCAAGCTGATGATGTGGCAGTCTGATAAAATGCCGCCTCCTCTGGTAGTCTCGTTGAACAAGATCAACCACCAACTGCAACTCATCAGTCAGCCTCGCCATCTCGATACGGTCTCCCGTCGGATCAGGTCGCTCGTGAGCGATCTCGAGAGGCTGCACGATACCCGAAGGAAGCTAGGCGATACACGACCTATCAATCTTGCTCTCTCTGGTTTCACCGTTATCTCGCCTGGCAATCCCTCTGCGGGCACAGTGGCCAATCTGACCGTCGGTAGCAACACCGACTTACCTGTCGATACGGTCAAGAAGATCGACGAGCTGTATGATCTGCTGCCTAGGATAGAGCCACTCCTGCCTCTTGTGCCTCATCTGCTCGATCGACTGAGATCTCTGGCACGCCTACACACTTCAGCCGCGACTTTTGCTGCAGAGTTGCAGACAGCGAAGGAAGAAGTAGCAAGATTGGCAGAATCTGATGGGAGCATCAAGGAGATTTTGACGAACCTCGAGACGAGCTCAAAGGCGAATGAGGAGAGAATCAAAGCGAACATGGCTCTGATCGAGAAGCGTATTGCCGCGCTATCGTGATGCATCGTTTTGACATTACATTGGCTCGATGTGTGGAATGGGACCCTCTGGCACGATTCTCGTCGGATTGACCTGTGCTCATATAAGCTCATTTGCCACTCTACGGGCCAAGAGCATACTTGAGGATGTGAAGTGTAGTAGTGCACTTTGATATGTGTGAAATCTGTCGAGTCCCTGAAGGCGGGATAGTTGTGGTACAGGTTCTTCATGTAGCGATTGATATTTGGGTAGCCTGCTCGGATAGTGCGGATATTGCACTTGAAGTGACCGACATAGACGGGATCGAAACGGATGAGGGTGACCCACAATCGTACGTCTGCTTCTGTGAGCTGATCGCCCACGAGGAAGTCGTGACCGTCGAGTATCTTTTCGATCTTGTCGAGTTGCTCAAAGAGCGGATGGACTGCTTCGCTGTATGCCTTTTGTGTCGTTGCAAACCCGCTTTTGTAAACTCCGTTGTTGACCTTGTTATCTGTTCGTCATATACTCGTAAATGATGAGTCTGGCGGGAGCAAAGAGGGACGGACAGATGGGATCGTTGAGCTCGTCGATCTCTTTCCTCAGTGCCTGAGGGTACAGATCGAGCTTGGCATGCTTTCCCTCAATCTTGTCATTGAAAGCCGTGTTCATGAAGCGTATAATCTCTGAGCTCTCATTGCTAACGAGCGTCTCTTGCTTCTTATCCCAAAACACAGGCACGGTGAACCGAGCAGAATACTTTGGATCGGCTTTGAAGTAGAGTTCTCGGATGTACTCGAACCCATAGACCTTATCGCCCGTCACGTTGGCAATCTCCTCTCCTCCCGATCCTTGCCCTTCGTACTTGTCCGCACCGAACGACCAACCTTTTTCACCCATGAAAGGATGAACGACGCTCACATCGAAGAAATCCTCCAATCCTTTCAGCTTTCGCACGATCAGTGCTCTTGTTGCCCAGGGACAGGCAAGTGAGACGTAGAGATGGTACCTTCCCTTTTCTGCTGGGAACTTGGCATCTGCATTGGGCTCGACAGCGTCTCTGAACTGAGATTCCTGGCGCTTGAAGTCGCCGTCTTTGCTTGCCCAGGAGGTGATGCCGGGTGCCATGGCGATCGAGAGTGTGCTGAGGGTGCGAGTGTAGCTTGGAACTGGCCGAGTCAAAGAGCGGCGCAAGAGCATTCACCACGCTCGGAGGAGAACACAAAAATCAATTTACGCACTGACATCATTCGCGAGTGCACCGATATTGACTAGATAGCCACCCGTTGTACGACATCCTCCCATGGTCAAGCGAGTCTTCCAGATTGGTCCGGCACAGCGTGCGAGCTCCTACTCGAGGCTGACATGCAGACAGGCCACGGCTACATTGGCGGCTCGCTACTGGTCGAATTACTCAAGGACGAGCAGTATGAACTCACCGTGCTCGTCCGGAGCGATGACAAAGCAGCTCGACTGAAGGCACTAGGCGTCAAGTCCATCAAAGGTGGCTTCGACGATCAAGAGATCATCGCCAACGCCGTCAGCCGAGCCGACATTGTCATCCATGTTGCTTTTGCGGATGATGTGCCGAGCGTAGAAGCTGTCCTCAAAGGCTTACGCCAGAGGCCCGCTTCGTCCGACTCGGCCATCTACATCCACACATCCGGCACGGGTCAATTGTCAGATGAAGCAGCGGGACGATACGGGCCTCGCGTGGCGTACAGTGATGACGAACCAGAGGGATTGGACGCTTTGCCGCCCACGGCGCAACATCGCAATGTCGATCTCATCATTCTCAAAGCGATCAGAGAGGAAAAGATCAACGCTCGCATTGCGATCATGTACCCGCCCTGTATCTACGGCCTCGGCAGCGGACCTTTCAACAAACAGAGCATACAGATTCCTGCTCTCATTCGTGGCAGCATCAAGCTGAGGGCCGGTCTCACTGTCAACGCATCACTCCACGCATGGTGAGAGCAATGCGAGGTGCATGCTCGGCATGGATGAATCACTGACGCTGCGCTCGACAGGTCAAGCATTCACGTTCACGATCTCGTACGAGGCTACATCACTTTGCTAGACGCTATCCAGTCTCACAAGATTGATCTGACCAACCCTTACTTCTTCTGCGAGAACAACCAGCCGTTTCTCTGGCGGGCAATATCGTACGCCGTCGCGCAAGCACTAGTCGATCAAGGCCTCATGCAGCACGTCACTCTCAAGCATGTACCCGACGAACTGGCTGCTGAACTCATGGGCAGCAAGGAACTCACTTATGACACCTTTGCGCATAACTCAATTTCCAGGGCAGAGAGGTTGCGAGGAATGGGATGGAAGCCGCACGAGGTAGACGTCTTCCGCACGATTGACGAGGAAGTAGCCACTACGCTGAAAGCTGAACACCAGCTGCAGTAGCTCATCGAATGCATCCATACTGCAGCGAGCTACCTTCGTCGCAGGCGACTGATCAGATCTGATAGCGATGATCAACCGGCCAAGTGCCTTAATTTCACTTTGCGTCACGCATCGGAATAACAATCCGTCATGCTTCTTTCTTCAAATCAAACAAGCATCATGAAGTTTCCCGCATCAAAACCGCCGACGTCCCAGATAACGTTCTCAACGATATCTTGACCGGTCTGCATCGCAAACGATCGACACAGGCTCTGTCGCAATGCAGGTCAAGGCTTCATCCACGGCGAATGCGTGATGAGCTCTCTGCGGATGGCGGCGCCTCATGTCTTCTCACAGGCAGCGAATGAGCAGCGTTCGAGCCAGCAAGCTCGAGGTGCATGGACGTTGAGTGGTCATTCCTTGATCCAGCCAAGGACGAGGGTGCCAGTGACATCATCATGCATGACGCACCGATGTCGCGCGTGTCGCGACCAGTCGAATATGATAAGACGATAGACAAGGATCACGCCGCGCCCAGCTCCAGATTGAGCGCCTGACGAGGAGTGTGTGATATCGCGCGCTTGTGAGCCTTGATCGGCTCTACGTGAAGGGAGCACCAATCCTCGATGCTCAGAGTGCCTTTGTTTCTGTGTATGAACGGGTTCTATTTGTGCGAGGTACAACAGCCTGTAAGTAGGTCTAGCGGGGAATGCCCCGCATGGCGTTTCCCAAGCATGACAAAACGCGCCTACCGTCGACGTCGATAGAGCAACTTGCGAGTTTGCGTGCGTGCGAGGGAGGGCTTGTCAGGATGAGCGACGGCACTCGAGCGCCGATAGAGATCCCGAGGGCGGTACCTTTCGGTCGGGCGGTACTCAAGAATGCCTCGGATGCAGCGACGTTTCACGAGCAATCACCGTTTGCCAATGGTGTCAAAATGGGTACATCACTCCCCTTCTCGCCATCATCACTGCCTCTCTCACCCTTGCCACGAACTCCCTCTTCGTCTACTCTGTCAAAGACAACAGGCGCTCGAATGAGGACGAGAAGCTGATGAGAGCGAGCAGGATTGTCATCTGCTGTCGTAGGCACGATGGTGTCTGCTATTCAAAATTCGATTGGCCGTCATTCACAAGGCGCAATGGGCGTCTTCACTCGCTCGGGCACAACGATAGGTCTATTCGGTCAGCCCATGAGCACTCTTGGCTTGCATGGCTCGAGCTCAAGCGGATGACAGGCGCAATGGGATTCACGTTTGCCTTTATGGATGCCCGGCTAGCCAACTTCAGAGAGATTGAGGATCCGCTCAATTCTGCCTTTGGAGCTTGCGCTGCTGGCTTTCTGGGAGGGATCAGCAAGGGCGGTCTGGCGAGTGGGATCAGCGGATGTGCCGTACGTCTCCCTTTGTGAGCTCACAATGTTGATGATGTTGATGCGGTGGGGACAGGTCGGAGGGGCACTCCTGGGCACATTCGGCTATGCTGGCTCGTCCATGGTAGGCGCAAACTTAGAGAGCAAGACGTTGGAAGAGCGAGAAGAGTTGAGGAAGAGTTTCTTCAAGAAGAGGGATCTGCTCGACTCGGTCCCCAAGTATGAGCCCATACAGTCCAAGTCTAGCTAGTCTTGCTGTCATCGGTTCATGCATGTCCTTCTTCTGCCTTTCCCAGCCCGCGCGCCAAGTTCTCGCTTTACCCCGCGCGCCGTGATCGCCTGAAAGCGGCTCCCTACATCTATCAAGCGCCTTGAGACCAGGGCGTTGACCCTCACGATCATGTCTTCACAAGAACACACCAACCCACTCAAAGTCTGTACGTTCTGCTCAACTTCACAGCCAAGTCAACCCTGACGGACACTTTCAATGGCAGTGCTCGACCAAGCCGACGAACTCGATTTCTCAGATCCCGAAACGGGCGAATCATCCGCCAATGCCATCCTCACACCCGGATTCGAGATCTCCAAGCTGCTCCAGATCTTGGACTTTGCTCTGAGCAATGCCGGCGCTGAAACTCCCCATCCTATGCTCGAAGGACTCGATATTACTCCCAGAGAGGGTTCGTCCATCATCTGTTCGAATCGATAGGGGTTATTGACGTTGATGATGCCATCAGAGATGCTGAAAAAGACCAACGGCGTATTCCAATTCGAGGTGACGAACAAAGAAGGCAAGAAAGAGTCTTTCTATGCCGATATGGCATGTTTTCATCGTCCTTGCCTCTCGAGCTGGCTGACATGTCGGATGAGCAGAAGAAAGCAGGTAGGATATTCAAGGGCAAATCGCCCAAGAAAGCAGATGTCGTGCTTCAGGTCAAGGACAAAGATATGGTCGCTCTCGCTCTCGGTCAATGTGAGTCCACGCACGGCCTCGTTCTCTCGCGCAGTGCGCTGATCGCAACGGTCACAGCGAGTCCTCAGAGAATGTTCTTGGCGGGCAAATTGAAAGTCAAGGGAAATCTCATGCTCGGATTGAGAATGAACGACGTTTTGGCTTCGGAAGTAGCAAAGCTGTCGAAACTGTGATCGCCTGACACTGTCATGCTTGCTCTGGGGGGAACTGTATTGGGATATGCATATGCTTGTCTGTGTGCATCTTTGGACTATCGTTCAGACGGGACATGGTTGCTCGAGCCTGACGATGGGATAGCCGTCGAGTGCCGCATCAGTCGATGACGCGGGAGATGTAGCACTGATCTCTGCTGAGTAGAGACAGACTCGAACTCCTCCGCCATGAAGAGCCATCTGTTTCCTGACCATACGAATCAAGTCGCCCAAAATGTCATCCTCTTTCGACGCTTCGGGCGTTCGTAAGGCTTCGACAGCAGAGGTAGAGTCCGTCAGTACTCGCAGCGGACGAGTCGAATGGAGATCGACATCGATCGCATGAGCAATCGCTAGCATTTCAGCGTACGCCATTGATCGAGCGGGTAGAAGTCGCGAGCGTGAGATGGTGGCAATCTGTTCTGCTCGGGCGGCATGGTCTCCCTCTGGCCACCAGCAAGCGTATCCCAACCCAGGCTCGTCGACTCTGTAGCCTTCTGGCTCGGAAGGCTCCTGAACGTGTATTTCTGCTTGGAATATGAGCAGATGGAGTGAGATGGGAGCTCGGGCGTACCGTATGCCCACGCATGCGCTACTTTGGCGTGATCCGTAGATTGATCAGTAAGTCCGTCTGCGTTTCGTGTCCGAGAGGTAGAGTCGGCATCGACTAGAGGGCGTAGAGCCAAAGCTTTGTCGGGCGCGCCGAGGGTGAGATGACCACAGGCCATGGTTCGAGGTGACAGTCGAAAGGCTAGTCGTCGTACGTTCAGAGTGCACTGTGTAGGCCGACAACGTCAAGCTGATCTGGCTGAGCATAGCGACAGAAGAGGAAAGCGAGGCGGCAAAAATCAGGAGAGTGCAAGGAGACATTGATACGTGCGAGGGAGCGATGACAACGGAGCGAAGAGAAGCGTGCATTCGATCTACGTGGACGAATTGGCGAGTGCTTTCGAACGTAGCCGAGCACGCGAGAGCTCTTCGTGATCCTCCAGTCGTCGTCTGACCTGTCGTTCTTGCTCCGCCTGACGATCCAATCGCCTCGTCTGAACGTCTTTCTCGTTTTGGAAATCAGTCTCTCTGAGTTTCTGCCAGCCTGTATGTCGATCGCATTGTCTTCGCGTGAGCTGACAGACGTGCTCCGTCGGGGGTAGCGTCTTGTTCGGTTGAGATAGTATGCGTCGGCCCACGTCTGAAGAAGTCCAAGCATCCCACTGTCGCTCATCCCAGACGAGCCTCTGATCGAAACCACAAGGAGCATCAGGACTGATCGCATTCGACTTTTTACCCTTTGGCTTCTTGAGCGATTCTTTGTCCTGAGCAGGCAGCGTTGCTTCCCAAGATCGGACGACAATCTCGAGAAACGCGATCCTCGAGAGGAGTGAGCCGAGTGTAGCGTCGATCTTGCCTCGTTTGGCGACGAGCTCGGTCAGCGAAGCTTGGAGTTGCTTGAGCTCTCTATCGTCCTGATCGCCATCGACAGCATCCGTCATCTCTACATCCCCATGTCGGGTTATCTGTGCTTCCATCCGGCGAGCGCCCTTGACGGCGTTCCAGAATCTGACAGGATCGGCATGGATATCGAGCTTACAAGCTGCTACCTCTATGCCGCAATAGTCTGAGCAGAATTTGGACAGAACTCGGACTGCTTTGTTACAGCCTGTACGTTTGCAGCGGGTTTTCCAAGTCGTCTTGAGGTCTGACGAGGCCTCACAAAGCGGACAGCAGAAGAAGTCGACCAGCTCGACATCGGCATCTCGGATGTGTACGCAATCTGTATGATACCACCCGTCGCATCTGAGCCCCTCTCATACATCAGCCACAGTAGGTTCAGGTCATACGTAGAGAGACTTGCTTGTCACAGGCAATCATCATCAGTTCGGGGTCGTAGAGTTGTTGGCAGATGCAGTAAAGTCGATCATCTTTTTCGTCCTCCTCGACTAAACCGGCCTTGTCCTCTTTCACTCTTTTCTTCTGTTAGACGCCGAGAGGATCGGGTCAGTAAGGACATGGTTTGACGTGGAATGTGATCGCCTGCCTTGCCTTTCGTTTGACCTCTTCCGCGGGAGAGACACCCGCGCCATCGTCATCATCTTTCTTAGACTTGCCCGTGCCCGCTCGTTGCTTGCTGCCACCCTTGAGCGTGGTCAGACTGCTCGCAGCAGCAGCAGCCATCTTGGCTTGTCTCCTCTGAATACCCAACTTGGCAGCAGCAGAGCGAATGCGCTGTAGGTAGCAGATCGTGAGCACGTCGCGTTAGGAGAGCGCGGGGCCTCGAGAGGGGCGCGTACTCTGGTGTGTTCCTTCTGTATAGCCAGCATGTCCGCCGGAGAGAGTGCAGCAGGATCCATGCCCTTGAGCAGATCTGCCATGGCCGTCATGCTCGCCTCTTGGGGCGATTTGGCATCTGCACTCGGACCGGCCACAGCGGGAGAAGCAGATCGTTCCCCCGCTAAGGCGAGCGCAGCGGGCGAGGCACTCTTTGAGCGTATCTCAACATCTCCAGCCTGGGTTCGTCGCGTGCTCGTGCTCGGTTCGGGTGTTGCGCTCTGTGTCGGTCTGATGTGAAGTGGAGGCGCCAAGGCGGCGGCAGAAGCGAGTACGTCTAGCGCGTCCACAGTCGGAGCAGGCGAGAGAGATCGAGTAGCCGATCTCGTGGATGTCCTCTCGGGTGGTACGAGCAGACCGGATGAGCTCGTCATGGGCGTGACACCCCTGCTGGCCGGCGTGCTGCTTGTGCCTCTTGACGCGTTGGCGGGCGCTGAGAGGCTGTGTACATGTAAAGACGGGTCCATTGAGCTGTCCTGGGCGCTCAGATCTAGTTCGTTCGCCATGTCAGGGCCTGTGTCTTGTCTATAAAGCTGTTGGCAGGTAGGGGCGCTTGCTCCTTCGCGCCGCCGCCGCGATGCCTTCTTTGCTTTGCTCGTCCGAACACGTCACCGCGTCATCGAACGAACCAGGCCGACTGATCGCTGGCGTTGCGCTGGCTCAGATGGATCATGGCCAAGCCTGGCTTCTACGCAGTGAGCGTAGGCAAGAAGCCGGGCATATACACAGACTGGGCCAGCTGCGAGAGTCAAGTCAAGGGATATCCCGGTGCAAAGTACAAGAAGTTTCCGACTCGAGATCAGGCTCAAGAGTTTTGTCGGCTCCCTGCTCACGTTGTGATTGCTCGACATGACCCCCTACAGCGACACGACGATCACCGCTCGAGTTTGCAAGATTCAATCGCGTCGGATGACCGTCCTGTGCTTGATCTTGACCGCAGCAACGCCAAGCAAGAGTCTTCAGTGCAAGCAAGCGCCTCTTCCTCAGACGCACGGGAAGACATCGATACGGCTCCGTCGAAGCAGAACGGCTCGAGAGTCAAACGGCCGATCCCGAGCATGCCAGATTCTATCTCGCTCGTGGCGAGTTTGGCAGAGCCAGCACGAGAGCCAAAGGTCGACTCACCAGCCAAGAAGCCAAAACAAGGTCAGAGAAAGGTCGTGTACACCGATGGGAGCTGTCTGAGTAACGGTCAAGCGCGTGCTCGTGCGGGCTACGGCGTTCATTGGCCAGACAAAGACTACCCAGAGTAGGTCTGTCGCAATGCGTTCGTGAAACGGCTGAACTTGACCTTCCAGTCTATTCGAAGCGCTAGAGGGCGAAGCGCAGACGAACCAGAGAGCAGAGCTGACCGCTATCCTCTCTGCTGTTCTGCAAGACTTACCGCATGCATCTCCGGGCGACGTGCTCGAGATCTTCACAGACTCCCGCTATGCGATCAATTGTCTGACAGTATGGGCGCACAACTGGGAAAGGAACAATTGGAAGAGTTCGACGGGCAAGGAGGTGCAAAATCGCGACTTGGTCGAGAGTACACGAGAGGTGATGAGCAGCTATCCTGGCAAGATCGTCTTGAGACACGTCAAGGGACACGCTGATTCTCAGCCTAATAACGAAGCCGATCGCTTGGCCAACATGGGCGCCCTCTTGTTGCGTTGATCCTTGCCCGGCATGAATGGGTCTCGCCTCGAACAGTCAGGTCGGGCGAATGCCTCAAGGGCGTACGGCAACAGACGATGCCTGACGATGCGGTATTCCCACGCTTCCGCGCGAGACGAGTCCAAGCCTCCATGCACTCGGTAGCTGTCGCGAGTGATCTCGCAATGCAGCCTTGTCGTAAGGGCAATGTGCTGCATCCACGTCGCATGTGATACCCTCAGGGGGGTCTCGTCACTACTTTGTCGCATTGCTGCCTTTTGCACAACGATGCGACGACTGCTCGCGACGATATGTAGCCTCTACTGCGCTCTCGCGTATGCGAATCTGCTGCCCCGATCACATGCAAGCTATTGGCTCTCAGCCGGTGAGGCATTCGACTCGCAATTCGCCAGCAACCTGAATGATCCAAGCCAGAATTCACTGCAATCTGCGCACCTCGCGCAGCACCTCATCACATTGTGTTCGGTACCGACAATGCAGCAATCCGAGCAGATCTACAAATACCTCGATCTCTCTTCACGCCCTCTCATCTGACCGTCGTCAGTCATCTCGCACCTTGCTTGACGACGACCTCAGATCAGCGTTCAGGTTGACAAGCAAGGTCTCGATAGCGTTCAGGGCGTCACTGCCGATATTTGGGAACAGACGATACTCTTCAAGACGAGTATGCGCCCGAGCGATGCTGCATACGGTCCATGGCAAGTCGGCCCGTCGTCGATGGAAAGTGGCTGAGAGGTGTTCGCATATGCAGCTGCATCGGATACTGGGTTGCAGAGTAAGCTCATCCGTGTTGAATTGAGCATGGAAACAAAATTGAAGTACATAAACCGAGCAGGCTCGATCTTGGCATCAATTCTTGCATGTCGACTGCGTTTTGATGCCGCTCGTACTAATGCTGTAAACAGATTCACTGAACAACGGCTGGTCGTCTGCGCAATTGCTTTGCGGACCGGTCTACGAAGAGACGCCAGGCGCATGCAAAGCCGGTATCCCGGGGTACCCACCCGTCTTCACCCTTTGCAATGTCACGACCACGTGGGCCCAGAGTGCCATGTGATGATCTATGCATTGGGTATCCATGCCAGTATCACAGTGCATACAAGTTCATGGCTCTGTGGCGACCATGAGACCGAGCACTTAGAATCGACTCGGGGCTTACAGGAGTGATTGCTCTTTGAGATCATGGTGCTGATAGCCACCAACAGAAACGCCTCCGGCATCGACGACAAAGATGCGACCATCTTTTAGCGGCAACTTGCACCACCGCGTAAGGAACGCTGCGGCTGGATCTCAGCGCATTGTCGGGACTAGGCGTGCGGCCCGCTTACTCTTGCTGAAGTGCCCATGTGTGACGATCAGGACATCTCCTCCTTCACCACCCGCATCTCCTCGCTGCTCTGTGTGAGAGTAGAAGCTTGCCACTCTAGAGGCTGCTTACCTGACCCGATTTGACTTTCTGCCAGTGCTCTTCGTGTACTTTCGCGACGGTATGGACTACTTTGTCCACCCGTTCTTGCATCTTGTCGGGGCTTTCACCGTCTGGACACCCTTTTGTCCATATGTCCCAATCAGGATCGTGCTTCTCCCTGATCTCTTCGGACGTCAGCCCTTCATACGCGCCTGCCAACGCCAATGTCTAGCCGGTGAAGAGCCCTGCTCTAGTCAATGAAACTGACCATAGTCCCATTCTCGGACGTCATCTGTCGTTTGCAGATGCCTGCACATGTACTTGTGGTCGTCCTCGTTGAGCGACTCGAAGAGCAGTTCAAAAGTCCGTTGTGCCCGTTTGCGCGGCGAGAGATAGACGTGCGATATCGTTTGAGCTGCACGATGGCCATTTTTAAGATTCAGTCATGGGCCCTGCAGGTAGACGTACGACATAGTAGCTCTGCTCGCAACGTTCAGCAGAGGTGCAACGTGGAGATACGTTATGACGCACTGCCCGGTCCTGCTATCTGCTTGCCGAGCTCCCTCACGGTCTTCTCGCCGTTTGCAGTGAGCGGTATATCGCTTGTGCCCGTCTGTGCACGAATGAAGTCTTAGCCTTGGGTCCTGAAGGCTGAGGCTCAGACGGCGCACATGTTGACCGGAAAGCGACCATTCCGTCTCGCCTGCCACAGCGGATGAGCAGCTCACAGAAAATAGTTTGTACGAACAGACCATGCCGGACTACATAAACGCGAGGTAGACGAGGAGCCATGAGGCTGCCGCGGCAATGATCCAAGCCGGCAAGCAATGTCGCAATGTCGACACGACGTCGACGCGCGACGCAAGCAGGTGGCAAACTGGCTTCTCCTTAAATCCGTGACCACCGACACCTCGACGAACATGGCAGAGACCGTAGACTTCTTCGGCACGCCCATCAGCCGCATTGGCTATGGCGCCATGGGACTCAGTGCGTTCTACGGCAAGCCAAAAGAAGAGGATCATGCTGTCCGAGTCATTCGAAAGGCTGTCGACATTGGCTGCACATTCATCGACACTGCGGCTGTATACGGCTGGGGTCACAACGAGCGCTTGCTCGCCGCTGCTCTGAACGACAGCGGTTTGCGTAAGAAAGTCTTCCTCGCGACCAAATTTGTCTTCATCAATAGCAATGGCCAAGTAGGAGGCGTGGACGCTTCTCGAGATGCTGTTCGTGCGACGGTCGACAAGTCAATTGCAGACCTCGGCGGTGTTGCTCCGGACTTGCTTTATGAGCACCGAAGAGACGACAAGGTACCGGTCGAAGACCTCATGGCCACTTTTGCAGAATTGCAAAAGGAGGGCAAGACAAAGTACATCGGCCTGTCCGAATGCTCAGCCGAAACGCTTCGTAAGGCGTGCAAAGTAGCGCAAGTACACGCTCTGCAAGTCGAATACTCGCTCTGGTCAACTCAGATCGAACGCAATGGCTTGCTGCAAGCTGCCCGAGACAACGGCGTCAAAATCATCGCCTACAGGTAAGCATACCCGGACTCCGTCTGGCTCGGAGCTCACACGAACATGCAGCCCGATCGGTCGTGGCTTCTTGAGCGGCAAGTACAAGGATGGCGATGACTTTGAGGATGGAGACTTCAGAAAAGCCAATCCAAGATTCGTAGGAGAGGCAGCCAAGCAGAATCTCAAGTTGGTCGAAGAAGTTAGAAAAGTCGCGGACAGGCTCAAAGCAACGCCTGCCCAAGTCGCACTTGCTTGGCTTCTTGCTCAAGGGGACGACATTATACCTATTCCCGGTACGACGTCAGAAGAACGTCTCATTGAGAACTTTGATGCTCGCAAGCTCAAGCTGTCTGAGACTGATCTCGCGGAGATCCGCGATATTCTCAAAAACTATCCCGTCTCTGGCGAGCGATACTCAGGAGTGAGTGCAGAGCTCTTCCGTGAATGTAAAATGACTAAGATCGCACTGAAGGCCATGGCTCAAATGGTTGAAAAGTGAAAGCTCACATTGACAACGAACTAAAGACTCTCAAAACACACGCCAAAACGCAAAAGCGCGCTGTTCAGATATGCATCCTATCACGACACACGCAGGGTGCAACAGGTCATGCATGCGAGTGATACAACGATACACAAACGTGAGAGGCTTTTGCGAACATTCAATCATCTTCTGCACCCGAACTGACAAACATGCGGTGGACCTGATCTGGCCAATTCTTCGATTTCGCCATTCGACGAGCGAGCTTGAGCCATCGACCGATAGTCAGATCAGGGAGTCCATAGGGTACCATTTGCGCTTTGATTTTCCTTGAGAGTGCTCGCACTGTATCATCATTGATCGAAGGCGAGAGAGAAAAGCCGATACGGTCGAGTACAGTATGGGCGATGGTTGCGGGCAGAGCAAGGGGCCCGTCCGACTTGGAGGTCTTACCGAGTAGATGCCTCGCGAGCGCTTGTCGGCTGAGCGTGGTGTACTCTATCTGCCACGAAGGCGGCTGTCGATTGCCATGCGAACCGTTATTGCCAGGCCCATAGCCTTCCTGTTGGTTCGCTTCGTCCAGATCGATGTACCACGTCGTATGTGACAGGGGCGTGAGAAAGCGACTGGTACGACTGGGCGCATCGGGTGATGCGTGTCGAGGAATAGTGGGTCGCCTTCGCTTGCGCTTCTTCTTGTTGTGTCTATGGCGATGATTGCGCTTGTTACCTCCTTTGCGCTTACTGCCTTTGCGACTGAACGGTAGCACATCTCCAAGCTCCCAAGACCACCACGACGCTGCAGTTGTAGACGCGTTCGGAGCGATAGCATAGGCTGGCTCTGCTCCTGACGTAGCATTGTCAAAGGAGCCGGACAGCCCCAAAGATCCAGGTTTGTAGCGGTCGTCGGGGTGGGACACATTGTATGTGAAGATTCGTAGTGCAGGCAGATAGGTCGGAATGATAGAGGGCGAAACGGTGACGATGCTATAGTCATCGAGATCTAGCTTGCGATACTTTGGCAGATCTTTGTAGTCGCTCAAGAGGTCTTCGTCTATGCTTCGCACACCAATCTCGTGATCTGACTGTCTGTGAATGGTAGCATTCTGCACAGCTAGTCGTTCGTCAAGCGTCAAGATCTCTGAGCTGTCAAACCAAAACCAGTGATCGACCTGCAGCGTATTTGTCAGGGATAGCTTAGGATCCAGCGGTTCAGACTGACGTTCATGTGACCGTATAGCTGGCCGACGATAATATCTTGGAAACTGATGGCGAGTTCGGCGTAGCGATGATAGCAGAGTTCGTACCAGTTGCCAGGCGAAGGCGGTACATGACCCGAGAGATAAACTTGCAAACCTCTTGCTCGCCATATACCCAGCTGAGCTTCTAGCCAGTCCAACTCGAGCGTACCCGGATCGACAACACCATGCTTGGAGATCGGACATCCATCTACTGCCTTGTTTGAATCGTAGAAGTAGAGCGTATTGAGTGATGCGACGACGAGTCTGCCCGGGATGACTTCACGGGAAAAGTATGCGCCTCGTTGGAAGACGTGAAAATCTCCCTCGGGGACGAATTTGTGCCATGCTGCGGCGATGCCTTCTGTGACACGGCTTGGCCCACTGAACATGATATTGCTATGGAGCGCGTCGAGTCAGTCAGTGCGCAACATTTCAGCAGTCCGACGCACTGGGGAAAGATGTCGTTGTTGCCCAGCGAGGGGACGATGGGAATGTGTCCGAAGATTCCCCTCATGCGGTCTGCGAGCAGGTGGTTCGACGCAATGATCTCTGGCAGCGAACGAGGCAACTGGCTGTCGATATCGTGACGCGCGTTGTCGCCCGTCCAGACGACGAAATCGACCTCGTGCTTCCAGTGCTCGAGCCATGCAAAGGTAGCATTGAGCAATGACCAGGGAGTGTCGCATTCGGACACTGGCGTGCCCCAATAGCCTGCGCGATGTCTGCTCTTTGACGGCTTGCTCCGATGGCACCCGCTACTTTCCGAAGCATTGTAGTGATAATTCCGATCAGGATGCATATCACTGTTGTGCGTGCTCGATCAGCTGATGTTTGAGTGAGCCACAGCAGGGGGGGTTGTACGTGATGTGCAAGAAGCGACCCTTAAGCGTGCCCACGTCTGCCTGCCGCTCACCCTGGGCACGGCAAGATGACAGGGCAAGTAAGCCTGCTGCCAGGACCGCCCGCATCGCGTCTGCCGAGACTTGGCGGTCACTCCGTCGGTAAGGCTCGACTTGCTTTTTGCCTTTTCGATTTCGTGACGCGCCCGCCTGCTTCGTGCCACTCACTCATGGCGGCGAGCTCGACGCAAGCTGCAGCAAGCACAAGCTCGACCGCGGCTGGAACAGATGAGAAGGCATTCGCTGCCGATCCACGCATTCACTGGGACACGCAAACGAACAAATGGATTTTCGAGACTGAAGATCAAGAGCTCGAGTGGGATGCTACCCGTCAAGCCTGGCAACCTGTCGTGACGGTCGATGCAGTGGCCGAACAGACCTGGCAGAGCGCCTACTCTGTCGAAGGTGTGGACGAAAGCGTGAGTGTTGAGGGTCGACTGTAAGATGACGCGCTGATCTGCTGCTCTTGCTGCCCAGGTGCCCGCCGGACCTGTGCTCGAACGAGAAGCGAAGAAGAACAAGAAGAAGCGTAAAAAGCACAAGAAGGCTTCGGCCTACCATTCTGAGTCTTCCGGAAGCGACGGCGACGAGGAGACAAACGGCAAGAGGCGCAAGGACGACAAACCACGCGCGTCTAGGAACACTGCCGTCTATGTGACCCATCTACCACCAGATGCGACCGTGGAAGAGATGAAGGGCGTCTTCTCGAAAGCCGGACTGATACTCGAAGATCAAGACGGTGAACCAAAAATCAGGATATACAAGAATGAGGACGGCACGCCGAAGGGCGAAGCGCTGGTCGTCTACCTCAACGAAGCAAGCGTCATGCTCGCAGAAACCCTGCTAGATGATACCGAACTCAGGTTAGGGAGCAATGAAGGCCGTATGAGAGTTGCCAAAGCGGATTTCTCAAAGTCTGCAAATAGCAACAATGCCAACGACCAGTCCGAGGGGAGCAAAAAGAGCGAACAAGACAAGGCAAAGCAGAAGAAGCGCGCAGAGAGATTACGGAGCAAACTGACAGATTGGAGCTCTGACGACGATACGCTCACAGCCCAGACCAAGGCGCCGACTGCCAAAGCGACGAGATTTGCCCGCATTGTCGTGCTGTATCACATGTTCACTCTGACAGAACTCGAAGAAGATCCGACTCTGTTGCTCGAGCTGAAGGAAGAAGTGCTCGAGGAATGCGAGGAGACGATCGGCAAAGTCAACGCTATCACACTCTACGATGTGCGCTCCTGATCCTCTGCAAGGTACACTGGCTGACACAGACATCTACAGAAAGAGGCAGACGGCGTCATTACCATCAAATTTGCAGATGCTATCGCTGCTCAGGCATGCGTCCTGGTATGTCGCCATCACGACAGGTTATGGCCCGTGCTGATGACGCTCGGATCTGCAGAAGATGAACGGGCGCTTCTTTGCAGGACGACAGATCGAGGCAAGCATCTTTGATGGGAAGAAACGGTTCAGAAAGACGGGCGATCGTGCGACGGACAGTGACCTGGCCAAGGAAGCCACTGCTGTGGCGGGTACCGAAGAGGAAGAGCGAGAGCGTTTGGACAAGTTTGCAGAATGGCTCGAGCAGGAAGGATCATAGGTATATTGGACTGCTGTTGTTGTTGTGGATCGTGTCGCGCGTTCGTCTGCGTCCTGTCAGGTGTCAGTGGTGGATCAGTCTGCGTCACGTGACCTGTGAGCTATCTCCTGCACCAGATTCCTACTATCGCGTCCTGACATCCTCTGCGGCGAGCATTGCCTGCGATGCACCTCTCTGTCGTCTCTTTCTTGCTTCTTCTCAGCAACAGCATCCGTTGCGCTCTGGTGACCGACCACGAAGGGGATGTGAGAACGGTACTCTACAAGCTCAAAGGTCCAGCGCATAGGAAGCCGCTTTGCCAAAGCTCTCGCTTACATCACCGCTTGCAGCCACGGCCACCTTCAAGTGCACAGGTCCAGGCCTTACAGCGATCGATGGTGATCTCACTCAGATGATGCTGAGTCGCAACGGGGCGGACCTGCGCACAAAACGACTTGGCTATCGCAACACACAAGGGTTTCACTTTCTGCCCAACGGAGATGCTATCGACAAGAGAGAAGGAACGGGCTATTTTCGCTTCTATGCGACGAATGGCGCTTTCGAGCAAGGCATGTGGGAGACTGAGGATCCACAATGGAAGAGATGCTGTCGTGCTCAGGCGGCCTTCAACGTTTCTCTCGGTGTCACATCGGCTTATCTCAGCAAGCGGAGCACAATCTCCGGCTGGATCGAGTGTGGCGGTGCAGCTGCAAGCTACCGAGCAGATTGTAATGCTACGATGAGCAGGATTGAGACCTGCTCGCCCGCCTTCCATAGCATCACAGAGATGCCGATCTACGACATAGATATCCCCACGATCCAAGTCTATCGCTTCTACTACCAGGCCTCTGGCCAATGCCAGCTACGCAACCTACAACCCGGAAAAGCAACGATGTCGAGAACAACGATGGGACCCTTCATCAGCACGCTGATGACGATCTCACTCCTTGCGCCGCGCACCAGTACAGAGTTTATCAGTGTCAGCGGGCGTTCCTCCATCCTCGATATGTTCTGAGATCGATCAGTTTGATCCCGGGCGCTTCTTCGCCGTGCTCAAAGAAGTCAGGAACCCTGGCATGCAATCTGTATCGATGCGCTTTGCCGTGACGATCAAGTAAGTCTGCCGTCCTTTATGAGCTTGCTGCTAACGTCCCTTGGGGAGAGAATACGGGGACATGCAGGACAGCTGGCCAGCAGATCAGCAGCCATGCTGTGATGCGATCACCTTTGGCTCCGTCATCGTTGGCGCCTATCAACGATATGCAGACGTCCTCTTGACGAGCCTTTCTGCGCCGATTTTCGTCGCGTGCCGGCCGAGTAGGTCCAGCGCCTGTGCTATCGAAGAGTTTTCTCATGTCAGTCCAGATGTTCTTGTCCATGCGGATCCCGAGAGCAGATGCAAGCTGCAGTACGATCCCTTTGTCAATTACTGGTGCACAGATGTCAAGCGACGACTCGAGCTTGTGACGTCTTCGTCCGTTCAGTGAACCAATTGCAATCCGTGAAAGAAGCGTCACGCCTTTGCGAATCTTGTGGTGGTCTGTCGTCGCGTCATGCTGCATCATCGCTCAATCCCATAACTGCTTGGTTGCGCGAAGGAAGACGTCACAGCAGTCCAAGTAAGAAGAGACGACGCAATGCACGTGTCTCTTCCATGGACAGTGTCCGCGCAGGCTCCTGCGATACTTGTGAGCCTGCTGTCAGCAAGGGGCCATAACGACACGTAGCCAAGCGCTCTTCGGCCATTTCGCCTGATTGACGAGACAGCGATCATGATTCTGTCCACAATCTTCTCTCTTCTACTCATCCTCGACAGTTATATACACTGCGCCTTAGTAAACGATTACGAAGGGGATGTCAGGACGATCCAATACAAGCTAAGAGGTTCAGCGCATAGCAACACTCGATATCGGCGAAACCTTATGCTGACCTGTCATGAGGCTTGCAGCCTCAGCCAACTTCAAATGCAGCCGTCCCGGCATTCCTGTTGTCGATGAAGATGTCGGTCCTGGGCTCACTACAATCGACGGCGATATCAACGTGGTCATGTTCACGCGCAACGGTGCTGCAGTGCGAACGAAAAACTTTGGCGCTCGTAATGCCCATGGATTCACTTACTGGCCCAATGCAGACGCTATCGACAGAAAGGAAGGCACGGGCTATTACGGCTTCTTCGTGACCACTAGCGCAGCCGAACAAGCCATGTGGAATACCGCAGATCCAACATGGAAAAGATGCTGCCGAGCTCAAGCAGCTTTCAATGTCACGCTTGGCCTGACTTCAGGATACGTCAGCCCTCTCAGCACAGTCTCTGCCTGGGTCGAGTGTGGTGGCGCAGCTGCGAGCATTCCCACAGGCTGCGCTCGCCAATTGACCAGAGAACGAGAAGTCCAATGCTCACCGGCCTTTCACAGCATTGCGGACGTGACAATCCCTGCATTAGAGGTGCCAAAAATTCAAGTCTATCAGTTCTATTATCAAGCTGCAGGCCAATGTCAACTAGCTGGCTGGCGCCGCGAAGGAGCCACATGGATGAGCACCACAATGGGCCCATTGATCAGCACCATCGTCACGATCGCGCTCCCCGCACCCACGAGCACTGCTGAGCTGATCAGTGTAGGCCGGCTCCACGCAATGGTACCCAAAGACTGACAGCACTCGCTAGTTTGATGGCGGCCGCTTCTTTGCTAATATCAAAGAGGTCAGATACCCTGGCACTGAGCTTGTGACCATACGATTCACAGCCACGCTCAAGTAAGCTTCGCTGAGATATATATCAAGCCGTACTCTGACCATCCCTGCAGGGAGTATGGCATGTTGCAGAACAACTGGGTACCAGAGGAACAACCATGCTGCAACGCAATCTCGTTCGCTTCCATCATCGTTGGCGCTTACAGACGCCATGTGAATATATTGCTCGGTAGCCCGGCTGGATGTGGGCCGATGTGCGTCGCGTGCCTACCAAGTAAGCATGATCGTTTTGCTACAGCCTTCCTGCTGATTGCGAGCAGGCAAGCTCGTGTACTCGGGCCGAGAAAGCAGATGCAAACTTCAATACGATCCCGATGTCAAGTTCACTTGCAAGGATGTCAAGCGACGACTCGAGCTCATGACGCTGTCGTCTGTACAGTAGAGCAAATGCAGATGCGTGCCAATGCGACGAGTCTCGACTTCAACATCAGACTCGAACATTTGCAGTCCGGATCAAACAGGATGTACATAGCGGATTACATACGCGATCAAAGGTGCAAGAGGCATAGTATGAGCATATGTGCACGATCTGGGCAGCTTGACGCATGGTCTTGTGGCGCATACTGTTGCAAGTAGCACTCAGCACGTAGTGCCCTTCGCGTGATATCACTGCCCGTCAGTGTCGCCCGGCAAAGGATTGGCAAAAGGCGTCGCTGACTGCTATCCAAATATTCAGCCTAGTGATCGCGCTTTGCCGATCGCGAGTTTTTGACTGACAAGCCTGACGTGTCAGTTCGGTTCGAGCAGCGATCAATGGCATGAACTGCGTGCGTTGATCATGTGCGCGATGGCCTCAATGACGACTCAGATTAGTTCCGGCTGCCAACGAAGCATTGCAATGCACCACATTGGGACAACGCACATGAGGACTATGACTCGAATTGAGCTTGTGTATGATAGAGCGCAGACCTGACTCATAAACCTAGGCATGAGGACGATCGCTCGCCGGCGCCACGCTGCAGCTGGAGCATGAGCATGCACGCATGCCAGTTCGTCAGCCTGTTGTGTCAACAGCCACGTTTCCATGATCCACGGTGACCGGTGACGCCGCCTTATTTTTGCCATCACACTATCGAACGCGTGGTTTCGGCAGAAAACCGGCCGAGCACTTACGCCTGTTCTATCTTGGCTGGTCTGACTCGTTTGCTGCGTCGTTTTTCAGGCGGGCTTCGCAGCAGCAGAGGAGTGTCATAAGCCAACATGGACGCTTCGCAGGCACTCGAGTCGCGAACAGCAGGCAATCAGCAGCTGTCCTCTCTTGGCGCCGAAAGTGCTACACAAACAATGGCCGACGATTCAACGCGATCAACTGCCATTGACATGGACGACGACAGCGAGACAGAGAAACACTCTGGTAGCTCAGAGCAGCATGTCGACGTCCACAAAGCCAAGCAAGAATTCCACGATCTATCACGAAAGTACAGCAATGAGCCAGCCCAGTATGATAAAGCTGCCCAACCTGATCTCGAAAAGGCCCTCTCACGGGGATCGCAAGGCGGTTTCGGGGGTGCAGACAGAATGGACGAATTTGATCTTGAGGACTACCTGCGCAACAACTCTGCCGCAAGAGATGAAGCTGGTTTCAAGCACAAGAGCCTCGGCGTCACCTGGAAGCAACTCAGCGTCGTCGGTGCCGGTGGCATGCGCCTCAACATTCGCACATTCCCAAACGCTGTCATGGAGTTCTTCGGAAAGCCAGCTTTCATGGTTTTGATGAAGTTCATGATGCCCGCGCCAAAGACACTTCTACACGACTTTGACGGATGCGCAAAGCCTGGCGAGATGGTTCTCGTCTTAGGTCGCCCAGGGTCTGGCTGCTCAACTTTTCTCAAGACGATCGCCAATCAACGCGGCGGCTATCTGGAGGTCAAAGGCGAGACCCATTATTCCGGCGTGTTATCCACGGAGTTCCCTCACCGCGGTGAAGTAGTCTACAACGCCGAAGAGGATCTCCACAACGCTACGCTTACTGTAGCTCAGACTCTCGACTTTGCTCTCGCGACAAAGACGCCTGCGCGGCTATTGCCTGGTCAGACACGTCAAAGCTTCAAGAAGGAAGTTCGCGATACCCTCCTCTCAATGTTAGGCATCACGCACACAAAGCACACGCTCGTGGGGAGCGCATTCGTTCGTGGCGTGTCAGGTACTACAAGCAGAAGCTCCCAGTGCGATCAGGCTGATCGCGCGGACAGGTGGAGAGAGAAAACGAGTCAGTGTCGCAGAGATGATGGTCGCGCGCTCCTGCGTCGGATCCTGGGATAACTCGACCCGCGGCCTCGATGCCTCAACCGCACTTGATTATGCAAAAGCGCTCCGCGTCCTTACCGATACGTTCAAGACGACCAACTTTGTCTCGCTTTACCAAGCCGGCGAAGGCATTTACAATCAGTTTGACAAAGTTCTCGTCATTGATGAGGGTCGTCAGCAATACTATGGACCTGCTAGCGAGGCCCGGCAATACTTCATCGATCTTGGCTTCAAGGACCTGCCTCGACAGACGACGGCAGACTACCTCACCGGTTGCACAGATTCTAATGAGCGCTCTTATGCAGATGGGCGGTCAGAAAAGGATGTGCCATCGACCGCAGAAGCGCTCGAGACCGCTTTCAAATCATCGGCGCAGTACAAGCGCAACATCGCAGAGCGAGAGGCATGGGATGCGTCTTGCCACCAGGACCAAGTCGGCCGCGAATCCTTCGAGGCTGCTGTGCGGGAGGACAAGCGGAAGCTCGTGCCAAAAAAGTCGCCCTATACGGTTTCGTACTTTACACAGGTCCGCGCTTTGACGAAGCGCCAATTCCAGATCAGATGGCAGGATCGTCTTGGTCTCGTCGTGTCCTACATTACCTCGCTTGGTATCGCCATTGTCGTCGGTACGGTATACATTACGCTGCCCGTGACCGCCGCAGCTGCATTCTCCCGCGGCGGTGTACTCTTCATCGCTCTCCTTTTCAACTCTTTCCAAGGTGATTCTCATCTCGCAGCAGTATGACAAGCATTGACATAAGAGTGCAGCCTTCAACGAGCTTCCGACACAGCTGATGAACCGGCCAATAGGCTGGAAGCAAGTCGCATTCACGTTCTATCACCCGTCCGCAGCGAGCCTTGGCGCAACGTTTGCAGACGTACCTTTCAATGTCATCCAGATCTTCCTCTTTTCGGTGATCATCTACTTTATGACGGGCCTATATCGATCTGCTGGCGCCTTCTTCGCATTCTTTGTGATTGTCTATGCCCAGTTCCTCAGTCTGGCGAGCTTCTTCCGACTGATCGGTTGCATCTGTCGCGACTACAATCTGGCAGCCCGTCTCGCGTCTGTCCTCGTCACTGCCTTCGTACTGTATTCTGGCAAGTCTAAGTTGTGAAGACGGTTAGTCAGCTAACGTCTGTCAACAGGTTACATCGTTCCAGTCTTCAACATGAAGCGATGGCTGTTCTGGATCTACGAGATGAACCCTCTCGCCTTTGGATTCTCGGCACTCATGTCCAACGAGTTCAGACATCTCGAAATGACATGTGACGGCAGTTACATCACTCCTCGCAATGTCGGTGGTCTCACGCAGTATCCAACCGAACTGGGTCCGAATCAAGTCTGCACACTGCAAGGCTCTGTCGCTGGCTCACCAACGGTTGCCGGTTCCGACTACATCTACTCTGGTTATCAATATTTGGTCAGCACGCAATGGCGCAATTTTGGCCTGCTACTCGTCTTCTTCGTCGCCTTCCTCATCATGCAAGCCGTCGCCAATACTTACCTGAAGCATGGCGCCGACATGCCTGCTTTCACCGTGTTCGCCAAGGAGACCAAAGAGCTCAAGCGACTGAACGAGGAACTGGCAGAAAAACGAAAGAAGGCCAGACGTGGCGAATTAGAGCAAGATTTGAGCGACCTCATCCATACCCGGAAACCATTCACCTGGGAAAATCTCTGCTACGAGGTGCCCGTCTCTGGTGGCAAGCGACAGCTGCTGGACCATGTCTTCGGCTTCGTCGAGCCGGGCACTCTCACCGCGCTGATGGGATCCTCTGGCGCTGGCAAGACGACTTTGCTTGACGTGCTCGCCGATCGCAAAACACAGGGTACGGTTTCGGGTACTGTTCTGATCGACGGTCAGCCTATTGGCGTGGATTTCCAGCGAGGCACGGCATATGCTGAGCAAATGGACGTGCACGAATGGACCGCTACAGTGCGTGAAGCGCTTCGCTTCTCGGCCTACCTTCGTCAAGACGCGCACATCTCAATCGAAGAGAAGAATGCGTTCGTCGAACAAGTCCTTCAGTTGCTCGAAATGGAAGACATTGCAGATGCTATGATCGGCTTTCCTGGCTTCGGTCTGTCTGTCGAAGCACGCAAGCGTCTCACTATCGGCGTCGAGCTCGCAGCCAAGCCTCAGCTTCTGCTCTTCCTCGACGAGCCTACTACGTAAGTTGCTTGCTGTCGACCTACGTGCTGGCTGAGCAAAAGATATAGTGGCTTGGATGGACAATCAGCGTACAATTTGGTACGCTTCCTTAGGAAGCTATCAGCCGCCGGTCAAGCGATTCTGTGCACGATTCATCAGCCTAATGCGCTCTTGATCTCTCAATTCGACCGTCTGCTATTGCTCAAGTCGGGCGGCCGTACAGTCTATTTTGGGCCCATCGGAGAAGGTACGCATGCCTCGTGTTGCAAACGCTATAAGCTGATGCTCGGGAAATTGACAGACTCGAAGGATCTGCGAGGCTACTTTGCGCGCAACGGCGCAGAATGTCCACCTCAGGAAAATCCTGCAGAGTTTATGCTTGAAGCTATCGGCGCTGGATCTCGCAAGCGCATTGGCAACAAAGATTGGGCAGACCGATGGCTCGAATCGGAGGAGTTTGAAGCTGTGAAGCGTCGCATCGCCGAAATCAACGCGACTGCCGGGCAGCATACCGCCACTGAGGCGAGTAGTACCAAGGCCTTGACGTTTGCAACGAGCTTCAGGACCCAGATGACGATCGTCGGCAAACGCGCTCTCCTGTCACAGTGGCGTCAGCCAGACTACAACTTCACCAAGTGGTTCAATCATGCGGCCATTGCGCTCTTTACGGGTCTAACGTTCCTCAATCTGGACAATTCAGTTGCTTCGTTGCAGTATCGTGTCTTCTCGATTTTCATTGCGTCCATCTTGCCAGCTATCATTATTTCGACCATCGAGCCCTCCTTCATCATGGCTCGCGACACGTTCCAGCGCGAGGCATCCAGCCGAATGTACTCGACCTGGGTCTTCGCCTGGACTCAGTTCTTTGCCGAGATGCCGAATTCGATCCTCTGCGCATTTTCATACTGGGCGCTTTGGTATTGGCCGACCGGCTTCAATCACGCTTCAAGCAGAGCAGGTTATGCTTTTGCGATGATCCTAGTCACTGAGCTCTACAGTGTCACCCTGGTAAGTCGCTCGTGGCCCTCGTGCAACAATCAGCTCATGCAACCTGCAGGGACAAGCTGTTGGCGCACTATCGCCTTCTATCTTTGTGGCATCACTCGCGAACGCGCCTCTGTTGGTCATGTTTTCGCTCTTCTGCGGTGTCACGATTCCGAAGCCTCAGATTCCTCACTTCTGGCGAGTGTGGCTTTACCAGCTCGATCCGTTCACGCGCTTGATCAGTGGACTGCTCATCAACGAACTGCAAGATCTGCCCATCGTCTGCAAAGCGAACGAGTTCGTCACCTTCAACCCGCCAAGCGGCCAGACCTGTCAACAGTGGGCAGGTGCCTTCGTCGCTGCGGGCACCGGCTATCTCGATAATCCGAATGATACCACGGGCTGCAACTACTGCCAGTACCGTGTAGGCCAACAGTTCACAGATCCTCTAGACATCCAGTACCAATATCGTGGTCGAGGTGCGCTCGTTGCATTATCTGCAGGGACGAGCTGACCGGCAAAGATAGATATCGGCATATTCGTGGCATTCTTCGTGTTCAATCTGATCGTACTACTTATCGCCAGTCGCTTCCTTCGCTATTCGAAGCGATAGCGTCTTCACGTGGCTTGCTGTTGTTCATGCACCGGTGTAGAGCTCTATGCGAGGACTATTGCTGCAGTTTCATTGCAGACAGAAAGACGCTTCTCAGGCTGGCTTGATCCATTCTTTGCCACCGGCCGAGTCAGCAGGATCGCGATACACAGGTGCAGTACGCACGCAGCACTGAGCTCTGACATGCTCTCGACTTCTATCGCATGAGGCTTGGGACCGATCACCTTTGCCAGAGAGACTCGTTCGGTCCAGGCGTCGAGTGCGACTGTATGCACTTCATCGTATCTCACGGTCAAGGCCTTCCATTGCATCGCTTTGATGCGCCGTATAAATTCATCAAGATCTTCCTGCTTGCCCTCTGAGACAATCACGCCTGGATAGCCGGGCCTGGCGATCGTCCACAGGCCGAGTTCAGAGCTAAAGGCGTGGATGTCTTTGCGCTTTATGGTCGACTTGAGGTGATGGGACCAGAAGAGAACCGTCTTGAGTGTCACTGTCGTCGTGCACGGTGGTGCGGCCTCCTCGACGGATCCAGTGTGATCAGCCTCAAGCGGATGATCGACGAGCCAGGCGCGCAGATCGTTCAGCAAAGAAAAGAGGGGGAGCTCTGCCGGTTGTTCGTTCAGCAGACGGGTGAGCAGCGCGGTCAAGGCTTCCTGCTTTTCCCTCGATAGACCGTCGCCGTGTATGTTGCATCGAAGGCGTGAGGTGTAGTCGACAGCAAGCCACACGCCGGGAGCCAATCGAATGTCAAATTTTGGATCATCCCGGACGAGCTCCTCGTCGAGCAAGCTTGAGATGACGAGCTCTACATCATCGTGAGCGCTCTGCTGCATGCACACACGGTGCTATCGACTGCTCTGATCGCTGCAACGCCCCAAGGTTTGTCTGTCGACCCTCCTTTTGACGCGCCGCGACAGGCGCCGGGCCAAAGCTCGCTCCTATGGCAACGATGTGACAGGGCTAGTACGATTGACAGGCATGCAGTGGAAGCAACATAGATGATCGACGGACGGAAGAGGATCTGCCTCTTCGCCGCCGTGCTCGCAGTCAGCATCACGTCACTTCTCTATCGCGCCAAGCCGTCCCTCAAAGGGCGCTTCGCTCGGCGTGCTGAACAACAAGAGTGTAATCCTTTCAGACAGCCCGGTATAGCCCATGTCGACGACCAAATACCGAGCGAGAACTACTTTGTCCCCATCGACACTGCCTGCCCGAGGTCATCCATCGCCTCTCGAGCCATTCACGTCGCGCAACAGGACGACGATGCCGACGTCCCCGAAGATCTGCATTGGCTACTCGACCGCACCGTCGTCCTCTTCGGTGACAGCCATGAGCGCTATCATCTCGAAGCTGTGTGCGATTTCTTCGGCAAAGCAGCGCGTCACACGATCGTCACGCCTGACCACCAATGGTCGCCACCACCCTACTCGAGTGACGTCGAGCCTCACAATGCCGGCATAGATCATGAAGCGAGCAGACCTCACGTTTGTCACATAGATCGCTACAATCTCACCCTCATCAGCATTCACTCCTTCGGCGTCGACACTCTCCAAGGCTACAAAGATCAAACCGTGGGCAGCTTCTTCGTCGACAAGCACTACTATTCCCCCATCACGAGCGAAGACAAGATAGACGCCATCCTCTTGCCGCTACTACATCTCATGGGACGAACCGAACCTGATCTCATCGAATATGCTGCGGGCTATTGGGATCTTCTCCACCTGTCCATGCTCGAAGATACAGCACATCCGGGCATGGGCGAGCACACGGCAAACCTGCCTCTAGACTACGTACGCTACTATGAAGCTGGCCTTCATCGCGTGCTGGACAAGCTGGCCAGCGCCTTTCCTGATCCTGCCACGCCAATCCTGTTTCGACATCTGCACATGGTACAGACAAGGCACAACACCCCCAAAAACCGCGTTGCCGGGTTTACAACGGTCGGCCGTAAGGTTGTCAACGATCTTGCCGATCAACCGCTCGCCTGGGGTACAGCCCAAGGCAGGATGCGACACGACGAGTGGGGGCCTATTTTGCTCGGGCAAGAGGTACGTCTGGATCAGTTTTGCAATCGCTCGTCTTGCTCATGCTAGTCCTCGCCTGCGTCAGGATTACATTTTTGACGCTATGCACTATGTCAACCCGGTGCACTATCTCTGGTGTGACATTCTTCTTTGGGAGCTTCGCAGGGCTGCAACTGGGCGAGGCGAATAAATAGGATGCATCATACATACCAGCCCTCGGCGTCTTCCCCATCAGCAGCACTTGCGAAGGCAGGCTTGGAGACAGAGGTTCCGTTATTGCTCCGAGAGACCCTTCTTGGCGCTCGTGGTCCGAGCACTGTCGATCTAGTAATGCATCACTCGTCAGTACTCACAAAGCAGGCATCGATAAGGCTCGCACCTTGTCCGAACCATCCGGTTCTGCTCGACACCTAGACTCTGCGTAGACTTGGTGCGCGGCGATTTGGTATCATCACTGCCCATCAGACGATGTCGCCACACTCGAGGTGGACTCTCTCGCTTGGGAAGAGGCGTAGGCGAATGCGCTCGTTTGGTAGGCGATCGCTCGCCAGACGACTTGTCTGCTGATGCGTTGATGCTGATCTGGCTCAGCGGACGATGCAGAGAGCTCTTCCGCGTCGGGACCGGCGGACTGAAGCGCGAGCTTGCATTCTGTTCGCTGTCCACAGGTGTAGTGGTCGCCAGCTCTGCGATAAGCTGATTTTGGCCCTCGAGAACCTGGCTCAGTCTGGATCAGCCTCCACAGCTCAACTTGGTCAGGCTGCGCACCTCTTTCCACTGTGCAATAGCAGCGCGCAGATCCAATTCGATTGTCTTCTGACCCTCGATGATCTTGTTCAGTCGATCGATTTCGTCTTGCTGGCCTTTGGCAGCGAAAAGCGTCTCGCCATCGAATCGTCTGGATTCTCGGACTGTCTTTGATCGCTCTGTCCCTGCCGGTGAAAATGTCGAACTTGTCTGTCGTGGCCGGAGTGGCGAAGAAGGAACAGACTTTTGCGGCCTGGAAAGCATGACGGGTGGAGAAGGCGAGCGCAGATCGCGACGTATGCTCTCGAGTCGGTCCTCTTTGACGCGGGCGGCTTCTGCATCAATGACGTCCAGCCGCTTTTGCTGCGCATCCAGCTTGCTTTGTAATTCTTCGATGCGTTTTTGCTGTTTCGCCGCGTCCTCGAGCGCTCTATGAGATTTTGACCTTTCGTCTTCCATGGCTCGCTCGTGGGCTTGTGCGTGCGCGGAACCGGCTTGCACGGCCAGCTGGAGCTCCTGATATCTCGCCTGTATGTCTTGCGTTGCCTTGGCTTCTGATCTCAGCTGCTCGATGTGAAGTCGCAGCTCCTTCGCCTCTTCTGCAGACTGTTGCAGTGCCATGCGTCTCGCTTCTGCTATTGCTGTTGCGTGGCAGTCTTCTGCTTGCCGGGCAGTAAGCTTGAGCGTGGCCAGCTCGGCGCCGATCTTGCCGGCGTACTGTGTTTTTGCCTCGAGCTGCACTTGTAAGCTTTGCATCACGCTCGCATGCCGCTGCTGTTCTTGCACCAACGCAAACTTTTCCGCTGTAAATTTGCGCATTGCCTCTTCGTGATCATCATGCTGGTTCTGGAGCGTTTCGAGCTTCTTCTGCGCTTGTGTGCGCTCCCATAACGCGTCTTCAAGCTGCGACTTGATCCCCATCATTTTTTGCGTTTGTGTTTGGATTCTTTGACTTATGTCGGCCGACTTGACCGACGCAGCTGCTGCTTGTGATGCTTCTTCTTGCTGGATTGCTAGACGGGCATTGAGTCTCTCGATGGCAACTGCTTGCTCTTGCTCCGCCAGCTGTCGAGCTTGTGATAGTGACGCAAGCTGTTCGTCGCGGGTTGCTATAGTGGCTGTAAGCTCAGCGTTCCGCCGCCTAAGCTTTGCCATCTCTGTCTCTGCTTCAAAGTCGATCTCGGGGCCGGCGGGTATGCTTGCAAGCTGTGGACGAGCCACACCGCGCATAGGCGGCGGGCCTCGACCGATATTGAGACTGAACGCTCTGAAAGCGGGCTGAGGCAGGTGCGACGCAATGGCGGTGTCATCGGAGGCTCGCGTTGCCCGAGTTGCCTCGAATTTGCTGCCAGTCAGAATGCGCTCATTGAGGAAGGCTATCTGAGCCTGTAGGAGTGTGCGTTGATTGTCGAGGTCGGCAAAAGCAGATTCTGCTTCTTGCCGTCTGCGCTGGATTTCCGCCAGCTTTGAAAGCTCCTCTTCGTCGCGCAGATCCTTCTGCGAGCCAGGACGTGAATCGCCATCGTCTTCTTGTTTGATTTGAGGCCCTGGCATGGCGAGTCGGCTTTGTTCGCCTGCCGCCAGCCGTGCTTTCAGCTCGGCAATCTCGCTCTGATAGCGCTGCAAGAGAGCCTCTTTGTCAAATATCATGCCCTTCTCTGCTTTCGTCACGATCATTTTGGCCCTCCTCGCAAATTTGAGCGTGCTGAGCGTCTCCAGCGCATGTTTCGGCTCTGGAGAGACTGCGCATACGATGGCTATGCGAGCATTGCCTGACAGGGAAGTCTGAAGGAGACGGGTGAGCTTCGAGTCTCGATAGGGGATATGCTGCGCTTGTGCTTTGGAAGTGCTCGCCGAAGCAATGGAAAGCTTCTCGATGACGGTAGAAAGCGCAAGCAGAGACTTGTTGATGAAAGCGCCTTCTTTCCGACGCTCGTCTTGCGAAGCGGCACGCTCACTACCAGCAAGGTCGATGAGATTGAGCTGCGACAGTCGGACGCCCTTGTGTTGTGCGCCATTCATCCTGCTGAGACCGGCTTGCGGTGCGTCACTGGCCTCAGTCGGACTTTCGGATGCAGTCGATTTGCCAAGTGCGCCGGTCGAAGATCTCGTAATACTACCAGCTGTGCTAGAACGCAGGCAGGACTCAATTGTCATCGAGACGATCGTATGCGAGCGGGAAGAGCGTTCATTCCAGTCTGTCGCGCCGACATGCCGATTGGTCTCTCCGCGATGCAAAGCTTGTAGTACTTGGTCTGGGCTCGTGGCGATCTCCTCTGTCAGCGGCGTGACATAGATGCGCCCCTTTGCTCGAGTGTGTGAGCAGCGCGCGGTGCACAGGATGAGCAGCGTACCTTCGAGTCGACTTTGATCTTGAGATCCTTCTCGGATCCATTTGCAGGAGCAAGCAGGTCCTTGAGCGTCTCATTATAGATCTCCAGATAGCTGACCCGGACCATCCAATCTCGCTCTTCGGTCTGTGACGGGTTGGACGGCGAGAGTTGCCGGGCGATGCAGTCAAAGACCTCGTTGACGGCGAGCGATATGATACCCGGTTCGATATCACTACCAGCCATTGTATGAGTCTTGCCGGAGGCCGTCATGCCGTATGCAAACACTGTGCGTTCTGTCAGTCTCAATCGCAGGGCAGCAGGACCGACGTGCCTGTGCCGTTGTAGCCGTCCATTGCAGCCTGCACGACCGGCTGTATCGTCTTGTCGTAGAGTTCCTGCGTAGGCTTAGGCGCTAGATGCAGGTGATCAAACGTAAAGTCATACTCGGCATCGCTGGCGTCTGTAGCTGTACCATTGGTAGCTTGCCTTCTCGCACGGGCAGGATGTGTCGGTAACAAGGAAAGCCTAGCACGGTTCGGGTCGAGTGTCCATAGCTTCGCTTGCTCGGATTCCTGTTGCCGCAGTGCTGCTAGCTGTTCGGGCACGGCCAGGTCGAGTGAAGGAGCAGGTAACGGCCGCACTCTGATTGTGACTGCTATATTCTGGCTACCGGCTGGCTTGGGTTCTGAAGTGGCGGCCGAGGTGCTACTGACAGGCTCTCGTTTGATAGTAACGGGTTCAGACTGGGACTCGCTCTGTAGGGATGGCACGGGCGCCGTCGCAGGCACGGGCGCAGCTCCGAAGAGGGAGAAGAGTCCCTTGACTCTGCCGACGCCTGCAGCGACGAGATCATCGAGATCTTTGCTGCCCGTGCCGGTCGCTGCCGTCGAAGTCTCTCCATGGCTGTCGGACGGGATCCGGCCGAGTGGGAAGGCAGACTGGCTCCGCCTTGGCTGTTTGCGACTTGTTGTTGCTGCCCCCTCGGTCTCTGCTGGCGCGGCGTCTCGCAATGCACGTTTTCTGGTCGCCGGAGAGTCTAGTCCGGTGGAGAGCTGTGCGGCCGTGCTCTTGCTCCGTGTCTTGACCATCAGAGCTTGAGGCTGGCGAGTTCAGTTTATATTCTATGGGCGCTGGCAAGATGTCAATAGAGTCGCGTCACGTCACGAGCTACGAGCGCACATGCATTCCATGCTTCCTGAGCCCTGCAAAGTCTGTTCCAAACATAGCATCAGAGTCGGCGACACGTTGAGCATATACTGTCTTGCTGACATGCCAGCAATTCTCATGCTCGAGATCACTTCGCTCGATCATGATGATCTGACGAGGGGCAAACGAGACGAGACGAGATGTTGTGAGCCGGTAGATGTCTGTCAACCTGGCCATCGATTCAACATCGCGGGCATGTCCAACACAAGCACGGCAGATAAGGCCATGTAGCGGCGCCATTGGTCAGCGTTCGAGTCACTAACCTCGCTACGTTAACGTATCGTGACGAGCTCTGGACAGGCTGCGTACATTCAGAGACGTTCAGCTGGTTCGACGGCATCGCTCGCTTGATAGCTGGCCCATGTTGCCCACTCCTGCTGCCATTGTCACGAGCTTGGGCGATTTGTAGCATTGCCCTGCTCGCGCTCGTCATCGCCTCTCTGAACAGCATGTCATCCGGTGACTGTCAGAGTGGGTAGTGCCGATCAGCAGTAGAAACCGTCTGATAGTCTCACTCATTGCATTCGCTGCCTAGCTGCTGCTCTCAGGTATGTGCGTTGCTTCAGGCACAGACGACGAGGAGTGGCAGCAGCAGCGAATGGCGGCCTTCCGCTTGAATGCACTACTCAGGTGCTCGCGCAGCTTCCTGTGGATGTGAGCCTGCGCTTGATTTTGAGCTGCAGCCTGGGCATGACTTGCTCTTGCATTTCGTGAATTTTGGCGACGAGACGCTGGACGAGCAGCGGCAGCATGGCAGGTAGGCAGGCACTCCAGACTCAACACTCGAGCTGATCACCCGTCGGCTGAATCATCAGGCGCAGATGGCCTGGGCTCTCTCATGGATCGACTCTCGACCCTCTCTGCAGAGGACAGGGCAGCCAATAATACTCAGCTTGGCCTCACCACGCCGAGCGGGCTTGGTACTGAGCCAGGTCCCAGCAAAATAGAGCCAAAAGCTGCACTAGAGACGGCGACAACAGAATCGCTTCCCAGCAAGGTCTCACCTGTCCTCACACCGGCAATAAAGAGCGCAATATTGCCAGAGAGCGACAAAGCAACACCCGCGGTGACGACCGAAATCGCAGGACCTGCCAGTCCAGAGACTGCCCCAAAGGATGCTCCTCCACCCGAGCCGATGCCATCTCTGTTGCAGAGCTATGCAGAAGAAGTACAAGTCACGCTCGCGGATCAGCAAGCCGATCCCTCCTCGCCTCTCTACAGCGTCAAGACGTTCGAAGATCTCAACCTGTTCGTGTCTTCCTCGCCCACCTCTTGCGTAACTCACATACAAGTCCAGCAAGCCTGAGCTTCTCAAGGGCGTCTATAAGCTAGGCTTCCAGAAGCCGTCCAAGATACAAGAACGCGCCTTACCGCTGCTCTTGCAAGAGCCACCGCGAAACATGATCGGTCAATCTCAATCTGGCACAGGCAAGACGGCTGCCTTTGCGCTCACTATGCTCAGTCGTATCGATACCACCCTGAGACAGCCCCAGGTCAGTCACTTCCCGCGTGATGTCCACAGGCACTGAGTCGACAAACAGGCCATATGTCTTGCGCCTGCCAGAGAGCTAGCCATGCAGATCCTCGATGTCGTCAAGTCGATGGGACAGTACACGAACGTCGAGACATTCAACGCCACCAAGGGTGCCGTCTTCAGAGGTCAGCGCATCTCTGCCCAGATCATCGTCGGCACGCCCGGCACCGTCATCGACGTGAGACTCATCCCCTCTTGAGTGTGCCGTTGCTCAATTCACAGCACAGATGCTGCGACAACGCTCGCTGGATGTGACAAAGATCCGCGTGTTTGTGTTGGACGAAGCGGACAACATGCTCGAGCAGGGCTCAATGTCAGATCAGTGCATCACCCTCAAAAAGTTGGCACTTCCTCAGAATTCACACCGAGCCGAGCTCACACATGAGGCAGTCAAATAGCGAGGGCGTCCCCGAAAGCTCAGATTGTCCTCTTCTCAGCAACTTTCAACGAGATCGTTCGCGAGTTCGCAGCCAGATTTGCACCGCAAGCCAATACGATCGCTCTGAAAAGAGAAGAAGTCACACTCGATGCGATAAAGCAGTTCTTCATGGGTTTGTGATTTGACTCGCCTCCTCCAATTCGTCTGAGCGCGAGAGCAGACTGCGACAGCGAGCAGCACAAGTATGAGGTCCTCGTCGAGCTGTACAGCTTGCTTACGATTGGTCAATCCATCATCTTCACTCGGGTTTGTCTCATCACCATTCTTGCTCAAACGACGGGTCTACTGATACCGAATGATGCAGAGGAGAGATACGGCAGACAAGATTGCATCCCGTATGACGAGCGAAGGTCACAAAGTCGTTTCGCTTCACGGCCAACTGGAGACCTACGAACGAGATGCGGTGATGGAGAGTTTCAGAGAAGGCAAGAACAAGGTCCTCATCACGACCAACGTTCTCTCGAGAGGTATCGACGTCATGCAAGTCAACATGGTCGTCAATGTATGTTCTCTTCCGGTCGTACCTGGACTGTACTGATAGGTATGTAGTACGATATGCCGACGACTCAGCGAGGCGAGCCCGATCCAGAGACGTACATCCATCGCATCGGACGAACGGGTCGATTCGGGCGCCAAGGCATCTCGATCAACTTTGTGCACGATCACCGTTCTTTCCAAGAGATGGAAGCCATCCAAGCGGCAACAGGTCGTGAGATCTTACGAGTAGAGACGAGCGACTTTGAAGTCATGGAAAAGGTGAGGCCTCGCCGCCGGTTGCTATCGCGTTGGCTGACACGTACGATAGACTCTCAAGGACGCGCTCAAGGGAAAGTCATAGACCTTTTAGCTCGTTGTATCGACACCATCAACGCGGCAGTAACACGTTGCAGAGTACAAATGAAGCAGCGAGAGGCTCAGGCGAATCCGTAAGCTGCAAGCTTCTCTGCGCCAGCGGTATCCTTGCTCGCGACAGCCTTGCGTGCTGCCGTCCTTGCCTTTGTGAGCTGGATCTTGCGCTCGTAGTAAGCCTGGTTCTTGACTTTTCGCTTCTCTTCCAGTCTATCCACGACATCCTTGTAGCCCCATCCATACTCGTGAGACAATCGCTGCAAGATGATGACCGGTTCAGCACTTTGACAGAGTGCATGCTGCTGCTTCCGCACCTTGATCGTGCAGAACTTGCGGCCTGGCTTGAGTCTGAGCACACGGAGAGCGTTGGGCACGACGACACGCTTTTGCTTGTCGTAAGGAGGAGGGACACCCTCGAACGCCTTGATGCGAGACATGGCGGCTACACCTCTGGCAGACTTGTGCGGCAACATGCCACGGATGGTACGCTTGAGGATGGAAGCGGGCGAGCGGTGGTGGAAGGGACCCGACTTCTTTGGGTTGACGAGATGTCGCTTGTGCATGAATTCAGCATATCTCAACTGCGTGCCCGTACGTCAGCCTCGGCGGCAGTGCTCGTTCGGCAGATGGGCATACTTTGAGACGGAAGAAGCTGCCAGAGACGTTGATCTCCTCTGCACGGACGACGACGATCTTCTGACCGCTGAGGGCTTGCTTGGCCACAATGGACGCAAGTCGGCCTATTTCTGCCTGTCAGTCCCGCCTCCGCTGATCACCGAGGTGTCACAAACCGAGCAGATGGCCTTTGGCGTCAATGACGACGGGTGTGCTGCTGATTGTCGCCATTTCTGACAACGACTTTGCTCTGCCACGACGAAAGTGACAAGAGGCTGAACAACCAGTAAATGACGGATTGACCTCGATAACTTTTGACGCCGCACCACGGAATCCCAATTCGATTCTGCCGCGTGTCGCTGTGCCCAGCTCTACGACGTTCGCGGCGATGTCTTCATTGCTTGCTGGCTTCACATTTGAGCGTCTCTTGCGAGAAGGTAGATCCGTCTTTTGACCGAGCTGACTTCTCTGCTTATCGACACACAGATCCTCGTACACGCTTCATCGCGTTGCTGGGAGCCTTCAAAGAGGGCGCGAACACGGAACCTGTGCCTGCCATCCTGCTGGCAGAGAAGACGCACTTTGTTGAGGACAGGCTGCCGAAGCTCTCCAATTCCTTCAGCGAGCTCAAGTCTCTGGGCGACAATGACATCTACCGCTGGCTGCTTGGCTGGAACGATGAACAGCAAGATCGTCCTGCTGATGTCAAACTGACGCTCATCTCGCCCGCTACGGAGACGCACATCCGCAAATACTCGCCACAGAAGCTCAAGGTCATCGTCGAAACGCCAGAGATGTATCGGCAAGTCGTGTTGCCATACATCCAGAGCTTTCCTCCAGAAAGGATTCAGTGGGTCTACAATATCTTGGATCACATCACCGAGAGCGATACCATCGTCTACGAGGATGCATCTGACGAGCAAGGATTCGTCATCGTGCCCGACTTGTGAGCAGGCGAGGCCATGCCAAAAAAGTTGCTGACAGGAGCACAGAAAATGGGACAAGACGACCATCAGCTCGCTATACTTGCAATGTATCACCCGCAACAGATCCCTGAGAAGCTTACGAGACCTCAGACCTGCGCACCTGCCGATGCTCACCCAGATCTTGTCTCACGGTCAGCGCATCGCGCGAGAAAAGTACGGCGTACCCCATGGCGAGATTAGAATGTTTGTTCATTATCAGCCGTCGTACTATCATTTCCACGTTCATATCGTCCACCTCAGCTCGCAAGTAGCACAGGGCGGAACTGCGCAACTGCATCTGCTAGAAGATGTCATCGACAACCTCAGATTGCATGGCGATAAAGAATATTACCAAAACAGAACGCTCACTTATCTGCTTGGTGAGCAACACGGCCTATTTGCAGACCTCTACGCTCGCAACGCATCGTAGCTCAAGTACGTCATGCAATTACATCACGCAAGCAAGACTGCGCCGCCAAGCAAAGACAGACATCCCGCCAGGAAGCAAGATGCCATCACAGCAAGATGATCGGCTGAGGATGCCTGCATCACCGCGCTCGGTGTCGCAGAAGGCTGCGACATTGCTGCCGTCGTAGACATGCCAGTTGTGGCAGGCGAACTTGTCATTTCAGATGCACCTCCCGACGAGCTTGTGCTACTACTTGTGGCCTGACTGGTCGTCGAGCTTCCTTGGGCAGCCCCGCCTGTACCTATAATTGTCACTGGCAGCATGGCGGTTGCCACTTGGACATTATATATGGAGGTGCCTGGAAAGTTCGCGCTGGTGCCTGCAGCAACATCTGTGCAGGTCGCTATCGCCTGACCGATTGCACAATTCTCTGTGAATGTGCTACCAAGACCGCTCAGTCATCGTCTCGCAACACCGGAGCAGACGCACAACGAGCCGTCGCCGGCCGTCGTGGTATATGCCAGCGTTGACGGGCCTTCTGTGACGGTCAATACGCCTATTCCATCTCCATTGGCGGCAATCACATAGGTCGTTGTTGACGCGTCCTGTGCTTATCGAGTGAGCACTTGCACTTCACCCAGCTGACAGTCTCGCTGACCGAGCCAACAATGCTAGCGGACAAGGGTTGCGGGTCGAAGCCTGGCAAGAAGATGGATGCCGTCGTCTGCCCTGCTTGAGACCGCGTCAGACTGATGTCTCGTGAGCTCACTGCACGTCACGCACCTCTAACAAGGCCAACAACGGCTAGCAAAAGCGCTGCGGAATGCTTCATTTCTGATATCCGTCAACAGAGCAATTTCGCGCGTCGATCCGCCAAGCGCGGTACCATGTGGAGATAATTATAAGGTTGAACATCCAACTCGAGGGAAATGGACGCGCTTCAACATCTCGCATAGTTGCCATCAGCTCTCGCATAGCTCGACGGTCTCGCATAAGATGGGCAAGCTTTCGATCGTGACGTCTTTGCTGGCGTTCTCGGTTGCGTTGCAAGCACAAGCAGGCGCTGGTCCGCATCATGCTCACGATCATGCTGGTCTTGCGCGACGATTTCGAGCTCAGGCACCGCCGCATGAGCTAGAGAAGCGTGCGGATGGCACTGTCATCAAGATTGCTTCGAACGGTGGTACGACAACGACACCTTCGACAGGCAGCATCACCACTTTCTGCAATACATGGAAGAAGGCGTGCTTAGCCGTAAGCTCGCTGCAAGCTCATGGAGCACTGGCTGATGGAGCATCATCAGGTATGCTTTGACAATTCTGCGCAAGACACCCACGTCAATATTGCATACTTGTGCACATTGTCGACGACAAATCCAGGCGCATATGACTTTGGCTGCACTTGCGAAACGACAGGAAGAACGGACGAGACACTTGCCTATATCGCAGCGTTGCAGCCATCCGCAGCTTCTCCTAGTGGATCCTGTGCCGCTTCAGCAGTCGGTGCATCACTATCGACGCAGACTGTCACTGTCACCGTTCCGGCAGGCACATCGACAAAGACAATTAATGGTGCTGCTGTGACGGTCTCTGATGCCGTTGCGACCAGCACGATCGTCAAGCAGAACGTCGTCGTCAAATCTGCTACGATCGTCAATTCCATCGTAGCTACAGCAGTGAAGCCGGCCAAGACGGTCACTGTCTTCAAGACTGTCACTGATGCAACTGCCACAACCGGCACCTCTATTGTGACCGGCTCTACTATTCTAGGCACACCAAAGAACACGACACTACCGAATCGCAAACGAGCGGTGGACGAGAAGCTATTCGAGGAGTCCAACGAGGGTCTTGTGCTCGCTACCGTCTCCTCTTCATCATCTTTGCTGGGCGGACAGGTAGCATTTTGCAATCTGTACAAGCTCACATGCTCCCGCCAATGTGTCGGTCGGAAGTCAAAGGCATCAGTGCGCTCTTGCTCCCCTGCCACCGGTGTCAACGACTACAGTCTCCGGTGTCAATGTAAGAACAACGCAATTTTGACACGTACAGCCCTCAACGCGATCAAGCTCAGCAATTCGGTGCCTGATCTGTCCGTATCAATCATCACCGCGACTCGTACTATTTCGTCGGGTCAATTGCAAGCTACAGTGTCCAAAGCAGGCGCAACCGTCACCGTGGATTACACCGCCTTGACTACTACGCAAGTATGTAGAACTCTCGTTGACATTGTTGGAGGGCTAAAGCACATGCAGGCCACGCAAACTGTGACGTCTACAGTTACTTCTTTTGCGTCGGCTCAGACAACTGTCAAGAGCGGTACCGTGACCGTGACCTCGACGGTGCACGCTACTGCAAACGTCGCGGCCACATCGACGACGATCATTGCGCTCAATCCCACTGGCGTCATTAAAGCGAGCTATGTCGCCAACAGCTCGGTCGCCGGCTATGTCGAAGCCACGACCAACGACTATGGCTCTTTCAACCTGCTCAGCTCAAATGCCATCACGTCTGATACGCTACAAGTCGTATTCTTGTATGACAAGACTTCAAAGCTGTATCGCATCGAGACGCTGAACGACGACTTTGCTGACTCGTACAATTATATGGGCGCGGCACAAGGCTTCGCCGCAGCGAGCTCAGACATGACCGCGGGCACGACCAATTACAACTACATCTGCGTTACCAATCCAGGTAGGCCCGTCACACACACACAAAATGTGCAGAGCTCAGACAAGGTCTGCAGTGCCTTATGGACCTGCACAGTACACCGGCAACAGTATGGCGTCTGACGATGGCACCTATCAGCCTGTCAGCGAAAGTGTCATGTGGAATCTCGACATTGCCAGCCGCAACATCTCTGCCGCTTGGACCAACTCAAACAACAGCAAGTCTCTGCGCTGCGTGGATGTACTGAGCTGATGGCATGCAACCTGCAGAGTTGACAACGCCCTATCTTTTCTACGCGGGAGGCGACAGTGACTTTTTTGGCATCACCGGCGATCTGAGTCAGTACACAAATGCGTACATCGATCCAGCGCAGCAAGTTGCTTGGACATTCGTGCCGTCCTAGTCGTCCGCAGCGCACCACGTGTACTTGTAAGCTTAATATCGAGGGCGTCGTTGTCGGTCCAAGTCTTGTTGTGAGTGCGCTTGCGCTCTCTGCCGAGCGCCCTGCAGATGCATCTCAAGCACTCATCATAACACTGAAGCCCTCTGAGAACAGCTTTGCATGGTACAAGAGTGACAGGGTGAGCGTAGATCGAGCCAGTCGCAAGGCGACTATTTCTTCTTGGCCGCGTCCTCCTCTGCCTTCTTTGCTGCACGAGCTGCGATCTTGCCTGCGAAGCGCTGGGAAGCGCGAGCATTGCGAAGGGTCTTGTAAGCATCGAATTCCTTCTCCTCGCTGGTGATGGCTCGTGGCTCCTCTGAGGTAATGCCGGATGGCAGAGGTAGGATCGACGCAAGATCGCGCGTGCTTCCCTCCTGCATATCGTGGGTCAGACTGTTCATGAAAACGACGACGAGAAACATACGATAGATGGCTTCTCGACCTTCTTTGCCTTCTTGCCAGAGTGCTTGCGAGGCAGAACGATGAGTCGCTCCTTGTAGGCAGTGAGTCTCTCGACATTGCGCTTCAGGCTCTCTTCAGATCTGCGCATGCGGAGCTTTAAGCCACCGAATCTACCCTAATCAGCGCTCAACTGACCGGTTGCGGCGACGGTGGTCGACAGGGATGCCGATCGAAAGCGCTTCCTTGCGGTTTACGCCAGCAGTCTTGAGCTCCTCGAGCGAGAAGCCACGGCCCTGACGGATGCGCATGTTGTATCTGACGGTGGTGCATCTCACTGCAGGTCGGAGGAGCTGGAGCGGTCGAGGTGCAGTCTTTGCCGCCTTTTCCTTTCTCGCGGCACGGCGAGAGTGCTTGCGGCCTGCCTGATCGAACCAGGTACGGACTCGCTCCTGCCAGTCCTTTCGGAAATGATTGCCGTGAAGCACATTGTTGTGACGGAAACCCTGGAAGCCGAAAGCGCAAGTTTGGTCAAGTCGGATGTCACACAAAAGCGGGCATTGGCAGAATGAGCAAGACGTAGCGGCAAGGTGGAGTCAGCAGAACAAGCGAACATAGTCAGCTCGATCCAAGACGTATCTTGCGACTCAGTACGCACCATGTCTACCGCCTGCAGTCGTCGACGGTTTCTTGGCTCGCTCGCAGTGGCTGCCACACGTGTCGTGACATTTACTGTAATGCCCCGCTGTTGCGACACGTCACGTGTTCTCCAGACGAAAGAATCGTGGCTAGCAGCCTTGCGCCGCCAATGGCTGCTGATTCAACAGCATCGATGCCCAGTCATGCGGACTTGCTCTCGGTGCATGTTGTTTCCAATTAAACAATATGCATCGAGGCCAAATATATACCCTCTCATTCCCTCTACTGATCTAAAAGCGTGCTATCATAGAATCAAAGCGATTCTTTCTCGGTCTCATCGATCGGCGAGTCTTTCTCTGCAAGTTTGTTGTCTGCACCGATCTCGAGATGTGCATATGCATCGGTCGCATCGGCGGGAGCCACCTGAAGCCCATCGACTGCTCTGACGGGACCGACAAAGTACTTTCTTGCCCAGAATGTCCAGCTGACTGCAATATATAGTGCGATGACCCCGATAGCGACCGGACAGTAATTCAGAGTCTGACTGGTGACCGGATTGGCCGTCGGTAGACAGAAGAAGATCGTAATGCAGATGACCCACTGGAACGCTACAAATTGAGCTTGCGCCTGTGTATGACAGCTGCAACATACCATGACGGCTGCGGCAGCGATGGGCTTCGAAAGAATGCCAAGTGTGAAAGGCCCTTTCTGAAAATGATGCGGCCAGACCAAGCCTAGGGCGATGGGAATTCCATAGCTAATATACAATCCGCTGGTCGCGATGGAGGTCGCTGCCGTGAACGCGACCGTCGATCCGAGCGACGGCAATGCGAGACAGAAAGATAGTAATACGGCGAGCCAGATTGTCTTGACGGGCGCCTGAGTCCGTTTGTCGACCGTGGCGAACCATTTGGGAATGCCCGAATCTCTCGCGAAGCTGTAGTACATTCTGCTATTGCTGCAGACCGAGAACAGTCCGCAGTGAAAGACGCAGATCATGATGACGGTCATCATCACAATCGCGCCGTTCTCGCCGACCGCGTCGACAAAAATTTGCAAAACAGGTTGGCCGTACGGCGAATCGATGGTAGTCTGATAGTCTTGGATTGAGAACAAGAACGATAGCAGTACGAGCAGACCAAAGAGAGACGAGCATCCGATTGCTGCGATGAGGCCCCTTGGGGCAGCAAGTGCCGCGCCACGCGTTTCTTCGCTCATGTGAGCGGCCGCCTGTTATCTAGAGTCAGCAAAATCGCCGCAGGAGCATGTTATAGCTACGCTCATCGTAACCGGTCAATGTGTAGGTTGCTTGTAAGAGACCGATGACGCCAATGTAAGCGACGGAACCTCTTTGGCTCCAGCCTTCGTAGCCTTCCGCGCCGGTGCCATCATAGAAATATGTAAGAAACTTTGCTGGCTGCAGCTTCGGCGCCTTGACCAAGACAGCGATGCAGAGCGAGAAAACGCCGGCGGAATGAAGAATGATCGATGCGTTGTTCCAATATTTCAGTGAGCGAACGCCCAAAGTATTGATTATGCCTTGCAAAATCAAGACGCCTGCCAATATGGCGATCGTCTTTGCTGCAGTAGGTTCGTAGCCCTTGACAGATGCAGTCGTAGAGATGAGGCCTGCCAGTCCAAAGTCGATTCCCGTAGTAACCGCGACTTGGCCGAGGAAATTGAACCAGCCGGTAGTGTAAGCCGCGACTGGAGCGTACCGAGGCGCACTGAGGTAAGCCGCGAAAGCATATGGACTGTTGACGAAGGGAAGATGGCTTGCGTCAATACTGCGGGGATGCTTGTCCCAGTGCATGAGCTCACCCGCCGGATGAGGGTACCGCAGAGACGATCTCTGCCATGGCACAGCCGACCAGCATGATGAAGAAGCTGCTGATGAGCCATCCTGCGTGTGAGAGCGTCAACGAGTAGATCAGCGCAGCAGATTCGGCGTGCCTGAGAACATGACGACAGGTCCACCGGTCAAGAGTCCATATTCGAAAAGTGTGGTGAGACCCGTAATGACTGAGATGATAGAGAAAGACGCGCCGAAGTTTTGCAACAGGCCCCAGGAGCGGTCGAGATCTTGCTTGAGTCCGAGCTCATTGAGACGCTGCTCATCGGCCATCATCACAGGCTCCGGTTTGACCATTTTGCAGCCTGACGCTCGTGCAGAACGTAAGGTCGTGTGACTTCCAGATAAAGACGGAAAGTGCTCGTGCAAACAGGCCGCAGAAGTTGGCAGCAGGCGTCTGATCACGTCTATGACCTGCTTGTCTTCAGCACACTCCGACTCGCTTGGGCAATCTGCCCACCACCTTGCGCAGTGTCTTTCGAAGGTTGGCTCCAGGCGAGAGATAAGCGAGGCCTGGGCCTAATTCGATTGACGCGTTGGATTCGTGGAACGCGGAAGCTGGGCGGCCCCACATTGCTACATCTTGCAGCCACAGATTTCAGTGAGGTCAAGGAGTCACCGCTGAGCAAATCTCATAGCAAGATGGCTTACGTCGCTCCCAAGGGTGATAAATACGATGAGGCGTCCGGTGCACCCAAGGCAAAGGCCCACAAGATCCGAATCACGTTGACCTCGCGCAATGTGAAGAACTTGGAGAAAGTCTGCAACGATCTTGTCAACCGTGCAAAGGACAAGCAACTCAAGGTCAAGGGACCCGTCCGAATGCCGACAAAGATCCTTCGCATCACGAGCATGAAATCGCCCTGTGGTGAAGGTACCACTACCTGGGACACTCGGTCAGTCTTTCGATCCCTCTAGTGATCGCGGCTGACGACGAGCGGCTGTCTAGTGAGATGCGCATTCACAAGCGCCTCATCGACCTCACGTCGCCTGCCGAGACTGTCAAGCAGATCACGTCCATGTCGATCGAGGTAGGCTTCGTCTGTTAAAGCAAGTTTAGCTTTGGCTAATTTGATACTCCTCAGGTCGGTGTCGAGGTCGAGGTCACGATTGCTGCCTAAGCTACACAATGTGGGTGTGTTAGCAAGCAATGCATGTGCAGATGCGAGGACGATTGAGATTTATTCGCATACTCGCCCCTGAATTTGCCTATTATGAGAAGAGATCAAGACATACATGTACGAGGCACAGGCTGCAATGTACCGCGATCTACGATGTCTCAATCGACGGGAACGACATCCACAAGCTGGTTCACGTCCGTGCATGCGAACTCACCCTTGCCGTCGTAGTGTCTTTGACAACCCGGCACCTCAATGGCGAGCGAACCTGCGTCACCATCAGCATATGCCTCGTTTTTCCGCGAGTGACAGACTGGGTGGACAAGCGACAAACATCTGCCGCGGTGGTTCGTGAGCAAAGCTGCGGGCCGATGGTGTCCAAAAGCCGAGCACGAGTGTAGTCGACAGTACAGGATGACAGCATTGCTTCTCCGTAGTCTGCCAATCTTCTTGTTCTTGTCCGACATCGCTGAAGACTTACTCGGCATGTGCTTTAAAGCTGATCATGGGCACTCACTGGATTTGAAGCTTGATCTTGATGCTTTGGCGCTCGTATAGGATGAAGGAAGAGATGACTCCTATACGCAGTCGGCGGCCAGGAAACTGGGAACTTTTCAGTCATGAGGTTCTGAGACTGATCGAGACGCACGATAGCCACGCGTGCGAATATTCTGCCTGTCTGTCGCGGTTTGGCGACGGTGACGACCTGAGCGTCGACGGGCCCAACCGTGCTGATGCCGCTGATAGCAAAGCGGGTCTGCGAATCAGAAAAGGTGCATTGTCCGCTTGCATGAGCTTGCAGCCTGTATGCCTGGACCTTTGGAAAACCTGCGTCATCGACATCGACAGGGCGCACGACCATCTGACCGTATCGGCATTGGTGAACGATTGGCTGTCTGGAGCATCCTCGTGGCGTTTCTGATCCACCGCACGTTACATACAGTTGTGGGTCACTACTGGTTCGTTCAAAGGAGGGGTCGATCAGTCCGAAGATACCGCTCCCTGTGGCTTCGAATTTGCAGCATGTTCTGGCTTCATCGGACCATAGCTCTTGCTGATCGGCATCGCTGTGAGCGGTGAACGAGACCTCTACTGTTGTTGGTGACCAAGCTGGAGGCTGCGAGGCCGTTTGCGCGGTGATCTTATAGGAGCGAACTTGGTTCAGCGGTTTGATATCGAATTCGCCCAAAGTCGTTCGCAGCGTGAGCATCTCGAATGATGAATAGCTGATGACACTCTCCCCGACATGATCACACGAGGCTGAGGCTTCGACTGAGGGGGTGTCAGCGCGGCCAGACGACCCAACAGCTACTGACTCTCGACTCGGTAGAAGTTTGCAGAGATATCATCCGTGACTTGGCGGCGGTGATGAGGTAGGTGGGCAATGACGAGGGCAGGATAGAGCAAGAGCGCGAGATATAACATAATCACTGGAGGTATCTTCTCCAGTGCGCGAGCAATAAGCTCCTCGAGGGTCCATAACGATGAACTGCATCCTGTTCGTTGTCCGGGCTACGCTCCCGGTCACCGAAGCAGACCGACTTCGACGTGATCAGCTGCGAGCTTCAGGAGGCAATGCAAGCAGGCGTTTGCATATATGACACCAGTTCCGCCTGCTGCAAGGCTTGCGGTCTGAGAAGTCGGAGCGATCTCGGGCGACGTGAAGACACAGGTCATGTGCTAGCCACGTCTGACTAATCAACGCCTCATCTAGCTTTTTCGACGATTTTCACGCGCGGTCGCATGAGAGCGAGAACAGCTCCTTACGATTGATGTTGTGTGATGCACGACGAGCCAGATGCTTTCTCCGACACGGAATGATGGAGACCAAATGTCTGGGCGATGCCAGAGCAGCACGCTTGCGGATACCCGAGCAAAGGGCCATCGAGTCGGGTGAAAGCTGCGTGTGATGTCATCGGGCGTTCGTGTCAGCGAGCGAGGTATCAAAAGCAGTCAAGCCAGGTCAGAAAGCAAGCAAGCGCGTGGGAGTCGCTTGAGAGAGAGGATGCAAAATTCTGATGAGGAGTCGGCGAAAGTGAGACCGGAGATGTTGATGAAGTCGAGACTGGTTCAAGTGAAATGCGATGTGGGCCGCGCGCGAGAAGAGGAGAAACCGCATTTCTCACTTTTGACGATGACGACGGACGGGACATGACTGTGGCGGCGGTGTATGGACATGTATCCCTGCTCCTCTCCATCGTTAACCGTCTAACGTCGATCGCCTGACACCACCAAACACTACTGAACAGCACAAGCACACAAGATGGGCGTCATCGATTCAGTCAAATCTGCTCTGCACAGCGACAGCAAGTCCACTGGAACAAATGCTTCCTCTGCCAACTCCAACAGCACCTCCGGGCTCAAGGACTCGGCAAATTCAGGTTCACATTCCGCCAACTCTGGAACGACCAGGGGCAGCGCCCTATCATCTGACGAGCCCAGCTCCACGACGACGGGCGCCTCTCGCATGGCCAAGTCGTCCAACACGAAGCACCAATCCGGCAAAGTGCCCATGGACAGCGAAGGCCGTCTTGCCGAGAATTCTGGCAAGGGCCATACTTTCACCGATGACGAGCGCACGATCGACGGATCCCAGGCAGAGTCGCACTCCCACCAGATGCTCGCACACAAGACGCACGAGAACATCAAGCAGCACGAGGTAGAAGAAGTCACGCGCGAGCGCCAGCACGACCGTCACATCCACCACGTTCAGCACACGACTCAGCCCATCTATGACGAGCGTAACAATGCCGAGCAACACGAGAGACGCTCTGTGCCTGTCACGCAGATCAAGGAGGGACATGCTACTGCCGATGCCGACAAGGCCGCCTTTGCAGCGCAAGTGGGACAGCACTCTGACAGGACTACTCATTCTGGTAAAGACCGTCAGGTCATCGACAAGGGCGAGCGTCTCACCGAGAACACCCACCATCACGTTCACAACGTCGTTCAGCCGATCATCGAGCGTGACGTCCACCAAAACACGCGGATCCACACGACCATTCCAGTATCCCAAGAGACACACGAAGCCCCAATTGTTCACCAGTCGCAGGATCTCAAGCCCATCTCTATGAGCCAGTTCAAGTCTCAGGGCAACGAGCTCGGCAAGGGCATGAAGCCCGAAGCGGCCGGTTCGAGCGTACTCGATGCCGCTTCGTGCGAGCGCACCGTCGCTGGCAACGGCGAAGCGGAAGCCCAAAAGCTCCTCGGCCATGGCACTCGTCTTGCCTAAGCTTGGCCAGGTTGTTCTAGCATATATATATATTCACCCCCGTCACGAGTCAGCAGCACGATAAGTTATATGCATACCCATACTTGACACGCACATCCTCACTTTGCTGCATCTGGATTCTATACAATGAGCACAAGCGAGCCCCTTTCGTCAATGTAAAAGCGCGAATTTTGCTGGCTCTCTTACCACGAGCGATCTAAAAAGCACATTCGTTCTATGCTGTGTCTCCTTGATACGCTATGAAGAAAGTAGTATGTCGTCAATCGCATCGGAGAGAGGACTGTCGCTGTGCTCGCAAGGGTACGGCAGAATCAGAGACTCGGCTTGGGTGACATGGTGATCGTCAGGCTTCGAGCTGCCAGGATCTCGTGTCAATGCCTTGTCTCACATTCATCTGCTCATTAGCCCGTCACACAGATGCACTAGCGTACGCTGGGCTGACCTAGTCGTATGAGATGCAAGCTTATTCGCTCGCTTCTCTTTCTGCCTCCGTGATGAGCCGCCAAGATGTCAAAACAGTGCATGGCGACCTGCTCAGGCTCAGCCATGCTCCGCTGAACGAACAAGGAGCAATAGAGACCGTCAGGAATGCACACAGTGGAGCCATATGTTGCTTCATAGGCACAACAAGAGATTCCTTTGAGGGTCAGCCCCTGTCACATTGCCCATGCTCGCATCTCAGCCACTCTTGCAGGCAAACAAGTCACCCAGCTGGCCTACGAATCGTATGAAAGCAAGGCACTCAAGACGATGAGCACCATTGCACAGCTCACACGTCAGAAAGCGCTCGACGGCCATTTCTCAGACCCTGCAACACTTGCTGCTCAGCCACTTGTGGCCCGTACACTCCAGCGGATCACTATCCAGCACCGACTGGATATCGTACCTCCGGGAGAGACAAGCATCATTGTTGCTGTAGCTTGTCCCCATCGCTATGAGTCTTACCGAGCTTGCGAGTTTCTGCTCGAAGAGACTAAACGCTCGGCGGAAATCTGGAAACAGGAGCGATACGCTGACGATGCTACGCCAGCCTGGAAGCAGAACTTTCCGCAAACACTCGCTGATCGACTCGCTTGAAGCTACACACAATGAAAGCAGTCTACTCATTCTCCGCATTGCTGGTTGCGCTCTCCCATGCAAGCGCAAGCGACGTCATTGCTCGTGAGTCTCGACAGCTATGATCCATCGTTGCTGAGCGCCAAAAAGTCTTCACCGACGGTCAGTTCTACGACATCCTATGCGGTGGTGCGCCGCTCTTCAACGGACCCCAATGTAGTCAGTTCATTCCTTCTATGCGCCCGCCGAGCTTAGTCGGTCTAACAGCCAATACGGGTCTCGAGTGCAAAGGCTATGTTGTCAAGAAGAACGGCGTCGATCAGTACTGTCCGGGCAATGCAGGCGTAGCGTCTTGCTACCGCTCGCCCAAGACCTCGTCGGTCTCTGTCGGATGCAAAGCATGCAGCGACTGACGCTCGATGACAGTTGCGCGTCGGTCTAAGTCTCGCATGTACGCGCGTCTCACGATGTCGCCGCAATGCAATTGCCGTCGTGACTAGCTCTCGCGACTTGACTTTGACTGCCTCTCTGCTGATCACACAGGCTACTATGTTGCGCCTCATTGTCTGCTTCCTTGCCGCCTTGGTAGCTTCGACTAACGCCACCACTGGCAAAGCTGGTCAGTCTCGTTTGCTGCGTGGAGTATCTCTGACCAAACAGGTCAACAGCTCTGGTCGATTCGTAAGTCGAATCCCTCACAAGTCTATCGATCTGAAATGCTCCCTTAGGCAAGTTTATGCTATCTCGTGTCCCGGCAACTATGTCCTCCAGAATCTTTTGACCGGCATCTGCGGTCAGTCTGATACGTTCCGTCGAGCGTATACTCAAGAGATTGCATAGACACCCGTCGTGATTGGCGCTGCCTTGGTGGCAAGGTCGTGGCCTCCACGGATGCAAGACAGACTCCACTGCAGTGCCCCAATAACAGCGGCGCAGCTACCTGCTCTCCGTCGTCGTATGTCTGTCAGCGAACGGCTGGCTTCACAAGCTCACGCCGGAGCAGGTGCTGAGCACACGGAATTGGCTGTGGTCTAAATGCAATGCGTTCCAGACATGCCTGGGGCTGTCTGACATTGTATGTTATGTCTTTGCCGCGGAGAGTTATGTTTGGCGTCCAAATATGACCGCGTCTCAAGCAGCTGCCGAAGTCAGCTGTGAATTGATCGACAAAAGGCGGATCTCATTGCGACAAGCTTGATCATGTTGGCCGCTCGCATCACTTCCGCTACGCTTTCGCTCTGCGTCTTAATAACCGGCACTTCTGCCAGTGTCGTCAAAGCCAGTAAGAGCCTACAGATGCTCATATGTGCGACTGATGCGAAACCCTTGCAGAGTTTGCAGATGGGTACGGCAGTGGGCATCTTGTCTGCTATGATGCTGACGAGCAAGTCGCTCTTGAGCCGCACGTATGAGATTTATTGCAAGTCAGATATCTTGTTTGGCGCAATGACTGTCGACAGCTGCAGTAAGACTGGCATCTCCGCCAGGAAGCGAGCTCAAGTTGCATACCGTCAGACAATGGTCACAACCTTGCCTGCCGAGGCAACATCATCATTGCCGTCAATGACCCGTCGCAGGCTGTGCAAACCTGCCCTGCCGGCGCTGGCGTTGCCGTCTGTGTGCTCTCCTCAGGGTACGGTTGTCGAGCTTGGGTTAAGGGAGTGCTGAATAAATCAACAGATGCTAGCTGTTTCTGGAAGTTATCTCTGCTGCCCAAATTCTGCTACCTATCCCTTGTGACCTCTAAGACGGGCGTGGCGGAGAGCACGATGGCGCTTCCTGCTGTTTGCAGAGATGCGCACCGGCAAAATAGGTGGCAAGTGATCTAGTGAGGGCGAGATGAAGACGCTGCCTGTTGCCCACCCATAGCTCGTGGGTACTGCTACCAAGAGCCACGTGAACAGCACGAGAAATGCAAGCATTGTTGCAATCACGCTGTGAAGGCACGATTGAGTTTGTCTAACCCTTTGACCGAGATGAGCGTACCGGAAGAAGATTGAATCGAGCGATTCTGCAATAGCAAGCGTAGCCAAGCAGAGACTCCCACAAGGAAACGTGAATGCCCACCATCCCATGTTGAAGACGACGTCTCGCTTCCAGTAAGAGCGCGAGACAGAGACGACTGCGAGTGCAAGCCACCAGATGCCTAGGCCCCAGAGCATCAGGCCGAATGCAAGTCCTGCGCCATAGAGTGGCAAGGCTGTTTGGGCAAGCAGTGCCAGGTACTGGCTGTCCGGATGCCGGCGGGCCATCTCTGGGAAGATGGTCGTCGAGATGCGGCCAAGATTGATGAGCGCTGCGGCACCCTGACCGCAGGGACTGAGCGGCAGAAAGGTCGAAACGATGACTTCTCGACCTGGCAGATGATGCAATACAAGTCGCTGAAAATAGAGCGTCAGGATGAAGAGGCATAGCAAGAGGCCGACTCCGTTGGCAATGTATGATGAAATGAGTATTGTGAATGCGTAGCCTGGCCGGCGACTTGCGAGTAGCTCTGCAATATCTGCGCCTGCGGAGCCGACTGTTTGCAAGGGCACGACGGGAAGCAGCCAAGTCGCAGTGAGCGCTACCTCCGAGTGGTTGTGCTCCGTGAACATGACCCAAGGCACGACGGTAGCTGTCGCTGCTGCCAGCAGAAAGCTTGACCACCATAGGCCTGCGCCCGCGTCGATTGCGCCGGGCAAGCCACAACCGTCGCCCTGGAGTGCAATACCGACGGCGATTGTTGCGAGTGCCATGGGTATGGCGCCGAAGAAAAGCGCATGTACTTCGTGTCGTAGTGCGACGAGAAAGATGCCCTTGAAGAGGATGTAGCGCGCTATTGTCAATATGCTGAAGACGATGAACAGAAACGAGGAGGCGATAAGAAAGCAAAGCCCAAAGACGCGCAATCCTGCATGGGTCGACGTCCACGGCAGCAGGTAGGCAAGCGAGTTGATGATGCTTGTGCCCATGATGACGGTAAACCACGAGGCTGTGAATCGCATGATGCGATCTTTGAGCAGCACTTTGTTGATCTCGATCGTCGCAGAAAGCCTCGACCGTGTGCTCATCGTCGAGAGCCGTCGTTGAGGTCTGCCCGGTGACGTCTCGGCTCGAGATAGTCCATTAGCTCCTCGCGTCTCTGGTACGATATCATCTCCATGTGCGAGCGCCGGATCGTCTTGCCGTTTCGGTTCTACTTCTGCTTGACCGGCCAACGGGCTATCTGCAACCTCATCCTCTGAAATATGCTCTGCTATGGTCGAGTCTGAGGAAGGCGGATGAGTTGCGTTGTCCGATGTGTCCGAGACGAGCATGGGATGATCAGACACCTGACGCCTGAACCGCATCGGCGCAATCGCAGGATCGCCGCTGAACCACGATGATGGCGAGCGCTTGGACCGCTCATGCTCAGCCATCCAATGTCCACGCCGACCCAGCTGGGGGCTCTCGGAGTCTGCAGTGATGACGTGTGATGCGCGATTGACACGTGGCGATAACGCTGATAGAAAATCGCCAGCGCGCAACGCGTCGCGGCAGTTGACCGGCCGGCCGTTCGCCCGTGGCTCTTTGCAGTCCTCGTATGGAGCAGAGGAGCTTCAGATGACCATGCAAAGACGCGACACAGTCTCTGACGCCAGCTTGATGTCATCAGAAGCTGCGCCGAGCTCAGACTGGCTAGAAAGTCAAGCACGATCCGAAGAGCTCCTCGACAGTCTGCGAAGACAAGCAGACGAAGTGGTGCAGTCTTATCCACTCCTGACCTGTCAAGATACCATTGCGAGCTCAGGTAGCGTCCTGTCTTGGCATCACTTCACGCCAGCTGAGTCACAAAGTAGTCTACGACCAGTTCCCTCAAATCAGGACGGAATGGAACTCGATCCTCTCAGAGTGGCAGCAGGCCTTGAGCGAGCCTCAAGAAGCCGCTTCAGATTGGCGAGCGACGGTCGCGTCTCATGCGCAGTCATTAGCGAGTCTGCGTTTGCCGGCGTCCCCACAAGCGACCGCCTCGTCTTCGCACCGTGCCGAGCAGTCCGCTATGGTCGAGCTAGCGCAGCAAGCAATACAAACGACAGCATCCGACAGTCGACGCTATCCGAAACTGTAAGCTATCTGTGAGACGAAACCGCTTCGTGCTCAAGTCTTTCGCGCAGAACGTTCAAAAGAGCGCCTTTCGAATGTCCAGAAGTCACTCAGGAACAAGCTTCGTGGCCAGCTCAGCTCGCAGCCAGAGTGTTCCGCTCCGAGCCCATTGAGAGCAGCTCGCCCATTCGTGCTACGTCTTCCACTGCTGCTCAGACATTGACAAGAGCCGCCCAAGCACTCGACATGGCAGCCTTCCCCTTTCCTTCGCCGCTAGACGAGCCCCAGCTGCATACAGACTGCATCCAAGAGCTTCAAGCCGAGGCTGACACATTCGATCGTGTGCAATATGACGACAGTATATCCCGTTTTCGTGACCAAGTACTTCGTCGTTATCCGCAAAAGCATGAAGAGCAAACGATGTCAGTGCGAACACGAACGTCTTCCGCGATGACGACCGCGCTAGAGTCTTCATCACCACTCAAGCGAGTCCGAGATACCTCACAGACGCCACCGTCGAGTGAGCTGCCCATCTCGGCCGACATGACGCCGAAACCAAGTCTTCCGCAAGCAACGAAGACGACATCGCTTTTCAAAAAGCTCAGGCTCGGGCCAAGACCGGACGGAGCAACAACTTCCCCCGAGCAGTCTGCGCCAGAGGACGTCTTTGGCCGCATATTGCCCACTTCGCCGGAGAATGCTGCCAAGCCTTCGGAAAGCCGCTCCGCCGGTCCAGACTCACGGGACAGCGTGGACGCATCCAAGTCGTCAGAAGTCGTCATACGAGACAATGCGCCATTCAGGCTTCCTCGGAAGCGCCAGGCGCGCGCTTCGATACAAGACCTGGGTGCTCAGGCGCTGTCGGTCTGGGAAGATACGATCGACGCAGTTTTGCAATCCTATGAGACCTTCGAATGCCTACCTTCCAGTTCCAGCGCACCTTCTTCCCCTGTCAAGTCGAGCAGCGCCGATCTCGTAGAGCGGATTCCGGCCAGTCTTGCATTAGAAGATATCGATATGCCCTATTGGCTTTCTTTGAGCGCAATGTCGGACCTCTCCCGAAAGCTTTCTGTCCTTGTGCGCTATTCGGTCGCCGAGAAATTGGATGAAGCGGCTATCACCAGGCTCTGCGCGCTGCTTGGTCAATGTGTCACTGCCTGCCGTGGGCTTGATCCTCTCGCCCACCTCACGGCTCGCGAGAATAGTGCGGAATGCGAGGGGAGCGCCAGGAAGCGATCGCGGCGATCTGCTACGCCCAAAAAGGTGAAGATGTCAAAGTCCACCACGCCCAACCAATCAAAGGCCAAAGCTGCCACCGATGCTCCAACCTCGAGGCTTCTGCAGGATCTCAAAGAGGTGCAAAGGGCAGCCGTAGCGATCGACCTAATCCTGTCAATACTGACGAGCGCAAATTTCGCGGCACAAGTGTACAGTGAGGATCTACTATCGGCTTGTATCAGCACGCTGGCCGATGTCATCATGAGGACACTGTCAGAGCTACTAGACTACAGCATGGAAGACGAGGATGCCGTCGCAGTCGACGCACTAGCCGTACAGATGCTCAATGCTGCGCGATCTTCACTCGACGGGCTGACAAGATTACTAAAGACGAAGCAGCTTAGCGAGACATGCGTGCTACCGCTACAGTACGCGTGCACAGCCTTGCTTTTCGCCCAGCTCGATGCTCACGCTTCAGAATTGCCTTTGTACGGCGCGACGGCGCGATCTCTGCAGATACCGTGCCTATTAGTGCTTCAGACAATCTACAATCGCCACGAAGGTATGCGTGCAGCACTCATCGAAGAAGCCTTTGCTTGTTTGCGGGGTTCAAGACATGCCAAATCAAGCGCGAGATCGCTCAATTTCTCGAATGGACGCAACGTCTATTCAGCCTCGGCTTTATTTCTCTCAGTGGTGCAAAGCGCAGCTGTTCCATTGCGCGACTCGCTCATCCATGCTGATCTCACATACCGACAGAAGCTTTCAGCTGGTGATCGGACGGCTGAGACACTATCGACTCCCATCTGGGATCTCGCTGAGCTGGAATGCAAGCATGCTCTTGCTCTAAGTACGGCCCACACCATATCAGCCCAGTTCATCAATGCTATGAGGACCCCAAAGTCCCCCAAGACGACGCAAGACCCATCCAGCAAGGTCCACTTCGAACGTCTGCTGTCAGATCTACTTGATCTTGTCGATCTGCCAGACCTTGCCGCGCCGCACTTTCTGATTCAGGCCATTGTCGTTCAGCTTGTCAGTTATCTGTCTTGATCGCTGCTTCTACCGCTGACTTGATACGTGATACGCAAGAACAATTGTCTGAATGAAGCGGACGGACAGGACAATGCCAGTCTTAAGGCTGTTGCTGTCGAGAGTCTCGGCAATATAGCTGCCCGGTATTGCGCACTGACAAAGACAAGTGCAATGACACTAGACGAGATTCTTGCAAGAGATGACGTTGACGCTCTGCAAGCTTATATGGAAACTCTACGCCACTCGATCAGGTCTCAAGTAGATCCAGCACAGTCCGACAGGCTTGGGCTATCTGCCCTCGACTTTCGTCTGCTGATCTGGCTGCAGCAAGCTGCCGCAGCTGCCTGTATATCGCCAGAGCCTGCCCGCGTAGCACAGACTCAACGCGTGGCGATCAGACAAACACTCGCCGAATACCTTTATGCACCTGCGCTACAGCTTGGTCTTGACGCCGCAGCACTGGCAGACAGTAGCGAAAGTGACACAGACGCTACGGCAGCTTGTCTGCTGCCTCTGACGGAGATGAAGGCGATTTTTGACCTCGCTATGGTGCATCTTCTGTCGCTCGCAGCCCATCCGGTCATCGCACTACGGACCAAAGCGCTACGTGGGATCGCCAAAGTTATGACAGAAGACCCGGCATTGTTCTCGTCTGATGCCATACAACAGCACGTAGTGCAACGCCTGCTAGACTCATCCTCAGCGGTCAGAGAAGCAATGCTTGAGCTGGTCAGCAAACATCTGTTGCAGGATCTGTCGGTCGCTCATCGTTACCTGCCGTATTTGCTCGAGCGTCTGAATGACACAGGCTTGAGCGTTCGCAAGCGAGCCGCCAGGACCCTGAAAGATCTCTATCCGCTTATCGATGATCAAGAAGCGCAGCTTCAGATCTGTGCACGCCTAGTCAATGCCAACACATTACGCGACAGCGGGATTCAAGACATGCTGTTGGCATGTTTGGAAGATGCGCTACTGCCTACTGCCGACTTGCCAGCTCTGAGCTCGCTCAGACGCGCTGAGACCTTCCGTCGCCTTTGTGCCGTCTTCGAAGCCTGTGAGAAGTCATTGGTCCTGACAATGCGCGATTTACAGCGTCAGCTCGAGGACAGACTCGCTGGCAGCGCTACCAGCTGCTTCGTGCGACTTGCAGAGACGATGCTCGAAGAGCTAGGAAGGAATGAAAGCGCCATCTTCGCAGTCGAGGCAACGCGCGCTGTGCTATGCCTTGTCGAAGCCGAGCCGGCAACGCTTACCCTGCGAATGGCAAGCTCACTACTGCCCCTGCTGCGTAATACAAGTAGCATGGAGGAACAGGTAGCCGCAGACTATGTATTGCGGATATATCGCAGATCAATACCGAAGATGCCCAAAGCACTAACTCGCTTCTCTGGAGAGCTTCAAGACGCACTGTTACCTATGATCAATAAACCCTCGGTCGTCAAAAGCCCTTCGACATTGCAAGATCTCGTTGCTTGCTTGTGCGCCATCATGATCGGTCAGACGGGCGACGTGGAGAAGCTATGCGCTATCTTCAGTGCGTGCAAAGGGCGACTCGAAACGATCGTTTGTACGCTTCGAGACGGTTCGGTCAAGCCCTCTGTACATTTGAAAGCAGTACCTCTTCTCGTAAACCTCGTCAGCCTGCTATGCGCACATTCTCGCTTTGATCAATTGCGAAAGAGCTCCGACTCGTATGCAGCGGTAATTGACGAGATCTCAACAGATAGTATCACAGAGGAGACCTACAGCACTGTCTGCGAGCTCTATACCCTGACGTGCCGGTACAGCATCGGTGTCACTGCTTTGCAAGCTCTGGGCACCTTGTTTCAGGCGTTTCCGATTATGTTGCTGCGCCCTACTTCATTCGCCATCTTCGACAGCGTCATGAAGAAAGATGAACCCAGCGAGCCACAGACTCGCGCTCTGCGCATCATGCTCGATGTGTTGAACGATCAAGCTGACGCGAATGCTCAATTGTCAGACGACATGCTCGATTCGGTAGATCTCGATAAGCTTACCGGCGCGAAGAACAATTTTGCAGAGTCGAGCATTGCTTCTGCACTCGTTCAACGTTATTTGCCTGTCATTCTGGAGGCTTGCGTAGCGCTCGATGTACATCTGCAGGCTGCAGCGGTCGATATGGTGGGTTATACGGTTCAGCAAGGACTTTGCCATCCCATGCAATGTCTGGCGACGCTCATTGCCCTCGAGAGCTGCGACGACGACGAGCTCGCGCACAAGGCGATGTCAATGCACCGGTCCTTGCACGTCAGTCATTCAAACGTAATCAGCACTCGCTTCTTCGACACAGCTCGAGAAGTCTTTGCGGCAGTATCCCGCTTACCGAGCGGCGTCAGACTTTTGCGGGAAGGAAGCACGCTCCGCGCTTCACCGTTCGATCGATGGTACGAACTGCTCGTCGAGAAGCGACAGTGGAAGCTTGATTTCGTTCGCTCATTGATCCGATGCTTCGACCTCAGTCTGCTATCCGGCGAGCCCACCGCACATCATCTGGCCTTGTCGTGCTTCATCAGCGATTGTCTGGCCTCGCTGTCATTCACGACTCAGGAAGAACCTCTGACGATCATGCACTATCTCGACGAGCTCATTTCGACGCGCGGCATGGAGTATTATCATGCACTGGACGATATGGAGCACGACGATACGGAGACACAACAGTCTAACGAGACCAGATCGATGCTCATGCAGTCGCTTGCGATCGTGCAAGCGCTTGCGCTTCGCAAACATCTCGAGCTCTGCTATACTTTGTCTGACGCAAAGCGAAGCCGATTCCTGCCCGGCAAGAAGTCAGCTATTGGCGACAAAGCTGCCGTGCTCGCCACCGCCACTATCGCAAGCAAGAGTAGCGCCGAGTTCCAGGTCACGCTACGCAACGTTGCTTGGCAGTCCGGCCTTGAGTGTGCTGGTCAGCGTACATTTGTAAGCTACATGCTCCACGCATCAATAAAGGCTGACAAGAATGCGCAGTATCTGTCAATTTTCTCGCGTGAGATTGACGTTGCCGAGGGTATCGCGGCAGAGGATTCTGACTGACGCATCTAGAAACGTGTGGATCGTGAATGTTGTTGCGCTAATTCATGCACTCTGTCGATCGCTCGGATAGGACTTCCATGCATTGGTTCAGGCTACAAAAAGTCTTTGATAGGCTTAGGCTGCCAGTCGGGAAACAAGTGATTGTCGAGATCGCTCGTGTTAGTGGCGGACACGCCTCTGCCCTGGTCCCAAGCCACCTTCATCCATGTGATGAAATCGTGAGTGTCAGCATAGCGCTTCTGTGCGACTTGTAGAGGCTCATGATCGACCTCGAGGGGCCGCTGTGAATTTGCATTGGCGTGCTCGACCAGCTCATTGAAGCTGAATCGAGAGCCTTCGATCCTGAGAACGCGATTCGCTAGTTCTTCAGGTTTAAGCTTGGTGAGAACGAAGGCAAGATAGTCTGCGATATCTTGACGCGCTGTCGTGCTGACCTTTGCGTCGCCCCGCCCAATGATAGTGATCTTGCCAGTGCTGGTATTAAAGATCATCCGAGCAAAGTCTGAGAATACGCCAGTGAAAAAGAGCGTATAGGGCAGCTCGAGCTCTTTGAGTACGCCGTGAAACTTTGCCTTGCCATAGATGGGCGAATCAGGCTCTACGCCCAGGGTTGCTGTACCGAATTCGCTTGGGACAAAGAGTGACACGCCCGCCTGTTTGCTCGCTTTGGCGAGTGCAGGTTGTACAGCAAAGCCTGGACCTGACAAAGTCGATATAACGACATCGATGCCAACGAGAGCCTCGGCTAGCGATTCTGGCTCATTGTAGTCTATTATCTTTATCGTGGCACCGCGTTGCTTCAGGTCCTCTGCTACTTCGGGCTTGCCGATCGAGCGAACCAGCAGGGTGACCGAGGCACCCTGCTTGAGCAAGGATTTGGCGAAAAAGCTGCCCAGGTTGCCAGACATGGGTCCACTGCTATTGATCCCGCCAGCGATAGCGAACGCTTTGTATGCCGCCATGATGTACTGCTGAGCCTTCGGTCTGCGATGAAGTCTGATGAAGAGGGGAGCAGATAGCAGAGCTTATAAGCTGCATCGAAGCAGCAAAACGATTACTCATCCGAGAGATTGGAGCGTGTGACGCGACGTGGGCGCAACAGAGATGAGTCAGCGGCCCGTCACGCTTGAATTGCAAAGTGCTGCGCCGGTCTTCGCGGGATTGCAGCAACGATCGCTCGAGCCTGTATGTATAGAGTCTTAATTCCGATTGCGCCGCACTGCTCGGGTTGTTCGCTCGGTCGATCCACGCTGGGAACCCGGTCGTGGCACGGCATGAAGCGAGAATCAGACGATCAAGGCATGAGCCTATCTCAGCTCCAGCAGAGACTTGAGGTTTAGGAGTATCAGGAGGCCTCAAACTGGGACTCTTCGGACTTTGAATGAGGTTTTAGCGGTGACCACTTGTGCTAAGAGATGGCTCGGACCGTCGCGTGCTTGCTGGACGTGCCGACGTTGCGCGCGCTGCGAAGTCGAGCGCTACGGGTATGTCGAGGCGGCTGGCCCACAAGCAAAGTCATGCTGGTCTCGACAAGCTGCTACTACTGCCTGGCTCGAAGTCAAGGGCGAGTAAAGCTGGGGACCCTCAGAAAACACTCAAGGCGCTGCGCAAGACTGTACTCCTCGAGGGACTGCCGGACGATGTCAGTGAGCTTGTCGCGATGCTGTGCGGCAACTCACGACGAGGTGTATCGTAGGAAGATGTTCTCACGAGAACGCGACCGCTCACATGGAAGCTGTTTCTGGGCTTGACCGGCTCGTTGTCGGTGTCGCAATACATCGAGCTTGTCTCGCGCGGCGCTTCACCCGCGTCCGAGAAGATCAGGAATGACACGTTTCGCACACTAGCTACAGACAATGCGTTCAAGGAGCGCGTGAGCGAAGAGATGCTCGTCCGACTGCTCGACGCCTTCGTTTGGCACGCGCACGGTACGCGCGCATTGCATCGTTGCGCGACGATCCTGAGGAGCGACACTTTCAGATGCACCGCCCAACGAATTGCAGTTCAATTATGTGCAGGGCATGAACGTCCTCGCTGCGCCATTCCTATATACGATGCCGTCAGAAATTGAAGCCTACAAATGCTTCACCAATTTCATCCAAGTCAGATGTCCGCTCTACGTCCAACCGACGCTCGAAGGCGTCCATCGTGGTCTGGAGGTGAGTGGCCTCCTCATCTTGACGACGGCCTTGCTCACTACCTGTGCTTTGCATAGCTGCTGGACAAATGTCTGGCTATACTTGACTCCGAGCTGTTCGCTCACCTCGCAACCAAGCGACTGTCAGCAGAGCTCTACGCATTTCCTTGTCAGTCTGCCGAGATTTGATCCAAGCCGTGCATGCTGACCAATGCGAGCAGCTGTAATGACATTCTGCGCGTGCACTCCTCCACTCAATCAGGTTTTGCATCTCTGGGACTTCCTACTCGCCTACGGATGTCACCTCAACATCCTCTGCGTCATCGCACAGCTATGGCAGATCAGAGACGAGCTTCTTGCTCATTCCAGGTGGGTTCGCTCGCATGACCGTCAAAGTTTGCGCCTGACATCGCCTTTGCAGTCCTATGAAGATGTTGAGGACGTTTCCTCCGCTCGATGCAAGACAGTGCATCATGCTCGCTTGCAAGTTCGTAGCGGATCTACCCGAGGAGCTCTATGATCAGCTCGCTCGACACCCTTGGGATCCGACTGCGACTTAGCCAACCCCAGCCTGCGAGTTGAAGGAGACTGTCTGCCGCCCTTCCTCCACCAACAGCAGCTGATTCAGCTCTCTGACAGACAAAGATGTACTAGACCTATGTTGTCGTCATTATTAGCTCACACAGTTGGAGAGTGTGAGACGCCGTTTGCCCCGGTCTCGTGGCACGGTGCACGCGCGCGCGTCTCTCTCTGGCTCCGTGCTCTCAGCTCCGAGGTCGAGGCCATGAGTCAGGATGCCAAATTCTTCACAAGGGTCGGTGCTGGATTCATTCCAAAGCCAGCTGAGTTCTGAAGCGTTCCATCCTGCCTTCCAGGACAAGGCAGCGACGATACGAGCCGAGCTACAAAGCGACAAAAAGGACAAATCGTTTGTCAAGCGACGCAATGCACTTAAGAAAGTCATTGGCAATATGACCATGGGTACGTGTGCACTGGCTTGAACGGGCGAGAGAAGACTCATCTCATGTCTCACTCGGCAGGCCAGGACATGAGCTCACTGTTCCCAGATGTGCAAGTCATCCTCTCAGCATCGTCGACTTTGGGCTGTCACTCATCCTCGGCGGCTCCTCGGACAGGGTTGCATGTATGAGCATACCTGTTCTCGATGTCAAGAAGATGGTGTTCGTCGGATCCCCAGTCGCATCCTCGCCAGTTTTGACTCTAGCAAGCAGCTACCTGTACCTCATCAACTACTCGCGCTCAAAGCCAGACATGGTCCAATTCGCCCTCGAGAACTTGCTCAATGTAATCTTAAGACCAGTGAATGCTCTCTGTAAGAGCTCACGTAGATGCAGGATGCCGAAGATCGCAATCCGCTCGTACGCGCGCTGGCTATACGCACAATGGCCTATATACCTGTACCGAGCGTCATCAACGCGCTCGTCGATCCGCTACGCCAATCTATCAAGGACTCTGATCCTTACGTGCGAAAGACGGCGGCAATATGTGTCGCTAAACTCTTCGCACACGATAGCAGGCTTGTCGAACGCGAGGGGTTCATCACTTCTCTGAGAGACTTGCTCGCCGATGCCAACCCTACCGTCGTGGCCAATGCTGTTGCAGCTTTAACCGAGATTGGTGAAAGATCCGATAACATACAACTCAGGCTGAACTTCACCATCGCTGGCAAGCTCGTATCCGCCATGGCAGAATGCTCAGAGTCAGTCCTGTTGCCATCGCCACACATGTTGTGCTCACTGTCAGGTCAGATGGGGGCAGACATACATTCTGGAGGCCTTGATGAGCTTTGTACCCAACGAGAGTGCCGATGCAGAGCTCATCGCCGAGAGAATAGCCATCAGGTTACAACATGCCAACTCTGCAGTCGTGCTGACCACAATCAAAGTCATCTTATATCTGCTCAACTATATCGCCGACGAAGACATTGTTGAGAATATGTGCCGCAAGCTCAGTCCGCCTCTAGGTGCGGCTCAGCCCCTCAGTCGGCGATCTGATTTGACTTATAGGTGTTGTCCGGCCGGTACAGTGACGCTCCTATCGTCTGGGTACGAAGTGCAATATGTCGCCCTACGCAACATACTGCTCATCATTCAGAGGCGGCCGAGCGTACTCAGGAACGAAGTCAAGGTCTTCTTCTGCAAGTACAACGATCCGATCTATGTCAAGCTTGCCAAGCTAGAGATCATGTATCGCCTCGCAAGCCAAGCGAACGTCAGACAGGTTCTTGCAGAGCTGAAAGAGTTAGCCATCCGATTTGATTTGTCTACACAAAGCTGACGGCCGACTTGGGCGTTTGACAGATATTCGACCGAAGTGGATGTAGACTTTGTGAGGAAAGCGGTCAGGTCGATCGGCCGACTAGCCATCAAAATCGAGGAATCCGCAGATCAGTGTATCGAGACCCTTCTCGAACTTGTCGAGACGAAAGTGAGCTACGTCGTACAAGAGGCCGTCATCGTCATCAAAGACATCTTCAGAAGATACCCCAACCAGTATGAAGGCATCATTGCCACTCTCTGCGATAATCTGGACGTACTGGATACGCCAGAGGCGAAAGCCTCCATCATCTGGATCGTGGGGCAATACGCGGACAGAATAGAGAACGCAACTGCGCTGCTAGAAGACTTTGCTGCCACCTTCATCGAGGAGACCGTCGAGGCGCGTGCCGCGCATCTGCGTCGACGAGCGCATCTGACTCATTTGCAGGTTCAATTGGCGCTCCTGACTGCGACAGTGAAGCTATTCATCAAGCGACCTACTGCCGGCCAAGATCTGCTGCCTAAAGTGCTCAAGTGGGCGACGGAGCAAGTCGATAATCCTGACTTGCGAGATCGCGGATTTATCTACTGGCGCCTGCTCTCGACCGATCCCGCAGCAGCCAAGGACATTGTTCTCGTGGACAAGCCTGCGATCTCGACAGAGACTGAAGCAATGGATCGGCATGTGCTCGATCGACTGTTGCTGCAGACTGGCACGCTCTCGAGCGTGTACCATCAAGCACCAGAGACATTTATTCGCAATCAGAAGCCAAGATATCTACATGATTCACCCGCACTTGATCCCATCGCACGACAACACTCGCAAGAACGACAGACACTGGCGTCAATGCGCGCGGCTAAGCAACCATCGAGTTCTGTGCCTGGCTATGCGTTGGCTGCAGCTGCCATGAAATCGACCGCTTCTAACGGTACCGTCGCCCCGCCCTTGCCGCCCAAACCGACAGCAGCCGAGGTGGCAGAAGCAAGTACGTCTCGGAGCGCACCGGGCGAAATGGATGATGCGACGAGCGAAGACGCTGCGCCCGAAAGACCGAGTATCGACAAGGCAGAATCGACATATTCTGATCTGGATCCGGTCCCAATGACGCATGATCCCTATGCAGGTCTTGGCGATTTCTCAGCGTTTGACATCTCGTCGGGCGATCAGGGCTCGGCCATGGATGCATATCAGAATGACATTGTTGGACCTGGCCGAGCCCACGGAGCGGCAGAGACGTCTCTGCTCAATTGACATGTTGTTGCCATTTCACGTTTTGACGAGCAGACGAACAAAGTCGGCAGCGTGCCAGGCCTGGTCTATGGCTTGCGACAGTGGCCCTGCACTGCGATGCCATGCGACCGACAAGGTATAGCCCTGTATGAGGCCCGAACGAGAGGAGAATTCAAGTTCTTCGTGCTCATCTGACGAATGCATCGTGCAGCGACCGCCTGGCGACGGCGTGTCAAAGCTGCAGCGTCTCATGTCCATACGCAGACCTTGTCCGGTGAGCTTAGCGTAGGCTTCCTTGAGCGTCCAGATCGATAAGGCTGCTTCGACCGAAGCGGAGGATCGCAGCCTGTTCTGCTCGTCGGAAGAGAGCTGCGGAGCTAGTGTATCGACAAGCTCGCTGGTATGCGATCCGAAGGGCAAGATGTTCTGCATGATGTCGATCCCGACAATACCTCGATCAGGCCAGCCCGCTATTAGCGCGTACGCGGTAGCGCACGCCATGACGACCCAGTCGTGATCATGAGAGACGTTGAAGTCGATGGGGACTTGCGATGATACCTGTCAGTCTGTTCAGGGTAGAGCGAGGAGGCACGTGGGCAAGAGGACTGACGCAGTAGGGTCTGCCGAGCGCGCTATACTCTATTTGAACATCGCCAAAGGCGCATCGCGTCTCTTGCGAGATGATGTAGCGTGGCAGAAGCCGGCCGATCAGACAGCCTATGCAGCACAATGAGTATGTGGGGAATCCTGCCGGGATAGAGCTCACGCAAGGCATCTGAGCGGTGGACAAACTGACGGATGCGACTTTGCGATGGCGCGTCGAGGAGGTTCAAAAGAGTGTTGTAGAGCTTGATGATGACGTCAGATCGTAAACGAGACACTGCTGGCAAGACCTACATCATTGCTGGGAGACCAACTTGAGATTTGGATCGCATAGATGCGCATGGGAAATAGATGGACATGTGCATTGTGCACGGGCCACGTCACGATTACGCGGGGCTTCCATCTAGCTATATAATGATTTGTAAGATTATATTGGGCCCCTTTTGGGCGAGTCGTCAGCGTCAGGGGTGAGATAAGAGGTCGCCAGTGACCTCTGACAGTCGCACGAGCAGGTCTAGACAGCATGAAGACGACACTATCGACAGGCTTGACGGCCTTGTTGGGCTTATCGCTCACGACATCCGCCGATGCCAAATTGCATAGGTCAGCCCTTGTTGGCTCATCATCTCGGTTCGAGCTGCTGATGGGTCTCTGCGTAGGATGAAGGTACACAAGCTCCCCTCTGTCCAACACGATCTACACGAACACGCCTCTGGCCTATCGTACATCGCCGCTCAGACTGCCGGACTGAAGCAGAAGTACCTCTCTAACCGGCTAGGCGGTGCTCGATCCGGTCTACGCACCAACCGTCCTTATGGCTATCCCATCGGCGCTGGCTCGTCCGACTTTGACGGCCACGTCGTGCCAGAGGATGAGGGCGACTTCACGATCCAGATGATCAAGGCAGACGGCGACAAGGTCGAGCACGGCGTTCCACTATCCAACTTCCTGAACGCTCAGTACTTTGCTGACATCACCCTCGGCACGCCACCTCAAGAGTTCAAGGTCGTCCTCGACACCGGATCGAGCAACTTGTGGGTTCCCTCGACCCGATGCAGCTCCATCGCTTGCTTCCTGCACAAGAAGTATGACGCATCCGCCTCATCGACCTACAAGGAGAACGGCACGGAATTCAAGATCCAGTACGGCTCTGGATCGCTCGAAGGTGTCATCTCGAACGATGTCATGACCATCGGCGACATTACCATCAAGAAGCAAGACTTTGCCGAGAGCACAAAGGAACCCGGACTTGCTTTCGCGTTCGGCAAGTTTGACGGTATCCTCGGCCTTGCTTACGACCGTATCGCTGTCCAGCACGTCACGCCACCCTTCTACAACATGATCGCCGACGGACTCGTCGACAAGGCAGAGTTCTCCTTCTGGCTCGGCGATACTGCCGATGGCGAGGGCGCACCGGGCGGCGAGTTCGTCATGGGCGGCACTGACCCGGCTCACTACAAGGGCAAGATCCAATGGGCGCCCGTCCGCAGAAAGGGCTATTGGGAGGTCGAGCTCTCGAAGATCAAGTTTGGCAAGGACGAGCTTGAACTGGAAAGCACTGGCGCTGCCATCGATACCGGCACTTCTCTCATCGCCCTGCCCTCTGACCTCGCCGAGCTGCTGAACAAGGAGATTGGCGCAAAGAAGAGCTGGAACGGCCAATACACTGTCGACTGTGCCGCGATCCCCTCGCTGCCTGATCTCACCATGTATTTTGCTGGCGAGCCCTACACCATCACCGGCGCAGACTACATCCTCCAGGCACAGGGCACTTGCATCTCTGCCTTTACTGGTCAGTCTCCCTGCTGTGATAGCGCGTGAGCATCTACTGACATGTAGACATGGACAGGTCTTGATTTCCCTGAGTCGATCGGACCCATCTGGATCGTCGGCGACGTCTTCCTCCGTCGCTTCTTCACCGTCTACAGCCTGGAGAAGGACGCCGTCGGTTTTGCAGTGTCCACATAAAAGCCAATGCGCTCGCTAGCCCGTTTCGCTCTTTCGACTCTCAAGACCTATTGCGCACTCAATACCTCCTCAGACCGGTGACTGTTTTGTACAATCATTGCACTCATCAACTGTTCCGATATTGCTTTCCTAGCGACTTGACTTGATGCTAAGATTTGCGTGGTACAAAACTGTCGCGCGAGGTAGGAGTACAGGATTAGCAGGATTCTTACAGTCGCGAGGTGTGCGGTCTTGCATGCTAGAGGTCGTAAAAAGGGTATGATCATGCGATGGTGCTTCAGTTGGGAATCGCCTGGTAGCCGTCCTCTTCGGAAGAGGCGATATATCCACCGGCCACTGACAGCTCCATCTCGAATCAGTTTCAGCAAACGCGGTACTGAGCATCACGCACAGATCGCAACGACGAGAACGATATCCAAGCTCCAGCTGATGGTCGTGAGTACGAAAGAGGAGCCTGCCTCGACCTTGAGCGCCGAGCTTGCATTTGAGTGGATGCAGACTCACCCAGCTTGGTGCCATACCAAAAGCGGTCATCGCCATTGTAGAGCTGCGCAATGATGGCCGTTGCGAGGATTTGGAAAGCCGCTGCGACTGATACTTCAGCGTGACACGAGAGGTGAGTTGAGGGAAGAAAGTGACCATGCAGGGATATCATGACGGAGCAGACTTTCCAACCCTCTTGACGGCGTTTACGTCCGCCGAACATGACCAGAATGATACTGAGGATGGCACCGAGACCGAAAACGATGGACAGACTGGTCACGTAGCTGCAAGCACGATGATTCATCAGCTTTTACGCGTTTGATGTATCTCGGAAGAGACGCACCCCGCAGTGAGCCAGAGTTCGCAGAACCCAAAGCCCTCGGATCGACGTTTCCGTATCCTCACTTGATCCTCGCTTTGAAGAGCTCGCTCGGGATCGTCAGACGCGAGCGAGAGTGAAGACGAGGGTGAGCAGTCTTTGGATCTATTGGGAAATGACCGGCAGCGCCAGCCGTCGGTGAGGGGCGTGGAATCGCACTTTGCAAAGAGGCCATAAGTCGTCCTGTACGGGAACGGCGAGCTGGCAGGCGTCGTGTACTTTATCCTGTCGTGGTTCGTGATCATCGCTCAGTCCTGCCTGAGAGCACAGACAGTGAGGAGAGGACTGACCAGTTGGGCATGGCAGCACCGATGATCGTCAAGGTCACCGTGGAGATGAGCACGATGAAGGAGACAAGATAGACTGTCAGCTTCATCTTGGCAAGCGTGTGCGGATGAGGGTGATGCAGTCAAGCGTCCGACGATGCTGCCAAGGAGAGCCTCTGTGAGATGTAAAGCCAATTGTAGCTCGCCGACGGACAGCAAATCTGCTCGTGATCGAGCACAATGGTTCAGACAGGGTGTGCCTACGCTGTCAGGTGCATCGGGGTCGTGTCGGCTGATCGCCCGGCCAACAGAAGCACGGTAGCGGCAAGGCGGCAAAGGTTCCTTTCTTTGATCTACGCGCGTCACTCCACCTGCAGCTGCCGCCTCACCGTCGCCTCGCTGCTCGCACATCATGCTCAGTATGCGCACTCCTTCTCAGTAGCCGACAGAGCTCATCATCATGGCTGCATCCAGTCGTCGGCCTCACCGGCGGCATCGCTTCAGGTTCGTCCGACGTTTACATACAGCTCCTCACGCGCTAGACCCTGTTCTGCAGGCAAGAGCACAGTCTCCAAGCTCCTTTCGGAAGAGCATCGTCTCCCCGTCATCGATCTCGACATCCTCGCTCGCCAAGCTGTCGAGCCGGGGACTTTAGCCTACCGCGCTATCGTCGCTCATTTCGGCCCCGATATCCTGCTCTCTTCCTCAAATGATGTCAGAGGTCCGCCTTTGGATCGAGCCAAGCTTGGCGAGATTGTCTTCAGCGACGAGAGACAGCGTAAAGTGCTCAATAGCATCACGCACCCCGCCGTCAGACGATTGATGGCTTGGGAGATCGCACGGTGCTGGCTCAGAGGTGAAGGCATATGCGTCGTTGACGCGCCCCTGCTCGTCGAAGCAGGACTGTGGCGACTGTGCGGTCGTGTCTGCGTCGTTTACTGGTCAGTTCCCTCACTCTCGCGAATCACGTGCGTTGATCGTCGAGCAGCTCTGATCAACTCCAAGTCAAGCGCCTCCAACAGCGCAACGATTTCTCGCCAGAGTCTGCTCGATCACGCATTGCCTCTCAGCGACCCCTCTCTTCTAAGCTGGTCTATGCAGATGACGTCATTGACAACAGCGGCACCTTGTCAGATCTAGAATATCAAGTCAATGCGCTCGTCGTCAAGCTCAAAAGCGCTCGAGGATCAATCCTCAACTACGGCCTCTCTTGGCTCATTCCACCTCTCGGACTTCTCAGGGGTCTCCTCTGCATTGCAATCAGACTAGGATGGAAGAAGATCGGTCAAGAGCGAAAGAGGAGCATGCCCAGACAGGCAGCTCGGCAACGGATCCGTGACGAGCAAAATGCTGCTCCTGCGGGAGAGCAATTCTCTCTCGACAGACGCTAGGCTCCCCGGTCTTGCATGGTCGCCAATCACACCGTCAGACGTCCGACGCGTCGCAGCTCGACGCTTATCGCACCTCGGAGCTGCTTATCGGCCGCTAGAGCCAACACGATGTTGCTCTGGGTGCTGTCCTCGATCATTGCTTCTTCTATGATCTTCGCTCAGATGACCTCGGTCTTCTATCGTCTAGAGAGTATGCCTGTTCATAGCGATACATCCATCTAGAGCTCACAGAGATCGACAACCGCAGTCATTGCTTCTGGCGACTGTCCCGCTCTCGGCGAGACCGTCTTCCCTTATGCCTCATTCGAGCTCCTTGTCCTCACTGACAATGGCGAAAGCCTGACAGTCCGCCCCATGAACAGTACTTTACCCAGCTTGACCTTTGCGATCTGTTGCTGAACTGTTTGGTGAAGAGATCAATGTCGAGGGGATCATGTCGACCCAAGTCGTCAGAGAGCCCCTCGGTCGACCGAAGCTGATCACTATGATCTTCATCGTCACCGGCAGCGGTACAAGCCAGGACTTGTGGGAGGATGAAGAAGCGCGCCGCTGCTGTCGGCTCGAAGCTCGGGGAAACGTACAGCTCGGCGTCAGGCGAGAAGCCTTGACGGATGGTGCTCAGCTCAGCATGACGGTCATCTGTGGAGGTCGTAAAGCGAGGCAAGACTGCCCGCTGCAGGAGACACGTCATGGCTTTGCGGGCGCGTCGATCAAGATTGCTCTCGCGCCTGTCGATCCAGTCGAGCTCCCCCATGTACTGCACTATCCTATCAATTTTCAAGCATTCGGTCTCTGTCCCATCTATACCTTGTCAGGTAGAGACCCGCCAAAATGGCAGAGCGCTATTGCGCCAAGGCAAATCACTGCGACAACGATCATCAAGCAGAACGAGGATGGCGAGCTCTATACAGCCGTACTCATCGTGAGCAGAAACATCGCTGCACGCTTCATTGCTTGACTAGGCTCTATCAGCTCGGAGACTCCGTCGCCGCTGTCGTACGCGTGAGCGGCACGATATCTGGACCGACGCTAGAGGATACCCGATTGATCATCGAAGCTACTTTCCAGTGCGCTGGCCAGACTCAAGCAGTCAAGCTTCTCTGATTGCACAGCAGTGGTGCGATGAAAGACCAAACGTGGCCAAGTCGCGACGCCTTGTACTGCTGTCATCCCATCTTGGCATCCAAGCTCATATTGGGTGCATACCGACCTTATTTCGAGGCAACGGCCCAGTACACACGCCTAGACATGTTTGTCGTTTGTCCGCCGAGTGAGTGATTTGCTTACAAAGCCTGCCTGACGCTCATCTTTCCTATAGGTCCGCTAGCGCGAGGAGGACCGGAGTGTGGGGTCAAATACCTCCAACACGGCGAGTATGCGTGCACAGATGTCACCAAGCGAGTTGAACTCGCAGAGGGCTCGGACGAGATATAGACAGATTCGAAAGTCAACAATGCATGATTACGGATGTACATAAAGATGTGAACTCTGAAGTGGTGCGACGAATCAAGCCTGATCTTTCTCTTTGATCTCTGCTTTGTCTTTCTGCTTCTCGTTGGCGGGTAGACCCGAGCCCGCCAGCTTACGGTCGGAAGCAAGACTCTGCGCAAACTTGGATCGCTCGCGGAGGATGTCGCCTTTCCAGTAGAACACAAAGATTGGAATTGTGACGAGCTGCTCACCCTGTCAGCACCAGACGAGAGGGTCAGCGAGAGAGGACTTACTGCTGCGAGGATGCCCAGAAGCGTCGAAGCCCATGCCAGTGGATTTGATTGACCAAGATTGGAATAGACTGCTGAAACGTCAGTCCGAGACCCCTCCGAGTGATTGGAGACGCACGTGGAACAGAGTAGAACGTAGCGATACCTGCGAGGCCATCTCTCGCCAGGCCGTTGCCACCTATACTAGCGATGAGCCTTGTCGTTACGAGAGACGAAGCGACCGACCTGTGGCACTGGCTGCGTACTCTCTGTATGCGACGAAGAGGTAGTCTATCGTTGCGAAATAGATTGCAAACTGCCTCAGGTACATTAGCACAGGACGCAAGTGCTGGCTGTAACTTACATTGGCGATACCGATGAGAGCAGAGAATAAGAGCGGCGCAATCCATGGAATGGGTGGGCCGGTGGATGTCCAGGCAAAGCCGAGGAGGCCGATCGCTTCGAGAGGCGCGAGCCATAGCAAGAGATAGAGCTTCGACTCGGGCTGGATATCGGGATTCTTCTTGATTGCCTTTTTCTGGCGCATGATCTCGGGAATAAAGATGAAGTAGCAGAGGAAATAGCCGATTAGAATACTGCCCGCCATGTCAGGTGCATACGCTTTCGAAAAAAGAGCGGCATACGGTGTAAATGCCATGCCTAATGCGATAGTGCTGAAGTTGTAAGCGCCAAAGACGAGCGAGTAAGACTCCCTGCGCAATGTTCGGTGAATTTTCTTGTACCAGACGAGGGCTACGCACAAGAATGAGAAGATCAGTGCGTCACTGAAGCCTGAAAGGAGTGACAAGCAGAGCACAATCGGCTCGCAGACGAACATGATGAACGGGCGAGAGAACGTGACGGCAAACTCATTGAACGTGAGACGCTGCTCTCGAAGTTCGTTGGGACCCCAGATGTTGTCGTCTTCGCCCGACTTGCGTCGTCGTTTGGCTTCTCGGTCTAGCAAGATAGTGCTGCGCGTCTCTGGTACGAGGAAGAAGTGAAGTGCTTGCGTGACTCCGCCGACGATGAGTTGAACCTGTTTGCGCATGAGCTGGATGTGCTAAGTGCACTGCGCTAGGCTCACCCAGAAGATCCACTGGAGCGAGAGCTTGGCCTGCACGATACTACCGAAGATCGGACCAAGCACAGAGCCGCCGACAGATGAAAAGACGATGAACAAAAGAGCATACTGGTGGTCTTCGGTCTCGTAGAGATCCGCCACGACAGCTGTTCATGTCTCGCGGGTCAGGCTTTTTCGTCGTGCAAAGAACAAAGGCGACGCACCTAGCGTGACACTGCCGCCGGCTGAGCTGATGCCACCTAGTACTCTCGCCACGACGAGGGCACCGAATGTGGGTGGTCTGGCAGCCAAGATCTGCCAGACATTGACGAGCAACATGCTCAGTTGGAGGATTGGCCATCGACCATATTCCTCCGATGGAGCCGCCCACAGTTCGCAGCCTGCAGCTCCAGGTCAGGACACGGATCTCGTCCAGACTCGAAAGAAGCATGCCTAGACCGTAGAAGATGAGCAGAAGGCCCTGAGTGAGGCGGGCTTTCTGTTCGGTGATGCCGTACTTCTCGCTGATCGGCATGATGGCGTTACCGATGATGCTGGCATTGAAGTTGAGTCTGTTTGCTCAACTCAGCTCTCACATTGTGTGTGCCCTGTGCAGCGAGTCGACTGACGAGATCTGAACGGCAAAGATGACGGAAAGGATGATCCACTTCTTGGGCGTCGAGAAACAATAGCCCGTGACCTCGTAGCCCTCTGCCTCGGTGAGCTCGCGCTTGCCATCCGTACGCTTTGTCTTCTTGCGCTGAAGGATGCTCGGACGACGTTGCAGTGTGGGATCTGCGAGTGTGTCTGTGCTCGAGGCGGGATCCCGCGGCGAGGGGTTGTCTGTCTTGGCCGGCGTCTTCTCGGGCACTGCCGTCGTGTCTTCTGTCTGCTGAGCAGCCTTCTCTGACGACATCCTGGCCTGACCGTGACTGACAATTGCAGACAGGCTGCCTTCTAATTCGACTTCGATCGGACTTTCGAAATTCGGCAGGAGCATAACGATGTCATCGGACACGTCATCATCGCTACATTTGACGGGCTCGGAGCGATTCGGCACGAGCCACAGAAAGTTCGATTTGCGCCTGACCGAGTCTTACGAGCTCGCCTGTCATGTACGCTTGCCCGATATTCGATTGGCCGTGCACAATGCTAATGCGCTCAATCCCGCAGTACCTTGACTGATCTAAGGCTTGGGGGCCGGCCGAATTTTACACGTCCGCGTCGACAACGGACACAGGCTCCGTCTGACGATCGAGCACGGCATCGGCTCCGTCCTTGTATGCAATGACAGACTCGGAGGAAACGGGCTCACCAACGCTCGTCAATGGCGATATTCGAGACGCGGTCGCGCCTGCTGTAGCTGATTCGAGTGCGGCAGAGCAACAAGCTAGCTCGGACGAGGTCTATGGTTCGGCTTGATTTCCCTTGCTGACTCTGGAGCTCATACTCAGGTGTAATGCAGCCGATCAATATGAGCTGACGTTGCTCTTACCTCGCAAGCTGCTGCCTGCCCCCGTCGCTCGCGCGTCCCTGTCAAGCACCCCAAGCAAGCGATCTCAAAAAGCTGCAACTGCCGCAACAGAAGATTGGGGGATTCCACCGCGCTCGCCAGATCCCAAAGTTGACCCAGACGATGAGCACGACCTAGAAAACTACGTTCGTCTCTGGACGACAGTTGCGGGCACGGAAAATATCAGAGATATCCGATCGCTCGTCAGCGATTCCGCCGAAGGATTCTGGCTCGGCTCCTTCGGTTTCGTCAAAGTCGATTTTGAGGAGACGCCAGAAGATGAGCAGCCAAAGAGGATCATACCGGAGAGTGACAGCACGCCATTCCCAGAATTGGCAGAATTGCCTGTCATCTTTCCAGGAACCACAGAAACCAAGCAGCGGGTTCTCAAGGTTGTGCCAGGTTGGTCTATCGCAGCCAACTGAGAAGCGATAGCTGATGGGCTTTCTAGTGGACTTCACCGAGGCGGCAGCGCGTCAACATCTTATGCAGTTCTGGGACGTGATCAATCATCGTGCAATGGCTTTGACGGGCAAGAACGTCTACAGAGCGCCCAAATACGACCCTTCGACCCTCACCCTTGAGCCCGGCATGAGCTTGTTCACGTCGGTCAGGGGACAGGCGCCAGAAGAGCCAGAGTGCATGCATCATGACCATCACGAAGCGCATTGTGACGCACATGACGAATCTGCAGACAAGAAGAAGTCCGAGCAAAAGAAGACCAAAGCAAGGCAGCCTGAGCTAAGCGAAGAGCAGCCTGCTCCAACAGATCACGTTTTCGAGAATTTCGAGCCCTTGAAAGACGAGCCTTGGCGTGCAATACTGTCTGCGCGGGATCAGGCTGCTCGAGCTGTGCCTCAGACGCCAGCTGCGCTTCGTCAGCTTGCCGTCAGCGCCTGGAATCCCCCGCCATTACACCTAGCGCAGCGTGGTCATCTGCTTTACGTGACCCTCATCACGCTCGAAGGCGAGAATGTACACGTACAAGCGACCAACAAAGGCTTCTACATTGATCGATCAGATTCGACCCGCTTCGATCCGACACCGAAGTCGTCAGACGCGCCTTTCGCGACTCTCTATGAGCTCTGCAGATCGATCTCTCGTGCATTCTCACTGGCAATGGTCAAAATCGTTGAGCCGCTCAAGCCACTCAATCCGGACATGTTCGCATACCTTCCCATTAGTCTCTGCACACCTGCTTCGCCATGGCTAGTCAGCGAACCCTCGCACACAGCAGATCCTTTGCGCAATCAGCTGGCTTACATCGTTACTGGCGGCATCGCAGCGGAGCAGCTGCCGCCTGCGCGCGACTGGAACGACGACTTTGTTTCCGTTCGGGAATTGCCTGTCAAGACGCTCGCCCAGCGCGTTCTGCGTGAGCGTAACCTTGCCCGACTACACTACGAATTCGAGGTATCCGCGACCAGAACGATCTCCCTCATCATGAAGGGTGAGATACCCGCTATCAATCCTTCAGAGGGTGTGGCAGCACGAACATACTTGTATAACAATGTTCTCTTCTTGCGCGCGCTCGATGCGCTCGATATTATGCCCCACCTCGGGGGCGACGAAGCCAGTCGAGTGGCAGCCAACAAGGATCTCGAAGCGCTCAAAGTATTGCACCAGGCTGACATTCCCCAGCTCAACCTGATAGGCACTGCGCTTGTCGATCTGCAAGGTCAGCGATGGGTTTGCCAGACCCTGCCGCCAGGTATTGCCAATAAGACTATTGAGGAAATTGAAGCAAGCAAGAAAGACGGCCAAAATTCTGCCAAGGAGGAAGACGACTTTGCTTGGGGACACTTCCGTATTCTTTATGGCAGCTCGGACACGGAGAAAGCGGACGACGAACTCGCGTGTGATCCCAAATTCCACAAGCTCGCGAGTAAAGTCGGCGAAGCTCTACAGCTCGCGCCACATATTGTTCAGGACAAAGAAGGTAGACAGTGCGAGCTCTATACAAGTATGGACGTACACGGCGCCGTCGGCTTGGATGGTCGTCCCTTCCTGATGGACCTTGCGCGCACTTCCCCTGTCGATGTACACTTCTTGGAGGACGATATTCAGCGTATCCCCGGCGAAACAGAGGATTGCGCGTATCCTCACACTTACTTGCTATTACGACGAGAGCTACTGGACGCCTACCGTGACAGCAGCTTGCGTCAATGGCTCACCGAGCAAGTTGCAAAGAAGACGGCGCAAAAGCCGAAGCCGGACGAGGAGCCAAAGACTTCGCAATCGACCGCTGTGCAGGACGAACCGACCGAGCTTGCGTTGTCACAACCACCCACGCCAACTGTCGAGGAGTCAGTGACATCTGCGCCTACACAAGCCGAACGTGAGGCGATCTTATTCAACGTCGATGCGTTTGTCAAGCGTCAAGACGATCGTGCCGGAGCAGTATACCAAGAATCAGATCCCGCTGTCAGGCATGTTCGTCAAGCATCGAAGTATCTCCGCGAGGTAGCGCTGGTCGACTACTTAACAGAGATCGTGGCGAATGGCTCAATGCCTGTAGACGGCGCCGCACTCACAAGCTCTCTGCATGCTCGAGGCATCAACATGCGCTATCTTGGTCACATCGTTCGTCTGGCTCAGGCCGGCACTCACAAGATCCCATGCAGTCCCTCCCTGCAGCTCGAGGCCGCAGATCAGTTGGCAAAAGTGCAAGTCAGTCTGAAGCGAGAGATGGTCGTACGAGCCGCCAAGCACATCCTTCGCGCAGAGATGAGCGCAGCACAGCCACACCAGGTCGCAGAGGTAGCAGCGCACAATCTCAGCTGTTTGCTCGGTGCGGCTTCGACATCGACAACATCCAGCCAAACGAAGGAGACAATACAGACCGCCATTCTACGCGACGTGGCCCGCCGCTTCAGATTCAGGCTCGAACCTAGCTATTTTGATCAAGAATTGGCGCGACCCCAGCTTCTTCGCGAGCTCTGCTATCGCCTGGGCATCCAACTCAAAGCTCAGCCCTACGCATTCGATACGGTGCCAACGAGCAACGGCGCTTATCACTCGTCAGAGGACGAAGCAACTAAGACGAAGAAGCCGAAAGCGAAGGCCACAAACGGCGTTTCCCACGGTCCGCTTCGAACGGCTAGTATCATGCCGGATGATATACTTGGCTTCGTTCCAGTTGTCAAGTCTGTACAGCATCAGGTACGCTGTGCGGTCTTATCGTCGACTTTGGCTAACGGCACTTGCAGAGCGGGTACGGAACATACCTCGTCGAGCAAGCACAGTTTCAGCTACTCAAGGGAGACAATGAGCGCGGCGAGCCAATGATGAACGATGCAGTGCACTACTACGAGCAGCTGTTTGGCAATATTCATCCCGAAATCGCGACAAAGTACCATCAGATGTCAGTCGTGTACAGCAACATTGCGCAACCGCTGTTACGCAGGGTCAGCCTCTTCGAACAATCTGCTCAGCTTTCAAAACCAGATGAGGCAGCGCGAATGCGGGCATACGCTGGCGTCCCCGACGAGGCTACGTATGAGGCCATCAAGCGTGATTCGGAAATCTACCTCGATGCTGCAGCGAGAATGGAGCGACAAGCTATCCTGGCCGCCGAGCGCACGCTAGGTGTGGATCATTCGCTGGTAGCGCCGCTTTACGGCCAGCTAGCTCTCCATGAGAATGCTCTCGGCAATACTCAGACAGCGTTGCGGCTGACGAAGCATGCTATTGGACTCTACCAAGCTCAATATGGCCCCGGCTGCACCGAAGTGCCTCGTCAGCTTACTCATGCTGCCGCTTTCATTCAAGGCTGGCTCGGTCACGAAGCAAGTATACCGTACTATAAGGCAGCTCACGCTTCGACTGTTCAGGCAAGAGGACCAGAGTCTATCGCCACTGGCACTGCGAGCTACGCTGTGGCGCAAGTCTATGCACTGTCCGGCAACATGAAAGCTGCTATTGAGCCCGCCAAGGAAAGCGCTCGCATCTTTGCCGCACGGCTGGGCGAGAAGGAAGAGAAGACACTAGAAGCCAACAACTTACTTGCGGTCATCCTTGCCAATGCTGCCAATCAAGCAAAGGCAGAGCAAGGTCAAGCAGCTTCCATTGCTCGCCGCTTACACATCTCCCCAGAACGCACTGCTCAGCTCCTGGCTCAGGCACGAAACGGCATGCCGATAGAATCTGTGCAAGCCGAAGCACCGACAGGTGAGACCTATGGCAGCCGAGGTCATCTCGCCATTGACGACCTCGTCAAGTACATTTCCGGGCAGCAACAAGCTTCGAAGACGACGAGCAGCAAGCAGAGACGCCAGCGCGGCGGCAAGACTGCGCGCCGATGATGAGGAAAGCAAGGGGCAACAAGAATTTGCGTCCTTTTGGGACGCTGAGCACCACTCGTTGTAGGCAGATAGAAGAGGTCGCATCGCAATGTGTGTACAACATGCAAGCTAGCATGCATCCCCCAGAATCACCAATTGTAAGCGTTTGCTGCAAAGGCGCCACCGTTGATGATGGGCCTGTTGGTTTGCACCCTGCCGGGACCGGTCCGCAGCCTCTTCTTCAGTAGCAATGATACCTTGTCGAGCCGTTTCTGATCGGTTTTCTTGCCTTCTTGTAAGATGAGCTTGAGTCTTGTGTCGGCATGCTCGATGACACCGTGCTTGCCACGACCACGGATGTCAATGACCTTTGTCTTTGAGCCTTTGTCTACCCAGCTCTGAGCTGTATGTATCCACGGAATCAGTGAAACTCTTGAGGGCGAGGTGCGAGCTTACAGACGACCAGCGTCTCTGCTGGGATGTTCTTGGCGAGAGCACGTCGCTTGGCCTCGAGCAAGACTGGCTTGATCCGTTTGCTCGCTAGCTTCTGACTGAACTCCATCTGATGTATCGCATCATCGACATGTCTGCCTGCGATCAATCGAGCGAGATCGTTGAGCTTTCGATGCGAGTGCCTGAACCAGGGCGTTGACATAGTTTGCTGCTCGCTCGTTCAGCTTTTGCTTTCTGTCGACGTGCGACATGCATACCTTTGGCACCTCTACAGGCTTGTTCCGGATGAGTGATGGCGCAGTCAGTCGATCGGCAGTGAGCGCCTCTAGCTCTTTTGGCGGCAGGGCTAGCAATTGCTCGAAAGGATTGGCCTTGCCTGCCGCAACTCTCTCGCGCAGTTGCTCCTGCTCTAGCTCTGACGTGATGGACTGTCCAGTGAAGCCCAGTCGGCTGGTGACGGAGGTCCGCAGACGGGAGATCAAGCCGATGCGCTTTTTGCGAGGTGCTTCGTCTTCGGGCGCCAGACGGCTTGCAGATGTCTGTAGACTCCGCGCGCGCATAGAGCGAGCTGTGATCTCTGTTGATGCCTTGCTGCCTTGACTCAAGAGCCACATTGCAGCTGATGAGGACGACATCTTTGGAGCGGTGTGCCTGTCTCTGCGCAAACTGATGCTCATCAGTTTGAGACGCGACTGATGTGCGCTGACGTGGAAGCGAGTCTCAGATTCAAGGTCGAGGCACTCGAGGGTCAGGCCGCATGAGAAGGACGTGCAGATGATGGGGAGTGTGTGACAACAGTGTGATTGCATTGCTGATATGCCTGCTCACTCGTGTCCGATCGGCTTGGGCGTTCGCACATAATCAATCTTGGCAGAATTGGCGATGAGGAAAGAGCCATGACTGCCATCGAGAGCTGGATCGGATCCGATCATCGTGGTCGGGAAGCCGATATCGAACGGCTTCACTTCCTCGAGTCGCTTGACTTGGGCATCCGTTAGCTGGATCGACAGAGCTTTGATGTTGTCATGAAGATGCTCGACCTTTCGCCCGCCCACGATAGGATAAACATTGGGATACTTTGAGAAGACGTAGGCGAGCGCGATAGCAGTGACTGACTCGATACCGTGCTCTTCGGCTACCTCGGCGAGCGCTTCGCTCATCTTGATCTCTTGCTCACTCTGGTCGGCCCCTCTGAACGATCGCAGAGTCTCGCCAGCCTTTTTGCGTTCGTCGAGTGCCTTCTTGGATTGATAGTGTCCAGATCCGAGGACGCCCCAGGGAGCGATGGCCATGCCAAAGTGACGACAGCAAGGGATGATGTCTCGCTCGAGGTCACGAAGACCGACATGCCACTGGCCCTGGTAGATCGAAAACGGTGTTTTGCCGTGATGACGTGCATAGGTATTGGCAGCAGAGACAATCCAGGCAGGGCTGTCGCTGATGCCCAGATAAAGTACCTTGCCTTGTTGGACGAGGATGTGGAGCGCGTCCATGAGCTCCTCGATACTCGTTGTGAAGTCCCACCAGTGAATGTAGAGCACATCGATCCAGTCTGTCTGGAGCTTCTTGAGCGAGTCTCTGACGCTCATATGCAGACTGCGCCTCGAGTTGCCGGTGAAGTTGACTCTCTGCGGGTCAGAGACTTCAAAGTTGACATAGCCAGTCGTGAATTTCGTCGCAATCACCATCAGGTCACGGTTCTTGCGCTCCTTCATCCACTCGCCTATCCAGAGCTCACTCTCGCCATTCTGGTAGTTGTTGGCCGTGTCAATCATGTTGCCGCCGGCGTCCACGAAGGCGTCGAGCAATTTGAAGGATTGTTCCTTGTTCATGGATCCCATTGCTCTGCAGGTCTGGTCAGCCTGTGACCGAGATCAGCCGGATGGTCAAATCACTCTGACCATGCCTCGCCAATGGACATGGCGCCCAACTGCAATGGGCTGACACGCACACCCGCCGTGCTTGCCATGATGCGATACCGGCCGAGCGGCGTCTTAGGCTCGGGCGCAGGAGCAAACAGCTTGGCTGCCATCTTTGCAGATCTTGTCTTGAGTGGAGCAAGTGAATGAGAGCAGGAGCTAGCTGGCTTATATACCCCACTCTCTGACTGCTTACTGTTGCAGCACGCGACGGTGCATGATGTCATACCCTGCCGGTGCTCACGACCGCGAGTTGCCTTGACGGAGCGCTATACCTTTGTTCGTTCATGTCAAGTACTCGTCCGATGATAATCGGCCTGTGCGAATCACCCAAGGTGTCCCGGCTGCTTGCGAGACTTCAGTTTCAGCGTCTTGCTCTTAGAACCCTGCAATTGCCTGCAATCTTGACATTTTGCCTCGCTGTTGCGCAAAGAAATGCATCACGATGCAGCCATCAATCGATCAGCGCTTTTGTCTCCGCGAAGGACCTCAGTGACAGTCAGGGGAAGCGCCAAACCTGCGCGCGTCTCTGGTAGCTCTGGTGACTGCGCGTGAGCCTCGCCACGTGCTGAGGCACAATGCTTCTGTCACCTATCTTAACGGTCCTGTCCATCAGCATTGTGGCCAATGCTGTCCATCAGAATGATGTGGAATCGACCATCACGTCCGTCTTCTATCGATTGCGGGCGACAGCGACGACCTTGTGTTTCAGAACAGGAGCAACGTTGATCGGACCAGGCCAAGTCGATGTGACCATTCTCACCAACGGTGGAAGTGGCATAGTCTACAGAGCAGCCAACTGTTTGTTCCCACACACCACGTTGAGGTCGCCCTCATGCATCCGCCGGCAGATGTCAACAGTAACGACTTAGTCGTGAGTTCGGTAGAATACGACGAAGCCATCAAGCCAGCTTTTGCCGCCATCCATTTCAACGTCGTCACCAGCGGTGCTTCTCAGCCAAATTGGCGCGTTGCTGATCAGACATGCTGTATTGTCAACTCACGGGTCACTGTCATTATTGGCATCATGCCCGACACGAGGGGGCAGATCATCCGGTCACTAGCGAAATCCTACATGGACTGCGGTGGTAGCTTCTCGCCACAGCCACATCGCTGTCGGTCGTGATGGCCTCGTCTCCCCGATGTGAGCTGAGCAAGACTGGCCACAGGTCCTCCTGAGCATTTCACCGTTGACTGCAAGGCGGGCGTCGGTCAAGTGGAGATTGTCCCCGAGCAACCGCCAAAGATGATCCAATACGACATCAAAGCAAGCGCAAGCGGCTTTTGCAATATCCATCAGAAAGGCTCGCCATGGGCAATAACATCAGAGACGACGCTAGCCTCGCCGATCATCACCGTCGTCATTCTCTCGAAACAGTACAGAGACGATCTCTGGTCCCAATTCGCTTTCGTGAGCCTCAAGCTGATAGCTGTGCTGGTCACCTGACAATGCATCAGTTCAATAGCGAAGGCCTTGCGGTCCTCAAATTTGATTCTGTCGAACCGGATCTCCTCGTGACCTATGTACAGTTTCGGTGAGTGCGATCTGGTCTGCTCTGTCTCACGAGCCGATCTGCTTGCAGGCAACGAGGTCGATTTGAGCCAGTGTGGTCAGCAGACAATCAGCAGTGCTGTATCGCCCTGCTCATAGGATACATCGGGTTCGGCATCACCGAAAGGCGATTTACGATCGTCGACGAGCCCAATCTTACTGTTGCTTGTCCACCGAGTATGCGTCAAAGCTCTGAGAGCCTCGATCTTTCTACTCACAGGCCATACAGGTGAGCTCCAGAAGCCTTACGTAAGTTGTTCGGCGCGCTATGCAGGCAACGGCGAATTCGAGTGTAAACATGTCTTGAAGACGATTACAAGCCTCACCCTTGGCAGTGCGCCATCTGTGTCAAGCTGACATTGCAAAGGAGCTCGCGTTTACTTCCTGAAACGATATCCGCCTGCATTGACGTAACAGAGATCTGAGCGCACGTGTCCTTTATGCGCCCGTCGCTAGACTGACCGTCTCCATCGAATTTTCCATCGTCATGTCAATGTCCCTGTCTTGCATCGGCTTCGCAATACTGCTCCTCGGTGCTCGACATTGCCTCAGCGAAGTGACGACTGCCTTCCATCGACTCACTGCCAGTGTTACCGCGGAGTGCTACAATAGTGCGGAGCCGCCGACTTTGAACAACTGACTGGACAATCTGACTTGGCGACAGCTGGTCCGACCGTCCTCGGGCCTGGTGCCTTGGAGATCCTGTTCCTGACCGACAACGGTGCAGACCCCATCTTTCGAACACTTAGCCGTGAGTCAGCGTCCCACAAGCAACATGACCGCTCAGTGGCTTGCTAGTGGTCAACACGGGCGATGTGATCAGCTTTGGCACTCGCTACGATGAAGCCAACTGGCCATCGACTGCAGTCCTCAAGTTCAGCCTCACGGGCTCCGGCCTAGCCCAAACAGGCTGGGTTGAAAGGGACAGAATCTGCTGCACGCCCAAGTCATGGATCACTGTTGACATTGGCGTCGTTCGAGAGACGAACGATATCATGCGCAACGTACGTGTGCAAACATCCATCTCGTGTGGTGGCGCATCAGCAGCCGTACCGACGAGATGCCCAAGACAAAGCTTCAGCGTCTCTTGTACACCCGTGAGCAGCGAGATCAAGCAAGAACCGGCAGAGGAGCCTTCAATCATGCTCTATGACCTCGTCGCCTCTAGTAATGCGGACTGTGATGTCTGGCGGCAAGGGTATGCTCAGGCGGGCTCACGCTACACTACCCTCTATTCCTCTGCAGTCACCATCGCCATTATTTCCAAAGTGTACAAAGCCAGCGGCCAGATCTACGTCGAGGGAGCATATGTACGCCTGTCACATACCTTTTGGCTTGATCTAGCTGACTCTAGCTCAGTTCGGATCGAATATCCACATACCTATAACACCCATCGAAGTAATGGGCGATCACGTCATTGCCGAATTACAGTTTCGGTCCTTTCATCCTTGTCGTCCCCCACGATCACATCGCTGACCAGCCCAGCAGAGAACCCGGCTTCAAACAATCATCATGGATGAGCCCAGACAGAACATGTTGCAGCGCCTTGTTGACAACTCGGCTCGCTTTTGGTATGAAGCAAGACAGCTTCATGTATCTACGCAGCGATGTCATGTCGATTGCGTGTCCTCCAAGTGAATCGCACCGACAGTGCGGAGATGGGCTGACCATCCGACGGCAGATAAATTGGCTGAGCGTACGCCCGCGTGCAAGAAGGCATACACCGGTAGCGGTTCATATGCTTGCAAGAACGTCAAGACACTCGTGGAGCGCGAAAAGGGCGGCGAGACGCAATAGAATGACGTGCATATCTAGCATGCATAACCACATCCCTGGCATGCGGTCTTTCGCACTGATTCGCTACAACGTCCCCGTCAACTTTGTCTCTGCAGCCCTTTGCCAACGATGCGTTATCCGGTCTTTCCCCTCATTCCTCGGCTTAGCAGCAAGTTGCACATCTGAAGTACAGCGTCAGCCCACAGGCGTTTCAGCCCCGTGATGGAAGCATCGTTGCGGTTTGAACCTCAAGACACTTGTCGGACAAGGAAGACAAAGATCAGCACAACGACTTGAGATGAATCGCAACATAAAGTTCGCCCTCTTCGCTGTCCTGCTATGCTTGGGGCTGGTCGAGGCCGCTCCCAAAGCCGAGACGTACGTAGCCAAACAGGCAGCTTTGGCTGAGCTGACCAGTCCGCAGTGGATTCTGCTTCAAGCGATGTCCGAACAGACGTGCGGCTCATCTCTCATCACTCTGATGTTTGCTGACTTGCGCCTAGCTGACGATTGCTGCGAATGAAATCCTAGGATTCAGCGAAGCGTTCTTGGAGCATATTAATGCAATCTCTGCGTAGTCGACTTGCAAGCAGCTCTGCCCAGCAACACTGTATGTGCTAGTCTACAGCTTTGCCGGTACAACTGAAGGTGTTCGCACGCCATGCTGGTATAGCGCGTATTCAAATGAGACATTCTGCTTTGCATGATCATCGAGCATCCGACGAAGTATTTTGCCAGCCGGAGATCGCAGAATCGAAGTCGTCAGCACAACGCCGCCGCGAAGCCATTGTTTCTGAGGACACTGCTTCTCGATGAACAGAGCTATGTCATGCACCGCTCGTTCTGCCTGATCAGGATTCTCGAGTAGTGTGAGATCTTTCGGAACGATGAAGGCGCGAGGATACTCGCTCGCTTCTTCGCGGTTGTAAGATCCGATGACAGCGGCATCGGCTATCAGAGGATGATGTGAGATCTTTCCTTCGAGCTCGCTTGGAGAGACTTGATGACCTTTCACCTTGATCATCTCTTTCAAACGGCCAGTGATGGTCAATCGACCAGATTGTAGTCTTCCAAGATCGCCAGTAGCATACCACTGATTGCTTTCGAACCAGATCGGTCGACCTGGTGCGCCAATCTGGCCAGAGATGAGCGATGCTGTCTTTACAAGTATTTCGCCTTCCTGATTGGCGAGCAGTGTCTGACCATTCGAATCTACGATCTTGACTCGTACGCCAGGCAGAGGTGAGCCAACTGTGCCGATTGTCCGTCTGAACTTTGACCAAGGCGCAAGTGTCTGGGAAGTCAAGCCTGTTGTTTCTGACATGCCGTAGCCCATGAGAACAGGTACTGCCGCGCTGATCAGCCTTGACACTGCGACAGACGTAGGACTTACTTTTCAGTCTACGATGCACGGCATGGACCAGCTCGGAAGGGCAGGGAGCGCCAGCAGAGATGGCCATGCGCACAGATGATAAGTCGTATTGATCTACAAGTGGGGAATTAGCGAGCATTGCCACGACGGGTGGAGCCATGTGTAACGCAGTCGCTCGGTACTGCTGTACAAGTTGGAGCAGAGTATTAGGGTTGTACTACATACTGCGTAAGCTGGGCCAGAGGACCTTCCACAGGAGGCGAGCGTACTTTTGTCATGAGAATTACTTTGGCTCCGAGGGCGAGACTTGCCCAGAGCACATTACTTAGTCCGAAAGAGTGTTGCAGCGGAACGAATGCAATCCAAGTTTCGTGTGACAAGAAGTGATCATTGCCATGCACGAGATCGAGCGTAGCATGGATGGCTGCACGATGCGAATAGAGCAAGCCTTTGGGTTTGCCAGTTGTGCCTGAAGTCCAGAGAATAAACGCGATCTTGTCTTGCCTCGGCTTGATGTAGACTTTGCGTCCATAAGGACCATTATACATGGCAGAATACTGATTCTTGCCGAAAAGGCGGGTGGTCTGGTCCAGGTGGCCAAAGAGCGCAAGTTGATCTTGAGGCGCATCAAGATGGGTAAATATGGCACAGGGCTGGCTTTGCTGCACAATCCAGGCAATGTCCTCAGCGGTGGCATACGGGGCAGCAAAGGTGACCGTGTAGTCTGCCCGTAGCACGGCAAGGACGAGCAGGACAAGCTCTATCGAGTTGGGATAATGCAGAAGTACGACGCCGCGCGTGTTCGTCAGATCTGAAGTATGATCTCGAGGTACAAAGCCTAGCTGATTTGCCAAGTGCTGCGAGCGTTCGTCCACTTCGCTGAAGCTGACACTAGCCTGTGTGACGGGATCGAGAAAGAGTGTGTCATCTTTTGGGAAAGATGCAAAAGGTTGGCCAAGCAGCCACAATGCAAGATTGAGAGTTTCGATTCCTTCGGGCAGGAGATGGGCTCGCAAAGGCATGCCGACGGTAGCCCGAGAAGGCATCTGTTCTTGCGCTTGCATCATTGCGGGCAAGGTGGGAGAGGGCAGACATATAGCAGAGGACAACCGTCGATTCGGGCGCGCCATGCTCTCGAAAGGCGCACAGACCCGGTGACGCCGATGCTGCCGAATCGGAGCGCTTGGACCTCTGTTGTAGCGCAATGTCTGAGCGATCAAGGGAGTGTGGTGCTCGGAAGGGGACAAGTCCTCGCTGGCTGTGCAGGCTGACGACGATCGACAGAGCAAAAGGGTCGATCTGACGCGACGACGACAGGCAGGACGGACGACGTGACGAGCGGACTCGCTTCAAAGCCCAGACAGCGTGGCTGAGAGGCCGAGCATGTCGTCAGGAGCGAGCTGAACATCGAGCACAGCACGACTATCTATCATACTCGGCATCGACACCGCCTCACGATACCTCGAAACATAGGCGCACCGTGTCCTGGACGGCTGAGACTGCAAAAGCCGTGTCCGAGCAGCCTCGGCACGACGACGATGAGCGCAGAGATGTCTATCGGAGGCAGCACGCCATCGTCAAAGCAACGCAACAAGAAGATGCTCAGTCTCTCCGTCCCGTCTCAGCCTACAACGACGACGAGCTCGCCTTTGCCTAGCGCAAGGCTCCCTCACGGCAGGACCGCACCCAGCTCACCCTTGCCAGAAGTTCACACGGGTCCTTCGAAGATGATGATGCAAGCTACACAAGATCGCAATAGACTCGCCGCGCCCGTACAGATACTACAACCTCGATCGTGTCCCTCCACGCCAGACTTTAGCTCGACCACCACGCTCAGAGTAGCGGGACAGCAGGATGATGCTACAGCGCACCCGAGCGCAGATACGCTCAATCTACGTGGTCAATTTGCAATGAGAAAGCGCAAGTCGCTGCCCCGCTTACAGACGAACCCTCGACTGTCTCTACGCAGTACGATCAGGTGTGAAGACATCAGCAGTACCCCAACGCTTCCATCTGCGGCGACGAGCACCTCGTCCTCCCAGCTAGACACTGCGCAATCCTACTGGACCGCAGCCACAGATTCCCCAAAGCCTCCGCTGCCAGAGCCTAGTGCTGCAACAGGAGCGGCTTCGGGCAGTCTACATCTCGGCGGGACGACCGCAGGAGCGCCCCAGGGTCATATTGTGAGGCTCGTCAAGCGGCCAGAGGGAGACTCGGGAGATGAGGATTATCCCTACCAATTTGGTCCGAGGCAGATCCTACCCGTGCGATCCTAGACTTCAGCGGTGATATGTACAGCTGACAGCGGACGGTAGGGCGTGTATCTTGGCTCGGAAGAGAACGCGCGAGATGTGCGGGTGCTAAGAGACCTCGAAATTGGGCTCATCATCAATGTCGCTGCCGAAGTCTTTCTACCCTACGCCGCGAGGACGAATACGAGCAACGAGACAATCCCGGAAGAGGACGAGATCTCACCACTGTCTGCCACGCTCAACCGACTCAGCATGGTCAGCTCACATAAGGATTCGCCGCGAAGTACACCTCTGCAGGCTAGCAAGACGCCTCCTGCTGCTACTGGCTCGACCCCCAGTCGGCCACAGATTGTGAGATCGACCATATCTACGCCGAACTTCCAAGCTACGAAAAAGGGCAGTAGCGAGTCACTCGACGAAAAAGGCAAGTCCAAATCGATGGAATACGAACTACCCACAGTGATCGACTGCCCGGCCGATCCTGCATCTGGCCGGCACGCCCTCAGGTATCTGCACCTACGCTGGGGTCATGATCAAGATCAACTCGTGCGAGAGTTTCCAGCGTTGTGCGATCTGATCGATTCTGCTCGAGCGGAGGGCAAGAAGATACTCTGTCACTGTCAGTGCGGCGTGAGTCGATCTTCAACACTTATACTGGGCTATGTGATGCGTCAAGCGGCGAGATCGAACGACGAAGGCGGTCTCCTGACGCACTGTCACGGTATGCACGACGCATATGTCTTCGTCAAGGCAAAGTCAGAGTGGGTGGGGCCCAATATCGGCTTGGTGCTACAGCTCGTCGAGTGGGAAAGAGTACTCGCCGGCAAGCCCGCTTCGTCGTTGGAAGAGGAAGATCCCTTCTCTCCGCCTGATCAGATGAACAGTACGCCAACCGAACCCACTCAGATCTCTTCCAGCTCGAGCTCGGACTCGCATCTATCTACGCCCGACTCGCGATGGTCCGAACCTGTGAGAATTGCTCAGGAGCGGCAGACATCGTTCGATCTGCTGGATGATAGCAACATCGAAGCCCTCAAGTCGGAACGCGTCAGTCCGATGTCGCTCAAGCACGCCAGTCCGATCCCGCCGCTCAAGATGGCAGTTCTCACTCGTGCTAGTCTGAATGCACCCAGCCCCCAGTCTGCCCGTGCGGACGCTTTGCTCGATTCGCCACTAGAGGTGAAGATGCCCGGCGCGTTCGGTGCAGCCAGACAGACTGAAGACGAGAGGAAGGCGGCGCACAAGCGCGCTTTCTCTACCGATCTATTACGAAATACTGCGCGCAGACCCTCTTTGGCAGACGATGCTCCCGCTGGTCGGTAGCAAAGTATGTACATATTGTATCTCGTATTGATATACAACAAGCAATCTAGCCAGACCTGTTCAGGACGTGCGAGCGGCTCGGTCTGCTTCGACTGAAGCGACGAATGATCTTCTCATGGCTGCCAGGAAAGGACCCAATTCGCGCGATCGATTCAGCGCGGCCTCTTGAGTGCCCAGCAGCGTGCGATCGAGTGGTGGCGAGGTGGAGACAATGGCGTACTTCGGCATCGACCTGTCGATGGATGTCGTCGCCAGGATGAGTGAGAATGGCCTGGCAAAGTCGGCAGGGTCAACCAATCGGAACTCAATCTTGACCTGGCCATGTTCTGCAGGCAACAAGCTCTATGTGAGGACTAGCAGCGCTCGGAGAGAGAAAGCACATGCGACCGGTAGGTTTGATAGACAGACCCGTTGCTTGTTGCAAGTACTTGAGCTCGATCGCGCCCAAGCTGGCGTGGTGCCTGACGAGGACGCGATGCCTGTCGAGCTCGGATTGTCGCGTGTCGAGCTTGGTCGACATCTCCTGCACGTCTGCTTCCGATAGAGCGAGCGAGTCGTTGAGAGCGCGCTCGCGCAGTTGCAGGCTGGCGACAGCATTGCTCGCTGACTTGATGTCTCGCTGTTCCGCTTCTATCTCTGCATAGCACATAGAACCCTGAGCGCGGCATATCTGCTGAGCAGAATCAGACGTACGGGCAAGCATCTCTTGCGCCTTTGTACGAGCAGCAGAGAGCTGTGTCTGCAGCCTATCGACCTCTTGGGCGTGTGCCTGTTGTTCCTCATTGAGATCCCGCCTCCTCTCTCGATTATGCTGCGCGAGTGCTTGGAGATTGTAGAGCAGGGAAGTGTGGAGTGAGTCGAGGTGAGCCTTGAGGTCGACATCGTGCTGCAGAAGCGCAGAAGGCTGTGCAAGCTCTGTCCTCGACATTGGCCCTGCTGCAGGCGACAGGCGACAGGCGGCGACGACGACGACGCGCCGAATTTTGGCAGAGGCAGCAAGACGTGGCAGCACCCCGGCAGAATCTTGAGCTGGCCTCTTGCTGCTCGTCTGCAGTCGTCGGCAGCCGCTGACAGTCGCAGTCGCCCCTGTGATCGCAAAGCCGAGCCAGCGTCAGCAGTCGTACTGCGTCATCGAGGCTGTGACCTCTGGGCAGGCACGAGGCACGGACGGGCATTGTCGATCACTCACGACGACGCCAGACAGCTCTACACGGCAGCTGACATCGTCATCAACTGTGTCCCGGGCGTCTCACTAGGGTCACAATGCCCAGACAGACGCCAAGATTCCCGGGCCAGAGCACAAGAGCGGGCAGCTCATTAGAACCGTCAGCCCGTCATGGACACGCTCCAGCTCAGTCCCGCCAGCCAGAGACGTCGACCTCTGGCAGAAGTCTGAGGTTCAAAGTCACACGGCCCGACTATACTTCGGCAGGCTCATCTCTGCGGTCCGACGATGACGATGCAGAGGGGAGTGAGGAAGGATCTGTTCCACCTCGTCAGGCGCCAAAGCGTCCAGAGCAGACGAGGCGCAGCGAGCGCAACTCTCGCATCATCGAGACACCGTCTGATGGCGATACTCATGAGGCCAAGGATGGATTGAATGAGGATGAAAGGATCGCGAGGGAGCTGCAGGCACAAGAAGATGCTGCTGCTTCCTCGCGCAGAGCTACGCGCGGCCGAGCGATACCGCCTACCGCTCTCCAGCCTGCGTCATCGCCTCCAGAACCTCAACAGCGTGCGAGTGCAAGGAATGTCAACGGCAAGATACCTCATCATGACTCGGAGCACGATGATCCGATGGATACCCAGGAAGACGCCCACGATCTCAGTGTCTCCTCACGCGGTCGGCCGACCAAGAAGATCAAGTACGATGAAGACGATGAAAAGCCACTGGGTCATGAGGAAGACGACGAGGAGGAGGACGAGCAGCCTGTCAGGAGATTGCGTAGACCTCAGGCTCACTCTCGTCAGCTTCCTCAAGACGATGACTATGGCTCGCCTCCACGGGTGCGGCCACGCGAACGGCTCAGAAGGAGTTCCTGGCTTGCCGAGGACGAGGAAGAGATGGATTCAGAGGACGAATGGGGCTCTCAGCGCAAGAGCAGGAGACTCAAGCTCACTGCCCAGGCCAAAGAGGCGCGCAGGAGACAGGAAGAAGCAGAGGCACGCGAACTTCGTCGGACGAGGCGTCAGCCCGTTCGATCCACCCGATATGACTCGTACCACCAACAAGACGAAGATGAGCCAATAGAGGACGAAGAGGAGGAAGATGAGCCTACGATAGATTACGATCGCCTGGACCGTCGGCCGGGCAACAAGGATGATTCGCTCTCGAATTCTCGCTCTTCTTCGAGAGGCTACGGCCTGCGGAGACGCAATGAAGTCAACTATGCGCTACCTACGATGGAACAGCTCGAAGCGGAAGCCTATCGTGACTCAAAAGAAGAGCGTAAGGCTGCCAAGCGCAAAGCGAAAGAACGTGCCGTCAATCAGCAGTTCAATGCGACGCTCGAAGATCTGCAGCGTGCTATTGGCGCGGAGCCGATGCAAGACAGCGATTCCGTCCGTCTTCCGCTTCCCGGTTGCGCTATGCTGAATCATGTTCGCAGTCTGATGACGGCGCGTCGCCTCGGAAGCAAGCTGCAGCGCGAGCTCAAGCTGCCGCATCCGGCGGACTCTTCGCAGCAGGTGCAGGTACGATAAATGACTCCACTCTTGGCGCGCCCAAGAATTTTGGCAAGGTCACAGCTAGTACGTATCCGTCTTGGATCAGATATTGCATAGCTGAGGCTACAGCAGATCTGGCCGATATTGATCCGCTCTTGCCCGGCCAGCACATCAATTTCGACTCTGTCGGAGGCATGGAAGGTCACATCCAGCAGCTCAAGGAGATGGTCTCGCTTCCTCTGCTCTATCCAGAAGTCTTCCAGCGCTTTGCAATCACGCCGCCTCGGGGTGTGCTCTTCCACGGTCCGCCGGGCACAGGCAAGACACTTTTGGCCCGCGCTCTCGCGAGCAGCTGCTCTACAGAAGGTCAAAGGATTTCCTTTTTCATGCGCAAGGGAGCAGACTGCTTGAGCAAGTGGGTTGGAGAAGCCGAACGTCAACTCAGGATGCTGTTCGAAGAAGCGAAAAGGTGCCAGCCGAGCATCATCTTCTTCGACGAGATCGATGGTCTGGCGCCCGTAAGGAGCAGCAAGCAGGAACAAATCCACGCTTCTATCGTCTCTACGCTACTCGCCCTCATGGACGGCATGGACGGTCGAGGCCAAGTTATCATCATCGGTGCAACTAACCGTCCAGATTCTGTCGATCCAGCCCTTCGTCGGCCCGGTCGGTTTGACAGGGAGTTTTACTTCCCTTTGCCGAACCTGGAAGCCAGGCGGAAGATCATCGATATTCATACGCGCGATTGGCAGCCTCCTCTCGCCACCAACATCAAGGATGAGCTTGCCCAAATGACAAAAGGCTATGGAGGCGCAGATATGAGAGTACGCCGTCTCATCTCGTTCAGCCAACTGCGCTGATACATCGCAACAGGCGCTATGTACCGAAGCCGCTCTCAATGCGGTTCAGCGCAAGTATCCTCAAATCTATAAGACCCCGCAACGCTTGATGATCAAGCCCGAGACGATCGAGATCTCTGCCCGTGACTTTGTCATTGCTGCAGAGAGACTCGTCCCATCAACAGCAAGATCCAATGCCAGCCCTGCTGCAGCTCTGCCTCCTCATCTTGCTTGTCTACTTGGTCCTGCTTTTGAAGCTGCAAAATCAGCGCTTGCCGGCGTCTTGCCGGCTCGGAAGAAGCTCAACATATTGGAGGAAGCAGAATACGAAGACCTAAACGACGCGGGCTTCGAGACGGAGAAATTTATGCAGTCTTTTGAAGCCTCGCTAGTACATCGCCCGCGGCTACTTATTTCTGGCGAAGAAGGCTTGGGTCAGGAGCACATTGGTGCAGCGCTCATGCAATATCTTGAAGGCTATCATGTGCAGTCACTCGGTCTTGATACGCTTCTGGGCGATTCGAGCAGCACGCCGGAGGCCACACTCGTTCAGATCTTCTCCGAAGCAAAACGACACAAGCCTTCCATCCTGTTCATACCCGATTTGGCCGCCTGGGCCGATTCTATCTCAGAAACGACGCGAGCAACGCTCAAGGGTCTCCTCAAAGCAGCGAGCGCTTCTGATCCTATATTACTCCTCGGCATCAGTGAAACGCCCGGCGATCTCTTGCCTCCAGACGTCTCTCAGTGGTTCGGGCCTTCGGATGATAATCGCATGGAGCTTGGCGCGCCTCACGCTGAACTTCGGCGAGCGTTCTTCACCTCGCTTCTAGAGAAGCTATCGCGGTCACCGAAGGAGTACAATGATGCTATACCAAGGCGCAAACGGATTCTTGAAGTCTTACCCGTCGCACCCCCGCCCGCACCTCGAGAACCGACGGCAGAAGAAGTACAAGCGCAGACCAAGAAGGATGCTACGCTGCGGGAAATCTTGAAATTCCGCATCGGTCCCATTGCTGCAGAGCTCAAGAAGCGCTATAAGCGGTTCTCGAAGCTGGTCGGGGTACGCTCTCACGAACTGCAGAAGCTCGTCGCTGACTTAGCATGCAGGAGGTTGTGGCAGATGCTGCATTGGGCTTGCAAGACCCCACAGCAGAGCTGACAGATCTCACGCGTCCCATGGTCATTACCGTGCCACTCAACTCCGATGAGCCGCCTGCCGTTCCGGCAGAGATGGCTGTCACGAATGGAAACGGCGTTTCTGATGATCATGCTACACTCGGTGAGATGCAACCGAACACAATCGCGAATCATGCCAACGGCGAAGTCGCAAATGACCTTGCACCCATCGAGCCGGTCAATGAGTCAAGCATACGCATGCAAACGCCTGAGCGAGTACCCGCGTCTGGCGAAGGCCAGGAGCAAAGGCAAAGTCAGGCACAGCTGGCACACCTCGCTCCGGAGACGCCTGCGCCTCCTACGACTCTGCTGTGGCACAATGTGAACCTAGAGACGATACATTCTGATGTCTATCGAGATCTATATCTGACGCCACAACGCTTTGTTGACGACATAGCCAAAATCTTCACCAATGCTTTCCTTGAGAAAGATCCGGATCTCTATACGCGCGCAGGTATGATGCTCAATCACGCGAAAATGATGGTCGACTTTGCCTGCGACGAGCAGTTCAAGCTGGATTGCTTGTCCATGTCTGTTCGCGAAAACGAACGACGGTCGAAACGCAAATCAAAGAACAAGTCAATCGCGCAAGCTGTCGAGTCCAACGGCGAACATGCTCATCGTCCCAGCACGCGCTCAGCCGGCCAGACGCTTGAAGTCGTGTCCGATATTGGTGTCATCGAACGAGAACTTAGCAGGAGACGTTCGCTGTCAAAATCGCCTTTACCTCCCGCTCCCGTAGACGACCTCGCCGAGCCGTTGCCAATTGTGCCCGGCGGGGCTGACAAGGCTGACAAGATGGGTGTCGATACTCTCGTCAATGGCACGGATGATGCGATGGACTTTCGCTACGACACTTCACTCAACACTGCACCCACCGAGCCTGTTCCGGACACCCGCTCGCCGTCGCCCGCCTATCCAGACCTCAATCTTGATCGAACAGATCTGGCGACATTGATTGAAGAGCTCACACGGTTGTCAGACTCATTCAACATCGAACAGCTCGAAGTCCTTCGCGTTCAAATCGACAGCGCCATCTGGCACGCTCGAGCAGATTGGAACAAGAAGAGCGCGCTTGAGACTATCTCAGCGAAAGCACGGAAGCTATCGGCCAGCCTATCCTCCTAGTTGTTGTCACAGCGCATGCATTACAGATCGCCCCCGACTGTCTCTATGCCTCGTTGAGCTCACGAAGACGTCGAACGGTTCTGCAGGCAGCTAGTCAGCGGGGAATATCGTTCAGAAGAAGAGAGCGTACGATCGCACAGTGGCAGCAGTCGTCGTGGAAAGTGTGTAGGCACCGCCGGCGATGCTCTTCTTGCACCTCGCGCATTCCCAGATGCCGACGCTCTTTCGCTTCACTGCATCCTTGCCGCAGAATGTGCAAGTGTACTTTGCATGTTGGGAGATCTGCAGGGCCACTCGTCAGCGCCGGGTCGTAGCTCTGCCCCATGCTGATCTCACTTCTTGCTTGCGGATTGACTTTCGCAGCGAACCACCGTAACGGGTACCGTACTTGCCTAGACAGGTGCCTGTGTGAGCGCATGCTCGTCCTGACAAAGGCTGGACCAACCGGTGATGCCGACCTTCTGCGTACGGCGAGCCATTGCAAGTATTCAAGGGTAAAGCTACGAACTTGCTGGCTTGGTGCCAAGTGGCTACTTGTGCCGTTTACTGGATATATCTGACACGTCATCACGCGCAAAGTTGGCCGCCCTCTACGACTCTGTCTACATTCAAGTCCTGCTCGAAGGCACATCCTGAGCCATCTGTGGACCAATCTGCATACAGTAGACACTTCCGATGCATTTGCACATTCCTGACCGTCCCGCGCATGTGTGCTCAGCTCTTGCCCGCCGGATGCGAGCTTTCTTCCCATCACTGGCCACGTGACCCTCGACGACAGAGGCGCAGTCGATACGGATGCACCTATCGCCGAGCATATCGACATGCACAGCCATCGCGAGACGTGAAGCAGTACGCGGCCCCAATCTGACACGCGACAGAAAGGACCCGCGTTTGCCCCCGTCTTGGACACGAGCCCATTGTTCTGCGCTCTGTAGAGCAACGGGACGCAACGCAAGATGCGATGCTTGATCACGCTCGGCGCTGCTGCCGCTATCGGGCAAGCATTGGCCTATCCCAGCCCTTCAGCTCCAGAGAAAATCAGCCCTGCCAAACAGGTTCCAGCGGCGCCTGAGCATCAAGAGTACTACATCGATACGCCCGTTGATCACTTCCCAGCCGACGCTGCACATAGTGTTGACAGCTTCAAGCTCCGATATTTTTTAATGCCGAGCACTTTGACCGCGCAAAGCCGGGACCGGTTTTGCTGTATGATGCTGCGGTCAGCGGGGCAGAAGTCATGCTGGATTTCCTCGACTACAGCTGGCTCATGGATGTCGCAAAGGCGACAGGAGGTATCGCTGTCATCCTCGAGCCTCGCTACTGGGGCAAGTCGATCCCAGTATCGAATTTCACAACAGACTCGATGCGCTTCTCGTCAACACTTCAGAGTATTGCAGATGCCAAACACTTTGCTTCCAATGTCGTCTTTGCAGGCTTTGAAGGCCTTGATCTGACGTACAAGAACGCCATGTGGATCACCGTCGCAATGGAATACGGAGGCGTCAAGGCTGCCATCGCCCGAAGCAAGTATCCCGACGTCTTCTCTGGCGCTGTAGCAGTCACGCCTACTATGCAGTCCATCGCAAACTACTGGCAGTACTATGATGCGGTGATCGAGTACGGCATCAAAGACTGCACACGTGCCATGCAAGTCTCTATGCTCATCCTCGATCTCCTCGTAGATGCTGCCGACCCAGCTCACCTGGAAGCCATCAAAGACGGTTTCGGCATGACCGGTGTTACGCACATCAAAGACGTTCTCATTGGTCTTGCGGTCAGCAGTGGACCTGACAACTTTGTCAATTCGTTCTGGAAACAGAACGGCGGTGTAGATCTGGACTATGCTCAATTCTGCTCAAACCTCACAGCACCCTTCTCTGCACGTCCCGGTCACTCGCAAGCCGATCGCGCTAAAGCCGTCGAGCTTGTCAAGGCATCGGGCTTCATGACAGATAAGCATCATGAGGACGAGACCATTGATTTGGCCGCCACCTGGCTCCTCAATTGGATGGCTTGGTTCAAGCCTACCGGCGAGAGCTGGAAGGGCAAGATGAAGACCGCAGATGAAATGTGGTCGACATACGATCCCACTGGCTGGGCGGTCACCGACCTCTCAAATACATGGCGGCCCTACTTTTACTCCAAGTGTACAGAATGGCCCTTCTTCCGCTCAGGATTCGGCAGACCAGAGAGTGCCGGCCTGCCTGTTGTCTCTCGTCATCTCGACTACGAGTTCATGCATCAGGGCTGTCAGTTAGCCTTCCCTCCGGGCAAAGTCCATTCGATCCCGACAGAGCCCGACGTGGCGGCAATGAACCAACTCGGCGGCTGGTCGATCGCCTTTGATCAGCTCGCTATCGTTTGCAGCAAGAAAGACCCTTGGCGTCAGGCCACGCCTTGCGCAGACCAAGCTCCAGTGCGGAATAGTACCGTTCAGCAACCCTTCGTTTACCTTGAAGATATCGGACACAACGGCATGCTATCCGCCGTCAGACCAGACGAGACCAATGTGATCATGCCCGAGTCCATCAAGACAGCTCAGGCTGAGCTCCTGACGGCTGTCAAGACTTGGCACTCGAATTGGAAGAAGCCTGTATAAGCGAGATGCAGCTCTCTTCTGGCAAATGACGCGCAGATACGGCCAACGAGAGACAAGCAATGTGATGTGCCGATGCGAAACATGTCGCTTTGTCTAGCTAGACAGTGTTCGTCCCGCACACGTGACGCTCGCCATAGACCATCTGCATTATGATTCACAAGTCTTACTGTAGATCACGAAAAAAAGGAGTGCGCGTGCGGGTCATGTATAAGTTGCGGTGCTCAAGCGATCCAATTCCAGACCTTCTCGACGATGTTGCGAGGGGGAACCTCATCCTGGCAATCACACACAATCAGTAGAATACCCAGAAGACAGTCTGGCAACGCACTTCGAGAGGACAGTCGCGCGAGTTGGAGATAAAGTCCATGTCGGCCGGTAGAATCCACTTTGTCTTGAACCATAGCTTGTAGCCAGTGTAGAGGATGACAAACATGACCAGGGGCAGATAGCTCGTGATGAAAGTGGCATCATCAAAGTCGCCATCGATTTTGATAAAGCTGTATCGGCCCCGGATCAGCTCAGAGCCTTCTGTCTTGGTTCTACTTACACAGTGAAGCCGTTCGTGATCAGAATTAGTGAGGTCATGAATGCGCCATAGTATGCGAGATAAGGCATGAGAGGTGCGGTGAAGGCGAGGCTCTTGCGGTCAAGGCCGGTCGCACGTGTGCCCTTCTCCCATTGGATGAATGTGAGGAAGATGCCGAGCCAGGTCAGCAGGCCTGCGACTGAGGTCATGTTGGCAAAGTAGCCGAACACTGTGCCGGCAGATGTTGCACCAGCTGACATGAACGCGAGCAGCGAGAATGCGACGGAGACGATCATGGCAGGCCATGGCAAGCCCCAGCCGTTGGTTCGAGCAAAGATACGGGGCGCGTTGCCGGCGATAGCGAGTGCGTACAACGCTCTGCTGCTCGTGTACATGTCGGAGCTAGCCGCACTCCATGCTGACGTGAGCAGTGCAGCATTGATGACGGAGGGCAAGCCTTTAATACCGGCGTGTTTGATGGCAATGACGAAAGGCGACTTTGCCGCAGTGGAACCGAGCTGCAAGTCGGGCTCGTTCGATGGAACGATCAAGCCGATTACGAAAGTACCGACAAGGTAGAAGAGTAAGATGCGGACGTAGACACGCTTGATTGCCTTGGGGATCGAGCGACGGGGGTTTTTAGCCTCGCCAGCAGCAAGAGCGACAATCTCTGTGCCAATGTAGGAGAATGCGGCTTGAATGAGCACAGTCCAGAAGCCGACAAAGCGACCGAGAGCGCCGCCGATCTCCTCGTATTGCACAAAAGCGCCTGGATTGCGCCAGTACTGGAATCCGATAGCCTTCTGGCCAGGCACACCTCCGGCATCGATAATGATACCGAGAATGATGAGACCGACGATCGTGATAACCTTGATGATTGCGAACCAGAACTCTGCCTCGCCGTAGAACTTGGCACCGCCCAAGTTGATGCCGACAACAACGATGAGGCATACTGCGATCCAGACGCCTGGGTTGACGCTATCGGCCGAGATCCAATACGAGACGAGGACTGCGGCTGCGGACAGCTCAGCAGGCAGGACGATGGTCCAATTGTACCAGTAGTCTGCGGCAAGGGGGTCCGTCAGCGATAGCAGCACGAGGCACAAGCAAACGCACTCCATCCCATCGTAAACGCCAGTGCCGGATCACCGAATCGCTTGGCGAGCGAGATATGGCCACCGGGCAACGGGAAGGTCGAGATCATCTCGCCTAGACACAGCATGACAGAGAGCGTGATAGAGCCCATGATGGTGTAGCCCAAAAAGAGACCGAGCGGACCGCCATGTCGAAGGGCGTTGGCTGTTCCGAGGAAGAGACCAGTGCCGATGACACCGCCGATTGAGATCATCTGAACATGTCGCTGCTTGAGCTGACGCTCGAGATGCTCGCCCTCTTCGATGTAAACCTTGTGATTACGTCTACGTTCGTGAGGTGTGGCATCGTCGAGAACGGCGAGCTCGTAGCCATCAGAGCCGGCTTTGCTGTCGACCTTCTCAAGATCTTCTTTGTGCGAAGGCGCCTGGTTCTCAGCTTGGGGAGGGAAGAAGTGCTGAGGGTTGACATCTGTGCCATCTGGCGTACCAGGATAGTTATAACCTGGGCGCTCAGACATCTTGCTCGTGCTTTATTGAATCTGTCGCTCTGGCACATGAGTTTATTGTACAGACATGTAATCGCTGATTGATTGGACAGGATTGGGAAGGTGCTTGGGAAAAGGCAGAGCTTATCGGCGGCAGCATGATTGGCAGTTTTGCTTTCGCGTATTATCAGCCCGCCGTGTCAACTCCATGACGTAAGGGCCGTGCGCAGTATGTACCTGCACGGTGTTCGATGTAGAAGGCAGCAGTGCTTCTAGCCTGGAGCATGCGCAGAGCTGACCAACGTGGTAGGCGGCGAAGATTGTGCAGGATAGTGAGATGTAAGGACATTCGACGTACCTGATGAGAGCCGGGTGCCAGATGCGTCTGGTATCGACACCGACGATGCCAGGAGGTCAGTCGATACTGCCTATAGAGAGCCCAGCTATCATGGGCAAAATTTGCCTTATCAGCAAGAGGCTTGGCAATGGAGGACGATAGACGGACTCGACGAGCTCAATGAGTTCCAAGTTCTTCGATACCGGTCAGAGCAGGCCCCGATTCTGCTAGCTCTAGTGATGCTCTGATGTGGACTCTACAATCAGGCACCTGAGTGTGCAAAGAGTGCTTGTCTACACAGATGGCCCCTCAATTCAGACCTTATGGACCAGGTGCTCGCGTGACTGGCTGAAGTCAAAATGTGCATCACTGATCGTAAACCTCCCCGCCAAACGTGGGCGACGCTCAATTGAATTCGTACTGCGCATGGCTGGAATGTTGTACAACAAGATCATCAAAAGTGGCGCTTGGAACAAGAGATTGAGCTTGACCCTGCGAGTCTAGTCTGTCTTGCTCGCGCTATTGATGATATCGACAGCAGGATCGTGTTTGGACCAAAAGGTGCCTGCGTGGGCGCTGCTCAACTTGGCGCCGCTTTCCTCGAGCTGGCTTCGGTCGATCTCTTTAGGGTTGAGATCGAGTGTCTCGAGATAAGTCTTCTTAAGAACATAATCAGCCCGTTGGAGCGCTGCCTCTTCTTTACTGCTGAACCACAATATGCGGGTGACGACGTGTCGGATGATCTCCTTGACGAACAAGAAGAGATGCTCGCAAGCAAGTGCAACGAGTAAGGCCGAGAAGAGCGTCGACTTGAGTGCAGACAGGGGATCTGGAGCTGTAGCTGCATAGTGGACATGAGTCGTCGCAAAATTGCCATGGATCGATTTGTGCGTCAGAGCCGTGCCTGTGATGTTCTCTGCGGCGGAAATGATGGTCTCGACCGGTGGGCCGGAGAGGAAGCCAGGTCGATGAGATGCGCCAGGGGCGTACATGTAGATGAGAGAAGCATTCGTCATTGCGCCAAGCCAGACGAGAACAGACAGCGCGCGGAGCCAGGGTCCGATAGTATCTGTTCGCGTGGGCACCGGTCTGCGAGAGTTGGAGCACAGCTTGAAGGTATCTGATCTTAGTTCGAAGAAGTTGTTGACGAACGCTGTCACAGGCTGCACTGAGGTAAGTTGCGGTAAGAAACAGATCGAAGCTACTCACTGCGATAGGCCAGACGACAGAGAAAAGGACGGTGTAACCAAATTGTACTACCATCTCTGCGTACTCGACGAACAAGCTGCGGTAGACTTGTGAGCTTGGGAAAAGGAGGGACCAGCTCGTACAAACCTATAATCGGGCAGAGCAGCTTCATGACGGATACGCTCGAGGAAAGCATGCTCTTCTGGATCATCAGACGGACTCGACTTGGGGTTGGTGCTTCTGTAAAGCTCCGTCTTGCTTGAGAGCAGTCTGAGCAACATCGGCAGACCAATCTCTGTGAAGGCTCCGACGGCCTGTGACGTCGTCGTCAAAGCGATAAGCGTATTGCGTAGCTTGTTACTGTTGATGTCAAATTTAGGCGAAGCAGCATGGTTGGCATCGATCAAGCCCTTGTTTGCGAGCAAACTGAGAGCTTGTGGGATGACGAGTCGCCCAAAAGGAACATAGATGTAGCCTGTGAAGGTCAAGGCGCCGAAAGAGACCAGCGCATTGAGTGCAAAAGTCTTGAGCGTCAGAGACTGGTAGTGATGATTCTCGTGCTCGTGATTCTCCCAGTTTGTCAACCTTCCAGCGACCTTGGTCCAGAGCGCGACGACTTGGGGTACCAGTCCAGCGAATGCGATGGTGGGTATCAAGCTGAACGCCTTCTTGCCGGGTCCATCGTAAACCTCGTTGATGAGGACCTCGGCAGTGTAGATGATACAGATCAAGCCAGATAGCAGAGCAGAAAAGACTGCCAAGGCAGGCACGGTTGCAAGGATCCTTCCCTCTCTATTGTACCAGGGAAAGAAGGGCTCCTGAAGACCGGTCACAGGCGAGGTGCGCAGAGTAGCAGGCTTGAACTGTGCTCGCCGTCTGCCTCCTTTGGTCGAAAGCGCATGGGTCTGCCAGCGTACGGACAAGACTTTTTCTCGCATCGTCCAGCCTTCGACAAAGATAATGGCCCAGAGTATGAGTACGATGGAATAGACAGGATGGTACTCCCATTTGGCAAGATAGACCGCCGTTCCAAGGGCGGACGGCACGACGAGTCTGGTGAAGTAGTAGCGCAGGAACTCAAAATAAAGCGCAATATCTTCACCAAAGTGATCCTTGACTCTGTCGAGCTCTTCGGCGGGTATGCTGACCACATGAGACCAAGAGGTCCAGCGTTGTAGCCAGTCCTTGTTGAATTTGGGATTGTGAGGCGGAAAGATGGCTTTGACACGAGTGTAATGACCGGTACCGGGCGTGATACCTGCCTTGCGATTCGAGCGCGTGGCTTGAGATGAATTGACCGATTCGTCATCGTAGCCCGTGATGAGGGTGTAGACATGTCGAAGTCGCTCGCCCTCTGAGACGGGATCAGAGATGAAATCCCGCTCCGATTTGGGATCGGGTTGCTTGGTACTCGATATACCGTGCAGCCAATCATCGAGTCGCTCTTGCTTGAGCTCTTTGAGCATCAGCTCGTCCGGACATCGTACGAAGATGAGGATCTGGTCAGATTTGGGTGCACCCAATCGACTCGTTACGTGCAAGCCAGCTTCTTTGAGTTTCGACACGACAAACCGATAGTTGGCTGCAACATCGTCACGAGCTGATTTCGGCTTGCTCGCATAGTCGTACACGAGCACGTAATCAACATTGATGGTCTGCTCGCCTGTCGAGCTCGTCCGAGGGGGCAGGGATGATCCCCCCTTGATAGCAGGGACGTCGAGCGTGTTGACCGGCTGAGTCATCCTCTCCGGCCTATGCGACTCTTGCGCCGCCATCGAACCAAGCCAAGCTCGAGCTGAGCTGCTGAGACTTGGATGCTGCGGGCTTGCTGGAAGAGCGGCGATGACGTCGTTGGCGACGAGAGGACGACGCGTTCGCCGTTCGCCCGCCTTGCTGCCCGACAGACTCGACTCGATCGATGCTGGCAGCAATGACGACCTGCCTGGGCTCACGAGGCTCAGTGAGATTGGATGAAGCCACGTCAGATGCAACAGTCGACATCCTCTTGCTCGGCTCGGGCTGGACTTCTACTTTCCTGATGCCTCTGCTCGATGAACGCAAGCTCACCTACGCCTACACGACCAAAGACGGACGAGATGGCTCGATCAAGTTCTCGTTCGAAAGCAGCAAGACGGAGGCACTGTCCGCCGAGCAGACGGGCGATCTTGAGCAATTCGAGCGATTGCCTGCTGCTCAAACGATCGTCATCATCTTTCCGTTGTATGGCCCAGGCGCTTCCACCCGGCTTGTGAAGAACTACTTGGCGACACATCCCACTGCTCGACCGCTGTTCGTACAACTCGGCTCAACGGGCATCTATGACGGTGGACCGACGATGCAGCACAACGCAAGTACGGTCGGCAGCGACGACGGCGCAGCCTGGAGAGCGCAAGATCCCATCCGATACATTGACCGTCACTCGACTTACAATACTACTAATCCTCGCGCGGTGGCAGAGGATGAGCTCCTCTCGCTTTCTCCGACATTGCAAAGCCAAGAGAAAGACGATGAAAAGAGTCGGTCAGTCAAAGCAAGCACGACTGTTCTCAATCTGAGCGGACTGTGGGGTGGTCCGAGATCGATCAGAGCTTACGTTGGTAGGATAGCGCCCACGAAGGAGGCTCTATCTGCAAAAGGCTCGATCCACATGCTGCACGGTCTCGACCTCGCTCGTGCAATAGTGGCAGTCTCGCTACCCGATGCCCGAGCGACAACACAGGGACAGCGATGGATCGTGTCAGATACGCGATGCTACGACTGGTGGGAGCTAGCGAGTGCGTGGGGACTCAATGGCGATGATCGCTCTGCGTTTCCAAAAAATGCTTCCAAGGCACTTCAGAGGACCGAGAAAGCAGCTGCCACGGGACATCAAGCCGAGTGGGTCGTGGAATTGATGGCGGAGCAAAAAGTGTTTGTCTTGCCCAGAGGACCGGAAAGGCTCCACAGGATCATGTCCAGTCTCGAGTTTTGGTCCGCGTTTGGGCTCGCACCCATCAAGGCCAGGCTAGAGTAGCCGTGCCGAGATAGCTCCTGACAAGCTGTCGTACAAGACGAATGCACCCTGGTGGCAATTTTCACTCTGCACACTCGGCCATCGATGTTCCTTCATTGCGTCTGCGCTCTGGCTTGCGCTCTTGTCATCGGCGCACAGCAGTATCGATTGGCAGAGATTGATGCACTTCTCTACCGCATCGAAGCAAGGGGTACGGCCTACTGTCCCACTCTCGGCAATACTGCTCTCGGGACGGGATCAGCTCAGATCGTGCTCCTCTCTCGCAACGGTCGAGACTTTCAGTACCGTCCGTTGGCCTACTCGAATGCCGATAAGCTCAATGTCGATGAAGTTCAGCGCGATTCCGAGCGCAGAGTCAAATTTGCAGTGGCATCGTTTGTCGTCAACGAAGTCGGAACAGATCAAGCGTTCTGGCTGTCAGACCAAGATCGGACATGCTGTCATATCAGATCGACCTATACTTTCACGCTCGGCACGCAAGTTCACTATCTCGACGCTGCCAATACGGCTCAGACATTTGTAGAGTGCGGCGGGCCATCTGCACCTAAATTGAGCTGCAGTGAGACAATGTCTCGTATCGACTGCGCAGAGCCATTCCGGACTGTCCGACTCATCGATGTGCCCGATCAAGATAGACCGACCATCACAACTTATGGTCTCTCGGTCCGAGCAAGCGCAATCTGTCCTCTCCCGCGTATCGGATTCTATCATACGCCCTATTACCCGACTATCATCAGGCCCACTCCCGGCGGGGTGCAGATTGCCGTGATTGCCAAGCCAGCCTCTATCTACCCTGCTATTGCATCATTTTGGCATGTATGCCTCCTGAATCTCAGCTTTGCTGCTCTGATGATCCACCAGTTCGGATTTGCATCTAGGGTCGCGCTTTTGCGTAATGTTGTGCTCTGGCACGACCAGATCGAGGACAGCCTGCTGCAACTCCAGATCACACTCAGGTACGTCCTCTTGTGAGCAAACGAGCAGAACAATTGAAGACTTCAATAGGGATTTTGGCTATGCTCAGCAATCGTGGGATCCAGTCGACAGAGTTTGCTGTCGCGTCGAATCATCAGCCACGACGATCAACTTGGGCTTGTTCCGTCCCTTCTCAGAAGTCATCGATCCCATCTCAGTCATGTCGATCGAATGCAACCCGAGTCAGTCCTTGCCGGTCCTTGCGAACCGAATGCTGAAGTGGCGCAGCTGCGGCTTTTCGTCCTTCCAAGGCATGCACTTCCGAATACGCTCATCCCGGGCGCTTCGCCTGCGATGAGATCAAGCGAACTTTCATACTTGAGCCTCTAGCTCATATCTCGCCAAGCGCTCGCGCAGTGAGCTGAGTGTAGCTGTGACGCATAGAAGCATTGCATTTGAGGCTCCACTGCATCGAGCGACTTGATCAGCGTCGACACGTCTTCGCATGCATATTCGCCGCTCTGGTTGTACGCTTTTGAGCAATCGCTACGGGCAATTGCCAGCTCACATGCATATGACCTCAGGACGTGACAGCTCCGAAGGCATTCCCTACTGAATCGGCAGACAAGCGACGAACACGTCCAGCCCGTGCAACGGCCTGAATCTTCGAAAGCTGTTCTGAAAGACACCGAGAGCTATATTGACTTGCAGAACTGCAGTGCAGCGCAGCACATTTGCTCTTCTTGCGGCCAGGTTGCAATCTGATCGCCTCTCCATCTAAGACGTGCGGACACGATCCTCTCGGTCGATACAAATGTCTGACCACGTGCTGTTGCTTCAATGATGACTGAGAATATTGGCATGCCGCCAAAGTGTGACATGTCAGCTCTGACAATAGAAAGCAGTATTTGGGCGGACGGGCACCGTCGCTGTGAAGAGCGTGCCCGAGTCCTCTACTTTGCCAATGACGGCCACCAATATTTGAGCAGGTCCTATCGTCGTCGTCTCGCAATGAGGTCGCAGCGCTCTGAGCGGATAGAAAGGGCATCGTGCGGCTGTTCGGGCAGCAATACGGGAAATTCCCATCGCTGACCGATCTGATTTGTATACTTCTCTGTACGGCACCGCAAGATTTGCAGTTTGATCCCCATCTTAGGATATGAGCCTCATCTGATCCGCCGCATTCGACTTAGGCGCGAAAGACTGGGCCGAGATAGAATTTGGTTTCGTACATGCCAAGCGCGAACGTGATCAAGGTCTTGAGTCTGCGGCATGCCCGAATGCGAGCAGACCAGCTCCGCTGATTTTCACCTCCGCCAACGATGTGCAGGCTATAAAAGCCATCGACGGAAAGGCCATCTTCATCCCTCGAGCTCCCGTCTTGGGCAAAGCTGTTGGCATTGACGTAATTCGTAACTTTGTAGCTGTGCGATCGCTTGCTATGAGAAGAGTTAGAAGCATTTCGAGTGAGGCCAGATCGACACGGGCAGGACCTGGACGGCACTGTGCGCTTGCAGTCGCTTCGATGTGGTAGAAAAGCGCAGTGACATCGGCCGATGAGGACGCACGGCGCTATTGACTTACAAGATGCAGTACGCATGCAGCAAGCATGAAGACCGGGGAGATTCGAATCATGGGATTGACCAACATCGGCCAACGGAACGTTGAAGACCGGCCGCAATTCGATCGCGAAAGCCAAGGGCATGTCAGGTCACGTGCAAGCGGCAGCCTCCGCTTCTCAAAAATTTGAGAAAGTGACTCGCAAAGCATGGCATCAAAGAGAGCGTCACAGCAAGCGCTGCGAGCAGCATGCAAGGCAGCCGCACCAGCACAGAAGCGTAGCTTCGCACTCTTGGCAGCACAGCGAGCATCGCGACCCGCAGCCACAGCGGTCCTTCAGCACATCTTTCCCCAGGTAGCTTGCTTGCGCTCCCGCCCAGGATGCGGCATACTGAGCATGCGAGCCCAATTCAGAGCAAGCAGCAGACTCGCGGAGTGAAGACACTCGACTTTGCAGGCACGAAAGAGGTCGTATATGAGCGAGCAGATTGGCCTTTGCCCAAGCTGCAAGAGTACTTCAAGAACGACACGCTCGCTCTCATTGGCTACGGTTCCCAAGGTATGCCGGTTCTCGCATCAGCACAGATCTATCCTGCTAAGTCGAGCTGCGTGCTGTACAGGCCACGGGCAAGGTTTGAACGCGCGCGACAATGGCTTGAATGTCATCGTCGGCGTCCGCAAAGACGGCAGAAGCTGGAAGATGGCCGAGGAGGACGGCTGGGTACCCGGCAAGACGCTGTTCTCCATTGACGAAGCACTCGAGAAGGGCACAATCATCATGAACTTGCTCAGCGACGCAGCACAATCACAGACTTGGAAAGAAATCGAGCCCAAGATCACCAAAGGCAAAACACTTTACTTCTCTCATGGCTTCTCCGTCGTCTACAAGGACGATACCGGTGTCATTCCTCCAAAGGACGTCGACGTCATCCTCTGTGCGCCAAAGGGCTCCGGTCGAACTGTCCGCTCGCTCTTCAAGGAGGGTCGCGGCATTAATGTCGGTCGCGTCCTTACCACATCATCATATGATAAAGCTGACGTGGCATACAGGGCTCCATTGCAGTATGGCAAGATGTGACCGGCAAGGCAAAGGAGAAGGCAGTAGCACTCGGCGTTGCAGTCGGCACCGGCTACCTCTACGAGACGACGTTCGAAAAGGAAGTCTACTCTGATCTCTACGGCGAACGTGGCGTCCTCATGGGCGGTATCCAAGGCATGTTCCTTGCGCAGTACGAAGTCCTCCGCAAGAACGGCCACTCGCCTTCGGAAGCATTCAATGAGACTGTCGAAGAGGCTACCCAGTCGCTTTACCCCCTCATTGGTGCGCACGGCATGGACTACGTACGCAGGATCGTTTGCTTTCGGTGATGACTGCTGATAGGGTGCGACAGATGTACAATGCATGCTCCACGACTGCGCGTCGAGGAGCCCTCGATTGGGCCAAGGAGTTCCACAAGGCCAATCTGCCTGTCTTCGAGAAGCTCTACCAATCCGTCCGTGACGGCTCAGAGACTCGCCGCTCGCTTGAATTCAACGGTCGCAAGACATACCACGAGGATCTGGCCAAGGAGTCAGTGCAGCGCTCGCTATATCTCTGATAAGCGCTAATATGCGAGTAGATTGGCCGAGATTGACAACCAGGAGATCTGGCGTGCAGGCAAGACTGTCAGAGGTCTTCGCCCAGATGCCAAGCAGGATTAGAGCGTCAGCGCCTCTGCTCGAAAGTGTGTTCTTGTTACGACAACAACATTGTTTTGACGGTGCTCACAAGATTGCACGATTGGAGAGCTAGCTTTCTCAGCGACCTCGCTTGCCTCTCCCGCGGCCTCTTCCCCTCCCTCGTGCTCGCCGATCTGGGTTGTCGCGCTGTGGACAGTCCTTGGCCATGTGAGGTTCGCCGCAGACATAGCAGCTATACGTCGACGGTGTCGATCCGGAAGTCATCGCGGCGTTGCCGGACTGCTCAATCCATTCAAAGCTGTACGCAAAGTCAACGCAAATCTGCTCACTTAACGCTCGACGCACAACTTGCACTGACTGGCTGCAGAGACTTTTGAGCATTTCCAGAACTCCCTGCCTTGATTAGGACCGTCCTTCTTCACAGTAATACGAGTAGCAGTGAGATCGCACTGACAGCGAGGCGCGACTGAAGCATCTCCGTTTTGATGGCTAGTCTTTGGTCGAGCTCTCTTCGTAGGCGAAGCTCGACTGTAAGTCCTTTCACGCTTGACGCTGGGCGTTGCAGTGTCTGCCCACTCGAAGAAGCCACACGATGAATCTTGAGGCTTGGAGCAGCTGTAGAACGTTCGGCCCTTGTTTGCTGTTGCCTTGTTCACAGTGCGCAGAACTGCCGTTTGTTCGCATTGACAGCGCGGCACTTCTGCCGCAGCTTCTTGGTGGGCCGCGATAGGGGCTGAACGATGGTCGTCGTCACTATCGAAATGATCATCGACGGCAGACGAAGGACTACGAGCGTATGCTTGACCTCTTCCCATACCACGACCGCGAGCCCTCGATGTAGCCCGCGCAGCCCCTCTCGCTCGCGTGCCTCTGCCTCTTGTAGCTCGGCGAGCGGGCGGCGGCCCAGCATCGTCATCTTCGTCTCCGTCCACGTCGGCCATTGGCACCGGCGCTCCGTCATCTGGCGGCAGGTCTTGCGCGCCAAGCTCCGAAAACTCGCGCACAGTATCTGTCAGAGTTTGCCACTGACGTCGGGCGACGATGAACATTTCGCGGTACTCGTCTAATGTCTCTTCGATCACATCTTGCTGAGTCCGCTGACCAGTGCAGATGAGACTCATTCGATGTTCGGTCATGCGGCGCAAATGAGGTTTACTGAGCGAATTATCAAGACCGAGTCTGTTGTACCCTTCGACCAGCCCGATACCAAGTGTCGTCGGGACAAGTACCGTACTCCGACCATCCTTTTCACGGGAGATATAGTCGCGTTCAAGGAGATGTTCGATATGCTCTGCAATTGTCGCGTCTGTGCCAATGCCGTTCTTGTCCATCAGATTGACGAGATCGGCTTCCGTAAGTAGGCTTGGTCCAGTTGTCTTGCCTTCTTTGAGCTCGCATGTCGCAGGTAAGAAGGTCTCATTGAGATGGAAATCAGGCAGGGCGTTGCCTTCCCATCGATCGTAAGGGTATACATCGAGATAATTGCGCTCGAGCACAATCAATCCTGAAGCGTTGAACTCCTCGCGAGCTATCGACACTCTCACTGTTGTCTGCCGACCGGTCGCATTCTTGTGGCAGCAAGCGAGGAAGCGACGCGTGACGAGCTCGTACACGCGCGCTTCGTCGCCTTGCAGATTAGCATGTGCAGTCGGATGAATAGGCGGATGAGCATGATCGTTCTTTCTGCCGCCTCTTGGCCGCTCAAATTCTCCCCGATGCAGTCTGTACAGCGTATCAGACACTGCTCGACGATATCCAGCCTTGAGCTACCTTTGCGCAAAGGGACCCCATCTAGTGTCTTGCGTTTGCTTTTCGATAAGCTCCTGAAAGTTGAAGTGAGGATCGAATTGATCTGTTTCTGTGCGAGGATAGCTGAGGATGCCTCGTTGGTAGAGGGCGTCGGCAATCTGTCCTCGTTATCAGACGAGATCTGGCCAGTCGGAAAGATAGGTCTACTTCGAGGACTTTTTTAGGCGACAAACGTAATATGCGAGAGCCCGACTTTTGTAGCTCCACTGTCGTGAGCGGCAGTGGTTTCCTGTTGGCAAGGGGATCATGAGGGAGCTCACAAGTTTGCTGATAGCGTACCATTTGCTCGCTGGCTTCGTCTGTACTGAAGTGATGGTCGCTTCGGGATCATCGAGGCACCACTGGTGAAGCATGCCGGCCACTTCTCGATCAAAGAGTCGGTTGCGTGCCCAATTGAAAGTGACAGTGGCGCCATCGCGGCGCAGCGTAGATTGTATCGACCAGAATGCTTCTGCTACAAAGTTGCGCATTCGCTCATACTGCTCGACGACGAAGCCGAGAGCAGGAAACTGACATGGTCCTGCGAATACGTTGAAGCCATGCAAGGACGTGCTTTCAATAGCGAGACTGACCGTAGGAGATGACGGAGCCTTGAAGTTCCGGAAAGGCAGCCTGAAAATTGAAAGTCTGTAGACGGGTTAGGGCTGCGCCGACACGAAGGTCGAGCATTATGCGTGCTTCTACCGCGCTCGCTTGTCTTTCATCGAGCGCGACAGCATGCTGACAAGCCTGGTGTATCTGACTGTTACGCGCGTCAGCACATTTGACGACGCCCAGACGGCAAGGCTGACTTTGCAATGATGGCAGAGAAACGGGCACGTAGAACGACTAGTCGTGGATTGACCTTGAGACAGACGTTCTGGACTTCCCAGCCAATATGCTCGCCTTCTCTGTCGCAATCCGTCCAGATCATCAATATCTGAGCCGTCCTAGCTTCATTCTGCAGATTGCGAGCCACGTCCTTGAGCTTCTGTGAAATCGACGACCTTCAGCCGTGGTCCACGGTCACATGTGGCGACTGACAGGAGGGATGAAGGTGATGATAGGCGCATCAAAGAGGTCGAATGCGTCGCAGGAGCGCCAGCCGCGATGAGCATCGTCAAAATCATTGGCAGTCAGATGACCGACGACGGCGGTGACGACAAAATCAGTGAAGCCGGGATAGCCTTCTAATCGGTAGGAAAACTCGTAGTTATTGACGAATCGACTGCCTCCATTACGCTGTTGATCATATTTCTGTGAGCCTTTACAACTCGCAGACCACTGCGCGCACCGTTCTCGAACGACCGCCAGAGAGGATCTCGGTGATCCCACGTGCGATGCTGGGCTTCTCTGCCACACAGAGGCATTTCACCATGGCCTCATTTGAGCGTTCGCTGTCTTTGCTATTCGCGTCGAGCGCGTCTGCGTCACTGCCAAACCGCGGACCGAGGCCGCGGCTCAGCTCATCCCTGAATGAAGTCCTTCTGCCGTGCTCTCATTCTCAGCTTGACATGGTCTGCTTCGATTCCCCGCGTTTGCTCAGCTTCGCCGTTCAGTCTGGTCTTTTTCCGACTCAAGGCGTCAGCGAGTGCGAGTTGCTATCGTAGTGCGTTCAAGGACCCTGTAACCTGGTCCCTTCCTGCTCCTCTCACAGACGCATCACAGAAGGTCTTACGGCAATAGGACCCGGGATCTTAGATGTCTCGTTCATCCCGCAAGAAGGAAGCAAATATGTCCTCTTGCGCGCCTCAAATTGTTTGTTACGTCGTACCCAGGTGCGCTTTCTCGCTCAACGGGTCACAGACGATTCGACGAGCAATCTTGGGAAACCGGAGAGTCTTATGGGCAAGGATGGTGTTCCAGAAAAGGTGCTAGTGCAGTTCAACGTTACTTCATCCGGTCAGGATCAGCAGTTCTGGGATGCCGAGTCCAGAGCATGCTGCATCGTGACGGCTCACATCAAAGTCGTCATCGGTATCTCGCTCCTCAACAAAGGAAAAGTCTTCTCGGCCGAGGCCGTAGCGCAAATGAACTGCAGTGGCAAACACCTACCTCAACCCCATAGCTGTACGCTTCAGCGCAAGCGGCTCTATCTGAGCTCAAGAATGGACAGGCCCAGAGGAACCGTCCACGGTACCCTGTCCTAGCGTTTTCCCGCAGGTTACGGTTGTGCCTGAGCCGGAGCCCGTCCTGCAAACGTACGAAATCGAAGCAGACGCAAGCGGCCACTGCGAGATCTGGAGGAAGCGCTGGCCGCATGCTCTCACGCAGATAACGGCGATCGAATCGCCTCTAATTTACGTGGGCATTCTGTCAAAGCAGTATGGCGCTCAGCTTTGGACCGACTTTGTCCACGTGCGAGCTCTTCGCAATCCTTTCAAACTGGATTGACACTGGCGCAGTCTCTTTCCGATCGTCGGGTCATTGTGCGATACATCTCTCCCCTGAATGACGACTACATCGTATCACTTCAGATCAGGTCAGTCGCTCGCTACAAACAAGACGGCTGATATTGATGAGTACTGCAGGCAGCGAGGAGAATATCAGCCTACATGGGCGCCGCCTGAGAAGCCATGCTGCAGTGCTTTCATGCTTGCTTATGTCGGCTTGGGCGTCGCCAGACGCTCTTTTACACTGCTCAGCGAACCGAGATTCTTTGTCGCCTGCCCGCCGCGTAAGACTCGTGTATTGCTCCAGTCCGAGCGCTGAAAGCATGCACAGATCCTCTGATCATGCATGTGAGCACTTGCAACGTCGAATACGAGCTGCCAGCAGAATATGTCTGCCACAACGTGCAGTCGCGAATCGAAGGTCGCGCGTTGGAGGGCGCATTAGCTCAAGGGTAGGCAAGCCGGTATTTGTGATATGCAATCTACGGCCACAGCAAGCTTCGGCTCAGGGTGCAATACGACCCTCGGCGGATCCTGAGTGATTATCGCACGCTCCTTCGTAACTCGGTTACGGCGCCCCATTCTTCGAGCGTGCGACCGTTTCATAGTCTGTCCCGCCAAGCTCCTCTTTCTTCTCCTTATCAAGATCACTTGACCCTCCGTCTCATCTCAGTGGCTTATCTACTTTACGTCGTCTTCCCGTGCAATCGACTCATCGGCGATTCGACAGCGGTCACTACGCTCAGGCCTCTTTGTCATCCTTCTACAGTGACACTGGCCAGTCATTGTCCACTTGGAGCGACCTCTGCACATGTCGACAAATTCCGAAAAGGCTGCGGCTATGCACGACGGCAGCCTTGAGAAGCATGTCGTAGCCTCAGACTACCAAGTCTCGGTACACGACGAGCCTTCGAGCTATGAGCGTCGAAGAGATCACAAAATCTACGTCGAGGAGGGCGAACAACTCGAGCGCCAACTCAAGCAGCGACATATCCAGATGATCTCAATCGGCGGCGTCATCGGCACAGGCCTCTTCCTCGCCACTGGCTCAAGTCTGCAGATGGCCGGACCGCTTGGTCTTTTCATGGGCTATGCCATCATGGGATCTATCACACTCTCGGTCATGCTGTGTCTGGGCGAGATGGTCTCCACCTTTCCTATAGCAGGTGGCCATATCTCGCTCTGCAAACGATTCGCTGATCCGGCTCTTGCTTTCACGATGGGCTGGAGTGAGTCTCCTTGACCCCTCAGAGGAGGAGCGCTGACAGCCCTGCGTGGCACAGATTACTGGTACAACTGGACGATCGTACTGCCTGCAGAGCTGTCTGCTGCAGCCGTACTCGTCTCTTACTGGGTACCCGCGGAGCATGTCAGTCCTGCCGTCTGGATCACCGTTTGTCTCATCGTCGTCGTCGGTATCAACCTCGGCGGCGCAGGGTTCTACGGTGAAGCGGAGTTCTTCTTCTCTATGATCAAGGTCGTCACTGTCGTCGTGCTCATCTTCCTGGGCATGATTATCAACGCTGGCGGCATACCCGGACAGAAGCAGATCGGCTTCCGCTATTGGAGCGATCCCGGCGCATTCGTGCAGTACGAGGGCATCGCTGGCTCGCTCGGGCGCTTCCTTGGCTTCTGGTCTGTCCTCATCCAAGCTGCATTCTCGTACGTCGGCACAGAGATCGTGGCGCTNGCTGCTGGTGAAGCCAAGAATCCCCGCCGCTCGATCCCCAAAGCCATCAAGCGAGTGTACGTTCGGATTCTGCTGTTCTATCTGCTCGGCACNTTCATCATTGGCATCCTCGTACCNTCNAATGAGCCAGATCTCAAGCTTGGCTCAACAGCAGCAAAGTCGCCCTTTGTCATCGCCATCAAGCACGCAGGCATTACAGGCTTGCCTTCGATCATCAATGCCGCCCTCGTCACTGCAGCTTGGTCGGCNGCCAGCTCAGACATGTACACAAGCAGCAGAGCGCTCTATGCGCTCGCTATCGCCGGCAATGCTCCTCGTATCTTTGCACGAACGAACAGCTGGGGANTGCCCTGGGTCTCAATGATCGTGTCTATTGCGTTTGCTTTTCTCGCTTACATGTCTGCCGGCTCGACGTCTGCCGGTACCGTCTTTGGCTATTTTGCCAACATGACCTCTGTCGCTGGCTTGCTCACNTGGTTCGGTATCTTCGTGACGTTCATACAATGGGAGAAAGGAACGCGAGCGACGGGCGTGGATCGCAAGAGCCTCACNTTCACGGCTCCGTTGATGCCTTACCTGGCATACTATGGCGCCANNATGACCTCGCTCATTCTCATCACGAACGGCTTCAAAGTGTAGGTCACATTTGTTCTCATAAATATCCTTCTTAGTAGCTTGTGAGACGGCAGGTTCATCCATGTCGATGGCCATTTCGATGATGCAACTTTCATCACAAGCTACTTCCCGCTCGTCATGTTTGTCGTGCTTTACGTGGGCTACAAGTTCATGTACAAGACGACCTGGATCGCGCCCGCCGATATGGACTTTATCTCCAACTCGCGCGACTGTCCTCTCGAGGTATGTCTTGCGTCACTGCAGGCTCACATTAGCTGACTCATTACAATGTCAGGACGAGGTCCCGCCCCGCAACTTTGCAGAGAGGGTGTGGAACTGGATCGCATAGGCAGACATTCACACCCTCGCGCGGTCGTACAGCGCTCTAGAAGTCACGGCAGATAGGCGCACATGAACTAGAATGCATCGCTCTCGCTTTTGAGATAGACCAGAACGATTTGAGCTCGTACCGGAGCATAGGCTCACAACAAGCGTCTTGATGCGCAGTCACGCCATCCTTCTCTGACGCGATGTATAGCGCGATGAGCATCGGCTGCGAACGCGTCCGTCTACATCTTTGGTTCGCAATGCTCAGCAGTACAGTCGTCATCACAATGCGTCATGTCTTGATCGTCGCTTTTCCTCCCACGAGCTCTTCCCGAGACCTGTGTATGACGTTTCCGAGGGTCGATCCGACAGTCGATGATAGACGTCAAAGGCGTGATCGCCCTTTTGACGTTATCTGCAAAGCTTAAGCATCTTCTGACTTGTCTGATCATCCGTACGACATGACGTCGACAGCTCGTCACATGCGATTGTCCACATAGTCGCCCTCTATGACCATCATCCTTGCGCGTCTCTCGTTCTTCACGGTTTCGGCTGTCCGACGCCTCAAAGCGTTGGCGCTTGCCCTCACGATAGCAAAGATTGCTGTACGCGCCGCTCCAAGAGTCCCGGAGACTCGGAACCGGTGCTTGGGCTTCGAGACATGCATCGTCTCGTGTGTCTCGCCGGATGGGATTGTTAATGCAGGTTATTCATCTGCGCCATTGGTTGCGCTGACATCGCTGGCATACAGACCGTCGCCAGTCTCAATCGCGAAATGTGGCTCCTTCGGTACACTGAAAGTGCCATCGTGAAGAAATTTACCTGTGTATGCACCTTGCCGGATCTATAATGCGTGATTGAAGCCGAATGCAGATCAAACAAGACCCGACAATTGTGTCGCCGCGGCTCATATGCAACGTTGATGGCAGTTCGTCAAGCCCTTCGGAGCGCAAGTATCGCATGGAGGGACTCTGGTCAATGCCATTTGCAGACAGTGGATCTTTCGCACGTAAAGTCGCTCGTCGTCAGTGTGATACCCGATCTGAATGGCGCAAACAGCAATACTACATACTTGCTGTGCCGTTGAGCACCATTTCGCAGTCGATCTTGACGTCATGAGCGGTGTGTGGTCACTGGCAGGACAGCAGATCTACCTCCGATGTCCCCGACCAGGGCTTCTCGAGCACCGAGACTCGTGCGTTGCGGCATTTGGGGGGCGCGACTGTGAGCAAACCTTTCGCTTCGCGCGGTCGAGCAGGTCTGACGTAGGGACAGTTCTGCACGCGTGTGCTGCGGTAACGGGCACCTGTATGCAACAGCTCTATCCGATCGTACACGGTGGCAAGTGTCGTTGGCGCACAGAACCCTCAGCTCCTGCGAGCTACGTAGCGAAATAGGTGACGTGGGAAAGTTGCTTTCGAGATAGACCTGGGGTCGAGAAGCCTACGAATCCATTGTGCGACCGGCTCGCGAAGGCATGATCCGGCGTAGCGAATAAGATGCAAAAGTGAGGCGTGCCGTTCGATGTCGACATAATGGGCGAGCGAGCGAGCTGGCGTAGGACATTCGCACTTGCATTGTGACCGTACAATCGGCTGATATATCGACAACATGTACAGTCGAGCGCGGCTAAGAGAGCATGCCGGCGGTTGTTGCCGTCATTAGGGTCGTAAAGATGCCACAGATTAGAGCAGATACGCCGCATCGAATGATGCGACGCTTCTGATTGGGTGCAAGAGCTGACAAAACGCCCAGTTGCTGCAGCACGGACGAACTAAGTAGCCATAACCCACAGATGAGGCCTGAACTTACAATGCCTAGCGAGGCGACGTTGCCAAAGCCGCAGAGGGCATACTGTACGATGATCAGTCCGCGAGTAGACAGCGTGGCTCGCAATGGCTGGAGATCGGTGTACGCGACCTAGGCGGCAAATAATCAGCGTCGACACACACGGGAATACTGCCGCTGCTTACGAATTCGTTGCTGATGACCTTCAGACCGATGAGCTGAGAAATTGCGACAATGTCTTGCTTGGGGACGCCCATCAGCCACACTACCGGCCAAAGGATGTATCCGAGAATGAATTGCAGCGTAAGACCCTGCACCGAGAAGAATTGGAAGATCCATGCGAGCAGGCCATTGACGAGTGCGAGCAGCGAGACGACGACAAGAACGTTGGCGAAGATACTACTGGCGACTTTCACTCCGAAGATTGCTCCGTTCGAGAGCGCAACAAGACCGGACTCTGCGCGATCGGGATCGGGTGGGATGTGCACTTTGCCTGTGCATACGGATGAAGCCGATCAGCTCATTTTTGGCTGACTTGCTCCAGTACGCACCAGCTGTGAGCGGATGACCGCGTTCGGGCCAGCGCATTTTCGAGACTGCGATAGCAGCAGGGATCGACATGACCGAAGAAGTAATCAAGATGGTGGGATCCACGCCCAATGAGACGTACTGATGTGAGACTTCAGCGTATGCGCATGGTATGAACGAGAAGCGTACAGCAAGAAAAGTAGAGCCCGCGATCGTTGAGAAGCCGGACGTCATGACGAGATGAATCTCTGAAGAAGTCATCGATCTGACCTGGAAGGACCATGTGTCAGATTGACGAATGCTGCAAGTAATCAACCCACAAATTGTCTACACAGAATAGCGCTTTCTCCCTGGCCGATAAAAGGGCATGCTGTCGCAGCAATCGCCTCGGCGCCAGAAATTCGCAAAGTTTTGAAGAAGAACCATGCGAATCTGACTAGAATCCAGGACAAGATGCCATAGTGCAGCAGCAGCGTGACGAGTGCCACGAAGAAGACAATCACGGACAGCTGTACAGCATATTACACGATGAGCTTGGCCAGTGACAGCTGAGCAGGGTGCGTACAGTATTGACGAAGAAGAAATTGTTGCTCAGAAAGGCTTCGCTCCAGAAAAATGCGGCGCCGGCATAGCCTTGCATCAGCAGGTCGCGGGCAGCAGTACTGATCCATTTGAAGAAGCTTTGCCCAGCACCGGTTTTGAGCACAAAAAGCGCGATGATCTGCTGGAATGCGAGCGCGACGATGACGGTGTCGGCTTGGATGTGCTTGCGCGACCGGCTTGTCAGATAGAGAGCGCTCATGAAGACAATGAGACCGAAGAGTCCCTGAGCTCTGTGCCCATACGAGGAGTCGGCCGACTGCACACCGAATGCGGAACCCAGGACGAGCGCAAGCAGACCGACGACGCCTATGCTGAGCCTTGTCATGTAACTCAGTGACCAGAAGCCACGCGAGACTGTGGCATTCCAAGACCGCTCAATCGGGTCGGAGAAGATCGATGTGGGTACCCATTGAAAGCAGATGAGGAGGATGAAGAACCACGCCCAGACGGTCGTAATGATCCAGTAGTGTCTTGTCCTGAGCGATGAGCCGCGTCATCTTCTGCACGAGGCTGGCAAATGCAAGCGGCAGGCAACGTACCGAGGCAGTACAAGTCCTGAGATCCACCAGCCGAGGAGAACCGCCACCAGCACGAGATGGACAAGGGCCCGGAAACGAATGTAGAGCGACGCCAAGGAGTACTTGTGGGGCTCATCTGTATCGTCGCCTTCTTCGGTCATGTACGAGCTCGCATCGAGATCTTGCTCCTTGATCTGCAGCTCCTGCCTCTTCCCTTCCTCGCTAAACTTCTCGCCCGGGCTCTCTGCGCTAGGGGGCCTGTGCAGGGGCGCATTAGAGGGGAGGATACCGCCCTCTTGCATGATGTCTAGCTGGTAGCGCTTCACAAGATCAAACTAGGTCGAGCATACCGAGCTGTTGGCCAAGCTCTTGTCCAGTTGAGGAACCACGCTACAGGAAGATAAGAACGCCAAGGAGCGCACGCGACATGTCAATTTAATCAGATCTCTCCCCTCTTCTCCTCCTCGTGGGCGACGTGGGCGCGTTTGTCACCGAATGCATCAATACATTTCCGCCATGATGAGCGTGACCATAGAGGTCCAGCCGCAGAAAGGATGACTGCGCTGTCCTTGGCCCGTCAGAGCGTTGTACTGCTCCCAAGAGTATTGCGTTCTATCGTATTCCTTCTTGACGTTATTGACGACATTGTTTCTGAGTTCGCTGTAAATTTGCTGTGCTTGCTGCTGATGCGGTCCTGGGTATCTTGCGTATTTCTACGCTGCGATATGAGTAGATGCGTACGAAGCTATCAAGTGACCAGACAGACCTGATGAAGAGCTTTAAGGATCATGGCTTGGAACTGAATCCAAATGGGGCCGGTCCAATACCCATCGCCCTTGCCGAAGTAGGGATCCGATTTGGACAGACTGCGGATGCCATAGTCGGACCAGAGATGCTCGGGATCACGAAGGAGATCGAGCACGCTGCCGAGATGAGGCGAGTCGGGTGCCATGAGCCCTAGCATGAAGGGGAAGAGCGAAATGTAGCCTTTGTGGCAAACAAAGACAGACTCGTCTGCTCGCAAGATCAGCCCAGATGCTCACTTTGCGCAGCATCGTTCCGGCCGACCTTCTTCGTTGACGCTGAGGTCACAGTACATTTGCTCGTCTTCATTCCAGTGCAGATCATCGATGTTCTGAACGATGGCAGCATAGGCTTCATCATAATCTGCCTTGTCTTCTTCTTCGCCAATGAAAGCTGCAATTTCGCTCATCGTCCTGCTGAAGAAACCAACCCAGCTGATCAGGTCGAGATGCAACTCGCCAGTATGCGGCGGTCTTGCTCGAGGGTAATCGTCCAAGCCGCTCGTCAGGACATGATCAGCTGTACGACCACGCCATCTGTATCCCTCTGTCTTGTGCGAAGCATCGCGATCCCATTCTCTGATCTCGCCCCTTTGCGTTCGCCTGAACCACTCGTAATGCAGCTTAAGCTTCGGGTAGATCGAAAGCAAGAACGCTTTGGCAAGCGATGTATCGCTCAGTAGTCTGTTCGAGAGCTCTTCGGTCGATCCCGTAGCAGCCATGACGGGCGGCATCGCGCCTTTCAGTCGATCGTCAAAGTCGGCATTGGTAACATCGATCCCTCGAGCACGGAGCCGGGCTATGTAGTCAGTCACCGCGATCGTCAATGTCGGAGGATTGGCATAAGTTGGATATTGGGTTATGAACTCGCTCGGTACCTGTCGATCATCTCTTGAATGAGGACTTTGATCCTCAGCGAAGGCGCAAACCGACCTTGCTTCGCGCTTCGTCGCCCAAAATTTGCTCGCGACCAACCCACCCGTTCTCATCGATCAAATCTACCCACGATCGCAGTATGTCAAGACTGCACATACATCAGCGCGGTGCATCGTCTAGTAGGGAAGCAGCGGACCTCATGTCGTTGTCCCAGGCGCCGATGAGCGAGAGATGAAAGCCTTCATCCCAGTAGAAGCCACGGGGGAAGAAGGAGCGACTCGGGGTAGCAGTGAACAAAGTTCGCTCTTCCGTCAGCTCCGGCTTGGGCTGTACGGGCACGCCTCCCTCGTCCTCGAGATCATCGCCGAAATCTCGCGACCGATCAACGACAGAGTTGCCGTGGAAGTAGCCAATCCCGCCAATGAGGTTTGACAGAAGTGACTTTGCGAGCATGACATGCTCGCCAACATAGCCTTTGCTCGTCAATGCAAAAGTACGCTCGAACCGATCGTCAAAAGCTTGCTTGGATGCTTCGAGACCTGCCTCGAGTGCTTGGCTGGTGAGCTTCTGGGGCACATCGTCTGCATCGAAATAGATGTACGTGGTGAAAGGTGCCTCGAGCATTCGCTGGAATGCCCAGAGATTGGCACCGTCTCGCGCGTCATTGGAAAGCGTCAAGACTTGCGCAGGCTCGGGTGGATTGTCCTGACCATACTTTTCGACGAGCGCATTCCCATACTGCGCTGCATCGCTCATGATTACATCTGTACCACGCTCAGCTGCGCGTAAAGGCCAAGAAGAGTAGCATACCTTTCGCCCGCCAGATCTGGCCTTTACCGACTGCGCGACTGATGTACGCGTACCGCGACAGTCTGTCGCCGAACTCGTCCTGGTATGAGCTGACGGGTACGCTGACAGTACTCTTACCGTCTTCTATTCGTATGCTAAAGGAGCCCAAGTCTCCGGTCTGACCATTGAGGACAACAGGCGAGAGTATGCCATCCTCAGCCTCTTTAGATTCCAACTCGAAGCTCCCCGAGCCTTCTATACCAAAGTATGGCGTCAAAGCTATCCGTGCAGGCTGCATAGGATCGATAGCTCGTCCGTTGATCTTGAGAGCCCAGGAGCCGCCATGCTGTCCTCCCGGGACCTTGAGAAAGGATGTCCTCAGGTTGATATTATTCAATGGGTCACTGATGATCTGTGCTCCCGATGTGCGCCCGTCATGTCTGAGCCAGTCGTAAGCAGCCAACCCGTCGTCCTGCTCGCAGGAGTGCCGCGCTTTGGCATGACTTGCATAGTCGTGCACGCCGTACCAGATCAAGCCGAACATGAGCGAATCTGGCACCCTTGCTCGCATGCCCAGGTATAGATTCGGCCGCCATGTTCCCCAGAAGAGTGACTGATTGACTGCGAGCTGTCCAGCTTCGTCATATTGCAGCTGCTGCCCCTTGTCGGTCTGACATGTCACTGAAGCAACTGTTGCAGCAAGGAGGGTGAAGAGTAGCCGCATGACTCGCGGCGGCCGCTACAGCTCGTGCAGGCTCCAGAGTAGCCTCAAAAGCCGACAAAGGCTGATGACGGCGATCTGGCTCGCCTTAGAGAGGGTCTGGCGGTAGCGTCGAAGCAGTCGAGGCACGTCGTGTCGCGCCTGTTTGTGACTGCAAGCTGTCCTGCTTCCTGCGCCTCCATGGCCTTGCGAACATCAGAGTAGGTGCCCCAAGCCTGTCTGGCGTGTAGTACTCAAGCTATGACATCGTTGCAGTGATACAGAGTTCAACGATGCCCTGCGCAAACACGGCATCTTACCGCCAAAACCTGTCGAGCCAGACTCGCCTCCATTGCTCCCTTCGAGCCTCGATGACCCGCTCGACGCTGAACGTACACTGTCGGACGACGAACTAGACGACCTCGAGCTGCCCAATTCGGTGCTAGAGTCTTACAAGGCGTCGCGACTCAACGAGCTGCGAGCGCGAGAGGCCCGACAGAATCGCTTTGGACGGATCTATCCGATACAGAAAGCAGACTACTCCCGAGAGGTGACGCAAGCTAGCACAGAGCGGCTCGATGGCCAGGCGAGCGAAGCCGAGGACGGGTCGGATGAGCCTGATACGCTCAAATTTACGCCCGTCGTTTGCTTTCTCTACAAAGACTCGCAAGTCATGCATGCCTTCGCTTTGCTCGTCTGACGAGTGAGTCGACAGTGTGGCAGAGTCGCGCATGTTGGGCGCACATCTTGCACGGCTTTCTGTGCTCTATCCTGCCACCAAATTCGTTAGCATCATTGGCGATATGTGTATACCCAACTACCCGTACGTCGCCTGCAATCGGTTCATATCGAGCTGACTGCCTGTCCGCAGTGACAAGAACATACCTACAATGATCATCTACCGAGGGGGTGAGCTCACAAGGCAGCCTCTCGTCGGGCTGGGACCTTCTATCGGTCTCAAAGGCGTTCAAACGACACTAGAGGGTGATTGCACCGGCTGCCCTTGCACTTGCACTTGATACTGATGCTGTATATGTCAGATGTCGAAAAGCTACTCCTACAGTCTGGAGCACTGGATCTAGCCCTCAAAGTAGATATCGGGCGACGGAAGCCCGATGGCAAGGATGACGACGAAGCCAAATTGGGCGATTTCGTGGATGCTCACGACGATTCTGACGATGATGATGCGCATCAGGAAGGCGGCAGAATCAATTCGGGTAGATCGAGAATACGAAACTGCAGGCCGCAGGGCGGCTCGGACGACGATCTGGATCTCTAGCGAGACTATCTTACCACGATCCAGCGTGCCCCGGCCCCAATTCCGAGGCAGTACCATACAGGTCAACGTCATGTCAGCTCAGACACCATGCTATCACACACTTTGTGGCAGATCATGTCTGCTATGAGGTGCAATAGCATGAGCCGTCACTCAGCCAGCTTTCATTCTACATAGGTATCGGGAGACATTTCGCCTCGCCAGAAGCATTTGCCATTATGATACGAATGAAACTGTTGCAAGCATGACCCTATCTCGATGTCGCACGTCTGCACGTCTGTCATCGTGTAAGCCGACTGTTGGCTTGCGATCGATAAGACTTACAAGGAGCGTTGCCGAAGCTGAGACGGCAATGATCAAAATCTTCGACGAGCCCACCTCTAGGACAGCGGAAGCGAGCGGTTCCGCTTGCTAAGGCCCACTGGCCGCTGATGACATTCAGGTCGACCAAAAAGTGCCGTTCCACTGTGCAACAAGCCTCTAGCGTGGCTGCTGACCCGTGTCAGCGGAGCGCTTTGCTTGGTCTGCACAGGTTTGACGTACGTGCGAATGGGCCAGTATCATTGAACGGCATTGTCCATATGCCCTCCATGCGATACTTGCGTTCCGAAGGACTGGACTCTTCGTTGTCGACTTTGCAAACGAGTGGCCCAGATAAGATGGCAGCCTCCTGCTTGAGCTTCACACGACATAAGATCTCCAGAATCCAGATGAGAAGCATAGAAGCGTCGAACCTACACAGGTGAAAAGTTTTTTGGCATTTCTCGCTGTATAGCGAATCAAGATCAACTCCTTCTCCGCCTGTGCCGATGTCTTGAATGCAGATAGATGAGCTAACTTCTGCAATGGTTGTCGAGGCAACTTGCGTATACGATGCCGTCGGGCGAGAGACAGGTCACCCTGCATTGCTCAAAGCCGACGCAGCGATTCCGAGTAGCGGGTTCGATAGGACCAGCATGAACCAGCGAGAGGAACACGAGCATCAGTAGAAATGCCGGATAGGCTAGGCAATCAAAAGCGGTCATGCGCTTCATAGCCTCGAATGTTCGATGGGACAGGAACTGATTGACCATGTGGGCAATCGTTCTGCAAGTGGATCTGTCATACTGCTGAGACGTGTTTGAGGGAGGGAGGGGAGGGGCACGTGTATCGGCGGTCATGGCCGGACATGATGCCTCGACGCCGGGCGCTGCTCGCAAACTTCAAGAGCCGATGACAGACTATGGGCACACAAGACGCTGTTGATCGTCGGTCGGGCTCGGTTAAACCGGTATGATGTGGCTACAAGCACAGCGACGGTGAAAGTGCTCGATCCAATCAGAAACTGTTCCGAGCGACCGACATGGAGCATTGATGAAGGGCATACCCGTTGAGGACCAGTCAGAGCTTTAGGCAGCGCTCAAATGTATAGACACCGTCGGAATTTCAGGTGCCAACCAAAAGATTCACGCGACGGACGTACGACGTCGACCCTGACTCGTCCCACTTGTCCTGCAGATCTTTCCTCAGGAGAGATCATCTCTTCGGACCTTTTCTCCCAATTCCTGTAACGAATAGCAGTCTTCCGTCTGATGCTCACGATGATCCGTCGAGTCAATGTCCTCGATCGCGGCATCGGTGGTGTAGCGTAGCGCAGTGGACTCGTCCAACCAGAGGCAGTCACGTCACCACAGTAGCGCTATGTCGAGCCAATCTGAAGTTTTCACGCCACTCGCAGCTTCTGCTCGGCACGCGCTCAAAGAACCTCTGTTTGCAAGTAGCTGCGCCTGCATTGCATTGACGCACGTCTGCTTCAGTGTCAGCGATAAACACATTCGCAGCCATCAAGGAGGCGAACGTGAGTCCACGTTGATCCAAGAAGCGTATCATGCAGGCGTCGAAGATCGTGGAAGTGTGCCACGCCCTGTCTTGACGACTATTGTGTACCATCATGCCCGACACCGTCGTCGAAGAAGCACGTGATTTCAAGCCAAGCTCTTCATAGAGCCGCTATAAAAGAAGACTCGCAAGATGTCTGAACCTACACCCACATGTACTGCAGACCTTGTCACTACAAGGATATCTTTTGCGTCACAGAAAAGGTCATTGGGTACTACTTCCGCCATCGTCCCGCCACCCACAGACGCCGTGCACAAACGGCGTTAATTCCCACGCACAAGTATGAATGATCAGCTCGCATGTGTGCAGGTCTGTTGCTGCATCAGCAAGTGACCATAGCAAGATTACGATCCTACATTGTGTGTCTCCAAACAGGGCGTAACATTGGTCGCGCAGTTCCAAGGTAAGTCCAGGCTTGGGACAGCGCAATTGGACTTGCTGATCACCCGCAGCCCATTCTCCGGTCATGGCATCAAGATCGACGGTGAAATGTCGTTCGGCGCGGCAGCAGTTCTGGATGGCAGCTGTCGGCAATCTTTGAGCGGATCCCCCGATCAGAACTGCGGAACGTACGCGCGAATGTGCCACTGTCCTTGAACATCATTGGCCACATCGCGTTCATACGATATTGGCGCTCTTCTGGGTTCGAGACTGCGCTATCGACTATGCAGACGGGCTCCTCCGACTTTACGTTTGGCTCCATTTTGAGCTACTTAGCTTGTTAGCGGCGCAGGCGCTGATGGGCTATCCTTACGCAGGAAAACTTCTTCCGCAGAGCTTTCTCACTGTACCTAAGTAGCAACATCTCTCGACTTAATCCTGCAACAGTCTATTTCCTAGCAGGTCAGCTGATGCGGTCTCCCAGCTCCAGTCACTTGCTTGTGCGATTCCATCTGGCGAAACGCACGAGGCAAGGCAGTTCTGGAAATCTACGCATTGAGTGCGTCTGCCTGGCAAGGTAGGACCAGCAAGTACAGCCAGAGCCAAGCCAAGCCTCAGCACTAATGCCCATCTGATTGCACGGAGCGGATTGGCGCAAGACATTGCAGGCGCGATTGCGTGCATGGCGTGTAGTGAGCTGTGAATTGGCTGGGTCGCGATGTGTCGAGCTCAGATCTGTCTCTGCTGTTTGTGTGGAGCAAACAGGGGCAAAGGTCATGCATTTGGCGATCAAGGCGTCTGTGAAAGCCGCCACGACGTGACCTTTGCACGCGTCGGTCGTCAAGCCGACAAGGGACAGAATGCCGCAGGCACAGCACAGGGATGCCGCTAGTTTCCTGCGCCTTGACAAGCAAAGTGCTGGCATCGAGAACGCTTCTGCTGTCGCGTAGCGGGGATTGACTTTCACGCAATCCAGTTCCACACCCTCTCTGCAAAGTTGCGGGGCGGGACCTCGTCCTGACATTGTAATGAGTCAGCTAATGTGAGCCTGCAGTGACGCAAGACATACCTCGAGAGGACAGTCGCGCGAGTTGGAGATAAAGTCCATATCGGCGGGCGCGATCCAGGTCGTCTTGTACATGAACTTGTAGCCCACGTAAAGCACGACAAACATGACGAGCGGGAAGTAGCTTGTGATGAAAGTTGCATCATCGAAATGGCCATCGACATGGATGAACCTGCCGTCTCACAAGCTACTAAGAAGGATATTTATGAGAACAAATGTGACCTACACTTTGAAGCCGTTCGTGATGAGAATGAGCGAGGTCATNNTGGCGCCATAGTATGCCAGGTAAGGCATCAACGGAGCCGTGAANGTGAGGCTCTTGCGATCCACGCCCGTCGCTCGCGTTCCTTTCTCCCATTGTATGAACGTCACGAAGATACCGAACCANGTGAGCAAGCCAGCGACAGAGGTCATGTTGGCAAAATAGCCAAAGACGGTACCGGCAGACGTCGAGCCGGCAGACATGTAAGCGAGAAAAGCAAACGCAATAGACACGATCATTGAGACCCAGGGCANTCCCCAGCTGTTCGTTCGTGCAAAGATACGAGGAGCATTGCCGGCGATAGCGAGCGCATAGAGCGCTCTGCTGCTTGTGTACATGTCTGAGCTGGCNGCCGACCAAGCTGCAGTGACGAGGGCGGCATTGATGATCGAAGGCAAGCCTGTAATGCCTGCGTGCTTGATGGCGATGACAAAGGGCGACTTTGCTGCTGTTGAGCCAAGCTTGAGATCTGGCTCATTNGANGGTACGAGGATGCCAATGATGAANGTGCCGAGCAGATAGAACAGCAGAATCCGAACGTACACTCGCTTGATGGCTTTGGGGATCGAGCGGCGGGGATTCTTGGCTTCACCAGCAGCNAGCGCCACGATCTCTGTGCCGACGTACGAGAATGCAGCTTGGATGAGGACAGACCAGAAGCCAAGGAAGCGTCCGAGCGAGCCAGCGATGCCCTCGTACTGCACGAACGCGCCGGGATCGCTCCAATAGCGGAAACCGATCTGCTTCTGTCCGGGTATGCCGCCAGCGTTGATGATGATGCCCAGGAAGATCAGACTGATGATCGTCAGGATCTTAATGGTCGAAAAAAGGAACTCTGCTTCGCCAAAGATACCTGCGCCGCCCAGATTAATACTGGCAACGACGACGAGGCCGATTGTGATCCAGACTGCGGGGCTGATATGCTCTGGTGGTATCCAGTAAGAAAACAGCACGGCTGAAGCGGCGAGTTCTGCAGGAAGCACAATGGTCCAATTGTACCTTTGTCGTGCCTGTCAGCTATCTTTACGCTCACATGCATTGCTGAGCTTACCAGTAGCCTGTGAGAGGAAAGCGTCAGCAACTGACTGGCAAAACAGAATCAGACGCGGACTGTAGCCCATGCAGATACTGAGCGCAGGATCGGCAAAACGCTTGGCGAGAGAGATGTGACCGCCAGGTAGTGGCAAGGCTGACACCATCTCGCCCAAGCAGCACATGACGGCGAGCGTGACGCTGCCCATGACAGCATAACCCAGAAAGAGGCCCACAGGTCCTCCTTCACTCAAAGCCGAGCCGGTAGCGAGAAAGAGACCAGTACCGATGACACCGCCGATGGAGATCATCTGAATGTGCCGTTGCTTGAGCTGTCGTTCCAGATGTTCGCCCTCGCTGATGTAGACCTTATGATCTCTTCTGCGATCATGTCTTGCCGGCTTGTCCTGGACTGAGATGTTATGGTCTGAGCCTTGTGAGCTTTGACCGACACCTTGGGCATATGAGCCCAAAAGCTTCGTTGATACTGATGAACAGTACTGCGGAGGGCCAGTCAATGTTGCTTGGGGAGACTGATCTGACATCATGCTCAGCAGAATGCACCCAGTGCCAAGAGGCGTATTTCGCAAGACTTCACAGACGAGCAAAGCTTTCGGGGATCCGGTCTCCCAGAGCCAGTCTTATGAATGTGCGTGTCAGCAGATGGGATAGGGATGAGATCAGGCATCAATCAGAAGGCGTGCTCGAGGATGACATGGTGACGCAATCCGAGGACGAGTCGACGCGCCGAAACGAAGAGGAGCCTACCCCGCGCAGCAACGCTGACGAGTGCCAAAGCTGACATGGAAAGCGACTTGAGCGGCAGCAGCTCGTATGCTGCCTTCAGCTCGCATCGTCAGCGGATCGAGGAACTCGCAGCAGAAATACAAAGCTGGCCAATATTGGAGCCTTGGCAGCCTCTGCCTCCCAGTCTGCACACCGTCAGCGAATCTCAGCTGCAGGAGTACTGGCAGCAGTATGAAGATGCAGAAGCAGAGATCAGTGAGATTGATCAAGGTGATCTGACCAAACTCAGAGAGCTTGCAAAGAGTAAGCCATTGCAGCAGAAAGGAGGCGTAGATGAGTGCTGACAAGTGCTTCGAGCAGCTACGTCGAGACGAGTCAAGTCGTCGCAAGATGCAGACATTGTCGAAGTGGCTCTCATGACGCTCGTCGGGCTGGACAGAGTGCTCGCGTTACTCAGACATCGACTACAATTGCTCGAGCTGGTCGATGCGCGTCTCAAGTGGGAGCATGCACTCGTACAATCAAAGCAAGAGCTCGGTGACTTTGTCAGTACGACACTACCCGCTTTTCTAACAAAGGCAAGATGGATCCCACCCACTGCCGATCAGCCAATGGCCGACGATGCGACTTTGCCGGCCAACTTGGCATCTATCAGCACGCGACTCACCACATTACAGACGAAGCAGATCCCCGCTTCCGGCGCAGCACTCGACACTCTCATTGATGCCTCTCTGGAACCTCTTCCTGATGAATTTCTCGATACACAAGACTTGCATGAAGAGGATGTGCAGGCGAAAATCACTGGCCTCGCGCCCAGCTTGACCGGTCTGCTTAACCAGCGCTTTCTTGCGCGGCGAGTCGACAACGATCTGCGCACGCTAGCATCGCATGTTATAGATGCGCAAGATCAGATACGGGCCGAGATAGAAGGCACTCCGACACTTGCTCGTGCGGGTCACTTTGAGCAGATTGCCCTCGACTTTGCCACCCAGGTCCACTTGAGCCAGCAAGCCATACAGAGTCTGCCGCTACCTCAGCATCATCTGCTCGTCGAGCTCCCTCGTCACAACGCTGCTGTGACCGCATATCTCGTTCAGCAGCACGTAGCCATCAATGATTCGGTAGACGCACTGCTTGCGCTTGTCAAACGCTACAGGCACTGTCTGACCCTCGCCGAGGCTGCTTTGCAAGCACAGTCGGATCTTCTGGGTGCCGATGCCAAATTGGTCGCAGCCATTGCGCAGCTTGAGCAGACATCGCAGCACCTGCCTGCTCTGGATGACCCCCGATGCCTGGCGAATGCTTCAGCGTTTGCAGAGCCGTTGTCAGACTGCAAATTTCTCGTAAGACAGCTTCATGTCATTCTCAAGACCGTCGATGGTGTCGTACTCGTAGGTCAGCAACGTCGAAGCGATCTGATACAAGCAAATACGAATAGTCAGGGTCGCTACGAACTTAGTCAAGCGCTTCAGAACAGCTTAACGACAAGAGATCGAGCGCAAATGCTGGTCAAAGACCATAACGCGCGTGCGCTGGCTTTGTCTGCCGCAAGCGCTCAGTGGCAGAGGGTCCTGGGCTTGCACAGCTTGTTACTCAAGATCAACGAGCAGACTGGTATAGCTTTGACACATGAGATCAACGCACCCTTGGCAGGCGCCTCAAAGCTCACCAGAGCTCCTCTCGCAATCGCTGCTTTGCCCAATGTGGCCGACCTGCGCCTCGAGACCAGCTCTGTCGCCTTTCATGCGCATCACCACCGCACGCTCGATAGGCTCAATACTCATAGGGATCATCTTGCAGCTACTCGCAATACCTGCGAGAGCGTACGAGCTCAGACTGAGTACGTGCGTCAATATCGAGAGAAAGGAGAACGGCTCGCCCATAGAATCTCGGCCGTCAGTGACCCATCAGACGAGGTCAAGGCCGACCTGCTTGTCTCGGTGCAACAGCTCAAGCAATCTGCTCATGAAGATTTGCCGCTAGTTGCTCAAGCGTATCCATCGAGACTATTCCTGCCTGTCTCCCAGGATAGTGGGTGGAACGATCTCGCGATACCACCGACGGACGATATCGGAACAGCCCTTGCCGATCGAGACAGCGCAGCAAGAGAGGCTGTCAACGAGACCACCGCACGTCTCGAGGCTGCGCTGGCCGAGCTGAATCGACAACAGGCTAGTGCTGTGCTCGCCCAGCGGCTTGACCGGCTTCTCAACTCTATGCGAGCTATCGACTTGCCTGGTCTCATTGCCACGAAAGCCTCCGATGAGCTCCCAGCTCGAAGCTCGGCTCATGAAGCCCAACAGACGCATCGGTCTTTGCGATCAGACATGCATATGCTGCTTCTGGAGGCGGACAAACATGATGATCTGTCTTCGCTAACGGAAATATTGCAGGACGTTGACGCGAAGCTTACATCTAACATAGAACGATTGGATTTACTCGCAATCTTTGGCCAGCTTACTGAACAGTGTGATGTCGACATTGGCGATTATCTCGATACTGCTGATCCAGATGGTTCTCAACCCTCAACACCTACGACCCAATCAGGTATAAGCAATGGAAATGGGCATGCGTCGACCGACAAGTCAGAGAAGCGATCTGCTGCCGAGAGACGCCTCGAGGGAGTGCGCAAGGCCTCTGAGCCCATTGCGCAAGATATTAGAGTACCTTATCAGCTGCAGCGGCTTGAAAGTGCATTAAGGGAAGCTATGCTGCTTGTCAACGCACCCCGCAACGACACGCCAGCAATCGCCGCGGTAGATATCCCGCCGGAGATAGAGCCGCAGCCCGAGCAAACCGCTGCGCAATCTCCTTCGGTGCAGCTGAAACGCGCGAGCGGCATCCCACGGCGTACTTTTACTCCGACACGTATTCCTGTTGCAGTCGCTTCACCTAAACCGCAAGAGCGGCCCAGGATACCGGTCGAGCATCGTCCATACGTAGCGGACGAATCTGCCATCGATCAAGAAGTCGGTAAAATTTTGAATAAATTAGAAACAAAGGTCAATGTCCGTCGAGTCGTCGACAATGCTTCTGAGAAGACGACACAAACTGGCCGATATCACTTTGGCGAAGATCGACGGCTGTACTTCTGCCGTATTCTCCGTGATGAGGTCGTCATGGTCAGAGTTGGAGGTGAGCGGGCTCTCCGCTCTTCTGGACTATGCTCAGATGTATCGCAGGCGGATGGCAAGAGCTCGGCATATTCCTATCAACACGATATCCTCACAATGACAGCGGTCATGCAACGCCGCTTATGCGTACTGTCGGCTCGAGCGCGGCGCCGAACATGCCCAGATTATCTGATCCTCGACGTAAAGTGAGCAGCACGACGCGTTCAGCAGACTTTGCAGCCGATCTCACGAGGAAGCTCTCTGGAGCTCATGTCAGTCAAGCCTAATGCTATAGTCACTTCATTGCATATTACTACACTACTATTTCAGTCAACAAAATGGCATCATCTTCGTCCGTAATTCGGTGGACCCGGATACGGCTGGCCATGATTGAGGATGGCCTGCGCCCGACTTGGATGTATGTATGGCTGAGCAGGACGTGCGTTGCTCTGCATCTCTTGAATCAAGCCTGGCGCGTTGGCTACAGTGCGTGTCGTTGCCGTGTTGGTCGTCAACGCAGCCGGTAGATTAGGGTTTGCCATGAAGCTTGCTTTCAGACTGCTATCAACCGCTAGCAAGCTTTGCAGGGTCGAGGGATCGTTCAGCAGACTTTCGAGTGCGGATTGGTCTAGGTTAGCGATATCGCCAGCTGAGCGCGCTTGAGGCGGAACTGGCGCGGGACTCGGCAGACCATGCGATGCCGTCTGGGGTGCCAATTGCGCGATCAAGGCCATGGCCTGATCAGCAGCGGACTGTGAAGCCACGGGACCGGGACGTGATGCAGGCACAACGGACACAGCCGGTGCGGTTGCCTCTGCTATCGGCCTCGCTTCCTCGACGGTGGCAAATTGACCTCTCGAGACGACGAAGACGCCCAGGAAGAGATCGCGCTCACGTCTCTCGCCCAAATTCTGTCTTTCCAGAAGCTCTACATATTCAGGCAGAGGATCTGTGGCAAGTAACGGGACAAGATAAAAGTCTTTGACGTTGCTGGCAGATTTCTTGGGTGGTGAGATGACGCCTACGCGCGGTTTCTTCTTGCTTCCGAAGTGCTTGATCAGATGTGCGTGATAGCGCAGGGTTTTCTCTGCCACCGGCCTTTCTGGGTATGCTGTTGATGGGCCGCTTAAGATGGGATCAAAAGCAATAACAAAAAGCTCCCGACTGGGCGCAAAGACATTTTGCACGAGGTAGTCTGTAGCCTTCTTGGTCTCGATCCGACCAGCGACGTGAAGTGTAGAAGACATGAGCTGCTTCCACGTTTCTGGTGAACTTCCAATATTCCGGCCTGCGACTTGTGACGCGCTAGCGGGGAATCCGCCGTCTTCGACTGTGATGATATCGCCTGACCATACTTTTGGCGCGTCCTTTGCACCAACAGTACGAGCGGCAGGAATCTTCACCGAAGGCGAAGGTGGCTCTGGCCTGTGGTCATCGAGTTGAAAGTCAACTTCGGCAGTACGATCCGCAGAAAAGTCGAAAGGATCAAATTGAGGCGCAGCATCATCTGGAGGTGGACTGCCTTCGGGCGTACCGCTCTCGGGCTTGAGGCCGTCAGGACCGATCTCAGGCGAGTTAGCAGCTTTTGGCCGGACGTTGCCCCAAAGCGAGTTGAGGTCAAAATTAGCCTTGCTGCTCGATGGCGTTCGATTGAGCTGAGGTGATGGCATGGCTTGACCGGTACCATCTTCATCGTCTTTCATTGGCGAATCCATCGCAGGAGTGAATTGAGAGCGTGCAAGGGGCGATTGAGAAATTCTGAGATCGCCAGGAGATTCAGGTCCGGATATGCTCTTTGACAGGGCAGGCTTTTGCAACTCGGATTGATCGTCCATCGCGCGCTTGTTGGCCTTTTCAGCGGCGACGAAGGCATCTGAGCTCCCTTCGATCGCTTCCATACCTTTGTGGGTGATCTTGGCCGAAGGCAGCTCCATGCGCTGCTTGACGCTGCCTTTCATGCTCTGAGCTCTCACGCTTTCTGCCATGGCGCGCAATTCGGCAGATTGTAAGTCGTGATCTGTGATGTTGACGAGAGCATTGGCGTCAATATCAGAGCGAGCGATCCGAGTTTTCAGGTCGGCATTCGATCTGAGATTCGAATAGAGCGTTCTGAATCGATCAATGTACTTTTGCCCGGGCACAGGGAACCCTCTCGGGTCTGTATCGCCGTAAGATTTCATGAGTTCCTTCTCGACGTGACTGGCAAAGTTACGAGCACGAGGGCAGGCTTCCTTCTTCTTTGGCTTTGAGATCTCAAGACCGGGAGGAGGTCTATCAAAGATGGGATCAAAGACCGACGCAAACTGATTCGTACATGCTTCTCGCTTGGCATTGGCAGCCTCTAGCGCTTTAGCAGTCTCCATGGTCGATGAACTCGGTCGAGCTTTGGAAGAAGAGACCTGTCGAGCCGTTTGCTTGGGTGTCGTTTTCGTACGTTCCCTGACGCGTTCTTTCGAAGCAGACACCTTTGCAAAGCGATGAGTATGTATCCTGTGCCTCTTCAAAGGAGCGCGTACCGGTGCACTCGATGTACTCTTTGTTCGCTTGTGCGGCGAGCGATTGGACTCGCCTTCTTCGTATTCCTCATCACTTTCGTTGGACTCGGACAGCTCGTCATCGCTGACGCCTTCGGGTCTTTTCGACTTGCGTTTCTTGCCCTGGGTGGCCATGGCTCTCTTTGCGCTCGAGATGCGTCTGTTGAGCTCTGGATCGTACTCGGATGAGGCATCAGAATGCACATGATCGGCAGCAGGCTCTTCATCCTCGTCGTCGTCTTTGTAACGCGGACCGGAATCGTCAGAAGCTGCGCGCTGCTTGCTGCTGGATGCTCGCTTCTTTACTGCCACATTCGAGCCTCCTCCGAGTCTGCCCTTGATGGATCTCTCTGCAGGCCAAGGAAAGCGTCAGCTCGATTCCTCGTGGTTTTGTGTGAAGACGTGGGAAATGAGGCCGGGATGGCGTCTTTGGCGGCAGCATGGTGGGCCTAGCTTGCCGGTGATAGGGATCCATGCGGTCGAGCTCGCCTGACGCCGCCTTGGGACGGTGCGAGGGAGAGAGCCTCATGGGCAGCACGAGCGAGCACGCAATTGAAAGCAAGAAGAACGAGATTGTATGAACCCATCAAGGGGCTATACAAAGTGCCCGAGTGCCATGCTAGTATACCTGCGACAGTACACCGACGTACCACTGTAGCCGTTGCTGTAGCTGGTAGCGGTTTGTTGGTGTTGCGTGTCGCACTGGTGGGTGGGAAAGAGGGAGACAGCGGAGATGGGAGAGGGGACGTACTTTGGGTGTGACCGATGTCGGCTTCCTCGCACATCTCACAGTAGAAGACCTGGATCGACTTTGCCTCTTCTTCGGTGAGTTCGAGGCATCTGAAGTGGTACCAGTTGTCGCAGCCCTCGCATTGGATCATGGGCGTCTTGTCATCTGTGCCCACTAGACCGGATCGAGCGACGGGTCAGCGCTGTTCGATCACTAGCCTGATGGTACCGAAGACTCACAGCAGATACAGTAGAGACGGTTGTCTTCATCTTGAGGTGCCTGAGCCTCTCTTTCTGGCATGACGGCCTCTTCGGATTTGGCGAGGTTCGACTTTGACCGTGGCGGGAACTTCCTTCCGCCCTTGATAGACTTGCGAGGGTGGTGCTCAGACTCTTGCAAGGGTTCGAGCGTCGCTCTGATCTTGCTCGACGGCTTTCTCTGCCTCCTCCCGCTCGTGCGTGCTCCCTCGTCGTTGCCGGTCGTCAAGGGCGAGTCTACCTCCTCTGAGACCTCTCCACTGAACGCTGTACCCGGTGTGTTCTGCCGACTGATCTGACTAGCCTCTTCCTCGTCGGTCTCCATGACAGACTGGCTATCCGCTCGCATCACTCTCTGCCTCTCCTCTGCCCTGACTCGCCCTCACAACGGCGAGCTTGATGATCTCAGGAGGTCAGGAACCAGCAGGAGATCGATCAAGACGGGAATCGACGGAGCAGTCTGACAACGAAGCAGTCTACAGTCAAGCGGTCTCGCTGCCTGTCGAGCTGACTCCTCTTTTTTTCTGCGGATGCTCTCACATGAATTCAGGCACGTGACTTCTCCGCGCTCGACCCTGTCGTCATCGCACACTGTCCCAGCTAGACTGATATACTCGCTGCACAATGTCAGCAGTAGGTCAGTCTCTGCCCCTCGCATACTCATTGACCGCAACCTGAGTGGAGTGAGAAACGACAGTGGGCTCAATCGCAGATCTCGTGCACAGCGTGTTCAGCCTTGTAGCGAACATCTTCAAGACGCTCATCTCACTCGTCGAGGATGCTGTCGGCGCAGTACTCAGTCTCATCAATAGCCTCATAGCAGCAGCAGGCGGTCTCGTCGGTTTCATCATGTGTACGTTTGCCTGTCCTGATTGCCTGGTGCACATGACCATTGCTGATGCGAGGAGGAGGAGTAGCCAACATTGTCGTGATTGCGCTATGCTTTGTCCTGTTTGCGCTCTATCAGTCCCGTGTCAACAAGAAGCCCGTCTCAAACAAGATCAAGTAAGCTGTGGGAAGCCATCAGTGTCCGTCTCAATGTTGTCACTCGTTTTGCTCACGTCTATCTATGCATGCTCTGCGCCTGCATTCTCCGCTATTCGCCCAGAAAGCAGAGCCAGAGACCATGTGGCGTCTCGAGACCGTGGCGTCGCCGCATGAGGGCCGAGCAAAGGTGGAGCGTCCGAGCTGCTGGAGATAGAGCCGTGTGACGCGCAGTGAACGATGAGTCAAAACAGCTTTCAAAGCAATTTCATGCAGGCTGGTACGTTATATTTCGACTCGGTTTGCTAGTGGGTAGCCACGAGAGGTGGACTTGAAGCGCCTGCATGCTGGACGCGGATCCTAGCGTCCTTGGGCCCTGAGACAAACGATCCGAGCCAGAGACACTAGGAGCTTGTGCGGGTTCGTGTTCGTTGTAGCATGACAGCACAGTGTTCGTCGAAGAGCTATCTGAGCTGAGATGTATGACCGCTTGCGCACCAGCTGAGGAACAGTCTTCAAGCTTCATCGGTCACCAAATCCTTCGCGACTCGACTTCGGCCTACGATCACTCTGCGCAGACATGGCGCCGCAGGTGTCTGCACAGCTGCGACAGTGGGTCAGCGATCAGCTGCTGACTCTCTTCTCGCTCTCCGATGCGACCATGATCGAATTCGTCGTCTCTTCGACCGCAAGCATCGCTCAAAAGGACAAGAAAGGCAACGGACTCGGTCAGCTTGTCGCCCTACTCTCTTCCGCCGGTCTGGAAGGCAAGGAGAGCTTCGTTGCGACACTCTACGACAGGATCAAGAAGGAAGTAGGTCCAAGACCTGCTCATACGCTCACGACGACGAGCAGTCAGGCCGTCAAATCTGACAGAGACAGGAAAGCAAGGGATGCAGTCGCTCTGCAGTCCCAGCGTTTCTCACTTCTCCTGGACGATGACAATAGTCCCGCACAGTCTGCCAAGGTCGAAGGGACTGAAACGAAGGAGGAGAGACGGGAGAGAAAGCGATTGGCGAGGGAAGACCTCAGAGCCAGGACAGGCCGTTCCGACGATTGGGAGTCTGATGAAGAAGAACGCGCAGCCAAACGACGCAAGGCAGATGAAGCCTACGCTGCTCTATCCACTCTTGCTTCCGAGAGACCGAGAGACAGCAGTCCTCGCTCACGAGCAAGTGATGAGGAGGGTCTAGACTCCCTCGATCCTGCCGAACGAGCAGAGCTCGACAGAATGGCAGACCAGAAAGATCGCGATGAGTTTGCGAGGAGGATGCGTCAGCGAGATAAGGAACGCCAGATCGAACGTCACGCAAAGATCATAGAGGACAAACTCTCGACAGAGGCAAAAGCGCGTCGCTCGCTCGCAGACGATCAAGAGGCCCGTACTGCCGCGATGCCCAGCTTGAGAGATCGTTCACGGCAAGAATATCTTATCAAACGACAAGCTCAGCAGCTCGACTTGCTCAGGCTAGAGATTGCCGACTTTGAGCGCGATATGCGCGGTCAGCGCTTGTCGAAGCGAGAGATGCGCGAACTCGAGAAGAAGAAAGAGATCCTCCGTCTGGCAGAAGAACGCGAGCGAATCGATGACGGTACGGACGGCTATGTCATGCCAACGGACTACATAGACGAGAAGGGCAAGATGGACACCAAACGAAAATCAGACCTGCTTTACAAACGATACGAAGACAACAAACGCGCAAGGGATCAAGAACAGTTCGTCACCGATCTCGATCGCTTTGAAGAGCAGCAGACCAACAATGCTATCCTCGTAGCCGGTGCAAAGGATCGCGCTGCGAAAGCTGCTCCAGAAGACGATTACGATTACGTCTTTGATGATTCTGTCAAGATTGCCTGGGTGCTCGACCAGGAGAACAAAGCGGGCGGCGATCTCAAACCGGAAGACGTTGAGCTACAAGCAAAGATCGCAGAGGCCGAGAAGCGAGGTAAATTGCTCCGCCGCCCTAAAGGCGGCTAGCTGACTTTGTCAATGCAGCAATGTCCATTGACCAAGTTCGCAAGTCGCTTCCCGTGTACGCTTGGCGAGAACAATTACTGGAAGCGATAGAGAAATATCAAGTGCTCGTTATCGAAGGCGAGACCGGCTCGGGTAAGACAACCCAGCTACCTCAATTCCTTCACGAAGCAGGCTACACGAAAGGCGGTAAGAAGGTCGGATGTACGCAACCCCGTCGAGTCGCCGCGATGAGTGTCGCTGCTCGAGTAGCAGAAGAAGTCGGATGTCGACTGGGCGATCAAGTCGGCTACAGCATCAGATTCGAAGACTGCACGAGCGATAAGACAGTGATCAAATACATGACCGACGGCATGCTGTTGCGAGAATTTCTTACAGAGCCCGATCTGGATGGCTATTCCGCCATGATCATCGACGAAGCCCACGAGCGCACGCTGTCGACTGATATCCTTCTGGCTCTCGTCAAAGACATCGCGCGCTTTAGGCCAGACTTTCGCGTTCTCATCTCCTCTGCATCGCTTAACGCTGAAAAGTTCAAAGAGTACTTTGACGGCGCGCCGATCTTTAAGATTCCTGGACGAATGTATCCTGTCGATCTGCTCTACACTCCTCAGCCGGAAGCCAACTATTTGCACGCCGCAGTCACGACAATCTTCCAGATCCATACGAGTCAACCGAAAGGCGACATTCTTGTCTTTCTGACAGGTCAGGATGAGATCGAAGCAGCGCAAGAGAATCTAGAAGAAACTGCCAGAGCGCTCAAAGACTCGATCAAGGAGCTTATGATCTGTCCCATCTACGCCAATCTGCCCACTGACATGCAAGCCAAGATCTTCGAGCCTACGCCAGAAGGAGCACGCAAGGTCGTTCTGGCTACCAATATCGCAGAGACGAGCATTACCATCGACGGCGTCGCCTATGTCATCGATCCCGGCTTCGTCAAGCAACTGAGTTACCAGCCCAAGACGGGCATGTCTTCGCTCCAAGTCGTGCCCTGCTCTCGTGCGGCTGCGTTGCAGCGTGCAGGAAGAGCAGGTCGAGTGGGACCTGGGAAATGTTTCCGACTATATACGAAGCACGCCTTCTACAATGAGCTTGACACTGACACGGTGCCCGAGATACAACGTACAAACTTGTCGCTCGTCGTGCTGCTGCTCAAGTCACTCGGGATTGACGATCTAATCGGTTTCGACTTCATCGACCCTCCGCCAGCCGACACGCTCATCCGTGCACTGGAAGTTCTCTATGCTCTCGGCGCATTGAACGATCGGGGTGAGCTCACCAAGCTCGGAAGACGCATGGCAGAGCTGCCTATGGATCCTTTCATGTCAAAGACAATCATTGCGAGCGAAAAATACCGATGTACGGAAGAGGTATTAACTATTGCTGCTATGCTCGGCGAATCATCTTCTATCTTCTATCGACCCAAACTGAAGAAGCTCGAAGCCGATCGAGCCAGGCAGAACTTTGTCAAGGGAAAAGGGGGCGATCATTTTACTTACCTTAACGTGTTCGAGGAATGGTCGAATGCCGCATTCTCGATTGCTTGGGCGTATGAGAATTTCATCCAGCCGAAATCACTCAACCGAGCACGAGATGTACGCGACCAATTGTCGGCACTTTGCGAGCGTATCGAGATTGTACCTGAAGCGAACCCTGATCCCAACGATATCACGCCGATCCAGAAGTCGTTCCTCTCGGGCTACTTCTACCACGCTGCTCGACTTAGCCGAACAGGCGATGCCTATCGGACAGTGAGGGCGGGCTCCTCGCAAACTGTCTACATTCATCCATCGTCGAGCCTATTCCAGGCTCAACCGCCAACACGCGTCATATGCTACTACGAACTCGTTTTGACCTCGAAAGAGTATGCTCGCTCCGTCATCGAGATTCCCAAGATTGAGTGGCTCCTTGAAGGTGAGCATCTCGCCGATACCTTTAGGCATTGCTGACGATCTTGCAGTCGCGCCACACGCTTTCAATGCTTCTGATTTCGAGACCGACAGACAGAAGAAGGGGCAGCCGAAGCAGACGGGCACAGCAAGATCAGGCGCGAACAACTAGCGCTGCTTTTCTGTAATGCGGACATGCATCATGCATTGGATGTCATTGGTTGCGCTAAGACTCGAGATTTCGAATTGCCCATTCAGGACAAGTCTCCATTAGCTCTGCGCAGGTCTTCGTATGATCCGATGCATCCCTTTATGGATCTTGATATGCTGAAACACGCTACAATCATTGAGACGCCGATGAACTCATAAGCTCTAGTCGTCGTTTGACATCGATGCACTCGAAAGTGGCATCACCATCGTACTGAAGCTTGCAGCTACCCTCTCGAATGACATGCACGAGGTTGTCTACTAGATATAAGCAGAGCCAACAGCCGAGCGACGGCGCTTACTTGGTAAGCAAGCAATGAACATCGGCTTAGCCACACCGGTCAAGAGGATGCTCGCAGACCGATGATAGGCGCCAACGACGATGGAAGCGAACGATATCGCATTGCAGCATGGCTCTTCTTCCGCCAACCAATTGTTTTGCAGCATGCCATATTCTCTGCAGGCCAAGTCACAGAATGGCCCGATACAGAGAAAGGAGCTCACTTGAGCGTCACTGCGAATCGTATGGTCACTTGCTCAGTGCCAGGATAATTGATCTCTTTGACGGCAGCGTAGAAGCGACCGCCATCGAACTGAAAGAAACTCAGAAAGTTTCACTAAGTGAGCATAATGACTGACGTTAATGAGCTCGGCAATGCTTCGCGACGAAGGCAGCGAAACCGTGACGAGGGTGGTTGTCATCGGTCCCATTGTAGTACTCATCCAGGTGGCACCTCCGGTACGCCAGCTACCTAGGCGACACTGGCCCGAAGCTTGAAAATAGAATTGATACACTTGGACCTTCGGCACATCGATATCAGAGATTGGCATGTCGGCAATTGTGTGAAAGGCAGCTGAACAGGTGCCATTCCTAGTCAATTTGCGACTGCAATCTCTTCGCGAGCTGGCGGCTGGACCACCGCATTCGATCCAAGCAGAGACGGTGCTGAGACTGCTGACATAGTCTGAAGCCGTGCCCAAAGAGACGTTGAAAGCCGCTTGAGCTCGGCAGCATCTTTTCCATTTCGAGTCTGCAGTATCCCACATGCCTTGATCGAATGCGCTGTTGGTCACATGAAAGCCATAATAGCCCGTGCCTTCTTTCTTGTCAACGGCATCTGGGTTAGGCAAAGGCTTGAATCCATAAGCGTTACGAGAGCGGAGATTCTTCATTCGGACAGCAGAGCGGTCTCGTGTGACCATTATCGTAGATAGGTCACCGTCAATTGTGGTAGCACCTGGACCGGTACATTTGAAGTTGGCCGTGGCTGCGTGTTAATCATAATCAGTGGTGGCTTTGTCATCGGGTGCGCGCGGAACCTCTGAGCTTATAGAGTACCGTCCTCACATCTCCTTCGTAGTCTGTCACGAGAGCAGAGTAGATCCCTTGACTGAGGAAGAGGAACAGAGGATACAGACCGAGGTTCATTTTGGCGATGACGAACAATGTCACCACGCGACTTACTGCCAGCATTGATTGCTGACACATCAGTAGCCATACGAACGGACACGTCATCGTTACAGTTAATAGAATGGGAAAGGACGATTTTAGAATGAAAAGTAAAGCCGGCAGAGATTGCTCTCATAATTCGTATGAACACGAAAACGCGCGCGTTTTGCGCAAGACGAAATTCAAAAGCCTCTGCAAGACCTTTAGCTTGACTGTAGAGCAGTCAGAAGTACCGCTCACTCCAGCAAAAATTATCCGAGAGGGGATCTGCACCCCTGAACCTTCTCCTATCAGAGGTCGGAGGGAGACGCGCTACTACTGCGCCACACGGACGTTAATCAGTCCAGCTAGATTTTGCACCCATATATTCTGACGCGCAGATTCACGGCGATTACACGGAAACAAGTTGGTTGAGTCGGTCTTACGCGGCCATTTGGCGAGCTACATAAGCAAGGCAGAGACCTCATTTGTATCGCTGTACGTCGGCCTCAAACACTGCTCACATCGATACACAGAGCAGACCGGTTTGACAAGGTCGACAGCATCAGAAGTCAAGTCCACGTCACTCGCAGCTTTGCACGCAGAGAGTAATATCCCCGGTGTATTCGGAAACCAGCGACCTCATCGATCATTCTAACAGAGAGGAGGATTATGGCACATCAAGTAGTATTGATCTCTGGCGCTAATCAAGGACTGGGCTGGTATGCGGCAAAGCAGCTGTCCAGCTTGCCAAATTGGACCGTCCTTCTGGGCTCTCGGGACATCAAGAAGGGCAACGATGCCGTAGCAAGGATCAACGAGGGTCAACCTCAGGCCAAAGTCCAAGCTATCGAGCTCGATGTCGGCTCTGACGAATCGATCGGCAAGGCTGTCGCTCAGATAACAAAGGATATCGGACAGCTCGTGGGCTCTCTTCACTCTTGTGAAACTTGACTGATTACGGATCAAAGGACGTACTCTGCAACAATGCTGGCATTGCCATCGATGGGAAAGACAGATCAATGTCAGTTCGCGACATGATGCAGCAGACTTACAATGTCAATGTTTTTGGCGCAGCGGCGCTAACGGAGGCTTGCCTGCCTCTGCTTCAAAAGGCTAGCTATCCTCGCGTCGTCAACGTCAGCTCTGGTCTGGCATCTCTCGGCAGTACATCCAACACGAGCATCAATCTGATCGGCTACAACACAAGCAAGACTGCCATGAACGGCGTCACCGTCATCCACTCCCGTAGGCTCACGGGAGGAAGAGTCATCGCTGTTTGTCCTGGCTTCAACGCTACCAATCTGAATGACCACAATGTCAATGCAGGCGATCCAGCCGAGGGCGCCAGAATCATTGTGCGCGCTATCGTGGAAGGCAAAGAAAGTGACTTGCAGACGGGGTCATACGTCAATAAATCCGGACCCATTGCTTGGTAAGCAATTGTCTGTGTATCGTGACATTCATTCTCGAAAATCGGCGACATGCATGCTGTTTGAATCTCGGATCGAGATGCGTTCGCAGTCGATGGGAAGCTCGAACAGCCACCGAGGTCCTGATCCTATACAGCTCGTGCTAATCTTGGCATTGCCATTCTACCAGCCCTTCCGGGGACAGGGCCTGTGCGGAACAGGTTGTGCATGAGGTCCAGGGCGGCTCATGCAGTCGAGGTGGTGCGCTGCAAAGTTTCAAATATGATCGCGTACCGACTACTAGTGTCTTGACGTTGGAAACGCGACCGAGTGCAACGAATAGACTGAAGCATTCTGATCGATGTAGCTGCCAGCGTCCACGAGTATCGCGACGAAGGAGTTGATGCATCAGTCACCGCTTTGCCGCGCCGTGAATCGTGAATCGCAAAGAGGCGGTACTGTACTCGAAGACCAAGATAGCCGAGCTTGCCATCTTCAGCACGTCTGACCGAGTCACTGCATGCTGCCTCAAGTGGATGCAGGACCGGCTGCAGCAATCGTTGTGATCGTGTGAGACCGATTGAGGCCACGGATCGAACGCATGAATCGATGCAGCTTTGCAAATGCGTCGCGAGCTTGTCCGGATTACGACTATATGCCGCCTCTTTCGCTTCGGGATCGACTCAACGCGTCAAGAGGAAAAGCAGCTGTATCAAAAGCGTAAGGGATCGATGGCCAATGACACCATTTCGCGTAATTCCAAAATTCGCGAGACGACGAGTTGACGACCTTTGCCGACAGCTAGCAGGCCAGAAGATGGAGGCGGCAGCGGCGGACAATGCTCGTATCATGAGCATGTATACCAAGGACAAACGAGTAGGCGAGGGAACCTATGCGACAGTGTTTGAAGGTCAGCCAGCGTCATTGTCGATGTTGAGATGCCCATCGTGCTTTGCAGGGCGTCAACTCAGCACCGGGCGAAGGATAGCGATCAAGAAGATCAAAGCAGGCCAATTCAAGGATGGCTTGGACATGTCTGCTCTCCGAGAGGTCAAGTACCTCCGCGAGCTGCGTCATCCCAACGTTATCGAAGTCAGTCCTGCCTCGCGTTCGCACAATCAGTGAATTGAGCTGAACATGCGCAGCTGCTCGACGTTTTCTCTTCAAAGGCCAATCTCAATCTCGTCCTCGAATATCTGAATGCAGATCTCGAGATGATCATCAAAGATCGCTCGCTCGTCTTTCAGTCCGGTGATATCAAATCATGGATGCTCATGACAATGAAAGGGCTCGAATTCTGCCATCGCAATTTCGTCCTGCACCGGGTACGATCTCTTTCCGTCAGTACCTACAAGCTCACCCAAGCTACAGGATATGAAACCCAACAACTTGCTCATCTCATCCGAGGGCGTCCTCAAGATTGCTGATTTTGGTCTCGCGAGGGACTACGCAGAGCCAGGCCGGCCGATGACGTCTCAGGTTGTGACGAGGCAAGGGTGACCTCGTTGATTGTGCGCTCATGCTCATCCTCTCCTCTGACAGATGGTATCGCGCGCCTGAGCTGCTGTTTGGGTCAAAGGCATATGGAGACGCCGTTGATAATTGGGCAGCTGGCTGCATCTTTGCCGAGCTCATGCTCCGCACACCCTATCTTCCCGGTGACAACGATTTCGATCAGCTGAGCAAGATCTTCCATGCGCTCGGCACGCCTACTGAGGACGATTGGCCTGTATGTCGATTGGATGCTAAATGTGCGATTCGCTCAAATGTCGGCAGGGTGTGAAACTTTTGGCTGACTTTGTACCATTCAACCCGCTCAAGAAGTCGTCACTGGCAGATCTCTTCACCGCGGCTAGCGGCGAGGCCATTGATCTGCTGACCAAATTGCTCACTCTCAACCCTACGAAACGCATCTCCGCGCGCAAGTCGCTCCGACATCCTTTTTTCTCCTCTATGCCTCGGCCGACTCATCCCGAAAAGCTGCCTAGACCTGCAGGAGTACTGCAGCCACGTGCGATACCACCCGAAGAGCTCAATGGCGCCGATCCAGTCAGTCTGCGGAAGCGCAAAGCAGGCAGGGACGACCTCGAATCTGGACAGCTCGGACGAGGCTTTGTCGGAGACGATCGACTGAAGAAGGTTGCTAAAAAGCTCGAATACGCGTAGCCGGATAGTACAGCTTCGTGCAGATCATGAACAACAACACCAAAAGAGCTCATCTAGAATGACGGCGGCACAGGCGGGTATCGCACCCCATCGGAAGGAATATGCGCATGCTCGAGAGCTGCGTATCGATCGATGAGGCGCTCCTCGTCGCTGGCATCGTCCAATCGGGCTTCTCGCGCGCCCGTTCGTCCACGTCTTTGCAGTCGCCTGGAGCGCAATTGCGCGCCAAAGCTCGACAAAGCACCGTTGAGATAGTTAAGGCTAGCGGCTGTCGTCTGGACAGACAGAGTCTTGTCGAGCACTGCGCGCAGATCGAGATGCACGATATTGCGCCGAAACGGGTCGCGCTTGCTTTGATGTCGACCGGTCGACTTGTACGCGTGAACATCCATGTCTGCTATGTTCATGTCGTCCTCTGAACTCGCTTCTTCCGTCACTGAAGCCGTCTCGGGGTCTTCCGTAGCGGAAGACTGCAGGATCACAGGCGAGGCGGCAGTAGCAGCAGCAGGCTGGGCAAAGCGCGCATAGCTTGCGAATGCAAGGTAGGAGCTCGTGGCCGTACTGCGACCGTCTTCGTACGAGGTGACGAGCAGGGCTATCTGCATGGCCACGAGGACACAGTCCCATGCGAGGACGATCAGCCTGGAGGGAGTAGCATCTGCGCACGTCCCATGAGCTCTCGTGTCGGGGAAGCGAGAGTGACGACATGCCTATGCCAACAAAGTCGATCAGGACAGACTTGCTCGTGGTGGTGCTGAGTGCTTGCGTGGCGTGATAGACCAACACGGCGGCTGACGAGACAAGCAAGGCGGTCATGAAGAATCTGAGAGAGCGATCGGGATGACTCTGTAGCGGACAGGATAGCTGGGTATGTACTGATGCGCGACAGGGTAAGCTTGCGAGCGCATCATGTCACTATAGGTCAGGCTGACCAATTGATCTCAGGGCGAGGAGGATGGTGCTGCCATCAGAGAGGTAAGCCTGGACGATGACGGCAAAGCCTGCGAGATCGAGTGCACTGCACAGCTGAGATCTCGAATGGCTCGCCCATTCGCTGTGCTCCGTCATCCGTCATATCATCGCTCGAGCAAGGCTGGCTGGTTGGCACGCTAGGCTGAGGCTGCTGCTCGTCGTCGTCGCCGCGTTGGACTGCACCGCTACATCGAAGAATTGCCACGAGCTGCGGCGGATCCTGTCTCTCTCAGCAAGCATGACTCGACTGGAGAGGGCGACGGTCGTTGTCAAGCCACAGCTCATGCAACGGTCTCGCACGCCGCCCATACTCGACAGATCTGCGCCCCTGGAGCAACAGCTCCCGCCAGAGCCAGAGAGGATGACGCCCGATCTTGCAATGAGCGTGGCTGTCCTGCGCTACTTTCACATCAACTATGGCGGTCTATCGGTCCAGTCGGCTGCGCCAAAGGTATGTTGTGATGACACTACGACGACGAGAGCAAAGGCTCATAACCGCTCAAGCAGGGCATCCATCCTCGAACATATCAGCCCTTCTGGGCCATCACGCTTGCAGAGTCAGAGGCCAGCAGAGTACTCGCATCGTCAGAGCACAGGATCCCTTTCATAAGACGGAGGCCCGATGCACGCTACTGGACAAGACTGCAAGACATACGCGATCCTCGACTGCTGACAAGCCAACCGCTCAGATACGGCACGCGACTCGACAGAGAGGAGAAGAGGGATCCTCCGCCTGAATGGGACGAGCTGAGCGTGACTGTAGAGCGGTCAGTACAGCCGTTCCAGGCGAGTCGACAACCTCGCAACATGCCCGGCATCAGGATCTTAAGCGATCATCAGTTCAGGCGGGCCGTGAAAGACGTCTTTGGCGGCTTCTACCAGCCTGGCATGCTCAGGCAGAGCATGGAAGACGAGCCAAGCTTGTTCGGGCGAGCGATAGCCGGACACGAACGCAAGGACTTGGAGACTCAACTCAGCCGGAGACGATAGCATTTCATGGCATAGATGATTCATTTGGGTGTACGTGAAGACATGTGTTGTTCAAACGCTTGCTTGTGGTCATCGTGCCAGCGAGAGAGCGCCGGTCTGTTCTCGGTCATGTCGCCCATGGTCCACTCGATGCGGGCTCTGTCAGTTCGCCACTTTGTGTCGCCGTCCTCGACGATGATGTAAAAATCGTTAGACGCCATGCGGGCGAGCAAGACATCGACAGTCTGATCGGGAGTCCATTGACCCGGTTTGACGGCTTGCGAAACATCACCTTGCATCGTCAGCTTGCTGTGCACCCATCCGGGCACGAGCAGGTGTGCAGAGACGCGATCTTGGGTTTCCTGTCTGAGTTCGTAACTCAGCTGCTCGGCGAATGCCTTGACGGCAGCCTTGGAGACATTGTAAGCCGGGTTGCCGGGCGGACAAGTGATGCCTTGCTTTGATCCCGTGACGACGACAGCGCCGGGCGAACGACTCTTCAAAAGCTCGGGCACAAAGACCTGAGCGCCTTGGACGACGCCCATCAGATTGACATCGAGCGTCTTTCTCCAGTTGTCGAGTCCTTCCCATGCTTTGGTGGGACAGTGCGTGCCGGCATTGAGATGGAGCAGATCGATCTGTTTGAACTGTTGCAGAACCTCGCTCCTGGCTGCCTCGAGCGAGGACAGACTGGTCACATCAGTCTGGACCGTCAGGACGTCCTCTGCGCTGATGTGATGCTGCTCTGTGAGATCCTTGTGCGCCGTGTCGAGGTGCTCCTGGGAGATGTCGAGGAGGGCGACTCTCATCTGCTGCGCGGCGAGCTTGGCACCCATCGCATAGCCAATCCCGCCATAGCCTGCACCCGTGATGACGGCAACGTTTCTGGGTTTTATGGCAGGATGCATCTGTTGCACGTGCTCCTCGTGTTGTCTGGGTTCCTGAGATTGGCACGTCGTCGATTTGTCGTCGCGCACAGTTTGCACGCAAAACAGGCAGGCAGCGAGCCAATCAGGATGGGCGGGGGCAACGGTGCTAAGAGCGCAGAGGCTCGCAAGAGAGCAGAAGCCAAGGCCAAGTCAAACGCGGGTGGCAAGAGCCAGCTCAAGTCGGTCAGCCTCTCCGTTGCAAGTCCTCGTGGCGATCCCTGCTGACTAGATCGGGTAGAACGCCGCATCTCTGACCATACAGTGCAAGACCTGTCTGCAGACGTTCCAGCAGACGACAAAAGCTCCCATGTACGCCCATGTGTGTCGTTTCTTGCGCCCGCATACTCATCAGAGTCATCCCACCGGACAGGCTCGAGGAACACGCGCAAAACAGACACAGCAAAGGACTCAAAGACTGCTTCCCAACCTTCGTCACTGCATGAGCGAGCTCGTGTGGCATGCTGCACTTTGTTTGTACAACAGCATGCATCTAGATCTGTCTTTCCTCATCCAGCAAAGTGACGAGCGTCGACAAAGTAGCCAGTCCCGTCTCGATGGGCAGTCGGGAGTGGCTCGACCACCTGCCCGGCCTGCTTCATGTCAATCTGACCATCTTCTTGCCGCCTGTGCCAATCCTCAATGGCTGCCCGTCGTCGGAATTCCCGGCGTACGCCAGGTCGAGCTTGCGCCATGCGTCGATAGAGATACAGACCGCATAGCACCGACAGCAAGACCGATAGCCCAAAGATGACATATTCGGCAATCTTGAGCTTCTTGTCCGTCTTGTCTGCCGTACCTTCGGGCCCAAGCGTGATCGTGCCGATGAAGACGAGCGCAAATTGTTTTGGCAGGGTGAGGAAAGCTGCGACGGCATAGACCCAAAAGGGACAGCTGCACGACGCCCAGATTGCCGTCACGAAATGCGGCGGGATTGGGCTCAGCCTGCCCGCAATGGCTACGCCCAGCCCGCCCCCTCGAGCGACGACGGCGAGCGAGGCATATGCCATCGAGCGTTCCTCGAGCCGCTGTCCATGTTTGACCAGCATCCTCCGAGCAGCTACCCACAAGAGGAGCTCGCCAAGGAATGTGCCAATTGCGACAACTATGAAACCTTTGCCGACACCGAAGACGACGCCACAAAGGCCGCCAATGAGCTCGTGACCGGCCAGCGGCGGAAAGGAGACGATGACCAACTGGAAAACCAATCAGCCCGGCTGGCCGGGATGCGTGCGGGAAACCTACGAGAGCAATTGGAACAAGTGGACCGAACGTACTCTCATTTGCCTTCTGAATCAATGGTCTCAATTTCTCTTCGAGCGGCCCGCGGAAATGTATCAGCGTCAGCACGACGAGATTGACAGCTATCAGCAAGACGATAAGATAGGGATGCTGCCGCATCCATCGTAACACGTGGCGCGGATGACTCTTCTCTCGATACAGCCTCACAACGCGTTCGCGCAGTGTAGGCTCGACAGGCAGCGGCTCGTCTTCCAAGGATTCGAGCATGCTCGCCAGTGATCTTTGCTTCGGCTGATGCTTGGGTGATATCGTGCGCGGGTGCTCCAGTTCGGTTCTGCGGGCGACAAGCTCAAAATCATTTTGACCTGCATAGTCGCTGGTCGTCCGCAGCAAGCCTGGTCTGCCTTGCGACATCCTTTTGCTGGCTGGTTTCGCTGTCGGCAAGGGCTATTGGTGGGTACAATCGTGTGAAGGAACCTCAGCATGCCAGGCTATAGAGGGATCGTGCTCATTGCCCTCTCTTTGGCCTTCGGTGAGGGGTCTGTGCAGAGCATTGAACACTGTGAAGCTGATCCAGTCCGCGGCAGGTACTTGCGAGCATGAATTCCGAATAGGCTCAATTTGCGCGCCGAAGCTGTAGCGGTCGCAGATCACCAGAAGACCGTCTGGAGGCCTGCGCGTATTTCAGCTGGCCTTGAATGTCCTGCTGCAAGCGGACGATGATATGCCCCGATGTGCAGATTGCACATGCTGCAAATCTTGACATGGACGTCCGCAATCGCAGGCGGTGCTGTTCGTTAGCTCTTGTCAGATGGATGTAAATAAGTGATGCATCGTCGTATCTATCTGCGTCCCGCCATGGCTTCGACTTTCGTACAAGAGGAAGGGAGATCACCGTGATCGCGTTCAGCGAGCGTTGAAGCCTCGGAAGCTTGCGTTTCTCCAGCTGTGCTAGTCTGAAGATCCTCGGTGCTCCGCATCTCCTCGTTGCGAGCAGCGATGGGATTGAGAATAGCTGCAAGCAGGAAGATGCCCGCTTCCAAGGCGATGACAGCGATGTAGCTGCCCGCTGCGAGTCCTTCGAAGCTCTGGGAAAATACTGTCAAGCAGAGTGAGCCATCATGATGGATTGCTTTGAGCTGCGGTATGTACCCAGTGACAGCAGAGAGAAGACGCCGCCCATGAGATCGACAAACAGGAAAATGAACGACATGCCCAGCACGCGCTTGAAGCGATATATCTCGTAATACTGAGGCAGCAAGCCACCTGCGATGAAGACAAGGCTGAGCACGCCAAATAGAGTGGCGGGCCAATCGACGCCGTGTCGTCTTCCTGCTCGAATGGCGTAGACGAAACCGACTTCGAGTCCGCCAATGAGGGCAGAGACAGCAGAGACGAGGGCAGCGCAAGTGAACGTAGTGAATCGCTTGGGATCGTAATCATAGTGCAGATACTGGCCGAAGCAGCACAAAAGCAGGACGGTAAAGCATTGAGGCTGGACGATGAGCGCGACGTTGACGCCAGAGACGATGTTGTAGGATCCCAGGAACAGACCACCGACGCACCACGACGCTACCATCCAGGCACTAAATCCTACGGTTGTCTTTCGCCGATAGGTATGATAGAGCTGGGGGAAGATCTGAATGCTCCACAGAATCGCGCCGAGGGTGCCAAGACCCAGCTGCGCTTGCTTGTTGTACATTGCAAAGGATGTGTTTTTCTAGGGAGAAGCCTCGCTGCATGTGAAGCTTGGCCAATATCGTCACCGTTTGCGCTACTTCTCGCGTTGTGAGAGGCCTATGACATTGCCATTGGACGATTGGACGTGTCAACAGTCGGATACGGCCTCCCTGTGAAAAAAATTTTGCACGCTGGCTTTGGTCTTGCCGGCTTGGCTAGCTTGGCTGACTTGAGATCTCACGCTTTAACGGCTGGCATTTATTTAAGTTTACGATGAGCTGCGTGGGCGGATCAGGCCCTCAGGAGAAACATAATCCGTGTTCTTCGTTAATTTGATGAAACCTCGAAAACCGAGCGTCGTCATGATCCACTCAATTGCGGGCGGCTCTTTTCGGCTTCATCGACCATCTGACCACATACTCGAAACCAGACGAGCTAGGTATGCACGCACGACTCGTCGCAGCGCTCAGCGTGCTCTCTGTCGTGCTAGCTCAGGCCGTACCTGCTGGCACGCCTGCATGCGTCACTCTCTGCATCACCGCCAAATTTCGAGAGCATGCGTCTCTAGCACCAACCTGTGCGACCCTTGACGTCGCCTGCTACTGCTCTACCGGCACCTTCACGAGAGCTTATGCGACATGCCTCATGCAGCAATGCACGACAATTGCCGACGCTTCCGCTGGAAGCTCTTTGATTGCGTCCATCTGCGCGGCGCCCGCTGCTGCTTCCTCATCCGCTACGGCAGCAGGTAACTCTACAGCTAGCGCAACTGGCTCAGCAAATGCCACTGCGGTCGGCGGTGGCGCAGCCGGAGCGACAGGATCGGGCGCAGGTAACAATTCGAGCGCTACTGCCACCAGCGGTGCTGCAAGCTCCTCAAGCGCCGGCGCAGGTGTAGCAGGCGGTGCTGGCGGAGCAGGTGCAAGCGCGGCTAATTCGAGTGTACCTGGCGCAGTACCAACCACTTCGGGCGCTAGCCCACCGACAAACATCTCCGCGACCGTCACTCTCAACGGACAGACTGTCATCCTTCCAGGTAGGCACTCACACTTGCGCGGAATGTCATGACGAGCAAAGACTGATCTGCTCTCGACAGGCACACAAGTTCTCATTGGCGGACAGACCACTGTCGTACCCATCTTCAGCTCCGGCAGCGTCACGACACCGGGCGCAGTTGGCTTTGCTTCGCCCAGTCAGTACATTGTTCCAGGTGCACTTGTTACCGCTGGCTCTACCTATCTTGCGCCCGGCCTCGTGACATTCTTTGTCAGTGCCTCGGCGCCGACTGTCGTGCCAGGCTATCTCGGTGCAGGCGCTGTCGCTTACAGCGCGGCCGTGGTGACTGCCATTGGGTCGATGCCGACCACAGTACAGGCCGTCGATGTGACTGCTTCATCGGGCGAGACACTCTTGCCGGGCTATCAGTCCAGCGGGGGTGCTAGTCTGATTCCTGGGGCACTTGAGACCTCTCCTTCGACCGCCTTTGGCCCCGGCGTGGCGGGCTATGCTGCGGGCAGCCTGACCGTCGTTCCGGCTGTACAATCGGGATCAACCTTTGTGCCTGGCTACACGACGCTCGCCAACGGTACTCCGACGACGATCTTCAGTACACCGGCCGGCTTCACGCCGCTCGATGCTGTCGCCGCTGCTTCTGGCTCTCCTGCCAACGGAACCATGTCATCCTCCGGTAACGCTACGATGTCGTCCTCAGGAAGCGCTGCCATGTCGTCTGCGACCTCCAGTGGAGCAGCGGGCGGAGGTGTTGTGCCCGTAGGAGGCGCAGGCGGGAGTGGTGCAACCAACACAGCTTCGATGATGACTGGCACGGCCGCGATGAGCTCGTCAGCTAGCAGCAACGCCAACACAATGACGTCTGCGCCAGCCAGCGCTACATCTGGCGCAAGCTCGAGTGGATCCGGCGCCATTGCGGCTGGCGAGGCGGCTGCATCTTCCATCATCGCTAAAGCGCAAGGATCGGGAGCGACTCAGCTCTCGGCCATCTCTGCCGGGTTAGCGCTTATCGCGGGCCTCTTTGTCTGCGTGCTTTGAGCATCACTAAAAACCGGGACATACACGGAACATAATTTGAGACCTGTACACATACCGGCAGCATGATTTCTTGTTCAGCATACTGCATTCTGCATGATACCTACAACAACAGCTCTCGTCGCGCGACAGTGTCAAGGCTAGTCTTGCGCCTGTAACCAGGCCATGCCTCCATTGCGCAGCTTCTGCTCAACATTGCGGTACCATCGCTCGACGTCGGCCAGGCTGAAGTAGTGCGGCGCGTCGCTCTGGCTGAACGAAGAGAGATATGTGAAAAGATTCTTTGCAAGCTTCCCAGCAGCCATCAAGAGCGGGTCGACGGCCTCTGTTGGAGCTGTCCGGGTGACGAGAGCCAAACTTTGTGATGGCTCATCGGTCGGCATCGCCGCAGATGCCTCCTGACTAGCGTGCGGGCGCGCCTCGGCCGCAGTGAGATCTGCTTCGATCTGCTCCAAAGGCTCACACTGTATGCCGATATTGAGCGTGTCGACTGCCGTTGCACTTGCAAAAGCCAGTCCTTGTGATGCGGTCAATGTCGAGGCGGTGATGGCCTTGAGACGAAAGATGGCAGAGGGTTTATCGTTCGAGAGCTTGCCGAGGAGCTGCCAGGTGTCTTTGCCTGGCAGGTTGAAATGTACGGTTGCTCCATAGCCCGGTGGAAAAGGCTGGGTGCTGAGAAAGACAACAAGATGGTTGACAGAGCTCGCTTCAGGGACTTGGAAGAGGAAACGAGTTGCGTCGACCTGCTGGAGATTGGTCTGCCTATGCTGACTGTCAGGCACGGCCAAAATGTAAACGTCCTCTGAACGCACGGCAATCTGCCTGCAACCACGAGTGAGAACATCGCCCGTAGGCCGGCCCAAGCGGTGGCAAGCTGGCAAGTGATTAGCGCGAACTTCAAGCTTCAAGTAGCCGGACACCTGACAGCACCAAACAAGCAGCCATGCAGGTCGACCAGCTCCGGCCGATGGTGCCTCTGCTCGACTGTCCCAGAGTGGCTACGCTACCGAGTCACGTGGACCTGCTCGACCGGGCCGATGTTTTCCCACACATAAGCGAGCAATGGAACAGTGACTGCTTCGTCTTCCCGGCTGCCTGGCCTCGCACACGCATCCTGCCTTATCCTGAACCCAAGCGAACAGCAACGCCAAGCTTTGAAGAGATCAGCAAAGTCCAGACCGATGCTGTATATTGCACGCCAGAGAACAGGCAGCTCTGGGAGAACTCGGAGCCGCTGCTCGTCGTTGTCAATCGCTATCGTCGAGCAAAGCCAGCTCACAGTCAGCCGAGGACGCCAAGAACCACGATGGTGACGATGCACGCAAACGGTCTCCACAAGGAGACCTTTGAGCCCACGCTCGCTCACCTCATCAAAACCCTTGGGACGGACGCGCAAGAGATTGAGGAAATATGGTCGCTCGACCTTGCCCATCAGGGCGTCTCCGGCTTGGTCAACGCCAGCAAGAGTAATCTGGAAGTCCACAGCTGGCCTGATCAGGGCCGCGATCTGCTCAACTTCCTTCTCCTCTATCTTCCCCCGGCCACACGCAACGTCATAGCGGGCGAAGATCCCTCTCTCTCGCACGGCGCCAGCGCTTTGTCGTCAGGCTCTCCAGCTCCGCGAATGCTTGCTCGACAGCATCTAGAAGACAGTGCCTTGCTCAGACTGGACGGTAGTGGGGCACAGCTTAGCGGCCAACAGATCAGAGGACGCAAGATCCTGGGCTTGGGTCACTCTGTCGGCGGCTCAGGTGCGCTCATAGCCGCTACGACATTGCCATCCGTCTTCTCGAGCATCGTCTTGATTGATCCCGTCGTTGGACCGCCAAGGTGAGCTGCAGCTTGCAGTTGCAACAGTAAATCGACTGACTGTCTGGCAGCATGTTTTCACCCGAAGCGCTTCCGGCAAACAGGAAAGCGTGGGTCGCGCGAGTATCTCAAACTTTGGCACGCCGCGATCACTGGCCTTCAAAAGATGAGGCCGCAAAAGCGCTCATCAAGAACAAGATGTTTTTCGGCCGCTGGGCGCCAGAGACGCTCGATCTGTATGTCCGCTTTGGTCTGACAGGAGGCGATCGAGGCACAAGATTGACGAGTACGAAAGTCTCCGAGGCCGTGCGCATGAGAGACTATGTCTACGCTAGAAAGCTGACCACAGTGCGGCAGGGCATCTTCTGCCTGCCAGATCCGCCGCTTGATACAATGGAGATCTTTACGCGGATGCCACTTGTCCCTGCTGATCTGCCCTACCACTACATCTTTGCAGATCGTCACATGGGCGTCGTGCCCGAGAGTGCCATGAAAGATATCCTCAGCCAGATCTCACGCCATGCCACCTCGACGAGAATCAAAGGCGCATCCCATCTCGTTGTGCAGGAAAAACCGGAAGCGCTCGCAGTTGAGATTGCCCGCCTGATACTCGGCGACGGCGCGGCGACATCTCGGTTGTGACCGCCCTGACTAGTTTCACCGGCCACATCGCTGATCTATCAAGCCGAGCGCCTTGACGACTCTGCTCCTAGACAAAAATGCGCTTTGCCGCACTTGGCGCGCTCTTCGCTCTTCTCCAGACGACTCACGCACATGACTGGGCTCTCAGATCGAAGCGACCCTCGCCGCCAGCTGGATGGAAGCCTGTCCGACATCCTCGCCGTGTGCTGTTGAAGCAAAATGTGCGCATTCACTTTGCGCTTAAACAAGGACGTTTCGACCAGTTGGAGCGTCATCTGTACGTCAACATGATGGTCAGCTTCACTGATTGACTTGACCGGGATGGATGCTGTGCAGTCTGCAAACCTCATCTCCAAACAATCCCCTTTATGGGCAGCATCTCTCCTTTGCGCAAGTCAATGAGCTCCTTCGACCGTCAGATGAAGCCATTGCCGCCTTTGAGAGCCATCTTCACAGCCATGGCGTCAACAAGATTGAATACTGGCCCGCAAAAGATTGGGCATCGGTCAGCATGACGGTGCGATCAGGATTCGTGCTTTTGATTGCGCACAGCTGACAATGGTGCAGATCGGGCAAGCCGAGCTCATTTTCAACGCACGTTTCTCGGTCTTTGCTCGTGATGGCGAAACAATCGTTCGCACCCTCGAGTATTCCTTACCTCGCAATCTGGATGTTCATGTCGAAGCAACGTCGGCAACTAGCTTCTTTCGACCTCGTAAGCTCACTCGTGCGAGTCGTGGACCATCTGGCCCCTTAAGGGACATTCCGAAGGCGCAGTCATATGGTCTGCGGGCTGCTGTCAAGAAGCGCGATCTGTCGTGTCCGGATCTCAGCGGAGTAAATTTCACCTGCTATCGCCACTGGTACGAAACAATCGATTACAAAGTCCAGCATCCTGGCGCATCAGCAGTCGCTATTGCGGGTTTCCTCGGAGGAACGCCTCAATACAAAGATGCAACCGAATTTGTTCAATGGATGCGTCCTGATGCACAGAATAAGGGAGATGTTCAGTTCCCCGTGGTCCTTTACGGCGGCGCAAAGAACAGGCAAGGTTTCCAAGACTTCACGCCCGCTGAGCTATCTTCAGAACAGAATCTCGAGGGCACGCTTCTCCTCCATGTCTATCACAATTGGACGCCGCTGACTCTGCGTCATAGCGAACGGAGACTCTCAGCATATACTCAACACGATACTTCCGCTCAACATGACATACTACTCGGCGTGGGGATCGATGCCTGCCATTGACTTTACGCCAGATGCAAGCAATCCGATCAATGGTAACGAGAACTGGGAGCCATTTTTGCAAGGCTTCAGTGCGCTCGAGCATCCAGAGAAGATCGTCTCTATCTCGTGTGTGCTACGCATCAATCGCATCACCGCTGACCTCTGGCCTTTGACAGATACGGCGACGATTCTCAAACCGTCGACGAAGCATACGCAAGGCGAATATGCAGTGTGTTTGCTGCCTGGGGCGCACGCGGCGTTACTGTTTTCATTGCCTCGATGGATTCTTCGCTCGCTGGCGTGGGTCCATCATGCGAAGCTAATTACGGCGCCCATCTTCAGACGGCTATCCCGACTTTGCCAGCCGAATGTCCTTGGGTGACTACTATTGGGGCCAGCAACATCACGACGGGCGACGAAACGGCAATTGACTGGTCTGGCTTGGGCTTCTCGAAGCGTTTCCCAAGGCCGGTGTGGCAACAGGCAGCTGTTGATAGCTACATCAAGACCCATGGTCTGGCGCCCTTTGCTGGTCTCATCACGACACCTGCTGCACTCAATGGCCGCGCCTATCCTGACTTGGTCGCGACGGGTACACCATGCGAAGTCATCTGGAATCACCTATCGAGATGGTGGGGAGCAACGTCAACGGCGACGCCAGAAGTTGCTGCTATTTTTGCGCTCATTAATGACGCTCGACTGGCAGCAGGCAAGCCTACGATCGGTTTCATCAACCCAGCGCTCTATGGCATCAAGACTGGTATCTATGACGTCGTGCATGGCCACACAAGTTCTTGCGGCCTGACTGGATTGCCGGCCGCTGTAGGTTGGGATCCCATCAGCGGTCTAGGTGCGCCTCGCTTCAATGGCTTGCTGGAGGCTTTCATGGCCATGTAGCCATTGCATAAAATCTGAGCTTCATAGTATCATTGGGCGTGCGTTTCGTGAAGTAGACATGTCTCCTCTGAGATATGAATATCAAACGACCAGCGATCTCGCAGCTAGGCAAAATTGAGAAGTTCACCGCATTCACGTGCCAAAGTAAGAATAGAACGCCAATATTTGATCGACTTATCGAGGGCGTGTGGTCTAGTTGGTTATGACGCATCCTTAGCATCTTTGCGTCTGGATGAGGTCCGGGCTTCGATTGCCCGCATGTCCAGACACTCGTGTCTTTTTTGCGCCGCTCAACACGAGCTGTCTTATTGCTACATTTTTGCGCACGGAGGATAAGAATGGCGCTTTGGCAGCAAATGTTTTCGAATTTTCAGACCCTCATGTTGCCGACGCGGGCACCGATGAGTCAATGCAGCTCTAAACAACACATTGTCGCGCGGCCAGACATAGCGATGATGGGTTCAGCAGCGAGTCACGCACGGTGGCCCGCGAGGGCTTTCACAACATTGGGGCCGCCCGGGTGACCTCGTGCAATTTACCTGACATGCCGCCTGCAGCTTTGGCGACATCGGCTAACGTCCTCTCGTTTCCAACGAGGCTATCTGAAACGTCTTTACGGCTCCCTTCCGGATGGGGTGGGCGAGCAGGCTTGTAAACATCTGCCACAAATCTGGCAATGGCGGGCTCGCCAATCTCGGCATCTGCTCGAGGGCCCCATCGATAGTCGTATTGCTGGTCATTGTCGGTCTGCTTAGTCTTGCGACCACGTGTAGGCGCAGGAGCCGAGACATTCGTCTTTAGCGTTTCTTCGAGATAGCCCTCTTCGCTCAGTTGTGCAATGTACTGGGTAAGCGTCAGGGGAGCTCTCTCGGTCGTGTCACCCGTGAGAGCAGGAGTGAGAGGCAGAGCAGTGCTCGCCGCGAGACCCATTCGAGCCAGATAGCCAAAGAGACGCCCTGCGAAAATCAGCTATGGCTTTTGGAACCAGCTACAAACATACCGCTCGCGAGAACACGGCCGTTGACGAGGATCAAGCTGAGGATGACATGCAGAAGGCCCACGAGAGCGCGCTGATCGCTCCTCTTCCACTGAACGAGAGCACCATCATCGTTGAACCATCCGGTAAGCGTGGACGTGGCGACGCGTTCAGCGAGAGGTTCGTCGGCAGGCGCGGCTGACTCGCGCAAGATGTCTGCTGGGAGCAAATCTCGGAGAACGTAGCTCTTGCTCGTTGTCACTGCTTTGTATTTGCCTTTCGCTTGTGAGGAAGCGACAGCCTTGCGAGTCGGGGCAGCCTCCATTGCTGCTTCTTCCTCCAAAATAGCTGCCCCCCGGCCTCTCTGGCGCAACTCGACGAGCTCCATGGCGAATGTCTTCTTCAAGTATTCCTGAGCTGCCTCGAGCACAAAGCGAAAGTTGCGAGACGATTCCGGCATGATCTTCTTGACGATTTCATCTCGACGGATCCCTTTGCGCGACTGTTCTGCAAAGATGACATAGCGTGCCAGTGCAATCGCGTAGCCTCTCAGCTCCTGTTGTACACCGAGCATGAGCACGGAGAAGCATTGGGAGAGGCGGCGAGGACGAACGGCAGCGCTCAGATTGGACCGCGTCTTTCGCTTGATCTGTTGAGTCGACGGCGCTGCTTCATCGTCTGACGAGCTGAGCTGGTCGACTGTTGCTGCTCTTTTGTCATTTCTCGGTGTCGACGGTGACGGATCTGCTGGCGGCTTGCGCTTGGCCATCGTTGATAGCCGATATGGGATCGCTCGCGCGGGGCCAGTAGAGAGCGCTAGATGTCTAGCTGGAGGTGGTGGAGAACGAGCGCGTCGCGGACGACGACGCAAGCTCAAGCGTTCAATTTGCGCGGTGCTAGCGCGCAGCCTTGTCGATCGACATGCGAGTCCTGCTTGTCATCGACGTTCAAGAAGCCTTTCTACACGACACGATGCGCTCGGTGGAACGCTCTACGCCCGACTTTGAGGAAAGCATCGACCGACTTCTCGCACACTACCGAGGCAGGCAAGATCACTTTGTAGTCCATGTCGCGCATCAGGACGAAGACCCCACATCGCTCTTCAACGAGACCTTCAATCCGGGTGGCACCAAGATACAGGCTTCGATCGCGCCTCGGGCGGATGAGCCAGTCTTTGTCAAAAAGACTTCGTCGGCTGCAACAGCGAGGGTCAAGGAGACTTGCTCACTTGGCAGTGCTAGACTGTCTACCAATATGACTCTGATTGGTGCTCTTGACATGGTACGGCCGCTACAACTGACGCTTGTTGGTCTTGAATCACCACACTGTGTCTCGTCAACGGCCCGCGCATTAGCAGATCTGTACCTTGACAGATCAATTGCTGAGCGACCAGTTCTTAGCGTTGTATATGATGCGACGGCAGCCTACGTAGAGCCTGCTGCGCCGGGTGGCAGCTCCATGTCAGCTCAGACTCTTCACGACGCGACAATGACTGCACTGCATGCTGGCCACGCGTACGTAGTGACGAGTCAGGATGTTCTCTCTCAATAGGGAGACACAAGTGTGCATTTTGTTGATAGCTCTGTTGCGATAGTCCAATGCCCGTACATACATTCTATTGTGTTCGGCTTCAGCTGTGTCGATCGACGGCAAAGGTCAAAGCAAGGCAACGACGCCGTCGCGAGTGCCATAGTGGATGCGGGAGGCCAAGCCGACCGAAGTGATGAGACCAGCGATCAGTAGCCCAACGTTGACCGGGGTATAATTACCTTGCAGCGGGCCTTTGATGAGTAAATCGAGCGCGTATTGCACCAGGCCGAACAGGCCAGACAAAGTGTTCATGAGTCCGTAGACGGTGCCAAAGGTCTGGAAGCCAAATGTTTTGGCGCAATAGTCTGAAACGGCGGTGTACATGAGCGGTCGGAGCAGAGTGAGCGTGGCTATCGACACGACCTGGGCAGGAGTGCCATGAGCGAGTCCGAAGATGCCAAAGATGACACCAAAGAGGGCAAGGACGATAGTGGTATCCCTGATAGAGCGCTTGTCCAGCAGATACCCAACAAATGGGATGGCGACGATGCCCCCGAGGGGCAGTAGATAGGTGAAAGCTCGCGTCAGTTGATCGGCTAGAAGCTCATCGCGAGTGTAATGGACGAGCTGCGTGAAGGCTGATTGGATGTAGAGATTGATCCTCAGCATGTGGATACAAAGAAAAGCAGCAGCGAGCCAGAACCAGGATGACAGGATCTGCTGTCGAGCAGACTGGCCGAAGAGCTTGCCTGTGAGGGGATCGCCGGAGAGCACCTCTGCAAGTACATCGTCTCGATCCGCGTTCTCGCCATAGAAGACGCGCGAAAACGTCGAGGCATTGATGTTCGACTCTGACATGGGCTCTACGGTATACTCGAGCGTGCCAGTCTGACGTGTGCTGGCCTCATCAACAAGTGTGACTGTATTGTCATTTTGCGTTGGTTTGGGGTCATCGCCGCGTGCATACGATGTCTTTGGAGCCAGCAGAACTTGTTCGAGCACGACGAGTAAGCCAAGAAGCGCGTAGGCCAGGAAAAAGGTCTTTGACGAGACGCCGAGACCGAAGTGCAGCTCGCGAAAGGCAACGAGAGGCAAGCTCGAAGCATCAAAAGAGCCGGTGAGGGATGACAGGACGAGTCCGGAATTGGCCGGGAAGGCGTTGGAGAGCTGGAAGCAGGGCAGGAAGATGAGGGGCGAGCCGACAGCGATGACGACGTAACCAGCGAGAAAGGTATCTACGCCTGGCGATCTGATGCCCAAGCCGAAGAGCAAGCACCCGATGGCAAATATGCAGCCGCCAAGTATGCTCGTTCGCTGAGGTCCTATGCGGTCGAGCAAGAAGCCTATGGGCAGAGCAGAGACATTGGTGACAACGGTGGCGATCGTGAACATGAGATTGAGTCGAGTATCTTGCTCGAGACAGACCCACACGTCTCGCTGGAGCTCATCCTGCGTGCATAGCTCGCTGTAGATGCCTTCGTCAACGAGTACTGGCTTGAGGGCGGCAAAGCCAAAGATAAGGCCCGCGCAAGTCAAACTACAAAGAGCCAAGAGTCTCATGAGCACGATCCCATCCGCCGCCGATGATGACGCTGACCAGAAGAAGACGGAGCAGATCACTTGAGCCACCCGCTTGGCCACTGGCACCTCGCTCGCCAGCACCATGGCCGCTGTCTCTCTCCCTCTCGTCGATTCTTGTCGCGTAGCGTAGTGCGCAGAGCAAGACTTCTCCTATCGATCCCATCCCACTTGCGGACTGCTCGGCTGGCTGGTAGCTCCAAGGTGGCCGAGCCGACGAGGGCGTATGCAGCGCGGGAGCAGCTTCTGCCGGGCTTGTTACTTTTCGCAGCGTTCCAAGCCGAGCGCCAGTCTGCCCAGTCTACGGCGGACGTACTCCATCGACTCGCCTAAGCCAGCAGACACAAGGACGACGCATGCACAGCTGAGCGGGCTGCTCAAGACGGCCAAAGAGCAGGCAAAGGCTCTGCAGGTCGACCAGCGCCTGCGTCTGGCTGCTCAACTAACCAAGCAGCGCTACGCCTCAGCTGCCAAACGCATCGAGCAGGAGCTCGGGGTACTTTCCCAGCGATTGAGCAAAGCGAGCGGCTATGAAGAGATCGAGGACCTCAAGCGACTCGTCGGCGAGACCGAGCTTGCCCTCGCTGGGCGCCGTCAAGCAGCCCGAGAGGCGAAGCAAGCCTACGAACAAGCCGTTGCAGCGCGACTCACCACTCAGGTGAGTGTCTCGTGGTTCGCCTGTCTGTACGTGGCCGAAGCAGTTGCCGTCAACAGCGCGAGATGAATGACATTCTTGCACGCAAGTCGGCCTGGTCGGACAGTGACATTGCAGCTTTTCCAGAGATCGTCCGCCGCGAGCATGCTGCCACGCAAGCAGAGAGACAAGCAAAAGAAGCCGTCGCTCTGTCGGACGAGCAAGTTGATTCGACTTTCGATAACATGATGCGCCATGTTCTCGCTCGTTATCACGAGGAGCAAGTATGGTCTGACAAGGTGCGTCGATCATAGAGACCATCCATGTTTATCGAGCTGAACAAAGATCAGATCCGCTCAGTGTCGACTTATGGCACCCTGCTCATCACCAGTATCAACGTCGTACTCTTCCTCTTGACGCTCATCGTCATCGAGCCCTGGAAGCGTAAGAGACTTGTCGCAGGAGTTGAGGAACGCATTCGTGCTCGCGAGGACCAAATTGCTCAAGCTGTTGCGACGATCCAGCAAGAACTCTCGGCGAGCATGCAGCTGACAAACGGTCATCTCGCGACGATCGTCTCTGGTCTGACTGCCGTATCGCCCGACGCTGTATTGCCTCCCACCGCGGACGAGTCACAGTTGGACGACACCGTCGTACAAGAGGTCGAGCGCGTTCTGTCGGCTTCCGACACCCGTGAGGCGACCTTTCTGCAACGATGGTCTATCAGCGCTCGTCAGTGGATAGCGCAACTGGCTCTCGTCGACTGGGAACGCGCAGAGACGCCGTTTGGCTTGGGTCTTGTCCTGGGCACGTTGTGCACGCTTTGCTGGCTCTACTAGTCCAACAGAATTTGCATTCCCGCTACCCTAGCACGAGCTCGTAGGCAATGACGAGTATGTTGACAGCAATGAGGGGTACTGCGAAGCGCCGGTATGAGCTCGATTGATCCAAACGCTTGGAAATGTGACAGCTCACTTCTCAGCAAGGTCCTGATGGCGCTGATGAGGTTGACGAGCCGTACTTTGACACTCTCGCCGCTAGCTTGGCCTTGTCCTACGCCGTATCCGGGGTCACTGAACTGACTGTACTGTCCCGGGTGCTGGCTAGACCATCCGACTGCAGGCTCTTCAGCTACAGCGCGGTGATACGCGCGGCAGGCGTACTTCTAGAGAGGAAGCGCTCCTCGTTGAGCACGGCTATCGCATTGACGAGGAGCAGCGAGATCAGGAAGATCTCGGAGATCGTGAAGCCCATGTACCGATGGCCGCCACGTCTGTCGAACTTACCGGTGAGCTTCACCGCGCTTCGCTTCAGGCGCGCGACGGCACCTTCTTCTACGCCAGCCAGCATCGCGTCTTAAAAGCTCAGGATTTCAAGAGAGTGCCCAGACGATGTCGAACCTCGAGACTCCAGCGGCAGACATGCAATGTGTGGAGCGACGCTCACAAACGAGCATCCTGTGGGGTGTGTCGAATAGCGCGACGCACGGCAAGATCTGCTCCGACTCACGTCAGCAGCAATCAACCGATATGGTCATCCAGCTTACCCGACAAGATCGACTCTGTACCGCCGAGAATTGAGCTGAATGCGCGCGTTCGCTGCAGGGTCTCGATGAGCCGGCCCATGCCGCCTTGCGTGAGTGAGCGGCCGCCCCAGATATGCACTGCTTCGTCGGCGACTTCAAACTCCATCCTGTACGTCTCTTGAGCTCGTGCGCGACAAGCTCGACAGACGATCTCACCTGGTAATCGCATACTTGCTGAGAGCAATGGGACCTGATAGATACTCCGTCTTGATCGCAAGATCCATCTTTGCCATCTGGTACGTGATGGCTTCATTCCATGCTGACGCGCTCTCGACGGCAGCGAACATCCGCCCCAGCCTGGCACGAATCACTGGCTCGTCGATGAGGTGATGGCCAAAGACTTTGCGCTGTTTCGCCCACAGCAATGATTCCTCGCAAACTCGTCTGGCGAGGCCGATGGTCAAGCAGTTCATGAGCCACCGCTCATGCGAGGTATTTGCGAGGATCGTCTTGAGGCCCTTGCCTTCCTCGCTTAGCATGTGTGACACAGGTACCCTGACTCTATCGAAAGTGACACGCCCCGTTCCCGCTGTGCTCGAGTAGCTCGTCTTGGTCGGCTGGACGGTGACGCCCCCAAAGTGAGTGTCAATGAGCAGCATCATCAGCCCACTCTTGGTTTTGACGGCTGTGCTGTAGTAGCGGGAGATGCGCGAGGTCGTGATCCATTGCTTGACGCCAGATACCTCAAAGTATTGCCCATCGTCTGACAGGACGGCTTCAGTCTGGATGCCGGCCACGTCCGATCCGGCAAACGGTTCTGTCATGGCGAGGCAAAGCGTCTCGCGACCACTGAGAACCTCATCGATCACGCGGTCCCTGATTTCGTCTTTGGCGTGCAAGAAGAGAGGCGGCAGACCGATGACCATGCCGACCAGGAGGCCATCTTGGAATGCTCTCGTCCCTAGTCGGCCAATTTCGTAGTGCACAATGAGTTCGTGGAAGACGTCAAAGTCCTCGCCTTTGAGATAGTCAAAGATGAGTGCGCCATGCAGATGCTTGCCAGGGCCGAGTCGCATGTGATTGAGCTTGACATCGCCCATTCTGAGCATGAGCTCTTTTGAGATGAGCTCACCAGAATCCTCCTTCTCCATCGCTTCCGGCAGAACTTCCTCTACCAAGAACTTTCTCAGTCGCTTCTGAAATTCGATGTGGCCGCTTGTGAAGTAAGGTGACGCAAAGATCTCAGGCTTGAGGTAGGTCGGCTCGCCGTAGGGAATGTAGCGAATGTCTCCCGCCTCGGGCGATTTCACGGTGGCTCTTTGGCCTTGCACAGTCCCGATCTGAAGCGTGCTGTATCTCGTCAGGACCTCGTGACGGTGCAGATTGTAGAACTGATCTGTGCAGTCCTTGCCCGCGACATCTCGATGGGTCAGGACGACGTTGCTACCCGGATGAGCGTCGACAAAGTCGGTAATGTCGTAAACCTTTGCATCGATGACGATCCAGAGAGACTCCTCTGTCGCGTGCTTGGCGACCTCTTCGAGAGTGTACGTCTGCATGGTCTGTCGGATCAGAGTCCCGCGGTGACTGTCGCTTATCGATCCCGACTCGACAGATTCCGGGGTAAGCGTAGAGTTTTTAAGATAGCCGGCGCGCGCGCGAACTGCGACGCCGGGTCGAAGAATGCTGAAGCTTTCACCTCTCAATAAGCTGCTTGGCGGTCTAGCGCTAGCCAGATCACCTGTCTGCTGCCACTGCGAATGCTTCACACCAGATCCGTCGGAAGCGCACGCAAATGAACGGACGTACGTACGGCAGCGTTGTTGTTAACAACAGACATACTGAGTAGCACGCTCAGGGCTGCCCATGAGGCCCGCAAAGCCAAGTACGACGGTCGAGCACGCAGAGCTGAAATGAGGCACGAACGGCGCAGCGAGCGGAGGACAAGGCGGATGGACCGTAAGGCGCAGCGCCGCGGAGGTAGCAGCGGCGCAGCGAGGCACGACGGCGTCAGTGGCTCAGCTGTGGCAGATGACGCAAACCTAACGCCAGCTCCTGGCTCGACGTACGGGGGGACAAGAGCAACAGACAGCGAGAAATAGGCTGTGGATGAGGTGCCGTTCAGGGACGCCACCATCGCAGGGGTCCTGTGCCTTCTTCGTCACAGGAGCCTTGCAACTTGTAGCCAGAGGGAGCGATGAGATCTTGTGCGCCGCCGCGCGATCCGCTGGTGCCGATGTTGCCTGCATTGACGAGTTTGGGGGCGACTTTGGGGCCGGTCTCTTCAAAGATTTCGCGATTGACCTTGAACGCAAACGCTTCTCCTTTGAGCACATAGAGCTTTGTCGTCGTCTCTGGCTCCTCATCGTTGGAGTATTCGAGCATATAGTTTCCGTGAGGGGTGGTCGAATCACTGGCCGCCTGCTTGTCAGAAGGCGCGATTTGCTTCGAGCTTGCGACGTACAAGTTCATGTTGTTCATCATGAGCGACTTTGGTATCTCGATCTCATCGAAGAAGCCAAGCGAGACTGTGCCGGCTGTGAGAAACAGCCGCCCCACCATGGCGAGATCCACAGCTGACCTCGGATGCCCTCTGCGCTTTGAGAGAGCACTTGTCCGACGAGCATCTCACCCACTTGCGGCTTGAAGACGACCAGATCGAACACCACTGCTGTTGCTTGAGCGCGCGCGCCATGCTTCTGGGCAAGCTTCGCGTACGCTTGTAGTAAAGCTTGCCGTCGCCGTAGAGCACCATTCCTTCGGAGCAGTCTACAATATTGTAGAGCGTCACGCATAGTCCCAGGCCTGCAACGACCTGCAAACCTCTTCACCATTCAGTTTGGTCGCGCACACGGCGACATCGACTGACGTTGTTGGCGTACTTGCGGTTGATCTCGTACGTAATTGCTGCCTGCGTGTCTTTGCTCATATCTCGTGGCTCGACTGCGATAGTGTCCTGCCGGTCTCATGAGCTCGCTTCGTGAAGGCTAGCGCGTGCCGTCAATGCCTTGAGCCTAGATTGGACGAACATGGAGCTGAACGAGCCCAGCAGGGCGCTCACAGCCAGCCGGCAAAATTTCGCAGAGTGTTCGCGACGCGCAGCGCAGCGCCGGCCCGTCTTGGACAGAACAGGTACTCCCAGCCGGGCTCAAGCGGCTTCAGCAGTGCTCAAGTTGCTCGGTCCAGAAGCTGTCAGCTCTACCTGCCGCGCCGCTGATGCAACGGCGCGGCACGCAAGGACAAGCAGCCTTGCAAACCGAGTGATCCGACCTGGTGTAGGTGCTCAACTTGGTCCTGGAAGCCGACCTGAACAGGGATACTTTGCAGCTATGCATCGACGGTCGGACGAAGGCAGCAAACAATGAGCTTCTTCAGATCTCTCTTTGCTTCGACAAGCGAATCCGGCCTGCCTCATTCAACCGCGCGCCCGCAGTCTGGCTCGTCATCCGGGCCCGGCTCGAAGGCTCAGGCTAGCTCTCCTCGGAAGCCAGCAGACGCCAGTCAATCCGAGTATGACGACGTCAGACTGTCCATGGACACTCGTCCGACGCGCTCGGCGAGCCAGAATCATGATCCCGATTCTTCTCTTGCCTCAAGCTCTTCCTCGAGGTCTGACTCGTCCTATCCGCCCGAGGCAAGCCAAATGGATCGTGCGCAGACGTATGCATATCCCGTCTACCAGAGCGCGCGGACGACTCGCGCCAACGGCAGCACGCTCAGCACATCAGATAATGCCAGGAACGCTGCCGGCTCGAGCTATCCTTCCGTCAAGGCAACATTCAGGCGGATTGAAAAGATCCTGTCCAGCCAGTATCCTGAGCTCGTCGATACGCTTTCCCTGCCCTGTCCCTCGAAGGAGATACTCGATCTACAACGGCTACTTGGCGTTGGACTGCTACCGCGTGATCTGAAGGACTCCCTCGCGATACACGACGGGCAAGACGTCTATTCTTGCAGCACAACAAACACCAGTGGCAGATCCGATCTCGCCCCAGGTCGTCCGGGTCTCGTCTGGGGACTCTGGCTCATGACAGCCGAGGAGATCCATGAAGAGTGGGATTTCTGGCGCAAGCTAGAAGCAGCGAACATGGCGGGACATGCTTCACACCTTGTAGACGATCCATTTGCGCCTGCTTTCCCGCGCCCTGCGTCCTCGTCGCGATCGAGCGCTTCTAGCACGCGAGCGCCGACATCGGAAACCTACGATTCTGTCAACAACGCAGACGGGACCAGCAGCACCGGTATATATGTAGCTGATGATCTTGACGAATCGCGTTATAACACGACCGGTCAAGTCATGGGCAGCTGTCCACAAGGATGGGTAAGAGAGCATTACAGCAATCCCGGCTGGATTCCCCTCTTGCGGGATGGCGGCGGTAATTATATAGGCATCGACCTCAACCCACCTCAGACGACACGCGTAGACGACTCGGACGACGACGTCACCACGCCAAAGGCTGACGGACCGTCGCCTTTCGTTTTCCCTCCCAAGACGAGCGCCGGACAAATGAACGCCTGGAAGACTTTGCAGGCTTTGCCAGGTCAGGTCATCGCGTTTGGCCGTGATATCGACGTCAAAACAGTCTTGTTTCCTGGGTGGGGCTCAGAAGGTGGCTGGGCACGATTCCTGTCGTCTTTTGCAGATGATCTGCAAGCGAATTCATTCTGCACATTAGATTCATCCCTCCGAACGGATAACGACAGCGACGATAGCGACGATGGTATTGGCAGTCAAACATATGCCGATCAAGGCGCAGACTTTGGTCTTACTTTCGAGAGCATCGGGCGCCGAGCGACTGCGCGGACTCGCGAGTCTCGCAGTACAGGCAATCAATGGCGGCTTCGCGGCCGCTACAAAGGCATGGGCATCATCGAGGCGCTGTGCGAGCGCAGTAGGCAAAGCTGGGCGCAGGTTGGGCTCTACTCGGCCCCGGTGCCGCGCGAGACGAGCTTGAGGGAGCCTTTACCCAAGCTGCGGCCTCAGCCAACCACAACGCTCGATGGCTCCCCCGACGCAAGCCCGCGAGTCCGTACCGCCGTCAGAGCCGGCTCTCGTGACTCAAGCTCTTCCACTTCCTCACGGCATCAGGTCGGCCCGAGCAGCAAACGTCCGCTCCGGCGGCCGTTGCCCCCAGTCGCCCCTATAGATCTGCCGACGTCTGAGGATCTTCACTGGCGATCAGATTCGCCACCCAGTAGCCTTACAATGGGAAACGAGAGCCAAACTCGGAAGTCGGAGCGCAGTTCGCGTGAAGGGCATGGTGTCGATCTGCGACCGCTTGGCGCCTCGAACGCGTCCAGTGCGACACTCTGGCAGCCGCAAGAGCAGACAGTGACTGAAGCAAGGTCCAGTTTTGACGATAACGTCGCGTTGGCGGGATACAATGATCCCTTTGGTTCAACGAACAATCTGGTCGGCTACCCAACGTCGCCCAATCTGTCATCTCCCAACCTAGGCTTCGCTAGAAGTTCGTCGCCTGGCGCTCAGCCCCTTCTGCTTCCCAGTCACTCCCCTGGAGTATCACCTAGCGCGTCTCCCAGTGCATCGCCCCAGTCACTTCCACTGAGCTCGCAATGATTTATCACTGTACAACAAGCAGCATTGCATTGCGTGTGCTGTATCATGCTTCGAATGAAGCGACCAAGAGCTAGATGCGCGATGTTGCCATGTTGAGATGAACCTTTTCTAGAAAGAGTGTCAGGTCGTCCCGTGGTACCTGTATAACGCTCGATTCAAAGCCGTCGTGCTGAACAGTCGCGCCAGACAGCTCAGCTGCATCTTCGAAGGCTCGACCGAATTTGCTGCAAGGCTCGCTGTAAGTCTTAAAAGCAAGTGCAGAGAAACCGTTGTACACACTTTTTCTTGACGTTGTCAAAGTTGGCAGCTCCAGTCATGCCTACCACGAGATACGCGTCCGAGCGCTCGTCGAGCGAAGCCAAGATGAAGGGTAAGGATTTGATGCCACCCTTGCCAGCATTGGGTCGCGCTTGTTGCATGAGATCTCGAATGGCGTCAATGAGCCAGACCGCCAGTCTTGACAGCGTCGCAGGATGCGAAAAGACCGAAAGATCAGGGCCTTCGCTGATTGTTGCGAGTCGAAAGTCTGTCAAGCTCTTGATCGCTTTCTTCTCGAGCAGCGAAGTCCCTTGTCGTATTATAGCACGATGAAGAGCCATGCTCAACGGTAGCGACGCCCGCAACAGACCTCTGAAACCGCGCACAATTTCAGTACTGCCCAGTGTGCGTCGGGGAACGTACTCATTGGCCATTGCATCCCATGCGGTTGAGAAGCTTCTCACCCACCATGCGCTGCTCTTGATCTTCACGAGCGCAAGCTCATCGGACTCGGCTTGTATGTTGGGTGCTTCTGCTCGGACGTGCTCTTTGTCCACCCTCGCCGTCTCGGAATCTCCGTATCGTCCGTAGCTCCATGCCCTGACTACTGAAGAATCCCATTCGGCTTGGCCGCCGAGGCCAGAAAAGTCAAGCTTGACGCCGCAAGAGACCTCTAGCAGCGCGCCTAGCCCTTCCACGGCATCCGAAGCGGATAGCGGGCCAGCCATACCGTAGGATCTACAGAAAGACGGAAACGATAGATCGTCAAGCTCATATTCAGGCGCGATCGACTCGATCTTTGCGGGTAGTGCGCGCTTGAGGTCCATATCCATGTGGACCCAGCTTTGTCTTGCTTGCGAGAGTGAATAACTGCATGCAAAATCATGAGATTGCGCGTTGGACACGTGCATGACATACCCCATTTTGGCAAGCAAACCTTGCAGGTTCTTCCTGCCGCGATCTCGCCATAGCCTGAGCTTACTGGCTATGTAGCCTGAGTGCGACATTGAGTCGTACAAACTCCAGTGCCGAAGCAGCATAAATCGGAACTCGTGACTGGCGCGGATGTCCCTGTCATCCGTTTTGCTGCTGCTAGCAGGCTGCTCGCCAAGATTCAGTCTCGCAGCCTCATCTCCGAACAAGCCCGAGAAGCGCTCGTAGCGCTCGCGGTCGACGAGGCCGGCTGTGAATTGATACGTGAGACCCAGAATTGCAAGCCTGTCGCAGAAGTGAGCAAGATAACTCTGATTAGAGATGGCATACCATAGCAATTCGTTGTCTGCGCGGTCCTTCAGCACGGCAAGGCCATAGAGCACACCTGCTGCAGAATAGCCAAAGTAGGTGCCAGAGTCGTAGTATCGTCGGATGGTATTGCGATAGCGTTTCTTGTCTTGCAGGGACAGGCCGGATGGACCTGAAGGCTGACGACTCCTCCGCCTTTTACGCTTCCTGCTGAAGCCACTCTCGTCGTCCTGATCGCCGCCGCCGCCGCTGCCGCCGCCGCCGCCGTCGTCGTCGTTGTCCGAGAAGAGATTGCTCCGAGAAGAGCTGCTAGGTGAGCGCGCTGTCGCTGACAACCGTTCGCGCCGACGTCGAGCGAAATTGAGATCCTCCTCGTCTGTGTCAGCGTCTTCCTCTTCCGATGAGGAGTCTGGCTCGGCATCGAGTGCTTCAAATGCTCTTCGCTCCTCGTCGAGATCGGCTACCTCATTTTGATCCCAGATGAAGACATCTTGATACGGCACCTTGACTGCGATAGCGGTGCGTGAACACCCGGTAAGCCTGACTTACTCCGATGGATCTTACATGAAAACAGATTGTCGAGATTGTAGGGTCTATGTGAATCAATGACGTGTATCCTGACGCCAGGTGACGGCGAAAGGACGTCCAGCTCGATCAAGTCCTTCGTCGCGCCAAAGTTGATGAGGACGATGGAGCGCAACTGAGATGCGACAGTCAGTACATCGAACACCTGGCTATTGAGACAGCACTTGCGTCGAGATTGCCATCTATCCTCTCGACATTGATGCGCTCGAGCTCCGACCAGCCAGAGACGGGCACGAGCGTAAAGGCAATCCAATCTGACCCTCGGCTCTTCAGCTCAATCGACCCTGAGCGTCGCGCATCACGCTTCCTACCTTCCTTGAGGAGCGTGGTCAGTATACGCGCCGCGCATATGGCATCGACGTCGGGCGCGCAGAGGATGAGCAAGCTGTTTTGTCCTCCTCGAAGCTCGGTACGTCGCTGCGGGGCATTGATCTGGGTGCCATTGACGGCTGAGGATGTGAGAGATGCATATGCTTCCTTGAGCCTCGTCGTCGCAAGCACGGGCATCGACTGAGCCGACGTGGGGTGCCTCGACCAGGCGCTCGCTCTTTGGGCGGTCTGCAAAGTGCGACGCGTCTTTTGCCGCCTTGCACGATCCGCGTCGTCATCACCGCCTTTCCATCGCTTGCGAGCGTCATGGCAGATCAGGAGAGCATCGCGACCTTCGTCGAGCTGACCCAAGCTTCACCCGAAGTCGCACAACAGTTTCTCGCAAGCTCAAACGGTGATCTAGAGGTGCGCACCAGGCTCGCATCGGAAGTCGTCAGTCTGACATCCAGAGCGCTTAGACTGCTCTCGGCACATTCTTTGCAGCTCAGGGCGGCGAGGAGGATGACATGGAGACTCCAGAAGCAGATCTTGTCGCACCGCAGACCGCGGCAGCTCCACACACGCTCTCTGGAGGATCGGCAGCTGGACCCTGGCCAAGCTCTGCTGCCGCAAATCCTCGTCCTTCTGCATCCTCGGCTGCTTCGGGACCCCGCATCACTGGCCTGGGCGACATGGGCAGCGCACGCTCCAGCAAGCCTGCACCGGGCATCAAACGAACAGGACAGCTCGGCAGAATCTCCCACGACGATGGCCCGAGCAGCGACGAAGATGAAGAGGATGCACCGACCGGTAAGAAGAAGCAAGAGTTCTTTGCGGGCGGCGAAAAGTCTGGCATCAGCGTTCAGCAGCCTGGCAAGCCCGGAGGCATGGGTCCAGCCGCAGACAATCGATTGGTCCAGGACATCCTCAAAAAGGCCGAAGAGTATGTTGTCAATCAGATCTGCAAAACCTGCTCACTCGAGCATACAGGGCCAGTCCCTCCTCCCCTGCCGGACCATCAGGATCACGTCCCCCCGCTGGACCGTCGAGCTTCTTCAGAGGTCAAGGTATGCGTAGCGCTACGCCTGTGCGATGCAGCTCACGTCTGGCACAGGCAACACGCTTGGATCGGAAGAAGTGCCATCGCAGCCCGTCGGCACGCCCCTCGCCTCCTCATCTCGTCATCCACCAAGCACGCGCGGCACTTTGCCAGGCGCACTCGGAGGATCGTTCGGTGAAGAGGAGGATGATGACGAGCTGAACGAAGACGACGACGGTGCTGATGAGCCGGCGCGGCGCATCTTAACTTTCTGGCGGGACGGCTTCAGCATTGAGGATGGACCGCTGTTGCGCTACGATGACAAAGCGAACAAAGAATATCTCGACGCGCTCAACTCTGGACGAGCGCCATTAGATCTCCTGAACGTCAGATTTGGTCAGCGTGTCGATCTGCAGGTCTCGAAGCGGCTTGATGAAGACTACAAGCCACCGCCTAAACAAGCTGCACGGCCATTTGAAGGCTCTGGCAATCGGCTCGGCTCTCCCGCACCTGGTGCTATGTCATCCCAGCCATCAGCTAGTGCCGCTTCGGCAGACCGCACAGCCCGAACGGTCCCTCAGCCCGTATTTGAAGTCGACAGTAGCCAGCCGACGACTCAGATACAGATACGCTCGGGAAGTGGCGATAGACTCGTCGCTAGATTCAATCACACGCACACGGTAGGGGACATCCGTAGATATCTCGAAGCGTGCGTCTCCTCTGTAGGCCGACGTATCGTGCTGACATCAGCGACAGGTCTTCTCCTGGCGCCGGTGATCGCCCGTACGTACTGCAGACAACGTTCCCCAACCGTGACCTCGATGACGATTCCGCTACGATTGGCGACAGCAAATTGCTAGGCAGCGTCGTCGTACAGCGCTATAGGTGATGCATGATCCGATACAAAACAAAGACATGTATAAACTGCAGGTCATGAGATTCGTGAGAGTGGGTCGCGGACTATATCGACAATCGCCTGGGGAGCATACGGCTCGATGATCTTGAGTGTGACGAACTGACCAGCTCGAACGCTGACGACGGTAGCATCCCAGAGATGGCCTACAACGCCGTCTGGCTGGGAGGCAGAGCGCACATGTGTCTCGAATGTAGAGCCTATAAAAGGTGCATGCGCCAAAGTGGCGAGGCTGAGCCGAAAGGGCAGTCGCACGTATGTAGACACGAGTTCGTCAATCGGTGAGCGCGCTTGTACCGCCGAGACAGGCTGTTGTGGTGTGACAATACGGTGTTTGCTTTCTGGCGAGTCTGAATGGTCAGACGATACGACAGTCTCTTCGTCTGTGACCGCGGCGATCTCGTCCTTCAAGTCTTGTTGGCCTGTGATGATGTCCGATGGAGCAGAGTGGTCAGTAGCAACATTCGCCTCTGCCTGCGGTGTTTCTGGTACAGTAGGTGCGATAGCGCTGACGTTGGCGAGAATCTCTGGGGGAGGCTTCTTTCTGAGCTTGGCATGCTCGACCGGCCTCGTTCTCTCTTGCTCATCTGCAGCTGCAATCTTGTGCGCTTCCGTGTCAGCATCGAGCTTCGAACGGAGCATCGACGCGACGCCATCAAGACTGTCCGACTGAACGGCAGAAGGCGCGGGCGAACACGACGTGACTGAGGCCGATGGTAATCGTGAGCGAAGCGCTGCAGGTATTGGCTGCGGTCCCTGTGCTGAACTGACGAGGTCGCCAGAGGCTTTTCTTGACCTGAACGTCTCGTCATCGACTGAGCGTGCCAAGCGTGCTTGCTGATCACGTTCTGCGTCAGGGAATAGCCGCAGTTTGCCATCGTTAGGTGTCCGTGGGCTGAGATCGGCAGCACTGATAGGAGCGGTGGCGCGACCAGTCATCGTCGTCTGCGGAGGTGACGCGCGAACTGGCAGGTTTGCAATCGGACTGGAAGAGAGAGATGATGAGCCTAGTGTGGTCGTCACAGAGGTGGTAGTGACGGTAGCGGGCGTCACAACAGCGGCACTGCCAGTCTCCACTTTAGAAATTGTCGCGCCAGAAGAGGGGAATGTCACACTCACAGAGACGACGAGCTGCTCGACTTGGAGAGGCCTGCAGAGGTACTCGAACCTTTGAGCAAAGTCACGCTCTGTCGCTTCCCAGACGATGAGGGCGATGAACCGGCATCGGAGATCGGGGCAGGTACGCTACTGCTAGCAGGCGCTGGCCACGGCATGGGTGGCATAGGCGGGGCCTGTGAGGGCGCTACCACGCCGCTCTGCTTCGATTTTGAGATCTTGCGAGACCTGACCGACGGAGCTGTGGGTGACGGAGACGGCGATTCGTTGCTGACAGCAACGTTCTTCCTGCTCAGTGTCGTCGTCGCCGAAGGGCTGGGCGAGCCTAAGGAGGCAGCGGGCGATGCTGTCTTGATCGAGCTATGCGAGCTCGAAGGACTATCGAGGCCGAGCAACTTTTTGAACTTGGCTGATGAGGACCGTTTGGCTCGCTTGATGGATCCTGTCTCTGACTTGCTGCTCATGCCTTGGCTGTCGTGTCAATCGAGCTCTTCTTCTTCTTCTTCTTCTTTGACAGGTCGATGACGCGCTCCGACTCGATCGCGCGCGCCTATCACACGCTTTCTGAGTGTGGCAGCAGCAGCAGCATGGACGCTGACACCCGGTTGACACCTTACGAACTGATCCCGGTCCTCAGAGTGAGTGGCAACGCTGTCGACAGTCCCACCGAGCCGGTCAAAGCAAGCAGCCTACGCTGTCTGGACGGTCGGGAAGAACAGCTTTGGCTTGGCTCTTCTGACGGCATTGTGCGTACCTACTGCCTTGAGCGGATGAGTGATGGCAGCAGCGGCTATGTGAGATCAGACGAAAAGCGTCTATCAGCTTCCACCCAGGGCAAGGCGCCGTCTGCAATCGAGAGACTGTTTGTGCTCCCCAATATCAACAAGGCACTCATCCTCACCGGCGGTGCACTCACGTTTCACTCACTGCTACAGGGCGGCAAGCGTATCAGTAGCGCCCTCGAACGGCCAAAAGAGATCAAAGGCGTCCTGGGCCTCGTCCTCGACGATGGTGGAAAGTCTCCAGCAGGCAGAGCAAGCGAACAGGGCAGCGGGCAGAGCAGCATCAACATCTGTGTCATCCGACGTCGCGTCATTATATGGCAGCGGATCGCACCGTCTGGCGTCGAGACCCTCAGAGAGATACCCCTGCCATCAGACATGGGCATCATACATTACGCAGTCTTGCGAGGTAGTACACTCGCGGTCGCAGACTCGGTCGGCATGTATTCTCTCATCGATCTCTCGTCTGCCAGCATGATCCCTCTCGTCAGCTTCACACAAGATCACGAGCAAACCCCTTCGCCGATCGCGACCAGGCAGGACGCACCTGATCCCATGGCAAGCGTCGACGGGAGCGCTCAAGAAAGCATCAGCTCAAAGCCAAGCTCATCCAGCGGTCCTGCGTTCAACCTGACCCCGTCCCACCGTCCGGCTATCGCGTCCATAGGCTCTGACGAATTTCTACTGGCCACACATAATGGCAAGACATCACTAGGTCTCTTCGTACGAGAGTCGGGAGAGCCGTGCCGCGGAACGATTGAATGGACGTCCAACGTCAAATCGCTAGGTATGTTGCTGCTCTGCGGTGACTTGTAGACCTCTCACGATTGTGCTTCAGTTGTGGACAGAGCGCACGTTCTAGCGCTCTTGCGCAACGATACCGTCGAGGTTCACTCTCTGACGAGTCAGGAGCTGCTGCAGCGTATCGCATGCACAGAGGATCTGCTGCCTCGATCTTTGCGTCTTCTTGGCCGTGCTTCATCGGCATGTAGCATAACCGTGCCTCGCCGATCAGACGCATCGCCGGAGCTGAGCAAGGTTGCCATCGCTCTCACATCAGGCGCGATAAGCTCTGCAATGAATACTCCGGCCAGCAAAGCGACGACAACTGTTTCGATTGCACCTGCGCATCCTAACGTGCTCGTACTTGGCAAGACGGCGATTGCGGCGCTCAGCGTGCCGTCAATGCTCTCGCAGGCTGATGCATTGTTTGCCAAACATGCGATTGATCAAGTCGTCCACTTGCTTGGCCAGTCCAACGTCGATAGACTAGCTTCCCGTGACGAGCAGAACTACATCAGAGCTCGCGCAGGTCTCGCCTGCCTGGCCTTTGGCGATCGCGAGCGCGCTCTTCTGCTCTTAAAGAAAGCAAATCTCGATCCAAGACTGTATTTCTTTCTTGCGCCGGCCGTCACTGCAACGCTACTCACTCTTGATGACGAGGCCGTCACTTTCGCCGGACTCCAGCCTCTTTGGCTCGAAGTGCGCAGAGCCTTGGCCGCTACCTCTGTCGAGGATTCTCGAAGCGCCAATGAAGATTTTTTGCTCTCGCTTCTCCGATCCTGGAGAGCCGACCGCAGGCAGAGAGCGCGATCGCCTGGCCTACGCATCGATGTCACTGTCGATACGGCTCTCGCCATCATTCTCATCGACCACAGCAAAGAGACTGAACTGTTCGAGCTGCTTCAACATCCGCTCCAGGACGTGGACATCGGCCATCTTGCAGCGCATTTACGAGCTCGTGACCGGCAGAATCTGATGGTGGATGTCTACGACCGACTTGGTCCTGCATATGCAGACATCCTGTTGCAATGCTTGAAGGAGTTTGTCGGCCCCCGCCTCCATAGACGCTTTAGCCGCTGATATCTTTTCTGTGCAGCTTGATAGACAGCGCCGTCACTGACGCTCAAAGCAGAGCAGAATACTTTACTCGCGTCGAAGCCCTTCTTACTGCCGTGACAGACAAGGAACTCTTGCTATCCAGCGGCATTTGGCTGATGCGGCACAGTCGGCCCAGCGGCGTCTCTTTGCTGACAGCGCCGCCTAACGATATCATACTTGATTCTGCTGTCGTCTTCAGAGAACTCAAGCAGCTCGACGGCGACATTGCAGATGCATATCTCGAAAGCACAATCCTCGCAGATCAGCAGCATGATCGACATCTACATGCCGAACTGGTGCAACGCTACCTCGACAGGCTCAACACAATGATGAGCGAAACCCTGTGCATTGAACGGTTCGCTGCGCTCTCTAATGGTTATGCTGCCTACTCGGGCGACTACGCGTCCTATCTCTGCAGCTGCTTTAAGCCGAGCCAGGGCGATCAAGCACTCGGTCTTCGTCTCAAATTGATGCTCTTTTTGCATGCCTCATCTAGCTATGATGCGCACGCAATGCTAGACCGGCTCGCGAATTCGTCTCTGTCTTTCGAAGCGACGATTGTTGCGAGCAAACTTGATGGCGTCCCTCATCAAGACGTTTTACATCGCTTGCTCATCGATCTCCGCGATAGCCAATCTGCTCTGCTTTACTGCAAGCTTGGGCTGGTCTTGTCGGGCACAGCCTGCGACGCTATTGCCAGCAAGCTCGGCATAGTCATTCCGGGCGGAGCCAAGATCAAGTCCGAGCAGCATTTAACAACTGAGGAGCAGCGAGCGAGATCACAAGCTGCATTGCAGATCGCGTCCTCATCTCCATCGGGCGCCTCTGTCTTAGCGGACATTCTCGACAAGACAACACACCTTTTCTCTCCACGCCTGGAAGCTCCTGAAGTAGCACCCAAGGACATGCCCTTATCGAGTTTTCGTTCAGTAATACGCCGATCGCTGCGCGAGGTGCTACATACACGCATAGAGTGTGACATCCTCAAGCACCTCCAGACGGCACACAACTTGCGCGTGTCGCTCGAAGTCTGGGAAATGCAAAAGCAAATTGGCGGCACTCTCGCAGAATCCAGCCTGCCGAGCGATGACGAGCAAGCCGATCGACAAGCAGCAGATAGCATCGCACTGGAGGAGAAGCTGCTACAGCTCGTCAAAGCTAAGGAACAATGAATGTATTGATGCAATTCTGACAGACTTTGCTATAATCTTGCTTTTATAACCTCTCGTTGACGTCTCTACTCTCAACAACGGCAGGCTGCCAGCAAACGAGCGACAATGACCTTACTGAGCAGCGGGATTGTTGGCGCAAGAGACGCCTACGGGAATCGGAGGATGTCAGACTCGAGAAGTATCTGGGTTGGGAGCTTACAGGAGCATGCGCCTGGTCCGCAACCACACTTCGAGACATCACTCGAACAGACACAGTCAAACTTGTCTTTGCAGATGCACTCGCCCTTGCCTGATAGCGCAGAGCATCAGCGTACGATTCGCGTGTGATGCGAGGTGGGCGCCTGACCATCGGTAGCCTGTTTTGTTGCTTGTGCAGACGGCTTTGATTGGCCTGACGATTTGCTCTTGTCGCAGCCGGGACATGTGCAATCGCCGACAGCGCAAGTGCATGCGTCGACGGAATTGATGCATGGGCAACTCTGCGGTGCCAGCGTACTGGTTCAGCCATCGTGAGCAGTGAGATTGCCCCTGCATACCTTGGATGCAGCCTGCGGGTCAGCAGCCGAAGCATCATTCGTCTTGCATCCACATTTGCCCGTCATATCTGCTCGTCGGTCTTGCTCGTTGCTACGCTTATCGACTCGTGCCGCGTGCCGAGACGAAGAAGCGCGCGCTATCGCATGCCGCAGAAGCCCACCGGCAGATTGTCGATTTCCCTTCCAATACGCTTCTCAGCAGCCCAATGACAAATGAAGATCGTCGGTCTCCTCAGTGGCGGCAAGGACTCGTGCTTCAATCTTTGTCACTGCGTTGCACAAGGACATCAAGTCGTCTGTCTCGCTAGTCTTGCTCCACCCAAGGGCACAGGCGAGCGCTCAACCTTGACGAACATGATCGTAAGCTCAAGACTCGCACAGATGAGCTCGACTCGTACATGTATCAGACTGTGGGCCAGGATGCCATTGAGACCATAGCACAGGCCATGCAGCTGCCGCTTTATCGCCGCATCATCACCGGCAAGGCGCTGGTGCAAACGATGCATTATGGCTCAGAAGGTGCCACAAACGGAGACGAGACAGAAGATCTGTATGAGCTGCTGCAAAACGTCTTAGCAAGTGGTCTCACAGCGATTCGACCGTCCAGCTGAACGCGTACTGTAGAGGGAACATCCGGATGTGCGAGGGGTCTCAGTGGGCGCCATCCTGTCCAGTTATCAGCGTATTCGCGTAGAAGATGTTTGCGCACGCCTCGGCCTGACTTCTCTGGCATACCTCTGGCAGCGAGACCAGAATGAGTTGCTTGATGAAATGGCACAAGCTGGTCTCGTGTCCGTCTTGATCAAAGTCGCAGGTGCCGGACTGCGCACGCGCCATCTCGGGCAAAGCGTGACCAGCTCACCAATGCGAGAAGAGCTGCGACGGTTGCACGCAAAGTATGAACTGCATCCATGCGGCGAAGGCGGCGAGTATGAAACTTTCACGCTTGATTGCAGTCNTTTCAAACAACGCATCGAGCTGTTCGTCTCTTATCCTCTGGCGGTAGGCAAGCTCACGTCATGTACAGTACAGAGACAGAGCTAGTGCTTAGCTCAGCCAGCGAAGACGATTTCTCAACGGTAGCTCATCTTCGGATCAAGCGAGCGAGACTGGTCGATAAGTCACCAGTCATCGAGTCACTCACTGTGCCTCCGCTGCTTGACGAATACTATCTCGAGCTTTTGAGGCCATCAGGCGGCTCCTCGATGCCGCTCCCGTCAAGCCCGCGAGACGCGATGCAGTCGGCTTTTGCCCCACCGCCTGCCAATACAAAGACGTGGCGAGTCTTATGCGATCTCACTAGTCCATGCGAAGGCGTGGCTGCACAAGCTCGAGACTGTCTGCAGCGGCTTGCAGGTACGCTGAAGCAGTGCTGAGAGTACTGAGCTGACCTGCACTGACAGCGCAAGCGAATGAACATGTCGTCAGGCTGGTGCATCTCGATGTCCATCTGGCCGATATGACAGACTTTGCTTCCATGAATGCGGTCTATCGAGACTTCTTTCGACACTCGCCGCCCACTCGGGCCTGTATCGCGCTGGATCTGCCGGGAAGTTGTCGCATCCGTATTACTGGCGTTTGTGTCCCAGCTGCAGCGACTGTCGAGATTCTACATGTTCAAAGCCTGAGCTATTGGGCGCCTGCCAATATTGGACCTTATGCCCAAGCAGTAGCATGCGGCTCGCAGCTGTTCGTTGCCGGCGCCATTGGCATGCGACCTGCTGATCTGTCAATCGCTGAATCTACTTTATCCGCTGCGTCCGGAGCTATCGATGCGAGCCGACTCGGTGCTGTTCTCGCGTCTCAGCATGTCGAGCGTATAGTCGCCGCTGCCAGTACTCGCCCAAAACGCATTCAAAGCTGCATATGCTGGCTCAACGGGACGTCAGTCGACGGTATCGAGAGCAGCATCTACCGACGCGGCATGCATCAATGGCAAAGCAGCGTCACCGCTTGTCTGTTCCTCGTCGCTGCCGGCTTGCCGAAAGACGCTTGCGTCGAGTACCAGACGACTTGGCATCTTATGTCAGCATCGAGCGAGGGCAGTGATGGAACAGATCTGGGGAGTCACTGTGGCTTATACGCCTATGAGACCCTGCCTCATACCCCGCCAGAGATCCACGGCTCCGACTGGACTCGTGTCTATCACACCGCCAAAGCCAAGCCGACCGATGCGTGGCTTCACAAGCTTGGCGGCAACGAAGTCAGCGTCATCGAGGTAAGAGGGATTGCTACTTTTGTTAGTCAATGCTTCAGCGAATGCGAGCTTGTTGTGATGCCAATACAATTCAGCTCAGTGTGATCATTCAGAGGGGATCATGAGACTGCAAAGACTTGTCANGCGATAAGATAATCTAGATGCATTAGAGNGTAAGCGCTGAGAAATGCCAAGATCGCTTGTATAAATGCTGTCAGATGGCGGCTAGGTTGCTGTTGAGCCACGAGCTAAATCCGGCGAGCGAGCAAGCCTCCAAGGCTGGCCACATACGGTGGAGCACTTGTCGCAGGCAGATACTCTTCGTTCGCTGCGCATACCTCCTCTGAAGTTATCCATCGCTGATAGGTTGCAGAGCTACCTCCGGACTCCAGTGTTCATAGGCAAAGCAAGATCCAGAGGCGGTTGTCGTCTTCTTGCTGACCAGCTTCTCGTCTGAACGACCGAGCGCGCCTCAACTTGACGGCCGCGAGCACAGCAGGTCAAATCTCGTCGGCTTACGCTCGTCCGCTTGTGTCACNTCACGCGCAATTCCCCATCAGACGACAGTTCACNACCCCTGCCTANNGGCCGCGGTCCCGGGCATGTTCCCAATTAGAGCGTCTGAAGCGGCTGTTGTCTTCTTGTTGGCCACGATTCTCGCCTCGACGAGTGAAGGCGCCTCTCCCCGATATTCGTTAGCGTCTTCAACAGTTCCAAAAGGATTATTGGCAGTTGCTCTCTCGCTGCTAGTCGCGTAGAAAAGGAGCTCCTCATCGAAAACGACCATTTTGCGAGAATGGCCTCGAGCTAGCTCCAGATCATCACAGCTTTCGCAAAGGGTCTGAACGGGCATGTCGATNTTGTTTCTTGGTCGCCAGAGCGTCGTTGACGAGCGAGCAGGCCTCCAAATGACAGCGTGGAGCAACCACGACTAGCCAAATGTTGNCGNCCAAGACTCTTCGTTCGCTGCATCTCCCTGCATAGACTACCCGTCCTCGAGCATGCTGATCTCTGAGTGCTATCAAGTATCCTCGCAAGACAGTGGCGGACTTTGTTGTCGTGCTGGTCGAGACTGGCGCGCGAGGGAGAAAAAGCACAGACGTGCTGATTATTTCTGCTCGGGCGAGTTCGGTGATCTGCGCGCCTTGTCCGATTGATCACGCGCCTGCAGATCTGCAGCCAATGGAGTCGTCTAGCATCATAGCCTTCACGTCTCTCCACAAGCTCGGCCAGTGTCGTATGCTAGCTCCAAGCTGATGGCGAGACTGACGATCATGCCGACACCGTATGCCTTTGGCGNTTCTCACGACAGTCTGGCGTATACCGTCCAGGGCCTTGCGCTACTTGTCTCGTACTTATCGGCAATCATATTTGATCCTTCAGTGTCATCTCTGCCATTTGATGTGCATGATGAGCCTCAATGCATGCTTTTTGATTTCTCTGCGACTACTCCCGTCTTTGCATTCGCTGCTCGACATGTCCCAGCCACGCGCTATCACCACTTGTTGGTCAGAAAAGAGCAATCCGGACTCAGCCACCATCANACCTTTCGCGCGAGTGGNGTGGAGACTGCAAGCTGACAGNTCACGCTGTCATCATCGTCAAGCGGATGCACACTAAGCGAATCTATCACATCGATCTGTTTGCTGGCGCATGTGATTTTCATTGATACATGTCCCTCTCTTCGTGCACATCATACGAGCAGCTCAAGCTGAATGTCATCCGCTGCAAGCAACTGAAGACTCTGATCTCATCGATTCCCCCGATGGTACTTTGAAACCGAACGGCACCAAGGATTTTGAATCTGTCCTATAACAATCCAGCAACAAGTGAGCACCTTCATCGAAGACAAAGGAACGTCCGAAGAAGTGACAGCAGTGGCCGAGACAAGTAGCCGGACCTGAAGACTATCCCGCTGATAATTCCAAGTGCACAGTAAAGATATGGTGAAAGATGATCACACGCACCAAGCCGTCTGTCAGCCGTACACCTCGCCGTGTCACATATTGGACACTGTGTCAGGCCTGNNNTTGAGTCTGTAAAGCTAGTGGCGATCTATTGCTTGCAATGATCTGATGAAACATATCACCTGCATGAGCCCACTCAACGCAGCGATGACCATCATGTCAACATTNAANACGCATCTCAGCAGCGGGAAATCATCCACTGCTGTCGACGTCCGCGCGAGCAATCAATCCATCAGTCGTCCGCTAGATATCATCCTGGAGACTATTGATGTATGGTACCGTCTCAAGGCACGACCTCCGCTCTGGTATTGCGAGTGAAGATACTCCAGTGTGCTCTGAAGCACAATCTCATGGATGTCACTTGTGTTAGGGCGCAGGCTGACTCTCCGTCCCTTTGAACCGTCGTAATTGGTGCAGGGAGGCCAGACGATCTCTCAAAATGCAAGTTATGTCGCGTTACAGTGATGGCGACTGGATGTCGTCCCGATGAAATGCAGCAATACGACAAAGTAAAGAGTATGAGGATCTCCGCTAAAGTCGCTGTGGTCAAGCGAATGTCCTGCCAACGCGCCTAGATAAATCACGCCAATCAGATACACGGGTGATTAATAACTTTCCCATGAATTACGCAANATTGANTTTTGGCNNNGCANATTGAAGAAATCCCCTGGCATTTCACTACTCGACAATGGCAGAGCGGTGCTATCCTTCTTGATCGTCGACATAAATCCTCAAGCTGGATCGGGTCTCCGCTATACCTTCCTTTCGCAAGTTCTCGCTCAGACCTCCAGTCCGATCATGTATCGTCGAGTAACGCATACCTCCCAAAGTCCGATCGACACGACTGCCACGAGCTGCCAAATCAGGCCAAGTCGCGTCGCTCATCTTCCTTCATGCCGCAGACAGCAGATGTGGGCACTGCGAGCTACATTCACTGATTATACGCTCAGACATGGTCAGATCATGCATCATCACGCCGATAGTCAGAGAGCGTGAGACACTAGCGAGCAATCATCTCTTACTGGCGACTAGCTACGAGG